AGTTGTTGTGGTAGTTATTGTTGTATGGGCCGTTGCTGTGGAAGCTGACCCCTATGGTGGATGTGGCTAATAGTGTGGCGTAAGTGGGGCCTGTTCCATGTCTGACGGTGTTCCAGAACCCTACTTACAATGGTACCCAACTAATTTTTTGAGCAGTCGCGCGGGAATGTCGGGGAATCGGCGGGATCAAGTTCTCGCTAGCAGTAATAGGTTTAGCGTAAATGTGTTTCCAGTGAGTACCATCATACGTAGGGTTCTTAACCACCGTCAGTTCTTAACCACGGCCAATGGGAATTGGCCTTGCATCTGTCAAGTCTTGGCACAGCTGGCAAAAATGTGGGGCCGGTTAAGAACTGACGGTGGTTAAGAACCCTGCGGATGATGGTATATGCAGTATCTTGCAAAGCTTATGTACTGTACATTGAGTTAGTGATTACCTAAGATGAGCCTTCAGCCAAACCGCAGAACGGCAAGGAAAGTTTTGAAATACTACGACGAGGCATCATATACGGCTGAGATAGCAGATGCAGTACGGCCAAGACTCCGAATTCCCTTTGAAAAGGTCCAAAAGGTGAGTGATTAGAATGGATAGGTCGGTCTCATCCATCTTCTCAGCTTTATGTTTGGTTAATCTAGGTAGCCTGCAGGTTCTCAGCGGTGAAGTACAAGATCTTAGAACTTAGAATAGGGAGAAGAAGAACACGTCAGGTATGCCGTCGGACGATTACATTGACGTGGATAACTTGCGGCTCGATTGATCAGATTCGGAGCTCGAGAGTGGAACTGGCCCGTATAATCATGATCCACGGTGATGGGATCATTGGCGGAGCAAGCTAATGTATGTACCTTGGTTCCTTCGAAAAACTCGGTGTTCCTTCAAAATGTATGAGTCTTGCGACATTATTCCCGGAACGGCAGGAGACAAGCTTTCTCGGACGGTACATGCAGTGCTATGGGGTCATTTGCGGAGAATTCCGGAGCAGTTGCACAAGCACAGCGAGGACGGGGCCGGTGCCGGCTGGTCGTTTTTTCAACAAAAACTCAAATACCTTACACAGTAGAGCGGAATCGCTCAGTGCGGCCTCCTGCTATGGATTATGGATTCCTCTCCGATGCCGAGTTGATGCGGGATTGTTCGATGTTCGCTCTGCTAGTTTACGCAAGGGCGCGCGGCGGCATGGATGTTATGTACAGCACGCACTGTCGGGTACATTTCCACACAGGGCACACACGCACACACATGCGCTGTTGGCCAACAGTTGGTGGCAAGCGCTGGAGCCGAAGCCTGGATTTGGCAAGTGGTTAGCAATAAAAATCATAGGTTCTCTCAGGTGCGCGCCAACACTATCGAGATAATGACATTTGGCCACCCGGCAGATTCCTACGGGAAGTTAAGCAAGTTTGGACACGGGCATACAGAAATAACCGGTAGTCGATTTTTGATAGCACTGTGTTCTGATGACTCTGATTTTCATAATTGCTCAACGCAATCTGCCTTGCAGAAAGAGAAGAGCCGGGAATGCGTCTTCGTAGAGACTCGGGCAGAAAATGAATTAGCCTCACGGCGCGGCCTCTGAAAGCCATAACCACCGGTTGGTTCAAACACAGCTACATATATACATAGGTATGCAGTGAAGATGTTAGCAGTCTTTCTTGAGGCACTTTTAACCCCGTAACTCATTGTGGGAATGTGGGATCATCAGATGTCTAAGTGCCTTCGTACCGCAGTGTACATACTACTGTACTCTAGCCTACCAGGGAAGGAGGTTGGGCCCAGGACGCGGGGATGCTACCCTTTTTGGAGCTGTACCCTGATCCTCCAGTTGCGAAGGGGAGGCAATATTGGATCCGATGGACCTGGGAAAGGTTAGGAAGCGAGACCGCCGGCAATTTCACATGGAAACCGGGTCTGTGGGAGGCGGAGAGTGGACTCGGCGGAGGATAGCCGACGGTGGGTTTCACGGTCAATATGTAGACGAGAACCTGTGTACATAGCTCCCGTCTCCTTTCATGAGAGACAAGAAGGGCAATTCATATGGCAAAGTGCCCGATATATTGTGCATGGAATGATACTCTCCCCCCAGGACAAAGCTGTACGGTACAACTCTACCCTTCCCTACCTTCAGCCCTCGATGCGGGCCTTCAGGCTTCATATAAGGTATTGCCGTTATACGGGTCTCAAGCTCGCCTTGTCGCCCACCCAGGAACACTTTTTTTATTCGGGTAGACCTTTTTTCGTATTTGGGTAGACCTTTCCCGCCCACATGTCTGCAACCAATGGCATGCTCTTCTCCCCACCCATTTTGGCAGGGCAGAAGAGCAAGCCACAGCCTCTCTGCCTAACATTTTCAGGCGGACATATCTAACAGCCCAGCGTAAGCCCAGCGTCGATGACTACCTACAATTGTCATTCAAGTTATCACCATGCGGCTATAACGCACTAGCTCCGTGGCTACAGTACCTGCAGTCAAATCAGCTGTACGAGTATGGTTGGCAAAGGTAAGAGAGGGCGGGCGGTTCGGGAGCTAGGCGAAAAGGGGCTGCTTATGTCAGCTTTGCTGAAATCGCACGCACTTGATTTTGACTGCAGATTTGAGCTTTTCAGAGCTCCAGAGGGCTAGAGAGCCAGAGAGCTATAGAGCCAAAGAGAAAGAGAGCCAAAGAGCCAGAGACTTAGAGAGCTAGAGAGTTAGAGAGTCAAAGACGGCGTGGACACCTGGCAGTTATGTATGTACCTCCAATGCGCCTGGCCTGTGGCTTGCTCTTCTGCCCTGCAAAAATGGGTGGGCAAAGGAGCGCGCCCATTGGTTGCAGACATGTGGGTGGGAAAGGTCTACCCAAATACGAAAAAGGGTCTACCCGGATAAAAAGCCCTAGAAGACTTTGCGAAAGGGACGGGATATGCCCAGGATCACAATTGGGTCGCGTATGGATGTTGTATGCCCATCATGTTCAGTGGGCCGTCTGGAAGGCGGATTCCCCATGGCCACGTTTCACCAGCAGTGGGGCCGATCCCGCTAGCCAAGCTTCCTGCTTCTCTCGGCATGGTCTGGTCTGTCCTGCAGGGTCAAAGGCGCAAACCTTCCTTATTGTCCAGACGCCTTAGCTGTGAGATCTATCTTGCCTCTTGCCTATCAATGTCGAGGCGTACTAGTCGTGAGTTCAGTGCTTACCATACACGGAGTACGTTCTAGATGCATCCCGTATGTAATGTACAGTAATACATAAGGTACTCATGGTACCGTAAAACTGCGTATTTACTAGTACCGGTAGTTATCTTTAGCACAGTGCTACTTGCCACCGCCAAGTTGCTTTATGATACAGAGGTGGTGTCAAGTTCGACAAAGACTTGGCTTCACCAATGATCATTACATTCAATTAAGCATCATGCACAATACAGAGCAATGCCATCCAAATGGTCGGTAGATTTGGGTGAGACAGTACCGCTTGCAGCGCGCAAGATGATCATCCCTGTACCTTAACCGTGAGTACCTAGCACAATCAAGGAAGGCCGTTTTTTTGCCCCAGAGACTGCAGGCTAAAAGCACCCCACCTGCATTACGCACTTGCCAGATCGGCAGACGGTCGAACACCAGAAATCGGCGGGCCCTGGTCTCCTACTCTTTACACCACCGGGACCACATAGTGGGCGATGGCTATCGACCTGCCTGATACGGCCGTGCCCCCTCGCTCCGTCAAATCAATTGAATTGAAGGTTTGGGTCGGTTGTCTGTTTGGATCGGTCTGATCGAGAGCCCCCCTTGTCGAAGCGCGTTGAACCGCCAATTGGCTTGCGTGATTTGACGGTTGCATCGTGCTTGATATTCCTTCCCCTTATCATGGGGCCAGCCAGAGCACATGGCAGGATACGGGGTAAGACGGGCACATATCGGCGGCGGAAGAAACGGTGCTCCACTGCTTTTTGGGTTCGACAATGGTGGTGGTGCGAAACGTGCCAAGCAGAACGGGCAGGAGCTCCGTTGCCTCGGGAGCTCTTTCCTTCGGTTCCCTGTACTCGACCTTGAACCAGGCGCACGAGTTTAAATACCACGCGCGGAACGCAATTCCGCTGTTCTCGAGGTTCTCCCGTCTGTACCATCCCCTCCGCCACCGACACCCAGGCCCGGAGTCCGCCTTTGGTGGTCTGAATCTCAACCCCATCCCAGAGACCTTCTCTCGCACAGAGAGAGACAGCGTGCTATGGACGAGAAGACGGTGATACAGGCCACTGCGGCCGCGGGGACGGTCCATCCGTTCGCCGAAAGCAACCCGCCCATCGAGCACACCGCAGACCTCAAGCATCACAATGTCGAGGTCGAGAAGGCCGCGACCGAGGAGGAGGAGATTGAGGAAGACCTCTACCGGCCCTTGCTGATGGACCCCGGTATTCCCCACGAGGAGAACCCGTTAACCATCAGGGCTGTGGTAGTCGGCTGCATTCTCGGCGCCCTGGTTTGCGCCTCCAACTTGTACCTGGGTAAGTCCTGGGCTGTCGGGCACTCTTGTCGGCAGCAGTGCTAATGCCCATGGCAGGTTTAAAGACAGGCTTCACCTTTAGCGCCAACATGTTCGGCGCCATCTTCGGCTATGGCATTTTGAAATTCCTCGACAAAGCCGGGAAGATGCCCATCATTGGCGGCGTCTTCGGTCCCCAAGAGAACTCGATTGTCCAGGCCGCGGCTACGGGTGCTGGCGGCACCGGCGGCATCTTCGTCGCTGCGATTCCCGCCATGTATCGCCTTGGTGTGATGGGCGAGGGACACACGCCCTCGACCGATATCGGTGCCATCTTCACCATCACTCTGGTCTGCTCCTTTATTGGCATCTTTTATGCCACGCCGCTCCGCAAGTTCTTCATCATCCAGGTTGCCCGGGAGCTTAAGCTCATGTTTCCCACGGCGACTGCCGTTGCTTTGACCATCCGCTCCATGCATGCTGGTGCCACTGGCAGCATCAACGCCATCAAGAAGCTCAAATGCCTCATGATCTGCTTCGTCGGCGCAATGTGCCACCGAGTCGCATCCTACTATGCTATTGGCATTCTCTACGACTGGCACGTCTTCACCTGGATCCATATTTGGAGTGGATACACCAGCTGGGCGCTGAATATCGAGTCGTGGGGTTGGTATTTCGAGTGGACACCGGCCTTTATTGGTTCGGGCATCCTCATCGGTCTGAATCCCGCCATCTCCATGTTTGCCGGCTCCGTCATCGCTTGGGGTATTATTGGCCCCACCCTGGTACACTACGGCGAGTGCATTGGGAAACAGCTCGCGCCGGAAGACCCTCAGTGGGATTCGCTATACTCATTCACTTCCCTGAGCAACCTCGGCAAGGGGCCACCGTCCCCTCGGTACTGGCTCCTCTGGCCGGGTGTCATGGTCATGGTTTGCTGCTCAATGGCCGAGCTATTTGTGCAGTACAAAGTCATTTGGAGCGGCGTCAAGTCGCTCTGGCATTCATCGTGCGAGTCCATTAACGACACTCTCACAGCTAAGGGCAAGTCGAGCGCCTTCTTTGCCAAGCACGGCGCCCCTATGGTCAAGTCAGAGGATCATGTCGAAGACCCCTTCCCACCCGAGCAGCAGGTCAGGAACTGGATGTGGCTTGTCGGTCTGCTGGTCACGCTGGTTCTCGGCATGATCGTCTTCCACTTCCAGTGGGAGATGCATCCGGGCCTGACAATTCTGGGCATCCTTCTCGCCTTTCTCTTCTCGTTTCTTGCCATCCAGATTGGTGCTGTTACCGACACCACGCCACTCACGGCCGCCGCCAAAGCGTCGCAGCTTGTCTTTGGCGCTGCCACAGCGAATCATGGTTACACGATCCAACACGCCCAGAAACTCAACTTGGCAGCTGGTGCACTTGCCTCGGGCGGTGCCGATATGTCCAATGCGCTGGTGAGCGACTTTAGAACGGGCTTCCTCATAGGCACTTCGCCCATCAAGCAGTGGATTGCCCAGTCCATCGGCAGCTTTATCTCCGTGTGGCTCGGGCCCGGGCTTTTTGTCCTATTCACCTCAGCTTATCCCTGCATCTGGGACCCCAATGCGGATGCGGATCACTGCCAGTTCCAGGTTCCCTCCGTGTCGGCATGGGCAGCTGTCGCGCAGGCCGTGACTGATCCGAACGTCAAGATCCCACTAACCAGCGGCATTTTTGCTATTGTCATGGGCGTCGTCTCCATCATCCAGGTTGTTGTGAGGCACTTTTACCTGGTTGGGCCGCGCGAAAAGTACCGTGAATGGCTACCCAACTGGGGCGCCATCGCCCTGTCCTGGGTCATTCCTGCACCAGTCTTCGCCAATGCTGCCCTTCTTGGCGCCATCATTGCCGCAGTCTGGAGGAAGTACAGCATGAGGACCTGGGACATTTACGGTTATGCCGTTGCTGCTGGTGAGTTTTCTCTTGGAATCGCCCGACCTTCCGGGACGTGGACTAAACTGTCGCCTCTTCGTCGCAGGTTTCATTGCTGGCGAGGGTCTCGGTGGCGTCGTCGGTGCCATCCTCACGCTTGCCGGTGTAGACGGCTCTGTCAAAGGCACAATGATCGCCTGCCCCTTGAACTCGTGCTAAACGCACAATCGTTAGGAAGAACGGCCTGGCTTGCTTGGGGGGGCTTTTCATCAAACCAGGTCGTACACCGCCACACGTCTCATATACCCTCTGCCGTTTTTGTTTCGCAACATGCAGTTAGCAATGATAGCGATGATGAGAATCACATAATAAGGCTTGATGCCTGATAATCACCCACTTAGCAGCCGTAGTTGTGCAGACTGATGTATATGGCTGACGGTCCACCGTTTCCGCCCTCAGATTGGAATTTCACCTCTCTCCTTCGAGGTATGCCTACTGCTTGCTGGGCTCTAGGCCATCAAGCAGGAGAGTGTTGAACTGGACACATCACGCTACTACTGTGTAGCTGCCTGCCATGAACCATCGTAATGAACTTGAACAATGCCCAAGAGCTCTCCATATGGGATGCATGCCATTTAGATATCTAGTTCGCCAGATTTGCGCAAAGATATAATTTACCAACTAAACCCTCGAGAGCAGAGCGTCTATGCAACCTCGGCCTCGCGCACCTTGGGCGCTTCCTTGGTCTCTTCATCAGTGACCAGCGACTTTGCGCTGGCGTCGGTAACGCCAAACAGCTTGTCCATGGCCTCCAGCGAGATGCCCTTTGTCTCGGGCACGAAGAACCAGACGAACACGAACATGGAGAAGCAGAAGCTGCCAAATATGAGGTAGGTTCTGTCGAAGATTAGGGAGGTTAGTTTGTTGTGTTCTGTTTTGTTGGCTTGTTAAGTGTAGGGGTTACTCACCCATATCCGTGATCGCCCACGGTCACGAGCATGGTCGGCACGGCGCGGGCAACGACAAAGTTGAAAAGCCACTGCGTGGCGGCGGCGTAGGACACGTTGAGAGAGCGGAGGCGGGCGGCAGGAATCTCGCTTGCGTAGATCCAGCAGGCAGGGCCCCAGCCGAATTGGAAGAAGCTAGATCATGGGCAGTCAGCATTGTATTGTCGCCGAGTGGGAAACTTTGAACAAGGGTTACTCACGCAGCAAAGAGGAAGATGCACACGAGGGCAAAGTAACCGGCGGGCGGCACCGTGTCACCCTCGACGGGCGGCGAGATGCGCACGTAGAGACCAATATAGAACATGGCAAGACCTTGAGCGATAGAAGTCCAGAGCAGACTGCGGCGACGGCCCAGCGAGTCGGCCATGAAGAGCAGGAAACAGATGCAGCTCGTCACCTTGACGATGCCGTAGATGCCCGTGCTGAACAAGCTGACCGAGGTGCCCTTGAGACCAAGGTTCTTGAAGATGGTGGGAGCGTACGTGTTGATGGCGTTGGTACCCGTCATTTGCTGGCAGATCATCAGGATGATGCTGATGAGCACGCGGTTGCGGTTCCCCTTGATGGTCCACATCTCGCGCTGCAGGTTCCAGAATGTCGCGTCGCCAATGAGCTGCCGTTCGTGCTCCAGCTGGTCGACAATCTCCTTGAACTCCTCCTCAACGTAGGGGTGGGTCGGTTCCAGGTGACGGATCCGCGCCAGCACCCGCTTCGTGTCCTCCCATCGGTCCTGGCGAGCAAGCCACCGCGGCGATTCGTGGCACAGTAGCATGCAGCCGCACAGCAGCGCGGCTGGGAGAGCTTGAATGGCAAGCGGAAAGATGTACTGGATCTTGCCGGTCATGTGGATGCTAACTGAATAGTTGATCCAGAAGGCAATCATGCCACCCGTCACAATAAAGAGCTGGTATAGACCGGTGAGCAGACCGCGGATGGCGCGTGGCGAGTTCTCGGAGACGTAGATGGGGTTGATGGTACTGGCGGCGCCGACACCGACACCCGAGATGAAGCGACCGGCGTACATGGGCCCAAGGTTGCCGTTGGCAGCTGCCTGCATGATAATACCCACAATGATAACCAGCGAGATTCCGATGAGACACCACTTGCGGCCGAAGCGATCGGTTAAGGGAGAAGCGAGCAAAGCACCGAGGAAGCAACCGGCTTGGAGCGTGGAGACGATGTTGGCGGACAGATTGGCGGACTCAACTGAGTCTTTGGCACCGAGGCCGAAGTCTTGGATAAAGGGGTCCAGGACAATGACGCCTCCGATGACCGAAGAGTCCCAGCCGAACGACATGGCTCCGAAGCATGCCTATCGGTCGCCGTGAAAATTAGCATTCCGAACAATGGGATATACATCGTGGTTCATGAGGAGATGAGACTTACCGAGCAAGCGAGCAAGTACACACGCCAGCCATAGATCTCGGGCGGATCCGAGGCCATGGCCTCGTTCCGCACGATTTTTCGCAATATCCTCGTCCCGAACGACATCTCGATCTGCCACGGTGTTTTGGACCTCCCGTGAGTGTTGTTCAGAGGGAATCTGAGGTCTCAAGCTGGACACTCAGAGAAAACACAGTTCCCAGGTGACGGAAGTCGGGGGTGGGATTCGACGGGAGCATCTCGGGCCTTTTTGTACTCGCCATGCGGCCTCGTCAGTGCGACGGGCAATCTACTGTACACTACATCGACGCGGGTGAACGGGTCTGCGACTCCATCCGGTACCCCCTTCTGCATCCTCGTGTCTGATTGGGAACTTGGGACTGGGATGGATCCCGGGCCGTTCCCCATTCCACATGCTCCATAGCCCACAATCTGATGGCGTGGAGTAAGCGTAGTTGGTTTCAAGCGAAAAGGCCAATTGGCGGTATAGGAGACAAGGGAAGCGAGCGGAGAGGAACCAGGAGGTTGGTATTTTCGTTTGCAAGCGAGCGTAGTTGCGCTAAGCAGGTATTCCCATACATTCCCGTCGCTTTTTTCCACCAACGATGACAACGGCTCCTGTCCGGCTGCCAAGGCGATTTGGCGCGAGAGGCTGTCCAATGAGCTGGGCTGGTCTGGATCTGCCAACCCAAAAACTGCAATGCCCCGAGCGAGGAGCTTCACGTTATCCTGGGAAAACTCTGATCAAGCAGCTCGGTGTTGTATCTGTTTTCTTGGAGCTGAGACCCAAGCATGCAGATAGCGTCGTTTGAGACCTAAGGTGATGCCGTAGGATGCATATTCTGCACGCTGCGTATCAATTAGCCTGTGTGCTATCTCGGATGTGGATGAACCTGTACCTATCGTTGGGAGGGATGGTTCGGTGCAACAACGGAGTTTGAGGGCGAGCAAGTCAAGGATTCAAGGGTTAGTGAGGGGATCAAGGCGGGGAAGGATCCACCGTGGTGAGGGTTCCCTTTGCTCTTGCCCCAAGATTCCACCAGCTCTCCAACGAATGGACTCAATGGAGTATCTGTGCTATCTTAAGTTGACTCAGCGGTGAATGCTTGCCAAACGAAGGTTGGCCAGATCCTCAATGCCAGAAGAACAAGGTATTTGAGGTATGTAGTATGTACGATTTAGGGACGTTTGCTATACTAACATTGAGAAACGAGCTGTTATTCAACAAAAAGTGAGCTTAAGAAAGCTCAACAGATAAGCTCGAGACGCCTTCTCGAGACAGTTTGAGAGCAGAACCCATTTCGCCAGCGAGGAGTGGAGCCTCAATGGTTCGGTACCGGACTGCGTCCACGTTTCCTTCTCGCGCTTCTCCAACGGCCTTCTTTCCCCTGGCACTTCATTTTTTTTACATTACTCAGCCAAACGTTGGAGTGACCAGGCACAACTTTACATTATGGTTGCACGCGATACAATACACTTCAATACCATCAGGTGGTTGCCCAATACTGGTCCTTTTTGCATCATCCCCAACAGCATCTTCCATTTTCCCCAGCTAACCAGCATTTTGACCCCAGTTACCCCAGTTTCTTACCCCAGTTTCGCCACTCCGCCGGGGACGACGAAGTGGGTCACCCCCGGATCACCTTCTTTGATGATCCTGTTGGAGATTTATCCACGAATCAGAGAACCGCCTGACGAATACCAACGAATCAGAGAACCGCCTGACGAATACCAACATCTGGGGTGAGCTCAGGCTGCCGTGGTGCACATTCACTCAAAAAGTAGGCTGACAGACGGTGTGGTTGGCTGGAGCCCAAAAGATGGAAAACCCCCTTGTTTAAGATGTTTGTGACTCTTGGCCCAGGAAACCGGGTAGCGGCCCCCTATCAATTTCGGCTGGAACGCCATGATGCTATCCAACCCCGCTGTCATGGTCTTGGGGCGGGATCCGAGCCACCGTAGATGCAGGATTAACGGCTACGCCTTCCAGCAGGACGCTATTGTCTCGTTCAAAGGTTGGCAGTATGCCACTTTCTACAGTTTCCTCCAATCGGACGCGCCCTCAGACCCTCTCTACATCCATCTCGCTCGAAGGCGGTTATCCTCTGAACAATGGGAGGTGCTGGTGTTTCGCGACTACCCGCAGACTGCAGACGATGGCCACAACACGGTCCAGATGGGCATCTGCCCCGGAGACGGCACGATACATCTTTCGTACGACCACCACTGTGATGTGTGAGTAGCCGCCATCTATCCGGCATCGCCGCCAGGGATCGAAGATGCTGACAGTCTTCGAGACTGAGATACCGGTATTCTGTGCGCGGGCTTGCCAGCAATCCTGATAAATTCGAATGGAGTTCCTCGCTTTTCAGTCCGACCCTAGATTACCTCCCAGGGCTTCCGTCGACTCATCCTCACTTCGGATATGTGACCTACCCACGGTTCGGGTCCATGGGCGAAGACATGTTTTGCTCCTTCCGCGACGGTAAGGCTGGGCTCGGCAACGACCACCTGTACCTTTACCGCGGCAGTACAGGCCAGTTCACCTATGCCGGCGCCCACCTGACAGGTATCCAGAGCAACCCCTACGTCCATGGCATGGAGTACAGGAATGGCAGGTTCCATGTCACCTGGGTATACCGCGGGTTTGTCCCCTATGAGGGCTGGGATGACCCCCTGGATATGAAGCACAAGCAGCAGGCAGGTCCTAATGGTGCCGAGAACAACCACAACATTTGCTATGCGTACAGCGATGACAAGGGCTACACTTGGAAGAACGGCGCGCACCAGGTTGTTGCGGATCTCAAGAATGGGGGAACCATTACCAACGATGCAGAGGGCATCGTTGCGTTTGAGATTCCAAAGCACTCTGGGCTCACAAATCAAGAGGCCCAAGCGATCGACAACGAAGGTGGCGTCCACGTCCTGAACAGAGATACCACAGACGGTGGCGATCATCCGACATGGAAACACTACTATAGGTCTCCTGCTGGTAAGTGCTGACCGCAGACGGCACATGAGGCCAATGGTTGCTAAAAGCTGTTGATGGCTTGTCTAGGGAAGTGGACCCAGAGACCAATACGACCTGTGAGTGGCAACAGTCGTGGGCGGCTGGCGGTGAGCAAATCAGGTGATCTCTTTGTTATCCTCCCGAACACCGCGGCGTCCGAAATGCATATCCTGAAGGCTTCGAAGGCGAGTGGCTATGCCAGCTACGACGAGGTTTGGAAGGGGCATGGCTTGACGGGCGAACCCCTTGTCGACCTTGCCAGGCTGGAGCATGGCAATGTCCTGTCTCTGCTGGTTCTTGTGGAAGGTGAGGGGGGCTCTCGGGAGCGAAATGTTGCGGTTCTGGATTTCCAGCTGTAGCGTGTTCGTTCCCGCGATCAAGCATCCAACCAAAACTGCTACCAGGGGTGGCTGCCGACTATCACTCTGTTGAAGTTCGTTCTGCGGTCGGATTTTCCGGAGATGCAGAGGAATGGTACATACATGGTCAGAGTCCAGTGCTGCCAGTGCTGCCACAATGCTATCCGCACACCAATCCCGGACAGGATCGTGCCTACCTGCTCGATCTTGCTCTCGTCATGCAAGAAGTGAAGTTGATGGAAGCCTGGTCGTATTGCCCAGAACCGGAACGGCGGAACCTGCCGGCACTTGGTGCAGCACCGTGCAGGTTTTCAGCTGGCCATGGACGGTCTCGACGCCCGATTCAGCTGGTTCAAACGATGGTTCACCGTCCTATTGGCCCAAATCTAGCGGCTCCCCACAGTGGCGCGCAAGCCTTGGAAACGCGGCATGGTTCGCTCATACACAAAGTTACATGAGCCTCGATTCCTTGCCTCTGCCGAAACGTTGATTGCAGGGTCTCGACGTCTGTATTCGTTCTCATACTCAAGTCATCAATGGAGACTCCTGCTCAAATCACAACATGTCTTGGCTACACGTACAATACTTGTACGGCGCGGCATCATTCTGTCAGAGGCACAAGTACAATGTATCCCTAGTTCATGCAGGGTAACGCCTTGTTGCGGGTACGCAATCATCATGCACGGAGTCTAACCCGCTCTAGAACCCCGGTGGTGCCTGTCTCACTCAGGTGGCTTTGATCGGAGCGGCTCGTCTCAAATCTCCAATGCATCGTGCAACCATCAGCCAGCCTCTCTAGCGTATGCAATGTACCAGAGTTGGGCGCTAGGCAGATTCCATTGTTCTAACATGCCTAGAAACCGTCGCTGGCATACGGCTCAGCTGCCCTTGGGCGCGCCGGGTTTCCACTGCCACTCCGATGAATCCATCATCTCTTGTACTATGATTCTATAATTGATCATTGGTCCGACATCTAACCAGTGGGTGACGGGTTGGAATAAAATCTCGCTGTGATATCCAGCACCCGCACTCGCAGAATCCGGGATATCTCCTGGCCTTACCCCCGACTCCCCGAGGTCCCTTAAGTGTTCCATTCCACCAGTTTCAGTTATTCCGAACAGTCGATCTTGACAAGCCTCAACGGTCAAGACCCACGTTCTCAATCGCAAAAACAAGAACGGCGGCAAGGGAATCTCTGAGGTGTAGGATTTTCTAGATCTAGGCTCATCTCTCTGCTCTCAAATTTCCCTACAGCCTACGAAGAAGCGTTCGTCACGTCGTGCTAGATCCTCGCTAACACAGCCCAAAGTTCTCCGTCAAAATCGCTATCAACCGTGCTTCCAATCAGCCGTCAGAGGCCGGGCTGCGAGAGAAAGTTGTCCCCTCGTTCTGCTACCGTGTCAGAACAAGGTTCGCAGACGACAACATCCCCGGCTCTCTTTTGCCCGCCGTCACCGCCAATATGCGGACCGAGATAGTCAAGTCCGATATACATGGGACCTTCCAATGGTCAGAGAATCCACACTCATACCTTTCCATGCCGGACGACCCAGAAGTGGGTGCCGATGTTGGGTCCAATCGTCTGGCAAGCTCCTCTCAGTCACAAGAAGAAAACAGGGAATCAACGAAGGCCTTGAAGAACACTGGGCAGACACAACGAGACAAGAGCAAGTATTACCCATATCCAATTTTTTTTTTTTTTTTTCCGGTCCTCTATGGTCTCGAAAGGCTTACCATGGCCACTCATTCCAGTAGTCGCAGAGCCTTTGTCTCCGGGGGTGAAGCGACGGACAGTATGGATTGTCCAGCCATTTGACGCCGGGCCTAACTATGGGCTAATCAACACGCATGTGAGGCTACATGTGCGTTCTGACATGGGCATGGAAGCTCTACGGGCTTTTGTTTGAGAGTTGCAATCTGTGTCCTGATGCCGTGGTGTCCTCTTGACCGTATACGCGGAATAGGGGACATATTTAGGAGAGTTTGGAGACACGTATTATGAGTTTATGATTAAGGCTAGCTGAGGACAATACACTTGCATCTGCTAAAAGCCTCGACCAGGCATCTGTTGAACAATGTCTCGACCGTCGAGCGAATATGTTCAATGTTAGGTAGGTCTTCCGATGATACTACCCGCGTTCTACGAAATTCCCTGGATGCTTATCTGATTTACCCGGATGGCGCTCCCTGGAATCAAAAGAGACTCAACGCACACGGAGGCTAGCAATATCAAAGATTTAGCCGACCGAGTCCTTATTAATATGAAGGCTGATATTGCTAGATCTGCAATCTAGGGCCCGGGCCGTGGTGCTGGTCCTTCGTAACTGTGGAGGTGAGTGCTTGATTATCAGTTCCGCATGCTGGATTGTATGGACTGACAGATATTAAGATAGAAGCTATATCCCTAAAAATAATTGTGCATGTAAATGATATGGATGTGCTGTATTCAGGGCAGCCTTGGCTGGCCAGATCTGTACGCATTTCCAAAAGCCCGGATGCCTGCACCAGATTTGCTATTCTGGTCGGAGCTTATACCCCTGACCTCCGGAGATGACCAGCCAAGAGAGAGAATGCATGTCTTGACCAACCACGCAGCTGCGGGGACAGGATTCTCGTCAGTCGGAAGACTGCCGTCGTGGCTGCCGCACGATACTACCCATAACTGATGCAAGGGACAGGTGGCCCGGTGTAACCAGGTCAAGCTGAGGAAGGTCACTCTATAAGATAGCGGCAGCACCTTGGCGAAAGCCTCGGAACTCCTGATCATAATAGCTTGAATACCCTCGGTAGCATCATCCGGCGAGCCCGAGCTTCACCTGGAGGGAGTATTAGTACACAGGAGGAACCATGTGGGCAACGGGGCATCTCCTGCTGGTGGCCCTCACCGCAGCCACAGCCGGCCTGGCGGCGCCTAACTGCCCTCCGCTGGGTCCGACCTTTGAACCACCACGCAATTTTGCCAGGAGCGGAGCCATACGTGCCGCCATTGCCAACCTGACCGAGACCCTCCGATCGCGAGACCAAGACAACTCACCCTCTGTCCTCGCGAACTTGACAAGCTACAGCATCGAGGTGTTCAGCACGAGCCAAGAGACTCCGGTGATATTCAGCTGGCACCACACAGCATCTTCTCTCACAGCTACCGACGACGGCAACGCCACCGTGGGCGTAACCAAGGTCGACGCCGACACGGTGTACCGGCTCGGCAGCCTGACTAAGACCTTCACCATCTACACATGGCTCGTGCAAGACGGGGACTCGAAATGGGACGAACCGATTACGAAGTATGTGCCAGAACTCGCGGCGGCGGCGGAAAGAGCGAAGTTAGATCCTGTGGGGAATGTCCCGTGGGACGAGGTGACGATCGGGTCACTGGCGGGACAGTTGTCAGGGGCTATACGAGACTGTGAGCGTCCGGCGTTCTTATAAGGGTGAGCAGAGTGTAGTTTCTGATTGAGGTTAGATGCCGTGATGGGCGAAACGACACAGCAGTTCAACGGGAGCATGCTCGCGGCCCTAGGGTTCCCACCCCTGAACAGCTCCGACCTGACGCTGCCGCCGTGCGGGGCCTGGCCGTTGTGCAATCGAACTGGTATGGGCGAACAGGCTTCCAGGGCAGAGCTATGCAAGGTATTGACGGAAATCAGAATTCTTCCGCGGCCTTCTCCAGGCACCTCCGTCCTACGCCCCGTTTACCACGCCGGCATACACCAACACGGGCTTTCAAATCCTTGCATACGCCCTTGAAAGCATCAAGGGCAAAAGCTTTGAGTCGATGATGCAGGAGAGCGTCCTGCGCCCATTAGGCCTCAACCACACGTTTTACACTGCGGCGCCGGCAGAGGTGGGCATCATCCCTGGCGGCAACCTGTCCGCAGCAGGATGGAACTACCATCTTGGCGACGAAAACCCGTGAGTACACACCCTTGATTCTGCCTCCCAAAAATAGACCACTTGGACTTACAATCACCAATACAGCGCCGGGAACATGTTCTCCTCCATCGCCGACATCTCCGCCCTCGGCCGCGCCATCCTCCGCTCCGACCTGATTCCACCATCCCTAACCCGACGCTGGCTGAAACCCGCATCCTACTCCTCGGAACTGATAGCAGGGGTGGGCTACCCGTGGGGTGTCCGTCGGATCCCACTGTCATCATACGGCGCCAACGGCAAGCGCGTCGTGGACGCGTACAACAAGGCCGGCCGCATCGGGTACTACGCCTCACTGCTCGTCTTGCTACCGGACTACGACGCGGGCTTGTCCATTCTTGTTGCAGGGCCAAACATACCGGGCAACACCAACTGGAATCTTGCCGACCTTGTCGGGACGCACATGGTCCCTGCGCTGGAGGCGGCTGCGAGGGAGCAGGCTGATGCACGGTACGCGGGGGAGTACACCTACTCGGCGGGTAATTCGTCGATACGGTTGACTACGCAGAGTGATAGACCCGGGTTGGGGGTGGAGAGTTGGGTTAGTAACGGGACGGATATGAAATTAGTCGGGGTAGTCCTGTCGGCGGGGTATCAGCCCGTGGACCCGAGTATTAGGTTGTATCCGACGGGGCTGGAGACGGTGAGGGAAGATGGGAGTAAGAGGGTGGCGTTTAAGGGGGTTTTTGAGGATTTGAATCTACCGAGCAGGCCGGACTCGATGTTCTCGACTGATTGTGGCACGTGGGTGTCTCTAACGGGTGTCACGTATGGGACGTATCCGCTGGATCAGTTTGTGTTTGAGATCGGGAGAGATGGCCGGGTGAGGAGTGTTGAGAATTTGGCGTTGAGGGTGGCGATGGGGAAGAAGGGTTGATTTGTTTTGTACAAGTCAATAATCTGAGAGGAACGGATCTGGGTGAACGAAGTTTCCATATATGTATTTTCAGCACGTGGCCTTGCTCATATTTGCTCAGCCGCGACTACCGCCCGAATACCTAGGTACCTTAAAATACGTAAGACAACAGGAAACCCCCTCATCCTATCAAACCTCCAATCCTTCAGCAACAAATCATAATGGAAGTCGCCGGGCTTGTCGTCGGCATCGTTGGTCTTTACTCGGCCTGTAGCACCTGCTACAAAGTCTTCACGGATGTCAAGGGCGCGGGTCGCGATGCCGATCTTACGGCACATCGACTGCGGATTCAAGAATCGGTTCTCCGAGCATGGATGTGGCACTGGGATGTCAGATCAGACTCGGGGCTCCAAGAAGCCGAAGCGGCCGAGACGAAGTTGGGTCGTTACCTGAAGAAGAATCCACATGCGGCACATGGCATCGCCGGCGTCTTGTATTGTGTTGGCGAGATACTGTCGGATCGGAAGAAGCTGCACGATGACTATGGGCTGAGTGTGGAGCTAAACGACGAGAGTCAATTGCCGGTAGTAGTCTGTAGTCCTTACACTGCCTACAGACCATTTGGTCCATTTCCATCTCACACAAGCGGCCCGACTGACGGACGCCTAGCTAGCCTACACCGAGCCGACCCGCAACCTCACGGCGCTGAAGACGGAAATGAAGGAAAAATCCAAGGCGATTCTTGGACGCGTCAGAGACAAGCATAGAATCACTTGGGCACTGAGGGATGGCAAGAAGTTCAAAGACCTGATTGCACTACTCGTCGAGTACAACAACTCACTGTACCAACTCGGCCCGCAGTCGGTCCGTGATGAACTTCCAGTCAATCTGGTAGCGACGTACTTGCGAGATCACCCCGTACCTGATCCGTCACGCCAACAAAATCCAGAAGCGTCTGTACTGGAGGGGGAACAAGACACAGAACAGCTTGGCCTTCCCCGACAAAATCCAGAGCAGTTCACTCCATTCCAACAAAACGTGGAAGAGCCAAGACTGCCCCAAGAGACCGCCCAACATCTTGATCCGGCATGCCGAGAGAACATGGATGAACCAAGCGAAATGAATCCTTCACCCATACAGCTCGCCATGGAGACCCTGGACGACTTCCTCAACCTGCGGGAAGAAATCACCCGCACAAGGACCAAGGGACCTTTAACTCTCGTCCAAGAGAAGGAGCTGCTTTCCATCAGGGCAAACGAGCTAAAAACTCACCCCAAAGCCGAGAAGACGGCAGTTTATCAACGGCTGAATGAAACTGTCTTCCTTGAGCGGATTGGGTATATCGATTTCAACCAGAAGGATCGTCAACGAGTTCGGACCAGCATCATTAAGCTTGGACAACTGCTTCATCTCCCCGTCTTTCGTCGCCACCTCCATGCGCTGGAGTTTCTGGGCCTAGTCGAATTCCCTAACAAAATGGAAATCGGGTTTGTTTACCATCTTCCAAACTCGTTGGGTCAGCCGCAGCCAAGCTATCCCGTCCATGATCTGAGGATCCGGGAACCGATAAGTATGTTTGAGTTGCTAAAAAGCTGGACACACTCGCCGGCACTTGGGCTGTGGTTTGATCTGGCGCGGGAGTTGGTGCGCAGCGTTGCCTTTCTGCATGCAAGCGGGTGGCTGCACAAGAATATCCGGAGCAGCACGCTGTACCTTTTTCCCAAGTCCGGCCCGGAGCTGGGGCGCAAATCGGAACACATCGACATGGAGAATCCTTTCCTCATCGGCCATATGTACGCGAGACCGAGCGAAGTAGAAGACACTGAAGAGATGAACTTGAAAGTTGAGCGACAGGCAGCAATCCGAGGAACAACCCTTCGGGCAAGAGGGAACCGAAGAGCTAGACAAGCGTTAAACAACGAGCATGACGACTCATCAGTCCATGATTCGGAAAGTTCTAGCGGCATCGGAAGCGCGCGCAGCTCTAGCCCCCACTGACGATGAGGATGATGATAGCAAGGGCGATGACAAGACCCCTGTAAAGGGTCGCATCACAAACGACATCTACCAACACCCCTTCAAGCGTACATACCCCTACAGCCGCTATTGTTACGCCTTCGACGTCTATTCTCTGGGCGTTACCCTACTCGAGATTGGTTTGTGGATGCGGGTAGACCGTGTCTGGAAAAAATACAAAGGCAAAGATAGGGACAATAATTACTTCCAGGTGAGACGGAAGCTGATTCGAGCCGCAAGAGAGGCGCTGCCACCAGTCTGTGGCGACTTGTACACACAAGTCACAGTCTCGTGTCTGAGTGTTGAGCGGGGAGACTCTCAGCGGGCCGAAGAGGCAGAGCATCAGGAGCTTTGTGCGAGGATCGCGGCGGAGCTTGCGCAGTGTCGGGTCTGATGAGCACTCTATAACCTTCCATCTTGTCGAGAGTCGGTCATCTCCAAAGAAACTGGCCCTGAGAATCAATAACACGGTGAGATAACAGTCCCACAGGAATCAACCTATTGACTGCGTTAATCCTCCATCACCGCAATTTCAAGCCCTACCTAAAGGGGCTTCAAGTTGTGATGGGCGCAACTCTACCTCATGTCTTTCGGACGTGTAACTCACGGCTTAGGTAATTCCTCCATTAAGCATGCAGGTAGGTACCCGCATATAGAGACCTAATAGGGGATATGAATTATGTTGGGGAAGGGAGACCGCCCGGTGGCCCCGGGGGCGAGGGCAACTTTAGGGTAAAACAACAAGACTTAAGTTACTAGTGGTTGTTTACTTTTGTCACGAAATCACTGGAATTATCATTGATGGTACTGTTTCGGTAAATGCCCAGTCTATTGGCCTAATCATACTACCTACCTTTCCTAGGTATCAAAGCAATCTGTCATTGTCCTCCTCTGTTTCTTGAGGACCTCCTCGAGTTCCTATCGGGCCCCCAGCGTGCTTGTTGCATTCGCTGGCCTGTGGCCATAGTAGATAATGCCGACGGCTATCACCGGCCGGCTCGGTGTCTGCCCCCGAGAATGATGGGGTGTTGGCTGGGCTTCCGGTTAGAAGTCCCGGCCCCTGAATACCTCAAAGAGGTATTGTTAGCTGCTCAAGGGTTGACCTTCATGTCATTCAGCTGCCGCCCGCTCCAACCGCAGTCATAGAAAGTCAGCAGAGCCCAGAGCTTGATGAAGCTGTGGAAGTAGGCAAACAAGACGTAGACCGGGAACAGCCAGATGTCTTGCGGGTGCTGGCGGAAATAGGCAAAGATCTTTGGGACTTTGGTTAGCAGAATCCAGCCTACCAGACAAGCCAGGGACTTGGCTGAGACGTACGCCGACGAGTGCGTGAAGAGGTAGATGAGCAGCGGGTCGATGATGGCTGCGAAGTTGGTCAGCGACGTGAGATAGACTGCGTAGACGCAGTAGGGCTGTCTAGACCAGACGGTGCGGTCAGTAAAAAGACTGCAGGGATTGGATCGCCAGGTTGTTCTCGCCCACCGCTTGCATTGGCCAAGGTATTTCTTGACCAAGGGGTCTTCAACGCCAATGACCGTCTCCATCAGGGAATCATCCGTGTATTGGATCTTGATGTCCCAGCCGTGGCGGACGACAAAGCGGGTGATGTAGTTGTCGTCGTCGGGCTTGATGGGGCCGAGGAGGCCAAAGAAGAACATCTCGTTGTTGTATCCCCGGAGGAATTCCGGGTGCTTCAAGATGCAGGTGCGAATGGCGCAGGTCCGGCCAGAGATGACAAAGACCCCGCCGTCGACGGTGTTTGTTGCCCGAATCTCGAAGTTGTGGCGGCAGAGATAGGTAGCGCCGATCATGTTCCAGATGCGTCTCCAGACAGTCAGGCCCTCGAGCCTTCGCACCACTTTGTTGGTGCCGACCAAGCCGACGTTGGGTTTTTCAAAGGGGCAGAGAACCGAAGCCAGGAATTGCGGCTTCCAGAAGACGTGGTCATCGAGCAGCACCGTGATGTCGGTCTCGACGTGGGGAACAGCATGAGCCACTTGGGCACGCTTGCTAGCAGCCTGTGTGCGGTCAACACCAAACTGCGTGGCCTTGAACTGGTCCCTGACCCTGCGCACTTGGGCAAGGGTCTTGGCGTAGAGATCCTCGCCGGCCGTGATGATGACAATCTTGGCGGGCTGGTTGGCCGCGCAAGACGTGAGGCAGTCAAGGAAGGCCGCCCCCATGGGGTCGACGGTTGGGATCACCACTGTAACGTCCCGGGACGGCAGGTAGGTGGGCTCACCTTTGGGCTTTGGTGAAGGGGAGTAGCACCAAAAGGCGATGAAGTTGACGAAGAAGCGCAGGTAGCGCCACGCAAAGAGCCAAAAGAAATCGTAGAGGTAGGAGTCACCGCCTGCCATCCGGGTGAAGAGGGAATTCAAGGCGACTACTGTGGCCGCCATGGCACCCAGATTCAGGACGGCTTCCTTGGATGACGCTGGCGCCATCTTGATGGTGGTCTACCCACTCAGGGGCTTGCCACAGGAGGTTGAGTTGAGAATGGCCCGGGGCCAATGATGATGGTGTTGAAAAGTTATCAAAGTCTTGCCGCTTTCAGTCGAGAGTATTTTCTGAAAGTGATTCTGAGTTTTGATGAGAACCACGTAGGCCACGAGGGCACGATCTGCATTTTTATAGATGTTGATATCCCTACTTCCTCCTCCATCAAGCCTGGGAATTATTGGAACAGTGTGATATTCTAGCGGACATACCTATTGTTCCCCGTCCAACAATAGAGTTCCTAGTCAACAATAGAGTTTTCAGCCAACAATAGAGCTCCTAGCCAACAATACGGCCGTAGTAAATCTGAACAAAGAAATCACCTGACATACTCGACAGTTTTCTAGAACGCCACGGTGCTTCGAGACCCGAGTGATCGGGACACTTGCTATACACGTCTCCTTCATTGTTCGGAGGCGAGGCATGGAATAAAGGGGACGCCTCCCTGAGCCCTTGGAGTGCGTATGTGGCTGCAGTGGCGTTCGCACGGAAATAGGGCATGTAAACATTGAACAAAACCACAAGTGTCTATATCGCCGTGGAGAACAATAAGTAGCATCTTGAATGCAGTGAAAAAGGCCAGCAAACCTCTAGATTGAGAGTTATCTGGACATTTGGACTCAGTATCCATGGAGATTGGGAGTCTACCTGTACGAATAGACCGGGCTTAAACCGACCCGAGTTCAGTACTAGTAGTACGTAACGAAGGTGTTATAGATACTAACCTTGTGCTCTTTCTATTCAATCTATTGGAATTTTCCTATCATGGTCTACCTACTTGTCAACCCTCTACTGTAAGCCAAGTTCAAAAAACGAAGACATCAGACCAGCCGAGCGCATTCCATGGCCATTATAGTAGTGTGCCTCCGTACATGTAGTCTGCTCATAGCGCCTCGCCTACCAGTTAGAACTCTCCGAGGCAAGGTAGCGCCAGGTCTATATGAAGTAAACATGCGGTGTCTTGTCCGTCTCTTGAGTCTTATGTCATGACGATCCCGCATTTTGAATCATGAACTGTACCATAACATGCCGTCTCGACAATTTGAAGTGATGGGAGGGTTCCTGGCTGAAATTAGTAGGACCATAGTAGTTCTCGAAATAGGATTCATTCAGGATCCATTAACCTCCATTCTTTGTTCAATGCACTCCATGCTATTGTGTCTTTGTCGGGGACGCCGGGGGTTCCTAGCCTAGGACAATGCTGATACCGGAACTCTCTCCGCTCCAAGACCGAGTAGCAAAGTTGCGGCGTAAGTAATGGAATATGCCCACCAAAGTAACTTTTACCTCAGGTAGGTATTTTTCACGGTCTCAAGGATTCAGCTACAACAGTTGATTTCAAAGCATACCGAACATCCTGGAGTTGTAACTTGTATGCATCCGAGGAGACGACCCCACATTCCTCTTGAGCCAAGTAAACTGTGAGGCACATGTGCCTCTACCATGGCGCTGGGGGAAAACCCGGTCAGGAGCAGGCCAAGACGCGCGATGCCGGCCAAGAAGGCGGTAGGTGGAGCACCAAGGCCGGCGTTGGATCCATCTCCTTCCGAAATACCCGGACGGGACTAGGCCGGCCTCCGCATTTTCCAGTCTGGGCGGCGCACCCACACGTCGTTAACGGGTTCCCGGGATATTAACCGTTTCTGGGCTTCATCTCTGACCGGCCATCCAATGGCCAGAGGGCATGATTGCAACGGTAACGGCTATGCTTCCCGAGCCAGTCACATCCCTGCGACACCCTCCAACGAGCCCCTGGGATCATGCAGACGTTTGACTTGAACGGCCACAAGAGAGCATCGGCTCTTGCTTCGCCTAGCAACTAACATCTGATCCTCGGAGGGTCAAGCTCCTGGGTTAAGGGCACTCAGTACTGGTTGAACGAGATGACCAAGGAGGGTATCAGTGTCACCAAGTCTGGCACGCACCATGATATTACAGGGCCACCTCCTCTAGTTCCTTCTCCTTTGGAGGATGCAGCCTGCAACCTGTTTGCAGTGTTAGTACTTAGCTAAGGGGTAGTCCAAACTTGACGAAGAACTCGACAGTCAACATGGCAGCCGGTGGCTTAGCAAAGATGACCGTCGTCTCCATCGGCGCCTTCCTCGTTGGCATCGGCATACCATACCTCTCAAGCCTTCCGTCTCCAAAACTGGCGTCCTTCATCGGCGACTTTCCGGTGCCAGACTACCCACTCGCCTTCCCCTTCCTGAAGAACAGGACCGAGTCAGCAGCAAACACGCCTTTCGTCTGCGACACGATGCACTCATACCGCACCGAGCTCGTCTCGCTCGATCCCCTGATAATCTACATCCACGACCTCATAACGCCCATCGAGATCGCTTCACTGCTCGAAACCGCCGAACCCAGATTTGCCCCGTCCCAGGTGACCAAGCACGGGCGGCAACAACAAACATCAGACCGGACGTCGAGCTCGGCGGGGCTGCCGCGCGACGACCCGACCGTCGTGTGCGTGCTGAACCGAGCACGCAACTTCATGGGCACGATGCTGCGCGACGGATGGGATGAGATGGGCCCGCCGCAGCTGGTGCGGTACACGTCCGGCCAGCGGTTCAATGTGCACCACGACTGGTTCGACTACCCGCAGTGGGCGGCCGACGGCGAGCGCAAGTGGAACCGCGTGGCCAGCTTCTTCGCCATCCTGCAGGACAACTGCACGGGAGGGGAGACGCACTTCCCGCACGCCAGGCCCATAGCACCACCGAGTCCGCGGGGCGAGGCAGCGTGGCAGGGTGGGAGGCAAACGCAAACACGGAGCCAGCAGCAGCAGCAAGAAGAGGATGACGAGAAGGCGAAACCGCTGTGGAGAGAGCACGAGAATGGGGGGCTCGCGTTCAGGCCCGTCGCTGGCAACGCCATCTTCTGGATAAACCTGCATAACAATGGGACCGGAGATTGGCGGACGGTTCATGCTGGCTTGCCGCTGGAAAGGGGGTTGAAGACGGCGATGAATATCTGGCCGCGGCATTACTACCCCTACGAATGAGGAGGTACTGTAATGCACTTTAGGGCGATTCAATTCATTGACCTCGCAGAATGATTCCAGCCAGCCCCTATTTGTGCGCGGGCCATACTCTTTTCCCATCGAACCACGTCTGCGTCACCTTTGCTGCCATCAACTTCTCCTTATCCCACTCCATATCCACAATGACAAAGTCCGCCTTGTGCCCCCTCTTCAGCGAACCTATCCTATGGTCGTCAAAACAGCTGTATGCAGCGCCTTCTGTGGCCGCAGCCACGGCCTCGCACAGGCCCAGCGCAAAATGCGGGTTGACCGTGGTCTGCATGTCAGGCTCCCGGTATGATTTCCTCGTCGTCCCGACGTAGATATTGCCTAACGGCGCGTGGGGTGCGGTGGGTGCATCGCTGCCTAGGGCAAGCGGTGCGCCGAGGTCCGCAAACTCGCGATAGGCAAACGCCCTCCCACACCTGTGCTCTCCCAGCAGCCGCGGCCAGGCCCTCAGAATAGCCGGATCGGCATGAACCGGCTGGATGGACGCGGTGATGCGGTTCTTCCCCAACCTGGTAGCGTCCTGCTCACCCGCCAATTCGAGATGTTCCACCCGTGGCCGTCGGTTCGGGCTCGCATACTTCGACAAGACATCCACGACCATGGTGACCGTCGCGTCCCCGATGGCGTGCAGCGCGACCTGCAATCCCGCCTCGTCAGCACGGCGGACGACCGGTTCTAGCTGCGCGGCCGTCCACAGCGGCACCTCGAGGTGCCCATTGTGCGAATACGGCTCCGATAGGCCGGCCGTGCACGCATCGATAATCCCATCACAGATGACCTTGATGCCGACAATGCGGCAATCCGGAGAACTGCTCGCGTTGTATTCCCGCGCCAACTCGACGGCGCGCTCAACCTGCGCCAGCGTCTCTTCGCTCGTCGCGCACGGCTTCACAAGCCAGTACGCGGCGATGCGCATCGGGATGGTTCCCTCAGCGGCCCGCAGCGTTTGCAACGCCTCCCAGCTCCCCTCATCCATGGCCATATCGATCAGCCCTGTGTACCCGGCCTCGTGGTACGCGTTCACAGCGGCCTTGATGGCGGTCGTCCGCTCGTCCACGGACGCCACACGCGCAAGGTAGGGCCAGACGTAGGTGATGTTTGCGGCTTCGCTGAACACGCCCGTCAGCCTGCCGTCGGCGTCGCGCTCAATGATGCCGCCGGGCACGTCGGCCCAAGCCTCGGCGCCGAGATCGGCGATGCCGGCCGTGTTGCACCACGTCGAGTGCAGGTCCTTTGAGTCGACCAGGATGGGCCGGTTCTTTTCGCCGTCGAGGCCGTCCAGGTCGGATGCCCGCACGCCGTTGGGGGTCATTTGGTGCATGTAGCCGCGGCAAAGAATGCGGGGCGCGTCCGGGTTGGCGGCGGCATATTCCCGGATGGTGGAACGGATGCCGTCGAGGGACTTGCACCGGCCGAGGTCAAGCTTGTTTAGCGCCTGGCCGAGGAGCATTAAGTGCATGTGGCCATCGATAAAACCCGGGAGGACGGTTTTGCCCTGCAGGTCGTGCACGGCCACGGCAGAAGATCCTGCAGCGAGGGCGGCGGTGATGGGTTCGTCTGATGTGGAACCGACATGCTCGATTTGCGAGCCGCGGATGAGGATGCACTCGGCAAAGATCGGTTGGCGATGCAAACCGGCGTTGGTGCCTGGCTCGACGCCGGAGAGAAAGACGCGGCCGTTGGTGAAAAGGGTTGCGGGAGCAGGAGCGGCAGCGGCCATGATGTCGCGCGAGTTATGTGTTTTTGTACCTAGGTACGGTACTTTCAGTTACACGGGGGTGGAACAGTGATAGGATTTGGGAAGGAATGCAGTGTTACCCTTCGCGTATTCTCGCCTGCTGCTCCACAATGCATGTGGTTTGAAAAGTTGGGCAACTTGGCCGTAATAACAACAGATTGAGTGGCTTCGGAGATGGGAGATGATCTGATAAGATAATCGGAGATCATTAACGTTAATGGCAGGTTTATAAAGCGGGGTTCAGATGGGCCGATGACCGGAGCTCGATCCGTAGTCGGTATAGGGTCAATTCGATTCCTAGTCTCGGAAGAGAGGTGGATGCTGCTGGCCTGAAAACTGAGAATCCACATTGAGTAGCTGGGTGATTCGATTGAGAGGTTGAAAAATTCCAAGAGGGTTGTTCAGTGACCAGAAGAAGTAACAAGAAACCTCTCCCTGGGGCCTGGGCCCGTATGAAAACAGAAGTTTCAACCGTTCCTTTGTTCCTTCCTAAAAACCCTCGCCTAGCAACATACTAGTACTTTCTGGACAGTACTTAGATCAACTGTGCTGTGTGCTGTCGAGGAAGCTGGGCGTTACGGACTGGCCACCGACAAAATTGCAGATCAGATTCGATACAATGGACGGGGAGGCCAAGCCAGGGGGAAGATATGACACTTTCATCCAATAGAGTGTGTTGAGATACTGAAGGCTTGAAACTGAGGAGGGCATGAGACTGAACCATTCAGTAGCTCCTCCGTATTGGAAGGGACGTAGTAGGTATCGATGCTGTCTGAAGATATACCGAAACCACTCAACCCACTGAACCCAGGAACTAACTTCAACTTGTTATCTCTTCCAATCGCCGTGGCAATCGAGCCAAAACGAGCATCCCAATTCTCCAAAAGGACACACTAATCTCAACTCTGGCCAGACTAAAAGCTGTGGCTGATCGAGGACAGCTCCCAGTCATCGTCGACAATTCTCACCTTCGCATCATATGATTTCCCTCCATCTTGCACTTTACCTTCATGCATGACTGGCACTCCGCGATGAAAGCCACCCCAGCCAGCTCCCTCAGCTTTTGACCTTGGACTCTGCAACAAGCCCCTTGACTGCATCCGACTTTGCACGACCCTTAGCCGCATCCCGAACCGGTCCTCAAACTCGTGTCCAAGCTTCAGAAACCGAATAGCATTGCCCGCGAGAATCCTCGCCACCTCGTCCAGACTCAAGAATTGCCTGACGCGCTCGTCTTCAATGAGCATTTTGCCAGCAACGGGCACCTCGCCCAAAGGAAAAGGATAATCACTCCCCAGCACGATCCGCTCTGGGCCGCCCGGTCCCAACTTTTTAAGAACATACTCCAGCAAATCCGGATCGTGAGTCAGGGAGTCGATCCAGATCTGCCCCTGACCGTGTCCCTGGCTCTGTCTTCGATCCTCCAATCCCCCGGAAGACGGGCTCAACGCGGGCACCTCCCCCCTGAGATGCTCCGTCGGTGTCACACCACACGCCCGCGTCGCAACCAAATCCGGTCGGCAGTCGAACCCGCGCTGGATCCTGCCCAGCAGCGCGGGGAACGCCCCGCCGCCATGGGCAAAGCACACACGCAGCCTCGGATGCCTGATCAGCACCCCGCCGGCAGTGAGCGCGTGCATGGCCAGCGCCGTCTCGCACGGCATCCCCACGAGCCACGACGCCCAGTACCTACCCCAGCGCGCCTTGTTCTCCCCCGTGAGCGCGTACCCGAGCGGGTGGACAAAGACGGGGCAGTCGAGCTCCTCGCACGCTGTCCAAAACGGCTCGAGCCGAGAGTCATCCAGCATGACCGTCTCGGGCCCAGACCCATCCCCTTGACTCTGACCTTCGACACTCGTGCCGATCTGCACGCCGCGGATGCCGGGGAGCGCCATAACCCTCTCAAGCTCCCGAACGGCCGCAATGGGGTCCTGTAGAGGCACCGTAGCCAAGCCCACGAAACGCTGCGGGAACTGCGCGCACACGGCCGCAATGTGGTCGTTGAGGACCCGCGCCAGTACTGCTGTCGCCGCCGAAGCCGCCGCCGGCGCGTCGTAACAGAACAGAACTGGCACTGTGCTGAGCACCTGGACGTCCACCCCGGCCGCGTCCATGTCGGCCACGCGCGCTGCCGGGTCGTAGCACGATCGCGTTACTCGCCGGAAGAAGGTGTCTCCGACGTACATGTCCACGGCGCCCGTCTCGGCGCGGTCGGCCGTGGGGCGCAAGGCCGGCCACGCGTATTCCGGGGTGCTGGGGCTGAGGGAGGCCAGGTCCGGCAAGGAGGGGGGCATGATGTGGGTGTGCAGATCGATTCGGTAAAGGGAGGATGCTGGGTTGTCTTGAGAGGACGGGTGTAGCGGTGGTGATGGGGAGGGAAGGGTGGAGCAAGAATCTGACCCGCCTTCGAAGCCTGTGGAGGACGACACGGAGTTGAGAGTGTTGATTGAGGAGTCCGAGGGAACGGAGGAGCAGCAACAAGGCCGCTGCGTGTCTTCCATTGAGTGTGGTGCCATTCTGTTTGGTTCGAACCGTTATGAGTGCTGAATGCTAGATACCCACAGTTATCGAGGGCACGATAGACTTACTGAAGGTCAAGGGCGATGTCTTTCGCGGAGCAGAGGAGAGGAGTAAGGAGTTACACTTCTGGGTGTTCACCGTCAGACGCAATTCAACATTATCATCGTGGTACAGGGTCAACATGATGTCACAGTATATGTCGTACCGTCCGACACTCATTTGTCTAAGCCGTCCAGATCCGCTCCGCCGGGTGCGGAAGGCGGATCCACGGAACGGATGTAGATACCGCTCTGTGATTGGTTCATGCATCCGCCCGGCCGTACGCTGCCGTACCGCTGCCGGGCCAGTCCCGGCTGAAACCGGGGTACTGCGCCCGGCTCCGTCGTCAAATTGGTAGAGAGCTACCGATCTAGCTGGTAATCAATATTGGTGTATTGCATTTCAATCTCCAGTATTTGTCTGCAGAACGCCGGGCTCTGATTTTGGAATTCTAGGCCGGCAGATGCAATGTGCGGACTACTGTAAATATATCTCGGGAGTACTGGCCTCCTTCTCTGCCAATACCGCTGCTCTTCATCCCGCCAAAGGGCGTTCCCAGTTCTCGGACGAGCCAGCAGTTAACCCACACCATCCCTGCTTCAATCTGTTCTCCGACGCGCCTCATTCGCGCCCCATCGGTGGTAAGTATCACAGCGGCGAGCCCGTACTCACTGTCATTAGCAAGTCGCACCGCTTCCGTCTCGTCCTCGAATGGAGCAATGGTCACAACGGGGCCAAATATCTCGTCCTTTTGCAAGGCAGATTCCGGAGCCACGTCGGTGAGAATGGTAGGCACAATCCAGTAGCCTTGGTTGCTCTCTTTGTCCAAAGGAGGAGGAACCCCTCCTAAACGGAACGTAGCCTTCTCCTCAACTGCGAGCTGTAAGTAGCGCCTGATTTTATTGTAGTGCTGAAGGCTGGCCACCGCGCTGACAGTCTGCCCGAGAATGTACTTTTCGGCCACATACTTTTCGAACTCGTCAACAAACTTGGCGTATACGGCAGACTCGACATAGATGCGAGAACCACAGAGGCAGATCTCGCCCTGGTTTTCAAAAGCCGCAGTCGCGGCAACCTGGACGGTTTTTTCTCGGGCGGAAGAGGCCATCGAGTCTGCGAATACCAGGGTAGGATTCTTGCCGCCTAATTCGAGTGACAAGTGTTTCCTAATTTGATGAGCGGTTGCACGGCGGATATCGATGCCAGTCTGTGTTCCCCCTGTGAACGAGACACCGTCAATCAGTGGTGATGCAACCAGAGCGGCGCCAGTCGTCGGACCGTCCCCTAAGATGATGTTCACAACTCCCGGGGGGAGCTCCGCCTTGCGGAGGAGGATGCTCAAGACTGCATAGTGTGAGCCTAAATTACAAGCAGGAAGCAAGCCACTGGTTGCGAAACTTACGAACAGCAGACATGCTGGTAATCTCACTGGGCTTGGAAATTGCTGTGCACCCAAAGGCAACACATGGAGCAATTTTCCAGGTCAGAAGATACAATGGCATGTTCCACGGCGAGATGAGGGCCATCACGCCGGCTGGGGAGCGGTGCTCGTAGGTGAGGGCGACTCCGTCAATCATACGCGCCGCTGTCTGCTCGTGGAGGATGTATGTCGAGAAATAGCTGGGGTTTGTATGAATCCAAGTTGAGCACTGGAAGCATGGGATGGATGACGCACGCGAAGTTTGAGATTGCCCGATCCACCTCGACTCTTGCCCTTTGAAGTGTCTTTCCTTGATCAATGCTCTCCCAGACTGCAAACACCTCACGGTGCTCTTGCATCAACTCGCTCACACGGCGGAGATAGCGAGATCTTTCCGCACGGGAGGTCCGGCTCCAGGTCGGAAAGGCAGCCCTGGCATGTCGAATTGCTCCATCAACCTCATCGGGCTGTGTGCATGGAACTCTGCAGAGAATAGAACCAGTTTTTGGCTCAAAAGAGTCGAAAAATTGGGTCGAAGGCGAATGCGGCACGCTTAGTTCACCCCTCACATAATTGGGGAGACAAAACGGCTGTGGCCGAGAGTGCAGGAACGAGGTCGCCTTGTCGAGCGTGTCACAACTCCAGAGGGAATCTAGAGTTTCGACGAGTTCAAGCGCCATGTGCTATCCTGTGAATGGCAACTCATATAAAATATACTGTTGCATGAATTGGCGCGGCGAAGAAATCGGCGTGGACCGTGAACTGGAGGCATAGCAAAGTGGTTCCTGGCTGGAGCATTGCTGTTATCACAACTCACGCCGACGGGAACCGAACCGCCCAGCCGGTATAGGTGTTGCAAGAGTGTCAAACAACCTGTTTGATGGCTGGTACCGGTAACGTGCAGTAGTTGCCGTTGCACTGACTCGGCAAACTGCGGAACGCGGATCGGATAGCGGATAACTGGGCTACACGGGGCCTGGGCACGGCGCCGGATGCGGGGATCCGTATAGCTACAGTAGCAAGACCCATCGAGTGTAGGGTCCTTCCGGCTTGAGCCAAATAAAGGTCGCGTGGGATGCCGGGCTCGGCGGGCTGGCAAATTCCTCGTATCATCGTAGAATCAGGAGAAGCGGTAGCTCAGTGAGTCAGTAGGCTGGCTCCGCGGGCCAAGTAAGACGGTGAGTTGAAACCCCGCCTCACTGCTGAAGCGAAGCGACACCTACCTCATTTCTGTCAGTTGCTTATCTGTGTAACAAAGCCAACTGCGAAATCCATTTAAATACCGGACTCTTAAAACGACAGTCATTCTCGATCTCAATACGCAGTTCCGCGGCGGTCTGTTGCATCATGGGCACAACGCAAAGCAGCGAAATGGCATGTCGCAACGGATGGGGTTATCTGGCCCCGGGAGCCGCCCCGGGGCTCGCTAACTACGTGCACGCACGCCTCATTGACAATTTCAACACAGACAGGACGGTATTCGTCTCAGGGACGTCCAGCAGGCGAAGCGATGGGACCTTCGAAGGCTGCGAGGAAAAGCCTGACGGGACGTTCGTCCTCGATTGTGGGGTTCAGACTGCGGCGGTTCTGAGGAACATCGGGACCATCATACGAGGCGCTACGGGCGGCAGGTGCGGGCTGGAGAGCGTCGTGGATGCGACTGTCTTCTTGACCAACATGAAGGCCGATTATGCTGCTATGAACGCTGAGTGGAACAAGGTCTGGCCGGACCGGAGCAAGGCCCCGACCCGAACGTGCGTGCAAGTCGCTGCGTTGCCAAATGAGAGGCTGAATGTCGAGATCAAATGTCAGGCCGTTGTCAAGACCTGGTCGACTGGGGAAATTGCCTTATGATAAATGGGGATGTGGCCTGCAGCAGGGGAACCTGTGACTCAATTGCCCACGGATGGCGGTGGCACCTTCCAGTCCGCCCAACCAACTGTGCTGGTCTAGGAAAACAACAAGACAGGCCTTCACTGATAGGTACTTTTTATCCTATCACTTCTGCACGAATAACTCAGCTCGAGCTCAGCTGTGTCCCTAATTGAACTGCCAGCCGGCCCTTTATCGGTCCCTCACCTCACGCAAAGCAGAACGAGTCCTTGGTTCGGTCAAGGAGTTGGTTAGACTTCGTGAGGCATGCCAGTACTTATCGTTTGATGTCGTCCGTAAATGATAGTCAGAGACATTATAAATACGTGATCTGGGACTACATTACCGATCTTGGAATAGACAGTCCCTGGTCCAGTCAGACACACCGGCGGATTTGCGGAGACGAACCCCACGACGTGACGACGGCAGAGAAACAAACCCTGCACTAGGGTCGAAAACCTCGAACCCCAGCTCGTTCTCCAAACTCAGCAGTGCAGCACCACGAATTTTCTGGAATCCTTCAGTTCATAGCTAGAGCCATTGGCCATGGCAGTGCCCTGGCAAAACCCCGTAGTTCGTGTCGTCTGTTCACGGCACTTGACTCCCTCGGGCGAGGCATCGGACTAGTCAGCCGCTAGCGAGAACGCGGAGAACTTGAGAATTTAAGTCCTTCAACACACGCAAGTTGACGCAACATGAACAAGGTGCAACCCAGCACGGTAACTCCACCGAAATGCTCCCTTTTTGCGTTTACCCCCTGAAGCCATCTCAATGCCTTTCTGAGGCCTTCGGATAGCCGCGGCTGAGATGACTTAGCAAAAGGCCAACGTTGCACTGCCAGACCATTTGAGAGTGGATCGACAATCCTCGGAATAAGGGTAATTCCCGTTAAGCAACCCGAAGCGCCACCGATTTTTGGAAAATTCCAAGTTCACCAGGCCCAGAACACCCGCTAACGGATCCAACAAGACCGTCAAGAGCCGCCAACCTTTGACGCGGTGAACTCCCGCTTCCCCAGACGCATTACGCCTATCAAATCCGCTGTAGACTGTGGACCTGGGGTCAGCACGAGATAAACTGGGAAGGGCGGAGAGTCCGATGCGATCTCGGAAATTTATTATAGTCACTACGCTTTGCCCCCGACGTTGATGCTCCTGTCCAGCCAACTCTCCAAATCTTCAAGATGAAGGACGAACAAACCTGGGTCGCCGACGAGGCCCAGAACTCCGATAGCGTTGTCATCGATGGCGGCATTTCGCTCTCCCCCGATGCGCAGCTGCAGCGGGGCCTCAAGAGCCGACACATCCAGTTTCTGGCCCTGGGTGGCGCGTAGGTTCATCCTGTCTCACTCCGGCTCTGACCGCTGACATGGCCTTGGGACAGTATCGGAACGGGCCTGTTCGTCGGATCTGGCCTGATCCTTTCTCTGACGGGGCCCGCGCCGCTCTGGCTGGGCTACCTGTCCATGATGCTTGTCGTCTGGATCATCATGAACGTCATAGCCGAGTGAGTAGTATCACAAGTTTGTTGCTGAATGCTACCTTCCTTCTTCCGGCACAACTCTGCTAACTGGCTTGGTCCCAAGGCTAGCTTGTAAGTTTGTTGCTGAGAACGCTGCCTTCCCTCTTCCGGCACAACTCTGCTGACTGGCTTGGTAAGGCTACCTTCCACTTAAGGGAATTACACTTCCCTATTTTACCGAGCGCTTCGTCGACAAGAGCTTGGCCTTTGCCCTGGGTTGGAACTACTGGTATGCGTATGCCATCCTCTTGGCGGCTGAGGCGTCGGCAGGCGCCATCTTGCTCAATTATTGGGACTCGCCCGTCCCAAGCGGCGTCTGGATTACGCTCATCATGGTTGTCTGCCTCGCCCTGAATATCATCGCCGTCGAGGTGTTTGGCGAGGCCGAGTTTTGGTTCGCCAGCATAAAATTCATCACTATCATCGGCCTAATCATCATGGGCATTGTGATCATGGCTGGTGGCGCGCCAAATCACCAGGCAATTGGCTTCACCTATTGGAACGATCCCGGTGCTTTCAAGGAATACATGTCGACGGGGTCGACCGGTAGGTTCCTCGCCTACTGGACTGCATTCATTGTAAGAACCCCCAGATGTTGCACATTGCCTCAGCTGACCAAAGTAACTCTTGGGGACAGCGCGCAGGCTTCAGTTTCGTCACTTCGCCCGAGCTTGTCGGACTCGCGGCTGGCGAAACCGTTGCCCCACGCCGCAACCTCCCAAAAGCCGCCCGTCGGTTTCTCTATCGCCTCGCCGTCTTCTACGGCGTAAGCAGCTTGATCCTCGGCGCCCTTGTGCCGTCGACCGACCCAAATTTGCTCAACCCCGAGTCGAACGCAAACGCCAGCCCCTGGGTCATCGGCATACAGCGCGCGGGTATCCATGGATTTAACCACGTCATCAACGCGGCAATCTTGACGTCGGCGTGGTCGGCGGGGAACGCCTTTCTGTACTCGGGTTCGCGCGTTCTGTTTAGCATGGCAGCAACGGGGCAGTGAGTTTCACGTCGGCTGTGCCCAACAACTGTCATTTTGCTAACTCTCTCTGCCACAGGGCTCCTCGGATTTTTACCAAGACGACGCGGCGCGGCGTGCCATACATGGCAGTGTTAGCCACCTGGGCTGTCGGCCTGCTCGCGTACCTGAACGTGTCCGAGAATGGCGCGCAGGTGTTCGCCTGGTTCATGAATGTCTCGACAATTTCGGGCTTTATCGGGTGGATCGTTGTCATGATCACCGTAAGTTGATCGCCTCCGGCCCCGTCGTGTTTTAGATCATTACTGACTATCCGTTAGTACCTCCGGTTCAGAGCCGCCCTGTCTTATAACGGCCTGCTGGACACACTGCCATTCAAGACGTTTGGGCAGCCGTACGCGACATGGTTCAACCTGCTGATCGTGTCGTTACTTACCCTCACCAACGGCTTCCAGGTCTTTGTAGCCGGCAAGTGGAACTACAAGGACTTCCTGGCAGCGTACATCACGTTGCCCGCTTTTCTGGTTTTGTACATCGGCCACAAGCTTTGGTCGAGGACTTATTTCCAATTTGCCAAGCCGGTGCAAGATATTGATGTCGTCACGGGGAAGAAGGAGATGGATGAGCTTTGTGCTAACGATGTGCCGCCGGTGCCGAAGAACTGTGAGTCCCAATGAACTTGAAAGTTATACGGAGACACTCCAGGATGCTGACCGATTCGTGGACAGTCTTGCAAAAGATATGGTTTTGGATTGCGTAGCGCGCCATTGTCTGTTAGAGCCAGCGTAACGATAGTAGAATTCAATCGCAGGTTGGAGATACGGGCCTAACATCAGTCTAACTGCATCATACTCGCGGCTTGGCCTCTTTGCTGCTCCTATTCGTCAGGGGTAAAGTCATTCAAAGGTCTGGCGTAGGCGTGGATGATGTCCCTGTGGGAGTGGGCATCAAGCAACCCCTTTCCCAACCATTCCCCAACTGCTGGTTTGATTTGGGAGATATCTGATAATCTACCCGAGCCCTGGCCAAGGGAGTCTGCAAGATAAGGCCCCCTCCCCTGATGCTTAACAAACGGGGGCTGGAGGGCATCCAGGAGGGTAGCGGCGGGGAGCGAGTCACTAGGGAGAAGGGACAGGAGGAATTAAGGAGGCTATCACTACCAAGCGCGAGAAACAAGGTTACAAGACATGAACGAAGACAAGGCAGCGCCGGCCGAGCTGGTCGTTGAGCAGCCTTAGGTACTAGTAGGCGTGCGCCATGTCGTAGTCTAGGGTTTATAAGCTCCATACCTTCGATTAACATACCTAGTAGTGCCTCGAAATGGGGCGCAATTGACTGCAGTCCCTCTAGTAGTAGAATGCCACTGAATTGACAGCGCTAGTAGGATCGTCAAGAGTACCTGATACGTACTAGAGCGCCTGATGTTGGGTCCCGAAGCCCAATTGTCTTATCCGTGGCTACAAGAGGAAAGCCCTTAAGCCATACTTGTGAATCTAAGGTACGCTTGCGGCGGGCGACGCGAGGCTAGACTGATCGACGTGCCCTACCTTGGAGGGTGACGGTTTGCTAGGTAATACAGAGTATCCATAATGAGAAGAGAATTGAATAGGAGAGAAAACCAATTCATATGCACCGTACTCCGTACACTACAAGCTAACAGCCACCCAACCACCCAGCCACCATCGATAATGGGGTGAGTTGGGATCATGTGCGAAGTACTAATGGCAGCGACTTCGCCCAGCTCAAGGGGCCCGTTACTTATACACATCGGTACCGCATCGACATTTCAATACTCTGCAAGTACTAAAGTATTGCTGTCGAATATCTGGGACGGTGGACTGCGCTATGGAGAAAGTTGATCACGTTTGCTTCAAGCGTTGCCCACGGCCCCACCACAACTGGTGAGAGTGGGCCCTCTAAGTGCATAGCAGGTCGCATACGGAGTACCTATTGCAGTGTGTACGAAGTTACTTCGTACCATGGAATCCAGACCCGGCACGCCCGGGTGGCCTACAAACAACTACACGCTGTAGAAAAACGAGGTGCGATGAGGGTGACTGAATGTATGTACTGTACGACTGCTGTTCGATTAACTAATTCCTACCGATGTGACTGAGGAGAAACTGGACCATCAAATGAGATTTCCCCCTCCGCTCTGTCTCTGCATCGCCGTACGATGCGTGAAGTGCCGGGCTGCTGGAGCTACCTAGTAACCCAGGCGTGCCAGGCTAAGCTGTTCAGGCCATTGGCCAGCCTGCATGAAGGCTTGAGTCAGCTGCCAAGTGCCTGAGCTCCCGTTCGTCACAGCCAAGTCAGTGTGAGCACGAAGTGTCTGGTAGGGTGATTAAGCTGATTGCATTGCACAATAGCGCATTCCTTGACGAAGAGCAGCGCTGCTGACTCCAGAGGGCGAAGAAAAGAACCCAAATGATGGAAACCCGCGCAGGAGATGCAGCAGTTTTGAAGTCGACTGCAGCTCTTGAATGAGTGGGGAACGTGTGACGCGCCGTGCGCTAAGCGACGCCAATTTCCAGGCCAGTACCCATGACGCTGCGCACTACGTCATCGCGAGGGTCCCTTCAGCCAAGGAACCTGCTGTGGCCGTCACTGCAGCAGAACGAAGGGGACCAGCAACCTGGAAGCTACCTAGATCGGCCGCCCCGCGTTGAAATCCCCACCAAACAAATTGGCATCCGCTCATTTGGTTGAGCGACCATTCTTGTCGACGTCGGCATTTTCTCTCCAATCTTTGCTGTGTGTCAAGCTGTCTCATCTTTTGACGCTGCCATCTATCCCCGCTCGACGCAGAGGCGGCATTCCTGTCCAAACACCTACTAACCCCCGATACCATCGCCGCGATTTGTTCAACGGACGTCGTGGCTCTGCTGAGGATTTGTCTGCCGTCTAACCGATGATGAAAGCGAGTGCCTGATTGAAGAAAGTTTGGAAAATACACCTCGCTAAATCAGCCACTGGCCGGTTAGGTCCTTTCAGAGCGCAGTTCCTTGGTTGCAGCACCCGACAGTGACCTCAATCCATCCCCGTATTTTTGTCTCGTCCCTACCAGCTTTTGCACCAACGTCTTGCTCTTCCGCCATCCACCGCTTCTCAAATTCTCTCTCTGCCGCCATCTCCACCAACCCATTAGGGCCGCCTGCTGCATCTCACCTCCCTTCTTTGCTGGCTTGGTATTGACCTGATCGTCATTGACAACTACGAGGAACATTGTCATTAGACATTGCGCAAGGCCCCTCTTCAACTGGGAGCAGAATTTTTCAGATCACTTCTCGACCCGCTCCACGCCGCTGGGCCGCTTTGTCGAGTCCAGAGTTTTTGTGCGGTCGGGCGTTTAGCTGTCGTCGCTGCAGGAACTGACGATTGCGGAGACCGATAAGGAACAAGTGGGAAGAAAAACAAGGAGAGGACGTAAAGATGTCGACAATACAGCAACTTAAGAATTTCATCCGTCACGGTTCGTCTTCCCTTTCCGCAGACTAGTCGAGCAGGAACAGGAAACGGCCCCGTTGGGTGGTTCGCTGCTGGCAAGGCGTCAGAGACTGATACTCTTTGTTATCGACACAGGCAAGCAAGCCCGGGTTGCAAATCTGGACGACCCTCCGCGCGCAAAACACGACAACTCGCCGCCAAAGGAACAGCAACAGCCGGTTAAGGCCATGGTGCCTCAGGCCTCTGAGCCTCTGCTCAGTGGCTCCGCGGCCGGGCACAACCATGCCACCGCTCACGCCGTCGACTCAGCCGACGTCAAAGCGAAGCATAAGCGCATCCCCGACGAGAATATTGCCAAACTTGTGGCCGAGGAGAACGAGAGTAAGAGCAAGTTCCCTGTCTACCCAGGCTTGGAACGGTGGGAGCTCCTGGAGAAGATGGGAGATGGGGCTTTCAGCAATGTCTACCGTGCCCGCGACCGGGAAGGGAGCCTCGGGGAGGTGGCCATCAAGGTCGTCCGCAAATTCGAGATGAACAGTATGCAGGTATGTGACTTACGGGGGGGTGCACTCTCCGCCAACTCTCCCCCCTTTCCTTACTCGCTTTCTTTTTCTTCCGCTTTTATCCAAGTTCCCTTTACCAACTCTAGGTCTCGTTCTAGAGCAACAAACATCTCCATCCCGACTTCAAGCCAAAGGCCCAAAAGGCTGCAGAGGTGCGAGAATTTCCTTTTCTATCTATCGCATGAGGAGTCGTCTGTTTGCAGAGATTGGGCTCGAGTTCCTGTTAGGGTGCCGGCAGCCTGCCGCGCTCTGTTTGACCCCCAAGTCAAGCGCTGGGGATGCTGTAAGCAGCTCAGTATGTCGTCGAAGACTGACCCTGGCTTTAGAGAGCGAATATCTTGAAGGAGGTGCAAATCATGCGCCAGATCGACCATCCGAATATCATCAAGCTGATCGATTTCTCCGAATCTCGGCATTATTATTACATTATTCTCGAGCTTGCACCGGGTGGTGAACTCTTTCATCAGATTGTGCGTCTGACATACTTTAGCGAGGATTTGTCCCGCCATGTCATCGTCCAGGTAGCCAAAGCCCTGGAATACCTTCATGAAGAAAGGGGAATTGTCCATCGGTAAATCTCTACCCCTCCATGCTGTCTTGAGAGAAGGCGACGTGCTGACGATTCCTGTAGCGACATCAAGCCCGAAAATATCTTGTTCACCCCGATTCCCTTCATTCCTTCAAAACATCCAAAGCCTAAGCAACCTGGTGATGAAGACAAGGTTGACGAAGGCGAATTCATTAAGGGGGTCGGCTCTGGTGGTATTGGGCAAATTAAAATTGCTGATTTCGGTCTCTCCAAGATCGTATGGGATAACCAGACAATGACACCCTGCGGAACTGTCGGGTACACTGCGCCAGAGATTGTCAAGGATGAGCGCTACTCCAAGTCGGTCGACATGTGGGCGCTAGGTTGCGTGCTATACACGTTGCTTTGCGGATTCCCTCCATTTTACGACGAGAGCATTGAAGTGCTTACAGAGAAGGTAGCCAAGGGCCAGTTCACTTTTCTATCGCCATGGTGGGACGACATCAGCAAATCCGCTCAAGATCTGATCTCCCACCTTCTCTGCGTCGATCCCGAGAAGAGATATACGATCAGAGAGTTCCTTGCGCATCCCTGGATCCGTGAGTCAGGGCCGACGCCGCGTGAAGAGAGAAAGGCGCTAGGAGAGGGGCCATTGCGCGCTTTCGATATGGCCACGCTTGTAGAGGGCGACAAGCGCTACGATTTCCGGTCCCCTGCCGCCATCAACCTGCGTGAGGTGTTTGATGTCGGATACGCCGTCCACAGACAGGAGGAGGAGGGCAAGCGCCGGAAGCAAATCGGCGCCAAGGCCGGTGTGTCACGGCTGGGCGGCGTTGACGAGGACGCCGAGATGACTGACGAAGATACCGCCGAATATGTTCACGAGGCGGCCGGCAACAACAGGAATCCCACGCAGCAGCTTGAACAGAGCATGCGGAACACGCAGATTCGAGATCAAGAGCACCGTGGTCGTGACCGCGAGAGAAAGGCACAACCGCCGCCAGCCGCTGCCGAGCAGCGCGGGTACGGCCAGCATTCGGCAGCTGTTGCGGCCGCCGCCAGGCAGCAGGTTCGCGAGCGCAACCGGCAGAAAGGCGCGTTCGAGCTCAACCTTGACGGAGCGACGCTTCTTGGACGGCGAGGCATGAAGCCGTCGGCTCGTGTAGCATAGAGTGCTACGGGGGTTCCGAAAGACGGGGTGTTCAGGATGGATATGCACGACTGCCCTGTAATTGGTGATGAGGTGGTTACGCCAGCGTGCTCCGGAGATTTGGGTGCGGATCTGACACCACGGCGGTGTGCCTCTTCCGAAAACGATACATTCCGATGATTGTGGCAACGGCAATGACATTTCATATTGGAGGTGGAATTATGGGTTGGAACTCTGGGTTGTAGGACTCTCAAAGACGGGTTTGTCGAGGAAGTAGTCTACGCAGGGCGGGGTAAACGGTAAAACGAGTCAGCCGGCAAGATGCAAATTCTAGATATACCTACTCCTTCTTTCTTAGCATCTTTCGTTTGTTGCCAAGGCGGTTATGACACTACTGTTCAGTCGTTTTGTTCCATGGAATGCGTTGAGTAGGTCGGGGTTTGTCAAGGCCTGTGCTAGGGTAACAAGGCTTCTCATTCTATACTCTCATGGTGGTCACAGTTTTTATTTGCATGGGAGCGCGATCAGGTTCTTAACTTGCATGTATCTAGCATTCACACAGAGGCTATTATACAAGTGCCTACCTGTTCTTAGTTGGCCCTGGCGAAACTGGGTTGTGTGAGAATGCACTCCCCGCAAATACCTGCGAGTTGTGGTTGGCTTTGAGGTTTGGTCTTAGAAACGCCTTTGGTTGCGCACCAGGAACTTGGGTTGGTTCAAGTATGCTCAGGAGCGAGGAGCGCGTTGCTCTTGCTGCCTACGACCTGGATGCCCACAACAGGAGCAAGTGCAAGTGCAACCTGGGCTTTCCTGTTTCACGAGTATAAACCCCCCCCCCTCCAACTCGCCCGACCCCCAACACCATTGTCCCTCACCTCCCTGCGCAATTCCCAAACTTTCATGTCGCGCTCTCCACTGGCAGACTTGCCAATGCCCTTGAGGCCAGAGAAGGTTTCATCTGTTCTGCTAAGACCACCTAGAGCCTGAGCAGTGGATGATCGCGCGTCTGGTTGGTAACTCGAGGTCGCCAAGACGATCTGAAGTTGACAGAGTCTCTATGCACTTGGAATGGCTTGAAGAAGCCTCATTGACACCGGGAGCTGATCCTTCATGGCTACCAGAAAATCATGATGTGACATTCCACCACTCACCACTGCCCGGGGATAACGACGTCTCGCTCTTTCCCCTGAAACAGCTCACTGCTCACGTACTTGCTCCACCTGCACCTGCTTTGTACTGGCCAACCCAGTTCTTCATGATCTCCACCGATTGCTCCTGCACCCTGATCACGTCCGGGTTGACCCTGATTCTGAGGTTGGACAAACCCCTCGCCGTGAGGGCGTCGTCGGCGTGCTCGGCGTTCCTGATTAGGAAGACGGCGGCGTCGTCGGTGGACTGCAGCGGCCCACCGGGGCGCACCTCGCTCGACATGGTGGTTGCGCGCCACGGGTCGAATTCACTGGCACATAAACATGATGATTAGTACCATGTCAGACAACCACCCGGCACGGCGGCACGCAACCAGTAAATTCTGAGCACAGTACGACCTCGATGGAACTTACCCGTTAGTCCAGATGACCCTAGTCGAGTTCCTCAACCATCCACCAGTCTGCTTGTTGAGGCTGTCGGGCGTCAAACCCCGCGAGCTGCCGTACCGCTCGCCGTTGAGCGGCGGGAAGTGCATCTCGCACTGGCGCTGCCAGTACGCCGAGTCGATCTTGCGCGAGACGATGGACGGGTTACCAGGCGGAGCGCCCGTGGCCCATGAGGCGAGAGGTTCGTTGCACAGGAACCAGTACCACGTCCGCCAGGGGTTGCCGAGGGTGCGTGCCTCGAAGTAGGGATTCAGCAGATCGTGCGTGTTGAGGCACCACAGGGGGTCTTCTTGGCCCCAGGTGTCGAGGTAGGTGCAGGCTGCGGTGGACATTGGTTAGTGCTGGGATGGTGGGGGACATGAGGGGAGGGGAGGGTGATCTTACTGTCGTCGCGAAAGTTCAGCCGGAAGTAGGCCGCATAGTTCACCACCGAGGCTGGAATGGTGCCGAGCACCGGGTCTTGGACCGTCTCGAAGGCGCCAACTACTGCGTCGCACATCTCGAGGACGTCGCGGTAGCCTTCTCGCTCTTGCCAGTATCTGAACGGCGTGGCAATGGCACTACAGGTGAAGACAATCAGCGGAGAGAGTTTGGGGGTGGTTACCTCTTAGTCGAGGCGAGGCGAAGGACGTACTAGGCAAAATCGTCGTCTTCAATGGCAAACGTCGAGCCAAAGAACAACTTCAAGGCCTGCACCTCTGTCTCGTTCCGAGATTTGGCCAGAAGAAAGCGGTCTACATATTCCGACACCTCGTTCAGGGCGAGACTGCAGCTCGTATCCTTCCGGTAGGCATCGATCCCTTTCCTGATGGTATCATAGTAGTACCAGTTGTTAGTGTTCGCTTCGACGGTGGCGCTGCTGAGATGGAACGCGTAGAACACGCCGGGATGGAAGTGCTCGATCCAGCTCCCGAGCGTGGCCGAATATGACGCTCCCCAGTACACCCACGGCTGACTCTGCTGTTAGTCAACAGACCACGCCAGGCATACTAGTCAGGCACCTACTGTCTTTGTAGACACGCTGGTCTTCTTCTCGTCGAACGGGAATTGCACATTCTTGGCAAAGTTCACAATGTCGGCGGCAGCCTGCTCCATGGTGAGGTACTGCAGCGTTTCTGAGTCGAACCCGTCGTAGGGAGATGAGCTCCCAAAGTACCGATCTGACGTCGATTTCAGTACCGTTCAACATACCAGGTGAAGAATACTACCCACGTTCAATAACCACCGTCGCCGCCCCAAGTGCCTGAGCGTACATGCCGGGCATGGTGGTGTTATCCAGGTACGTGTACCCGAGGCCGGATGATATCGAACGCCCGATGGGTACCTCTCCGGGGGTCATGAGCACCACCTGTAGAGCACAGAGCACAAAATCTCAGCAACCAGCAATCTCTCATAACATCATCATCTTCAAAAGTCAAGTCTCACAGGGGAGCCCGGACCCTCCCACCATTGCGGGTTCACACAGTACAGCTGCTGCCATGTCCCAATCTCGGGGTTGCCGTGGTCGATGGGCTGCTCGAACCATTGGCACGACGCTCCGGCGCCGGCGGCACGGATGACATCCAGAGCAGACTCGTTGGTGACATCTGCGATGCCCTTTATCGTCGCCTTGGGTGCGATCCACGAGGCAAAGGGCAGTACGGTGCCTGCCGGGATCTTCATGGTGGGCAACTGGGAACTCCTTTCACCGCTCAAGGAGTTTGTCAAGTCCAGTCGGTTCTGCAGGTATACAAGGGACCTCGGGGGGAAGGGGAACAGGTTCACATATAGTATCGAATAATCGAACCCGGCAGCACCACGATCCCAAGTACCGAGCAGAGGGAAGATTGTGGGGAAGATGTGTAACGCTCCATGGTTGAAGACCACGGCTCCCGTGGGTGTTCCCAAATGGGATGAGGCTAAATTATCGAGCTTCCTGGCCGGCGCTCGATATGGGTACGTGCCAGTCGTTCTAGATCCAGATTCTTTCAGCCAATACGCGATTGTGTGGGCGCGCCGTTGTAACCATGAGTCTATATCGGAGATATTTTACCAACAATCACGAGGGTCAAGGTCTGCTGTAGGTACGGTAGTGCAAGATAGCTTCCCTGCACTGGTGATCCGGGATCTGCTGAATGCTGATCTGTATATGAAGATTCCGGTTCGCCCGGCTAAAGTTGCGAGCCGTTGCTGATGCTCAAGATACTGCTGGCCTTATTAAATAATATAGGGCAGCTTAACTTTGCCATCTTATACGGCACCAGATCAGGCGCTTTGGTTGTCGAAAAAGAAGAAGCAATCTAAAACAATGGGCCAGGCTCCCACTAGGTCTACTCCTTCGCGGCAGATGATGGCCTTGATATTGCGGACCCTGGCCGCGATTGGAGTTCCCTTGCGGGGAAGCGCCGGGTTGCGAGAGACTTTCACTGAGAGCTTTAGAGGTAATTGTCGGGTGCTAGATCTACGGACGATCATGAGAGCATCACGGGCAGACTCAAACCATGTTCAACTTGGTCGAGGTCCGTCCCAATGATAAGGGTGAATTGCTGCTAGTACTAGTTATAGGTTATCAGCCCAGCCCTTCCGGTTTCTGATCCAGGCTACGACTTGAACCTTGGCCAACGAGAAACTGGGCATTCGTTCTCCAACATATTGGAGGCCTGCCAAAGAGGTCGGATATGAAGCTTAAGGGGTTGGAAGAAGACGAACAGCATTGACACAATATTGATCTAGATTCGTGTCCTGGTATAGCTAGGAGATGTAAGTAATGCAATTCTAAACGCTTCAAGGTGGTAGGAGATGTGCACTTTTCAACTCAAACGCACTTTAGTCAACTGAGATGACTCTGCCAGGGGCTGTTCTCTCTTGGGGTTGAGGAGTGACACCTGACGGACTTGAAGACGCTACAATTAATGTAACCCTACGACTGCTCATGGACCATAGCGGGCTAACATAACAGCAACAAATGAAATCAACAGAGCACTAGATGCAACCTAGGTACTTAGATCACCACCCGAGCCTCCTTGCTTGATCATCGGTCATCCGTAATGGATCCAGGTTGTCAAAAGCCGTCGGGTCTTGTTGGCAAGAAGACACTTACGGGTCTATCCCAGAGGAGTTAGCCATGCCAATTGTGACCAGGAACCGGAAGTCATGAGTCGTGATCAATACTCTTCCAATGATCTCCCCCATCCCCATGATCCCCTACAGTGTCTTTGTGCTTGGGTGTGTCGCTCTTTGTGCCTGGATGTCTCTATGTACTCCCTGCGCATCCCTTTCTCGAGGACCACAATTACTAGTGTCTATTCCAGCAAAAAGCACCAGGACTGGACTCAGGCATCTAGCTGTACTCGGGAGACTGTCTGATCTCTCCAAGATTTCGACAGATGGCGCCAACAGAACGTCACCGATAGGAGAAGTCAAGTTGTCGGTATAGGACTGGGTACTAGATGGTGCGATGCATTAGGTTTCTTACAAGAGATCGTAGTAACCTAGAAGGGATACAAGGCCCGGCCGGCCCAGGACTGCAATAAGCACAGGGGTTTGCGCGGAGCGGCGGGACGAATATGCAGGCACTGGCGTCGTGGCACGCCAAGCGTACCCAATGTGGCAGGAAGTCGGAGAATGGGGAATCGATAGGTTCTCTTGTTGATATTTGAGTGATTGGGGTAGCAACTGACGCCATTCCTCGTCTCTTTCAAGTTGCATCCCCAGAACCGCGAGCACATCGAAGCTACTGCTGCCTACGTGACAACAACCTAGCGCTGGGAGAAGGTGGTTTAAAGTCACTGGCACCTGCCGAGACTTCCAAAGCTTGAAAACAAGACAACTTGAATTTTAGCAACGCTGAAGTTCCAAGTTCATCATCAAGAAAAACATACTTCTTCCTAATCCTAGAATAGTTCTCTCCCTCGCCCCATCATGAGATTACCCCTCATCGTCACTGCCACTGCCGCTGCAGTCGCAAACGCGGCTTACCCAGGGGACATTGTTTACTATTGGTAAGTAAGATAGCACCCATACCACTCATACATATGAAGAATGCTTCTCTGACCTCATGTAGGGTAGATCAATCAGCCTCCTTCGTCAACGGAACGGTAATCGGAGGACTGCAGTCTCCGGTGGGTGCGTGGTACCAAGCCATCTTGCAGGCGGCAGTCTATCAAGCTGCAGTCAAGTCGCGGCGCGAGAGCCTCGAGTTCCAGCAGCTTGCCGTGTCGCATGCCGCTCACAATGCCATACTCTGGGTTTTTCACGGAACCCGGCTCTACAACTCGGTCGACGCAGCGCTGCGGGCAGTCATACCCGCCATTGGCCTTGACCCAAGCTCATCCAAAGGGACGGACGCCGTTCGGACGGGCCAGAACGCGGCGGCCAAGGTGGCAGAGGCTCGCGCCGACGACAAGATCACCAACTTTGTCGACTTCACCTACGGGCCCCAGAATCCCGGCGTCTACCAGCAAACCCCCGGGTCGAATCCACTCCCCGACGTCCCGCAAGCCAGGTTCATCACCCCGTTCGCCGCGCTGGGTGATATAACCCGCTTCCGGGCGCCGCCGCCTCCGCCGACCAACTCGGAGGAGTTCGAAGCCGAAGTGCGATACGTCAAAGAGCAGGGCTCGCTCAACTCGACGGTACGGACACAATACGACACCGACACGGCCTACTTTTGGCGCGAATCCTCCATAACGTGAGTCTTGCCTTTCCTCCCGCTGGCCCATACTCCGCACCGGACAGACTAGAGCTAAACTCCTGAAACAAAACATAAAGTGCCTGGAACCGCTTCGCCGGCGCCATAATCGGCAACAAGCTCGCCACAAACGTACCCGCATCAGCCAAGTTCTATGCGCAGCTCAACTACGCCCTGGCCAACGCCGGTTTCGCCGCGTGGGACACCAAGTCAGTATTATACTGAACCCCCCTCCCCGGGCCCCTTTTCCCATCTTCTTCTTGAAGTCCTTCTTTGAAACCCACCCCCTACTCTAAACCTCTAACACGATGCAATCGATACCAAGGTATCACTACCAAGTCTGGCGTCCGCAAACAGCAATTCAGTATCCCTCCCCCTGGGTGCACAGCGGCCGCAACGACATATACCACCCGTCCTGGACACCCCTTTTGCGGCCAACACCAAGCCACCCAGACTATGTCTCGACACACGCAACCTTTGGCGGGGCGGCCACGGCCGTGCTGCGGGTGGCATTCAACAACAACAATGACACCATCGAGCGCACGACGTGGAGCAGCAATGTCACGATTGACAACCGCGGGGTCATCACCAGGGCTTATACCAGTTTGCGGGAGGCGGCTGAAGAGAATGCGCAGAGTCGCGTCTTTGGCGGTGTAAGTTCCTCTTGTCTCCTAGGTACTAGTGGTACTGGTGTGCGATTAGTGAAATGGAAAAATCACGGGATGGGTTGGTTGACTGACTGGTTGGTGAATGAACAGATACACTTTGCGTTTGCGGGAGTGGAGGGGATTGCTCTCGGTGAGAGGGTTGCGAAAGAGACACTTAGGAAGTTTGATGACAACTGGGATAAGTTCTGAGCTCAGGCAATACCATTGCCACTCGCAGCAAGGGGCTGTCCTGAAAAAGAGGAAAACTAAAAAGTGGTACAAATTCTCGATGCATAGGTTAATACTCAGACGATCCAAGGCAGGAATGATCTCCAGCCCTGGCTCCCCCTGTCATTCGTATGGCGTACGCCCAGGGGCTATATAATCTTGACATCTATCGCAAATCGCAATATGTCTATGTCCGACTTTTGTCTAGTCGAACCGCACTTACTTCGGAGGTAGATACCGTGCAATCTCAATGAGCTCCTCCACGGCCTCCCGTGCCCCCCACCGCCAGTGCTCGCAACACCTCCGGCTTCATTTCCGGGAGCGGCCTTCCCCTTCCGGACGGCCGACCAATGAACTTGATCTCGGCCAGATAGGCCAAGAACCTGCCGACATCCTCCCTGCTGATTCCATGGCCCGTGCTGTCGTCCACGCCCGTCCACTTATCCGCATCCGCCTTCAATACGGCCACTGCGTTCCGATCATTCATCTCGGGTGCCCGCGTGTTGGCCGGTAGATCATTCATGCAAAAGTGGTACAAGGGCATCAGCGCGTGTTGCTCTTGGTCCTTCTCGAGTGCACCGGCAGAGACAAACTTTTCAAGTTCCTCTTTCCACGCCTCGTAGCTGACCTCGGGAGCCTTGTACCCGTAGTATTCCAGGATAGAAAGGTATTCGTTCATGCGGAGACGTGGATGAGCCGTGACATGCACGACGTGCACGCCACCAGGCAGTGGATTGAGCGCCGCGGCAACCACGACCCTCGCAACGTGGTTCACGGGTACCGCGTTGACCGTGTTGATAATGTGCGGACGGGACGAAAGCTGAATACAGCCCTTTAGCATCCGGACCAAAAAGTCGTCAACGTTGCAAACGCCCGTCTCCGAATCGCCAAGTATGTAGCCTGGCCGGACGACGGACCCGAGGAGTCCACGTCTGCCTGCCTCGCGCACCAGCTGCTCTGACACCCATTTGGTCTGGCCATAGCCAGTGCCAAGGCCAGTGCGACTTCCTTCCATGTCGTCGTCTTCCATAACTGCTCCTTGGCCCGTGCTCGTTTGCTGCTCGGAGAGCTTGATGTAATAGTCGTTGTCTAGGACGCTCGTCGAGCTGACAAAGCAGAAAGCCTTCGGCTTTCCCTCGTTGCAGAGCTTCATGGCGTCAATGGTTGACAGAACGTTCGATGCCATCATGTCCTGGTATCTCTTGACCCAGTGGACGGTAGCACCGTTGTGGATCACCACATCGACCTCTTGCGCTAGGCGTTGCCAAGTATTGTCGTCCATGCCTAGGTTAGGCTGGGATAGGTCGCCCACGACGGCGCTTAACCTCCCAGACCACTCATCCTGCCAAAGCCCGTACCCCCGGAGAGATCGCTGAAGGCGTGCTAGGGCTGCCGACGGCTCCTTGGCACCCCGTACGTGCGCAATGAGCTTGACGGCCCGAGCCGTCCGGCCGAGCACGTCCTGTACTAGATACGAACCCAAGAAACCCGTTGCACCTGTGAGGAAGACCGTGAGTTGTTCTGTCGAGCTCAGGGCGACTGTGTCGGCAGATTGATACTTGGCGGGAAGCTGATGCAGCAGCTCATCCAAAGACTTGGAATACGCAGCCTCGCCAGCTTCGGGTCCCACCTTGCCGGTATCATGGCTCAGGAGTTTGTCTACCTGTGCGCTAAAACCGGCGAGACTGGGGTGCTCATAGAGCGTGCTGATTGGCACATCAGTGCCCAGTCTTTTGCGCACAGTCAACAGGAACTGCTGAGCCAAAAGACTGTGTCCACCGAGATCAAAAAACCCATTGTCCCTCTTGATAGTCTGCGGATTGAGACCACGGATGACGTCAGCCCAAAGGTGTGCGACTGTCCGTTCTGTTTCTGTTAGGGATTCCCAGCTTTTGACGTCCTCCTCTGAAGCATCCTCGACTCGTTCGGCAACGTCGGGGAATGGAAGGTTCGGCTTGTCAACCTTGCCGTTCGGGTTCAATGGGAGCTTGTTGAGGACGATATAGATTGTCGGCACTGCATAGGCCGGCAGCCGAGACTTGAGGTGGTCTCGCACCTCTGTCTGCATTCTCCTGTACTTCTTAAGGAACACGGTGACGGGACCCATTTCAACACCGTTGTCCTCGACATCTTCCAGTCCCCGGTCATGGAGCCAACGGCGCCATTCTCTATCTTCAGGGACGATGTAACTGACCAGGGTGGGTTCCTCGTTACGGTCCCTACGGACTAGTGTCCTGCAGTCTCGAATCAGCGGGTTTTGGCTCAGATTGCTGTCAATGTCGTTCAGCTCGATGCGGAACCCGCGGATCTTGACCTGATCGTCGGCCCGACCGACGCATTCAACATCGCCCGACTCGAGGTATCGACCAAGATCCCCAGTACGATAAAGCCTGTCTCTCGGCCCTTTGTAATAGCGCCGCCAGGCCTCGTTCTTGTTGGCCTTGTGATCCGCCTCGACCCACTTCTGATTGTCGACGAACCAGTTCATCACGAACTTCTGCTCGTTCAGCGCCTGATCTCCTAGGTAGCCCCTAAGTTTCGCCATGTCAGTTGCAAACTGGGAACGACCAAAGAGACAACTTACTCTGCAAGCCCGGCGGCTCGGACAAAGATCTCGCCCACTTCGCCAACCTTACACTGCTCTTTCAGGTTGTCCCGGTTAACAACCAGCAGCTGGACATTTTGCATGCCCTTTCCCGCGGGCACAGTGTCCTTCAGCTTATCAAGAAAGTCGGGGTCCCTCGCCCGACTTGGGATCTCGTAGTAGCTGACTGCTCTTTGTGTTTCGGTCGTCCCGTACATGTTGATAATGTTGGCATTGACGGCAAGCCTTCTGAGGGCTCGACAATCTCTCGTCGTCAGCACGTCGCCTACAAAGAAGACGTGCTCCAGGCTAGGAAACTCGGCTGTCGCGCCGCCAACCAGGATCTGGCCCATGGCGGGTGTGAGGTGGGTGACAGTCGGCTTATGTTCACGCATCCACTCGGCAAGTTTCTCGTGTTGTATGTCCTCCCGTGAAGGAACTAGCAGCTGCGCACCGAGGAACAGCGGCGTGAAAATGTCGCGCTGCACCGGATCGTGAGCAATTCCGGAGAGCAGGGTATACCTGCTCTCTGAGGAGAGGTTGAATCGCTCGGCCATCCAGCCAAAGTACTTGACCAAGCTGAAGTGCCGGCCTAGCACGCCCTTGGGCCGCCCCTCGCTCCCCGATGTGAAGGAAAGCGTGGGGTTTGAGTCAGGACCAACAATTACATCGGGAGGGGACGACGCCAGCTGCCTGACACTAGCGAATATATCCTGGCCGTCCACTTCGCCGCCGTACAGGACGCCGTCATCTCGGAGCCTCATTTCGGGCACGTCGGTCTTTAGTTGTAGCTCGTCGTCAATGTACTTCTGCACCAGCGGAGCTAGCTGGCCATTCTCGTCGGTGGCTCGGCCGATCCTCAGCAGGGCACGCGGCTGGGAGACTTCGAGGTAGATCTTTTGTCTCGCGGGCGGATAGGCTGGGTCGAGGACCGTCATAGTAGCGCCGGAAGCCTAACGAAAAGAGGATTAGAAGGCGGCGTCATAGCATTGGGCACATGGTTCAAAGGTTGGAAGTACCAAAATACCCATCAGGGCCACAACCAAGTCTACCGAGCGATGCGCCCAGATCATGACCACATCCCCATTGGTAACCCCGGCATTGTGCAAATACCATGCTAATGTGTTAGAGGCCTCGAATATCTGGCGGTAGGTAAATCTCCTTTCGGGAGTAGTCGACGACTTGGTTTCGACGACGCAGGTGCGCTCTGGGTGGGCCTCGGCCTGAGCACGAAAGTGGTCCTGGATCGAGCCGACGTAGCCCGACCAGTCAAGGTCGACGGTTGGATCGGGCAACTGAGCCATTGTCGAGAAGCATACAGCAATTGGATGCAAATTGTCAATGAGAGAGCTCGACGCGGTGCGATTGTCACTTTTACTTTGGGGGCACGAGGTTTTTTTTCTTTTTGGTTGGAGGGGTGACAATGTGCGGAACGGCACAGTGAGTTTATGTTGTGCTCCGACAACGGATCCGCCAGTTTGGGAGCCCCTCCCTTGCAACCCCACCATAGCAAGAACCCCACCACAGTACCGTAGAAACTGTCCCGCTGTTCACTAATTTCACTTGGCGGTGAATCATGCCGTTCGTTTTTAACCTGCCTCAAGTTCCTTGTTCGAGTTCCTTGTCGCTGCCACAGCTTTGTGTGATACCCTCGCCCCTAGCTTGTTCGTGGAATCGTGTTTGTCCAACAACCACGAGTCTACAGAATCTCCTTGGCTTAAGCCCAGTCAAAAATGCACAAGCGTCTCATGAACTCACCTCGTACAAGGTCCTGGAGATTGGAGAATGCCAACCGCCAAGGGTTGTACCGTGTCGAGCTGGCTTTGGAGAAACTGAACCAGACATGTTCACGCTCATGTTCAATTGTAGAGTCGAGCTGGTCAATTCTCACCTTGTTTTTGATATCAAGTCTGCTCATCTCAGCCTCAATACCCTGGTATAGCGCGGGTAGCATTCGGCTTTGACTCACCGCTCTATCACGTCCTGATTTGTACAGATCCCTTTAACTTCTGGTGTTCCTATATACCTTGAGCTTCTCCTGGTCTTCAAGACTCTGGGCTTGAAGACTACCGTATAATCTCGCTAAATTGGCCTTATTCTACTGCATAGTCTAAGCCTGGTGACCAATCCCAGTCTGAACTATGCAATGCGCTTCAACCTTGCTGATGTGTTGCCATGATTTGGAGTTCGACAGGGAGACGCGCAAACTGAGGAAAATAGTTGCCGGTTACCTGTTGCTGGCCTGGCACAACCTTGCTGATGTGTTGCGAGGTTGAAGTTAGGGTTTGAAGTGGGTGGAATACATGGCAAGAGACGTCCCTTGGCTTAGACTGTGCAGTAGAATAAGGCCAATTTGGCGAGGTTATACGGTAGCAACGATAACCTCCATGGTCATGCATCGATGACGGACCAGCCAATGATGACTTGAATTAGACTAACTCAAGTTGGGATGGAAAGTGTGTTTTAGTGATGGAAATTGGAAGGTGCATTTCAGGTGACTTTCATGACTTTCACGGGACTTGAACAGGTGACCTCTTGTCTCAGGAATTGGACTTTACCACTATGCCGTGCCACCGAGGGGGGGTTAGAAGTCTGAAGTTGGACTTGGCTTATTAACTTGTAATCACAAAGTACAAAAAAGACACTCTCTTTGTGTGAAAGATTTCGCTCTATTCTTTGCGTTCATCACAATCTAATACCGCACACAGTATTGAAGGAATTGCGAATGGTTAGGCCTCTTTGCTTTCACCGTGATATTAAACCCCCTAGTGAATAGACTCTTCCTAGGGTTTATATTACATTCTGAGCCAGCACCGCAGACCCCAACGTGCCGTTGAGCAAGGAGCAGATGGAGGCCCGCCCCAATCTTGAGATCTTGAGAATGGTCTTTTGCATCCGAAGCATATATTCGCACCACCATGTTGTCCCGGCATCAAGATGGTGAACATGCAAGACGGTGAAGAATCGGTAATTCTCATGCTGAAATTCACCTTTCTCTTTCTCTGCTCGCTCTTTGCGGACACCACCACCTGACGCCTGAAGATTTGCCCACGGACGGGTTATGATGCTGTTGTTGTTATACAGGACGGTGAGGTGGTGGAGATGGGCTCGCCGGAGGAGCTTTGCACAGGGAAGGGGGGAGGTTTACATAGGGGACACTGAAGGTGGGAAAGGTTTAGGGGCATGAACAATATTCACTGATCTCATGCTTCAGTACAAAAAAGGGGTAAGGAAAAGGGGCAGGGTCATCTTAGGGTTAGGGTCAACAGGTAACAACAACCCTCCAAAGCCAACCACAGACCGATACCTTCGTCGCTACCAGAGTATATAATACAACCCTGATTGTTAGCAAGACCGAGCAAGCCCTCTCGCCCTTCCTGAACATTAATCTATACCGCCAGCTCGGGACGCAGACGGCCTTCCACTCTCCAAATCGTCCACCTTGACCTTGTTTCTCCCCGAAGATGGCGGCAAAATCCCTTGTCCAATCCGTTGCACCCAGCTGCGGCGGACCTCCCAGTCGTCTGGGTCATCCACAGCATCCAAACTCGTCCCAACATAGTCGCTAGTCCTTGACGGATCGGTACTGTCGGCTTTCCGTTCCCATGGACGCAACTTGGGCCACAAAGCAGCGACACTGTCTTTCATACGGTTTTTCGGCGGCGTCTTTCTCCTGATTGGCGGCTCCATCGGCATGCCCCAGCTATCCTCGCTCGTTCTCGATCTCAGACTGGATGTATTGCGTCGCATGCTCGATCTTATCGACCATGCGCGTGATCTCACCGACCCTGTGCCTGATCTTACCGGGTTCTCCTCCATCACCATCACCACGTCGTCGTCAGCTCCGTAACCAGATTGCTGTTCCTCCTCCACTTCCTCTCCATCGGATTTCTCTTTCGTCCAGTACCACCGCGGGGTTAGACTTGCCACCAGACGTTGCACCCGAGCCTTGACGAACAGCGTAATCACCACGCGTGCTCGGTGGAGCGGATAGTCTCTCTCAATTCTATGCGGTCGGTCATTCCATATATCGTCGCCCCAGCTGCCTGAGCTAGAGGCTCTGCCATCGGCATCTCTCCTCTCTGAGCGAATGTCCAAGTCGTTCATCCCTGTACTGTGAGCCTCGTAATACTGATACTCCCATAGCTTCCTGACAAACGGGATGTTTTGGTGGAAGTACCAGCGGCCGAAAAGCGGGGCGAAGTCGCGTGATCGAAGAAAGTTTAGCAAGTCGGAAAAACCTAGCGAGCTCCCAGCATGGCTGGAGCTCCTGCTCCGCAGTCCGTTCGACGAAGTGCGGGAAGATTTATTGCTCTTACCGCTCCTGTGGGTGCCGATTATAGTGGTGGAAGTATCCGAGTCGGAATCCGAGCCGTGATGTGTGGATTCTGATGTGACCGGTGGAGGGGTGAGATGGCGGAAGTGCTCAGTAAAGGAGGCCCATATCCTGTTGACGTAGAAGCCTAGAAGCGCTACAATGAGGATTATTACGAGAGAGATACCGACTGCCAGAGCAAATATTAGCGAAAGTCAAGTTGCGGAGAAGAACCAGACGGTGGAAGGGACGCACAGAGGAGACCCATCACTTCATTCATTGGCCAGTTCAGCTCGCCGGTTTCCGCGTTGTGAGGGAAGGCGTCGATCTGAATAGCGAAGACGCTGGACATGAATGAAAGCGGCAGCTATCGGAAGCGTAAGTATTGTGCTGGCTAGTACTGTAGTGTAAGGATCGCCATAGGTCACACTTACGAAGAAGACAGTGACTATCGTGAAGACTAAAGTGATCTGTAGCAGGGATCGCCTGTCAGTGTTTTTCAAGCTCCAAGTGTTTCGATGTACCACGGCTCATACATTGCTTTGCCGCTGTGTATGCTCGGAGCCTTCGCGGGCGAATCTCGCTTCCCATGCATTGGCTTGCTTTTGCCGATGACTGAGAAGCCCATTGATCTGAAGGCAGCATTAGCCAAAACCCTTCTCAGAGAGGGAGCAAGCCATGGAACAAAAATTGGTAGTGCTCACCTCTAGCCGAACTTGATCAGCATACATGGCCATCTCTTTGATGGTGGCTATGTTGGACTCCACCAGATGTAGGTTTTCCATGGCTAAGTTGCAGGACTTGGATCTTTGGGGTGGCATCTGTTCATCAGCAAATTGGACTGTCCGTTTGGCCCGTTGCTTGCTCTTGACCCTCTGGAACGCCGATGTCAGAGGCTTCTTTTGACCATGTACGCCCACGTCGGGTGATTCAAAGGACTCGAAATATTCGAAATCAGGGAAAACGGATTGTGAAGATTCAGGAGTTTCAACGGTATCGCTCTCATCATCTCCCTTGTCATTCGGTTGGTCCTTCGAGAGCAACTGAACAAACTTCTTGAGGACATCCCTCTGCTTAGTGAGGACTTCGCTGATGGTCTTGAGTTCATCCTGTATATCCATGATCTCAGCTAAAAGGCGAGTCTCCGTTGTCAGCTGGAAAAGAGCGTTGGTCAAGGTAGCCCGTGTTTTCTGGTCTATCCCGTCCTTGTTCAAGTTCTTGACCAGAGACTTGAACTTGTCAAACTGCGACGCTTGCTTCTCAGCCTGCAAGGTGTCAGTTGTACTCATCGAGGCGTAAGTGTATAGTGGCACTTGCGATGTCCGTGATGCTGGACTGAAAACTTTCATAAAGCGAAATATCGTTTGGGCCTAGCCGGTGTAAAAAGTCGACACTGCATCGAATGATTAAATTCGCGAGGTCCGCCCCATCTTCGATCAGCGGCCGGTTGTCATTGTCCTTCAGCTCGCGCCACATTAGGTGGCGCACAAGGTTGTAATCCGCTGAAGTGTCCCATGTGTTAGGAAAACTGGTGATCACAGTTTGGTGTTCATCGTGGAGAATCCAGAGCCAAAGTTGATCAACCATGATCAGTGGATAGTCCCCGTGGCCACGACGTCGAGCCGAGGTTGACTCTGGATGCTTTTGTCGAGCGAGCCTGTCTAGCCTCTTGGCCCATTTGAAGACAACTTGGCTATTGTCCCGCTTCTCTGTGTCTTCCAACATGTGATAGGTGAATTGATCTAGCGTTCGGCGACAATGAAGTGGAAATTTGTCTTCGTTAAAATACGTGCGGATGAGAAGAGAAGTCTCGTCTTCGCCCGCGCAATTTTCGCCATCTTTCAACGCCGAGCTTAACCTTTTGCGGTATTCGTGCTTCTCAAACCCGAAAACAGGCAACTTGATGGCATGGCACATCAGCTTTTGTCATAGTCTGAACTTGGCCTGACGTTCCCAGCTTACAAACAAAGCAGTCACAGTTTTCTTGGCCGCTCCGGCCCCATCGGTCGTCTTGGAACTGAAGGACGGGGACGAAGAGAAATATGACGGGGAGGCAGCGCTATGGGGGGAGGGAACAGGCATATCGTTGACTGGAGACTCATAGAGCTATGAGTGTCAGCCAGGAGAGCCATGTACCGTAGCCTAACGCATAGCTTACCTGTTTCTCCTTGAACACCCCCGGAGTAATATATCGGTCATAAAGCGCCGAGCCTTCAGTAGTCAGCAACTTGAAGAAGCAGAACACCGCTATCACGAGCATATTGTTCGACGAACCTCGATGCCTACGCCCGGTCGTAGACTTATCCATACGGTGTAGTTGGAGGAACAGGTCCTGCATCGGTTTTGATGTTAGTTGATTACTATTGGATTGTCCTTTTGTGAGCTTTACTGACGTGAACCCATTGCTCCTGGAACACACTGTTAGTTTACGACGCCCCAGCAGAGTCCTGGAGCAGTCCACGTACATTGTTAGCAGGCACGTGGATCCACCGGCATGTGGCCTGCTTGTCTTCATCCGGACGGCGGTTCCTGTCGAAAAGTTTGTCAATACCGTACCGCTTGTCATAGATCGTCGCAAGAATGTTGGGACGCTGTGGGTCTAGATAGTCCCTGCTACCGTCTTTAGCGATGTAAAACTGAGCCAATGTGGCCTCTAGCTTCCTGCAGGCAACTTCTTGATCTCGATTGCGAGGTCCCTCGACATCTTCTAGAGTCTCGACCTTCGCCGCCCGCGCCCCGTTGAGTAGATTTCCCGACTCTTTCAGCTCCTGGATCCAAGGATGATTCTCGCCATAGTCCCACGGCGTTTTACCACGCTTATCGCGGAGATCGTGATCCTGCTCGTTCTCGGCCAACGCAGAGAGCAACTTCTCAATCATCATCCGGAAAGGGCCTCGATCGTCCTCTCCGGGGCTCCTCTCAGCAGCCCGAGTAACCACAAGGTGCAGCGGGGTATACCCCTCTGCGTCTCCCATTGCCACGAGATCGGATCTGGCACTGACAAGGCGAATCAGCGCCACGTCATTGACACAATCGGCGGCTCTGTGGAGGGGACAGCGCCCCTTGTAGTCCGTGATCCCTAGCTCGAACCCCAAATCGATGAACTCCATGAGCAGCTTCTCAAAACCTGTGTCTGTAGAGACCTTAAGAAGTAGGGACCGCTTGATGTGCTGCACAAGGGAGCGGTAATTGGCGTCCTGCGGGCCTTTGAATCTCGATGGCAGCCGGCTGGTAGCTTTGGATGAAGAAGCTTCCAACTGGATGAAGTCGATTCCCTCTGCGCGAGGTTTCACAACCTAACTCTCGTGTCAGCGATCGTCACAAACGTGTGATCAAGGTGCACGACTCGAAGCGGAGAGGGGCACAAACCGTCCGATTGAGGACCGGGGGTGTCGCATAGAACCAGGCAGTTGGAAGGACGTGTTTTGTAATAGAAGACTGAAATCGTTTCCAAAGGTCCCAGCTATCAATCCCCCCTGACTCCAAAATGCTTCTAACCTGGGTACAACTAGCATTGGAGGGCAGTGGAAGGATGGGCACCTTCTTAGCATCATCAGCCTTAGGGGCACCTTTCAGCACGGGAACCGGAGCGTCAAAGAGCATGACCCCTGCGATCAAATTGAAGACGGAGCTCTTTTCCGGTTTTACTTGTTTTTCTTGTTGTTTTTCTTGTCTTTCGACAAAGGAAGCAATCAATTTCTCGACGATGAGGCATCCGAATCCCGTGGCAATGAAGACGAGAGGAGCCTGGGCGTACTCTCCTGTTCTCTTGGTCTCCAGTTTTGAGAGAAGCGCGTCAGTAGTCTCTTTCAGATACCTATCGTAATCAGGGCGCTTAGAAGAGTTATCGGTTAACGGTTTTGGCTCGAGTGGTTTGTAAGTGAAGGCCAGAATTCGTGCCCGATGGAGATCGCCGCCAAGCATCTTCGGGTCTGTCAGCCAGTTGGCAACCTTGAGTCCCTTGTCTCTTTCCGACGGCAGTTTTGATCCCTTGGTAGAGGATGCACGATTGGACGGACGCGAGACACGATCGTCATCATCTGGCTTCTTGTCCGGTTCGTCCATTGTCTCTTGCTGGAGGGGCGTTTCCGGGGCTCCTTTCAAACCTTCCGGTGCATCAATGTCCTGTGCAGGAACATGATCGTCTCCATCGGCTTTCCCTTTACCCTTTCCTTCAGTGGAAATACCTATTTGCCCCGCTGGCGTCATCAAGGCCTTCTCAACATCTATGGTGTCTGGCACCACCATCGATGACGAAGCAGCTAGTTCGGCTTCGACGGTTTTCGAAGCGCGCGGAGGCACATCCAGGTCAAGCCGAGTGGCCCAGTCATAGACGTGGTCTTTCCTGCCGCGCCCCACTCGCTCCTCGCGGGATCTAGCCTCATCCAGGGCCTTCAATCCAGCCTTAAAGTCGCGTGGTTGCTTGGGTGAAGTCTGCGGAGGGGCTGGTCGCTTGGCGGAAGATTTTTCGGGGGTGTAGGAATAAAGCCATGCAGTATGCAATTGCTCTCCGAGGTCGTGAACTGCTACGATATCGACACTAGGAAAGACGGATGCTGCTAGGTTGGACAGATCCACAAGGGCAGGAAATTCGGCCGGTTGAGCGTCAGGCTTTGGATCTTCCACCTGAATCAACCGCTTCCTGCTGGACATTGGCTGCATTGCTGCTGCCAGCCTGTGACGAGTCAGGCTTCTGCGTAGAAGCGGTAAACGGTGTTGACTTTGGTCGCGGAGTCACGATCTTCAAGCTGCCAACGCATTTCCACCATCCGGCTTGGGGGTTAGGACTGAGCAACGAGGTTTGCGCTTGCTGTGGCGCACCCGATGGAGTCGATGCATCAAGGGGCATCTGGCTACCCGGCTCTACTTTAACGGCAATTTCCTCGATCGTAACCTCAAGATGAGGTTTCTCCAGCTTCGATGACTCGACGTGGGGCGTGACGGACGATGTCGAGCCGGCTTCAATGCTGTTGTTCTCTGCGACAATATGCTGTGTTGGGGGCGAGGCTGGAAGCACCGGATCGTCGTCGCCCTCTTGCGCCGTCGAGGACCGCGCTGGCAACGGGGCCGACGGCTGTGGGGACGCCATTGCTGCTCACACTCTTCACGGAGCGATGGAGTCACGAAACGGGAGTCAGTGCTAGGAAAATCTAGCATAAGACGAAAGAAGAAACAAAACACAATACTGGGAATCCCATCCAAGGAGAGGATGGGCACTAGCAGGCCCATCACCCTCATGTTCGAGTGAGATGTCGCCGACCATCTCGTTCGCCGACCATATTGTGATTAGACTGCAGCTGTGCAGCATCTCTCCACTCATTGGATAGGTGTATGGAGGGTGTGAAGCCTTGGGCCGGATTGGGCTCTGAGATGCAGCTGAAATGCAGCTGATGTGCGAGTCTTGACATCGCCGCCTGGTTGCATCAAGGCCAAGGGGGCAGATGTATTGCACGTAGTGGATGCACCTCCCGAAAGAGGGGACGTTCCACACTACCTGACCCACCCCAGTAACCTGCTGTGGTGGTATTGATGAACACCCCTCGGTTTCACCTAACTCGGAAACCGGAATTAGCACGCAAACCAGACGTGCGTGTTCGCGCCTGTTTACCGTTATATACCGGTTCCAACTCGGATGTTCTATCACCGTCTTCAAGTGCTACAGGGTGCCAGGCCCTGTAATCGAGCTGAAGGAAGGGGCTAGAGTACGAAGTAATTACCTACTTATGCTACGGAGTACCTTAACAAAGGTATGGGAAAGAAAATTCGCTTGCTTCTTAACTTTAACAGGCAGTACTGCAGTCCTGAGCTAACCCGATTAAGCAAATTCAATATTGCTGCTCCACCTAACCGTATCTAACTACGGTTTTGTTCCTGCTTCAGTCGCGAGGCTGAATCCAACGCAGCTGCAACTGGAAAACTCTCCTCTGTGTAAACCGCTCAGCCACGCAAGCGATTCTCTAGGATTTTTGACTGCGCATCTCAATACCTTAGTTACTTATCCAAAAAGCCCTTACGTCCCCAGGCGGCATGGCATCGCTGAACCTAGCTCCAGAGGAGCTCAAGCAGCTGGAGCTCTTACGCAACCGGTTCGCCCAGCTCACCAGCAGCCTCCAAAGTCTCCGCGCAAACGTCCTAAGCTCGAACCCCCTTCCCAGCCGGTGAGGACAGTCAATTTACCCCATTTAACCATACCTCTACTCACCATTCTCCGCACGGCGTCAGAGAATCCCTCCAAGCGTCATCCGCCATTCTGCAGCAAAACATCCGCTCCATCCAAGACCTCACCACCGAGAACGCCGACCTCTTCCGGCGCATCGTTATTCACCCGTCGACAAACTTTCCCGGTCGCACACAGGAGCACGTCCTTCTCCAGCTTCTGCGCAAGAAGCTCGAGCCGGATGTAGAGAGCTGGGTTGAGGAGGCGCGCGAGACGGCGCGCGCTGCGGGACTTGACGCGAGCAAGCTAGGTGGCGGCGCGCGTGCCTCCGGGGGGAAAGGAGGAGGAGCTGGCGGCGGCACTGGCAACGGCTACTACGAGAGCGACGAGGAGGACGGCTACGGCCTGCTCGACCAGGAAGACGAGGCGCCCTCGGACCCGTTCAACGAGCAGTGGGCCGACATGCTCGATGCCTTTCAGGCGTCCTTGACCGAGTACGTCACGGTGCAGGTCAAGAAGAAGTATACTGTTGAAGAGCAGGCGATTGGGATTGAGAATGTCCGGACGGGACTGAGGAGGGATCTTGAAGAGAGCGATGAAGAGGAGGATGACGAAGAGGACGAAGAGGAAGTGGGGGCAGGGCCAGAGGCCGTTGCTGCGCAGAGCGGTGCTGGCGGCCTGGCTACTGGAGCAGCGCCGCCTACGTCGGGAACCACCAAGCTCCCAATGCAGCCAGAACATTTGTTTTGGATATCAGTCAAGGGCGACTTGAGCCTTCCTCGGAATGTCGAATTCGAGTCCCAGCGGAAGATAACGCAAATGACCAAGCGGCCGGCGCCTCCGAGGTGATCCCTTGGCGGGCAGGGCGTGTCATTTGTTGTCTACGATACCAGCGCAAGCCATCCTTGACTGTCCAGGATTGGCACCTCCCAAAGAAGGTGCCGTTGCCCTTCGTCGGGAATCACCCATAGTCCTGGAGTAGCAGGTCACGAGGAGCATCATAGCCTTGGACGGATCTGTTCGTTTTGGCCAACGGAATGCCCTTGGAGAGGGAGGAGGGGTGGTGCGAGGGGCAACTCAGGCCGAACCCGCATTCAACCGTAGGTGCGGGCTCCTGGTTTGGTTCCAGCGACCTCATTACTGACCATGATACGCAGGACAGAGTCTACCTACACTACGTACGGGTGTGGCAGCTCAATTCTGGCCGACCTATCTCCGTCGATCTGACATACGGCGTACTTCACAGAGTGAGACTCGCTCATATCAAGAGCAAGCGAGGAGATTAGTATTCACCGGTGATCAACAAGAAAGACAGCGAACATAATGCACACTGGAGAGCGTGAGCTATCTATCCTGCAATAAAAAGGAATTGGATTGGGTACTTTGATTATCCCAGCTTACGTCGGCACAAGTATTCCATTTCGTTTGTATCCTCGACTTGGGGACCTGTGATAGAGCTGATCGACCATCTGAAGCACGACCCGAGGTACCTACTACCCCTGTAGGCTCGATGTGACCAGAGCCATCATTTGATGTCAGCATTTCCTAGACGCCGGCCATTGGCAGATCGATGCAGTGTTGGGCATGAAAGTCGGGCAATAGGTAGTCAAGGACATAGCATCCTATTCCTTGGCTAGACATGTAACCAACCTAACTAGGAATATGCCATCCGTGGGCGGCGCTGAACGATGCTTAAGCATTAGTCACTCGGATCCTTCTCAGCACCGCAGGACTGGTGCATTAGGCACGGAATGCAGCTCTTTCTGCTGAGCTGAAAGTGCGACCCCTCTTTGTCGCGACTACTACCAAGTACTGTACCATTTGATTGGATCTCCTTCAGACTGCGAGCCAACGTCATCCTCGAGACACCCCGGTTGGAACCCTTCTCGCGCGGTGAATGACTCGAGATATTTATATCATCATAACTCATAAGTATCGTGCCATCTGTATCAACACTCACATTGAGACTGTTCTTGGCGAAGTGAGACCGTGAGACGCATGTAAAGTCATTCCCAGTATACACGTAAACGTCGTAAAGACAGTCTCTTCCGAATTCCAATACCTGTGTGTTAGCAGCATGCTCGCCATCTTACCTCTTAGCATCGAGCTCTCCGACAGCTCAGGGGTGTTGCGTGCGCCTCATCAAAAAGACCAGGCCAGCAATCCTCCCTTACCAAGTTCGCCAGCTTGGACCACCGGATCAACAACAGCTCACTCACCACCCATAACAACCTTCTCCCACATCTCTTACCAGCTCCTTCAGCCCAACAACAGCCGGGGCCGCCGCATTCACCTCCTTACCCTCCCCCTCGAGGTCCGCCTCCTCATTTACCACCACCTCCTGTCCTTAACCCCAATGTGGCCCCGTGATCTCAGCGGCCCGAGCCACCCGCTCCCCCATCATGGCAGTGGCCAGCCCCAGCACGACGGCACAACCTACTTGCTCCTCCGGCCACGCCTCCCCGGTCTACATCCGCCATATCCACATGATCCGCATGCAGTTCCGTCAGCTGCGGGTTACCTCCCGTCATCGCTCCTGTGCACCAACCGACAAATCTACAACGAAGCGCGCCTGGTTCCCTTCCACCACAACGAGTTTGCCTTTGTGAGTTGGTTCTTCTCCGGCCTGTCGGCTGCGCGGGCATTCGTCGCGCGCCTGGCCGGATGGCAGCGCGATGGGCTGCGGTTCGCGCGGTTGGAGAAAGTGCTGGCGGCGGATCTGGTGGAGGAAGGGCGGGTGCGCATGTGGGAGGAGCTGTGCGGTTTCTGGGAGAACGGGCTGCAAAGGTTGAGGCTCAAAATTGAGCTCGGGCCGGTGAAGATGGAGCAGGAGGTCTGGAATCGCGATGAGGAGGGTTGGTCGTGTCCTACCTCCTGTAGGCAAGGGGAAAGAGAGGATGCGTCGTGGAAGTGGGTTGATGTAGGGCTGAGGAGGTTGAGAGGGCTCAAGGCTCTCGATGTGGAATTTGCCGGGGAAGGAGGGGAGAAGGGGAAGAATGACTGGTGCCTGCGCCTGAGCGAGAGGCTGAATCAGGGACGAGATGAAAGGAAGAAAATCGCTGTTTTGCAATCTTCCGGGTGACTTTTGGGGCTGTTATGGAAAGAACGATCGGAATTAAAGATCCGAGAATAACGGGTGGGAGAGCAGAACCTTTTCCACAAATATGGACTATGGATACCTCTGTGACTGTATCACAAGCTGCCCTGGTCAGAGTCGATATTTGCCTACCTTACCTAAGGTAGGTAAGGTATCTATCTACCTTATTTAGGACTATCAAAGGAACGCTGTGAAGTCCAGGTAAGCTCGAGTTGCACAACCTTATTTACATAAATGATAGCACATTGCTTACATATAATGGTAGGGATTGGCATCGAGATGACGATTGCCAAGGCGGTAATTAAGTCCGTCGTATGAGTGGAAGGTACACTCGAGGTACACTGCTATGTACCTTAAGTGCAGGCACATATCTTACCTTCCTCCGTACTGTAGGTCTGTAGGATCTCACTATCTAAGGTACCTAGTGATTACCTTGATTACCTACGGACTCGCACCAATCCAGGGCTGTAATCTTAGGGCCAGTAAAACCTTCCTTCTCCCTACGGTTTCAAGTGTTAACGAAGACTGAGCAGCCAGAGCAGGGCTGTTGGAGTCCCTGTTCATGCAGTTCGGCGTCCTATTATAATAATGAAATCCTGCAAATAACCGCTCGATCCTGTCCAGCTAGGTATGCCCAGATCTCGCCGAGATATTAAACACCCCTTCAATACCAGCGGCCACTGTGGCACTGAAACATTTCCTCTTACAATTTCCACAGACTCCACTCAGGCAATACTACATGCAGGCGCCCGTTACCAAAGGCAGCCGGGCTTGCCCCAGTGGTCCCAGATGGCAATCTTCGACTGCTCCCGATGATCAACGCCCCCTTACATTAGTACCCCATGTATATTCCCGTCTTCATACAATTTTGTACTTGCGCGACGATGGTGATGGAACGCGTGGCTCCATCTAGGCAACCACGTTTTTGGGGGAAGGTGCTCCTCGGTCGTCGTCCATGGTTGCTATCTCCTGTATGTTACCTTCCATTGGTGTGGGAGTCCAACCCTGGATATCCTTCGATGTGACCCGTCTTTTGTTTAGATTTCCGTAATTCCGTTCCTCTAGTTTCTCTTCACTACTTATTGGACCCTGATTTTCCTCAGCATTGCCACAGTCTTTAGGTCGGCATACTTAATTCACGCCGTTGTGGAGGGGACTTGAGTTGGGAAGTTAAGGGGTGGTGTAATGCAAATCCACGCGGCCGACTCCCGACCGATAATGCTGCTCTAAATCTAAGGGCTGCCGGCTAGATATGATGCTCGAACCGGGTCGCTAGAGCACATCATTGTCGAGTCCGATCGAACAACCAGGCACCTGCAGACCCCAACCCGCGATGCCGGCTGCCCTAGACTTACACCACCGCCACCGCTCTGAGAGTCTCGGTAGTCGAAGTTACCCTGGCGACGCCATGCGACTACTTCTAGGGCTTCGGTTGCTGGCGATCGCTGGACTGTCCCGACTTCGTCTGCCACGAACCTGGGCCACAATAGTGAGGTTCCTCTTGCCGAGCTTCGTCGCCGACTACGTGTTTCCGGAGCACAAGCCCACATGGAGAATCCATCCGACATCTTACCTGGACGGCCTTCGGGGCATCGCCGCCTTAATTGTATTCTTTTGCCATTATACAGAGATCAATTTCGGACTAGCCTTGACACCTTCATACGGTCTGAACCCCGATAACAGGCCTTCATCGTTAGTACAACTACCATATCTACGAATCATCTTCTCCGGCCGACCCATGGTACACATCTTCTTTGTCATCTCTGGCTTCGCCCTCTCCTACAAGCCGGTCAAGGAGTTGCACGCCCGGAACCTCGACAAATGCTACAGCGCTCTCGCCTCGTCGACCTTCCGGCGGCCTCTTCGCTTGTTTGGCCCCTGTGTCGTATCGACGTTTCTGGTCTTATGCCTGCGCCAGATGGGCTACATCATACCTGGCGAGAAGACGTTACTTGAAGAGTTTCGGAGCTGGAAGGAGGCTGTGTTTCATCAGATCACTTGGCCCTGGGATTGGGATCGTGATTTGGCGCCGAACTACGACATACATCTCTGGACCATACCGATCGAATTCGCCCATTCGATGCTACTCTTCGTGGTATTGTTGATGCTCTCCCGAGTTCGCCTGGGCATACGGATCGCGACGGTTTTTGGTCTGATGATGTATTGCCTTACCTGCGGGAAGTGGGCCGGCTTCGAGTTTTTGGCGGGCTTGCTCCTGGCCGAGATACACATACTCAAGTCCACGCGTACAAAAGCACTAGAACTTTCCGACGTAGGTCGGGTCAGGAATCCATCTGGCCACTGGCTCATATCGGTGCTCCAGATCAGTCTTATCCTCTTCGGCCTGTTCATCGGAGGCTGGCCAAATGAGAATGCGGACAAGACGCCGGGAATCCGATTCTTCCTGCAGCACACACCGATGCCGTTCGCAACTATGGACGCGCTCGCCCCGCAGAAGTTCTGGTTCGCCTTGTCCGCCGTGGCCATAGTATGGGCAGCCGGCGAACTGGATGGGGTACGGAAATTCTTCGAGGGCCCTTTCGCGCAATACTGTGGACGCGTCAGTTATGCCGTGTACATTTGCCACGGCCCGGTAGGGAATGTCTTTCATGAAAGACTGCTTGGCCATCCCCCATTGCCAGCACACGGCGCTCCGACAGCGGCAAATTTTAAGCCTGCCGTGCCGGCAGCAGGTGTTAAGGGATATTTCGGTGTCGAAACACCGCGCGAAGTCATTATTAGTTGGTTCATCGGACTCTGCCTTGTTGGATCACTTGTGGTGTGGGCGGCCGACGTCTTCTGGCGAGCGATTGACAGCCCGATCGTCAATTTGGCCAGGAAGTTGGAAAATCTGTGTTTGGATGATCCGGAGCCAAGTCACCAGTCTCAGGGGTATTCGTTGGCAGGATGAATTTGCATATGCCAGACTTGATATTGAATACCCGGGACCTGTTGGCTCGAGCTTCGGTTCCACTCTGGGGGCCAACTCTAAAGAGTTGGTGCCAAAAAGGCCGGACATGCCAAAATTCCCGGACAAGATAGTGCAATGTATAGGATTCCTTTACTAAGACTAACATTCCTAGGACATTCCAAGAACATTCCAAGGATAGAGCAACCTGCATCTCGAGCAATACTATACTTCTAGAAAAACGAAGATAACTGTTAGATCCCCCTTGAAGAGGCGATGCGAATGATGTCTATTATAGTAGGTTGTATCCTACTATTCTTAGAGTTCTTGGTGAAAGTTGCCAAATCTTGGTGTAAATCGAGCATTCTCGCGACTTCGAGATGCAGGCAAGAACACGAGTTTCGCACCAAGATTCGCCAAAAACTCTGGAGGAATAGGATGCAACCTATTAAAACAGGTATCATTCGAGTCGCCTCTTCAAGGCGGATCTAACAGTTATCTTCGTTTTTTCCAGAAGCTTAGTATTACTTGCAATGCAGCTAAAAGATCTCCTCGAGAGTGCTCTCAATGTTAGTCTTTGTATAGGAATTCCATACATTGCACTATCTTGCCCGGGATTTTTGGCAATTCCGGCATTTTTGGCACCAACTCTTTAGAGTTGGCCCCTGAATGCTAATTGGTCGAGCCAACAGGTAAAAGGTGGCGTTATTGGGCGTTAGTTCATAGATTCATCGACTGAATCCCAAGTCAATTAGGTTGTCTTGGCAGAGGTGTATTGGACATTGAAGTACTTACATAGTTATACAGCAACACTGAACAGAACGCGGCTGGTTCAAACTTTCGTGATAGGCACGTTATAGACGTCACAATATTCTCCAGCATTCTACCGTTCCGGCACTTTTTGTCTCAACCACACAAGGCGGCGCATTCGGGGATAATATCGGCGTAATCGGACACCCGAAACGGAAGTGGACCCCACACAAAGCCGTATTATCGGTGCAACATCGGCCCGGGATATCCCATAGTAAACCCGCCCAAGGCCCGGTCGTCGGGCTCTGCTCTTGGGGAGCTCTCTACTTGACCAGGTCTGTGAATGGGTGACTGCGCAACAGGTGGAAAAGGAGATACATGGTTGAGCACTGGGCATTGCAGAGGTCAACATAAGCACCAGGCCAAGCCCTAAGCGGTGTGGGTTAGCGAGTTTCGCACGCACGTCACCTTCCCAAACACGCAAGGTCAGAAACTGCGCGTCCCTTCCTGGATCAATCTATCTGACGACAGGTCATCACGTGACCACGCGACGATGAGTCGTCAGCTCAGGCATTCGTGAGTCACGTCACGGGGACGCGGTGGAGGAAAGCAGGTATAATTTCAAGGCGGCCATGTTGGCCTCAGGAAATGCATTCCTGTTCTTTCCCTTCTCTTCTTTCCATACAGAGCGAGCGTGCCGCGTTTATTTCTGCTCTCCTTCCAGCTGCATACTCTTCGTTTTGGCTGGGCCAATTGGGCCAATTAGCCTCCGCCATAACCTCCAACAACGCTTACGCTTTCCTGATCCCGGCCGAACGGTAGAACCTCCGTCTTCGGACGGCAGAAGACTGACAACGCAGCCTCGATCGTGCCATTGGCAGTCTTTGTCTGCCGGTGGAAGCCGCGGCGACCCGAATCTGCTATTCCATTATCCAGCATCTCCTCCTCGCCTCCGTCCTTTAAGAGCCCTTTCAGTTCATGGCTTCATCCCCCAGCAGCTGGGCATACGTCTCATCATCTCAGGTTGACTGAAAGGACAACGAGGCATACGATCTTTTTCCGAGGCTTTAGATCATACAGGCGAACTTGGGAAAGGGAATAGCAACCAAAGGCACAAACCAAGATGGACGCCAGCTGTCAGTGCGGAGCCGTCGGCTTCAAGACGCCCACACCAAAACCACTTGCGTTGTACATCTGCCATTGCCAGGACTGCCAGCGGCAGACCAGCTCGGCGTTTGGCATGTCAGCCATCTATCCCAGGTTCCAGCTGCCGGATGCCGAGTTGTTGAGCTGTTACAAGTGGGTTCTGATGATTGATGATTCCCCTCCTTCCAGTTCCATCCCTTATTCTTTCTGCTCTCCACCCTTGAGACAGCTGGTAGGCGCCATCGAATCCTCACTGACCAAGTGCTTGCTGCTATAGACGCTTGACTCAGACCGGACAGACGTTGTATTGGTAAGGGCGCTCCCCTGCACCATGGCTGGCAATACGGTCGTTACGGCTGTCGTCAGTTCTCTTTCTCTTTGGGAAATCATTGGAAACCAGCCAAGGATGAAGGAGACCTGCCCGCTGACAGAAGCTCTTCCTGCCTCACAGCTACTTCTGCAAGCAATGCGGTACTCGCCTGATCCACACAACTCCAGTAAGTCCAAATAATTGCGGGAATAACAATGGATCCTCTCCCCTAACCGGACGCAAAGGGCAAGAATGTCGTCTCCGTCAAGGGCGGGTGCGTAGAGGGTCTCGATTGGAGCAAGGCTATTCATATTTGGTATGTCTACGGTCGCCTCCGCTCGCGAAACGAGCATCTGCCCCTTGTTTCTAACTGTATTTGTCCGCAGGACGAAGTCGGCCATGGTCCCAATCCCAGAGGGATCCGAGACCTACTCCGAAGACTCTGGAAGTACCGACTACGGGGATACCAGTACCGGACTAATTGGATGACGAAAAGCGGGATGTAGGCAACCGGGTCGTCGTATTGAAAGACACAGACTCTCAGTATGGAAGGATAGTTGGTACGTATTTTGTGAGTTTGCGAACGGTCATCGCGGAGTTTCCATGCATCTGCACGTTTGACATAGAAAAGTTGGTTTGGTCTAACTCTTGAGTTGGGAAGTTGAAGGGTATAGTGAGGTCGTGAAGTGATCTTAGGATATAAGCAATGCAATCTGTAGGGCGAATACACCAAGTTTGCGCTATAGGAGGTCGCTGGGCCGTATGCCTTCCCAATGGATTAAGAGCTTGCTTCCTCCGTCGACGTCGTCACCATGATGAAGCTCTGTGGGTAGCCATATCACCAATGACCAACCTCCCGCTCGGGTGGAAGACGTCTCAGCACTGATAGAGTACTTACTTGGAAGGCCATGATAGCGGAACTCTCACAAGCTCACTTCATACCTGCGATACGTAAAGTACGTTTAGTGCCCAACAGGCAATAGGTACGGGAAGTAGGTAAGGGAGAGGTCTTAGTCATTGCTGACAGTATTGGATCCCCGTGAGCGAAACAGGATGCAGCAAATGGATCTACCCGACTACTAGCTAAGTAGTAATGCTACTCAGCCGGTTTGGGTCTTCTCTTGAACCTGATCCGTCACCTACCCACTAGGGGTCTGCTGCTGACCTAGAACTTCTGGTAACGGGTCCCACTACCTACAGGTTAGGGCGTCCTGTTAATGGTCACCGCGGAATACCTGTAGTTAAAGTACCGGTATGCTATGATGGAAGTAAGGGTCGTGTTAAGGTCCTCTGTCGAAGTGACAGCCTCAACATTCCGCGGTCGGCAGTTGGTTGTGTGCGCGATGGTCGCGTTGTTTTCAATCCGCGTTCCCTGGTTTGTATCGAGCTGGATACTGTTTCTCAACTGTACAAGTACATGTCCACACCATCCAAATCGCGAAGAGTTGGGCTAGACTGAGGCCAGTCAGGGGCATTGTTGTCCGGGCTAAGCCGGGAAGGCCTCATATCTTGAGAACACTTAAACGGAAGTCTAGAACAGGTGTTTACATAGTCATCTTCCATGGAAAGTGAGAGCATCCAGCGCACCGCTTAGAGAAGTCATCGTCGTGCGCTATAAAGAGCCCTTGCCTGGAGCTCTACATTGGAGGCGTGGCAAGCCTGGAGCCAAAACTGGCAGGCACTGGCAGGAAGCGGTCATGCCCGAAGTGGGTGTGGGTCCTTGTGGTGGTTCTGGTTCCGCTGAACCCCAGCTGTGTGCGCAGCGTGGAGTACGTTTCAGTTTCTGACCTGGCCGTACCGGTACCTACAATACACGTGTAGTGTAATGTGATGATCGGCTGGTCCGTGATTGACGGATTTGCAACGAGTCGCTGAATCGTGTCGCCTGCGTGAAGGTTCAGATGATTGGCTTCAAGTACAAGTGGAGGTAAGTTGGTGCGGATGCACCCGGGTTTCTCTTTGGCAACCATAACACGAAGCTATTTGTCGCATCCCGTGCTCCGCTCAACGTCAAAACCCGGGGGTGTGTCACTGCAGGCTGCACGGCGCCGGCAACCGCATGCGGGGCGCAGTCAGGAATCTCAAATTCAAAATGCCTCCAGGTTTCCGACTCATCAGCACCCTTACGCAAGAAGAAGGGGGCAACCAATCAGAAATGACCGATAATAATGGCATGCGCCATGCATCGATCTGGGCTGTGGCGATCGACCACATATTGGTGGGGTGTCGGGGGTTATCGGAGGGCCCCGGCAATCTGGTTACATGTTACGGTACATTTGCCAATTCATCATTTCACGAACGAGGGACAAACTGAAAAACCACTCATCTTGAGCCATGAGCGCTAGAATATGCATTACTTTTGCCCAAGGGTCTTGCCACGCGGGGGTCGCATTCCAGCTTCTCGATTGGAAACGCGAATGATGAGAAACGGGATAAGTTGGGGGTAACCCGGGGATGTCGCGTGGTTGGATCTGTTAGAGGGCCTCATACCGAGGCGACATCCAAGCCTTCGAAGTTCGGAAATGGGACCCACGGTTAGCGCCACCGTCCCCATGCGGGGCCCCTCCGACTCGTCGCCGATAAAATTTCCCTCAGTCCGTCTTGGAGCCCACTGTTCCTGCATTCTTTATTAAAGTTCACGGTTCCATTGTTTCCCACCTGTCGTTTCCATCGGTCTCAACTGCAAGTCACCGCACAACGCTCTTTGTGACACCCATACCCAGAAACCCTTAAAGATACCCAGCAACAACATCGCAGCCATGGTAAACTTCACTTCGTTTGCCTAGTCCTATTCAAATGTCGAGACCATATGCTAACAGCGTCTTCATGATCAGGCGACGTCCGAGGCCCATATCTCCCGCTCTGAGATCGTCAGGCAATACACCGAGCTTGACCAGAAGGGCATCATCATTGCCGAATACATTTGGATCGACTCCGAGGGCAACACGCGCTCCAAGACACGGACTCTCGAGGGTGGCCAGAAGTGGGATGTTTCCACTCTGCCCATCTGGAATTTCGACGGTAGCTCAACAGGCCAGGCTCCCGGAGAAAATTCCGACGTGTACCTTCGCCCGTGCGCCGTCTACCCTGATCCCTTCAGGAAGGGTGACAACATTCTGTGAGCTTCACCGTTGTTGCACGGCGCCGAGTGGTCACGCTAATAGAACCTCAGTGTCCTGGCCGAGTGCTGGAACCATGATGGCACACCCAACAAGTACAACTATCGTCATGAGTGCGCGAAGCTGATGGAGGCGCACGCCGAGCACGAGCCGTGGTTCGGTTTGGAACAGGAGTACACTCTCTTGGATCTCCATGACAGGCCGTACGGCTGGCCCGTTAATGTACTTACACCCGCCGTTTACGCAAGAGATCTTGCAGAAGACTGACACATATTTGCAGGGCTTCCCCGCTCCTCAGGGTCCCTACTACTGCGGTGTCGGTGCCGGCAAGGTTGTCCAGCGTGACATCGTGGAGAGCCATCTGCGTGCTTGCATATATGCCGGCGTCAAAATTTCGGGAACCAACGCCGAGGTTAGCAAGTCTCAATGGGAGTTCCAGGTCGGCCCTTGCGAGGGCATCAAGAGTGAGTGGTGAATATTTGGCTGTCAAGTGAGGCACGCTAACACTCCGTCTAGTGGGCGATGACCTCTGGATCGCGCGCTACATCCTTGCTCGTGTCGCTGAAGACTTTGGGGTGAAGGTGTCACTACACCCTAAGCTGATCCCTGGTGACTGGAACGGCGCGGGTCTGCACAGCAACTTCTCCACCAAAGAGATGCGTGTAGAAGGAGGTATGGCTCACATTGAGGCTGCCATCAAGAAGCTTGAGGGTCGGCATCAAGAGCACATCGCTGTCTACGGCGAGGACAACGAGAAGCGGCTCACCGGCCGTCATGAGACTGGCGCCATTGACCAGTTCTCATAGTATGTTCCATCCCCTGGAGCGGGCCTCTACGAGCATAAGCTAACTTGAGATGCAGCGGCGTGGCCAACCGCGGCGCTTCAATCCGCATTCCCCGTGAGGTGGCCGCTAAGGGCTACGGATACTTCGAGGACCGGAGACCGGCCAGCAATGCCGACCCATACCGTGTCACTGGCATTCTTATGGAGACGTATGTGACAACTGAGGTCTCTACTTTGTGTGCTGAACTAACGGCGTACAGGATTTTCGGTGCTGTCTAAACACATTCGATACCCGCTCAGGAGGGGATCTTGAAGAGAGACATCAGCTAGGAGTACAGACGGCATTGCTGCAAGCATCTGGATTATAGCACTTGGGTCATGAGGATGCATGTTGTTGTCATCATTTACATTCGGTTATTATCGGGCGCTAATGGTTTCTGGGATTTCGGTACTGGGTATAAAGAATACATAGACTAGGTACGGACATTGCATCGTGAAGTCATATCGGAGCGCGAACGTGGTGAATGAACACGAGCACTTTCCTGAAAAGATAGGAGGTGAAGCTAAAAATAGCATGGCAAATGGCTATGACGTCATGGCTCTACCAGGGTCTTCTTGGCATAACTGCGGCCGTTTTGACAAGACCCACCCGATGCAGGAACGAGCGGCAGCAACGGCGAGCTTCGAGTTGCAAGGCGGGAACGGGGCTGAGCGGGGCTATGCTTTGCTCTCTCGTGTCTTTAGTGTAGAACAAGAGTCCGTGTTTATCACTATTCACCCACTTGTTGGAATTCCTACGCGAGCTCTTAGGTCTTTCTCTCATGTCTCACTAGGAAAATATACATAATACAAGATACCTCAGGAATCAGGACACCTAAGTTGCGTCCATTGATGGATAGGTGCTCTAGCCTGTAGGAAACAACAAAATAGTTACTAGTTCCGAATGTACTACTAGTAATTCCGAAGGAGGTAGGCGCCTTTAGGTATGCAGAATACCAGTAATGCCAAAGGAACGATCCTGTAAGCTCAATGGTATATTGGCCGCTGGGAATTGCAAGTGAAATCTGCCAGACCTTTGATCCAGTTCACACAGCCGCTAGAGTACATTACGAAAGAGACACATGAAAGACATGGAACCCGTATGATATCTTTGCAGTTACCCGCCCCTGTGTGACACTGAAAGCGGCTCGATGCCTAGGAATCCACCTTAAGGTAGTTACGCGAAAACATGAGCACCTCTACCAATTACTATATCGAGCAACTTCCTGACAAGCCTTTCATCTGAAATTCACAGGATCATCTGAACGGTAAAAGCTTGCCGTTGGAGGTGATGTTGCCCACTCTAGCAACTTCCATGCCAGACCGGACAAGCCTGCCCCTCCATCACGGTTCAACTTGCTTAATGTACTTGTACCTTCGATGGTTTTTCTTCTCAGACAACAAACACGTAATTTAACCCGCGCCATGCTTTGAGCCATCTGCCGCTTTATGCGCAGTAGGTTTCGGTACCCAACCTTCGTTTTTTGATTTCTTCCCTGCATCTCTCCAGCCAGACTCAACCAGCCGCCAACCTGAACCGGACAGACCGGAATTTCGGGTTTTCGCCGAGTTGTACTGGTTCAATCGACTTTGACGCACCTCAACTTGAACGCTCGTTTTCCGCTCCACCACCTGCAACTGAGCCGAACCTGCTTGACGACTGAACCAACCTTACGGCTGAACCGACTTGACAAGTGAAACAATCCGACTGGTCCACCAAGATGGCCGACGAGGACGTTGCTGACGAGCCCGACGCCCTCACGACGCTGGCCAGGGTGGTTGAGTCACAGCAACGTCAAATTGAAATCTTGACCAAAAGCCTGTTGGAACAGTCCACGGCGAAATTCAGGCGCAATCCAATCGAGAACGCCAAGGAGGACGAGTTTCGCGCCGTGATCACCCATGTTCAAGACCAGGTCGACCAAGCCTTAGCTCTCGCAATGAAGGCCAATGAGGAGAGCATGGGAACACAGAGTGTCCAGGCAAAACTGGCGTTGGTCAAGAAGGAACTTAAGACACTCGGCAACAAATATACGGAGCTTGAGAAGAGCGTCAACGCCGCAAAGTCTATCGCGGAAACGTAGAGTGTCATGGATAATCTAGGGTGTCTTAAGAAGGAAGTTAAAATACTCGGCGAGAAATACACGGAACTCGAAGAGAGCGTCAAGGCGGCTAAGTCTGTCGTGGGAACACGGAGTGTCATGGACAAACTGCGGTTTCTCAAGAAGGAAATTAAGACACTCGGCGACAAATACACTAAGCTCGAGAAGAGCATCAACGCCGCCAAGTCTGTCGCTTCCATGCCTGTGAGCGCCTCACCCCAGCCAATCATTCCGGCCCTCGTGGCTGGTTCGAGGACGGGAGCCGCGAACGGCGTGGCAACGCCACCAACTGGTCCCAAACGGAAGTATGACAGCGATGAGCAGCCAGGTACCTCTGCTAAACGTCTGATGGGCGGCAGCAGCACGATCGCAACTCCCAGCGGGCACAGGGACAAGAACAGAAGAATTGGAGACCCCGTCATCAAGCCCGAGCCGAAGCCTAATGCTTACCTAGGTAGCCTCGCGGGGGAAATGAGGAAATGGTGAAACTTCCCTCGCAAATAAAAGGCTCAGTAAACAACCTCGAGGCCCTGGAATACTCCCGCCCCAGAGTCTTGGCATTCTGAACCAGTTGGTGCACAAAACAAGACCCCGTTTGCAACCGTGTTCACTGCCATCCATGGTATTCAGTTATGGAAATCATTGGGAAGAGATGGATACATGGACTGGAAGCTGAGACTTGATCACCAGATTCACCTGTAAGGTATGGAAACGAGGTTTGGCGATGGCTTTGCTCATTGTATGTACGAGGATTGTTGCCCAGTTCATGGTGCCAGGTGCCTATAGGTACTGTACTTAGATATATTTCGGAAACCGTCCTGCATATGGTTCTCCCCACAACTGTGAAGTTCAAGGTTCAAGATCCACCTAGTCCCTAGGTATGTCCCTTCAGGTCCAAGATTCTGACTGCAGGCAAGCCTCAAAGCCTTGTTGGCACGTTATACCAATTCACAATAGATCGCTGGGGCACATGCAACCAACAAGTCAACCCAGCAGAGCACCGGAATAATCGAATTGTTTCATGACGAGATGGGAACCTGAAAACCACCGACTGACGCCACCGTTCGTCGGTCGATGTTCATAACCACTTTCGCTTCGCTGTTTACACAAGTCTTCTACCTGCCGGTTGATGCATCATTCATTCTCACTTGGTTCAATAATCCCTATCCCAACCCCATCAAGATACCTGCCCTTATTCAACCACACGACGAGCCTTTTGATCTTCATAGATGACCGCAACACGGGGCGTCGGGTCGTCATACTTCATGTGGAGCGCCAGTTCCTGGTAGTCCTTTGTCCACATGCCCGTGGAATCGCGCGGGTAGGTCGAGCGGAAGCCCAGGAACTGCTGGGCGCGCTTTGACATGCCGCGCACGACATCATGGTCGACAATGAGCGGATGAGCTTCTGACGGTGTCAGGAAGCTGGGAATGACAACGAACTGGATGCAGCCGCGCTCCTGGTCGTCGACGACGCTGCGGCCCGTGCCGTGGACAATCTTGCCACCAAAGAGGAGCGCATCCCCGGGCTCCATCACAGCGGGGATGGTCTGGTCCTGGCTGCCGCGCTGGTCGAAGTCCCAGTGGTTGGACCCCGGGATGACCGCCGTCGCGCCGTTCTCGGCCGTGAAGGGCGTCAGCGCCACGATGAAGTTGAGCATGGCCTCGGTGGCGTCCTTGCCCAGCAGCACGTAGGGCGGGTACGTCTGCAGGTCACGGTGCAGCTCCTGCGGGGCCTGGGCGCCCTCGACCCAGATGGTGGTGGCCTGCGAGAGCCAGTAGTTGCCCGCGTGGCCGCCCTCGGTGAAGACGCGCATGCACAGCTCGTGGATGAAGTCGTTCTCGACCAGTCGGTCGCGGAACACGGAGCTCAGGTTGGTCAAACCCCCGATCCGCCGCGTCTTGCGCCCGTGGAAGTCGGCCAGCCGCTCCGCGTACGCGGCGTAGAGAGAGCCTTGCTGCACCTTGGTCAGGCTCGGCTTGAGCTCGTCGCGGAACTGGGCTGCCTCGTCGGGCGTCAACAGGCCCTTGAGAATCACGCCGCCGTCTTCGTCGAAGTGCTTGAAGATCTCGTCCAGCGGCGTGTCGTAAGTGGCCTCGAAGAGTTTTGTATGGCCATTGGGAACGGCGGTTTGGGGCGTATCCTTGGGGATCTTCCACATGGTGAGGGTCTTGTGAGTAAGGTACTTTGCAAAGAGATTGTCTTCTCGATTTAAACTCGTAAGTGAGCTCTAGTCTGAGTCTAAGGGGTTGAAGGTTCTACTGAGTCAAGCAAACACCAGTAATGAACTAAAGATGAATGATTACTACTAGTAGTATTATACTGCTTACATAGGTACCTTAGTTTGCATTCGGTGCATAATTGATCCAAGTACAGAATCCAATGTGAGACTATCAGGCCATCAGCTGGATGATCTGGTGCCCTGAAAAATGCCGGTATGCGGCTACGACAGACGGGAAGGACCGAAGGAGTGAAGGAGGACCTCCGACCACCGGGGGGCGGGATCCGATTACTGAGGTACCTTAGTACCTTAGCTACAGTACATGGCCCCGGGCACGGAATCCGAAGGGCCGGGGGGTCCCGACATTTTGGATCTGAAGCCGTTGTTCTCTAATCTCTCGGTCTGTCTTCTTCTACTGATCTACATGGTTCATGACTCGTAGGCGATTGCGCCGGCGTAGTCCGAAATGGTTCTGCTATAGCCGCTCACCGCCGCAACCGGCTCCTCGTTCAGGCTAGCTCGGCTGGAAATCCCGCTTCCCCGAGTCGTGGACGACGAAACCGCCGTGGCCACGTCTGCCATGCTCTCGTCCCAAGCCGGGAAAGTCAATCCCGGGAAAAAGCCTTGGCGGAAGTCAATCTCGTGGGGCGACAGGTCGTAGGGAGGAAATATATCCTCGTTAGAGGCAGCTGCGACTGCCGTTGCTGAGTTGTTATTTGTATGGAAGGAGCCACTCCCACGCGGATGGTGGTCAGCTTCCTGTTCCTCCTGCAGGGACGATGGGGAGGATGCCTGGCGCTGCTCCAGGGCAGAACCGGTCCTTCGACGCTTTCGCTGCTGTCCCTGTCTCTGTTGCTGCTGCTGCTGCTGTGCAGTGTTGATTTTACCATCAACGGCGTCCATGACGATGATGGCCAGCTGGTATAGCCGCTGGGTATGCGACCTCTCTCGGAAATCCGTCACTTTCTCAAGCAGCACGATGAACTCCCCCAACAGGTCGACGTCAGATTGCGACCCCGCGCCGCTCAGGATGCTCGTGCACATCTCGAGTAGGTAGAGCGGAGGGTGGGATGCGATGATGCTGGCAAGAGAATTAGATTAATCATCTTCAATTCCCTCTTTCCCGTGAGTCTCCTTCTGGAACGCATCAAGACTGCACTGACCGTGACATGGCTGTATGACGGCCGTGGTCCGATCTCAACGACCAAAGGCTCAGCATACATCTCAGACAACTCCTGGCAAGCTCCGGGCCAGTTTGATCCTGGTGAAACACGGTTTCGGCATGTTCCCTGTAGGGCCAGACGAGCAGCAGCTGCGTGAAGACGAAGTCAAGCGCCAGTTCTGCCTGCGAGAATGGCGGGCTTTCAGATGCTGCGCTGTCGTTCTGCACCCCGTCTAGGTCAATTCCTGTGGCAACCAACCAGTCCTGCAGTCTGCTCCAGATCTTGAAGGCTGACTGGCGGGCCTCTTCGGAACTTCGATCCCTGACCTGCACCGCGTATACTTCCATGTATATGGCCTCTTCAATGGCCGCCAGCTCTGCTTTTGCCGCCAGGTGTCTGGCGAGCGTGTCCTGAGGGGACAACGGCGCCAAGTCGATCATCACGTCCGATGTGGTGATGCTGGGGGATGTGCCGCTCGTCCAGCAGACTATCTTGTCCAGGGTGTACAGGCACCAAGAGACGTTCCGCCTCTCCTCAGTCTCCTCGTCGTTGAGCTGGCCCCGGTACGTATGCCAATGATGAATACCCAGGGCTTTTGCACACTGAGCGGCCAAGGAGAACAGCATCTCGAAGACACATGTTGACATGTGTTGCTGCGCTACCATGCACTTTGGATTCGTGCAATGTTAGCGAACTTGCCAGTTTCTGATTGCAATGGGTGAGCAGGTTACCATACCAGGGATAAGAGTGCTTGGACATTTCTGAGGCGAGGTGCCAGCAGTGGCTCAATGTTGTCCACTGCCCTCTTTGCATTGTCGAGGAATCCTGACGCCAAGTCCAAGCTTCCGGAGGCGAAGGAGGCAGTTGAGGAGCTTCGGCGCACATGCTTCGCGGACTGGGTAGGTTTTCCGGGGCGAGCAGAGTCTGCAGCCAGCGTCATGAGAATGAGGTTGTTGCAGCAGACTATGGATGCTTGATCTTGTTGCTGTTGTTGATGTTGTCCCGCAATGTTACTACCAGCACCAGACAAAGACTGGCGTAATGCGGCCGCCATCTGGCAGAACCGAGCCTTTGTCCAGATGGGGAAGTGCGGGTTGATTGTGGCAAAGTAGGGCTCAACCATGGCGTCGAGGACCGCAAAAGGAGGCGGGATCAGTGGAGACATCTCCGTGGCTGGCTCTCGTTGCATGTCGCAGTTATTACTCAGGAGTTGGTCGATCTTCTGCTGAGCCTTCAGAGGATCCTGCCCCGGGCGCTGCGGGTCGGAGTCCAGATTTGCAGAGATAGCATCCTTGATGTCCAACGCTATGCTCTCAAAAGCTGTAGGACCAAAATACCTCTCACCCACTTCGTCGTTTTGGCAAGGCAGAAAACGGCCCAAGGGCCTTGAGAAGGTTGGCGCCCTCGGCCCGGGAGTTACGTCTGGCAGAAAACGTGGACGACTGGACTCGGCCGTGGGCGACCTTGAACGTATGGAAACCGACGACTCTCGGAGTAGTCGTCTCACGGAGTTCTGTGCGGCATGTTAAATCCGGGATCAAGATTCGTCACTAGCAGAGGCTGCGTCATGCCTCATGGTGTGATCTAAAGCGTCGGCTCACCTCCAGATTCTCGAGGCGGCTGTCCAGCCCCACGATGGCGTTGCTACTGCAAAGCATCACAACGTCAGCTTCCGTGTGAGGCGCATGACCGGGAGAAGATAAGCTCAGAATCTGTTTGGACGTACAGCATGGCGGTTTGATTGCACTTTTTGCCGTTGCCAGACCAGTGGCATTCCTGTCCCAGACGGGAGCAGTTGGCGCATGTAGGCTTCTCCCTGCCACAACGTATCTTTTTGGTCCTACATTGGTCACATACTATATCAGACATCAAAAGATGTTAGTGTTAGTTTCCGTCCATTCTTGACGTAGTATGTAACAAAGACCCTAAAAAATTGGACGTTGGCGGCCACAAATATGGTAGCCGCAAGATGCTTGAAAAGTTGAAATGGGGAACTTCATGTTGTTGGGCCAATAGATCCAGTCTCATGCAGAATTGTAGTCTGTTGGCTTCTTGACGCAACCCCTGAATGCACTGGGCACCTAGACATGACCACGACCAACATGATTGAAGCCGACTGAACGGTTCCGGCTCCCTGGGTGCTGCGGTTGGTGCCAGGGGTGTCACGGGTGTGTCGGGTGACTTACCTGGGTAGTCCTTAGAGTTCGTCTCCTTGCTGACGGTGTCTTGAATAACACGGGCCGATTTCATGTTATATCCGGCCCCAGCTGAGCAGATTTTGAATGTTATTCCAGTGTCACCAAGTTGGGACGAACTTAGAGTCCTGTCTGGAGTGGTACAACAAACTGGGGATGGCGAGGCGCAGCTAGTGTCTCGTGTTTGCTTTTTCAGGCGGATATGCCAGTAGTACTGTCCAGTCTTTAATACCCAATCCCTTGATCGGACTTATCCCCGGCCTAGTTTTAAGCACTGGGCCACCTAGTTACAAAGTCTGGTGAGGGTAGAAGGTGCCCGCTGAAGATGGGGAGTTGCTGCGGAGCACGAATGCACCGTCATGGCTCCTGAGTGTTGCAACGCATCGCAGGACGTGTCATGCGGCAGAATCCAACGCATGCATGTCAGCAGCTCTAACTTACAGTACTATCACTAATACAAGCTAATTACCTTAGTCATTCCACTCGGCATGCTACATGTAGGCCTAGAAGTCTATGATTTGGCGATTCCCGTATAAATAAGGTAAGTCATCCCTAGATTGTATGATTCGGCATGTGCCGTACATTTATGTAACAGTTGTTGACATAGGCGGACTGGAGTCCGAACTGTAGCAGTGAGGGGGCTGACTGTGCGGAGCTGATAGGTGTTCAGCCAGGCTAATGGATCATCGTCTGACTGATCTGCGAGAGCCATTGGAGAAGCTACCATGGATGAGAGACTGTCCACTTGTCCAGGTCTCTGCAGTCTCCGCAAACGCTACGAGTGTATTGTTTGATGTACGGATGCGGAAATCTTAAATCTTGGTTGTATTGTGTAAGCCTGGTAGAGTAGGCACAAAGGCACTGCATCATGATCCATGGTATACCGGCACGGGAGCCAATCCAGGGCCTGGCACTGAAATGTTGTGGCCCCCCAACACGGCTTTCATACTACTAGTACTACCGGTATTTCCGTAAGGACCTGTACTGCCTACATCTAGAGCCATACAGCTGGTATGTACTCGAGCTTCGACGCTCGGTAGGTATGTAGTAGTAGCTTCCTCGCCACAGGAATGTGAGGTACAGTACATGTAGATCTCTAGGTAGGTAGGCATCCATCCCAAGTCAGGATTCATGTTACGGTGTTACTCGGTGTTCTAGCGGGTTCAGCGCGAACCCGGCTGTATTAGACTCGAATCCGCTATGTAGCCGGCGTTGCAGACCAAGGAGAATCAAGGTGGTCTTCAAGGTTGGATCTCGCAACAACGATGGGTGGAACCCCTGGACCTCGCACCCTGGAAGCGTCGCTTGACCTCGTAATCGATCTCACAACTACCTACCAGTAGAACTTGGCACTGAAATGATTTGAATTAACCCCGCTGTGGAGATTTGCAGTGCTTGACCGTCGATGTAGTATTCAGCTTTCTCACTTGCATTGGTGGTGGATTGGTAGCAAGGAGGTTCGACAGATTAGAGGGAGCCAAGCAATCCGTTGCGACTTCGTTTGACCACTATAAACTCACGTCAGCACAGGCAATTGTCCCGTCTATTCCGAGCATGTTTTGGACGGCGACCTGGCTGAGTAAGGTTGGGGAAGTTACCATAGGAGACTGCCGGGTTCGGATATGTCAACCTTCACCCGATTCAGTCAGGATCCAGGAATTCGATTCGACGTCTTCGTATGTGAGGCCTCCCCCCACGCCGAGACGGGAAGATCCACGACAGGGTGCCGATTCCCGCGCCAGTAAGGGGTTTGTTTGCACGGCCCGCTAATCAGCTAACCCGTTAAGGCTTGGCACGAATCTGAGTTCGCATAAGGATCGCCAATGGCCGTTCTAGCGCACACCACACTGTTTCATTAGTGCAGTTACAGGGCATCTTCAGGGGCTCTGCACTAACGTGAGGTTCTTTGCTACATACCTTAGGTAGGGACTGCAGTGACACCCTTCGAGGAAAGAATATGGAAGGCAACTCTTTGGGGGATCCAAGCTTCCCAGGAGCCCCACAGGACAGGCTGGGAGCCAGCGGCCCAGATTCCAGAGCGTCCCTGTAAGCCAGAACAAAGCCCAGGCATGTCGGATACTACAGGAATTGCTTTGCCCTTCGCTGAGAGGGGCTCGGGCTGGACCACAAGGCCGACGCTGCTGCAATGGGACCACCGTGTATTCGAGATGTTTGCCTGTTAAGGTAAGGTGTATCTCGTAGTCGGTAACCAAACCGATGATTTTCAATTCTAGAACGCTTCCTAGGTCCTTTACAGATACCTTACACCTGGAGAAATTAAAAGGATAGACAAGATACTGTGGTAAATACTTATGTGGATACCATTCCACAGGCATTCATCGACATCAGCACACTGTAGAGTTGGTAAAGCAGCGGGCAAAATCCACACATTGACAGCAGGTATTAACCTTGGTACCGATGCGCTGGCCGATTCGTACGGTAAGCGCTTGGTAGTCGACTAGTAGCGGCGATTCCCCGCTGGGGCTAGGCCTTAGGAGTTAGGACTTAACATTAGGAGTTTGTTCAAGTCTGTATTACTTTACTGATCAAGAACACCGTGCCGTGTCAGGCGCGTCGCCAAGGTGATGTTTTCGAGACTCTGCGTCTGAGGATATTGCGTTTTCAGGATTTGCATTGGCTGCAAGTTTGACTGTTGATTGGAGGCAGGTGTCAATAGGGAATCGTTATCTCCCGATCAATTTCGCAGCTATGATCTGACATCGTAGTTGACGAGCACCCCTTAGTAAGGAGACAACCACAACGGATTTCGAAAACAGCCTCAACAGGCCGGGAAATCCGGCGGGTCAAGTCAACCAAATCATCTCATATACCCGGCGGATCGCGCATTGTGCATTGAATGGGGCGATGGACGCATGCCTAGGCCTACTACCGGCGAAAGAGGACACCTCCAGCTCAGCAGTGAGTGGCCCGATCGCACTGAGGGTGCGTTCCGGAGGACGGAACCCGGAACCCGAAACCCAGAGAGCGGAACCGGGGGGTCCGGGGGTGCTGATCCGCACACTTACCGTAAATGGCAGGCAAGACGGGAGGGGCGTTCGCAGGTGGGGAGCTGGCAGGTGGGCCCGGCTTGGCTTTCCCGGACTTGCAGGCCGTGCCGTTAACTTTGTTCACCTTCCCCTTGCAATCGAAAAATCGACCCGCACATGGAACGAAGTCGCCGAGCCTGCCTTTCTGCAAGGGTTCAATGCGCAGCTTTTCTGTCGGCCTCTGCGTGCCGCCCGTTCTGCTTGCATCTCTCGTGCGTCCGATCTCCGATGCGAAACTGCGCGATATGGCGCGCCCCGCGTGCCCGCGTCCTTGACAAGTTTGACTCTCTTGATGTCTCGAAATGACGCTGTCCCATCTTTACCGACAGTATGATGTCGCTCCTCCGCGACTTTCGGTCGGAAAGCACGCCATGTTCTTGGCAACTTGTCTAAGGCGTTTTCCATAGAGCACCAGACATCACAGAAACGGCGTTGAGTTGTAGTCTGCTACTCAACAGCAGTCTTGTCGCTCTCTCCGTGTCTCGTGTGTTGCGAGCAAATCACCTCGCCATCGAGACACCATGGCTTCTTCGGTATTCAGCCTCCAGGGCGCTACGATCGCCACCGCGATTGAGGTGTTTCTGATAGTCAAGTTGGCAACTGGAATTGACATTGGGCTGCGCTGGATTGCACTGTCCGTGTTTAGCATCAATTGTGCTATCGTGATCCTCTACAACACCATAGTCCATCCGGACTTCATCAGTCCCTTGCGCAACATTGCGGGGCCCAAGGTTCGTTTGTCTTGCTACTTTGCCCTTGTGAAGGGATGTTGAACTCTTTATTAACTGGATTCAGTGGTCTCTTCCCCGAATCACCGTCCACAGGCTCAGCAGCAGTTCCACACAAGGCGAGTTGCTGCTCCAGATGGCTCGCGAAACACCCAACGACGGCATCGTGGCGCTGAGAGAGTTCACGAGGAGGCGCTTGTTGGTCACCAAGCCGCACGTCCTGGCAGATGTGCTGGTGCATCGATATCAAGACTTTGAGAAGCCCGAGAACATGCGACGCTTCCTCCGAAACCTGGTTGGCGACGGGCTTCTGATGCTGGAAGGGGAGGCGCACAAATTCATGAGGCGGAGCACAAACCCTGCGTTCAACTTCCGCCGCATCAAGGACCTGTATCCCATGATGTGGAAGAACTCGCTCGCCTTCCGCGAGGTGCTGGAGGCTGACCTACGGGCCCAGAGTCCGGCGGCTGACACCCCGCAGGGCTCAGCTGAGGTAACACACTGGGCGAACAAGATAACCCTGAATATCATTGGCAATTCCCTCCTCGGCAAGGATTTGAACGTGTTTGGCGGCCGCGAGGACAGGCTGGTGAAAAGCTACGAAGTCGTGTTCGACCCGAGCAAGGAAATGCTGCTGTACTTTGTCTTGTCGGCCTGGTTCTCACATCGGCTGGCCAATGCTCTCCCGTGGAGGATGCGCCGCGTTTTCAAGGAGACGACGGGAACACTGAAGAGTATCTGCGTCCAGATGGCCCGCGACAGGCGCGAGGAAATCAAGAAGGGCGCTCAACATGTTGATATTCTTACCCAGCTTATCAAGCTGGAGGTATTTTCGGACGACGAGCTTGGTGATCAACTGCTTACCTTCCTCGCAGCAGGGTAAGTGGTTCCATGGCTTGCAGAGATTGCCTTAACTTTAACTAATTCCTATTGCAAAGGCACGACACAACAGCACTTACGCTCACGTGGGCATGCTATCTCCTTGCTCTTGATCCAGCCCTGCAGGGTACTCTCCGAAAGGAGGTGCGGGACAATCTGCCCTCATACACGCAGGGGGAATCCGCTGGCGATCTATCCGCCGACGAGCTTGCGGGCATCATGGAGCGCCTCCCCCTGCTAAACGGCGTCATTAGCGAGACGCTGCGTCTCTATCCGACGGTCCCGGTATCCATCCGGACAGCGGTGCGAGACACGACTCTCGGGGGCCAGCCGATCCCCAAAGACACCGAAATTCTCTTGTCGCCGTGGGTCATCAACCGATCACACGAGCTGTGGGGCGCAGACGCGGACTCGTTCCGGCCAGAGAGGTGGATCTCGTCGGTTGTTCCGGACGGCCACGGAGGAGCCGAAGGGGCCAAAGAAGGAGAGAAGCACAACGGAGGAACAGCAACAGAAGGCCTCTGGTACAAGCCGAACTACACGGGTGGCGCGAGCAGCAACTACGACTTCTTGACGTTCCTGCACGGCCCGCGCAGCTGTATCGGGCAAACCTTTGCGCGGGCCGAGTTAAGATGTCTTTTGGCCGCCATGATATCGCACTTTGAGTGGACATTGGATATGGACCCCAAGGATGTCATCCCCAGCGGCGCAATCACCATCAAGCCCCAGAATGGCCTGCATTTGAAATTGAGGGTGGCCAAGTAAAGTTATTAGTTTCCCATCTCGTTGATAATTTGTCAGAACTAGACGTTGCGCATGCCGTAGTTTGTAGCTAGGCCGGACTAGGCCGGATTGTCATCCGTGTAATGCTGGAGTTTCAATCTGACTGGAACTGACTGTTGGGTGAACATTGTTTTGAATCGGAAATAGGGAGGGTTCAGCATGTATGATGTCGATATGTTCAACATGCTCAGTTCTAACTGCAGTGGACTTGGTATTGTAACCCCATTTTTGGCATGTTATGTAATTGGAATTGGCGGCCAAAGCCAGTGCAACCGCGCTCCGCGTTCCCGCGGCGGAAACAAGTTGGAACAAGACTCTGCTTTGTACGACGGTAATAGGGGCAGATTATACTACAGCAACTCCCGTGTCATCCGCGCACCATATCGGTCAGCAATGCGTGTAAATAATAAAACGGGCAAAACGCATGGGCCAGCGCCGCAGCCAAGACCACAGTTTTCTTATAACAGTCCCGCCCTCCCTTTTCTCATCCTTGATTATCTATTACTAACGTTGGAGCGCTCGCAGTCTCGAAAACTTTGAACCCGGCACGTCTCACTGCGCCGATTCAGCCAACTACCGTTGAAGCGGCCAGCGTTGCCCTCTCATTCAGCACTCCCCAACGTGTGTTGTCTCAGCGATTAAGATTTGCAACAGTAAAGGTCTGCGAGGCTTTTCCCTCCCAATGGGCTCCGAGACGTTAAATCCCGGCGATCCCGCGGTCGGGGTTCAGGAGAAGGGTGGGAGCAGCAGTGACAGCCAGGACGTCGACCCGGGACCGAAATCTGAGGTGCCATCTGACACAGAGGCCGCGGCCATCAACGGCGACGCACCACAAAAGACAAAGAAGTCGCTAGCATTCCACCTCAGCTTCATCGCCATTACCTTCCTCTCCTTTCTCTTCTCCCTCGATGCCACCACCCAGGCAGTGGCGCTTCCTGTAGGTTCTGGGCCTCGGCATTGCCACTTTCATCAACTGACCGTCACCGCGCGCTCAACCGGATGTCATTGTCCTCATCAAGTCGGGTAGAGGCTGACCTAAGGGCTCTTACACCATGTATAGGTCATCGCCGAGCAACTGCACGGCACCACGCTGCAGTCCTTTTGGGCCAACATCGGCTACCTACTGTGCGTCGTCGTCACGCTGCCGCTGTACACGGCCGTGTCGGACGTGTTTGGCCGCAAGCCGACGCTGTACTTTGGCATCTTTTTGTTCGCCCTGGGCTCCCTCGTCTTCGCCATCGCCCAGAACATGGTCACGGTCGTCGTCGGGCGCGTGCTGCAGGGCATTGGCGGCGGCGGCATGGACCTCATGTCCGAGATCATCGTCGCCGACATGACTACCCTGCAGGAGCGCTCCCTCTACCTCGGCCTCCTCGCCATCCCCACCGCCATCGGCAGTATTCTCGGCCCCACCCTCGGCGCCCTCTTCACCGCAAACGTCTCGTGGCGCTGGATCGGCTGGATCAACCTGCCCATTCTGGGCGTGTCGCTGTTCCTGATCGTCGTCTTCCTCCGCCTGCGCCCCATCGACAGCTCCATCGCGAGCAAGCTCAAGCGCGTCGACTGGGGCGGGTCCTTCCTCTCTCTCGCGGGCATCACCTTGTTCGTGGTGCCCCTCAGCTGGGCGAACTCGCTGTACCCCTGGCGGGCCTGGGAGACGCTGGTGCCGTTGCTCATCGGCGCCGCGCTGGTGTTTGCCTTCATGATGTACGAGTTCAAGGTCCCCAAGCAGCCCATCTTCCCGTTGCGCCTCTTCCACTCGCGCACCGTCCACCTGACCCTCCTGGGAAACTTTGCCTACGGCGCCTCGCTCTACTCAGTGCTGCAGTACCTGCCGTTGTTCTACCAGGCCGTCACGCTCCGCACCGCCATCGGCGCCGCCGTCACGCTGCTCCCCACCAGCATTGTCAGTGTGGTCTTTGCCGTTGGAGGTGTCATTATGGTCGGCGTCCTCGGGAAGGGTTACGTCTGGGCCATTATCATGTACTGGGTCATTCTTACCGTGGGCAGCGGCCTGCTGGGCCTCCTGGGCGAGAATTCCTCGGCCAGTATGCTGCTTGGTCTTCCGATCCTGTGGAGCTCGGCCATCGGCGCCCTGATGCGTCTTCTCCACCTGCCGCTGCAAGCAAGTGTGTCCAGCGTCGACGACACGGGGCTTGTCATTGGTCTGCTGCTTGTGGTTCGGCTGCTCGGCGGTGTCGTGGGGCTCGCCATGTCGTCTAGCATCTTCAACAGCGTGTTTGAAGCGTCCACCCGGCATCTGGACCTCATGGGCCCGTTGGCTCCGCTCAGGGATGCGAGCCAGGCCGTTTCGTTTATTCCGCAGCTGTTGAACGTGAATCTGCCTCCGGAAACATTAGACCCGGTGCTGCAGGCCTACGCGACAGCTATGCGGGCCATCTTCTACACCATGACGGGCTTTAGCGGCGTCGGCTTGTTGACGGCGCTGTTTACGCAGGATGTTAGCCTCAAGCGGACTGAGCTTGGCCGACAACGCTTTGAGAACTGAGCGGGTATGATGATATGGTGACACTGACCTACTTATTCATAGAAACCTCAGCATAGTATCAGGTTCCAAGGCCGCATCTCGTATGATGCGGTCGTAGTGGCTAAGACAGCTGAGACATGGCATTTTTGTATATTGTTTAGTCCAAGGGATTTGTAATAGACTCGGAACAAGATGGTCATAAGCTAGCAGGCTACAGATGCATGTACAGTAGTCCAAACTAAAACCAGGTGTGACTTCGCTTCAGGGTTGGGGGAACCGGGTCTATAGAGATGTATCTATTTAATTCGGTGTCATAAGTACATAGTGTACGAGTAGGCAGTAAAAGCTTAGTAGCAGTTTAAATCGATGTAGAACAAGGAGTAGCACCAAGTTTGGCAAGTGAATCACTGCCATTACTAGTAGTGCATATTCATTTTCTACCACGAATCCCGCTACTGTAAATACTACCAAGTACGTCTAACATCATTCACGTCGTGTAGCCAATAGAAATCAAAAAGATACAAATCCCATAGAAACACCTTGTAAGCTCACGCACTCGCCGCCATGAGGGCATAGACTTGCTGTGCGGCCTTGGGCATCTTGTTCGTCCCCTTGTTTCCCTCGGTGCCCTCCTCGATGGCGATCATCTCGGCGGCCCATGCGCAGATGGTGTTTGCCAGCAGCGTGACCTGGTCCTCGGTGTTGGCGGCGTGGAACATGAGGCGGATCCGGCTCTGGCCCTTGGGCACGGTCGGGTAGTCGATGGGGAACGCCGAGATGCCCGACAGCTGCAGGTGGAAGACGAGCCACCAGTTGTAGCGCTGCCGTGTCCAGACGGGCACAATGTGGGCGTGGAATTCTTTGGTTTCCCAGTCGCCCTCCTCCATGACGGGGATCGACAGGATGCCCATGGCGCTGGCCTTGTCCCACACGGCGTTCTGCGTCATGCTCCGGAAGAAATGCTTCACGAGCCGTTGGATCGTGTTTTGAGCTTCTTGGGTTGCGCCAGAGGACATGAGACGGTACGCGGCGCGGATCCCCGCTACGGTTGGGTAGGACGGCGCCGTTGTGTAGATGACAGATCGAGCAAAGTTCATGATGACGGAGCGCACCGTCGCATTTCCTAGTATCACAGCTGTACAGAAAAATGCAGGTCAGACAACTTGGGTTTCCAGTTGCGAGGAACTCCTGGGCACCTACCTCCGGTCGAAGCCAACGCCTTTCCACAGGTATGTAATCGGACCGCAATTTCCTTCTCCAAACCCAGGGCGCTGACGAGACCGGCGCCCTTGGGGCCGAGGATGCCCGTGGCGTGCGCCTCGTCGACAATAAACACTGCGTTCCCCTTGGGGCACATCTCCTTGGCGACCTCGAGCATGTCGACGAGCGGGCAGACGTCGCCGTCCATGCTGTAGACGGACTCGACCGAGATGAGGATGGAGCGCGACCCGTCGCGGATCATGGGCTGCGTGTCGAGGACGGTTGCAATGGCATCTCGCAAAGCGTCGACGTCGTTGTGGCGGAAGGGGACGCGGGTCATGGCCACCGAGTGCGCCATGCCGTCGTGCACGCTGGCGTGGACGAGCTCGTCGTAGACGATGGCGTCGCCCGGGCGCGGGATGGCCGCGTAGATGGCGCCGTTGCCCTCATAGCCGGACCCGACAATCAGGGCCGTCTCGGCGCCGTGGAAGTCGGCGATTTCTTGCTCGACCTGCTCAATGTAGTCGTAGTTGCCGTCCATGAGCCGTGAGCCGCCGGCGTACAGGTTGAAGTCTGGGTTCTCGGCGAGTTCCTCAAGAAAGGCCCGCCGGATGGCCCCCGTGGCGCCCAGCGACAGGAGATCGTTGGAGCAAAAGTCGACGGCCACGCCCAGCTTCCAGGCGCTCTTGGTGCGCGTGAACATGGCATGGTCGGCTCTCCGCACGTCGAGAGCTTCCTCGAGGTTTTTGTAGAAGGTGGGCGCATCTTTCATGAGCGGCCCCTGAAGCTTCTGCCCCTTGATCCAGGCCGACAGCAATTGAGCGGCTGCCATGACGATAGGCGAATTGGCGAATCAGACGAGAGTATGCAGCTCAATTGCAATTCAATGATTCAATGTACCTCGGTAGGACTGGGTGCGGTGAGGCAGTGTTGAAGGATGGTGATTGAAGTCAAAGATGTCGATAAAGATGGCGACACGCCGTCAAATTGGCACAAAATACACCTCTTAAAGACCAAAGAGCATAGATAGCTCATGCAGTGCTTTCTGTCTCTGAACGCATGGACGCGGTAGCTGCAAAAGCGTCTGCAGGTAGGGGAGGACCAAGTCGTATCGGTGCACTTACACCCGACTGCCGGGCCCGGAACCCGGAACCCGGACCACCACAGCGGGTAGAGCAACCGGACGGCCCAACAATAACTGTCCGCCCCGACCATCGGACGGCTCTGAAGGCCTGGTATTTGGCCTGCAACGGGGAGTAATAACGTCAGCTTAGTTCGTTTGGTGCTTGCAGGTGTATTCTCGGATCTCTCCTGGCTTCAACGCCGGTGTCCTGTAACTTTCCAACTCACGAGCCATGGGCGGCTTGAAGATGAAACAGGATCTGTACGGGAAAGCAAGTGACCCTCTCTCTGGATTCGTCATCCTCGCGCACTAACAAAACAAGTGACAGACCGTCTTTGTGACGGGTGGCTCTGGCGGGCTGGGAAAGGCCATTGCGATGCAGTTGGCTGCCAGAGGTTCGAATTCAACGGTCGAATTGTTTTCTCCCTCGTGTTACTAGACACTGACTCTCCAAGGCGCTCACATCACCCTGTTCTCAAGACGCCAAGGTCCGCTGGACGAGGGGAGAAAGGAGGTGCTTGCGAAATGTCCCAACCCGAATCAAGAAGTCGACGTCGTCGCAGTTGACATGGGGGATGCCGAGAAGGTGCCTAATATATACCCAGTATTCACTTGAGTACTAATGAAAGACCCCTGGCAATGCTGATAAGGTCCGTCCCCTTAGGTCGACTTTGCCTTCAGGACACAACCGCGAATTGCAGACATCTTGTACTGCGTAGCGGGCGGCAACCACGCCGAAAACGGGTTTCTGGCCGACATTGGTGCCAGACAGCTCGAGAACTGCATGAGGAACAACTACTATTCGGCCGCCTTTGCAGCCAAGTCTGTGCTGGACATTTGGATCGCCGACGACGACAGACGCGCCATCAGCTCTCAACCTGAACACAAACGCCGCCAGATTGTCTTCATCAACAGCGCCGCCGCCTTTGTCGCCTTGCCGGGCTCCATTGCCTACACGCGTGAGTAGGCTCTCTATTGAGATTTTATTGGTGTCACATTCCCTGCTGACATGTATCTCAAAACAGCGGCCAAATGCGCCGTGCGTGCCCTGGCAGACACGCTGCGGATGGAGGTGCTGCGCTACTGTTCGCCAACAACAACCTACTCGATCCACTGCGCGTTCCCGGCCGACTTTGTGTCTCCCGGCTTCCGGCTGGAGCAGGACACCAAGACGCCACTAACAAAGCGCATGCAGGGGACCGACCTGACCATCGAGCAGCTCGAGGCCAAGTTCCCGTCCTCGGACAAAGTCGCCTCCCTCGTCATTGCCGCCGTCGACAGGGGCGATTTCATCATCTGCGAGGACTCGCCAGCCGCTTCGGTCCTCTTTCCCAACATGCTCGGCCCGTCGCCCAAGAGGGGGCTGGGCATCTTTGATACACTCATGGCCCCGGTCATGGGGTGGTTTGTGATGCCCTTCTTGAGATGGAGATGGGAGGGCATGACGCGGCGGGATGGGGAGGAGATGAGGAAAGCGCGGCAGTTCCATAGTCACGGATAGGTGTAGTAGTATCATCCAGCGACTACATACTACATAGTATAATCGACCAAGTACCTAGGCATTGCATTGAGTAGTAGAGGTCCGGGATTGCGTGCAGAGTACTTACCGGAGTATCATGGCTAATAATTTGGAATCAATGTCCAAGCCAAGACCTGGACCGTCATGGGCATCCAAAATCGGGTTTGTTCTCGACGGGCCGGTAAGGTACTTGCCGTGGTTCTTGGTTGCAGGGACATTTCAGCATTTACCTAACACGGGGGATTGGTGCCGGTGTATGTTGCTGAGTAACGTGCACATGCGGTCATACGGGATGGCGAGATCCACTTAGACGGTCGGTCAGCTTCGGGAAACGGAACCCGTGGCCGCCGCTGAGCTGCTGCAGGAGTAGACGTAGCGGGCCCGGTCCTTGACTCCTCTCGGCGTCAGTGCATATGTCCGGCGGAAATTGAAGTAGGCTAGCAACCGGGTCCCGATTCCCGCAGTCAAAATCGCGGAATGCTCCCGTACTATCCTGCCATACTTCCGGTTTCCTACCCGCCCGCTCCGGGAGACACGGACGTGCCACCGGTGATGTTTCCAAGTCCTTGGATTTTCGGCCTCGGGTTCCCCAAGGGCCCAGACGAGCACGGCACACCCACGGCCCCTTGCCGGCGGCTGGTCAACAGCCCGATCCTCGGATTGTGTAGGAGTGCAGCTGATGTAGCAGTAGTGCTGATTATCAACATAGGAGAATGGGTCACCCCACATTACACACGGAGCAGGCGGAAGTGGTACTCGTTGTATTCCAGTCCTAGGTACCACAAGGTGATAGCTGCGAAGTTCGATGAATATATATGCGGTTCGCGTCGATTCTAAGCCTTCTGGACCTGATCAGCAGTCTTTACTCTCGAGTATTCAACCAACACTTATTTTCAAGAAACTCTGGCTTGATCACTACCGGTCGTGGTAGTGCCTGTCCGATCAGTTTAAACGCCGTGCATAAGTGTTGCAAGACAGCCGACTCAGGTACCTGGTTGTGAGTGCCTTCTAACACAATGGTTATTTCCGCCGATCCAAGTCCGAATGCTGCGGGCGGCTACAGCAATGGCGTGAACGGCCACGTCAACGGCCACGGGACAAACGGCGTGTCCACCAACGGCCACTCCCTAAACGGCCACACGACAACAAACGGGATCAACGGCAATGGCGTCCCAGCCTATGGGCTCAACGGTGCCGGCAACAGTGGCATGATCCCTATTGCAATCTGCGGCATGGGTAAGCACGGCCACAGATCCTCATTGCGCTTTGAATTTGAAAGACTGACATTGTCCCCCATCAAACAGCTTGCAGGTTGCCTGGCGGACTGGCATCGCCGCAAGACCTGTGGGAGTTTGTCCTGGCAAAGAAGAATGCCAGAGGCAAGGTCCCCGAGTCTCGGTACAACATCGATTCATACTACTCGTCCACCATCAAGCCTGGCACCATCTCGACCGAGTACGGATGCTTCCTCGACGAGAGCGTCGACCTGGGCGCGCTGGACACGTCCTTTTTCACCCTGCCGCGGACAGAGGTGGAGCGTGCTGACCCCCAACAGCGGCTCATGCTCGAGGTCTCGAGGGAGTGCTTCGAGGACGCCGGCTTGACCAACTGGAGGGGCAAGACGATTGGCTGTTATATCGGCAATTTTGGCGAAGACTGGGTCGAGATGTTCTCCAAGGAACCGCAGCAGTACGGCATGCATCGTATCGTGGGCACTGGCGATTTCGTCATCTCAAATCGCCTGTCATACGAGTTTGACATCAGGGGACCGAGGTATGCATTGTCCACTTGACATGAGGTTACGTCCTTTGTATGACTGACAGGTCTGGGACAGCATGACCATCCGTACCGGGTGCTCCGCGGCTTTGGTGTGCCTCAACGAGGCCTGTGCGGCCATCTCGAGAGGCGACTGCGAAGGTGCTCTCGTCGGCGGCGTGAACCTGATCTTGGGCCCGAGCATGACGGCTGCAATGACCGAGCAGGGCATCCTGTCTAAAGACGGCGCCTGCCACTCCTTCTCTGCCGAGGCCAACGGCTACGCTCGCGGCGAGGCAGCAACCGCCATCTATGTCAAGCCGCTGGCCGACGCAATTCGCGACGGCAATCCGATTCGGGCCGTCATCAGAGCGACGTCTCACAACGTCGACGGCAAGACGCCCGGACTATCACAACCGAGCACGGACGCGCAAGAGGCACTGATGAGGAGGGCGTATCAGCTCGCCGGCATTGACGACTACTCGGAGACGGCCATGGTCGAATGCCACGGCACTGGCACTCCGACCGGCGATCCCATAGAGGCAAAGGCCGTGGCCCGCGTGTTCGGGGAAAAGGGCGTCTATATTGGCTCTGTGAAGCCGAATCTCGGCCACACCGAAGGCGCTTCCGGCCTTGTGTCCCTGATGAAGATGGTCAAGGCGCTCGAGAACCGCATTATCCCGCCCAACATCAGGTTCAAGACGCCCAACCCTAACATCCCGTTCAAGGAGGCCAAGCTTACCGTTCCTCTGGACCCCACTCCCTGGCCAGAAGACCGCCTTGAGCGTATCAGCCTGAACTCGTTTGGCGTGGGTGGTGCGAACGCCCATGTGATCCTAGAATCCGCCGCCACGTTCAACGCCTCGCCGGTGCCGAGCAAAGTAGCACCGGAGATCCCACAGCTGTTGCTGTACACAGCTAACTCCGGCAAGTCGCTCACCCGGATGATCGACACCTACAAGGAGTGGGTTGAGAAGAACCCGGACAAAGTTGCCGACCTTGCGTACACCCTGGGAGTCAGGAGGGAGCACCTGCCCCATCGGGCATTCGCCATCGCAACCAACGGCGTGATCGAGAGCGTTTCGCCGCCGACAAATCTCAAGTCGGCACAGAAGCCCAATCTGGTCATGGTCTTCACAGGCCAAGGCGCCCAGTGGCCGCAGATGGGCCGGGAGCTGTTGCAGTCTAACGAGACCTTCCGGTTCACCATCCAGTCCCTTGATCGCTACCTGGATGGAAAGGGATACTCAATCGAGGAAGAGCTCAAGAAGCCTGCAAAGCAGAGCCGCATCTCGTCCGCCGAAATGTCCCAGCCCCTGTGCACCGCCGTGCAAGTTGCTCTCGTCGATACTCTCCGCTCTCTCGGCATCACTCCGGACGCCGTTGTGGGTCATTCCAGCGGTGAGATTGCCGCCGCCTACGCCTCCGGGGCTCTCACCGCGGAAGAGGCCATCCTTGCTGCCCACCACCGCGGCGCCGTGACGAAACTGCAGCAGCGACAGGGCGCTATGGCGGCCATCGGGATGAGCTGGGAGGACAGCGAGAAGTATCTGGCGAAACAGGTCACCATTGCGTGCGACAACTCGCCAAAGAGCGTCACCATCTCTGGCGACGCCGACGCGGTCAAGGCGACGGTCGACAAGATCAAGAAGGAATGCCCGGATGTGCTGGCGAGGCTGCTGCAAGTCGACAAAGCGTACCACTCTTACCACATGGCCGAGATTGGCGAGCAGTATCTCTCTCTAATCGGCCCTTCGGTCACTGGGCGAGACCCGTCAACGCTCTTCTTCTCCTCCGTCACCGGGAAACTCCTGACCAAGGAGCGCAATCTGGGTTCCGAGTACTGGCGTGACAATCTCCAATCGCCCGGTAAGTCACCTCCCCGTTTTTATTCACCCCCCCTCGCTAACCCCTTCAAGTTCGCTTCCGCGAGGCCGTCACAGACATCCTCAACCACGAGATTGGCAAGAACGCCGTGTTCCTCGAGATCGGGCCCCATTCGGCGCTCGCGGGTCCGCTGAGACAAATCTTCACGCAGGCATCGTCTCAGGCGCCGTACGTGGCAGCCATGGCCCGCAACCAGAACTGCATTACGTCCTTCCTCACCGCCATCGGCAAGCTGCATTCTCTCAGGGTCGACATTGACCTCAACGCGCTGTTCCCCACTGGCACGTGTCTCGCGGACCTTCCTCGGTACCCGTGGAACCACGAGGACAGCTACTGGTACGAGCCTCGCGTGTGCAAGGAGTGGCGCCACCGCAAGTTTCCATACCACGACCTCCTGGGCGTGAAGCTGCCCGAGAGCACCGACCTGGAGCCCGCATGGCGCAACATGTTCCATCTTTCCAACGTGCCCTGGGTCCGCGACCACAAGGTCGGGGAGGACATCGTCTTCCCCTTCGCCGGCTACATCGGCCTGGCGGGCGAGGCAATCCGGCAGCTGACACCCGAGGCCACCGAGGGTTTCAGCATCCGCAACATCAGGGTCAACATGGCTCTCGTGCTCAACGAGGCAAAGCCTACCGAGATGATCACCTCGTTCCGGCCGCACCGCCTGACCAACTCGCTCAACAGCCCCTGGTGGGAGTTCACAGTGGCCTCGTACAACGGCCACATCTGGACCAAGCACTGCACCGGCGAGGTGACGGCGCTCTCGGCGGACATGGGACCGGGCCAGGATCCCGAGCCTCTCCCTCGCAAGCTGAGCGCCAAGAAGTACTACGACACCATGTCCAAGGGCGGGCTGGATCTGGGCCCGAGTTTCCAGACGCTCGACACCATCGAGACGTCGACCAACAACGACAAGCGGGCCATCGGAAACGTCATCAACGGCCGGCAAGGCGACGAGGCCAACTACTACATCCACCCCACCGTCATCGACGCGACGATCCAGATCCTCGGTGCTGCCGCTGTGAGCGGGTACATGCGCAAGACCAAGAACTGGCTGCCGACCAGCATCGACAAGATCAGCATCGCTCGCTGCTCCGGCAACATGGTCACCAACGTGACGGCGGACTTGTCGAGCAATCACTCGGTCGTCGGCGGTGGGCGCTGTACCTCGGATGGCAGAGTGGTCATCGAGGTGGATGGCCTCAGGATGTCTCTGGCCGACGGCGCGCTCTCGAGCGAAATCATGGACACCCATGCGGCGGCTAGATACGAGTGGGACTCGGACATCGACTTCCTCGACGTTAAGGAGCTCATCCGCCCGCCGCCTTCGAACCGCACCGAGCAGCTGCGCCTGCTTGAGGAACTGGGGCAGCTGTGCTTGCTCTCTTCCAAGAGGAGGTCCAAGATCAAGGATTCGGCGGCCGAAATCATCGTTCCACACCTGCAAAGGTACGCTGGCTGGGTGGTGTCTGAGTCCAAGTCGGCCATCGCGAGCCTCGCGTCTGTCCTGAAGAGCCTCGACAACGAGACCCTCGCTGCCCGGATCGAGTCTGTGCTGGCCCGCCTTCTGGACACACCCGCAGCCGCAGCCGCCACCGCCATCAAGAGAGTCTACGACGGAATGGATCAGCTGCTGTCCGGTGATAGCCTGGAGGACATTGTCGGGGCCGAGAGGCTGGCGGAGATGCACGACTTCGTAGAGCAGGCCAACTTTTCTCAGTTTATCCGCGCTCTCGGCCACTCCAAGCCCAACGTGCAGATCCTGGAGATCGGCAACGGAAAGGAGTCGATTGTGCGCGACATCATCAAGGACCTCACGCGCGCGGACGGCGCCATCCTCTGCGCCAAATACACCTTCACGTCGACGGGCTTCATATCCGACAAGGACCACGAGCAGGTCTTCCCCAACATGGAGTATGCCACCCTGGACATCAGCCAGGACCTGTCCGAGCAGGGATTCGACGACCGCCAGTACGACCTCATTCTCGCAACCAACGTGCTCCACGCGACAAAAGACCTGCAAGCGAGCCTGGCAAACGTAAAGAAACTCCTGCGACCCGACGGCCGGCTGGTACTGCGGGAGCTCTGCCCTTCGTCCAAGTGGGTCAACTACGTCCTTGGGCTGCTGCCCGCCTGGTGGATCGGCGTCGGCGACGGGCGAACTGAAGAGCCGTACATCAGCACCGACAAATGGCAGTCTGAGCTGGCAACCGCAGGCCTAGGCGGCGTTGAGGGACTGGTCCTGGATGCCGAAGCACCGCACCAGCTGATGGCGACCGTGATTGCACGGCACGACGCTCAGAAGAAGCAGCCATCCAAGAAGATCGCGGTCCTCTGCAGCCAGGAACAAAGCCCGGTCGCCAAGGAGATCCTCCTGCAGCTCGAGAAGAAGGGCTACGAGACGACCAAGTACAAGCTCGGCGATGGCCCGCTCCCTGCCGGGTCAGATGTCGTCGTCTCTCTGCTGGATCTGGAGAAGCCCTTTTTCGAGTCGATCGACGAGGCGCGCTTCCAGACTTTCAAGGAATTCCTGGCCGGTCTTGAGGGCCGCGGCGTCTTCTGGATCACGCACGGCTCGCACCTGGGTTGCCGCGACCCGCGCTACGCCCAAGTCTTTGGCGTGGCGCGGTCGGTTCGGTCCGAGCTGGTTGCCGAATTCGCGACGTGCGAGGTTGACGACTTCCACGATCCCAGAACCGCCGAGAACATTGTCCGTGTTCTTGCAAAGTTCCAGACGCGTGATGCTGACGGCACGCTAAACCCGGACTATGAGTGGGCCATCCGCGACGGCCGGGTGCAAGTCGGCCGTTTCTACCCCTTCGCGCTGCGTGACGAGCTCCTGATCTCCACGCCCAACGAGAAGGCTATCCTGGACGTCGCCACGCCGGGCCGGGTCAACAGTCTGCACTGGGTACGGACGCCGAGAGAGGATCTGAAGCCGCATGAGGTGGAGGTGCAGGTGCACGCGGCGGGTCTCAACTTCAGAGTAAGACTAGCCACTTGAGCTGCTGTTGACGGTTGGAGTTGCTAACGCAGTGATAATCATTTTAGGACATTCTTGTCGCTCTAGGCATTGTCGAACTACCCATCCGTCAGTTCGGTCTTGAAGCAGCGGGCATTATCACCCGGGTCGGAGAGGGCGTGGATCCTAACGAGCTGGCCGTCGGTGACCGGGTATTCTGCCTGAAGAAGCAGGCCTACTCGACTTACATCACCACCCCAACTGTCTTCTGCACGCGGATCCCTGATCACCTGAGCTTTGATGAGGCGGCGTCGATGCTCATGCCTTATGTCACGGCGCTTCACGGACTGGTCAACGTCGGTCGTATCGCCAAAGGCCAGGTGAGTACAAACAGAACCATAGGGCGGCTATCCAAGCTGCTAGACAACTGTGAAGGACGCCTGAACTGACTATTCGCGTACAGAGAGCATTGATCCACAGCGCATGTGGTGGGGTTGGCCTCGCTGCCGTCCAGGTCTGTCAGATGGTCGGGGCCGAGCTGTACTGCACAGTCAGCAACGAGGAGAAGGTCAAGTTTCTGATGGACAACTTCAACATTCCGAGAAACAGGATCTTCCAGTCCCGAGACAAGTCGTTTGTGGACGGCGTCATGCGTGAGACCAACGGCGAGGGTATGGACATCATACTCAATTCCCTCTCGGGAGAGCTGCTGCATGCTACCTGGTCCTGCGTCGCTGAGTTTGGCACACTGATCGAGATCGGGAAGCGTGACCTGATCGGGGGCGCGAAGCTCGACATGAACCCTTTCTTGGCCAACCGCAGCTATTGCTGCATTGACATTGATCAGCTTTGGAAGAAGCCAGTCCTGCTCAGAAAGTAAGTGCAAAACCAACCAGTACAAGAACAAATTGCTAATCAGAATCGGCGCCGAACAGGCTCATTCTCGACACGCTGCAGTTCTACATCGACGGCAAGACCACGCCGGTCCGTCCGGTCGAGGTGTTCCCTGCCTCGCACACCCAGGACGCATTCCGCTTCATGCAGAAGGGCCAGCACATTGGCCGCGTGAGCATCTCGATTCAGCACCCGCCCAACGGCCAAGACGGCTTTGCCTTTGAGACTACGAAACGGGTCAGGCCTGTGACCTTTGACAGCAACGCGTCGTATCTCCTCGTGGGCGGTCTTGGTGGCTTGGGCCGAGCCATATCCACGTGGATGGTGGACAATGGCGCGCGAGAGCTGCTGTACCTGTCGCGAAGCGCTGGGACTAACCCGAGGGACGAGGCCTTCGCCGTCGAGCTGCGGAGCATGGGCTGTGACGTGCGGCTAGTGCGCGGAGACGTGTGCAAGCTCGAGGACGTGGAGCGGGCCGTGGCGACGGCGGGCCGGCCGCTCAAGGGCGTCATCCAGATGTCCATGGTTCTGCGCGACCAGAACTTTGAGAGCATGACGTTTGATGAGTGGTCGGCGGCCACGACGCCCAAGGTGAAGGGCACGTGGAACCTGCACGAGGCCACGACCCGCGCGGGTGCCGACCTGGACTTCATGGTGCTCTTCAGCTCCCTTTCGGGCATCATCGGGCAGCCTGGTCAGGCCAACTACGCCAGCGGCAACACGTTCCTCGATGCCTTTACTCAGTACCGAAACAGACTGGGGCTGGCGGCCTCGGTTGTCGACATTGGCGCAGTCGAGGAAGTCGGGTTTATCTCGGAGAACCAAGGGCTCATGGGCAAGATGAAGACGGCGGGGTTCAAGGGCATCACGGAGCAGGAGCTCCTCGACGCGATGGTGGTGGCCATGCTTGCTCACTCTCGGCCGGCAACAACAACGGCGCACCAAGAGACGGGCCCCCACTTTGTCGACACCAACACCTTCGTCCTAGGCCTGGGCTCAGCGGTTCCGATCCACGACCCGTCCAACCGGGCCGTGTGGCGCAAGGACCGGCGCATGGCCGCCTACCACAACGTGAAGAGCCTCGGCGGCGGCACGGCGGCGTCCAACGAGACGCTCAAGACGTTCCTGGCGGGGGCAAAGGCAGATCCGTCGGTGCTCAAGAGCGCCGAGTCGGCGCAGCTGCTTGCTCTCGAAATCGGACACAAGCTGTTCGATCTGCTGCTCAAGCCGCACGAGGACCTCAACACGTCGCTGCCCCTGGTGGACCTGGGTCTCGACTCGTTGGTCGCCATTGAGCTGCGCGCCTGGTGGAAGCAGGTGTTTTCGTTCGACATCACTGTTCTGGAGATGCTGGGCATGGGATCGCTGGACGCGCTGGGACTCCACGCCGCCGAGGGGTTGTTGAAGTTTGTCCTGGATGCAGAGAAGAGCGCGTAATGTGATGGAGTTACCTTCTCGGGCGGTTGGGATGTCGATTGAACAGAAATCCATCGTGTTATGTTATGATTGCAGTATTTTTTCTTTGTTTGGGTAACATCGGTGTCTTGATTTAATACTCACCTTAGTAGATCAATAGAGCATGAACTGATGACGAGACTGGAATTGACATGGCTACGATGGCCAGGTCAAGAATCCTAGGTACATACAGTACTCCGTACAGTACGCAATTTACCTTCTGCCGCTTTCTGTAAGGTCCGACCATTTGGTCTAACGTGCTTGCGTTAAAATGTTAGGAAAAGGTGGGATGAAAGCAATTGTAACCATTTTGGTGTTTTTCTGATGTAGAGAACCTGGAGAAAGGTTCGAACCAGCTGCAGAATGCTGCAGAATGCTGCGGACTGTCGCTTATTACGTAATTGACGACAGCTTCACTTGTGGCAGCGGCCCGAATCCCAAAGCTCTCGGGCCGTTCCTTCCCCTTGCAGCTGATTGCCGCCAGTGGCCACCCAGCTGCCAGCCGGCTCACTTCCTGACACCGATTGTTTGAGTTGTCTACTTCGAGATGGTGTGATCTCTGTTAGTGTGGCCCAAATTTTGTATGGCAAAATCGTCCTCTCTACTACCCACTCTTAACAGGCCTCCTGCAGCTCCTTGGTACATACCGTATAATCTCGCGAATTTGGGAAATTAAAGGTGGATATACCCAGCCCAGAAAGCCAAAAATTCAACAATGGGAGCACCAGGGCACCACGGGCAAGTGTGGCTAGATGTGGCTGTCCTGCATCTTTTGCTCGCTTTTGCTGCGCTGAGCTGGGCTTGACTTAGCCACTTTAATTTCCCAAATTCGCGAGATCATACGGTACATAACGTACCTCAGGCGCTTCCAGGTCGCAACCTGCTGCAGCTGCTGCAGTAGGGGCACAAGTTCCGTCCAGCCACGCCGCTCGCGCCTCAAAAACCCTCCGCCGGCACTTGGTAGGGCCAAAGATGTGGCCTGCAGAACCTGGGGCAATTCACAGAGCAGGTATCGTGAAGCGCCAGGAGGATGGAACGTGGAAGCAATCACAAACGTCCCGCATTCTGCTATCCAGTACCAACAATGCACGGCGAAACGGCTTACATAGTATGCTTTCGTCAGACTTGATTGCGATTGCAGCACTTCATCCCAACGTTTTTTACTACCTATGTAGCTTAGAAAATTAGAATGCTACTGCCCCCGTCAACACCCTGGAGCGGCATGATCTTCTACTCGACAAGCACAAAAAAGGTTCTCTTTAACCGTTTATCGCCTTTTCTCAACTGTTCTCTCGCTGCAATGACTTTCTGGGGACCCTGCCGGTTTTTATCGTGTCAGTACCGTATCGCCGGGCTCCCCTGTGCCGCTCACACAGCCGCCTGTTTCGCCCACCTTCGCTTCGGATGACCTCAGACAAAACCCGTCTGGGGTCAGTCTCACGGCCCCTCGCACGGCCCCTGGAAGGCGATTGTGGGGGCACACCTACAAAGCCGCGACAACGCACAACAACTACACGCACATGGGATGCTGAACATCTCAAGTTTTGCAGATGCCCCATTCCCGCATGCGGGCCATTGGGCCAGATCCGCACAGGGGTCGCTTGCCGAGACCCCGTCGGTCGATGTCGCTACAATACACGTTCTACGGAGGTATACTACGCTGGACTCTAGTAACTCCTTGTCAGAAGGGGTATGTCCTTGATGACTGAACGTGGCATGGCCTGATCGGAAATTTTTCTCTCTCTGTTTCCCTCGTTGCCCCGGCTGGACCTTCTCGCGATCTCATCCGTCCGTTTCTGCTTCTGCTTCGTTTCCTTCCTGTGTTCTGTTCTGTTCTGGCTCCAGTCCACACGCTCATTTCTCACGACTGCGAAAATTCCAAGCTTTCCGTTCTTTAATAAATACAGCAGTGCTGCTTTTTGTCTTGCCTCCATCTCCACATCGCTTGCCACTCGAGAGTCCCACCTCGACCGACTCCGAGGGAGGAGACGATAGCGTCGTTCTCGACTCGTTCCTTGAGCCGGGCCCTGGTTGCGCTCTTGACGAGCCTATCTGAGGGGCGACTCAGGACTTAATCACTCGCGGTTGTTTTGTCGACGGCTGGCCTGTTGTGTCCGATCTTTCTTTGATTCTGCGTTACTGTTGTTGTGTATTAGCTGCCGGCCCAAGGCAGGATGAGACTCAATGTGCCGTCACTCACACTCATTCTGAGCTTCTTGCCATCACTCGTTCAGGTAAGAGATAGTCCTTGACCAACTAGCATCCTGCGATGGCTGACAGCTCCCAGGCTGCTGCCTACGACCGGCACAATGGAAGAATTTTCGGGCGCCAGAATGCTGCGGAGCCCCCCCGCCAGAACATCGCCGAGGGCTTCATGAACATGTTCAATCGCGTGGCCGGCGCCGGTGGACTGACGGTTACCGAAACAATACGGCAGACCATCACCGTGGGGGCTGCCGGCGCGGTTGGAGCGGGTGCGAATGCCACGGCAGTAACAGTCACCGTCACGGCTGCCGCGTCCACTGTTACGGTTTGCCCAGGCCAGGCCCAGGGAGCTGTTGACGGAGTCCAAACCGGTGACGCGGCATCAACTGCACTCGGCGGAGCGCCAAGCTCTGCTTTGGCGCCTCCGGCTGCCGTTCCCACAGTTGTTGCCAGCGGAGGAGTGGGCGTCTCGACTATCCCGGTCCCAGAAGGGGCTCGTAAAACAAGTGCGGTGCAAAATCAACCGACTACCGCATCGTCGGCCGTTGTCTCGCAGTCACCTGTTTCTTCTTCTCTAGCACCGCCGCCAGCAGAGTCCACGGGGGCAACCGATCCAGCGCTAGCCCAACCTTCGGGACTCTCCTCTACCGCCTCGGATACCTCTCTCGCGCCGCTTCCAACCCTCCAGACGCCCCCCGGCGTCTCTGATGCTGTCTCATCGGCTACCTCTCCTCTCCAAACGCCCCCGGGGGTCTCTGACACTGCTTCCTCGGCAACGGCAACGGCAACCTCTCTCCAGACGCTTCCCGGACTTGCCGATTCGACTTCTCTGCCCGTTGTCGGTGCGCCCATCACCGACGTCTCTTCGGCCGTCTCCACTTCGGCTGCTGCCACCGCCACCGCCACCGCGGTCACGTCCCTTGCTCCTCTTCCAGTCCTTGCCAGCTCGCTTGCGAGCACGCTCGATCTGGGCAGTACTGGTGGAGCCACGGCGGTCCCGGCCAGTATTTTGAACCCTGCTCCTGCAGGCGCTTTCGGCGGCAGCGCCGGCGTCATCCCGGTGGCGTCCGCCGTGGCGCCCCCTGCTGTGACGCCTACCCCGGCGGTGGTCAACAATGCCGGCGTTGGTATCAGCATCGATACCTCGGGTCTGACTCTTTCAAGTCAGCTGAACCTCGGGAATCTGGCTCAGCCAACTCCTGCTGCTGCTGGCAGGGCGTAACACCGACGTCACAGCTGTCACGGAGAAAAAGAAAGAGATATATGATATATACACGTGCAGACTCTATACCCATTCCGTTTCTCTGCTTCACGTTTTTGGATACTGTACCGGCAGCTGATGTGCGGTGGTATTGTTAGTTGTATGTAATTGGTTTGGCGTCGAGTGTTGGAGAATGCCCAGGGACCGGGGCGCAAATATATTGTACATAGCTCTTGTATACCGCTCTACCGGTGGGAGCCACACTTCGTTTCTTGCCGTATTCAAACATTAGATGAGCAAGCCTCAAAGTTTACCACCTTGCCCGCTCGTGTTCTTTGCTAGGGCCGTTGGACACGTCTCCGAATGGGGGTATCATGTTCTCGTATCGGCAGCGACCAGTTCGCGAAGTATGATATAATGTCCAGCTTAGGACTTCGCTGGCAATGTATCCCTCTTCATCTTCTTCGCTTGTTGCCTGCTCATCTCCGTCTGTTTACCCGCACCACCAGGAGTATTCCCACCATTCCCAGCCCCATTCTTCCTCTTTTGTCCCTGCTGCTGCTGTTGCTTCTTTCCTGCCGCCTTCCCATCCTCGGCCTCCCCTCCTTGCGGACCTTTCCTGTCTCGCCCCTTCTCACCACCACCACCGCCCTCAGCAGGGCGCACAATATCCACCACGCCCCTGAAGCCGCGCCGCCTGATGCCCTCGTTAACCACCACGGCCCGCGCCGTCTCCCCGAGCGCCGCGAACCCCCTCTCGGGCCCCAGCCCCCAGACGGCGAGCAGGTTGACCACGTCGGCGGGGCCGCGCAGGCCGAGCGCGCCGCGCGCCTCGCTGCTGACGACAATCCCTCGCCCTTTGGTCGCTCGGATCAGCGACTGCGCGTTGCCAATGAAGTTGGCCCGCTGCCGCGCCGCTTCGCTGCTATTTGAAGAAGACGAGGAGGAGGCGAAGGCCTGGGCGTAGCAAATCTCGAAGCGCACGCCTCGTTGCACCGCCGCCATAACCGTCCGGTGGTGGATGTGGAATGGTAAATGGGAGGACAGGTCCAGGGAGATGAGCGCGGGCGGTTCGCTTGTCGATAGGCATGCCCAGGAAAAGGACTTGTCCGACGTCGGCCGCAGCGCGACCAGGTCGTAGGCGCGTCCGTAGTCGGGCAGGCGGTAGTTTGTGGTGGACGGGTCGGTGATGGTTAGCGTTGCGCGGCGGAGGGCCGTGGGGAGGGAGGAGGATGAAGAGGATGCGGGCAGCGAGGAGGCTGTGGATGATGGTATTGACGATGAGTAGCCCCTGCCTGGGTAGGAGGAGTGCGGCGGGGTGAGTTGTGGGATTGGGTTGGTTATGGCGTTCGGGAGGGTGGGTATGGGCCCCGAAATCAGGTGGTTCAGAGCGACTACATCGTAGCCGAGGTGTTTGGCAAACTTGAGAGTGCGCTCGAGGTCAGAAGCCGAAGTGCCCGGTGACCAGGCAATGTTGAGGTCGTAGAGCATAACGGTACCCAGTCCTCTCCGGATGCGTACGTTTTATGATGAGTGACGCAGCCGGCGGGTTGATTTTGCAGTCCGGAAACAGAGGCTCAACGTAATCTTTAGGCGCCGATACGTTAGCTTCAGGCAAAGTATTTATCCCTGACGACTTCTCCGTTCGTTTGGGCCCGCCAACCGTTACAGTCAATACTCCTTACAACGACAATGTTTTGAGCTTACAATTTGTATGAGAGTTTCCATGAGTGAGAGCAGGGGAAGTGGGGCATCCATCGATAACGTTATCGCACAGCTAGATCCGTGAATATACACTATAATACTGCCAAAACAGGTTACAGTAGAACATCCAATTGCCAAGGACTTCAGCTGCACTAACAGCTTGAATTAATAGGATTACTTCAAGGTGAGCGTACTTCTTACGTTGCCTGTAAGTATCTGTCAACTGTCATCCGATGTCCCTGCAGTGGCAGCCTCCTATTTTTCAAGAGCAGACCTCTGCATGAGCTCTCAAATGGACCTGGAGGGACGGGATAAGTTCATCGAGATTCGAGAGCGACGCTGGTGTATTCGTACTTCGTAGTGGCAGTGCTTTCTTGGCTAAGTATCGCACGTGGCGCTTTCCAGCGTCGGGTAGTCTACCTCACCTTCTCTGCTCCCATCGTCTTTCCACGAACCGTCTTCTATTTCGCTAATCCAGTTCTTTTGTCCTCGACTCCTCCAACTTCAGCTCAACTCCAACACATCCAAACACTGAGCTTTGTCACGTTGGATTGATCCGCCATCTCCGCAGCGTGTAATCCTCTGGGATATCGTCCGCTCCTGGCGCTTTTATCGGTCTCCCGGTTTCTACTCTTCTCTAGCCAGCACATACCAAACCGAGTGACCGCTTTTACTCAATTGTAACGTCACAATGTTCTTCATATTCACGTGTGGCGAGCACACCTTCCACAAACCAGTACAAGGCTACGAGGGACTCGTCTGCCGGTGCTACAATTGTGGCAACTACTCGGCAGCTGTCATCAAGTCGCATCCATGGTTTACGTTCTGTTTTGTTGTATGTCTGCATTCTTAGCTTCTCTCTGCGCATTTCTAGTATCGAGCTAACCGCCCCGGCAGCCCGTCCTCCCGCTCTCGATGAAGGGCTACGAAGATGTTTCCTGCCGTATCTGCAACTTCCAGCAACCGCTCTCACACCGACCCGATGTCCGGGCACTTCGCGGAGGAGGTCAAGGAGCACAAATGCAGCCCCCGCAACATGCGCCACCACAGGGATGGGGTACTGGACAGCCCAACCCGAACGAGCCGATGAGGTACTCATGAGAGCGCTGGGAAGGACGGGATTCGTAATTCGGCATCAAAGTATGGACGGGCGACTTGATACGGCGCATGGCGTTTAGGATCTAGGGTTGATTTCAAGCTTGGGCGGATTTACCACTTTTCACTTAAAACCGACGGGGATCCGACGGAACAGCGGTATAGGTTGTACGACTCCGGAACAGATATGGAGGAGGTATTGCGACCTACCTGCTTCCCGGTTGTTGGTTGCGGCTCCGGTACATACCTGTTGCTTGCCCCTTTCCCTCGATCACAGCAGTCTCAAACAAGCTAGGATGGTCTGGAGATGTAAATTGCTATCTCTAGTGTCATATATTGCTTTAATACTGCCTAGTATATCCCTCTTCACCTGCTATGTGTGCTTACAAACTAAACTATTCCGTATGACGCTTTCAACCTGCCTGCATACAACGCTGATGAGTATACCGGTCCGGCGGGACACGCACGTATGAAACGAGACGTTACGAGGTCGACTGATTATTAGAAGCAGTATAGAATCGTTAACCGCCTCTGTTAGCAACATTTGGAGGTGGTTGCTCACACATCACACATCGAAGTTCGACATCTGATTGTGTGGAGTCGGTGATAGTTGGGTGGTGGGTCGCTGCGCCATGACGTCGCCTCATCTAAGTTGCCTAGCATTCCTCAACTGCCAGTGGGGATAACAGTTATTTACCGGCCGTAGTTAGCACTGAAGGGTCACCAACGCTACCTCTTCGATCGCTACTTGAAACCCCTTCCACCTGGCCCTTCACATTGCTACAACCCTTTGTGGACGCATTCATATCGACCGCCAACGTGCCACGGCAGCTCAATGGGAACACAATGACAGAGAGCTACTACTAAATACTTTGTCATCTGAGCAATCAATTGGATGGCAACCCCAGGCGCCATCACAGCGACGATCCCCCACTCATCATGGCGTCCAACAAAAGAGCCCCCTCGGTTCTAGTAAGACATATCCGCTGGCAGGGCCTTCGCCCTGTGATACTGAGGCTGACCGCCAATTCTCCAGGTAACCGATTCGCGTGAGCGTCAACCCTTTCGCGGCGGGCCCCAACGACCCGGGAATCTGGGCGGAAACGGACGGCCCAGCACCCGCTTCGTCTCTGTCGACAATGTGCTTCAGTACTCGTCAGACATACCGTCCGGTCAGCCGAGGGTGCCTCCGGGACAGCGCCCGGCGCGCACCGCCCGCCGCTACAGCCATGGCGGCGGTCTTCCGACCCTCGCGTCCGCCCGGACGGGCCAGCAGAACGTGCCTTCGCGGACGACCAAGGTCAGCGAGAAGCTAGTGCTCCTACCCGAGGCGCCTGAGGAGAAGGACGACGAGATACAAAGCGACGAGGAGCTGTTACGGCAAGCATCCATAGCACACGGCGCCCTGGACGAGGACCGGCCACTGAAGGATGAGGAGCTGGATGTGCTGAGAAAACGGGGCGGGATCCGAGGGAAGAGTTACGCAGAGCGATTGCCCAAGGTACAGCGAGGAGAGAAGGTGGCACGCCTTACCGCCTACTGCACCGCCCAGGCCTACAAGATACAGGCGACGGCCGAGTTTCTGAAAACAAAGCACGAAGCGAAGACGAAGCTATACGACGACTGCCTATACACGGTGTACCACCTGCCCCTGCTTCCGGGCGTAGAAGGGTTCCGTTTGAGGAGCCGGCCCATCTTGAGGACGCCGGGGACGGGGAAAACCGTGCTCGACCTTGAGATTGAGCGTAGTGAGCGCAGAGACGAGCACGAGGGCTTCTGGGACGAGTATTCGTACGCCACGCAGGGGCTAGGAGACAGCCCGACGAGTGCCGGCATCCTCCAGCAAGCGGTGGGCGATTCAGATCTCCTCGAGCACACCTCCGCCACCCACGGCGACCGCGACAACCCCCGGGTGGCAGTGAGCCCGATCAACCGGCTGGTTCCCGACGCCAAGAACTTTGGCGAGATGTTTGTCTTCTCGTACGGAGTGGTCGTGTTTTGGAACTTCACCGAGCATCAAGAAAAGGACATCCTCGCGGACCTGACATTTGCCGAGCACGAGACGGGTATCTCGCTAGCCACACGGCCACTCGACGAGATGGACTTTGAGACGGAGGAGTTCCATTTCGAGTACAGCCCGGACGTGAAACGGCCGCGCGTCTTCAACGACATGATCACGTTGCTGCCAAGATCGGACCACATGGTTAAACTGACCATCAGCCATGCCATCGCCCAGAGCACCAAGCTGTGCTTCTTTGAAGAGCGCATGTCCGAGACGATGCTTGATGCCCAGCACGTTCCCAAGCAGCTGGCCTTGACTGGGGAGCTCAACATGACCCGAACCGAGATTGTCAAGATCCTGGGGAGACTCTTCAAATCCCGCGTAGATATCAATCTCTGTAAGCACTCTCCCATCCACATCTTTCCTCGTATGCCTGCTAACACCACCCCTTTCCCCTTCGTAGCATCCAACATCCTCGACGTGCCCAACTTCTTCTGGGACTCGGAGCCCACCCTGCACCCGCTCTACGTCGCCATCCGCGAGTACCTCGAGATCGACCCGCGCATTAAGGTGCTCAACGAGCGCTGCCGCGTTTTCCTGGACCTGGCCGACATCCTGGCCGATAGTGTCGCCGACGCCAAGATGAGCCACATCACCTGGATCATCATTTTGTTGATTGTCGTCAGCATCATTGTCACTGTCACAGAGGTCGGCCTGCGCTTTGGCATGCTGTCGAGGGGCAAGAGCAACAAGGACGGCCCCAACACCCTCAATACCAACCGCGTGTTACTCGATCTGAGAGGGCCCAGGTCGCCCAGCACGGTGGGTCGAACTCATAATATTTCTTTGGAGGAGCTGCGGTTGTGGAGTGCCGGGTTAGGTGAGACGGAGCGGGAGGCGGTTTGTGGGGGGAGTGTTGTTAGGAGGACGTTTGCCGGTGTTTGAGAAAGAGAAGTAGATGCTATTATGAACTGTGAGGGTGTCGGCAGTCGGCGTGTTCGTTTTTTGATATCTGTCTTGGCATCCCGGCAACTGCATAGCTAAGGGCGTTTTCAGGATTAAATTGGCTCATGCTGTGGCTCATTTTCTTGGTTCCGAGATCGCAGATTTGGATTACAGGAAGGGAGAATCCAAAGGAGGTTGGTTATCCAAAGACCTCGTTGTTGAACCCGGCTATGCGAGGTGCCCGCGCAATAGGGGCATAGCTGAATTGTCAGCGACTTGCTCTACTTGCATCCTAGCAGTTGGCGATTCCTACCCTCTGCGCAGCTCACAAAACAAGGGATAAGAATAAGAGCTCGAGTTTTCAGGGCATATAACACAACATCATTATGCATACGCATGGCAAGCAATAAATTAACACACACCAAACACCAATCCATCCAACGCCTTCCCATCCCAGCCCAGATCCACGATCACCACCCTGTCTAAGTATAACGAGCGAAACCCCGTTTCCAGTGCGCAGTCCTGTCTCTTCCTGTACACAAGGGGTATTATGTCACCACCCTCCTATCCTCACTCACCTCCCCAACAACAGAATAATCAACCATACAACCCCCCACCGCCCTCACATCATTACAACCAACCCAAACAATCCCAATCCATATTCATCAAACAAGACCTTCACCTCCAAGATTTAGCCAACGGACTCCCCACCTTGGGCGCAAACTGCAGGCTTTTCCGCCTGGCCGCCATCAGTCGCATCAGCACACGCTCGTCCTTCTCTTTGCTGAGAATCCCCTCACCGAGCTCTCCGAACGCCGCGGCGACTTGACGCTTCGGCGGGCAGGTGCGCGTGAGCATCTTTTCACGACGGTCGTCGTCGTCGTCGTCACCATCATTTGTTTTCCCGTGATTGTCCTCGCTGCATGGCGACTCCGAGTTTAATGGGCTGAGGTTGTCCACAAAGCGGGCGATGGCTTCGGGCGCCGGGGTCTTTGGTACGGGCGTTAGCAGGTGGGTGGCCGACCACCGCTGCTCATCCTCGTCGTCGTCGTCGCTGGTGTTGTTGTCCGATCCGGCGTCGCGCTGCTCCTGCTGGTCGTGGTCGTCGGCCAAGTTGCTGCCGTAGTCAGGGGTGCGAACCCACAGGGCGCTGTCGCGGCGGTTGTGGAGCGGGGTGCTCGGTGCGGTTTGGCAGCCTCGGAATGACGAGTTGTTATTGCGGACTTGAGGAGAGGGCATGAGCATGCCGTTGAGATTGGCAATGGCGCGGGGCTCCATGCTCTTGCGGCGTCGGGCGCCGCCTCGAGGGACGTGCGACGTGTCGATGTAATAGGGCGCCTCATCAAGCCACTTGTTTTCGCGCTCGCAGCTGTGGTCACAGTAAGGTTAGTTCGAGTTTTTTTCGCTAAGGAAATATTGTTTGAAGACGGCATAAACTCACTCCAAGACCCAGCTGACGCCCACGCATTGGACCACACCCCCGCTCTCACGAATCTTCTCCAGTGTGCGCTTCCCGCCGTCCTTGTACACGACATGCGTGATGCCAATCCTCGAATCCGCACCGTCAGCCTGCGCATTGCTGGGATTCCACGACCAATTCTTGACGCAGCGCGCACCCATCTGGGTCAGCAGTTCGACAAAGATACCGCTCGCATCGGCGCCTTCGCTCGTATGAACATCCACAAACACCACAGCGCCGCGGAGAAGAGCCGGGTCAAGATCGCGGCGAGGTGTCCGCGCAGGTGTGCCGATTGTTGACCAGATGTCGGATTTCTGTGGCGTCTCCGGCGGGGCGGACTCGGCCCGCTCCTCCTCCTGCTGTTGCTGCTCCTCCTCAAAGGGGTGGGCATTTGATCCCTTGGTGGGAGAATACGAGATCACCGTGGCATTTCTGGTCATGTAATGGGTCGGTCGCGAGGCAGGGAGGCGCGACACGCTCTGGCAACGCTTCTTGATTGTGGGCCGAGGCGTCGACTCGTCCGCAGGCTTGAGCGGCACCTTGGCCACTGTGTGGACTTCGCGTCGCATAATAATGCGCTGCGGGGTCACTGGTGGCGCCGTTGGCTCCCGGGCGTCACCGGTGGCGGCAAGCACAGGATCGATGGGGATCTCATTCTCGTCTCCGTACTCCTGGCTGGCCTCGGAAAGCGAGTCATCATGGCTGTGGTTGCCGGCGTTGACTGCCGGTTCCGCCTCCATAAGTGACATCTCATGCGCTTCAGCTGCAAGCGCCACGTCCTCCTCGGTAAACGAAATATCCTCCATTACAACGTCAACGTTCTCTTCGGGCGCAATGGCATCCTCCCCAGTCTCGGTGGCCTGCGGTCGAACATGCATTTCATCCTCGAAAAATGTGTTTCCCGCTGTGTCTGAAGACGTCGGGACTGACTCCTGTTGCTGCTCGGTAGCAATATTTACGGTGGGAGAGGAGGCGGTGGCAAGGCTAGCCTTGACAGAGTCCGAATCAGCGGCCCATGCGTTGAGCTGCTGGGCAAGAGGTGTGAAGCCGAACTTGTCATCCACCCGTGCTCTCTTAACCGTGCTTAATCCAGCTGACCGACGTTCCGCGCGAGTCCCTGTAACAGCATGTGAAGGCGTGGTAGGTGTCGCAGCGAAGGCAGAGGGACGTCTGACTTGCCGCGGCAATTCATCGTCGGAGTCGGAGTCCGCAATGTCTCCATAGGGATCAAGATCCTTCTCACGCAAGCCAAACATGGGAATGGCAGTACCGGGAGGAGAGGAGGGTGGTGTCGTGCTGGTCGACGCCACCGTGCAAGCCTCTGTGGGCGCGTTGTCCAGAATCATGGGATCGCCAGATGGCTCGAGTTCCTCATACTTCGGAGCTTTCTCGGCCAAATCAACCTCTGCCTCATCATTCGACGTCTGCTCGGACAGACTCAACGTGGGAGGTGTCAAAGCCGGGTCAGCATGTCGAGCCAAGACAGCAGACAGACGACCGGGGAATGGGGATCTTGTGGGAGACTCGGGGATGACGTGGTCATCATTCGTCTCTTCGGTCGCCGCGTCTGCGGGTGCATGCTCCTCCCCAACGTCATTAGGAATCACAGGCATCGGGCTGGCGAGCAGAGTGGGCTTCGGAGCCGGGCTCTGGCCCAGGGCCTCGTCCTCTTCGATTCTGGGGGGCAATGTTTTGATGGGCGAAATCGAACGCTTGGCGGGAGACGACAGCAGCGAGATTTTCAGTGGCGAAACTCCAATTTGAGTGCCCATAGAATTCTGGCTTAGAGGCTGCCTCTTAGCTGGGGTCTGCAAAAGCCCGATCTTGACCGGTGATTGGGATATCTGGTCCTCTTTCGAGCTCTGAGACAAAGCCGGCCCGAGCAGCCCTTCAACGCGCTTCGCGGGGGACTTGATGCTGCCTTTCCAAGCAGATTGGGGAAGCCGCTTGGCAGGAGTACATAGTATGAGCGCAGCCGGATCGGTTTCGGGCTTGCTAGCTTCGCCATCTTCATCCTTCTGGGAGATGATGGGCTCCGTGACTATCGGTGCTGAGGACTTGGTGGTTGTGACAGCTTTGATGGGGGCCTTTTTGAGTCTCCTAACGGGCACATTCTCGTCCATACCGAGCTCGTCGTCTGATTCGATGCCGCGATTCAAAGCTAATTGGTTGATCTTCTTAGGGCTTAATGGCATTGGTTTCTCCTCCTTCTCGCTTGATGGAGCCTTGTCAGCGGCTGCCTTGGTACCGCGGGCGGTCCGGCTGGTGGTAGAGGCTGCCTTGCGAATTGGCTTTCCCCGCAGGCCTCCAGTGGTAGCGGGCGCGGGGGCCTTTGTCGAAGCCTTGCTTGGAGCTGAGGTGGAGGTGGCGGGGACGATGTTCTCCTTCTCGGGCTCTTCAAACTTGACCGTCTTTTTAACGGCAGGCTTTGAAAGCGACTTGGCGGCCGTGGCAGCTGTCGACGTAGTTGCGCGTCCGCGCGTCGTCTTCTTGGTCGGCTCGACGGGACATTCGGCCTCTTCTGCCTTTTTGGCACTGGTTTTCCTGGTAGGCTTTACCCTTGAAATCTCGTCTTCTGCTACAGGGTCGGCCGTTTTCTTAGGCCTCCCGCGGCTCCGAGTTGGTGCGGGTACTGGCTCTGGCTGTGCTTCAGGCTCGGCAATGGCGACCTTCTTTGGGCGGCCTCGGCCCCGAGCAGGTTTCGTCGCAGTCGCAGTTGAGGGCATTTGTTGGTCAATTTGCTCCAGTTCGTCGTAGTCTTCGTCCTCGCCTTCGTCAGACCGGGTTTTCCTCTTGGATGCTCTTCGCGGGGCGGTTGTGGTGGTGGTGGTGGTGCGGGTAGCCCTGGCCTTGGCTGCGGTAGTCACGATGCGCGTTGTCTTTGTGTCGGGCTCTGCCGTCTTCGCCGCTGCCCGCGCCCGTGTCATCCTCTTTGGCGGTGACTGGGGATCCATTTTGGCTAGTTTACTGTTTGGCTGATTTTAGGGGCACAGCAGGAAAAAGTCAAAAGTAAAAACAAAAGGTCAAAAAGAGGGATAAAGGCAACAGCCACTAGCAGTTACTCCCTCATAGTAAAGTTGAGATAAGTGGTGAGTCGAAAGGCTAGGTATTGTCACTTGTTGTTTACTCTGCAACAGCGACTTGCTTGGTGAAGACTTTTGTGGGGGGCAAAGACAAATGCCAGTTGTTGATTTACGAGCGTGTCGTTGCCTGGGAAACTTGTGGACTGCCGGGCTAGGTTCTTGGCACTGTGGACCCGGTCGTGGCCAGCCCGCTTCGGCAATTCATCAACGCTGGGTTAGGGTTGAGCGGGAGCTTCAACGTCAGACCCAACGTGTTCGTGACCTTGAATGAACGAAAAAATGGACGCTTCTGTACAGTTGCATCGAATTGAAGGCAAGCATCATATCTTGTGGAGATTGATTTAATGCACTTTCGACCAGGCAACTTCGCTCGTCTCTACGTAGTAGTCATAGCTGGTTTGGTTTGTCTTCGCTTCATCGCTTACCACTCACTCACTCACAATCTCAACTTCATCTCATTGGAGCCGAAGGAAGTGTCATTCACTCGCGAATACACCAGACCACTTGCCGATGTCCGGTACTTCTACCTCAGGGAGTGCTTGCGACCACCAGCATTCCAGACAGATCAAAACCTGACAATCCAATACTTGCCCAATAGACATAGTCGACCCTTAACCCTTCTCACTTGCTTAGAATAGCTTCACCTGGCAGGCTGGCATTGCCTGCCGTACTTCCTCTCCGCATGGTCCAGCATCATCACTTCCATGTCGATCGACCTGAACTGGGAGACAGTCACCGGCGGCCCTGACGGCCAGGAGCTTGCCGCCAAGATCCGGGACTTCATCCACACAAAGTTCCAGTCGGTTCCCTTGCCGCGCTTCATCAAGTCGGTCACTGTCCACGATTTTCAGTTCGGCAGCATTCCGCCCGAGATCGAACTCAAGGACATCACCGACCCGTTACCAGATTTTTATGAGGACCATGTCGACTCGGATCTTGACTCCGATGACTCCGAAAACTCGGATGACCAAGATGAGCTAGTCGGTACTGCCGCACACCTGCCGGACGACCGCCGGAGGCACCAAGCCGAGGCCGAGAAACCATCAGGCCGCTCCCGGCCTCACGCTACCCAGCTTCCACATCTCAACTTCGGCGGGTCCGGGGGCCCCGGAGCTGGGCACCCCCGCAACGGAGATCCCGGCACCCAGTTTCTGCGCGTTTCTACCCCGGGCATTCCAGGGGGCACGTCTAGCTTACACTATTTCCATTCCCACCTCGCAACCGGCCTCTCAGGGACCCAAACCCCGCTTGCCGCAGTAGCCGGCGCGCACCATCTCAATACTGCCAGTTGGCTCGAAGGTCACGGGCACAGCTCCTCAGTGCCGAACCTACCGCACTACGCCGCCAGCTTTGGCGTCGGCGTCCAGCAGCCGCACCCCCAGCCCAGCCACAGCCGGAACCCATCGCAGAGCTCCATCTCAGTCAGCGACTTCAGCCCTACCGTCGGCCTCACTCCCGCGCCCCCCCCGGCTAGGCCAGGCGTCGTCTCAGGCACGCCCACCACCAACCCATCCTATTTGCCCCCCAACAACCCTTCACTGCGGGAAAAACACAGCGTGTCAACACTCGCCCCAACCTCGGCGGGCACCGCCTCCCGCCCGCCAACCCGCGACGAAGCAGCAGCAGCAGCAGCAGCAGGTCTAGCCAGCTCCTCCTCCGCCATCGCCGACGGTGACGAGCACAGCCATAACCACAACAACCAGACCAACCCGGCCACCGACAGTAGTAGTATCCCCCAACCCCAGCAACAACAACAACAAGAACAGCCCCGCCTCCGGGAGCGCCGCATCGAGGACGTGCAGGCCGTTTTCCGGATCCGCTACGCAGGCGACGTGCGGCTGCTGCTGACGGCCGACATCCTGCTCGACTACCCCATGCCGAGCTTCGTCGGGATCCCCGTCCGCCTGAGCATCACGGGCCTGACCTTTGACGGCGTCGGGGTGCTGGCCAAGATCAGGAAGCGGGTGCACTTTTGTTTTCTCAGTCCTGAGGATGCCGTCGCTGCTGTCGGGGGGGAGGAGGAGCAAAACGGAGGGGATGATGAGGAGGAAGAAGAGGGAGGGCAGCATGGAATTGGGGGTGGAGATGGGGATGGGGATGGAGGGGTAGGGGTAGGGGTAGCGGGTAGAAGAAGAAGGCAGGAGCAGCAGAGGGGTGGAGGGGGGGTTGGAGGAGGAGCGGCGCAGACCGGGGGAGGAGCTGCGAAATTGGGAGGGTTGTTGCAGGAGATTAGGGTTGAGAGTGAGATTGGGCAGAGGGAGAGCGGGCGGCAAAGCTTGAGGAACGTGGGCAAGGTGGAGAGGTTTGTTCTGGAACAAGTCAGGAGGATATTCGAGGAGGAGTTTGTATATCCGAGCTTCTGGACCTTTTTGATATAGATAAGATGCGGAACGCAAACTGTAAGGCAGCCGGGTGATTGATCCAGCCACATGGGAGCATGTCAGACGGGGCTTTTGAACAGTGTGCTTTACGAGAGGGTACTCTTGAACCCTTGGTAGGCAGAGTTGATGTCTAGCTCCAGCTCCCGCGCTTGGTCCTCGCTCAGCTCTTCTGTAGCCTTCATCTGATTCAGCGTAATGAGCCACTGCACAATCTTGCCCCTATTCTCGAAGTCCCTGTCTGTCACCTTGTTCACCGACTGGATCACGTCTGTCAGGAGCGGGTGTAGCTGGTCCTTGGCCAACAATCCAAGCCTCAAGGCATCCAAAAATGTGATAAAATCCTGCGTCGCCTCTAAAATCAAGGTGCCGCTGGTATTACCCGCCGCGGCGGGCGCAGCAGGCGGACCCGAGGTTGTAGTCACGGCCGTCGATGGCATCCCCACCCGTATCCGCTCCGTCGCACGGGGAACCTCGAGCTGTAGTGATTGGAATCCGTTGTCAGCAAACACGACCAACATAGCAGCCCATTGCGGGCCAGTACACCGGTACATACATCCCACTCGGCCTTGAATTCCTCCAGTCCCACAAACGCTTTTGCTACCGTTTCATCGGCCACCAGCGACTTGTACTGCTTCAGCGACCGCTCGCAAATCTCGGTGTAGTCCGCTTCGGGGATCGCATCCTTGAGAAAGGCCTTTTCGAGCTCGTCAATCGTGACAATGATGCTGAATATCTCGGCCAGCGAGTCTTGCAAGTCGCGCTCCGCGCGTGTCTCGGTGAGCTTCACCTCCTGTGTGTTTTGTTAGTGGTTGCACGGTTGGAGTGCTCTAGGTGTTAAACTATGTGCGGGGCAACGCGCTTCATCAAGATTGATCGTGGCCGACAGCGTCGTGTTAGGGACATAGCTATGAGGCGTTGGAGCGTATGGCTGTCGAGGTATCATTTTTATAGTCCTGCGCCGGGATGCGCAAGCTCAGGTCGGTGATAGCATTGCACTCGAGTTGCATGTCCAAGCTCCCCGTCTTCACCTTGATTCAACGCGACAATCATCCCATGAGAGCTCAGCGACCCAAACACATGGGTACCTAGGGCCCTGGGCCTCGTAATGTGCCCCACTTCGGCCAACCATTCCCGAATAAGTTAGAGTTTTCACCGATAAGAGACGCGATAAGCAATCCCAGATGAGAATCAAAAAAGTTTCGGAAAACAGTGACATTCATACCCTGCAACTCGAATTGCTCGGCCCGGATCGGACATTGATTTCTGGTGCAGTGGTTGCCCAACATGGTGGCTTCAAAGAAGAACCTGAAGGCGACGAAAAAGTTTGAGAAGAAGCACCTCAAGGGCGTGCTAGAAAGGAGGAAAGCAACCGCGAAAATCAAGCAACGACACCAACTCAAGGAAAAGAAGAAGGCCAAGCGAGCGAAAGATGACGAGTTCTACAAAGGCCCCGGAGATGATGCCAATGGCGGCAAAAAAGATGCCAAAAAGAAGATCGGTGCCAAGGCTATCGAGATGAGCGTCGACGACTTCTTCAAAGGCGGGTTTGAGATACTCGACCAGGGGCAGTCGGCCAAGTCGAAGCCCAAGGCTACCGCTAAGCTGGGGAAACGCAAGCGTGGAGAGGCTGATGCGCAGGAGGACAGCTCAGAAGGGAGCGAGAGCGAATCGGAAATTTCAGACAACGAGGAGCCCGTGGTCAGCGACAGCGAGCCGGACGATGCTAGCGACGACGACGACGACCTCGGCATGTCCAAGGGTGCCATGGATGCACTCGCCGAGAACGATCCCGAGTTTTACAAGTTCCTCAAGGAAAACGACCCGGAAGCGCTAGACTTTGACGAGAATGCAGACCTTGCCGAGGTCGACGAACTCAGCGGCAGTGAGGACGAGGGGCAGCCAAAAAAGAAGCAGAAAAAGGACAAGAAGGCCGCCAAGGAAGAGGAGAAGGATGGCCATGAACTCACCCGAGCCATGGTAGCGAAGTGGAAAGCATCCATGGCCGAGACGCACTCCCTCAGAGCTGCCCGCCAGGTTGTTATTGCCTTCCGGTGCGCCGCCCACCTGAATGAGAGTGACGAGGAGAACCGGCAACGGTACAGCATCACAAGTCCAGAAGTTTTCCACGATATCCTCGTTGTCGCCCTAAAGCAGATCCCTGAGGTCTTGCAACACCACGTTCCGGTCAAGGAATCAGCCTCTGGCAAGATCTATGTCCAGACCGAGGGCAAAAAGTTCAAGACGCTGTCAATGCTCATCAAAAGCTATTCCGCTTCCATTATCCGGCTGCTGAGTACGCTATCGGATGAAGCCACGCTCAAGCTTACTCTCTCAGCTTTACAGCCACTCCTCCCATACCTGCTATCTTTCAGGAAGGTGCTGAAGATGCTGATTAAGACGGTGGTTGCGTTCTGGTCCCAGTCAGCAAGCACCGAATCCACTAGGATAACAGCCTTCCTAGTAATACGCCGTCTCGTCGTCATTGGCGACAAGGCTGTCAGGGAAGCCGTGCTCAAGGCGTCCTATCAGGGCCTAGTACAGGGCAGCCGCCTCACCAACGCCAACACGATCCAAGGCATCAACCTCATGAAGAACTCTGCCGCCGAGCTGTGGGGCCTCGACCAGACCCTCGGCTACACCACCGCCTTCACCTCGATCCGCCAGCTCGCCATCCACCTCCGCAACAGCATCATCAACAACAAGAACGACTCGTACCGCACCGTCTACAACTGGCAGTACGTCCACTCGCTCGACTTCTGGTCGTGCGTGCTGGCAGAGCACTGCAGCCCGCTCAAGGAAGCCGAGGCGGGCAAGGAGAGCCAGCTCAAGCTGCTCATCTACCCGCTCGTGCAGGTGACGCTGGGCGCCATGCGGCTGATCCCGACGGCGCTCTACTTCCCGCTGCGCTTCCAGCTGATCCGCTCCCTCCTGCGCCTGTCGCGCGCCACCGACACGTACATCCCCCTGGCCTCGGCCCTGCTCGAGGTGCTGGCCTCGGCCGAGCTGAAGAAGCCGGCCAAGCAGTCGACGCTCAAGCCGCTCGATTTTGCCACGGCCTACAAGGCGCCCAAGTCGTACCCGCGCACCCGCGTCTACCAGGACGGCGTCGGCGAACAGGTCGTCGAGCTGCTCGCAGAGTTCTTTGTGCTCTGGTCCCGCAGCATCGCGTTCCCGGAGTTTGCCCTGCCCGTCATCGTAAGCCTGAAGCGCTGGCTGAAGCAGAGCAGGAAGAACGGCGGCAACAGGAACGGAAAGCTGGCTGCCGGCTTGGTGCTGCTCGTGCAGAAGCTCGAGGCGAACGCGAGGTTCATTGAGGAGAAGCGGGCCAAGGTCGAGTTTGCGCCCAAAGACCGCGCCCAGGTCGACGCCTTCCTGAAGGATATGGAGTGGGAGCGCACGCCCCTTGGCGCGTTTGTGGTCTCGCAACGGAAATTGAAGGCAGAGCGGCAAAAGGTTGTTGAAGAGGCTAGGAAGGAGGAGGAGAGGAAGAGGAAGGAGGCAGAGAAGGAGGCCTTGGAGGATGGGGTGGAGGGTGAGAGTGACGGTGAGGATGAGGGGGAAGAGGAGGAGGAGGATGCTGGCTCTGAGTCCGAGGAGGAAGATGAGGAGGCTGAGAGCGAGGCAGATGGGGATGGAGATGAGGATGACGACGAGAGTGAAGATGAAGAGGATGAGGAGGATGAAGAATAAATTTAATGTCTCCGGTTTGCGACGACAGGTATCTTGCAGCTGGTAACACTCACACTAGGTGCATTATATTTTGCAGAGTATGTGGTATCCAAAACCACTATCCCTGCTTCTTTCCAACGTCCTGCAGCCCAGAAAAGTTCTACTCCCCTTTGACGTCTAATAATCATCGATGGGCGTCGGCTCTACATAATTGAGATCGTCATTGTCCACCATCCTAATGCCGAACCCCCCTTCCTCCTCGTCATCGTCGTCCTCATCACGATCATTGCCATCATGACCCACAACCTGGCGAATATGAGAAGGCGACGGCAAAGTAGGCGGTGGCGTAGCAGAAGTGGCGAGGTTCGGGGTCCTATCTACAAGCCGGGCCTTTTCGGCTCCATCTGCAATTCTGAACTTGGTATTGGGATTCTCCAGGGGCTCAAAGTTAGGGATGGTTGGTTGCCGCTCTGCTCTGCGGCTTGGCGATTGGGACGAGGTGGCAGCGGCAGGTTTTGGCGCTGCCGTATTCGAGGTGGACGTGGAGAGAGGATCCGATAAAGCAACACCTAACGGATCTTGGCTGACTGAAAGAGAGGATGGGGCTCCTCTGACAACTGTTGTGCGCCGGGCGTCTTGCCTACGACGGGTGGCTGGAGGAGCCGGGCTATAACCTGGTGGTGGCGGCTCGGAGATGTTCAGACTATCGAGCTCGATGAGAGTACCGAGTTCTGGATTATTCTCATCTAGGTCATCAAGTCTGATAGCGTCCTCGTCTTTTCCGATTGGCGCATCGGCGCCTTGGGTGACCGGGAGACCGCATCGGGCGAGGATATTTCCAATGATCCTGGCGTATCGCATGTGTCCCTGAACCTCCTCGCTGAGGTTGAGATTTTCAACGCCGTCGACGTCCTTGATCTCCTGAAGACCAGCGACCCCAAGCTGGATGGAGGTTGCGCGATAGAGAAACGCCAGCAGATAGTCGTTTTTTGAATACACGTTGTACATCTTGCCGGACACCACGGTGCGCATCATCTCCCAGTGTTGGCGATTGGACGGGACCGGGGAACCGATAAAAATAACTGTATCGATCAGCCCAAAGGCGTGTCGTTTCGCCAAAGAACGCAGGCAGGAGTAGATTACTCTGGATCCGAGGGAGTAGCCGATCAATGTCACTGGACGCTCGCCTTGTACCTTGTTGATTAGTGCATCGGCCAGGATATCTCCCGCTTTCTCTGACCTGTTTCTGGCGAGACTGAAAGGGTTGTCGACCGTGCTCGCCATGGATAAGAGATATGCAGGCCAGAGAGCGGACCATAGGGTGGCTAGCACCGTCCTCTTGAGGATCTCAACCTTCACTGTGTTCCATGCGTAAGAAGACACCAGCTCCTCCAACGACTTCCCGAGTCCCATTAGGCTTCTTGTCTCGTATCGCAGGGCAAATGCTTCCGAATCACCACCGAGACAGCGCCATGGCTTCGTTATATCGTCATTTGAGGATAACCAACCGTTGATACCGATCGTTACGCGGAGGCGTCTGTCGTCCTGCTTGTGGCCCTTACCCCTTGATTCGTCTTTCAGAGGGACGAAACGGAAGTCCTCTACTTCTCTGGCGTACTGATCGACCATTTCGCCCTAGGTGTGCCATTAGCTCAGCCACAGCACAGACGACCATCGCTTCTTACCGTCATTTTCGCCCCGAATGCCCCGAAAAGGGTCCCTACAAGCGCGCCGTTCATCCAGAAGATACCCAGGAACGACGCAACGCCGCCGAGGCCTACAGACCCCATGATACCACCAATGGCTCCGGCCACCACGGGCGCAGCAAGACCACCGGTCACTCCTATGATAGCGGCGCCGGCCACCGAGGCCAGCCCGACCTTCCAGTACCGGCTAGACTGGTTCTGCTGCTTCCGCTTCTCGGCTTCAGCCTCGGCAGACATAGAGGCACTTCCCTCATGCCTCGCACTCTCGGCCGATGCCTGAAGCAGCGAGCGTGCGATCTCCACCTCCTCTGCATTCAGCACCTCTAGCGGCACCTCGAGCGAAGAGGCAAGGTAGACGGCCAGCGCCCTGGATTCGGCCGTGTAGCGCCCCGTCGACAGCAGCACGAGCAACACGCAGCTGAGCGTTTCTGTTCTGTCCTCATACGGAATCGTCACAAGCCGCGTGGCGGTAGCATGCCAGTGCGCTTGCAGGCGGGCCACGGCCCTGGCGCGGTCTGCCTCGCTGCCTCCGCTTGCCACTCCACCATCACCAGGTGAATCGCTAAAATCAATCAGGCTTTCTGATCCCCCACCGGTAGCAAACGACATCCCGGCGCCGCGTGAGCGCTGCTGGGCAGCCAGCCGTTCAGCGCGCTTACGGCGATCCTCGACGATTTGGGCATCGTCGGGCGCGGCGAGCACGTCCTTCAGCTTCGTGAGAGTTTCTTTACGCCAGGCGTCAAAGTGCTCAATGGCGGCGGCGCGCAGCCGCACGAGGGCCGGGCTGGGAGGGGCCGTGTCCCGGGCGGTGCTGGGCGCGTTGATGACAATGCTGTTTTCAGCGGTAGGATCTATCAACAGCGGCCCAGAATCACTGGGGTTCTCGGCCGGCTCGCGAAACTCGAGCTGCCCGCGCATCCATCCCGTTATCTCGACGAGCAACACGTACAGAGCCTTGCGGCGGGCAAGGTTGAGAACCGTCAGCAACTGGCGGGGCTCGCTAGCTATGGGCGCCATGGTATTTGTTCGGTAAATTACCACTCGCTCGGTGTGCTCCCCTAAGAGGGGAGATAATCTGGGAGAGGATTGCTCCGCTCAATGGTCCAAAGAATGCCGAAGAAGAAGATGGTTCGGGCACCGCGATCCTTCGAGTGCAGTGTTGACCTTTGACTAGCGCAGTCAACACATTGCTATCTACACAGTTGTCATAGACAGATTGACCATTGGTGCTCCTCAGGTGTTGTCTGATGAAATCCAAAGTGTGATTTGAAGTACAATCAGGTTAACCACACTGGCAATGCAATGAAGAATGCCTAGACTTGACCCCACAGCCAAACTATCATCGCTGCCTAGGTATGTAACGGTATTGTCCGTAAAGTTACGCGCAGCAACTCAAAATGATGGATTGCAAGAGCAATACTCGTGGCGATCAATCTGGAGATAGGATGCGAGTCTCGTCCCCTTATAATAAGAACTCACGGGCGTGTTCTCTAGTGAAGATGATAAATGGCCGTGTCGAAATGAATATCTGATGGAGTCATGTCATAAGCTGTATAGTGGTGCGTTTACGGAAATACAGTACCAGTACCGACAGGTATCCGAGCCCGCCGAGTTCCACCTTCTTTTGTATCCGAGCTCATCTAAGCTGACGCCAACGTTATCGATCAGGGTCTAGACATGGTCTCGATTATTAGGAAACCCAGCTTGATACTTCGTACAGCCAACGTGATAACCACCGGCATATGGCGTCAACTGACGATCCTGTTCGACGACTGTGATAAGGCAGTTGTTGAAGACCGTTGGGCACCGACACCTACATTATTACCAACTTACAGCAAGCAAGCCTCGTTTGATAGCTGAATCGTTGACAGGGTATGTGAGCCGCCGGGTCACCTCGGTAAATGGCCCCAAATCGGGAATGGGCAGAGGCAAAGAACTTCTGGTGATAATCTCGTTGTGACCACGATTAGATGAAACGTCCCCCTCTGGCATAACGAAATAAGCATGGCTTGTCCCAGCGTACATGTACAGTACAGTACATACAGTAGCACAACCTCGACAACATCATCTCAACCAGGGTGGGTCACCATCGCGAGAAACTCCCTGTCGGTGCGGGACCATCATTCAATCCCTGCAGGAAACGGCTAGCGCAGGTTGCCTTCTGCAGGGAAGGAACCGCAGACACAGAACACGGGAAGGAGCTCTTGGCACTCAAAAGCTGCCCGCCCGCCCCTGCTTGTTGGCTATGTGCGTTTCCCTTCCCATCTACCCTTTCACTATGCAACCGAAGTAGGCGAAAGAAAAGAAAAAAGGACGAAAAGGAGAAGAAAACACAAGCACCTACGTTTTCCCGCAAGCTGCAAAATTCAATATCTCCATTGTCGGTTGATGCTGCAACCGCCGTACCGGGAGATTCCTCCTGAACCCGTCCGATATGTCTGACAATGTCAATGTGTGAGTTGCTTCCTCCCGTCGATTTGCATCTTGGCGATGTTCTAGGCTCCATTTTTATCACATCTTGGCTAGCCAAGCTTTCGCCAAGCCCGGGGTGCCTTAAGATCATCGACGATCTGATCCCGTCGCTAACGTCTCACAGCCCTCGCTGAGGTTCGCAATGTCGTGTAAGTCGCTTGCTCTCCTTTGAGTTTGTCCGTTTCTCACAGTTTTTGATTGAGATTATCTATCTTATTTTCAAAGAAAGAAGTTGGGAGAAATGGGAAAAAGTAAAAACCCCGCTGCAATGGACCGGGGTCTTTCAATGCCACCGATCTTTCCGCATCGCCAAGCCCAGCCACATCACGTCGTACCAGCCATGCCCCCGATCTGTGTCATAGTGGTGCTTAGTCTTGTTCGATAGTGGATTTTCTATACTTTCTCTCATATAAAATTGGCAGCTTTACCAAAGTCATGTAGCTAATAGCCATCGCAATAGCTTACTATTCAGTAACCCGTCTTGGACGGCAGTCGAAAGTGTCTCAAACACCGTCATCAGAAACATCACGGCTCTGTCGGTATGCTACGGCAGTCTGTTTTCCAAAGGAAACCTTTTGTCTAATGATATTATACCAGGCCCAGTTGACACATTCAACAAGATTCACAGAAGATGCCACTGTCTTATCCTCCAGATTTGCCGAAGCTGCGAACGGCGTCATCCAGGGATTGCTCTATGTTCCGGATGTCCCAGACGGGCACCCGTGTCTTGATGCAATGGCGAAGCACATACCTGCATCTGCTCCCCGGCAGTCCGACCTCCCTCCAGCGCACTACCACATGATTGCCATTGCTCCATGGGTGAATCATACCTGCGCCGAGGTCTACTTAGCTTCGGCCCGCTCAGATCCCGTGCGCGCCTTCGTTTTTTATACTCTAGAAAACCCGTCCGTGTCTCCACCACCTGCCGACTCCCGGGAATGGTACATCCGTGATGACGCTAGGTGGATGTCAGAAACCAGCTGGCCCGTCTTCGCTGTAGCGGGCTCGGTTGGCGAGGTCATGATACGACACTCAAGTCTGTACTCGGGCAACCTGACCGAAGCGCCCTTTGGCGCTAGCATAGCCGGTCTCTTCAACAGCAATGCTGACGACTACCTTCGAATCTGGACTGAGCTAGTCGTGAACACCCCACTAGTCCCTCTCGCGATTTGGGTCTATGCTCTCATGATTATCGGCCTCCTGCTTGCCGTTATCCTCTCGGCATCGATACTCATGCATCTGGTTCAAGCCCTGCGGCGTGCTCAGCTGCGCCGACGTGTCCGTTCCGGAGAGGTTAACCTAGAAGCTATGGGCATCAAGCAACTCACGGTCCCGATGGACCACATCCAAACATTCCCGCTGTACACATATCATTACGAGCCAGAATGCAGCGGTCCATCCCAGTCCCGGCGATCCACGAAGCCCTCCAAGTCAAGGGTGCGAAGGAAGAGCCCTGGCGAAACTGCTAGTAATCCCCCAAGCCAAGTTCCGACCGTTGCGACAGGTTATCAACCAAGGTGCGAAATCTGCCTCGAGCCCTATGAAAACCGGTCAACAATCATCCGGGAACTCGCTTGCGGCCACATCTTCCACCCCGAATGCATCGACGAGTTCCTGAACGAGATCAGTTCTCTTTGCCCCTTATGTAAAACCAGCATACTCCCCAAGGGATATTGTCCCAAAATCACAAATGCCATGGTGCGCCGAGAACGCGCCATCCGGCGGATACGAGGCCGAATAGACCTACAAGACACCAATGGTCGACAAATGCATAACCAAAGCTGGCTGCAAGTACTTAGGCATAGGATCTCCGGGGCAAAGAGCTGTCTAACGTCGCCCGTCCCTTCAACAGAGCCGAAAATGATACAGCTCCAGCTTCGGCCTACTCGTCGCGGCCAAGATGGAAATACCCAGGAGACTCGTACAGCAACACACGCAAGGCAACGCATGCGTGAACTCGCGGGTCCGGGCCTGGACGATGCGGAGGACGACGGTTCGACTCTTTGTAAGTTGATTGAGACCGCGACTTACAGAATTCCGCTGACAGTCCCGCAGGGAAACGTCTGCGGAACCGAGTGTTTCCTGGGTTTGACTGAAGCTAGCACATCTGCAGGTTTTTCGGGTTGTGATATTATTCAGCGCTCAATTTCTAGCGGGAATGATACCCCATTTCTCTTTCTTTCTGGTTATAATATACGTAAAAGACTACATCATACAGCTGAGGTCTTTCGAAAGTTTCAGGATAATTAAGACCACAACACGAGCATGTAGCTAGATATAGGCGACCTGGGAATGCTGCTGAGCATGTCGATGGTAGTATCAGGTCCACAACTATGAGGATATTTGAGAAACATAACCCTATTTTTTCGTCCAAGCAGCTTGCAATTCAGTACAATCATACGGTAGGCTGGTCTCCTTATGGGAGGCTCTGCAAGCTGTGCAGTGTTTACGCTGTCGAGAAGAACGAACTGATGCTGTCAGGCAAGGTCTCCGCGCGGTCCATTCCTGGCTTGGGTATACTACACAGGTAAGAAAGCAATTGCGACTTCATAAACTCCCGGTGCCGAAAACGCCAATCCTTCGTAAGGCAAGGGAATACCCCCCTCCTTCCGTGCCCTCCTCGTTCTGCTCCATAACGCCAAACCACCCCATCCATCCACTTGTTTTTTGCTTTCCGTCATCACAAGAAAGACGAGCTCAGCCAAGCGCCATATCATTACAGCTTCCGAATGTAGTAAACCCCGACCCCAAATCAAATCCGTCTGATTAACAGCAGCACAGAATAAGACCGCGAAAGCCCAGCCCAACCCTGCTACCCCAGCCTTGCCTAGTGTAAGTCACTCCTCTTCCACCTCCTCATCCCAAGCCTCCTTCTCCCTCTTCAGCAGCTCAGCCATCTCGGCCGGTTTGAAGATTGTGCTTCCGGGGTCACTGGCACGGGGCACTTTGGCAATACCCTCATCATCAAACACGGTCCCAATGCTCTCGATCCACCGTCGCCTCCTTTCCATGAGCGTCTTTGTGAGATCGCCGATGCCGGGCCTGGCCATGCCGGCAGTGGGACCGCCGGCAGCACCAGCAGCGGCACCGCCGGCGCCGCTCGCGCCAGCAGGCACGGCCTGGCCGGGGCGGGCCTTCTTAGGCTTCTTCCCCATGGTGCGCGTGCGCTTGAGGTAGGCGGCCTGGACCTGCGAGTCGAGATCCTCCAGGATGGTCTGGTACTCCTGGTAGGCCATGCGCTCCTTGACGAGCTCCGTCAGGCGGGCCTTGCGGGCGCCGTTGAGGAGGGCCTGCTCGCGCAGGCGGGCCTGCAGCAGACGAAGGCGCGCCGCCACCTCGTCGTCGTAGTGCCCGTCGTACTCGGCCGTGGCCGACGGGTCGGGCTGCGGCGGCGCCGACGGGTTGGCCGGGTCGTGAGGCAGCGGCGGGAGGAAGCCAAGGTGCCGCAACTCCTGCTTGAGGCGCTCGTCGACTTGCAAGTAGTCCAGCTTTGGGTGCGTTCCCTTCTTCCAGGATTCCGTGTTTGATTCGGGCATGCAGGTTGCTGCGGGGAAGGTCTGGGTTTGGACTTGTTGTTGATCGGACGACGTGTTGGCGTTGAGTGGCTGTGAGGTTGCGGCGCCGTTGATCCCATCAATTTGGCCATTGGATGTTGGGCCGGACGGGTTATCGCTGAAGCTAAAGTCGAAGGAGGCGGTGCCGTTTACGCCATCGCCTTCACCATTAATTCCGTTGGCCATGCCGGGCCTGTCCTCGGCTGGCTGTACACGGTGCTCGTGGCGCAAGGTTTGGAGGAGTCGTGAGAGGAGCGGGCCGACTGAGAGCTTATCTGTCTCGGCTACTTCGTCATCCATATTCTCGATGCTGCCGCGCGCTTGGTTGGGAGGAAGCCTGTCCCGGCCGCCTGGTGGGGATGAGTCGATCGCCATGTTGCCGTCTTCCTCTGCCCATATTTCGGTGTAGTGTTTCTTGCCCCGTTTGGGCATGACGAACGGTGTTACACGGTCGCCTCGCTCTCTAAGAAAGGCCAGATCTTCCTCGGTGAACGGACGGAAGTAGGGCTCAATGTAAGTGCTGAAAGTGCTGAAATTGATTTGGTTACTGGGCTTGGCATTGCTGAAATCTTTGTCCGGGGGGTCGCCGGCGATCAGATCTGAGAGGTCACTCTTCGGATAACTGGCTACTGAATAGATCTGTTTTATTTCTTCCTCGGTCATGCCTGGCTTGACCGGCAAGATTTCGTAGACGGTCGGATCGGGGAATGTAGACGGGTCATCGCCAAACGTGTTGGCCTGCGGTCGCGCTGGAGGGGGCGGGCGGCCCTCGTCGGAAGAGCTAGAGTCGTCGTCGTTTGCCTCGGCTTTCGCCTTGTCGTCGACATCCATATTGCTCGGAGTCCGTGGAGCGACAGGTGAAAGCGACGAGCTGGCCGAATCGTTGTCGCGAGACAGCTTCCTTGATTTTCCAGTCGAGTCGCGCAGAGGAGACGATATATCTGAGGGGCACAAGTCAGAATCTAAATGCAAACAAAAGTGGTAGAAGCGCCAGTTTGAAAGGCAGGTAAATATTGGTGACCTTGGCGTGGAAATTTGTTCAATCTAATTTATAGCTGATTTCGAAACAGCGGGCAAGGGAAACATGAGATGACTGACCTGTGTTCCTGCTCTGGGGTGCCAAACTATCCGTTCCCTTCCGTTTCTTCTTGTTCGCTTTCCGCTCGCGCTCCTCATCCTCAGCCTCGCGCTGTCTCCGCTCCTCTTCGCGCCCGCGCTCCAAGGCCTGCTCGTCCAGCCGCTGCCTCCGGGTCTGGGCGAGGAGCCTCATTCCGCGGTCGCAGTTGGTTCCCCGCTTGTCAATTATATCGCTCAACCGCTGCAATCGGGACAAGATGCCGTCGAGGCTTTTGGAGTCGGGCGACAGGGTGTTGGAGGCGGCAGGATCAACCATGTCCTCGAAGGTCAGGTTGCGGAAGACTTCGAAACGCAGGTCGATGGTCTCGGTCTCGACCGTCTCGACGGGGGGCAAGCTGGCGACAGCAGGCGACGCGCCAGGAGTGGTGTTGCGGCTGCGCTGCTGCTGCTGCTGCTGTTGTTGGCGAATGGCGCCGGCGCCCCCTTTCTTGCCAGTCCCCTTCTGACTCGATGACGGAGCCATCTTGGTGGACCCGATGCCGTCGTTCGTATCGAGCGGTGCAATGGCCCCCGTCGTTTACCAACAACAAATTTCCACGATTTCTGTAATCTCGGTTGCTGAGAGAGCGGTTTCCTGGGCGCGCCCGTGCCGGTCCGAACTAGCAGTCGCGAAACTCGGTCGTCGTTGCCCCAGGCTTCCTTCGGAGCACAATGCACGTCACCCCTCCAATGATTGTCGTCGCGCCGAGACGTGGCACATCCCTGTCTCGGCAGCCACTGCACAGGCCAGTGAGGCCACCCGCAGGCAACTTGGGGCTCGCTGACTCAGCAGCATACAAAGTGTTAACTTTGAGGTCACATTAGCGATATCGCTAAGTCGAGTTTCTTAACTTCGGTTACTGTTGGCGCCCGGGAACACAAAAACGCTCGCCCCTTCCCATTTGTTGATCAAAAGTATTCCGTACAGTCGGCAGGAAGGACGTCTTCAATGGATCTTTTCCCTCACTACAATGGCACCTTGATGCGAACCGCAGTGGACAATAGCGAAGTTTGAGCGTTTTCCCTATCATCTCGGATCGACGTTCATTATCGTTGTGATAGGTATTTGGTCAGCCGACATTCTTACACTAGGAGTCCGTCCGCATCTGAGAACTGCCAGGAGAGCGCCTTCCGTCAAGCGGAAGTCGGCAACACCAAGAGATTTTAAGTTGATGTTGCACAACCGCTTCGTCGCAGAAAACGGGTCTTGTTTGAACACCCGACATTTCAAGAGGCCACATGCCTTATGACAGCGTTGGAACCTTTCCCGTGGTCGTATGCATTTCCCCGATTGGCTTCCAAAGCTTGACCCCACCATGCATACAGAGAGGGGCGGGCAGAGGCAATCGTGGCCTAAGATATGAGATTATCTTTCACTTGACCATGACTCCTGCGTTCAACCGTGGCTACCATTGCCCGGGTCGCTAGAATCAAACCCAGGGCAGAGATGGTGTTGCACAACAGGTCCCTGAGTATGTATGCCGGTATGCACATTATTGGTGAAATGGATCAAATGGCGGGAACACAGGTTTGGTCGACTCGGTATCCATCAACTTTTCTCTTCCAGGTCCCTGCATGAGCAAGAGGGCCGGGGTCCCGATCGGCTACGAGGCCACATCATGTTTACACTACCGGGACAACTTGACCGCATCCGATTCAGCGCACACGGCTCGCTTTCCCCTTGAGATGCACTCTGCGCCATCTCGACCATACCAACCCCATGTGGGCAAGCGATTGGCCGGTAGCCGACACACAACACAGCACCCCCAATGTGCTGTGGGGTCACAGTCTACCCTGTACGGCAATCCGCTGATCGATCTAAGTTCAGACGAGCGAGAGGCGGCAACATGCCCCATGACGGGATGTGTTGTACAGGTGGCATTGCCAGTATACTGTACAGTACTTTATTGTGGTAGCACTCTCGCAGCGAACCGTTTGCGCCCGTGAAAGATACCTAGTCAACTATATTAGGACAGCCGACTTGTTTTGCCATCTCGTCCCTTGGAGCTGCTTCTTCCCTCATACGGTTCAATCCGCTTTCGTCTGTCTGTTCCTCACCGCGAAAGGACTCTTGTTTCAACAACCTCTCTCTCATCCTCACACTATGAGAGAATACCATGGCTTCTCTTGGTGGTAACATTACGCCCCCTGATGGCATCAGTCCAAAGATTTTCTTCGCTGGTATTGCCGGTGTGGTATTCTTTTCCATCGGCCTCTACCAACTCTCAAGCAAGCCGTCGCAGAATGGCAACGACGAGGAGCCGAGCCTCGTGAAGTCGATCTTGCTCTTCTGCTACTCGTGCTTCTTGAAGCCGCATTCTGGCGCCCACGGCAGCCAGCAGAATGCCCTCGAGTCGTTCTATGCCAGTCAGGCTGGCGCCGTATGTGAATCCCCAGTTCGCAGCCCATGTTCTGTGAGGACGGAGATTTCTGACTACGTCCAAAGTACGATGTGACGAGGAAGGCACTTCTCAAAGGCCGCGAGGACATGCTGGGGCTCGCTGCAGCGCAGCTCAAGTTCAAGGCCGAGAAGGCAGACGGGGTTGCCAAGAGAAGACGTATCTGGGTTGACGTTGGTTTTTCCTACCCATCTGAGAACACGACCCACAGGACTGACTCTCCCTCAGGTTGGCGGCGGGACGGGATGGAACATTGAAGCCATGTCTGAATTCGTCAACGTCCCCGAGTTCTTCTCCAGCGTATATCTTGTCGACTTCTCCCCTTCGCTCTGCGAGGTGGCCCGGAAACGGTTCGCCCGGCTCGGCTGGACAAATGTCAAGGTGATTTGCGAAGATGCGAGGAAATTCCGCCTCGAGGACTACGAAAATGGTCTCTCTGAGCCGGCGACTCCTTCATCCCGTTCACCTCCGAGCTATTTTGATCAGCGTCGTCCAGAACATGGAGGCGCTGACCTAATTACCATGTCGTACAGCTTGTCGATGATTGTGCGTACATGCGCCAAAATGGGCGTGAAAACAGCTACTAACAAGTTTGCAGCCCGATTACTACTCGGTCATAGACTCGCTGACGTCCCTTCTTTCTCCCGATGGCATCATGGGTGCGGTTGATTTCTACGTCCAGTCTGAGGCCGATGTGACCTTCCGAAACTACACTGGCGGTTTGGTTGACCGCCATGTCAATTATCTCGGGCGGACCTTTTGGCGCGCATGGTTCGATCTCGACCGGGTTGCCCTCGAGCCCGGCCGCAGGGACTACCTTGAGTACCGATTTGGGACCATCCTCACGGCCAACCTGCGGAACAGCAAATTGGGCTCCATCCCTTACTATATTTGGCTGGGATGCCACAAGAAACCCTTCTCCTCGTCAAGTCTGCCCCACGAGATTATTGAACGCATCGATGCGTTGGCGACAGAGTCCCCGTACCTCCTGCCGTCGAATGGACAAAAGGGAGCTAATGCGCTGGCTCGTGCCGTCGAAAGGACTGCCCCAGAGATCCGCTCCAAGGCGTTCGATGCTGCCGTTGGGAATCTCTCCGCCAATCTGCCGCTCCCTTCCTTCTTCTACCAGAACCACCACTGGCGGATCTACTACAATGACCAACTCGAAAAGCACACTCAGTTCAACGACGAGTACATCTACGCCTTCACGTGGGAAGATTCCCGGGTGGACCGGGACCTGCTCAAGCTAGGCCCCGACGATGTTGTTCTGGCCATCACGAGCGCCGGCGACAACATTCTCTCCTATGCCATGCAGGGCCCGGCTCGGATCCACGCCATCGACCTGAACCCATCCCAGAACCACCTTTTGGAACTCAAGGTCGCCTGCTACACCGCTCTCCCGTACGAAGACTTTTGGAAGATTTTTGGCGAGGGCAAGCACCCCGAGTTCCGGTCACTTCTCCTGTCCAAACTGTCGCCTCACCTCTCCAGCCGGGCATTCCAGTACTGGCTCAACAACGCCAGGATCTTTACCAGCACCCGTGGACGGGGCCTCTACGATACTGGTGGGAGTAAGCACGCAATCCGCGCTTTCCGATGGATTTCCCATGTCTTTGGATGTCGTTCTGCAGTCAAGGAGCTGCTGTCAGCAGAGACGTTGTCCAAGCAGCGACAGATTTGGCACTCCAAGATCCGCCCGGCCCTGTTCAACCGCCTTGTCAATAATCTGATTATCAACTCGGAGACATTCCTCTGGACCGCCCTCGGCGTGCCCAAGAACCAGCTCGCCATGATCGAGTCGAACCACGCGCTCAATGTGAAGACGTCGGCCGTGAAAGCCAAGAATACCCGGTCCCACGCAGTCTGGCATTACATGGTCGACACGCTCGATCCAGTCGTCGAGACCACCCACCTCGCCACGGACAACCCGTACTACTACGTTACCCTTGCGGGCCAGTTCTCGCGACAGTGCGCGCTGGACTATCTCTCTCCCGAGGCGCATGCCCGCCTCAGCCAACCGGGCGCCTTTGACGGGCTGCGCATCCACACGGATGAGATTGACGAGGTCATTGCGCGGATCAGCCCGGGCACCCTGACGGCCGCCATTGTCATGGACAGCATGGACTGGTTCGATCCGGGTACCGATGCCGCGGCCAGGCAAATCCGCAAGCTCAACCGTGCCCTGGCCATGGGCGGGCGGGTGCTGCTGCGGAGCGCGGCCAGGCAGCCGTGGTACATTGGCGTGTTCGAGCAGCACGGATTCGTCGGCAAGCAGGTCGGCGACAGGAAGCCCGGTGCGTGCATTGACCGCGTCAACATGTACGCCAGCTGCTGGCTGTGCACCAAGGTTGGCAATCTGCCGCCGCCGACACCGTCCGGTTTGGGCCAGGGCCAAGGTGAGGACATGGTCGATTCGTGGACCCTGTGAGATGGTCCGAGCTTGCTGGTTTTCCTTTTTGTTGCAAGGTGTGGTCTAAGATGGTTTAGGTAACGATGGGACGCGATCGCTTTACTATACGAGACGGGCATTTCATGATGAATGAGCATGCATAGCAATCTTGTGTATACGACTCTTGAGAGATTCGTTTCCTTTCACTCATGAGGTTTGTTCCACGTTACAAATATTGACAAGGCGAAGGAAGGAGCCGCTCCTTAAATTCTTGGGCAGCATACGAAAGACAGAAAACAAGCTCATGACTGGTACGTTCAATAAAAATTGAAAAAATAGTGGTTGATCGAGGAATCGAACCCAAAAAAAGAGGTAGGCGTTCGAGCCCGGGCAGCAGTCTGGGACAGTAACACTCGTCAACCAGAGGCTATCTAGGAATTTTCTCAACGCCCACGCTGGAACCGCTACACCACAACGCCGTTGAAAGCGTAGTGGTTCTTGTTGAAGACCTGCTGCCTTGCACTTGCCTATATACCCCTCCGCCCGCCACCCACCACGCCGTTAGCAGCCACTTCCGTCCCTGCCCTTCCATCCAAATCTCAATGTACAACACATCAACGTGTGAAGTTGGATGAATCGCCAACCCCTCGTAATCAGCCGCAGCGGTTCAAGCTCCTTCGCACGCTCTAATTTCCCAATGTAGGTACTGCACTGTCGTCTATAAATGGCGAGGCTCCAACACTCCAGCCAGACAAACACGGCTCCTAGGTAGCGTCGCTATGCGAACGGGGTTCCGGCGCGCCGTACTGTGGTGAGTGAATTCCTCAGTCTCTTTCCGCCGACAACTCGACAAATGGAAGTCCTGGCGGTACTGTATGTAGAGTACCAGTTCGGGAAGTCTGCATCTCGGCTCCAAGGAAGGGAAAAAGGTCTGTTCACTCTGTTGTTGGTTCCCGGGACGACTGGGAGGAAACCTGCCTACTATATGTGGAAACAAGCAGCAACAACACAGCCACACCACTTCAGCTGTACCGGGGATGCTCGGCAGCAGTAACAACCAACCCCTGGCCAGACAAACCCCCAGGCCGTCCCCGGGAATCACACGATACACAACTGCCGTGAAACGGCCACGCTGTGCAACGGTAGTTGACAGTCTGTTGGGGTTAGCTTTGGGCTTGGCCATCTGAACATGCTGAGTGTGTACATATTGTACTGGATATGAGGTATTGTACATACCGACTTTGCCGCGACTGGCCTCCCGTCGTCCTCATTTCGTGCCACACTAGCCGCTCGCTCGGCAATACAATCAATCACCTGACAGCGCGGTTGTGGTTATTGTACCCGACCACGAGCTGAAGGTAGGCATCTCAGCTGGTGTTACAGATATATCACTCTTTATACCGAGTGATCGCCGATGCCTGTAGTGTACACTAGTTGAATGGCTGGTCGTGTATCGGCTGTGGCGTTTGGGCGGCGCCATGGTTCGGCGAGACATCTGTTTGCATTGCGGCCCGAGATGGGTTTAGCAGCAAGCCCGTCGATCTCCATTGCGGGTAAACGGTTCGTTAATCGATCGAAGATCCCAGAATGGCGTCTCTCAAAAGCAAAGAAAAGGGAAAGAAAAGAAAAGCATCACGAGCCACCACTGGCCAATTGCGCCAGCCTCCATTCCATGATTTCCATCCTGGATCGCCGAAGGCCTCCGCGAACTTGCAAGCACTGGTACAATCCATCCGGACCTCACCGCCGGACAATTCCTTGATCTTGGCCGGAACCATTGTTTCCCGCGGGGCTTGTGCGCACAGACCCGGCCTACAACGGCGGCCACGTTGTGTGGGAGCTTTTCCACGCCGCACAAGCCACGATCTGATCCTGATAGGGCTGGACCCACTGGAAGGGAGTGGGAATGGAGTGTGGGGGCCCTCTTTCCTCCCTCTTCCAGCCTTCCTCGACTGGACCTTCGGATGAGAAACAGGCGATCGGGATTCGGAAAACGCATTTGCGGTTGAAACATTCTTCTTTTTTGAAACGTTACATTTCAACTCTATTCCTGGGGTAGTGCAACGTTGAAAGACACCAAATATTTGAGTGGTGCCATTGGACTTGGACGTTGCTATGTATGTACGGGGGACTCGTCATTGTATGCTGCCAAGATAACTTGAACGATTCTAATAAGGCAGCTTTATTTGTACGGTAAGCGCCCTCGTGCAGAGTCTCCCGGCTGTTTTGAATAGAATGTCTGATGTTTATTTAGCAGCTTTGCAGGCAGATTCTATTCTGTCTCGATACCGAGTTTAGAACCCAGATAGTTATGATAGTTATGGAATGCAACCTGTTTGTATGTTATCTATGTGCATACAAGATCTATCTTCAGAACGGATGACTTAATGATGTAGGCCATTGGGCCGGCTACGACGGGAAAGTGACGGCCCTGATTTGTTTGTAACACCCGTACCTTGCCGAGACTGGAGGCCGAGAAACACATCCTCAACCCGGGTCGATCTACCGATGTGGTGATGTGCAGGCCTGAAACCATCTTCCAGGCGCCCTCATGGAATACACTACAGCTATTGTACGTACTGTCGCGCCAAACGCAAAGCAGATCTTGCAGCATGTAGGTACGGCCAGCATGGGTTTTGCATGGGGGGTTGGGGATCGGGGCTCAGCGCCAAGGGTAGGATTCGCGGTATCCGACCTCATTGGCCAAGTAGCTCCAATGTCGCGCCAACAACCGATCTCAAGCCCGGCGCCGCAACCAAGCCTACGGGCTGCCGTCCGGGTGACAAAGCTCCGTTGTGGCTTGCTGGCCTGCAGAGAGCTTAACCAAGAACCGTTTTTGGTTCTCAGTGCAGCAGTGCATCGTCATGGCGTGCTTCCATATCAGCATCCAAGGTTGCCTCAGTAGGCTCCTGGCATTTAATAAACATGTCAGGGCTGCGAGGCTTCAAGTCGGCCGACGGGTCCACGGTCAGAAGACATCCATGCCGTCCTATCTCACTGCAGCGTTGACTGATCGCTCATCGAGGATCATCGGCCAGCAACCATGTCCAAGACCTCATCTCCAGCATCATCCCCGCAACCGACGGGCCCCAAGTCGGCAAGAGCTTGTGTGTGCTGTAGGATCAAGAAGAAGGGTTGCGATAAGGCGCTCCCATCATGCGGCCGCTGCAAACAGTGAGCTTATACCAACCCTCAAGTTGTTAGGGATCTTTGCTAACCACCCGGTCTCCTCCACTAGGGCATCCCAGCCCTGCTTGCATGAGGAAGATGTCGTACGCTCACCAAGCACGAGCGCGTCGGTGCTCGCACTGCTCGCAGGTCGTCAGCTCCCCTCGCCCATCACTGCTTCCTTGTTCTCTCCCATCAGCTCCGCTAAGGATCTCCATTCCCTGGCCTTGACGACTGTCCTGGACATGTTCGACAACCGGCAAGGTCTCGAGCGAGCCGTGTCATCCTACTTCGCCGGCGTGAACACGTGGTTCACTATTGTCGAACGGGCTACCTTCGAGAAGCAGCTGAGCGAGACGTGGCAGAACCCCTCGGCAGAAACCTGTGCCCTGGCTCTCTGCATGTCCATGATTGCCCGTCCACCAAATCCGACGCCCGGCTCGGTCGTCCAAGACAGCGTGTACCAAACAGCGAAGTCCCTCTTGGGCCTCATCCAAAGTAGTGCCCCAATGTCGACACAACTCCTGCAAGCCGAGCTTCTCGTCTCCATGTATGAGTTTTCGCATTCCCTGCCCCAGCAGGCCTACTTGACGCTTGGCCGTTGCTTCCAAATGACCAAAGCGTTTGGCTGGCATAACAAGCTGTTCTGGGCTGTAGAACGGAAGCAGTCGATGCCGAGGGAGTTGAAGCTTTGCTCCATCCTGTGGTGGTCCATCGTATATGTTGACGGGTAAGAGTCATCCTGGAAAGCGAATATGAGCGAGCAGCTAATTCTGGGCCAGCCTCCTGAACATCGCATACGAAAACCAAAAGTATCCGATGCACACGGCCGACTCCGTCCTGGAAGCCGTGATTCCGTGCCCAGAATCCTGCGACCAATATCTGCCTGGGAGTCTAGTGATGCACTTCGACAGCACGGGAAAGGTAATTCGCGATGGCAATATCGACCATATCGACGGCATCGTCCTGCCAGAGGCAAGCTCTGCGTTGTTTCTTAGCCGAGTTTTGCACCCTCCCACTCCTAGTTCGATGAGCGTCCTCGACCTTTCTAGCGCCATTACCCAGCACACAACCGACTTGGTTTCGGGAAGCTGGATAAATGGAGACCGTAACGCAGCGGTGGGCACCAATTTCATGTATTTTCTCCCTGTTCGCGCATTAGCGGCAAAGCTAACCTGTGGATTGTTAGAGCGTTAATGAAGCTCAACCAGCCCAGCCTCTTTACAGTTGGCCCGATGCCGGTTCCAGACCCGAACAATGTTGGGCTTGCTGATACTATCCGACCCATCATCAAATTTATCCACGACGTGGCCGTAGGTGCCGCCAGGTCAGAGGCTCGACTCAGTGCGGGAACGCTGGCTCCTTGCTGGGGCTTCGCCATGTATTATGCGTCGATGCTGCTGATCACTCACGGAGATGGGATACTCCAAGATACCAGCTGGCCCCGCAAAGTTGAAGACCTGAAGAAGTCGCTCGAGGTGTTTTCCAAGAGGTGGAAGATTGCAGGTGAGAGTCTTCCAACTTTCCAAGTTTCGCCGTACTCGTTGACGACGTGTATACTAAAGCGCGAATCTAGAACCATATCTTGGATCGATAAATATTGCTCTTGAGAACTGCCTCACTGGGTATGCCATATGAAGGCGGGAATAAGGGCATTCGGATTTCCTTCAAACGGTTCGGTCGGGAAGCTGACGTGGTAGCTTCAAGGTTGGCGTAATGGATGGGATGGATATACCCCGCTGGCGTTTTCTTAATGGTCGAATAATGCTGCTTATCACCGGATTGGGGAAACTTCGATCGACTGCCTGGAGCAGCCGGGGAAAGAAGATACTATCTCATGACTTGTTTGAAACCACAGGAGCGTTCGGGGTCGGCTTTGGACTGGACAGTTGGATAATGCGTCCACTACCTAGCTAGTATGAGCAAGGATGGACGGGAAGGAAGGCAGTCTTCGCTGTTCTTTCCTTTGGTGTCTGGAACCAAGTTCCTTCTGCTATTTGATGGGAATTCCTGCAATATCTTGGTTTTCGTTAAAGCTTAACCATGAAAATACTTCCCACGTCCAGATAGTCAAGTTTGACTTGCAGAGAAGCTCTTGGTGACCTTCTGTTGGGTTCATCAGTCAAACGAAGACGGGAAAGAAGGTTGGGCCAGAGTAGCGGTAGTGATATGAAGCTCCAAAAGCCCCAATCACGGCATCCCCGTGATAAGGGTGTACTCATAGCAATAGCTCGGACGAAGAGTGTCATAAATGTAACAAATGGCTTGTGTACAGATGGAGCAAGCACTTGGGACATGAGCAAAGGAACTGTCGAACCCCAGATTTACGAGATGAATCGAAAGACCTCGGAATCACAACAACAAGACAAGAGATAACTTATAAGGAAATGTATCTGACAGAGAGACCCGACATACCCTATACCCCACACTACTATCATCCGGGTGTCTGCCCCTTACCGCTGAGAGCCCCAGGATTGGCAGCAAGCCGCCTGGCGGAGAGGCGTGTGGCACAAAAGGAGGTGCGCGGCGGCGCTGCTGTAAACAGCCCCTTTTGGTCGGGGATAAGGCTGAACACTACCTAGAATTGACCGACACTGTCGGGCGTTCAAAGCGGAAGACATGAAATGGAAGGGGCATGAGGAACGAGGACTCGACATACTGTGACCGAGCCAAGGGTGCCAGAACGAGTGAAAATGAGAACAGAAAATGAAAAGGTAGGAGACGGGAGAAATAGTGTGCTGTATATGTAGCGCATGAACATACCCAAGAAGCCAACGGAGCCTGCATCAAGCGGAAACCCGGGCGTCGGTGTGGCATAGCGGCAGCGATGACTAACAAACCGTGGCTTCGTCTTGATGCGACCATGATATCTCACTCATTGAGCCAATGCAAGTTTGGATTTTCTTTATGGCGTGTATGACGAGATGTTGAGTTTGGTCGATGTGGAGGAAGAAACGAGTTTAAGTATGCAAACTGAGTACCGAGCACGGGGGAGTTTCCGAAGTTTTGTGGGGTCCATGCAAGGCCGTCGCCGCCGGTTGGTGGTTGAGCTCGGATATGCCAGCTTCCTGTACGCGCCACTTCCACCGCAGCGGGAAGCGGAGGCTTCCGGACGAATGAGAGACATTCAGCCAGAAAATGCTCGCAGGTTAGTCTGCCTCGTGATTTAACAAGGGATACAAAATGCCACGCAAAAGGCCATGCTCCATTCACCCCAACAGCTCCGTCACCTTCGAGGTGTGATTACAGGGAGCACATTGCAGCTCCACGCCGCGGATAGCAAGAGTTCCCTCCGAACTTGCTTCCTGTTTCCCATCCTCACAATACTGTCTTCACGACACCAACACTGGATCCCACGCTGAGATGCTCCAAGGGAATGGTCAAGGAAAGAAAGCAGAAATGTAGTAGATGGAGTGTGTACAATACACAAGACAGCGTGCCCTCTCTTCGACTGCCCAAAGTCGAGCTCCAGCCCCTGCCTCGCTACTGCCCAAAGGTCCCAGCCCACATCCCAGCCAAACTTCAGCCAGCTGTCTCCTTTCATGCAGTCCATATGCGCTTGATAGTCTCGGTGATGCCCACATCAGTGGTCTCAAACTCGTACAGGGCCAAGCCGACCACGACGGTGGCGGCGTTGAGACCCCACATGAACAGCTTGCGGGCGCGCGGGGTCCTGTAGGCGGGCACGTAGTCGATGATGATATTCTGGAAACCGGTGTGCGAGTGGATGAGGATGGTGGCGCAGAGGATGGCGTCGAGCGTCGGGTTCAGCGAGCCGGCAGCGAAGGGGACGACGGTGAGCGGGATCAGGGACCCGGCCACGAGCCGGTCAAAGGTCCAGTGGTAGGACCCGTGTGACGGGGAGGTTGGTGGTACCGGGGAAGCATCGTTCACTAAACAGGGAGAGTTTTTATGTTAGAGAGAGAACTAGACGAAAAAGGTCGCTGCCCTCGTGATCGCAAGACTGGATTGGCTCGTACCTGTGCCCTCGACGCGTTCTGCTCAAGCAGTTAGTAAATTGCTTTCTGTTATATTCTGATGCTGGAATGGATATATGACGCACGCGGAAGAGGAGGGAGCAGGTCCCTCCTGGCTGTGGTGTGGAAGGCGGTTGCTCGCACGGCGTTGGCGATGCTGGTCTGCTGGAAGGCTGGCCTTGTCGCAGCTGAGAACTTTGTCGTCGAAGCAGCCTGCCGCAGCAGGGATGAGCGGGCGATTGATGCCATGATGTCTGGGACGGGTGGCAGTCAATTGGTTCGACTGCGCTGCGTGGTGATCGCTTGGTGTTCGAATGTCAGAGCGGCGATGACGGAACAACGGGACTTGGCCGTTGTCGAAAATGGTTGCCGAGCAAGCTGCGTCTGATTCCTCGGCAATCGGAAGCATTGCCTACCAATCGTCTTGCCGTTGATGTCAGCCGAACGACCCCACACCACTAGCCGAGAACTCTCGGGTCTCGGGTTCGGGTTGACTATGGAGTTCATGGGCCTTGGTATGGGCCCGGTAACGCGGACGCGGGCGCGCTCAGCGCTCGTGCAACCCTTCGGTCAAAAATTTCCAGAACGACAAACTCGAATGGAAGTTGACGATGCATAACAGCCACATCCCATGCCATTGACGAACTCGACTAGTTTGAATCAAGAAGCTGTACGCACGCGATGCCCACAAGGATAACCAGGTCATTATCGAGCTAGTCGGACAAGATAGGCGCAACCATGGCGCCATCACAGCTTCTTCTCTTGAGCGGAGGCCCCATCTGCCGCAGATGCTTATTGGCATGCGCCAGGGGCGTCGTACCTGTTCAGCGCAGAGCCATAAGCCGAAGCTATCTGGCGAAGAAGGCTGCGGCGGCAAAGCAATGGGAGGAGCGCGCTGAATTGATCAAGGAGGGCAAGCTCCCCAACACTTGGGACTTGTTGGAGCAGCGGGGCTTCGTCAAGGACACAGCTGGGTGGGCATGCCTCCGGAACAGATGCCATCCTCTGCAGTTCTACGGTTTCTAACCTATGTTCTTGCAGATCCCGAGACACGATCCGCGAAATCATGAGGACGAAGCGAATAGGTGCCTATGTTGGCATTGACCCGACCGCTAGCTCGTTACATGTCGGCCATCTCCTCCCTCTCATGCCGCTCTTTTGGCTGTACATGCACGGATACGGCGCGCACACACTTATCGGAGGCTCGACGGTGAAGATTGGGGACCCCACAGACAGGCTGAAGACCCGTGATCCCATTTCGAGCGCCGACTTGGCAATGAACCTTACCAAGATGCATTTTCAGATCAAGAAGTTATGGATGAATGTTGAGGGGCAGGCCAGGAGATTTGGTTACCAGAAAGAGTGGGCTTGGAAGCGCTCGCTGGTAAATAACAACACTTGGTGGAACAGTCTTCCCATGCTTGAAGTCCTCAAGAGGATAGGGACTTCGATCCGAATAGGACCCATGCTGTCCCGAGACACGTAAGTCAGAGGCAAAAATACTGACGCCGGTATCATTGCTGACTCGGTCCTAGTGTGAAGAACAAGATGAAGAAAGGAGATGGCGTATCGTTTGCCGAGTTTTCCTATCCTCTCATGCAAGGGTGGGATTGGTGGACGCTCTTCGAGAAGCACAACGTGCAAATGCAAATTGGCGGCTCGGATCAGTACGGCAACATCATTACCGGCATTGAGATTGTCAAGACAGCGCGCGCCAGCGAGCCGGATCCCGCCAAAAAGCTACCCTTCAAAGACGAGCTCGATGACCCTGTTGGATTCACGGTACCTCTCCTGACGGACTCTTCCGGTGCCAAGTTCGGAAAGAGCGCAGGTAACGCGGTCTGGCTGGACCAGTTCATGACGCCCACGTTCGATCTGTACGGTTACTTTGTCCGGAGGCCTGATGCAGACGTTGAGAATCTCCTTAAACTCTTTACTTTCCTCCCACTTGCCGAAATCCAACAAATCATGGAGCAACAAATGCAAGACCAGTCGAAGCGTGTTGCTCAGCACCGCCTTGCATACGAAGTGGTGACCTTGGTTCACGGAGAAGAAGCTGCCAGAACAGCGCAGGAGGAACACCGGCAGATGTACGGCGGCGGGATTGTTATGCCCCTGACAAAGGCCCCAGGTGATGAATATGCGGAGCCGGAGGAAGGGAAGAAAGACATCAACCATGCGCCACGGATTGATATGATCTTGCCCGAGTCTCTCATCATGGGCAAGTCTATTGCCCGCATCCTCTACGCGGCCGGACTCGCCAAGAGCACATCGGAAGCCAACCGGCTCGCTATTGCTCAGGGTATTTATATTGGTGGTGTGCCGGGCCAGCGCCCCAAAAACGCAGACGTATCCATGAACCCGTCGCAGCTCACGTGGAATACGGTCAAGCTTTGGTTCCCGCAGGAAACTCGGCGATATTTGATCGACGGCAAAATACTTCTCCTTCGCAAGGGCAAGCACAATATACGCGTCATTCAAATGGTGAGCGATGAGGAGTATGCCAAGTCCGGGCAAACATATCCGGGACAGCCCTACACGGGCGCTGTCCGCCAACTCCGCGAACACCTTAAGAATATGAAAGACGGACAACAGGGAACTCAGGAACTGAAGGCGGCCCTGGCGAAGGCGGAAGCTGAGGAACAGGCAGCCGAGGCGGCAGAGAAGGGAGACGGGTTCATCAAGTTCCCAAAGACGAAAAGCCGACAAGAACGCGAGATAGAGGCCGAGATCGCGGAGCTGGCTAGGGATGAAGCTGGGTCGGGAAATTTTAAGCCGTGAGAAGGCCAATTCCAAGCATCCTTAGGATGGTTGCATGGAACATGGAACACCTCGCGTCGGAGTTTGGGTACTGAGAAGATGTCTGTAAAACTACTTGTAAGATGACTGAGAGATGCTCTGGTTGTATACTGTATACTATTAGAGGAGCTGCCTCGTATATCATTCGGCCTTGGGCCTTTAGAGCATAGAATTTCCATGCCTCTCATGCATGGACGGTTTACCTATACAAAACAGTCAGGTCCCCTGCCGGGGCGGGGAAGCTCTTGAGCTTGTCCATGATCTCGGCATCCGTTAGGTTCTGCTCGGTAATGATCTGGTCGAAGGTGGCACACCCGTCGGTGTACTTCTGCAGCGGATCGCCGCCGTCGACGGGCCTCGCCTGGCCCGTGGCCAGCGCGGCCAGGTACTGCTTGGACACGATGTGCTTGTGCACGCGGTACAGGCAGCCCTTGATGACGCCAAACTGCACCAGCCGGCGCACGTCGACGAAGCGAAGCACGTCGAACCCGGCGTCCATGTGGCCCTTGAGCCATTCCATGACGGTCTTGCCCACGCAAAACGTCGTCATGAGCTTGATGAGCATGTAGTTGGACACCCGGTGTCCGCTCACGCCGCCGCCGTCGCCGCCGCCGCTGCCACCACCGTCCCGACTACTACTACCCCTTCCGCTGCCTGTCTCAAGGTCAACATCGCCGCCGCCACCGCTACCGCCCACAGCTATCCCTCCTTCTCCTCCTCTCCCATCCTCACCCCCTGTTCCCCCTCCGCTCTGTTGGTCACCAAAAGTTGCGACGGCACCGACGCAGACGTAGTTTGCGCACTCGTCGACCATGCCGCCAACATTAGCAATAAAGTCGTGTATCCCGGGTCGGGGCGCGTAGCAGGCGCCGAAAAAGAACATGTCGAGCAGGAGGATGGTGTCGTAGTAGAGCAGGTGGCGCAGGGCGAGGCAGGCGAGGTCGAGCGAGACGTCGGCGAGCCAGGCGATGCGGCGCACGTCCGACACGCCGTCAATGTGCGCCACGACGCGCTGCAGCGTCAAATCCCAGGTCGGGTCGACCACGTCGGCGAACTTCATCTTGGCCACGGGCACGTGCCAGCCTTTGACTTCGGGGGGTGTCGGGTGGTATGGGAAGAGTTTCATGTTGATTGTGTTGGCGTCGTCTGTTGATGATCGATGAAAAAGCGGGTGGTTAGAGGACGTATTCCGGGAGACAGGAGGTGGAAGAGGTAGGCTTACCAACTGGGATCATGCACTCGCCGTAGTTGTTCAGGTCCTCCTTGATAATCTCCAACAGGGACTCAATCGGTCGCCGGGCCTGGTTTTCGTCTGGATCCTGACTGAGGTAGCAGTTTTGCTTCTCCATTTCGGCAAACGTCACAGCAAGCCTGCGTACGACCTGTTCGTAGGGGATTTGGTCGACATCTTGGTCCACGACAAGGCCAAAGTTGAAGATGAACTCGTTGCGTTCGTACTGCGGGCTGGGGATGAGCACGGGGAAGCCCAGAACAAAGTACTTGCCCTCAGGGTCGGCGACGGTGATGTAGCGGTTGCAGAAGGCGTGGCGCGGGATGATGTACTCTTGCAGCACGCTGAAGTCGAACAGTGGCGGCTTGGTCGTGAGACTCGTGCTGGTCCCCGTCCCCGCGACAGGAACGATGCAGCCCGGCGGGCTTTGCGCTACAATCTTGGTCCCTAGGCCGTGTCAGATATTGGGACTCTGTTGATGCTAATCACAGGAGGCGTTATGCGTATACAAATGCATAGGTGGTTGCATACCTTCCTTGGGGAAGAAGCGGGCGTAGAAGATGCCCTGTATCATTCTGAAGATGTCTTTCTCATAACACATTCATTCTGGGCACAGAACTAAACTCATTGCAATCTTGTCAATGCCGATTCTTGGTATGGTATGACAGCAAGACCCGTGGATTTGGATTACTTTAATCATCTCATCTATGTTAGAACCAAGAGTCGGGAAGCGAAAAGTTGACGCGTTGCGATTGAAGCGAGATGTGAGGACTGAGTCGGGACTCGGACGGAGAGTGAGGGAGAGTGGTTGCAGTTTGATGTCACAACCCTAACCCTGAGTTCAAAGATGGCAAAGCACCATGGATCGAAACGAGCCGGACATGTCATACAACTACAAGTCATCTACACATGTATATTAGGTAGCTCAGTACCTTAGGCACTTTGCTATGCAGCACCCATAGCTATGCAGCACCCATAGCTATGCAGCACCCATAGTCTCGGTGAACTTGGCAGGTACCTTACTCGCCCAGTCACCCATCAACCCCCCCGGTGGGCGTGATATCCCTTTTCCCAAACCTCGCCCCCAACCCCCCAATATCCCTCCTGAAAAACTTACCAATATTCTTCAGATTCTCATTAATGGTCGCCTTTTCCGCGCTTGCAGAGCCCTGCACAGCGCCCAGTCCACCCGCTCCCTGCAAGCCGGTGCTAGCAGCAGCCCCGGCCGCCGAGGTGCCCATTCTCTCCACACCGTCCCTGGCCGCAGTGAGCAGCCTCTCGCCCAGCGAAGCGGCATCGAACCTGCTGCCCGCACTCGCGCTACCCGCCGTCGCCGCCGCCGCAATGCTGCCGACGCCCCCCACCGCACCAATACCGCTGCTACCCGCCAAAGCATGGCCTGGAGCCATCAGCGGGGTCAGCAGCGGGGAGTTCTGAACAAGCTGCTGCCTCCCGGCTACCGAGCTGAACCCGTCCCGGTGGATGGCAAACAGTTCCATGAGATGGGACTGGTCCTGTTTGCGGATTCCCTTGAGCTCTAGGATCTTGCGAAAGTTGGTATCGGAGCGGTCGCCGATGTGGATCAGATATGCTTGGACCAGTCCCTCGGGAGGTGAGGGCCGGACTTGCAGCGTCTTGAGTAGGGGGTCGATGCGCGTCATGGACTGGTTGACCCGTTTGATGAAGCCGGCCGGAACCGGAGGTGCGGGCTGGCTTTGGTTTTGATGCTGATTTGATGGGAGGTTCTCGAGGGATTTCGTTAGGACGTATTTGTCGAGAAGCATCTGCTCGGCGCCCACCTCACCTACCGGGCGGCACTGGACGATGGTGTTGATGTAAGTCGTGGCGAGGCGCTCCACCAGGTTGTCGCAGAACGCGCGGGCGTATTGAGGTTTGACCACCAGCGGGAGGATCTCTCCAGTTTTGCCGTTGATGTGTTTGAGCAGCTCGCTGACATAGGAGCTGTGGTCGCTGACGGTCTCCATGCGGCTCCAGTTGGTGTTTTTCATCTCGCGCCAGGCGCCTTCGCAGTCGGCCTCGACTTTGGATACCAAGGCCATGACGGCGGCGCTAGCGACACCCATGAAGGCGTCGGATTGGGATGTGAGATCAACTCTTGACCCCATGTCCGGATCAATACGCTTCTTGATGTTTTCTTCGAGTTGGTTCGTGTTGGTGTGCCAAAAATCGGCCGTGTTGAGGACTAGGACAATGTTCTGAATTGGGGTCCCTTTGGGTCCACCCTGTTGAAGGAAAGCAAGGAGAACCTGTTGGGCGTATTCGTCCAAGTATTTTGCTAGTACTCCTGCAAGATCGAGCAGCCGTTCACCAGTAGAGAGCTTAGCGCATTGAGAGAGGGTAAGCCTGTAAAAGTGAAACAGCTCAATCGCAGACGGGATGACGGCCTGCGGCGAGAACTCCTCGTCGGCCGGTATAAGTGGCTGCGCCTTGTACCTGGGGATCAGGGAGGCCAGGGCTTTGTCCTGTGACTCGACCCACAGGCTTAGGTACGGCTCGAAGGCAACTGATATGGAGCCGTTGAAATTCTGCATTCGGTCATCTGCAGAGCTGAGAGTGTCGATGCTGGCCCGGGGCTCACTCGCAAACCGACGCTCTAGGCTCTGCTCAAAGTCCATTGTCTCCTGCAGACAGCTGAGTAGCAGGTTCACGTCGACCTTGTTGCCGTCGACCCTGCGCATGCTCCTCTCCAGAATCGCTTTGAAATCGTCCCGCGTGCCGTCGCAAAAGGCCATGGCCACCGTCTCACCAACACGCCAATGAGGCGGGAAGATCATGGCATGCTCCTCCTCGTGCGTCTTGAGCGCACGCTTAAACCATGCATATCGACGACCAATGTTATCCAAACTGCCTGCCTCGTCATTCCCGCGAAACACCTGGCGGTATTCTCGCAGCATAGTGTTGACATACCACGTCACCAACCTCATCTTGGCATGCTCCCCTAGAGCGTCGGCGACGAGGCAGGCCTCCGCCAAGACAGCACGGCGACCAGCAACCTCACTCTTGGCAAAGGCTATCTCAAAATCCTCGCACACCTGCTCGAGCAGCTCGCGCTGCAGCTCGTTGACGTTGCGGCTCAAGACGGCGATCTGCTCAATACTGCGGTAGCCGTTGAAGTGGCGCATCAACTGCAGCACGGCTTGCAGGAGGCCGGCGCATTCGCGGTACTGCCGGGTTCGAGATAAGGCGCGGAGCTGTTCATAGGCTGTCGTGAGCATCTGCAGACGCTTCAGGGCGGTCATGCTCAGCGTCAGGTTGCGCTTGGTGCTGTCGAGGCGCTTGATGTCGGCCGTCATTGTGGTGATGTCGCGCTCCGTCTGCAGAGCGCGGCTGCGCACGCTCTCAATGCGCTGGAAGAGAGAGGCCAGCTCGGTCCGGGCCGACTGCATGCGTTCCAGCGACGAGTCTGGCCCGTAGGCCTGAGCCGTCTCAAGGGCCGTGATGGATCGGGAGAGCTCATCTTTGTGTCGTTGGATGGTCGACGAGACGCGCGCAACCGAGGATACGGTGGACGGGTGCGAGAAGAGGATGTTCAAGTGCGCAATTGGGTCGTATTCAACTGTCGAGGTAGAGAAATCAGGGACATGTTAGCAGGCACCGGCAATGATGGTCGGACCAAGGTCTAGGTAGGTTGGGGTTGTGGAGGACTCGGGGACTCGAGGAACTGTACCTGAATCAAGCGATAGATACTCGGAAGCGGTGATGTTCATGATTCTTCGGATCAAAATTCACCGTAAAAGCGTTGCAGAAGAAGGTAGCCGGCCTCTTCCCAGGAAGGTTGAAGCCCGGTGTTTAGCGGTAGTGTAGTTATTCATTTGTGTTGCGTGTTGGGGGGACAAGTAAAGGTGTGAAGCATGCACAGCCGTACATACAAAGTATACAATGCACGGGAAATATGAGCAAGCTAATGTCAACACTAACTTCATTGGGTAGCATATTCGCCCGGATAGGTAATTGGTTGATGCCCAGCTGGGCTGGAACGCTGAAGGGACCCACTTTTTAATTCTACGCTACAGGGGAGATGAGCTCCGAGCTTCGAGCTTTTTGGCTTGGATCGTTTGCAGCCCTCAACAACTCGAATCTGCAACAAGGGGAAAGGGCAAGGACGGAAAGAGGAAATAGAGAAGGAGACACACAACACTTCGTCGTACTGTGTAGGGGAATAGCATTTCGTCAACCATGGTGCTGCACCCAATGCACCCGACATCACCATGGACACAAACGCCGCAGCCTCAACGCTGACCAGGCAGCGTATCAGCGTGGCTGTTCTCACCTTCGCAGCGACGGCGACGCTCGGCTACTTTTGCTACCGCATCTACAACCCCCCTCTTCCCGAGCCGCTACCCGACCGCCGCCTGCACAGGAGCAATGCTGTTCGCCACCGCCGGCGCTCGCTTCCGAATGTCGCTCGCGGACACGACCGCCAGCCTTCCGAAGCCTCGTACACTTCGGCTGAGTCCCACGGCGACGAGAACGTCGACATCAACACGGTCCGGCCCTTGAATGATGGCGAGACGGTTGCCGACGAACATGTTCTCGACGACAACTGGTACGACGACGAAAGCAATCACTATGCCCAGCACCAGCACCAGCACCAGCGCGCCGGTCAGAACATCGTCAGCCTGCTGTTCCGCGTCTCCGAGGACAATGCCCGCCGTAGCGCATACGTGCACCGGGGCTGCCAATGTAACAGCTGTGGTATTGTCCCGATTCGCGGCATCCGCTACCGCTGTGCCAACTGCGCCGACTTTGATCTCTGCGAGACGTGCGAGTCCCAGGGCCTCCATACCAAGACGCACGTCTTCTACAAGATCAAAGTCCCTGCCCCGCGTCTGGGTGCCCGTCAGCTGCAACCCGTGTGGTACCCCGGCGACCCGGAGAACTGCCTGAGGCTTCTGCCTAAGCACTTAATGGCCAAGCTATCCAAGGAAACAGGGTTTGAGCGCGCAGAGCTGGAAGCCCTATGGGAACAGTGGACATTCATGGCCAACACCGAGTGGAGGGAGGACCCGGATGGCCTTGGCCTGGCCATGGATCGCAAGACGTTCGAACGCTACTTGATCCCATCGGGCGGATACAGGCATATTGCCCCGAACCTGTTGCACGACCGCATGTTCGCCTTCTACGACGACAACAAAGACGATCTCATTGGCTTCTCCGAGTTCCTCCGCGGGACTGCGTACCGCAAGCGACGGGACCGTCTCCGCAGGATTTTTGATGGCTACGACGTCGATGGCGATGGCTATGTCAACCGCCGCGATTTTCTGCGCTTGTTCCGCGCCTACTACGTCTTGTTCAGGCAAATGCACAAGGACATTCTCGACGGGCTCGATGATCAGGTCATGAGCTCCGTCGAAGTTGAGCAGCTCATAAATAGCAGGCAACCACTGAGCAGCCTTTTTGGCCGCGAAGGGGGCTTCCCCCACATCGCCTCTCACGGCCGTATGGAGGGCAAGGGCTCGAACGAGGCCATAAGGGCTGTGAGTGAGGATGCACCCGACGTTGCGGATAGACAGTCGGTTCTGGCAAGCGTGTTTACGGAACAGGCCCTCGCTGGTGATGCTGGCGAGAGCCTTTTCGTGCCCAGTATGGAAAATCCACGGTCTTCAACAGAAAGGGAATCAGGGATAGAGTATCTGAATGGGCTTCTGAACCCCCCAACTCGGATCAACGAACTACCCGCATTACTTCTCGGTGAAACGCGTGATGGGGAAGACTTTCTGGTCGTCGTGGATGACGGAGGTAACCAGGATGGAAGCAGCAATGAGCCAGAGGAGCCGAGCGGAGACGAAAGCCCGCCAATACCTGGGGAGAATGGCGGTATTTCAGGAGAAGACGCAGGCGCGAATCATCGGGAGACAGACGGCTTTTCGGACCAAGGTGAAGCCGAAGCGAATGAACGGGGGATGCGACGTGTGCCTTACAAGGCCGTCAGGAGCGCGCGAAGAAAGCTATTCGACCGGTGGAAGAGGCGTCAGTTTTACTTGGACGAGGAAGAGGGAGCAGTACCGCCAGAAGGTTGGAGCGATGACCAGGATGTTTTGACAACCCTGAATTCCCCGGCGGAGGAGTCCAAAGCCGCACAGCACCCCGTACTGTCTCGATCTCGATCATCCTCCAAGGTAAGGTTTGCTGAAGACGCAGACGATTTTGACATCAGGTCCAACCCTTCAACGTCTTCGAGGAGCGTTCCTGAACGGTGGGGTGGGCTGGAGATTCCCGATGCCGAGCGAGACGTGGGCAAGGAAATCTTTTACCAAGTCATGCAGCAAGCCTTCAACGAGATTCTTGATAGGATATTCAAGGCGAAAGAGGACCTTGCCGTGAAGGCTGCCGAAACCAAAGAGGAGCGCGACAAGTACAGGCACCTCTTCCAGTCAATTGATCTTCATGAGGGCGAAGAGACAAAGAGTGGTTCAGGGCCGGCCGCAAAGCCAGTTCAAGAGCAATCTTTGCAAGATCTACTCCGTGCGACCGGGTATTCAATCGATACCAGCCTCCGGAACGAGGACAATACCGGGGAGGGTGTGGCTGACGACGGCGAGCATAGCGAAACCAGCGCCGAAGACGAAGATGAAATCCCTCCGCTAATAGGAGACGACGATGGACCTGCCGAGGAGGTCTCGGTTATCGAACCTACCCCCCATCGAGATCCAACCATGCCTCAGTTCCGGCCCAATTCAGTAGCAGCAACGTACAATGAAACCCCGCCACCAATACCACCCAAGGCTACGGCAGAAAAGACCGAGGTGCCTTCTCAGAGACTGTTATCTCGCCGCTTGCTGATGTACTGGAAGCGCCTCGACCTCGCCGAGGAGGAGGCAAAGCAGCGTGGCGGGTGGGGGCGGCTCAGTTACGCAGAGTTTGAGCGCATCTATAAGTCTGAGGAGGCCAGAGGCAAACGGCTCGACTATCTCGGGACGTGGATTGACTTTTGTATCCCGTTTAACTAGGAGCTCGGGACGACATACCGCTCGTACCCCGTATCCAACGAGCCCCATGAGCCTAGGTTGTCTAGGCGGCAGCGGTGGCTGCTTCTTGCGCTCTTCCAGCGGTTGGCGGAGGACCCTAGATCATGGGTAATTCCGGAAACCCCAGTTTTAAACTGAGCGTGGTGGATCAAAGCCTTGTATTGGTAGCGGACCACAGAACAAATAGCGCTCTAGCAGAGCCTGCAGGCGCCTTCAACCGCGAAAGGAGTCGCAGTTGAAGATGGGCACAACGGCCTTGTATCGTAATTCAGCTCGTAGCAGTGGTAGATGATGATGTTTGAGTACTATTGGATCAGCATAGGATACAAACGTCTGGGTGTATTATTGTTTACTCTGTGACCGGCTCGGTTACCTACTACGTATCTCCACTAACCTTGCATTATCGGATCTCTTAAGGATTGCAACATTAAGCCGCACCAAAGACTATGGAGACTCAAAAGGGAAAAGGTCCAACAGTATTAAAAGCATTATCTTCAGACACCCATACTCTGGCTTGTTTTATTCGAATTCCCGATGGCTTTGCTTGAGCATGCGACGATTTCAGGGGTAAGGGGAGAAAATAAATATTTACACAGCCCCACAGAATACCTGACCCCTTCACATTAGCGCCCATCCACATAAGGGGCAGAGGAACTTACTAGTAGAGTTAAGATTGGATAGAGCACCTAGCGAATTTGGGAGCTTGGCAACACGAAGCTCTATCATGTCATGGTCTCATCATCTTAGTCTGCACGGCATGTCGAATTTATTTTCCCTGAGAGCCACGTAGATTGCAGGCGACTGGTGCGGGCCGGTTGGCTCAGGGAACAACGAGGGTAAGAGTCCTGCAGAATCGATTCGTTGACGGCGTATAGTAGTAGCTTGAATCACAACGTACTGTACCAATACTGACTTCATGTAGGTGCTCTTACTCGGACGCATTGTACGGCTGTACCTTGCATATGATTGATTGTATGATTTGTATCATGCATGTGACGTGCCTGGCAGTCCTGATGAGACACGAGTGAGGCGACTGGATACCCGCTCTAGACGGATACCTGATTGAGGCAAAATCTACAAATGCCAAACACTGGAAAGATTCATTGTGTAGGTAGGTACCTACGGGCGTTTCGGGCCTGTGCTAACATGATCCTTGATAATAGGGGCAAAATAACTGGACGGACTGGACGAACTGGACGGACTGGGCGGACTGGACGAACTGCAGGAACCGGGCGGACTGGACGAACGCCGATGCTGAACGCCTTTGATGTCTAAACTCTAGAGTGAAAGACCCAAAGCTTGTATTTCTCAACGGATGACTCCAGCCTTACTTATCTATGTAACGGTGTGAATTGTACAAACATGAACCTGGCACCAAACCCAAGTCCTCGTACGCTATTAAATCGCTCCAGAAATGGAGCCGACCCTTCACAACTTGAAGCGTTTCACTTTGCTCCAGCCTTGCAAGAAGTACGGAGAAGTGGCCTTCAAGTTGTCAGGTTGTCTCTGCCAACCGAATTCATACAGCACCTGACTTCGTAGACCGGACTGCCATTCTCCATCGGAAAAGGCAACATCATAATGCGAGCGGTAAGTATCTCAAATTTTCCAGGGGTATTTGCGATGAATCTGCAACTTTGTTGTGACACCTGCCGACCGTTTTTGAATTCCCGGATCACCCCCTATCCAACCAACCTGGCCGTGTGTCCTGCCTGGCGGTTATTTTCCGTCGATCTGGCCGTCTACCTAGAGTAGGTGGCGCAATAAATGGAGGCATTCAGGGGTGACTCCGCATATACACTCCCTTCTAATTACCTTGAACCGATTTCACGTCACTGTCCCTGAGACCCTATCATCGCCGCAAACACTCACCTATTGACAGCAAGGGATTGATGGCGGTGTAGACACCGCGGGGGACACACAGGCCCATTGTATTGATGACGGAGCAAGTCTGTGATGGCAGAACGGCTTCAAGTGCGAGAGAATTGATGCCGGTTGGTGCTTTGTGGTACTACCATACTGGCTGAGCCTTCCGAGGGCTGAACATGGCATGTTTGGCATCCAACTTGAACAGTGTCCTCGCACCGTCATAGAAGCTGCGTCACCACATGGAGGGAATGGGGGGCTTTGGTGTCATGGATGGGGCACACACACAAACACACAGGCTGTCAACCATAGTCATCCAGATGTGGTGCATTCCTTAAGTAGCCACCTGCATGCAGGCGCGGCAATTCAATCATGTCTTCGACAAATGGTGCGAGATTGCCGCGTTGGCGGCGGTGGCATGCCCACTCACACTGGCATGTTTGTTGGTAGTACTAGTACTTGGTAGGGCAGGGAGCATGGCTCGAGATGATCCGTCAGGGATACTAGTACTGTAATATCCATCATGCCGACAATCTCTGCTTTAGTGAAGAGTTACCGGAAGACGACGACGCAGTAGGACGAATTAGTAGAATCTCCCAAGCCATGTCTGCGTCCCCTTGTTAGCCGCCAGGGCGTACATACGCTAGCACACTTCATCCCGGATTATGGACTATAGCAGGCGGGCGTACCTCTACGACAGGTAACGTACTGTACCTGTTGTCACACGCGCGGCCTCATAGCGGATGAGAAGTGCTCTCGGCAGTTGGTATGGCCTTGAGCTTCGCGGTTGTCGATGGCGACTGTTCTACTAAGCTAAGTCATGTATGACCCTGATCACTATGCGTGTGTTGGTTGGTACGTCAGGGGTAGTATTCACCACATCTTCGGCCCCATGCCACCTCCAGAATAAGGTAACTTGACTAATCGTTACCGAGAGATCACCGAGAAGCTGCGAATGTTGTGAGTCTAGTGGCTATGTCAAGATTCGAAAGAGATAGGACGACAACTAACCGGGAATCTGCATTCATCGCTTGGAACACGGCAACAACGTGGATCAAGTCCTCTTTCACTAGTCCCAGCCGGACTCGAAGGAGAGGCAACGACGGGTACATACCTAAGTGAGTTAGGCGGACTTGGTTGCTTGGGTAGTACTAAGGTACCTACCTACCAAGGCCGGGCGCTCGAAGCCATGAACCGGAAGAATGAAGCACACTGCAGGCAGGGAACCCACAAGCCCTGTTGGCTAGAGCCTAGTTGTAACAAACACCCATCAACATGGATTCTTTGTTCTCGTTTCGGTCCCGGCTTCTTGTTGAATATTTCGTCCAACGTTACTTATGGTAGCGCATCCTTGATACGGAGGCACAGCAAGCCCCCATATCTCGTTTTCGTTTTTGATAGATTGCGAAGTCATGTTCCCCGGGCCCGGCGAAAATCAAATGCGCCGGGTAGCTGCCATGGCAAATCCAGGTGAGGGGGACAGACAACGTGAGGTACTTGCAATGTTTGATGGTTTGAGTTGAACTGAAGGCGTCATGTCACAGTCGGAATTTGACTGTCGGACCAGGAGATTTCAAATCGGAATCCTCTCGGTGTCTAAGAGCCTGATGTCCTTGGAAGTTCCTACCCCCCTTTTCGTAGGTTCTGTGTTATTCAGCTTGCGAAATCTGGGAATCACGTCAGTCCCTTGAAAGGCAAGGAAACGAGGAAGAGTATCGACTTCTAGTGTAGGTACACCCGGTCACCAACGGAGTCCCAATACTGTATACGTTTGGTGGCCCATAGCGACCTCAGGGATTGCTAGTAAAGTAGTTAGTAATCAACGTTAGGTGTGCAAATCATTCCAAATTTCACACCTCAAGAGGAATTTCGGGTGTGTCTGGCGGGCTAATGTGCTGTCAGTTGGCACCTTGGCTGTTTGCTTTCTTGGTGAGGACCGAGGCATTGAAGGTTGAGGTCCCGGTCCCGTCGGCTCCTGCATAAAGTTACCGTCAGAGATTATCCGGCCAATGATTGCATTTTCGGCTTGCATCTTTTGGGCAAAATGACGAGCATTGACCACTTGAAGCATTGACCAGTTGTGTTACAAGCACGGTACATAGACCGGGGCAAAGTGGACCCCGACTTGCAGATGCCACAAATCATGTTATCGAAGGCGGCTGCACGGTCAGCCAAATCGAAACTTCCCCAGAGAGTCGGGCGTGCTGCCAACCGACAGGTGTATGTACTGTACCAACCAGGAAACATCGTATCTGCAATAGCGTCAAGCTGGTTGTTGTTGGTCCTAGACCAACTTTTATTTACAGTTACATGTGTGCTGTTGTACTCGATAATGACCTTGCAGCGTTAGCGTTGCTAGGGAACGAGTTGAACTCCACCAGACCTCTCACCATCGACCGCGTCTTCAGCGTCTTCAGCAGTCCATTTTCATCGAAACAACCGTTTGCGACAGTTATGCAGCAGTGGGCCAGCCAAAACCTACCGAGACAAGCTAACATTGTTGTTCACCGTTTTAGGCTACCCTGAACTGGGTGTTAAGCGCCACACAAGGCCGACGCGAAGCTCCAGCCTCCACCTCAGGAGTCCAGGGTCACCCACCCAAGCGCTTAACCGTTCCTCTTGGCTCCCTGTTGCTGTCGCCTGCAGATGACCATCACACATCTCGGGAGCTAGATTCAAAGGGGCCCATCAACGTCTGCCAGGTAACCAGGCTAACGTCATTTTGAAAGTTAGCAGCCTCCTCGAGCCTCGCACATGCCAATCTGAGGCATTGTGTATAACACAAAGAGAGTCGTTGTTGCAACAGCACCCATACCAGGAATTACGTTATTGAGGGGTTTTTGTGCCCAATAGACAGGTCAAAACGTGGCTGACAGCTAGGACCCGACAGTCTGGTCAACTCGCCGAGGTCGTGCCATCGCCGTGCCATCGCATTGAAAACTCATGCCGTTGGTCCTAAAGTGCATCGGATATTGCTGTGTTAACCCACCGCCCAGCGCGCACTGATGATGAACGCATTGAACGGAGTTTTCCTTTGACACACGTACCAGTCTCCCTGGACTCCTGGAGCCATGGCTTCTTCCAATCCAGCCGTCAAGATGCGGAATCACCGACGGTCAAGCTGGCTTCCCCGTACGGAGATGTGAGTCTTTACACTTCGGAGATCCGGCCTGAATTCGAAAGGCGCCTTTCCTAGGAAGGTTTCTAGACTGGGGGGTAAGATTCTCCTTCAGGCCACACCCAGCACGTCACAATAATCGAGCCTTGCTGTCGAAGCCATCGCCCTCTCCTGTGTCCTTCCGTACAGGCTAAGGTAACGTTAAACCGCGGACATCCACCGAATGATCAACAACACCCTCTGTTTCCCCGCGCTACAATACGCTACAGTAGGTAGAACATCTGCTGTGCGACAGCGTACTGGACGAACCACAGAACACCTCTGCAGAGTGGCACCTGAACCAGAAGTGGCAGCGACTGCACTAGAAGGTGGAGGCCCCGTTGGCCATCGGCCACCCACTCTGTCACCAGATGGCTGCATGCGATCCCGGCGCCTTAATCTGTATGAATCTCTAGTGTATGTACCTCCGTACTCCGTACTTGGTAGGGAATGGTGTATTGGTCGGTTTCCAGTACCCTTCATCCCTGTTCCCTTCTGAGGCTTCAACCCGGAAGGACCCGGTTGCATTCTAATCGACTTATGCTAGTCAGTCCTTAACAGGATTAGAATGAGATACTACTTACGAAGTACTAGGTAGTTAACGGTTACGCCCGGGCTGGGGAGAGAGGAGATCGACTAGTAGGCGCCCTCGCCCTCTCTCCCCATCAGGACCCACGGCGTCCCCCGGGTCCATCACCCAGACTCCCCGAACACCGCTGGCCCATGCTCACACTCTCTTTGCGAACCCCCCATTCCCCATCCCCTCCCATCCCGTCCATGTCCAGGCAGTCCCCATTCTCTCATACCCACTTCTATCTTCAGATTGGTTGAATATTTATCGCAGTACCCAATGACAAAGCTGACCTCTCCAGGCTCTCCAATTTCCACACCACCCTACGTGGTATCCAAACCCCCCTGCCTAAGCTAAGCGGCTTCCACAGGCCGTTGGTTAAGCGCCGTGCTTTCTCACCGTTCTCATTCCCCACGAGCGGCACGTTGGACGGTGGCTTTAGGATCTGCCGCGTTGCCGAGAACAATGACCCATGAACTGAATCGCTCTTGCGGGTGGGTATGTGGTGCGGGAGAAAGATGCCAACTGCCAGGGACGGAAGGAATGTGTGTTGTTTGCTCCGAGGAGAAATTCCAAGACGATCTCCGGTGTTTGTTGAATGTAGTAGGTTGTATCTACTGTACGGACTCGCGGTTTTGGAATTTCGCCTGCTTTCGTCCTGACTGGGTAACTAGGTGTTTTTTTGCTATAACCATGATGCCCATGATCAAGCGGGGTGTGATCACGGCGAGGCTGAACTGGCTATGCTTGAGGTTACTGTAAAAGATCAGTTAAGCACCGTACTGTAGATAAGAACTACTCGTCTAGAACGAAGTAATACTGGTAGTACTGAATTATGATGGTGGTGACTAAAGTAGGCAAGTAGACAACGCCGTTCCCAATTATACTACTAGTACGTCTCCTTTTCAAACGCAGAACGCCCGACAACACGTGCGACTTAAACACCCTAAAATCCGTGCCCAAACGCCAAAAACTTGTATCATCTTCTCCTTCCAGCCGGTGTCGAAAGCGGCACGTGTGATCCGCAATCAGGACAGTGTAGCTCTAAAGGCCGCCGATGGAGCTTCCAGCAGCGGCAGACCCAGACCGCTTCCCTCGCGTTGTCAGGTTTGCGGAGCTCTATGACGTCCCCAGGCCGGTAGAAACGCTTCTTGACGCCGCAATGAATGCAGAACCGGCGGATACCCCATGTCTCTCGCTCCCGTGTTTGATGTGAAGGCGCGAGTGACGAGGAACCGAGGGAGTTTGTGGTGGCGGTGTTTGTATCTGAATTGCTGCCCCTGTGGCCACTACTTGTTGCGGCTGCGATGCTGCTTCTTGTCAGCCCGGGGCAGTAGTGTGGGTTGGACGTTGTAGAAGGTGTTGTTGAAGGAGGTTGGGGAGGGCTTAGTGACGGCGATGCCCGTTCTGACGAGGGCTCGTCAGATGTGTGGCTCCACGTGAATCGCTCAAAGTGTTCGGGGCTCTTGATGGTGAAACAATGATAGCACCCGAACCACTCGGGCTCCTTGTTGCTGTTGTTTCTTTTCCGTGAACTCGATCCGTATGAGGAAATCTCGTCGTAGCGTCCGTAGCACTGCTCTGTGTAGAGAACGCCAGCTATCTTGTCCAGCTCTGGGAGCGTGCTCGGGTGGAAGTTGTCTCTAAACCAGCGATTGATCTGGGAAACCTTCCAGCAGTGGAACCAACCAACGTATCTCTGAATCTGGCGTACAACATCCGGTGGCAGGTTCTGAAGCGTCTTCAGCAGCAACGACTCCTTTTCTTCTTCGGGCTCTCTAGGAAACTGACTTCCTACCACCATAGACTGATGATGCACTAGTTGTGAGGCCTGGTACGAAGGCAGGGCTGGGGAAGACTGATAAGAGGTCGTAGAGTAGGACGGCGGATACACTGGATGGTAGGTCTGAAAAGGCAAGGCAGATGGCTGTTGCGGTAACGAAGCCAGTTGGTAGCCATATGGAGTTGATTGCTGGAGCTGTCTTTGGGTTGGAACTGACGAGTACATGGGAAGCGAAGGGGATACCTGGGCCTGGGTCTGGAGGAACTGTGGCGGGCCCGATACTAGCGATGCTGAATGGGGTTGCTGCACCTGTGGCTGCTCAGGGATGGGCCCCTGGTAGTGGCTCGATGCGAAGATTGCTGAACCTGAGCCAGGATCAGAGTTTCCGGAGGCAGTAGAATGAGGAGACAGAGACCGGGAATTGGTCCCGTAGAGACTGTGAGGCGCCGAGTAAGAGGCCGAGTAAGAGGTCGCCGATGAGGTTGACGAGACGGACGAAGAACGAGCATCTAGCTGCTGTTTAGCCAGGTGCTCGGAAGGATAGTAGGCCTCGGGGTTGAAGGGCATGTCGTGGACGGTGTGTGGAAGCAGAGGCGCTCGGAATGGTGCTCGGGACACGGGCGCGGGTGCAAGTACTCGATCCAAGGGGTTTGCAAAGTGATTTGGTTGCGGGTACGTCGGCTTATCGGCCATTTTCGGCTATGAGCTCGCAGTGTGTAAGAACTGCTTATGTGGGAGGCAATGAGGCGAGATGTTGCGGGGGCGCGAACAGAGCACGAGCGCGTGTCTCCCTTTTTATGAAGCTGGTGTGCTGCTGCCACAGGGGGGGAGACGGCAAATGCCCTGTTGGACTGGGCCCTGGGGGGTGTCGCCACGAACGTTTTCGGCAAAAAGGTTTAGACCAGGTTAGACCAGGTTTGCCCAGCAGCTCTTTTGGACACTGGGTTGAGGGTACACCACCGAAATGCGCCCGTTCTCTCATAGGTGACCTTCTTGAGCCTCCGAAATGGTGAATGACGATGTCGGGGCGGGGTGAAGCTCTGGTGTGGAATTTAGATCGTGACTCTTTGGATGGCGCCGAGGGATCTGGTAATGGCAAGATGGGGATAGAGTGGAAAGAAATCGCGGTAGCAATTACGCACTGGATGTGTTTGGCAAGTACTCCAAGGGCTTCTGCGAGATGGGGGTCGTCTTGGGAGCTGAGAAATCATCTGACAGACATGGGACGCGACCCAAGATACAATGGCCTAGGTACAAAGGTAAGTGGCACATGGCGACATGCCTGAAAACCGGGGGGGGGGGCCTTGGAGTCTGGCGCCCTCGAATTCTAGGCCGCTTCTGGGGCAGTCAGTTGCGCCAACCGGGGCTGTCCGGGAGTTGGGTAGGTGTGCCGAGCGTGCTTCAGAACCCCGTGTACTGGGTACTCAGGCCGCGAATTGGAGACGAATCGTCTTGTGTAGTACGAAAGTAAGACTTGCAGCAGGAAATCGAAGCCAAGTGGGTATTGGCTCTGTCACCCCAAGTACTCAGCATCCCCGCAGTCGCCGAATTGAGCTCAAAGCAAGAACGTTGACGATAACGGCCTTGTATACGGCTCCACTGCTACAGAGTTGTAGTGTAGTTTCCATTCAGGGAGGTGGTTCCGCATTCGAACTTAATCCAAAATGTAATTGCAAATCATTATGCGGAGACCATGTTTCGGAGGAGCAAACGTTTACTGCAGTTTTGGGAGGAGGACATGCCAAGCCAGGAGGAAAGGAATGCCAGGTGCCGCCGATGAGGGACTATGGACCCAGCCTCAGGCTTCGGAAAGACGGCAGGGTTTCCCATAGAAGTTTTGGCCCGATAACCGTCCGATCTGGGTTCTCCTGAGCAAGCAGCTTGCAAGTAATGTAACTTATTTTGACAATGTTAATCATACCTCGCGCCTCCCTTTTCGTCGACTCGTAGGTTACCCTGTGTGGTGGCTTTTATGGGAGCGCGGAAACCTGGAACTCATCTGGGCTCTCTTCCCCCCCTTTTTTTCGTTGCGCGGAAAGCCCAGCGGGCATCCCGCTATTCTCGGGGTCTCCTGGCAAGCTGCTTTGCAGGAAGCAGGTGCGCCCCCGATTCAATGCTGCAAAAAGGCACTGTTGGCAAGAGAGATCCCTGCAAGGTGACTGTTTAGAATCCGCACTGCACTGTCTTGCAACGTTGCACTGTACAATACCGTACATACACTAGCACTACTAGTGTGGGAAAGACTCATCGACTGGCGGCTGCCAAACGTCGGCTACTGTGACCGGGCCGTTTTAATCAGTTTTAGGGCTGGTCAGATCTCGGGAATAAATACTACTTATGGTATATAACCTGATCTACGAAGGCTCGACTCACTCGAGGTGAGATGCCCACCGACCCATTATTCCTCACGGATCTAGGTGATGTCTCAATTCTCGGGGCAGATTTGTTGGGATAGGCGGAACAGCGAAGTGGCTGTTGCGAGAGTTGCTCTGATTGCCTGAGCTAAAAGGGAGAAATTGGGTTCCGACATCAGCACGGCACATGCTTGAAAAGCTCAGGCACACCACGCAAGAACAGCGCCCTCAAGATTGATGAGGGCTTGCGACATGGCCTATGAGAGAAGGGCATCTTTTCCCTCCGAAAAACACAAACAACCAACAAGGCTTGGCAGTGTGATTGCATCCAATGAATGACCACGCGTCTGGACCCCTGCACAGTGTATCCAGACGCTCGGTATCGCGGTTTGATTGGCTGAGTCAATCGCAGATCACAGATCACAAGGAGCACGACACTAACGTTAACGTTAAATTCCCTCAAAACAAAACGTTCATCAAAACGACGTTCAAGTTCGGTATTGAATACCTACCTACCTTCTACTAGTACTAATAACAATAACCACTGTGCTTACTCTACCTGATTTCCCTCAAATCTGTTTTCCCAAACCGTGCTCTGTCGAAACTGCCATTCCGGGACCGGACCCCGCCCTGAGATTGTCGAAATTTCATGATGACCCTCCTCATACCGGTGATCTCTGGTTGGCTGGTTTTGCGCGCCTACGTGTATGTACCCCGGTAGTTCCCAGATCGTTATCGCTCAAGGACAAAGTATCTAGAATAATATAGCATCTGGACGTGCTCGCAGTGCAAAATGACATGGCAACGTATAGTTTCCGCTTCTTCCGGATACCAGTAATCCCACATTGGGTCAGGCAACACGGCTTGTGAGGCCAAAGGACGGCTCAAGGACATCACCAGGAGACCCACATTTGCAGGTACATACGCCAGCGGCGCAACTCCGTTCTCGCATCGTCCGCACGAGCCTTCTTGGCGGGCCGGGGCGGTCGTCGCTTTGGGATGGCGCAGGGAAGGTACGAAGGTAACAGCGTCGGTCTGCCAGGCTAGGATATCCCCAGCCTTGGAGCGATAGCCGTCAGGGTCCTATTACACCGCTGGCACGCCAATCTCCCCCGCTATGTTCTTCTTGTTCCATGGGCCCGTGTTCGACGAGTAAAATTCAAACTTCTGAATCGGGAAACGACGCCCACACCGAGCTCCACGTCAAGCAAGCTGCAACCGTAAGCGCCCGTACCGCGTAGTGCCGAAAACATGCAGAACTTTGCAAAGCGACTTTCCGGATTAAGGTCAAAGTGTTGGGCTTTAGGTATAAAATTCCTTTTATCCAGCTGAGTGCAGCACCACAACAAGGGAGCCGACCAGAGATGGGAAGGGATCAACTTAGGTGACGGGTCCCGGTCGGCACTCACTGAACCTTCATAGAGCTCCAGGGTGCGGTCCATCCAACCTAAGAGGCATCCGCGTCCAATCCAACCAGCACCGTAACATGCACCGTACTTGTGGGTCGGAGAGAGAGAAAACAGGCTTCCATCCTTTTTGGCATTTGCTTCTTCTGTAGCCAGATGGAAACGACACCCAGGGAGACTAAGGGACTCCCGGTGGCCAGCCCAGCCCTTCACTTGTCTCAGTCAGCTCCGGGAAGAATGTGAGGACCCCCTCCATCGGAGTTGGCTTCTTACTTTTCAGGGACCCTGGCCGGTCTTCATGGCTGTCTTGGTGCGCTCAACAGCTTCGGTGGCCATCAATCCCTCCTCCCACCTTCTACCCCAAGATCCGAGTTTACAAAGATGAACCGATAATCACCCAGAAAGCCACCTATTGCCCTAATGGTGATAAACGACCTTGGCAGGACTGAATTGAAGGCTCCTCTCTGGTGACGTTTCGACCTGGAAGGCCGACCTGGATTCACTCCGTCGCGCACCACATGACACTACAGTTCGGCGCTCCCGGCATGCAGGGGCGCAGGTCCATTGCGACGCGATCGGCCATCGTCCGGCTGCTATAAACGCAATGTCTTATGAAAGCATCAGCTTCAGGTCGCCATATCCACTGTCTAAACAGTTGAGTACCCCCTGGTCCAGACGTGATATTCAAGTCCCTTCGTTGACTTCGAACCCGCTGACAAGTATCTGGCAATTTAGCATGTCTTCGCCTATCCCCAAGGGTAAGGTAGTACGCCGCCCGGAACCCTGCAAATCTTAGGTACTTCGCCGGCCGGATCAATGGACAAGTTCGACAAACTCGAGCCGGGTTAAACAAGAGTTGCCTGTCCTCCGTTCCCTAATGGCTTTTCCCCGTCGTGCCTGCCTTTCACAAAAGCGCGTCTACCATGGATCATTTGACACGAAGTCTATCGATCAGACAACTGGCTGAGGAGTTGGCAAGATACACAGCATTATACGGAGTACTAGCAATTCTCTTGCTCGTTCGGCATACCATGGCCTGTGCTCTTTGACAGCCTCACCATGAGTTGGCCCGCCCATCAATGAGCTGCAGTGAAACATTTCGTTTAAGGTCGGAACACACAGATGGCAACTTCTTTCTGGATCTCCTTGGACATCACACATTCCGTGATGAGGAGGGGTATTCATTCGCGGTTCCCGGAGGATTGCCCATGTCCAGTGCGCTTTCCGTGGTCAAGAGCCCGCAACATCCCATCCAAATCCGGCAGGAACTAGGTGGTTGACTGAGTCATGTAGTCAGATGCAATCTCCAGGTCTTCTTCACTGCTGCCCGTATATCGCTATTCAGTCATTCTTTCCTTTCACTCTTTGTCTTTGTTCTTCGTACAACTCTCCTCAAGCCCTTACTCCGTTCACAAGTTCACTTATGCTCTAAAATTCCAAACTGTCACTGCATCGATAGGTAGCTTAGATGGTTAGTACAATTGTCGAGTGACAAAATCTTCCCTCGAGATTGGACGTCAGGGCAAAGCACCTTAATTAGGTACCTAAGTCTAATTGAGGAAAGAGTTGTGGTTACACATGTCAACATCAAGGTTGCCTAAACCCAGCAACACTCATAGGGAGTTACACCCTTGACGACCCGCGTCATGGACAACATTGCCGCTATTCTCAGGGTTCACCGACTCTCCGGTTTTCGGCCATCATCCTCGCACTATTCATTCATCCTGCCATTTTAGGAGCGGCTCAAGTTATGCGATATGCACAATCCAATCTCTTATAGCGCTGTCCAGAACATGACTCCTCCTGTATATTCCCCCTATCTTACGAATTTCCTTAGGCATTTGGCTGGGACAAGCCGAGTTTATAGGATAGGTGAATTGGCGAACAGTGGGAGAAAGCCTGAGGTCGGGAGTGAAGCCCCTACGGTTGATCTACCACCGGGGCTTAGAGAACTAATGACAGCGGTATGGACTGAGGCCGAGTTGCAAGCTCGAGCCTCGATACAGAAGTTTAAAGACATCGTTCATAAACTCTGTTCGAAAACTCCCTTAGTTCAATTCTCCTTGAGTCTCAGACTCTAGGGGTCTTTCACGCGATCATAAGCTTTGTCATTCTCATTCCTACACACTTTGGCCCACCTTGCTCAAGTACCACTCTAGCAATCACTCATCTACTTTGACTAAGACACATGCTCTATGAATGTCTAGGTAGGTATTCTTCTTCAGATAGCCTCGAGTGCGAATGCTTTCCGTCAATATGTGACCTGCAATACTCAGAGTTTGTCACTGTGCAGCCAGATGCCACCCCTTGCGCCACCGAGATCGGTGAATCTCCCAGATCGTGCCTTCCCTGTTTCCCAAGGTGGCAAGTCACACTATTTACCGATACGATCAAAGGTTCTTCTTCCTTGATGCCATGCCGGGTGGATCCTTTCGAGAAGAACCGGTGCTCCTCGAATTCTTTTCTCTAACTGCAGAGTTGCGTTGATAGGTATCTTAGCTCACATCAACCCCCCGGCTCTCCGCAAAGCACAATATTAGGAGAAGCTGCCGTTCAATCTCCTTGCTCCGCCTCAAACCCGTTGTCTAACCCCCTTCACCATCTGATCAATCTTATCTGAATTTATTTTGGTCTCCCTCGTGCCATTAAGTTCCTCGTACTCGTGAAGACTCGGCCAATCCACAGCAAAAAGTAGCCGATATCGCATCATTCCACCGCCTACTAAGATTTCTCAGCCTACAGCTTTGTCTCAAGCATTTCAGCCTAGCATCATTGTGCTTCTTTCAATACAGCGGATAGACATTGCTAAGTACCTGATTTCCCCAAGCAGGAAGCTCGACTGAACTGCTTGACAAAACGGGCATCTGTAAGTTGACTTTCAATGTAGCCGTGAATGAACACTAACAGGTTTGCAGGCCTCCAACAAGCGTTGATTACTCGTTAGCCTTTGCGGCATTGTCCCAGAAACCCATGCTCTCCAACCTAACCTCTTTTGACGCCCTCGGTGCGGGCCCTGGTCACAGTTCGGCATCCTTCACCGACGTGTATTCCTTCGCGGGTGATCTTCATCCAGCTGGCTCTCCTGAGCCTTCGGTAGGTCTGTTTGCTTACTAGTCGTGTAGAAGCTACGAACCGCTTTCGGATCATCATACAAGTCCCATTCTTGCTTGTGGAATATTGTGCTAAGATGATTTGTCAGACACCATCCCCATCCAACCAAATACTCCAGCCCGAGGCTACCGACAGCGTTTATATCACTACAGCATCACCTGCCACTGATATCTCTTCTGGGTCTTTCCCCATAGAAGCTTCGCCCATCACTACAGTAGGGAAGTATTCCCACGATAACAGAGAGCAAGATTCTGAGGAATCCGAGGTAGCAAGCCTCTCCCAGTCTCGCTGTACAGGACAGACCGATTTGGATGTGGAAGACCACACAGCACCTTCGGGGGATAATGAAAAACCCATAAACGGGCAACAGCATTCTCCGTGTCCTCAACAGTCAGGTTGTCCCTCTCATCTAGGCCGTGACTTTCAGCAGTTCTTCGAAATTCGGCCGTCGAGACTGGGAGGGGTAGGCGCCTTTGCGGTCCGCGCTTTGAAGAAAGACGAGATCATCCTGGTTGAAGAGCCACTGCTCCGAACCACTTGGTTCTACCTCAGGCGAGCGTTTAGTAATCTTTCAGAAGCCGATAAGAACACATACTTGAATCTGCATTGCGACGACAGATGCTGCCCGTTCAAGAAGATTGAGCAAATTATGCAGCGTAACTCGTAAGGGCTCGGGTGGTGGCCTCGGATGTGGAATGCATATGCCACTTGTGACTAACCATCCTTATTCTAACCTAGTTTCCAGCTCGGGAAGGAATTCGCCATCTTTGCGACCGCCTCTCGCTTCAACCATGCTTGCGAGCCGGTCCGCAACGTCAAGTACAAGCTCGATGACGACACTGGGGTTATCACATTCAGAGTGTGCAAAGATGAAATTCCAGCCGGCACCGAGCTTACGATCAGTTATGGAGACTCGGCTGCCCGGCTTTATCGGGATTTTGGCTTCGTGTGCACCTGTGGTGGCTGTACTCCCTTGACAGACCAGGACATTAGGAAGATGAACGAGGAGGCCTTTGGCTTCTCATCCATGACTCCAAGTTCATGGTGAGCTCCTGCGCCTCGACACTAACGATGGTGCATGCGCCGAACTGAGGGTTCTGGGCTCCGTGGACTCAGGTTTGCTTCCAGTGGCAGAGAAGGCGGCAGATTACTTGATTTTCAGAGGCGGAGTAGATCAGGTAGACGAGGGAAGGGTCGACGGGGGGTTTTCTGCTACTAGGTAGCACTTCGTTCACAAACTTAGCGAGCATACTTTCCCAGGAATCAGTTACGAGGGCTATGATTGATAGCAAAAACACGAAAGGAAGTCTCACAAGTATCTCGCACTCGGTGAGAAGAGCGTCCATCACTTGAAGCTGCCAATATATGACACAAAAGATCAAAGACAGACACAGAAAGTAGACAGGAGCATGTCTGCAAACAACAAGCTTTGAATCAGACCATCCTACTGCAGAGAGCAGACCATGTACGCCTCCTCACCAACTATGTTGCTCCTCAACAAAAATCAATTTCTGTAACAACCAGCAACACCTACAGTGAGTTCCCCTCATGCTTCTTCTAACCCGGCACTGCCATTGCGAAAGCATCTGCCTCAACCAGCCATGACATCGTGGACACTCCTGATCGTCGTTAATCCTAGCAGCCAGGCCACTGGCACTCAGCTTTACAAAGGGCCCAGCGTCGCGACTCCCTCTCCCCCGAGACCTGCCTTGCAAGATCAGCCTCGAAATGCCAGCTTCAGACCCAGAAAGAAAGGAGACCATTTGGGGTCTAGAGGTGCAAGCCGGAGCTATGGAACCGAGGAACCCCCGCTTTGGGCTAGTCTGGTTCAACTAGCCGGATACGATAAGGTACATTAGATGCATACACTTAACCCTTACCACTGCGGGCCGGACACGGACCCGGACCCGGACCCGGATCGGAGTCGGAGCCGATCGGCGCCGAGGATCGGATTCGGAGTGGAGTCGCGGCCCAGTGTCCCGGCCCGGCCCGGCCTGGAGACAGAGGATCCCGCGTAGTTTACAACACTACTACCGAGGCCAAAAATCCTTATAACTCGGGGAACTGGTCTTAAGGGCAAAATGGAGACCACTGAAATAAGCCAACTCTCTGCAGAAATCCTATAGAAGATGAGAATGGGGTAACGCTCGGGTTTCGGGGCGCGCTGCAGTGAACCCGGCGGTAGTGTTAGCACTGTACAACACATAGCGGCAGCCATGCAACTGCTATACGGGCTACTTACAGTTGTAGTACGGATCCGGGGCTTGTGATCTGTACGGCAATGTGTACGTTGTTCATGTCATCGGTATATGATCCGTTGCCCAAGTCACGCTACAACATAGAAGCTCTTGTCCGCCGTCCATCCGTGTTTCCCCTCACTGAGTGCCTTCTTGAGTTGCCGATAGACACAGATGTGGCAAGCGTCATTATTGTTCCCTAAGACTGCAAAATCGTGGTTCGGGCTTTGCGGAGAACAGGTAGGAGGGCTTAGCGTCGAGGAAGTCTCAAGCTCGTCTTCAGCTACCACATCCGCCCTGTCGCCTCGCGTTTGCCACAACACGGCCACCACCGCCAGCCTTGCTGGCCAATTATTCTGGGCACGCACGACAGAGAGTCCGGGCGGCTTGTCCAGCACCTCCTCCCAGGTATCGATAGACGTAACGTTTTGCCGCACCTCGGCTACGAGCGCATCCGAGTGCTTGCAGACGCTGCTTGCAGCAGGCGGCGTCCGGCGCATGGGCAGGCATGTGAATGCGCCGCTGTCAAAGGCGCCGAGCAGGTCCACGTCGGCTACCCACTCACCGCTATTGTGGACGGCGATAACGCTCTCGACCAGGAATACCTGGTGGTCTCGGATGCCCGTGACTCCGTAGTCGATGGGGAACTCATTCTTTGTGAACGAAAGGTGGAGCGAGGTTCCGGCGAAATTGTCTTCCCATTTCCCGTCAAACGGCTCGTAGCTCACGGCGTGGTATGATGTGCTCAGCGGCCGCACCAGAGGCCTAGCAAACGGGGGCACCAGAAAGCTCACTCCTGGTCGCCCGACGTTGCCAACGAGCCGGGTGACACTTGTCGAGCTCACTTGCGCGGCCGGGTCGGTCAGGAACTGCGATAGCACAAAGAGCGAGTTCCCCGCGGAGAGGCCGAACACGTTCTCTAGATCCTCTGGCCGGATGTTGACGACGCCCGTCTCGAGCATCGCAATGCAGCTAAAGACGTGGTTGCGCGTCGGCAGCGGAGTAGACCCGTGGTATGATGTCGCGGGAATCAGCTGTTGTTTTCTTTGCGAGTACACTGGAGCTTCGTCGCTCCACCCAGCTTCTGCTAAGCCGGTCTCAACGATGCGGGACGAGATGGTGGCCCCTTTGAGCCCTTCGTAAACGGCCGTGGCCGTGGCTAGGTTGCGAAACGGGCGAAGGCCTTCCCGGCACGCCTCTCGTTCTTGCTCCATTAGTCCAAGGAAATCTGAAATAAGATCATCAGGCTCATACGGGTCTGCCCCTTCGAGGTATTGCCACAGGAGGAGAGGCACCACCTCGGTCTCGAGCATCGCCGTGGCCAGGTCAAGGGGTAGCTGCGTCTCAGCTGCCCCGGAGCGTAATTTGCGCACCAGCCGCTCGAACTCCTTGAGTCTGCCTCCTGACAGCGACTCGGCTAGCCAAAGCCGGAAGGATTTCTGAGCCGTTCCGAGGAAGCCCTGATATCGTAGGGCCTGTCTGGTCACACCTTCAAGGCCGTCCTGAATTATCGCTGGGGACGAGCACCTCAGCCGTTTCACTGTGAAATGCTTGGACAATCGAATCATGGACAAGAGGTGTTTTGATCGTTCCGCTAAGTCCTAAGTTAATGGAACCCACTGTCTGTGACGCGGGCCGTTGAGCCGCTTTCCAACTTGATACAGGCGGGCTCCATACCGGCGCCGGCTCCTCATCAGTAGAAGCATCAGGCTTGCTTTGTGTGAACCACCCGCGTTCATCTAGGTAAAATAATGGCGGGGACGCAGGCCTCCCGTCAATCTCGAACGCAGCCTTCCATCGGCCGAATTTACACTCTTGCCAATATCGTTTGATCGCTCGTCCAGCGTCGTGTTCTCTCGCGGACTCCCTGGATTTGTGTTTGTGTCTGTTGCGGGTGGTGGATGACCCAGGATTCTCGTCCGATTCGTACTCTAGCGCCGGGATATCAGAATCCGGTGGGAGGTTCCGTAGCTCGTTTTCGTCTTGGCGGCGCAAAGGCGATACATAGACGTGATTCATGCAGTCTCGCCCTTTTTTATTACGCCCAGGCGACACCTGGACGATGAGTGCATCGCCGGGTCCGAGTCCACCCGAGCCCGCAACCCCCGTCAGGTAGCTAATAGCGCCGTCCGACAGATTGCTGCATGAAAGTGCACTTAGCACATGTTGGGAGCGGAGCCCCAACCACGGGAGAGTTCGGCACGTCTTCCTCCCACTCTTTCCTAGTTCGCGTGTTGTCCCCAGAAAAGTTCGAAACCGCCGGTACCCAAACTCGACTAGCGCGTTGCAATGTTGCTTCTCTGACTCAGGAGTGATGGTAATGAACCGATCAGCTGTCTGGGCGAGGATACGGAGCCATGAAGGCCGCTTGAGCGATGGTTTCGCCCTTTCTACACAGGACCACAGCTTCGTGACCCATCGGGCTGCCGAGGACAGATCTGAGCGAGGAACATCCCACGAACCCAAGAGACTCCCCAGAGCAATCATATGGAGTTCCTCAATAGTCAGCCGCTCGCCAACCCCGCCGACTACCTGAACCGGGGCTCCGTAGTACCGGTAATGCGAGAGGGATAGAGACCAATAGATGCCCTCTGTCTCCTCCCCGACAGCAGGCTGACCGCTCGCTGCTGAATTCCTCGTCATGCCTACCGTAATAACGCCGGCACCCTTGAGAAGGGAGTCTTTGGTGTCAACTGTCTTGACCGGATCACCGAGAACGACAAGGTTCGGGTACAGATGCCACGAGGATATGGCCAGCAGGATCCCCCCGTTTGTCACGCTTTGTGGTTCGCCGCCTAGGAATCTCTCGAGACCGGCCATGGCATGTTTCCAGACGCTGATGACCTCTGAGTAAAGCGAAGCACCGCCGCCGAGGACGGGGAGGCTGATGTTCTTCACAATGAGCTGGAGCTGCGTGTGCTCGCGGACCATGGCAGCGTCAGCGCACCGCAGCCAGGCCCTCGCGTTGGCGTCCAGCTGGCGTAGCTCCTCGCGCTGAAACTGCTGGCTGGCAGCGTTGACAGCTGCGAACTGGGCGGCCGAGAGACTGAAGCTCGAGTTTACCATCTTTTCAACCTCGCGCTGCCGCTCCACGACCAGCTCTGCCAGAACCGAGGTAGCGACGGCCGGGTCGTCAAACGCACGGGCCAGCAGGCAGGCCAGGAGGTGTACGGCAATGGAAGAACTCCCCGAAGTAGCGGCGGCCCAGATGGAGGTTGCCTCGGCGCCAACGTAGTCGGCGAAGGGTCCATGCTGTTTGGCGTTTGGAGGCGGGTTCACCCCGGGCGAAGCCACGATCTCAGATGCGCGCTGGCCGTACACGGCGAGCAGTCGGGGCGTATTAGGGATCACAGACTCGAACAGAGCACCGAGCCTCCGTGCGGTACGGTGGGCAGCGCCGTTTTCGGCATTTTCGCGCCGGCGCACTGTGAGGGCGCTGCCGAGCCCGGTGTACTCTGGCGGTACCTGCACAGTCACCAGAGAGAAGTCGAAGTTGAGGTTGGCCAGCGAGATGTTGTTCTCGTTGATGGCTGAGACAATGGAATTCGTCAATCTGCCAAGGGAGGCCATTAGGCACGTCTTCTAGTGACCGATCGGTATCGACACTCGGACACTGGAATGAGCGACTTGGGAAGCAAAACAGCAGCACGACGGCCTCGAAGCTGAGCGTGAGAAATCGCTGGTGCAGGTAATCCCGGCAGCCCACAGGCTGGGCAGCAGTGGCAGTGGACCTAGACAAGGCGCACAACTCAGCCTCGCCCAAGGATCGCTATTACCAAAAAGCTGCAATTATCTTTCGTATCACCAAGTCTGGGGGTGTTTGCTCGAATACACGGTATCTATGTGCCGGAGGAGAAGAGGGAGGGGACGAGAAGAGCCAGTGTCACCACTGGCCAATCTCAAGAACAATCGTACCATGCCGCCGTTCATGTCAACGAATGGAATCCATGTCCAAGGCTGACTGAAGGTCGTGCAATTAACCAGCTCAAACTGGATGGTTGAGTGCAGCAGAGCGGGGTTGCAGGCAGATGCCTCAACTGACAGCGACGGGGCAGGCCAATCCGCGGTTCGCAGTTCAAGTCATCGTCTTGGGTGTCGTCAGGATTCAAGAATTCTCCAGCTTGTACAAGTACACTTCGTCCGGATGTGCCCTGGCGATGAAAGCATGAACGTTAGTTCGCCACGTTTGTAACGTAGCACCAACCTATTGTCGAAGAACGCCATTCTCGAAAGTCGAGGTGGAAAGTTGGAAACGTACACACCTTGAGGAAGGAGGAAGGAACCACTACGCGAGCACTAACTAGCACTTTCTTCGGGGCACAGGTACCCCATGAGGGTTAGGGTTAGTGCAGGCGCGCCCCACAACCTCAAGATACAATACATTTTAGAAAGAGAATTTCTATTCGCACTATAGGCTTTTTCTCGCTACAGAAATTCTGACTCACATTCAAAACTCAAGGGAAAGACTCGAAACAAATGGTATACGACTGGGCATTGTGGTCCAGGTAACTGCATCCTATCCATGCACATTAGAAACGCCCGTCTTCAACTTACAGTCTAAGCATCCGAGGAAAAACAGGAACCGCTTCATGTTCCTCCAGAGGAAGAGATAAAAAGAGAATAAAAAAGAAAAGAAGGTCAAACAATCCAAAGACAGTACAACTTAGGTATCATACAGAGATCCTCCTTAGCAGCCTTCCCTTCAAAAAAACAAGAAACAAAAACCACAATTGAACGAATCCAACGAATCAACCCCGGCGGGCCTTCAGAACTGGACACTTTGCGTCCCTGCACACGCACACGCACGTCTCCTTGCTCGGGGAGCACACGTGGGCGGCCAGGTTCAACTCGCACTCGGGATGCTCGCATGCCATGTCCGGGGCCAGCCACGGGTGATGGTGATGCTTGTCCCCGTCCTTGTTCTGCTGCTGCTGCCACGACGGCGGGCTGGGCACGTTGAACCCGGGCGTAGTAGAAGTGGACTGCCCACCGTTCCCACCGGGAGTGGGTTCCTGGCACCCGGGCGTCCCCATGTCCGGATGGTTTGGCGTTGGCGACGGGCCAATGGACTTCGGGTCTACCGGGGCCGGCCCAATGGACTTCGGGTCTACGGGGGTCGGACCGATGGACTTCGGGTCTTGCGCGGTCGGGGCCTGGCAGTGCGGGTCGGTTCCGGTTCCGGTCCCGCCTGTCGGCTGGGCGTCCATGGTGTAGCCCCCTCCAGGATGACTGCCAAGTGGCTGCTGGTAGACGTGTTGCTGGTACTGGACTGTGTAGGTAGAGTGATGAGTTTGGTACGAGTCTTTGGAGAAAGCTTGCTGGCTCTGGTATGAGTCTTTGGAGAGAGATTGCTGGCTCTGGTACGAATCCTTGTAAAGGGGTTGTTGGGAAGTGTTGGTCTGATGCGAGTCGATGCTTCCTGATGCCGGGTCTTTCTGCGATAGAAGTGGTGGCATCATGGGGGGCACAAAGGCGCTGGGGGCGCCTATACCACCACCTCCTCCAGGGCCTCCTGTAGGTGGCATATCCATGGGAGGAACGCCACTAGGACCGGTAGGAGGGGCGCCGTTGGGCGGGATATTATAAAACCCGCCGTCGTGCACTCCATAGTTCTGACCCGTCAGGTTCCCGTCAAGTTCAGCACCGGGTGGTAGCATGCCGTTAGTCGGTGGGCCGTCCAGGGGCTGCTGTCCGAGAGGGGAGACGCTTGTGTGTGGCTGGACCTTCTCGGCTCGCGGGTCGAACGAACCCTGGTTTCCTTCCAGACCTCCGGTTGGAGCAGCGCCATCCGCACCTGTTGCAAAAAAGTACTTATATCCAACAAAGGCAGCACCGGCCATAGCAGCCACGCCTGCGATGACACCGACAGCGACACCTGCTTTCGCCCCCGGGCTCAGACTGCCGTCCTTGTTGCTTACACCAACTGTACAGTTCTTAATAGGCTGGTTGGAGTTGGTGAGAACCGAGAACAGACCGTCAGTCGGCGAATCGGGCGACGTTACGAACACATCGAGCTGCCCGGAACCCGGCGCGGTGATGTCGAAGAACTGCCTGCTCGACGTGGCACGGGTGCTAGCGTACAGTGTCTGGCTGCCCATCTTTGCCTCTACATTAAGCCTGTCACCCGTGAAGCTGACGATGGTGAAGTTGACACGCTCGCCCTGCGCTGCGTTGTATTTGAGTGCGACCGTGCCTGACCCGTCGATGAACTGCGTCGTGGCAAGACCCGCTAGAAGACGGTCGCCAGCACCCTGAGGGTTGTCCTGGTACGTGAGACCGTTTAAGAGCACATAGTTGACGAAGTTCTGCGACCCGGCAGCGAAGGCAATGGTGGCATACACGCCCTTGGACTGGCGCAGGGCCAGGAGGACCTCATCAGGCTGGCTCGAACCGCTATCTAGGTAGCCAAACGAAACCCGAATGCCAAGGCCGGTCGCCTCGTTGATTGCACTAACGAGCTCGGCCGTGTCAGAGTCCTGTAGAAGGACAGGTCAGCAAGCTGGACGTCTACAGCTCCGGCGTGCGGTCTTACCGAGCCATCCGTAAACACCACGATTGCGCTCCTATCCTTGGTGTCTCCCGGCATTGCGTTGATGTGATCGATGGCCTCGTACACGCCGCTGGCAATGTAGGTCCCACCGTCCGCGATGATACCGCTGATGGCCTCGTCGGCGGCGGGGTTACCGGGGTCGCCAGGCGGGAAAACGGTGTACGACGACGAGTCGAAGCCGACAACGGCGACCTGGTCGGCTTTCCGTTCTCCGCCCGCTTCGCCGTTCGAGATCAGGAAGTCGTTGAGCGAGCGGGCAGCTGCCAGACGCAAGTCATCCGGATCGTAGTCGAGCATGGATCCGCTGCTATCAATGACAAGGACGACTTTTCGATCGCCATTGTTGCTGCTGATGGTGAGATCGGTACACACTTCCGTCGTTTGTCTTTTGCTCAACTGTCGGGGCGAAAGGTTAATTGCAACGGCCTTTGCTGCCGCGACTGTGACGAGCAACGCCGGAAAGAATGAGGAGGCGCGCATCGCGATAACTTAACCCTTCCTGGGCGGCAAAACGAGCGGAACCAGGCCGAAGGGTGCCACGGGCCTAGATGAACAATTGAGAAAAAGCGAAGCAATCCGGCTTCCTGCGCGGTTGTCGCGGCCCATATCTGGTTGTATAATAAAATGCCCCTGACTTTCTGCCCATCCCCGAGCCGAAGGCTGAAGAAGAGGGATTGTTGTTCTCGCGTGCCCGCAGATACATATTCAGCGCGCTTCCGCCACATTTTCTGAGAACCAAAGGTTTGAACCAATAGGCTAGTGATGATGGCCAAGACATGGCAGCATCATGCAAGCCATCGGGCTTGGGAAGACTGGCACAGACCACGACGAGGGGAGTTGTTGAGCTTCATTTCAGTGAGTGGTCTGCAGCTTTAACATCAGTCGACGTTACACTAAGGTACTTAGCAGACAGCTGGAGAGACGTTAGTCAAACCTTAACGTCAACCGCAACTTGGCAGACCTTTCTATTCACTGTACCTCCGAGCCTCCGTAGGACATGTGGAAATCTTCGACCTTCTGTGTAGTCTCGCTTCTGCCTGGGAGGCTGAATGCTGTGGTCAATATTAAAGTTCAGCCTCCAATCGCCAATCACTGGGAGTGGTGATTGTAAGTTCGTGAGAAAGCCGGCGGCGATTGGCCACAATGCAGGGAGGGTTCAAGCAGACATGGAAGCGAAAAGGGGCCAGTAAGCACACGCATAACAATACACTATATTCTTCCCGCTCATGACCACCTTTTAAAGACGCCGTCGCGCTGTTCTAGGAATGTTAACCGATAACCAAACATCCGATGCCCATCTGCAAGAAAACCAGTCCAGGGTATCGAGGTTCTCTATTCTATATGCAATGACCGATTTGACTCATATAGGAAATTGGGCTAAAATTCTGCCCGAATCAGCGTGGCCGATGAGAAAACAACGACAAAAACCCTCCTTTGCCCCGGAAGATGGCTGCTCATTGATGTTGAAACGCCAGGTCACCGGTCGAGAAGAGCTCAAACTTGACGCGAGCCGCCGGCACGCCCTGGGCTTTTAAGTAGTCGGACATCTCAAGCATGAACTGCTCGGGCCCGCAAATGTAGTACTCTGTGCTGCTGTTCTGCAGAAACAAGTCCTCCGGGTCGACCTTGGCCAGGTCCATGCGGAAATCGTAATTGTACGTGACGCCGACAATATCCCTGTCGGCGAGTTGCGTCTTGAAGATGTTGATGCGGAAATTGGCGTTACTTCGCCGCATCTGAGCAATGTGGTCCTGGAAGGGCACCGACGACCGCGAACCGTGGATCCATGAGATGGGCCGCCCTGGCTGCTGCTTGGTGACGGTGTTGGCTATGCAGACCATGGGCGTAACGCCCACGCCGGCCGATATCAACACCAGGGGCATGGTGCTGCTGCCGTTGTTGATGTCAAGGAAGAATTCACCACACGGATGCGACAGTTCCACCACTGATCCGGCAGGCATGCGGTCGATGAGTATGTTGGACACGACGCCCGGGTGCAGGTACGACCTTGAAACCGAGTTGGAGAACTGCGAACCTTCGTCGCGCTTGACGCTGATGCGGTAGTAGTCTTCTCTCCAGGCTTCGCTGAGCGAGTACTGGCGGGACTGAAGGTAGCCCTCTGGCCCCTGGATCCGCACCGAGACGTACTGGCCCGGTAGGAATTCCGGCAATTTCTTGCCGTCCTGGGGCACCAAGTAGAACGAGTAGATGTCTTCCGACTCGGGAACCACCCTGTCGATCTTGAACTTGCGCCACGACTTCCAATCGTCAAACTCCCTGTACAACTGCGCCTCCCGGCCCATCAGCATCTTGGCCAGTAGCCAGTAAGCCTTCTCCCAGGCAGCGCGTACCGCCGGCGTCATGGCCGGCCCCAAGACCTCGCCGAAAGCCCGAATGAGATATTTCCCAACAATCTCGTAGTGTTCGGGCTGGATGCCGAGCGAGCAGTGTTTGTTGCACATGCGCTCGAACTTGGGAATCAGCTCGGCGATGTTGGTGATGTTGGACGCAAAGTTAAGGATGACGGACGTCAAAGCCCTCGGTTGCCGGCCATTTTTCTGGTTGACACTGTTGAAGTAGTTGTTGAGCTCGGGATTGTCGCGTAACATGTTCTTGTAGAAGATGGTCGTGATGCGCTCACCGTGCTCCCGCAGAGCCGGAATGGTGTCCTTGACCAGCCTTGACTCCTTGTACGTGAGTGCCATGATGGGCTAGTGGTCTCTGAACTGCGAATATGGAAGCAAAGCGAAGCCTCCAGCTACGTTCGTACTGATAAGAGGAGCATCTTCTCGCAACTCTCCCTAGGTCGCCTGGGAGTAAAGTATATAGAGACACAAGCTGGATGCCTCGAACATCGAGAGTGGGCCGTTCTCGGAATTCTACTTACGGGAATTTTTCTTTTCTTCCCTTTCCCAGGAAGCCGCGGCAAACACAATTGCTTTGCGATTGTCTCGTGCTTTCTCGCTCGTACGATATTCAACCGGCAGGGATATTTTTCACGTGTGTTCGAGAAATTTTGTTGATCCATGTCCAATACCGTAGTGGGCGCGGCTTATGTGTCGCTGGTTCCCACAGTGACCCCACAGTCACTCATCACCAGCACTAGTGACATCCACCTCCCTGACATTGGGGGTAACATTTTCCATGTCCAGTACACTACCAGACGCGCTGCTGGCAAGCGCAAAGATACATAAGGTACCTAGGTGGATTCTCTGCTTCTTGATTGTGACTTGTTGAGGGGCAGTAAACCAGAGAAGAAAGCAAGAAGAGGAAATGTGAAGGAAAAAAGAAAACGAGAAAAGGAAAAGGAGACGGAACGCGGCGAGCACCCACCGGCCACGATCCGCGCTGTTAAGGATTCACTCCGCCCATGGCACCATCTTACATATGCATGTGGTGCAAGCTTGAAAACGTGCGGCACTTGCAGGGCTGACATGCGATGCCTCTTACAAGCTACATCTGATATACTTTTGACTAGCGCTTCGGGAAGTTTTGAAGGGAACAGGCTGGAAATTTTACATACAGGGAAAGCTTCAATCGCTTGGCAATCCGCCTCCAATTTGGGGCATGATGCTTCCCACCTCGGCGGCAGCAGCCCTAACTTTGTGTACATACATACACGTACAGTACCGTGCAAGCAGCGGTATGTTACAAGCATCAAAATTGGGCTTCCGGGGTTGATTCTTATGTGCAAATGTAGACTTGTATCTCGGCAAGTTGGTTTCGCTCCACCACCAGTACATGGGTAGTGCATCCCGTCGTACGACATTTCTAACAAGCCCATCAGTTGCCGGTCTCCTCGGAAAATCAAGGGTCCAAAGTATTAAATTGGCGTCGGCAGCTAAGGTAATTGCGCTCATGCGAGCACGCGACTCTGTGAATCTAGAACGAACCTTGTAAGCCCATCCAGTCTACTCACGCAGCACGTTAGCGCCTGGCTGCAACCATCAGTCTACAAGACATTTTATCATCCGAGCAATGGGCCGTCTTGTGAATACCGTTTTCGCATCTTTAGGCCACGTAGCCTGTGGACTCCATCACCAGTTTCTCTGCACTCAATAATAGGTATTCCGTGTTCGGTGTTTGCTTGATATGCACATAATTATATCTCCAGTAACACGAGAGAAACGCCATGACTTGACTGTCGAGAGTGAGTGTGTGCCGAGCGAATCCAGAAATAGAATCGGAATCTCCGACACTTTAAGCATTTTTTACTCCACATCGCCAACCACCAGGTCAGTCGAGACTAGACCCTGGACCCTAGTCGGTGGCATCCTCGGTGTGGGGCCGTGGTGGGCGAGGACGGCATCCTGCCCGGACCCTGTGCCGGATCCGATGTCTTGGCAAACACTTCGGCCCCGTGGAGTTTACCTAACCTTATCCGTACGGAAGCGGCATCGGAAACGGCTGCCGAGATGTGTTGGCTCCCGGAAGGCGTGTTCACCAAAGCGAATTTACAACTACGACTCGGTATTCAGATAACCTCCAGCTCCCATCCGCCGGCTCACCGACGTCGATATCGGACTCGGCATGGTGAATCTGAGCATGGGGGGATGCCGGCTTGCCATAAACAGCTACGTCTTCCCGGCACGGTATCACGTGCGCGAAGACCGGCTGTGCCAAGATGCGATCGGCCATATATCCATGGGAATTACTCTACGGCACTCGTTGCGGTTACCTTACCCGGAGTTCCGGAACTTGGCACCGTCGACAAGCCCCGGCAACTCGGCATTGCGGGGTACCCCGGCCTGAGCCATGGCTCGCCGCAGCATGCGTTCCTAACCATGAGTTGTTGAGGCTCGAGCTCTCTGTCCGCGGCTCCGCTCGTGCGTCTTCCAACGATTGCCTACAGATATTAACGCGATACCTCTATAGAGGATGTTGATTTGGGGTTACAGCGGGTGCAGGGGGGTCCAAAACTGGCAGACAGATTCCGGCCCTTCTCGACTGCTGGACTGCGGCAGCTTGGCCACATCCGACTTACGGATGTCCGGGTGCACCCCCAATATCCTCGTGAGCTCGGGAGTAGTGCTACGCACCGCAATCACAGCAGTTGATCTCCCTCCTTCCATTGCCAGTAGCCCTGGTGCGCAGCGTTGAACCTTGGTCAAGTTGGCCTGCGTTTCTTTGCCAGCTAGCCAGCCAGGGAACGATATGGATGGTCCTAGTCTCCTAGACGAGGGTAGCATAAGGAGTCATGACCTCAATTGTATTAGCTGTCTCCATCTCCATCTCAGCCCCCATCCGGACCAAGTGGAAACAAAAGCGACCATCACTTGGCCTTCTCCTCCTTCCTCCGCCGGCTTTTCCACTTGAGGAAACCCGCTCGTTTCCCCACCGCCACCGCCAAAATCGGCGCCAATTAGCGTAGTGGCTGGCGTCTGGGCCCTGCCGGCTTGCAGCAGCGCATCGGCCGGCATCCAGCATGCTGCAGAGTGAATGCAGATGGAGAGCCGCTTGGCCAGATCACAGAGCTTGGGAGAGCCAATTGGACCCGGAAATGATTTGACCGACGCCCAGGGATGATCTCACCGGCTGCACCTGCGCTCTGCAGAAGCTGGAAACCAATTTGAGTCTCATCTCTGGTGTGGAAGCAGGTGGCAAGTACGGATGTTCTAGCCCAAAACAATAGGACGAAAATGGTGAGGTGTTGACGACTCCTCACGCTACCTTGTCATGAGGGGTTGTGAAAGAGGGGCTGGCGGATATGGGGTCGTCCTACGTTCCTTGACTTGTCTAGGAGAGGAATGGCTTGCCGGCTAGATCAATCACGCTCCTAGTATAAGGTCCTAGTATAAGGAAGGGAAGCCAGCGAGAACACTTCCATGGCAATCCTGCTTGCGTGCTGTCCTCTTTGACCCTGTCCGACGCAGTTAGAAACCTTTGCAGTCTCGAAGATTGAGCTTAGGGTGCTTTCACAGGGTCATCACACAAGGCATCGACACCAAATACTGTCAAACGATTTCGAATTGACCTTCCACAATGGCTGTGGCCAGAATTAACCCCAGGACAGCCTGGGCAGCAACTGCAAGCCTTCGAACCCTGCCGGTATCGTGCCGGTCTCTCTCTCGGCGGGCCTTCCACCAGACCCCATCGCCCCGCAACCGAAGCCATCTTCTCCCCGAGTTCAGCCTGAAAGACCGCGTCATCATTGTCTCCGGCGGCGGGCGGGGGCTGGGCCTGTGTCAGGCCGAGGCGTTGCTCGAGGCCGGCGCGGTGGTGCACGCGCTGGACCGGCTTCCGGACCCGACGGGGGGGAAATCCGCAAACACAGACAGCAACAGCGATTTTGCACGCGTGTCGGCGCGCGCGGCCACGGAGCTCGGCACGCGGCTGGCCTACCACCGCGTCGACGTGCGGGACCAAAAGGCGCTGGGCGACATCGTTGGGGGCATCGCGGAGAAAGAGGGTCGGCTGGACGGGCTGATCGCGGCCGCGGGCATCCAGCAGGAGACGCCCGCGCTCGAGTACACGGCCGAGGACGTGGACAAGATGCTCGGCGTCAACGTCACGGGCGTCTTCATAACGGCGCAGGCCGTAGCGCGCGAGATGATCAAGCGCGGCCAGAAGGGGAGTTTGGTGCTGATTGGGAGCATGAGCGGGACAGTGGCGAACAGGGGTCTGATTTGCCCGTGGGTTTTCTCCTTTTTTGATTTTTATCTTTCCTTCCTTTTCTACCTCTTCTCTGGCAGAGGCTGACTAGCAGTAGAGCTTACAACGCCTCTAAAGCCGCAGTTCTACAACTCGCTCGCAATCTGGCAGCCGAGTGGGGCGAGCACGGCATCCGGGTGAATACCATATCACCAGGTTACATTGTCACGGCCATGACAGCAGGCCTCTTTGAAGCCTTCCCCGAGAGGCGGACGGCTTGGCCCGATGCCAACATGCTCAAACGACTGAGCTATCCGGAGGAGTATCGGGGGGCAGCGGTGTTTTTGCTCAGTGACGCCAGCAGCTTCATGACCGGAGCTGATTTGAGGATTGATGGAGGCCACTGCGCTTGGTGAACGAGTATGCGTAATATATCGACATCGAGCCGCGATGTATAGCCTGACAATCGTTTGAAGTCGGGGTATCTGAATGTTGAGAGAACGTACATGTATTGTACAGTACATAGCGCCGTTTTATCCTTGGTCTTGGCCCCGGTTTGAGAGCGGGAACCCGATTCGGGGATCTAATACAGACGGTGATTCAATCCACGCAGCGGTATCCTGTCCAAAGTCATGACGCTGGGGACACTATGCCTTCGGGGCCCAGCCTCGCAGCAGTGCCGGGTTTGAGTCTCAATCGCTGCTCGATGTCCGCCGAGGACCGGCCACTCTGTCGAAGCACCAATATCTGCTTAACGGTAGCGATATCTAAAAACTCCCTGCCCTTGTCGGTCGATTTGCCGGTGTTGGCAAGCTCCTGTTTGGCCTGGGTTTCTAGCCGATGCCGTGCTTCAAGCACGCCGAGGGTGGCATTATTTGGCACGGATGGGAACCGCGACTTTGGGAGCGACTGCTTGACGCCGGATGCATCCGGGACCGGCGATGCTATTGACGAAGGGGAAAAGGTTGGATTAGGCTGCACGACGCCCATCTTTCTCAGGCGGTCTGCAAAATCTGGGCTGATGAATTCGGACTGCTCAGGGTCCATTGAGTCGGCGCGGATGGCTGTGTCATGGTAAGCACAGGCTGGCGAGGTGGCATGAGAGCATCCAACCATCGTCTTTCGTATAAGAGGCTTGCGGCCGGGGCTGCAATACCGGACCGGCGTCCGGAGCTGACGAAGGGCGCGGTGTGGCCGGAGTTGGTCTCGCTGCTGGCCTCGTCGCTGCCGGCGGAATCGACCCCGGAGCGCGAGATGGAAACTTTCTCACAGTCTCTCTTGCTGTTTTTGATGCGGATGAACCCATTGCGATGCTGAAGATGGAAATCGGGTGTGTTGACGTGAAGCAGGAAAAACTGGTCCCAAAAATTAAGAAATAGCTTGCGATCAAGAAGTCCTGTCGTCATTAACGAGCTGGTGCTTCAGCCACAGTTGTGGCTGGTCATAAGCTCACGCCACCTCCTGATCTTTTTGTAGGATGAAATTCGATGAATCGCTGGGCCAAACTTCAACAATTTTGCTTCTTGTCATTTTTCTGTTTCCTTTTTCGCCTTCAGCATATCTCGGGCGTCTTAGCGACTATATTATTGGTTTATGTATATACTCGACATCTTCTACATTCCTGTACACTTTGCACTTGCTCTTTATATTCTCGAACCTCGACTCGGACTAAGGCGGATAAGCCTACCCCTAAGCCACGACCGCCAACCTTCAAAAGGCTCATCTCAAGCTTGTTATGTTCCCCAAGGCCAGTTCGTAAATTTCGCGTGCGAATTCTCCCCATCGACTGAAGATGACAAAATCGGTCTTTACTTACTGAGGAGCAAAGCAATTACTGAAGTCCTACAAGAAATGCGTAAAGGAAAATCTATGTAAATTGTCGCGAAGCACTTGAACAGAGTATGTCTTCACGAGAGGAAGGCCGAACTTGAGCATTCGCAATACTGGAGGCAGGTCTGATTTGGTCAAGCTGCCCCGCTACTACTGAACCCTGGAGCATTGGAACTGCGCTGATGCACTCCAACTTGTTACCTTATGTACTGTAGAAGAGAGAGCGAGAGAGAGCGGATAAGGAGGGGGGGAGGGGGGTTTTATAGGTAGTGCACTTTTGCGCTTGTTGGCGCTTGCTGGGAAGGCTCCTTCCACTTGTTGTTCTGGAACTTGGAAGCTACGAAGTTGGACATTCGCAATACTGAAGGCCGGTCTGAGTTTGGTACCACCTGCAACTTAGCAGCTTGACTCGGCGAAGTGTTGCCACGGGTGCCGTCTGACACACTGGGTCCAGAATTTGGAATACATGGCATATACAGTCGCTATCGAAGCTCCATGCCCATCGGGGTTTGCCTAGGTGTCTTAGGTACGCCAGAGGTCAACTACCTATCAATACATCATCAATTGCTAGCGAGTGTATATTAGTTCTTGCAAAGAAGAGCTAAGACACCATGCTGATTGTCTAGGCGCCGCTGGCCCAACTATACGAGGCGAAGAGGGTTGTGCTCCCTAAGCAGGTCTGAGCAGCTCTGAGCAGTACTGACTGTTCGCCACCTCACAGGTTTATCCTGGTTAACCGTGGTTTCCGGGCCGCTCTCCCAACCTGGTAAGGTATTGCTCATTTTCATCTTTGCCAGATATCAATCAGTCTTGGTTGCCTCCTGGAGCAATCTCACCATGTGGATCATGGTGCCCGTCGCTGGAATCCCATTGTGACCCTGCCTTCATATCCTAGACATCCCCGAGCCGTCCTGACGTATCATCAACAAACTCACCCGTGACCGAGACCAGGAGAAAGGGTGGTAGCTGTAATTTAAGAGGAAAAGGCCTCGCGGAATGGTTCGCGAATCGGAACCGGTGTTGGGGCTTTGGGGCGTCTGCAGGGACGGTTGGTTGTTGGTCTCAACGAAGCACGGCGGCTATTGAGACGAAGGTTGTTGGCCCGGAGGTGCGACCCCTTTCAACCAACATGAATGTATAGGTACCTAAGCGTTTCTGTGAACACCGCCAAGGCGCCACATTTTTTTATCGACACCCCCTATATCGCGATGTCAGCGGGTCCTGCACGCTGGAGATGATCCCGCTAGGGGGAGGCCAGGATCGGGCGTACGCTCAGGCTTCATCGGGCGGCGAAGGAGCACAATATTCCAGTATCAAGAAGATCTGCTTTGAGCACGTTCTGCCACGAGGAAGAATATCCGGTCCAGATCCGCGCAACAAAGGGGATGGGGTGCGGCCAGGGGTTTCTTCATCGTGGCAGACAGACAGACAGACAGATAGCCAAGAGCACGTACGAAGTAAGGCGGCTCGGTTTGGATGCGAGTCCGCTAATCGTTCATCCACAGGCATCTATCTAAGTATCTCAGCTATCAGATGAGAGAGGAAGGTAAACCGATGCCATGCCAAGCGGCCTACTATCGAGCTCCACGATCTTTCCGGCTGCCCTATATGATTTTGCTTTTCGATCCAGCATTTTTTGTTCTTTCTCTGATACACAGCAGCATCCAGCAGCTTAGCGGGGAGGCTTTGCGAGGCTATTCTAGAGAAATGGAGTCGTCATTCGGATGGCTAGTAATGCTGGACTCCTCTCAAGTAGGTGAGAGCTGGCCCATTCCAGGGTTGGAACCACGGCTTTATGGAGCAACGAACCCCTTATCAAAACCACCTTACAGTGTAGGTAGGTAGGCTGGGGCACTCTGGGGCGTACGAATGAGGCTACGTATGCAGTACCATTAGGTGACTTCCTAGAGTGCAGTGACAGTGCATCCGGCTCGGTTTTCAAATCCATACCTAGTGACAGCAATGAGCGAATCAGCTTGCCAGGAGGTGGCTTTCCTGCAAGCAGAACGCACCAGATTCAAATCTCTCTTAAAAGGGGACAAATACGACAGATAGTAAGGGGGAATCTTCTTCATCAAGACCAAGAAGTCTCAACTGTTGTCGAGGCATGCTCATTCTACAAAACCCCGGTCAAGGCAGGGAAAACTCACGGGTCACAAACCTTGTGCGCCTGCCATCTATCAAACATGTTGGTCAAGGTAGGACAACATTAATCGGAGACACAGGATGAGACGGGAAACGAACAATGGATGGTTGCGCAACATGTGGTGATGGGCAGTTGTTGAATTCATCGGGTCTGAGAAACCAAGGCGGATCCACACGTTTGAAAAGTTGATTTCGACGTCGCACACGTGGAGAGTCTCACTTGCTCAAGCTGCCAAGCCTAGCCCCTTCTCTGCTTCTCCGTGCAAGTCGAGAGTGCTGCAACCAATCAGGCAGTGAGTCATCAAGGCCCCCGCACCTGAAATTTCTGGTGTGAGAGCTCCCCCGCTCCAAACCAGCCCCGCTCAAAGTAGGTGCTATCGCTCCGTCTGGCGGGCACGACACAACCTGGAACCCGCCCTTCCGTAAATCGGCTTTTTCACCTCTAAACCTCCATCATCTCAACCGCGAAACCGGACCACCAGCGAACAATTGCCGCGGCCCAACAGCCTATCTGGCAGCGACCCGTGCCGTCTCGGGATCGGGAGCCCACTTACCCGTGATCACACCGTTGTTTTTCGCCTCCCCACCTGCTCGGGGCTTACCGCTTTGTCCCATGGAGAGCCCCGAGTTTGCGGCTGGCAATGGCATGCGGAGCCATGGCGCAATCGGCGGCGGCCAAAACAACAAGCGCAAACGGAGCCTCATGGACAGCAGTCCCGCGAGCCTTCTCGACCACGATCACCACGACCGCGACGTCGACCACGATGTGGGAGGCGATGGTTCTCCCGAGGGCAAGGGCCGTCGCCTACCCGGCGTGAAGCGCGCTTGCAATGAGTGTCGCCAGCAAAAGGTAAGCAAATCTCGGCTGTCAGCGAGGTTTCAGTCATCTCTTCGCCTTTCGGTCCCATCTCCGGCTCCGGCTGCGCATTTGCTTCTGCCTCGGCAATTCGCGCTGCGCCGCATTTGCGACCACTCCGCTCCCGGCCTCGCCCCGGACGCCCCTCCCGATTACCGGAGCTGCCCGATTGTTTTCCTCCTTGTCCACCGCCCGCTTACTCTGTTCGCTCTCGGATGGATACCAAGCTAACCTGTGTCATGCGATCTCTCTCCTCTTAGTTACGCTGCGATGTCGTGCAGGACCCCTTCCAGAGTTGCTCTCGGTGCGTTCGGCTCAAGCTCGAATGCAAGATTGAGTCCAACTTTAAGCGCATTGGCAAACGCTCCAAGCATGCCGAGATGGAGAAGGAGATCGACAAGCTACGCCGCGCCGTCCAGATGGCCAAAGCTCAAGGCTTCGTCCTCGACGACGATGACGAGGCCGTGCAATCGCAGCTCCAGTCCCCGGTTGTTGCCAGCCAGTACAGCCATACCCGCAACCCCTCGCTAATGGGCTCTGAGGAGGCCGTTTCATCACTGCTGCATCTGAAGCGTGGCGGCTCGTACAATCTGCCCCGCATCGCACGCGAGCTCGAGGACTTCAGACTTACCGAAGACGATGAGAGACAACTGTTCGGCCAGTTTTTCAGCTACTACCACCCGTTTCTGCCCTTCCTAAACCCCACTCAGACCGCAGACCAATACTATCAGCAGCATCCCTTGCTTTACTGGGCCATCATAGCCGTCGCCAGCAGACGCTTCAGCCCTGACCCTACCATCCTTACGAAGCTGTCCGGGCCGTTGACGAGGTTACTATGGAACACCGTGGGAGAGGTGCCACAGAGCTACTTTGTCGTCAAGGCGCTATGTCTCCTCTGCACGTGGCCGCTTCCGACAAGCACGACATCTTCGGACCCTACGCACATCCTTTGCGGAGTCATGATGAAGACAGCAACAGGCATCGGCCTGCACCGGCCAAATCACATCAACGACTTTTCGCGAGTTGCCGTCGAGCTCAACAAGGACGGGTTGCACGACCGAATCAAGACCTGGGCGGTATGCAATATTGTGGCGCAGACGATAGGAACGGGGTACGGTCAGCCAGCATCGACCTTGTATGACTGGACCTTGGCAGTTCGACCGGGCGATTCGGGTCCCTTCTCGCTGGGACCCGAGTTAGAGGCCAGACTGCAAATAGAACGCTTCTGTGACAAGGTCTCCAAAGAGATGTATAGCAACGTCAGTGACCCTCGTGGCGTTGCCGGCGACGAACACCGCGCCATGCTGATGCGAGTGTACCGCCGTGAATTCAACGAGTTGCAAGCTACCATACTCTCGCAGAATCTATCGCCTATCATCCAGCTCCATCTGAGGGCTGCCGGCCTTCATCTGCGGCTAGCCGGTTTTTTCGACTCAAGTAGCACGCCAGGCTACCTGGACGATTTGATGGCCTTGTGGCGTGCAACGACCTCCTACCTCGATTTGATCCTGGATGGTCCCGAGACATGTCACGAATCCTATCAGTACCAGCTACGAGACCAGTTCTTTTTGAAATATGCTACAAATTACATCCAGCAAATGCTGGTCGCCGCGGGGTTCGCCCTGCTCAAACTCATGCGTTCGTTCTTTGCAAAGCAGGTCGATTTCGAACGAGGCCGAAATCTCTTCCACAGGACCATCCAAGCCATCAGAACCACTAGTGTTGTGCAGAATGACTTGAATTGGCGCCTGGCAGAGCTGATGGTCCAGATTTGGAACGGTGCCAGACTAGAAGGCGTTTCGCCATCATTCCAGGGCGACGACCACCCTGAAATTGATGACAGTCTGCAGCTCAAGGTCCGCTGCCGGCACAGCATGAGTCTTGTTTTCGACTCGATTTGGCACTGGAGGGAAGAATACCAAGCAAGAGGGCGAGGTACGCTCGACGGTGAGTTATTCCATACACCCTATCCGGCTTTCCTCCCACTGGTCCCCTTTCCTGCCTGCGTTTCTCCATGATGGGCTCCTCCAGGCTAAGAATCTCCGTGGTAGCTCTGAAGCAACCCACACACCCCGATTCGGCTAATGAATCTTCAGCCTCTTCGACTCATCTGGATACGACCCTGGCTCCGCCCTCACACGGTTTGCCGGGCCCTCTCAATCTGGCGACTTCAAATGGAGCCTTGACTCCCAGCGGCGGGTCGACCATGGGAGCCGGTGCCCAAGGCGCCATTTTGGGCCTGGGATACGAAAGCACGTACGATGTTTGGGACCCCCAGCACTGGATGTTGGACGGATTGCTTGACTTCAACTACACGTTCGTCCCCCCCATCGAGGGCGCTTAGGAATACATGGGCACCTTGGTGCCTTAACTTTTGGGGGCCACCTACCTCTCTTTTGGTTGTTATTTCGGTCTTATATGACGGCGACAGGCCGGCGCGTTGCTTGATGGTATACTGTTTCTTATGGTCTGACGAAATACCCCTTTTTATTGAGCATATATGATCATCACGGTTCATCTGGTTGGGGTCGAAAAGTGGGGGATTTCGGGTCGCGTCTGGACAACAAAAAAAACGGGTTGACGAGGTTGGTTTTCCAAGTGTGCAAATCTTGTGCATCTACTCATTGTGCCTAGCCATCTTGCAGGATAGCGGGGGTCAGGAGATGTGTTTGTTTCTCTCAGCGCACGGTCAGTCCATTGTGCTTTGTTTGCCAGCAGTGAACCCCTACACCTACTGCCGGTGTGGAGGGCAGGACCGGAATGATAGGACGAATGCTGTTGATAAGCGTTCCGTCCTGGGCCGTCCAGACCTCTCTATTCCCATCACCACGCCTCGGGATTGGGGCTGCCTTGGGGGCAGATGCCTCGTACATCCTGAGGCAGCCAGCAATTTGGTGGGTCGGCTCAGCTCAAGTGAAGCTGATTGCAAGCCACTCCATCAACAACACGAAACTGAGATCTAACCCCCGGGGCCAGGAGGTATTCCAGGATGCTTCACACTTTGGAAACAGCGAAAGAAGTCTTGCGCTTCTTGTTGTCTGGTGTCGAACTATTACTATTCTTGTACACACACACACATACACACACACATGGGTTTTTGTTTGAGATTCAGTACTGGCTGCAGTCACGTACACCTGTAATGTAACATCGAATGCTGTGGAAGGTGCAGATTTCAAAGTTGACCTGAGCTTGGAGCTTGTTTGGTTGTTGGGGTTGCAGCCAGGTGCGGCGTGGAAGAATGAAGCCGCAACACAGCAGCTGAACGGTGAACAGTGTCTCTTGGGGGTTTTGTGTCATATCAACGTTGCCTTGGAGGCACCTACCTTACTTCGACTTGCCGACTGCCCCCACAACGACTGCTGCCCTACGACAAGACACCAGGAATGGCTTGCATATCTTTTTTCAAGTTAATCTTTTCGAGACATCGGATGAGCTTGTTAGCTAAGCTAGACGAACCTTGTTGGCTCTGTCGGACCAGCTTGTTGGGTCGAACTTTCAGGATTCACAACTCTAATTCCTACTCAATGTACGGTACTGATGTTCTTGACAATGTGGCTGCATGGCATAGGACTGCTCACGCAAAGAGGATTTCCAACTGTTGTCAGTAGGATATCTATTCATGTTCCTTTTTTTTCTTGCCGTTTCCTCTTCTTCTCCCCTTGTTTGCCCTTTCTCTTTGACTGGCTCCTTGCCGCTTATCATCTGATATGCCACGTCGCGCCGCGAACAAAATAACGTTATACTGTAAGGATTGCAGGGGCGGGTATGGCTTGCGATGCCGGTTTTGTTTATGTCAGTAACTCACCGTGGCATGAAGTTCGGCGGCGGCGTATCAGCGTTTCTGTCTTGTAGACCCTGTCTTTTTCTCTCTCAAGCCTTTCCTTTTGTGGTGTTATTTTTCTCCTTGGTGCTCCAAGACCAACGCCTTGGCTCCTTCATCCCGGGGATAGGCGGTGTTTTTCCCCCGGTTTGGTTGCGGCACAGTCCAGCACACCGCGGCAAGTTGCGATGAATGACCGCTTCTGGAAGGACCTCGAGGGCAAGAGTCCAAGACAGTCTGGCTGATGAGAGGACTTATCAAACATAACATTACTCACAGTGACAACTAGCACGCGCAGACTGAGATCGCGGTGAGTGCGGGTGCCAGCGGAGTGCCAAGCCATCCTGCGCGGCCGCCGGTGGCGCGCTCACGGCTCACTCTGCTGCAGAGTTCGACTTCTGGGCCCGTCAATCAAAGCGAAAGGTTGAGGGGCAATCTCGTTGACTTGTACAGTACAGAGGGAATTGCATTGATCGACGGGACTGGCGGTGGCAGCGAGCCCTGGCCGCTTATCGCCCGCCTTGTCCATGCGGTTTTATCGGGGCGTCGGGGGGGGGGGGGGGTGAAGGCGCCGACTAGACAACGCCTGGACACGGGACTCGTTGGGAGATCGGCGGATCGAAAAATGAAGGTCAATGCTCAACCCCCGATTCCCAAGTCCCGGGTGGCGGGGCGCTCATGTCTCGATCTGAGCAGTGAAGCTCCATTCCCCATACTCATAGTCCGCCAGCCACAAGTTAGCGGGGCTATGTCGACCAGGCCGCCTTCACTGCGACCAGATTCCCCAGGCTGCCGGTTTACTCACAATAACCACAACGACCGCTTGGACAGGCGAGGCCAAAATAAGCCAAAGCCTTGTTTACGCTAGGCTGCTGGGAATATCACCAGTTGTGTGGATGATACCGAATTCTGCGCCTTCCCTCCCACATAGGCTCCCACATACTCCGTGGACAGGGGGTGGATTTCGGCGTGGCGGAGAGACTCCCGGCCGAAATTGCCGCCTTCTCCGTCTGATCAGTCCTCACAGGCCCAGCATCGATAATTCCATATCACCTGGGGGACAGGGTCTAGAACTACTAGGTGGGCCATGATTTGTCAAAGCAGCACTTAACGTTGATGGCAGTCTTCTACACTCCGCTACTTACCGCTATTTACACACCCTACACCTCCATCGGGGAGGATTGCAAATTCTCTAGCCGAGAATCCGGGACACACCACCTAACGATACGGGTAACGGGTACAGTACAAGTCGAGCATGGGTGCTTCCCTTTAGGCATAGGGAGCGAGAATCTGCCCTGGAGTCTGCAGGGACAAGGCAACCTCCATCGCTTCCCCTACCCCAGAAGCCGTTTGGCCCTACACGTGTCTTTGGCGCGATTATGCCGCCCCTCGACCGTCCAAACCATCCAGCCACGCCGCTTGGCAGCCCTAACGTTTCCTACGATCCCATCCTCTTCCGATATATGTCCCATACACTAGCTCAACTATGTAGTATACTGTATGTACTGTACATACAACTACACCTCCTACGGTAAGTTGTCTTGGACTTGGCTTCGCATGTCTGGATCCTGTGTACAGTAGCGTACAGCGCTTACACATACAGAGCGTACCGTACTATCAGTCACGGTACACTTTACCAGGTACTTTCAGTTTCCCCGCCCCCTTCGCCCTGCAAGAGACCAAACAAGATTCTGAAGCTGCATGCTGACGCGCCGCGGCCGGGTAATGTGACTTTAATGACACCTCGTCCGACGGGGCGAACCTACACTTGTGATTCGCGGCGGTAAACCAAAGCTGTTAGGGATCCCGGGGATAGGTCGGTGGCGAGCCGGGAAGGAGACGGTTCACTGTTCACCGTTATGCAGTGCTGGAAAGTGGGAGGGCAGCAGGACCTGGTTATGATTGGAGATTGGCAGAGATTAGGGTTTGAAGGTTTGCTGGTAGTGGAGGGGTGGGTGGGTAAGTTTCCCGCAGATCGGACGATGCCACGCCATGGGACATGAGTCTTGTTACTGCCTTAGGGGTCACAGTGTATGGGGGATCAGGCTGGGCAAGGAAGGCCTTGACTGGGTGCTATAGGGTTTGACTGTTTGACTGTTGGCGAACGACGACTGGAGTCATTCAGCTGGGTTCGACTCATTACCGGCACGGGAAGAGGGAGCCGTTAGGAGTCCCCCCTGTTCCTCACAGCGAACGAGCGGTTGATGCAGCAAGGGAGAGGCACCACTGTCGCTAACGTTTGGGCACAAGATGGATAGTAGATACTTGCCTGGTGTGGCTGGCAAGGCTGCAGCACCTCACTCCATCAGGGACAGCATGGAGGCATTGGAGGGTCGTGGCCTAGAACAGGGTGCAATACAGTAAACGTATGTACACTCCCGGTATCCGTATTGCAACCCGTATTGTGGTTCTTCTCCTAGGTCTGAAAGATTGATGGAAGTCGCGACTTGACGACAGCTGTCTGCTACACACGGGAATAGCGGCAAACAGGTTGTGTTCATGATGCTGCCCTGATCTGCCGAAAGAGACAGAAGGTGGATGGACATACACTACACACACAGTGAGCCATCCCCTTGGCCCCCAACACCGAGAATGCCGGAGTCGTTAAGAAGGATCGTAGCGACAAGCTAGATTTCACCTTCCAGCTCGCTCAGTGAGTGACTAGTGCCAGCCGAAGGATTCGGGAATCAGCCATGACCGGGGCCGACCGCGTGGAGCGTGGAGCTTTAGTATATGTACTTGTACGAATACCTCAACTCCAGCTTCCGAGTAGTCTTGCGTGCCACATCAAGGTGAGCTTATGCCGGTTCCTTGCAGATTGGCCATCAGAAGGCCGGGGTTCTAGAAGAAGATGACGATGAAAGGATGGCCTCGACTGTGTCAAAGTTGTAAAAGAGAAGCAAAGGGAGGGAGGTAGATACGTGCAGGCATCCATGCAAGAACAAACGGGCTTGAGATATCGAATATGAAGCAGCAGATGGCATGGAGGCTATCGTACATCGTTATGATATGAAGAGAAGATTTCTCCGCAGCCGGCACTGCAACGAACCGGTTGTTGGACCGCCATCCTTAAAACGACCACTAGGTAAGAATCCCTCAACAATTGTGATCGTTTCCCGAAAAACCAAAAAAGTAAAAACCTCATGCAGGTCTAATAAAAATGGTGAAAGACAGATATTACATGACCATCGACGTTACGATCCTGGCGGACGTCAAATCGTCCACCGTCAACATCAAAACAAAAGGGGGAACAGATTGGCTTTCTGGGTTGGGGTTAACTGTGGAGTGTTCGACTGCTGAATTGGCAAGAAACAGTCGAGGAATGGTGCTGCCGACGGGGGCCCTCGAAAGCCCCTGAAACAATGTGGCCGGAGGGCCACGGTGTGAGGGTTAGGGTGACTGGCTGCAGCCATGTTGTTACACCGTAGAGCTACTTGTCTGAACAGCACAACAGTGTTGAGAGAGCGAGTCTCTGGACATGAAGGCGACCTCAGAGCACCTCCAGTGGCTTACGGATGCTGACCAATCAGATGGTCGCTTCTCCAGATGGAAAGTCGACCGAGCTCAAGAATTGGCCAATCAAAAGGATTGACGAACGAGAAGTGGAAACGGCCCCGTCAACCGGAACTTGGTGTCCGAAATTCTTACCTCCCGTCCAATGATGTTACACCACTTTGATTACAGATTCGTTCGATAATTTCGTAATTTCAACATTTACACGATCATTACGGAGATCGTAAGTTCAACCTTTTGAATACATACGTCTAGAAAAGGTCGCCGATTTCCAATTCTCACTCGAGAACGGCGAGAACGGGCAAACAGTTGCTCCTGGCAAGAAGGCATGGAAGATCGAGAGGCGCACAGCAGCCCCCATTGTCATCTTCCCCGTCTATCCTATCTTTCCCTGTCCCGACCTCATGAGCAAGAAGACAAGGAGGATGACGATAGGACACCCACGAGGAGGTGAGGTTCTTCTAGCAAAAGTCTCGGCATCACCGTCAGCTTATGGCGGCCGCCGATGCAATGATCGAGCCCATCTTCTTGTTCATCTTGTGCACCTTGCGAGTGCCGTGTGTCAATGTGTTGTATTGTGAATGTAACCATGTCGTACGAAGTACTATCTGGTGTCACCACACGTGGCACCAAGCTGCCTCCGCACGATTGGACGGAAATGGCGGCGCTGCACAACCTTAACCAGTGATCAGCTTGTCCTGGTTACACCGCCGCCGCGAACGACTGCACACGCCATGGGCGCATTGGTCGGGGTCCATCATGGACGATGCTTGCGGAAGAGGTGCCGTGGTGGAGAAAACCCGCAGCGACAGCACAGGCCGGCCCTTGGTTCGACGAATTACGGAGCGCGGAAGCCGCTTCCCCGGCGGCGCCCGATATCGATCGAGTCGGGCGTCTAGCCTGACAAGGAACGGTCCGGACTCCACTAACCATTTTAGTGTATTGAGATATCAGCGACCGGGGAGGGATGTCTTGTGGAGTGATCGGGCTGCCGAATCTAGAGTGAATGTGCGATACTGTACCCTAGACTTTCACTATAAACCGGTGTTTTCGCCCACATCATGCGATAATAGATGTGCAAAAGACGGGCCGATGCGGGGTCAAATCTGCCAAGGTAGGCGATGAGAAGATGAACGGGGGATTGTACACGTACTTGGCTGTGCGCTTGAGACGTTCCTTGCTTCAGGAGCAGCCCGACTAGGTAGGGAGGGTAGCGTCCCAGACCACCGGGTTCGCGATGGCAATCTATACGCGCCCTTATGGGTCACAAAGAGCACAGCCGAGGTCGTACTTTCGCAGTAAATGCGACGTCGGGGATGTGAGCTAGTTGTATGAAGCCCGAAGCTGTGCGAAGTTGCCCTGCCGTTGACAATGGACGCCGATATTGCGGACGATGGGAAGGAACTCCCCAGATCCCAGTCGCAACGTTGCTTGCAAGCGGCTGGTCAAAACATGATGGCCCTGTTGTATAAAGGGCCCGATATAACCTGCACATGTCTGACTGTGACGGTAGGCTCGTTACTAATATATGGCAAGGGAAAGAGGATATATCCTCACCACAAAAAGACTATGGAAATTGCCGCCTGAACCTCGAGGTCGTGCCATTTGTTGTTGTAATTAGTTGTCAAAGCAAGTGAGTGCTGGAACGACGGAACGACATCACCGAGTGAATTAGACCAAGCTTGAGTCATCAGGTCTTTGGATCCGAACCGTTGCTGTAATCACGATGCTGGGCAGAAGGTGTGAATTTTTCACGAGCGACTGGAGCTAATGATTGGCGGAATCACAGGTTGCCCTGCCATCGGCTGGCACCTCGGGCGCATGTCTGATACGACTCAAATTCTCAGAGCCATCGAAACCATTTGGTTGACTTTCCAAGGGCAAACCTCTCGGGCTTGATGGACACAATGCAGGTAGATGGTTGACTCATACAAGGAGCAGAGTTGATTGCACCTGCTACTCTCGGTGACAGCAAGGCATGGGATCTGCGGGATATTAGAAACGTATTACCTAGATATTCGGGCATTAGCACCACATTTACTGGGGCGTATACGGGCGCTTCTTGCTGAACTTTGTTGGTCGCGCTTTCTTCAAAGACCAATCACGGTGCATGATAAGCGCGCTCTTGGATGGATGGCACGGAAATTCGATGAGTTTAGTTGGGCTATCCCCAGCTGTTCGCCTTACTTTTTGGGGGGTTTGTCTGTTAGCTTACCGGTATTTCCTAACTGATTGACCGCATAAACATCCCGCGTTCCGTCGTTAGCGTACCCGACAGTTTGGAAGCCAATAGGATTAAACCGGCCCCTTCCTCCACCCCGCGTCTGCCCAGTCCCCACCATGGCACCCCTCGTCTTGTGGCCCCCAAAACTCGAAAGCGGGCTCCCACCATTGTCCCCAAGAAGGCCTGTGCCACCCTCGGGGGGGCACGTTTCGAAACAAGGCAAATCTGTTTTTAGAGTATCGCAAGGTGAAAGGAATCTGACTAGATCTGGCGTTGCAAGATGAGATTTGCCAAGGACTCACCAGAGTAGGCCTGCGATATGTATGTACAGTACATCCATGGATACTTGAAAACCAGCAAGATTATCCAAACCGTTGCGAGGGGTACGCACCCCAATCAGCATTTTCCGGCAGAGGCAATGGTGCCAAATATCCATGTGCTGCGGGTTGCACCAGATGCAGCGACAGTGCAGTGCGGTAAGATAATGAGAGTCGTCAATCAGGTAGGAGAGTCCAATTCCAGGAGGAGTGTCATTGCAGCTGCGGCGGGCACCAGCGGGCAACCAGCGGGCACCAGCAAAATCCAATCAGGCAGAAAGCTATGGCCCCTGCATGGTCTTTTTCATGATTGGCTGCAGTGGCCCCATCATCTGCGAAAACCACACGCAACATCCCGAGGCTGTAAGGTAGGTTACGCTTTGTACAGTATTAATTCCCTTAATCAGGGCTCTGACCGCACCGGTGATGCGTATACTTGCGCAGCACCACACTGAAAGAGCGGAGTATCTGCCTGCAGAGCAATGGAGGGAGCCATACGCGTCTTGACCCTTCATTTGCCCAGCCGATCCCGCTCCGTAGCATCAGGTCGTGTCTGCATTTTAAGCGAGTGCAGCTCGCCTTAAGGCACCTTACGTTAACGTTAATCTCTCGCCGACTACACAGCCTCTATGTAAGTACTCTTGAATCATGATCGTTCTGACTAATATATTCCTTCTCTACACACTATTTCCCGATACAGAACAACCAATCGTTCTTCGGCACATTTGTTTCCCACTCGAACCTCCCTATCGCCGAGACTCCGACTGCCCTGCAGCAATCTTCATCGATCGGCCGATCCGCCTGGCCGACCCTTTGGGGTCACAGAATGGAGATGGGAAGCAGAAGCCCGAGATACGCTACAGTAGCTGTGTTGACGGGGGACTTTACCGCCCGCCATAACTACCTACTACAGTACTGTACATTCTAAGACCCAGTTTATTCCTATGTCCTGGCCCTCAACGGATAAAAGCCCATCACATGAATCTGTATTTACAAATGTACGGAGTATGTTAGCCCCATCTCAAACCTTAAACGGTCGGCAACCGTGCACGATCAGGATCTGCCCGGGCGGAGGACACCACAAGCGTCTATCCGCGCTCAAGTGGACCAACACAACCAACAAGAAATCGACGGCGGCTATCGCAAGATGGAAGCTCCCGCAGTGGCGCGCGAACAGAGGCTTTGCCTCCCCAGGACTCGCCTCGTCGATAACCGATTTGCAGACTGCACAGTAAGGAGAAGAAACACAGTACAAACCGCTCAGGGCTCCAGAATACGGTACTAGTATCGATCCTGCCTGTACTGTTACCGTCTACAGTACAGTACTGTACCATATGCATGCGTTGTGCAGCGACCCATGCAGGGTGAAGTTGAGTAGTGCAGGGGTGCTATGCAAATCGTTCCCGCGTGCCGCCCTCACAATCCGAGTACACATTTTGCACCCATCTTTTCAAAATGCTGTGCCCACTCTGTCGCCGCCCTCAGTCTTTTCGCGGTGCCGAGGGCTGCCTGATTGAGGAGATATTACAACGTTCTTGACCTGCACTAATTTAGGTCTTACTCTTGCTTGAGATTGATGTCAACCCCATTGTCGGCCGCGGCGGCAGCCCTATACCTATCGCTTTTCTCGTTTAGCGATGCCACAAAATTGCGGCAGGTCCTTAGTGACGTCCTAATCGGTTTCCGTAGAGTCCTGCCACGCAGACTATTCCCGCAGCCCCTCGTCCATGGCCTCTAGAGTGGAATGCCTCGAGGCTTGGGCAATAGCGCCTGATATGAGCCGTTATGTGGTCGGTCTTCCCCGTTTCCACGAAGCTTGGGACGAAAGCTAGGCCGCCATAACCGGCCGCATACAACTAAGCCCCATCAAAGAAGGGCATCCAGAGAAGTCTCGTCGCCCATGTTCCAACTGGGTTGAGAATCTGGCTTTTGTCATGCCCGGCGAGGTCGCGAATGCACAGTCCCTGGACAGTCAGCGCCTAAGATGGCAGTCTAATGGGGGTGCCTTTCACAAAGTACCGGTACAGCACACCCAACCCCGGGGCGCAAGTACATCGACTGCATACCCCGGGAATGGCACCGCCCGTTCCATCCAGACCTCATGAGAGAGCAAAGAATAAGGTGGATGGGACCCCGGTCATTCCCACAGCTAGTGCATTGTACTCCCCTGCCCTCCCTACTACCTTGACCAGGTAGGCACCTTCCTTCAGATCCCCACTCTTTCCTCTTTGGAAGCTCCTTCCCACCGTTGTACATAGATAGCTCAAGTCCCCAGCATCGCCTACCCAGGTGAGCCTCCTTCTGTCTCATGTCTGGGTAGCTCCTCTTCCCTTTCCTCCAACGCCGCATCCTGCCGCACTACCGGGCCACACTCAGACTGCTTAGCGTCAGGCACTGTCCAAGTCTTAAAAGGTTAGAGATATCTCCCGTCATTCATACCTGCCCTTGGCTATTGCTTCATGATGCAAAAGCAGACAATTCCCTTGCTTGTAGGGCCAAGTCTGGGATCACAGCCTTTTTCCCTTGTGTTTTATTTGCTTTTGTATCTTCTGTTACAACTGTGAGAAATTGTGAGGGCAGAGAGCATAGCTGAACAATGGAGACAGACCGACAGGAACAGGTTGAATCACCGCTGGTCGAGGACTTCCTTGACTGCGACAAGCTGGGTGCCGAGTCCGACACCGACAACTCCAGTGCCGGAAGCGTGTCTCCCAGAAAGACACTCAAACGCCTCCATATCGACGTCGACATGACCACTACTCAATATCTTACGCGTGCCGCGCACAATTCTGATCAAGGTTCTGTTGACGGCTGCTCTACGGGCCCCTCATCAGTCTCCTACTCGTCCTCAGGACTCGATCCCTACAGTGCAGTATGTCATCAGCGAACCTCACCTGACCCACTTGTCCCTATCTCTCCAGTGGCTCACCATGGATGGCGGTTACAGGTTTCTGGAGTGTCCTCGTTTAACTATCCTGCCGCTGCCGACTCAACGCTTTTAACGCCAGTGTCGAGCGCGGGCAGTCCTCCTCTACAGAATAGGCCTCCGACTAAGTCCATGCGGAGTTTCAACTCTTCTCAGGCTTGCCCTGTCTCGCGAAGCTCAGCGCAAACAAGGTACTATAGCAGCTACGACGTGAATACCAGTAGTCAGGGCTCCTCCCCGATGACGGTACACCCCGCAGCCACCGAGGCAGGATCCTTTGACATGACGGGCTACATGGCGCATACTCCGCCGGGCAGCGGTAACCAGCCTTCGTCGCCCAAGAACGACATGCCGCCAATTGACCCCTATCTCGGCCATTTTACCGTCTCAGGGGCACCTGACGGTGAAGTCACACACCATTCGTTTCACGACTACCCCCATGCATTTGCAGTCGACGTTGCTCCTCCTGGCGCATTCCTTGGTCAGCAACAGGTTCCGGTTGGCACGCCTCATATGCATCACCGCGTGCCCTCAGATGGGCATGCGCCTGTCCTAGCCCAACCTCACCCGTCCCAGTTCAGAATGCAGACGACGCCGCGGGTTGGCGGTATTGAGGACCTTCGTGATCCCTCGGTGCTTCTCAACGGTTATCCATCCCATGCTGTGCTCAGCCCCGGCAGGAGACCTCAGCCGCGCAAGAAGCCCTCGCCGTCACGAAAGGCGTCGCGGACTCCCAAGGCAACTCCTCATATTGGTTCGGAAGGGCAGACCAATGGCAACCTCCCGGAAGACGACGGAGAAGAACTCACACTTGCCGAGAACGCACCCGAGGACGACAAATACCTTTTCCAGCTTCGGAAAGAGTTCCTCTCAGAAAAGGGCAAAGGAATGTGGGAAGAGATGAAAGCAAAGTACTCAGAGAAGCATCAGGGTAACTGGGAAAAAGCGGCTCTGCAAATGAAGGTCTCCCGTGCCGTGGCCAAGTTCGGGGTGTGGCCTGAAAAAGAGGTAAAGACGTCCCATCCAGTTCCGTTTCCTTTCATGTTTGCTGTTTTACTGACCCTGGCGGCCCACAGAAACAACGACTTCAAGAGGCCTTTCAGTACTACGAGGAGAAAAGATACCAGCTTATCATCGCCCGCATGAAAGAGAACGGAGGCTGTCGCGTTTGGGATTGGAAGCCTCAGCACATTGAGGCCATGCTTATCAAAATGGGCTTGGAAGAGCCCACCATCGACGAGAAGACAGGTATTCGGCGACGCAAAAACAAGCTGGCACGGAGACGGGCAAGTCCGCATAACGGCGGGCCACAGCACTTGGCCGACTGGTCAAACGGGCTTGGGCTCCATCACCCCTTTCAAGGCCACGCCCAGCAAGTGGCAGGTACGGGGCGTCAGGGCCCCTATGACATGATGCCCGACGACGCGAGCATTGCCCCGACTTTTACCTCGGAACAGGAGAACGAATACCTCGATCAGATCTTCAACAAGCAGGTTAAAACGGAGCCTGAGGGCAGTCTCAGCCCCGAAAACATGGAGCTCACATACGATGAAGAGGCATCCAAAGCTTCTGGTGGACGAGAACTCAACCAACAGCGGAGCGAAAGAGTTGCACGGCAAGCCTGCGAGCAATTGATGCAGCAACAAGCTCAACCATATGCCACGCAGTGAGGTGGCACGGCCCAGACAACAGGCGATTTTGGGGCGGTAATATTGTACCGGCATCAGTCATCATTGTTCGGTTTCCTCGTTTTTCTTGTTTTGGATTTCCAAGACTTATCTAAGCAAAGACTAAAGAAGGGTGTGGCCTTTGCTCACGCAAGATGGTTCTTCTACGCCCGTTTCACGCTTTCTCCTTCCTTGCTCTCGTTTACACTGTCATGGGCGGATTTGTCTACTAGGGCAAGGGTGGTTTGGACACGGTGTTTCGGACTTGAAATTTCGATGGGATCTACTCAAACGGCTTATGGGCGGCAAAGCAGGATTCAGATACCTTTTCGCCTTTCTTTTCTTGTGTTGGCGAGGCAACGTATATATCGGTGGCCATCGAGGATTGGAATCTCAGTATATATGCCTCGGCAATGCCTTTCTATTCACGCCTTTGCGCCCTCTTTTTGGCGTATACCATTGACCAAACGCAAACATAGACTTATATGTACGTAGACTTGGTTCCTGAAGTCCCCGTTCTTGGCGACGATGCAAGCGAAACACAGGTACGGGTGCCTGAGTGGCACAGCAGATCTACTGTGTAATGAAGCACCGAGATGCAAGGCCCGAGTCAGGCCGCATGTAGGAATCGTTGAACCTGTCCATATTCATGAATCGCGTTATTTCCAGTGGAGTGATCCAAATGGAGAGCGATGCCAGACTCAGCCCGCCTTAGCCTACGATCCTGGAAGAGATGGGGCTGCAAGTTTCACGAAGGAGGAGCCTCAGTCGCATTTGGCAGTCTGTCAGGTATGAGAGGACATTCGGCGTTACGGAGACAAACCGCTCGGTTTCTTTACTAAATTTGTATTCCCTCGTGGCGGCGCTATTGTAAGCTAGTTGCAACAGTGTCGAGTGGTGAGAACCCACGCCGCACACGAAGGATCACCAAGGCGGGCCTGGGCTGTGTCTCTTGCCGTCAGGGGTTTTTCCCCTCCGCAGCAGGTTCCAGGCTACCGGTGAAGTCATCAACCGTTGCATATCAATTTGTGTCCCCGTCCCGAGTCACCTCAAAACTGTAAACAAGAATATAGATAACAGAGATGGAGCAATAGAGCTGGGACGCTAAGTGAAAGCTGTTGGTAGTAACACGGTTGAATTTGATTCTGCTAGAATCCCCTTGATCTGATCATTTACATTCTGCATTTACCTTTCACACTCTCGCGACTTCAGAGTTTTATAGATTGTCCGCCTCACGGAAGCCGAAGGTAAGGGAGTGGTGTTGAGTACGCATGAGATACAGGTAAACACGTGCCAGATCCAGTGACCTTCTCGGTCATGCGGGTTGGGGCTGGTAGGGTGCCTGGCCCGGCCCGGCTTGCCGATGCGCCCACACGGAAGCCAAGATTGCCCGGGGTCCAACAGACTGGCCATGTCGGTCCAGTGAAACGGATTCTACTGTGTAGATTCTACCTACAACAAGTTGGGGGCAAACGTTCTTTGAGTTGTCCTCTCGCACACCTCGGCCGTCCAGCGAGGTTATGTTCTTGGTTTGCATTCCGATGCTGGAATCTCATGTCATGGCATACCTGGTGAAACTGGCTAACTGCTCAACTGCCGGACAGGAGGTGCAGATGCAGGTGCAGTTGGTGGTTTGCTGTGGTGATCGGGGAGCGTAACTGGAAACCGGGTGGGGGGGTACGGAGTGTAAACTGCTACCTGCTCTTTATGTTGTTGATGTTGATTGCAACAAACTTTGAGGCTCGTGACGAGCAAACCCTCTGGTTTCTCCCGTTTCGTAATCCGTTCATGATCGGGATATATTATGGTTGGGGTAGGTTACGGTCTTCGACTTCCCATCAGACCTAAGAAAGGTTGTATGTTTTCTTGGTATGTATCGGAAGTGTATTGAGCTGTATGTACAGTACATACCTATTACATACGTGCTGTATGTATGTATGTACTCTACACCAGACACAGCACCGTAACGTTGCATACCTGATGCTTCAATCCTACCAAAAGCCGACCCGGAATATACGAATAGGCCCAATCCATAAGGACTGTCTCGGTTTGCGAAGGCCGCCTGGCCGCAAGGAACTTGTGCAAGTTCTCTACTTCTTTTCAAGTTTCCAAGGCGATGTATTGTATGTACAATACCGTACAGGTTGCTAGGTATTGTACAGTACGGACTGCGCAACTGCGGCATGGTTGATTCCGAGTCCGCTACAGCTAGCCGTATGGAGGCTACAGCATGGCGGTTGATCACTCAAGCGTATGTACCAGGTAATTACCTCTTACACGCTACACTACCCGTATAGCCGTGGACTTCGCCCGTTCAGCCTGTTGGTAGTTACTACCAACCGGCCCGGGGGAAGCACGCGCCGGCCCTGCCGCGGTCGGTCACGATACCATCGGGCCGCGGTCATCGGACCTTCCGGACATCAGTCCTTTTTCACCGTTGCTCCGTTGGCCGTTGCTAACGTTGTTTGTGTCTTCTCAATCATGGCCAGCCGTGCCGTGACCCTGCCTATGGAGAATTTGACTTGGGACTGATGACGCGAAACATAGTCATTTGTTTCTTTGGTTATGAAACCGCCAAACAAACGAGTGGTGTTGTGATGGTGTGCTTGAAGGGTCGTACAGCAAGGTTGGCGGCAAATGTCATGGGGAGTTGGATTGCGAAAACAATGAGCGGGTAGGGACGGCACATCTCTGTTGCTTCATCCCTGGCGGTTTTGAATTGGAGACTCGAGATCTAGATTGGGGAGTGCAAAGTCAGGCACCCGTTGGCCGTTGGCCCTGATGCACGTATCCCTCTCCATGTCACCGAGACTTCCAGTACCACTCATTTGTCGAGCAGACAGATAGCGGTCCACATATTGAGATACTGTATACAATGCACGAGATTTTGAGATCGATCAAGGACGGGCCGATCGGCACGGAGTTGACCGCGGCTAGAGACGACAATGTCAGGTTAGCTAAGGTAGATAAGGTAAGGTACGGTAGGTATTGTATGTATTGTACAGTAGAGTACAGTACTGTAAAGTACTGTAAAGTAGATTCGTCCTATACTGTCGAGACTGTAAGCTTAGTCCTGGGTAGCGATAGCCGAGCGTCTAATTGATTATCGCATCGCGCCTGTTGGGCGTGAAGCGCGCATTCCCTACATACACTGGCCTCAGTCTTGGAGGATAAAACAGCGGCGAGGAATTGGCTGACGTTGTGTAATTGCTCACTTATACCTATCCGTACTACAATCAATATTCGTAATTATGGTAACGATGTAGGAAGACGCTAACGATACGTAGGTACGTACGAATACTCCGTACAGCTTGGCTATTGCCGGTGCCAAGCCTCGAGGAGGTGGGTCCCTTGAAGTTGACAGCATCGCAGGTCGCAACCTCCTCAAGAATCCAACGAAGCGGTGGTGCTTGCCAGCTGCACCCTTCCAGCGACATTGCACTGCTAGACAGAACTGCGGCGACTTGAAGGCCATTCGTCTCGGTTGCAACCAAATTCAGCACACACATGTGGCCTCGTCTTTCCCCTCGTAGGTAATGCCCTACAGGCATGGACCGCCGCCCGTTGGGGCCGTCTGTGGCTCCCATTCCAGCCCACACGAGCCCACCAGACTCAAGCCACTGCCTGTTCGATCTGGCGCCTGGTCTTGCTGGAGCTTGCTGTCATGGATGCTCCTCACGTTCGTCTTGGTCTCCTGGCCCACCGCCACGGCCATGCGACCGGGTCGCGTGAGGGAGCTCCGGCAGGAAACCGTCGATATGTTCTATCACGGTTTCGACAATTACATGAAGATTGCATTTCCAGAGGATGAGGTATGCGCTGTTACTCTACTGTGTTCATGCCTGTGCGCCTCGAGATAATAACGCTCATAGTCTAGCTCCGTCCGGTGTCTTGTACTCCCCTCACCAGAGATGCCAAGAATCCCCGAAACGTCGAGCTCAACGATGTGCTAGGCAACTACTCCCTCACCCTTATCGACAGTCTCTCGACCTTGGCTATCCTTGCGTCCGCGCCACCAGATGACCGAGATACCGGCCCGAAAGCGCTGAGAGACTTTCAGAATGGTGTGGCTGCCCTGGTTGAACACTATGGGGATGGGCGTCCGGGCCCCACGGGGGCGGGTCTGCGCGCTCGCGGTTTTGATGTCGATAGCAAGGTTCAGGTGTTTGAGACGGTAATTCGCGGCGTCGGGGGGCTGCTGAGCGCCCATCTCTTTGCCATTGGCGCGCTGCCCATCACTGGCTATGATGCACGCCGTCCCGACGATGACCTCCTCAACCCACGCCCCATCCTGTGGCCAAACGGGCTGAAGTACGATGGCCAGCTGCTGAGGCTTGCCCACGACCTGGCACAGAGGCTTCTACCTGCCTTCTACACCAAGACTGGCATGCCGTATCCGCGGGTAAATCTGCGCCATGGCATTCCATTCTATACCAATTCGCCCCTGCATGGCGAGGCTTCTCCGGCGGGCACCGCAGAAGGACCCCCCGAGATTACTGAAACATGCAGCGCAGGAGCCGGGTCGCTTGTTCTCGAGTTTACCGTTCTCAGTCGTCTAACAGGCGACGCCCGGTTCGAGCAATTGGCCAAGCGAGCATTCTGGGCTGTCTGGTACAGAAAGAGCCAGATCGGCCTCATCGGCGCAGGGGTGGATGCCGAACAGGGCCACTGGATAGGGCCCTTTGCGGTAATCGGTGCCGGCGCTGACAGTTTCTTTGAGTATGCTCTCAAGTCACACATTCTGCTCTCCGGCCACGAGCTTCCCAATCGCACAATTCTGCCGCCGGACCACCAAGGTGAATGGCTCGATCCGAACTCGCTTTTTCCTCCGCTAAGCGATGCCGAGAATTCTCCCGACGCATTCCTAGAGGCCTGGCACCATGCACACGCTGCGATCAAGCGCCATCTCTACAGCGAGCGAGATCATCCTCACTACGAGAATGTCAACTTATGGACGGGCTCTCTGGCATCGAACTGGGTTGATAGCCTGGGCGCCTATTATTCTGGCCTGCTCGTCCTTGCTGGCGAGCTCGACGAAGCCATCGAAACGAACCTGCTTTACACTGCGATCTGGACACGCTATGCAGCGCTTCCTGAACGCTGGTCGATTCGGGACAAAACGGTCGAGGGCGGCCTTGGCTGGTGGCCGCTGCGACCCGAGTTCATAGAGTCGACGTACCACCTATACCGCGCCACGAAGGATCCTTGGTATCTCTACGTTGGCGAGATGGTGCTCCGCGACATCACCAGGCGGTGTTGGACTCCTTGTGGCTGGGCAGGGCTCCAGAACGTCTTGGACGGAGAGAAGAGCGATCGCATGGAAAGTTTCTTTCTCGGGGAAACGGCCAAGTACATGTATCTGCTATTCGATGACCGACATCCGCTAAACACAATGGATGCTCCCTACGTATTTACCACAGAAGGTCACCCCCTTATCATCCCTAAGCCTAGGTCCACGGAAAGAGCTCGGCAGCCGAAGCCCAGCCGCAGGGATCTTACCGTGTACCACGATGATGGCTTTACGAACTCATGCCCACCGCAACCAGCTCCTACCCCGCTGTCTGGTTCGGTTGTGGCTGCCAGGAATGACATCTACCATGCTGCACGAATGTTGGACTTGCATTTACTTTCCGCTTCGCGCCACAGTCTTGATGGCGGGCAAGTGTCTGGCCAGCACATGGCCAAGTCCAACTTCACCCTTTTCCCGTGGACATTGCCGCCGGAGTTGCTTCCTAGCAACGGGACCTGTGCCAAGGTCTATCAACCACTCGAACTCACGCTAGAATTTGCGTCTAATACACAGCAAGTAGTTGGAGGCAGCGCATTCAACTTCATGATTGCGAATCAAAACATGGAACGTCTGAGCGTGGACCGCATTCGCGTATCCAGTCTGTCCGGCTTAAAGATTACGATGCACCTCGATGATAACGAGGAGCGTGAATGGCGGGTCAGCAAAGTCAATGGCGTCAGTCTAGGCCGGGATGAGTCTGTTGTCCTTGACCGATCCATCCTCGGTGACATCTCGGACCCCAGGTTCAACCTTGTCCGAGACCCGGTGGTCGTGAAGCTCCAACACTTACACCACGTCGACCTGCTCGACAATGATAACACAACAAATGACGAGCAAGCAGCGCAATTCGAGCCTATTGAAGATGCAGACAGTTCAGCCATCCTCACGGAGCTTGGATCCCTGGTAAAATCCCTGTTCTCTCGCATGGCCGCATCCCTCGATATCCAGCTTCCCAACTCGCCCACCCCACTTCCCGGGTCGGCCACTGGGTCCTCCTCCTTCCCTTTCAATCTTGTTATCAACCAGACCGCCGTCACACCCACCGGCATTGGCGCTGCGCCGCTCCCACCTGCGAGTGTTCCCGCAGGGGCGCGCATACCTGCCTTTGGCCCCGTCCCCGAGGGCATCTTCCCCTGGTCTACCGTTTACGCGGCCGGTGACGCCTGCTCCGGCCCCATCCCGGAATCGGCTCCCCGCGATCACCAGGTCATCGTCATCCGGCGTGGCGGGTGCAATTTCTCGACCAAGCTGGCCAACATTCCCGCGTATGCGCCGTCCCCAACGGCGCTTCAGCTTGTGGTGATTGTGTCGGATGATGAGGAAGACGAGAATGGCGGCGGCGGTCAGGGGCTGGTCAGGCCGCTCCTGGACGAGGTCCAGCGTACCCCTGGGGGCATTCAGCGCAGAAATCCGATCGCCATGGTCATGGTTGGCGGTGGGGAGGTGGCGTACCATCAGTTGAGGATGGCGAGCAGAGTTGGGGTTATGAGGAGGTATTTCATTGAGAGTCAGGGCGTAAGGGTGAGGAATATAATCGTCGACGAGGGGGACGGGGGCGTGGATATGTGATATCTTTCGTTCGTCTTTTCTGTGCTATACTTTCCTTCAACTGTATATACACATGGTTGATGAACGACTGTATGGCATGAGAATGGTTGCGTGAGCGAGCTTGAAGATGTTGGGTATCAAATCCTTAACAGCGTCTGGTTTCTGATATGGCGGATATGGCATAGAGCTGTATATATGCTTTCGTGGTATCCCAGCCGTACCTTTTACATGCTTCTCCTTTCCCGCGATGACCACCACTTCACCCTAGGGACGTCACTCGATTCACGCGATTCTTCCATCAACAGCTAGGGGTGCAAGTATGTGTACTGTTGTAGGGTCAACGGATGATTGCTCGGGTGTGGATCGTTGTGATTTGTTCAGCGGGTTAGGCAGTCAACGATCGTCATAAGAGGAGCTCTGTATCACGCTACGAGTCTCTGCCCTCCCTTAATAGGCAATGGTGAATGGGTTGCGTGTCTGATTACCCTCCTGAGGCCTTGCCGCTATCGGAGACCTACCAACACACATTCCAGGGACAGTCCCAAGTCTATCATGCAGCACAGTAGTTCCAACGACTCGACCGAATCCGGGATATTCACCGCCTGAGCTTTTCAAGACCCCAACGCCTGGTAGTGCAGAATCACAATCCACCTTCATCCCTTTGGTTTCATTACCGGGAGGAAAAACACCCAATTCAATCAGATCATTGATGGGGCAGAAGATTAATGTGCGAAGCCAATCCCACCCAAGCCCGGCGTTTTCTCATCCGCCGACATTAATCCAGGCTCTTGTGTGGGTGCGTAAGCATGTAGTAGAAAAGCGGATTTGGAAGGTGAGTCGGCCGATGTCGGCCTTCATTTCACTCGTTCGTCTCAAGGAGTGTGACCGTTGGAACGCCCTCGAGCTTGGAGCGCCCATTGAGGACAGGAATCTCCAGGATGAAGAGATATCCAATCAGTTCACCTCCGAGCTGCTTGACGAGCGATCCGGCAGCAGCCGCGGAGCCACCTAAGAATGGTATGTTAGTGCTGACTGCGCACAAATCAGGATGCTCCGCCAAGGTCGCATTTTAGGAGGTTGAAAACTTGGAATCCGACTCATATAAACGTGAGATAATGAAAAAGGCACAAATATTGAAAACAATGAGACCCATGGAGTGAGGTGGGTTCCACGCATGAGATGATCCTCCCGGCTTTGACCGGGGGGTTTTTGTTTTGGTGATTGGTGGGGTTTAAGTGCGATGGAGGGGCTGGGTGAGGACTCACCAGTAGCGATAATGTCATCCACCACAAGCACCTTCTGGCCAGGCTTCACAGCGCCCTCTTGCATTTGAAAGTAGTCGGTTCCGTATTCCTTCTCGTAGGCAGCCGTCACGCAGGGGCCCGGCATCTTGCCCTTCTTGCGGACGGGCACGAAGCTCGCATTGAGTCGCAGTGCGAGCGAGGGCCCAAAGAGAAAACCTCGGGCGTCCAGCCCCACTATCACGTCTGGCTTTGCGTCGCTGCCAAACTCGAGCACTTGAAGCTCGAGGGCACGCAGCAGGGCCGCATGGGTGGTCACGTCTTGGAATAGAGGCAGAATGTCGATGAACTTGATGCCGGGAATCGGGAAGTCGGGGAAGTGCTTTAGCGCACCGAGCAGAGTTATCTTTGTACGGGCGAGTTCGGCGGCACCGGCGGCGGCGGCGGAGGGCTGTCGTCCCGAGGCATCGCTGGAGGACGTGGCGGAGTTGGGGTCGCTAATAACAGTGCTGCTAGCCAGAGTGGCGGCTTCGACTGAGGTCAGAGCTGTCTGGTCTTTGCTGGACGACGCCAGAGATTGAGAAGGGTCTGCAGAAGCACTCATGGTGAAGAAAAGAAAAGGAGGGAAAGGAAGGAGAGGTGGGAAGGGCCAGCAGAATCTCGTGTCTAAAGAGCAATAAAATTGCTACCAACAGGGTGTGCAGCACGGAAGGCTTGGGGCGTCAGTAAGCGGTGCAAAAGAGACAAACGAGCGAATTGGACACCCTGCCATGAAATCTGCCAGACGGCGAAAAGAGCAACCCTGAGGTGGCCCCCTCCCGGCGTGGAAGGAGTCAGAAAGGGGGGATCCTACTAAACCCCCAGTGGAGTCGGTGAAGAAAAAGAAGAATGAAAATATGGAAATAAAAAACCTTGTAAAAATAACCTCTCACCTAGCATTGAGAACTGGCAATGTGCTCAATAAAGTTGAGGTGTTCCCCAAGTGGAAGCGGGAGGTCTTCCCCTGCGATACCGAGCTTCCTTTCCTGGATAACAACTCCCCCGCCCTTAGTGTGTCCTATCTTATCTATCTTTCTGCTGAGAGAAGTCCAGTTTCACGCCAAAAAGACGTTAAGAGCTGAGCAGTGTAGAACAGATTTTTGCCTAGTGGGATGCGAAGGTGGGGTGAAGGTGTGAAGCTACGGTGCAGTCCATACTGACCGACTTGCACAACCTGGATAATTCAGTCTGCTAAGGTACGCAGTATGCACGGTACGTCCCTCTAACATACTGGAAACAACCTTGGAAGCTAAAGGTACCTTATGTACAGTACAGTACAGAGGTAATTAACAGAGGTACTGTACTGTACCTACCTAGCGCAGGGAAACATCAACTTCGTCTTTTCCCATCAACCGATACTTCGTACCCACTGCACAAGTTGGTTAACGGGCAGGCACCCTCCCTTAACCACGACCACCACCGCACAAGCACGAGAAGACCTCACAGCCAGAAACAACTCTGATTGCTTATTTGGCTTAGCTGCTACCGCCGCCGAGCATCCAAGCTGGGGGAGCACTGCATGCACATGGAAGCCGGTTGGCACCCCACTGGCTCCTTCTCCCGAGGAACTTCATTTCTTTCTCTGCTTCGACTCATCCAGCTATCACATCCACACGAATCTCTCTATGCCCAGAGGTCCCAGACACTCCCATTAACATTGATGCGCTGATTGGGGACTGCAGGTGGAGCAGAACTTGATGAGTCGATGGTGGCTTATCTACGGAGCTAGCGATGTATCTAAATACCCAGTGCCTCACAAACAGCTGATTACAAGAGAGTTGACAACTTCGGGATCACCGAGCAAGTCCTTTCCTGGTGGTTTGGAGCCGGTTCCACTCGTATCGCCGGAGCAGCGGCGTCTCTTCGTCGAAGACCTTCAAGAACACCTTGCGGGCGGAAGGAAGGAAGGATGTACAAGTAGGCAACGCTCGCTGGCAACATCCTCCGGAGTGAAAAGCCAGCAGGATAGAAATCGCCAAGAAGGTGGTCGGTCAAGGCGTGATGGCGCTGCCCTATCTTGGCGAGGAGTTCAATTTGCGGGGCAATCTCAGCCTCCTCTGTTCGGCCAGCTTTTCTCCCCATTCCCCAATCACGCCACCATCAAGCACCACCTCATTAACTTGGCAATTGCCGCTTCACACCCCCACGGCTCCTCTCACTCATCACCCATCATCCGCCATTTGATAGATAGCTGGGCTGACCAAATCAAACGCTAGCGCATCAACCGAGCATGCTGACTCCTCAATCCGGGCTCGTGCCCGCATGAATGAAGTCGCAGCGGCGTACCACCTCGGCCGGCCCGCTCCCGTTTTCACTCACTTCGGGTCGCCCAGGGGCCCGCCAGTGCCGGCTTGATTGTACCCGGTGATTGGACTCTAACCTCCGGCTCTAGAACCCTCGGAGATGGCCGTGTCCGTATTGCACTACACAGTAACCCGTGCAGCCGAAGAGGCTGATCTCGGCTTGTCATATTGGTCTTGTTCGCAAGCTTCTCACAACCACGCGGGATGGTGTGCCTGAGCGGTCATTTTGTTGGAACAAGACGAGATCCAATGAAAAGCCTCCAGCGACGGGGAGGGAGCTTGACCGCCATCTGATCATGCTTGACCTAGATTCACCCGCACAGCGGCGGCATACGTCTACCAGAAACCAAGCCTGTGCCAGCTCGTTTTCACGCAAGGTACTTTCCAAGCTTCCTTAATTCTCATGGAATCGCCATGCCCTCGACTCCCGGCTCAAGTCGGCTCTCGACCGAGCTTTCCGGAACACCGGTGCTTTCCGATCCGCCGACGTTCCGTCCAGGTAGTCATTTCGCCTACCGAGAAGGCCCGATGGCTGTCCAACCGAACCGGCATCGACAAACAGACATTTACGCCAGTCAGCGGGAGGTATAGGCCGTCGTCCCGTCTTCATCTGCACCTTCGCGCTTTTGGCGTGGAAAGCGTACCATTTGCCCCTCTGGCGGCCAAACTGCGACCGGTCGCAAGTTACAGTGTGGCCTGCTGTGGCCGCGCGAGATGGCCAACAGGGTGCGGATGCCGCTCGGATAACACTTTTCCCATCAACCGATGATGTTATCCAGAGGCCCAAATAAACCATGCTGCCGCCTACATTCCCGGTCGGTGTGCAGCCTAGGATTTTTGGTCCGGCTTCCGATCACCGCTTCCGATCAGTCTCTTTACACTGCCGTATCAAGCTTGTATTGTGGTGCCCTCCTACAGACTTAAGGTAGCCCTTAGCCCCCAGGCTTCCAAGACTCGACCATCGTAGGATACATATGATTGATATGTTGAGGCAGGCATGATGCCTGCTGCCGGGTAGTAGGCCCATTCGAGTCCGGCAAATCACGTAAGGAATCGGCATCCCGTCCTCGCATGTCGACAACAACCACAGGGCGGAATCCAGATCATCTGCATTAGCGCATGCTGCATCACCTTCTTGGCAGTCCATTACCCACTACCGTGGTTGCTCGAAACGAATGGCCTAACTAGTTTCTGCATCTCTATTTGTTCTGTTTATCTCTGGGTCGATATACGGTCTGCGACATATCTATCTATGGACTTTAGTCGCTTCCTACAACCCTGTCAGGATCTCTCTAGTTGTGGCTTGGAGAAAAGAAAGAGAACCGAAAGTGAGCGGGAGGAAAGGTCGGCCAAGTATCCGAAATCGGATTCGAGGTGACGGTGACTCTCCGGAGGAATAATGAGACATCAGATCTCAGCAGCCCATTCCCCGTAAAAATTGATCGGACCAAACACGTGGCGAGGGCTCTGGTCAGGGCCTGATAAACCAGACCGCTTACGTGGGGGCGACAGTGACGCCAGAGTAGTTAAACACCTGTATGTAGTAAGCTGCTGCTTGAGGAAGCAAAGAGTCGGTGTACCGGTCCGGTTGTCTTAGTGGTTCAGTGATTCTGTGATTGTAAACGGCAAAAGGCTCCGGGCCCGAATCCGAAGCCGTCGCGCAGGGCAGAACAGAATCTTAGGCATGATGTGCTACTACTTCCTTCCGGGTTGTAAAAGGCGCTGTAGCCGTGCCAGTTCTCGGAATCTTCCTTGAAGAATCAACCTGGAAGGTGCAGCTGGCCGGATTAGGATCGCGTAGAATTCCCGTGCTGCAACCTGCAAGAAACGGAAGTCTCCCCTGATCGAATCAAAATTCGGCGTTTTGGATGGGCGAGCTTGAAAAGACCATTGCGAGCTGCCCAACAACGGCCCATTGCAGGTGACTAATGTCCTTCGTATATCGTATAATAATTGTAGTATAGCATATCTAGGTGCTTTGATCAATCCACTCACCGACGTTGGATCGCATCAAGTTCTCCTCTCATGATCAATTATCCAGAAGCTATGCAGGTAGGGTTCGCTATGCAATGAGAAGAAACGGGGTATCGTGCAACCAACCATCCTGCGCCATACGAAGCCGCCCTATATACGAGACCGGAATTCTTTGTGCAACAATGGGAAAAGCAAAATCCAACCTCGAATGTCTGGCAAATCGAGGCCCGGCTTCAGGCCTCCGCTTCATGGGTCTCCCTGGGCATTCGACCGGGATGGCGTTCAACTGCCTGCTACCGGGAAACCGGGAGTGTGATGCAGGACTCGGGCCATGACGAGAAGGAACCGATAACTGATGTAGTGAGGAGACAGAATTGCCCCTAGCACCATATCTCAGAGCAGTGGCCCTCTTAACAGACTCTCCCCTGAGTGGACCATTCCTTTGCCTCAGCAGCTGTCCACTGAAGCATGGGTCGCTGAACAATGTCGAGGGACCCTGATCCATATTTCGCTTATAATTACTGAAACTGTAGCCGAATAATTGAGAACAGCATGTTCTGCAGCACATGCAGCATCACGGCAACAGCGGTGGGCAGCAGTTCGGGCCAAACGGCAAAGTCGAGCTTGCCTTCGGTGACGACGCTGACTTTGTAGATCCACCGAATCAAGCCGGCCACGATGAAGCTGGCAGCAAGCTCGCACGCCCATGTGATACTGGAGGCGTAAAAAGTCAAGCCAAAGTCGTAGTCCTCGGTCTCGTCGGTGCCGTCAAACGCAAAATAGGGGTAGACGTCCTTATTGGCGCCGAAGTGCAGGACCACAACGCTGCCGAGGAACGCCAGCATGGACGCGTTCTCGGCTAGGAAGCGGATGAAGACGTTGCGGACGCAGATTTTTTGATATGAGCCGTAGCTAAGGCCGTTGAGACCGAGGACGGTGAGAAACCAGTGGACGGGAGCTGACATGAGCAAGGGGGTGAAGATGATGAGACCCGTTGATGAGAGTACTTGGAGAAGGATGAACCCGCTCGGGCTGCGCAGGCGTGCGTACAGGGCACGAACGTAAGTCTGGTAGGTGAGCATGAAATAGCTGTGGTATGTGTCAGCTGCACATCTGGATAAGCACGAGGTAGGGAAACAAAAACAACGACGACGGGACTTGGGAACCTACAGCTTGAAGATCCAGCTCAGCGGGTAGCTCCCGACCCGCTCACCTTCGTTGCCGCCAAGGATCCATCCCGTCAAACCGTCGAGCAGATGCACGGTAGTTATCCAGCCGTAAACGTAGACTATCGTCTCCCAGTTGTTATGCGGCAGCGTGCGAAGGTAGATTTCGGCGTAGGCCTCGCCTATAACGTATGCGAGCAAGCCAATGAACAGTGCCATGCAGAACCAGACAAATCGAACAAAGCTGGCGGGCAGCCACCGCCGGCGCAGCCGGACGGGAAGGGTGGGACGCTGATAGCGGCCATCAGCAAACCCAATCGCGGACACATCCAGGCTAGGGTCAAAGGTGCTGCTGGCGGCATGGAGTCGCCTCGCTTCGCGCCGTGACGAAGCGCTATCCGGCTCTCCGGCCCACCACGACGATGTGAAGATGCGCTGCGTCTCAGATAGCGGGTGCCGCAGGCTGAGATGGCGCTCGTTTGTCATTAGGATGAGAAAGGCAATAGCAACGGGCATTGCCATGATGAGGAAGGTCCAGGAAATCCATGCTGTGTTGTGAACGGTCAGGAACCTGGTCTCGGGGATCAGGTAGATGGGAATGGGCGCAGCAATCGAGAGTATGGCGATAATGGACACGGTGACGGGGAAGCCGAGCGATTGAGGCCACCAGTTCAGTCTGTAAAGATTGAACACCTTGGTGATCCATATCAAGGCCGTCAGGTTGTAGAAGCTGTAGTAGACAAACAGGAAAAACCAGAAGTTGACGCGCACCCTAGCCGCGCCGTGGCCGGGGGCTTTGGGGCCACCCGGTCGGGGTCGTTCCGGGTCTCCAGGTGCACCATCGTCGTCGTCGGCGAGCGGATACTGGGGGAACGGCACGGCGCACCACGCCACAGCAAACAGCGCAGGCAGCACCACCAAAGTCCCCCACCGGCTCCACCACACGTCCACAACCCTCCTAACCACGCTCGCCTTGGGATCAACCCACGTATCTCGTAACCGCCTCAAACCCCTCTCGATGCGTCTGGTCCCACTCCTCCAACCCCGAGCCGTGCCATCGGCATCACCGTCGCCGTCCTCCTCATCTGTGTCGTCACCATCGCCACCCTCCTGCGCCTCCTCCTCAGCCGCCACTTCCGCTGCTATTAGAGCGCCATACCCAACATGCACGCTGCCCCGATACCCCGGCCCAGCCTCGGATAGCAGGCCCAGTCCCGATCCCATCTGCGAATTGTATGGCCGGCCATGCTGCTGCTGCTGCCGCCGTCCTCCTTTACCTCCCTTCGCACCGCCAGTGGTCACCACCCGCGGCGGCACGGCGCGAAAGCGGCCCAGCAGAGGCGAGGCCTCGGCGAGGTACCGCACGTTCTGCGCGCGCTCGGAGCCCTGCTGGAAGGAGAAGAAGGAGGGGGGCATCGAGGTTGTTCCCGGCCCAGGGTCGGGTAGTAGGGGCGCCGAGAGGGAGGAAGTTCGGCGGTTGTGATGGGGCTGTTGGTACATATTCCTGTAGCCATGGTGCTGGGGAGGGGCAGGCGCTCTGCTCTGAGTAATGCCCATCTCTCAACGGATCGGCGGGTGCTCGAATGGGTGATTAAGGCCGGAGAAGGGATGGCGTTGTAAGGAGGAGAGCGATTCTCCCCGCAGTTGCTCATATACACGCGCGTATAATTCATAACATGTCTGCTGATTATGCGGTCCGGTAGTGTTGTGGGTTTCGATTTGAACTTGGGATGAACGCTCTCGGTTCACGGTCAGTGGGATTAAGTTCGCGCGAAAAATAAACGAGGCGCGTTTGGTTCTCGTTTGGGCTTTTGAGTCGTCCGATGTCCTACCCGCGTCAGTGCGGTACGCCAAATGTACGCATGTGTATCAAAAGAATTAGCATTAGACGGAAGAAAGAAAATAGGAGAAAAGATGAAATCAGAACTGAGGAAGCAGCAGTTGGATGATGTTTCGGGAATTGCCAGAAACTTCTCGCTTGTTGGTTCGCCGTGTTACACACGCGGTAGGTGCCGCTGACGGTGCAACCTCACTGGCAGGGGTCGCGTGTCTCAACACGCCCCACATCTAATTTTGGCAATGACAAGCATGACACTGACATCACTGCCGATTCACTGCACTGGGAGTGTAGGAATCGTGGGGTCCCTTACCTGCAAAGATGGGACACTCATCTCAACTGATGAGATGACTTCAACGCTAATTAACTACCATTGATCTGCCCTTTTGGATACCAGCCCAGCAGACATGCAATGCACGACAAGATATTTCCAGACTATGCAGGCTCAAGTTCCCGGGCCCTAGACCTGCATCTGGACTAGGACCTTTAGCGAAAACCCGTGATCAAGTTCGATTGAACCGGAAGAGCCTTTTTCGCTCTGTATCCTGCGTCTGGCTTCCACATACGGCTTCAAGCTCACTCAGTCGGCCGGCTTCCCTATATCCTGACTTAGTCTCTGGAAGCCAGTCAAAACCTCCCTATCGACATTGACTGCCCAGTTCTCCTCAAATGCCTGCTCCCCGCCGACGCGCTGCACCAGATCCTGCAGCCTCGCCCGGACAAAATCGTATGTCGCTACCCTATGCACCGGGTCCCTGAACGCGAATTCATGCTCCTGAATATCGAGCGGCGTGTAGTAGTCATACTTTACCACCTCGGTCCACACAAGAGTGTCCCGACCCGGCGTGTCGCTGCTAGCACCGTCGGCCAATTCCGTTATAACACTGGTCCACATGGTCAGATAATCCTGCAGTCGGCCAAGAACCAAATCTTGCATCGGATTGGGGAGCTCGCAGAGACGTGTAAGTGCCAGGCACGAGAGCTTTTCTCGCTCAATGTCGCCCATGCAGTCAAAATTGGCAAACCACTGCGTGGTGAGCCATGACCAGACCGTCTCAATGGAGTTGCCGAAGCTCGCTAGCATCGTGGCAAAGACCGCCGGATCCCCCAGGGCGATGCGGGCAAGAATGGCAAAATAATCACTCTCCTTGATGGTGTTGATTTTGCTCGGCTTTCTGTTGGGCCCAGTAGTCTGGCTAGATTCCCAGGCGCTATGCAGGCCATCGAGCATTGTAGCCAGCATACCGGTTTCCAGCATGTCCTGGACGACGACCGAAACACCCTGGGCGCCGCCAAGCTCCTCCGCCACGCGGATAACGAGCTCAATGGATTTGGCAGCGAGCTGGGCATGATCTCGGCTCTTTGAATCCAGCGCCTTCGCCAAGGACGCCAGAGTGGGACGACGAAGAGCTTCGCTGAGGATGTCCTGGGGGGCTAAAAGTATGTAGTCTTTCACAATGGAGAGACACTGGTTTGCCACTTCCGAGTCGTACTCTAGCAGTGGCAAAGCCAGCTGAATCAAATGCGTGAGGTCCGGGCCCAGGGGCGGTGAGCTTTGCATCAGAACCGACCTCCACAGCTCGACGGATTCCTCGATGAGATGGAGATGAAGTGCCGACTCCGGATTCATTGCCTCCTTCAATAAAGGTGTGATCACGCTCTGATACCGCTGCGAATCGGTGCGCATTGACATGACCAACGCCGAGGTTATTGCGAGCACCGACTGCTTGATCATGTATTCCTCACTGCCGGCCGATTCCCACAGCTTGGGGAGCGTCAGCATGATAGCGTCTCCGAACTGCGAGACGTGAGACTCCATTCGGGTTACGATAACGCGCACCGTCTCAAGAATAGCCAGTTTCGTCTCATCGCTATCCACCTCCTGAAGCAGGTTAATCAGCAATGTGAATGTGTCGGCTGCAAAGGGGAGGAAGGCTTCTCCCGTGAATTCGAAGTCCTCGGCTATAAACTTAAGCTGACGTGCGGCTGTAATGCGCACGACTTCGTCATTGAGCTGGTCGTCGGGATTCATCAGATGGCGGAATATGTCATACACGATAGGTCGGTTGGCCTGGGCTATCTTGATGGATACCCACTGGCTTAGCAGGATTGCTATCCGGCGGCGGAGTAGTTTGGCCATGGGGTTTTGGATCTGCGAATCCTTAACCAATTTCGTTGTTAGGAACCCGTCAAAGTCAAAGACCGGGTGGATGAGCGCGGCGGCGCAGCCCAGGGCACAATAGGCAGCCTCCTTGGTGACGATGTCCATATCAACTTGTGTAGCGTTCTGGCAATAAGCAAGAAGTGGCTCGCCAAGTTCTTTATAGTAAGTGAGGAGATCCAGCAGTAGCCTCTCGGCGCAGGGACGGACAGCCCATTCATATGCCTGGCCTTCGGTCCGCTCTTGCGACTCCCAACCTTCGGGATCTTCTTCCCAAGCATCAAGGTCAGACTTGCGGAAAATGAAGAGCTTGCTGATTATGACCTGGACGATATCTAAAAGCAAATCCCTTGACAGCAGACCTGTCTTGATGGTTTGAACTGCTTGCCTCTCCAACTCTTTGACCTCAGGGCTCCGGTACTTGAAGGTTTGCGTCGGCCTGTGAGCGAGAGCTACGCAGCTCCTCAGCAGCAGGAGCCCTTTGAGAGCGAGTTTCTCGGAGAGTGGACCTTCGTGCTTGGGGTTCCCAGCAGCGGTTTCGCTAGATGTCTGCTTGATGCCGTCGGACTTCTCAAAAACCTCAGAAAAACCTTTGACGAGGTTCCAGTAGGCCTTGACGAGGGGGATCGAGTTGGGTAATAAGGGGAAGCTGGCTGGGTGCATATCGGACATGTCGATGTGCAGTTTGGTGAACTGTATAAGGTGCTTGCCGACGATTTCCTGGTGTTGAGCAGGAATCCAGGAGCCAGGACTGAGGCCGCTTAGAAACTGGTCGAACTGTGACTGCGAGAGCGACCAGAACCCGCACACCATGTCGTCTGTGTGCGGCTGTTCATAGCCAACCGTCACTAGACGCCGCAGGATCTTGAGAGATGTCAGGCTATTCTGCATTGCAAAATCGGCGCCAACCTCGTCGCCAAGACCTTTGGTCAAGAAGTCCTGCCAGTAGGCTGTTTTGTTGGTGTAAACCTCGCCCAGGAGCTGCACCAGCTCGGGCGTGACGGCCTGAAGAGCAGTCACAGACCGGCGCAGGCGGGCGGTGCCCAACTCCTTAACAATGCGGAGCAACACAAGAAGGGCGCCGCGCAGATGCAGGGGGTTAGAAACATTTGCCGATTTGGCCAGCTCGATGATGGTGGAAAAGACATCAGGCCATTCGTTTGGGTAGTCTATCCTGACGATCTTGGCTGTGACAAGGGCGTTGTGTAGGGAAAAGACCCTATCTTCTTCGTTGAGCGAGCCCTGCAGCAGCCTTGAGCGGATCAGGCGCTTGTGCTCGGGTTTGATGGCGTGTTTTGCCGTGTGCCTCCAATATCTGTCGATGCCATTTTTTAAAAGGATGATAGCGAGGAAGCGGACCTGTTTATTTTGCGTAGTGTCGAGGTATACCGTCTAAAAGGGGCCAGCACTCAGATTAGCAGCTAGGATGTCGGACAACTCAGCAACTTTGTTGGGAACCCATTACCTGTAGATTGGGATAGTAATCTGGATTTGACTCCCAAGTCTGAAGCTGTTGGCTGGCTGACTGTCTTTGGGCATGGTCTGTCGAAGTAGCAGCAGCGCTCAGTGCCTTGACCAGCTCCCACTGACTCAAAGGCGCAGCTTCGCCTGGCGCCTCGATTGTGAAACTCATTCTGCCTTCGATTCCGCTCTGTGATGCGCCCTGCGGCAAAGGGAGTAATAGATTTTCTCGTAGCTTGGACGGCCAAGACCCTTTTGCTAGCTTAACTAATTCCTGCTGGGGTGTTCAGAGAGACTGTGCTAAGTAACTTGACTTGAAGCTAGAAGTGGAAGGAAGTCGAGATTCTTCCATGCCCTGCTGGGCTGCAACAGCTTGAGAGCAAGGCTTTGGTGGGGGGTTGATGGCGGGGCGTAAGGCTAGTGTAATGAGCAGCGTCGTGCAGGCATACCGGTACAACCTAGGTATGCTTGGCGGGGACACTCACTAACGGTTGCTGTGGAAGTTTCTAATTTGAGTGGCAGAACGTTAGCATTCCTTGTCAAGAGTGCTAGTTTCGCATCGACGGTCACGTCTCTCTTTTGCGCTTTTCCAGGTTCTTCCTGCATCGGCCCGTCAACAACCCTAGACCAGCTCCATCAGACAGCAAACGGCACGGAAGCTCTACTGTTCAACGTTACTGTACTACGTATGTAATAATAGCCAAGGACAGGCTTGCAATGTTCCACAGAAAGCACTTCCTTATCTAGCGCAATCCGTGTAACCCTTCTTCAACACATTCCCGAATGGAATACCAACAGTCGCTTGATAATGGATCGCTTCGCGTTGGACCGTCACACATATACCGCTCCCAACCCAAGCATGGACGATGCCCCCTAGTGGGGTTGGGTATTCATGGGTAGCGCATGAGAAGCAGGTTGAAATCGGATACGGGACTACTTCTACATAGTAGGGTTCAATGGCTCAATGCAACGCAAGCAGGTTGAGCCAGACAGTGCATTCCTGCCGGGTCTGCTCAATTTACCCATCGCTTGTTGAAATGACGGAGTACCTTATGACGGCCGCTGTTGAGTCTATTGACAGGACTTCTGGTTGAGGACGAGGACCAAGCAATTTTTACTCCGTACCTAACGGTAGGTACGGAGTATGGATGGCATTCTGCGATCTGAGTTGCCGGGTCAGTGACCAGTGGCTCGGGAGCGGCAGTCAGGTCACTTACAGGGGTCTCGGCAGGCAATTTTGGCGCCCAGCGAGCACCTGAAAGGCTCCACTCATTCGGCATTTCAGCTGCCCGGGCCAGCAACCTCGGCTCTAGGTCATCATTATCAACCAAAACACTACAATCTGAAAACCAGGACGACGCATTTCCAGATGGCAATGACCTGAAATTAGCGTTCCAGGAGCGCCCTTCTCTAAGCTCCAAACCAAAGTTCGAATGCGATGAGCGACCACAACGCGAACGCTAATGGCGGTGGCATCAGCGCCCCTGCCAATTCCAATTCCTTCGCCCAAGCGCAGCAGCGCCTCGCCGCGCGCCGGCAAGCACGCGAAGCCGAGGTCGCGGCCCGCCTTGCGACGCAACAATCAGCCTCACGTCTCCGGGCCCGGATCGCCGCCACGCAGTCCCCCCTCCTCCGCAGACTAGGCGGGTCAACCCTGTCCCTCTGGGAGACAATCTCGAGCCGCGAGGGCACGCGCCCGGCCTTCCGCGTAGGCCAGGTCGACGCCGAACTGCTCGACGAGGAACTGGTTGAGCTCCTGCGCGGTCAAGTGGGTGATGCGCTGCGCTATTTCGGCGGAGGACAGGGTGGAGGCGGCGCTGCGCGCAACAACAGCATCAGACATGACTGGGAGGACGAGATTTCGCTTGCCCTGCGCGCCGTGCTGTTCAAGCTGACCGTCTGGGACCACGATGCAACCTACGGCGCGGCGCTGCAGAACCTAAAGTACACGGATGCGAGGCACCACGGCGCCGTACTGGTTCCGCCCAGCAGGTGGCAGAAGTCGTTGTACGGACTGGTGACGGTCGGCGGGAGGTATCTGTGGGCCAAATGGGAGAATTGGCTGGTGGAGCAGGATGATGGGTTCGAGGGCCCCAGCCCGAGGATCCAGCGATTATCGAGGTGGACTACGATGCTGTCTACGGTGCATGCTGCTGCGGCCTTCGTGTCCTTTTTAGTCTTCTTGCTACGCGGGCGGTACAGAACGCTCTTGGACCGGGTACTGCGCATGCGTCTGGCTCCGCCAACCAGCCAAGTCAGTCGCGAGGTCTCGTTCGAGTACCTCAACCGGCAGCTCGTATGGCATGCATTTACGGAATTCCTGCTCTTTGTGCTGCCGTTGGTGGGCATCAACCGTTGGAGGAGATGGTTCGCGCGGACATGGCGAAAAACGAAGAAGATTATCAGCACCGGCGGCGACGGTGCGAATGAGAGAAAGGGCGAATACGCATTTCTTCCGGAGCGGACATGCGCCATCTGCTACCAAGACCAAACCACTGCAACTAGTGAGAACGAGCTTATGACTGCCGCCTCAAGCGGGGTGGTCGGCTCGGCTCAGACAGACGTTACGAATCCGTACGAGACAATTCCGTGCGGCTGCATATACTGCTTTGTATGTCTGGCGACAAGGATAGAGCGAGAGGAAGGCGAAGGCTGGACATGTTTGCGATGTGGAGAGGTGGTCAAGGAGTGCAAGCCCTGGGCTGGCGACGTGCTAGAGCCGGAGCCCAAATCACCGACCGTGAAGACGGTGGTATTTGCCGATAACGTGAAGGCGCCCTCGGATGCCGAGGAAGAAGACGCGGATTGGAAGGCTCAGGCCGGCGAGGACGACCCCAACAGAAGTTTGGAGGACCTCCGGCCACAAACTCCGAGCGTGTCATCACTTCAAGCCGAGTCAGATTCGGGAGGCTCAGGGTTTGAAGACTTCGAAGTAGAGGACGACACATCACCGAGCATGTAGCCAATTACCAGGGCATTGGCCCTATTCACCACTTCACTCCCAGTTTGGCACTGTCAGTGTGGATGTACTATTTCCAGATAGAGACCCGGCGGAGCTTGCCAAACTCATGGCCACCAGTAGCGGTACTTGGAGACGGCGCAGCATCTGTTAGTGCAGGCCAAATTTTTGTATGTAAAAACCATCCTCTCGACTACCCCTCTTAACAGACCTTCTGGTCTAACATGTTCCTCAAATTCCAGGCCAGCCCAAGCATTCTAGGGAAGAGCAACAATCGCTCAACACTATCTCGATCCCCTGAATCCAACTCGGAGAATCCTTTGGTGTGAACATGCTTCGTTCCAGTATCCGCCAAGATTTCAGTCCAAAGGCTCCTCTCAAAAAAGGACCCGTCATCATCCTCCAGCTTTCACCACCAAACTGGGCGGCAAAACCAGCCATCCATACGCGACGCCAGCCGCCGCATCGCACTTCGTATCAGCCATTCTCTCGGCCCGTGGCGCCATGCTGCTTCACAATTGGCTCGTTCTCATACACTCCGGTATGTAAAAGTCTTTTTGGAGTCGCTGACCTGGATTGTACAAGTACAAGTACATACAATGTAGATTTGTGCGTTGTGGTGAGGGCCAGGTTCCAGTCATAGCAGAATGCGAGCACCAAGTGCAAGAAGCATGGGTTGCCAGTGTGGGCATATCTTGTAGATATTTCACAGGATTGCTGGGGTACCTAGGTATGTGGAAGATATATCTCGATGGTATATCCAAACGACGAGAAAGATAGAAGGGAAGACGGGCCGCTTATTGTCCTCTCCCAGAGTACAAGATGGGGTTAGGAGGATCCTGCGGGGCTCATCGCCGGCTTAGCTGTCCGGCTGCTTTCATCCGCTTCACAATGAACAAGATGGACACCAAAGGGACCGTCTGGCCGATCCCTCTGGCCCCTGTTTTCTGTTCCATTGCCATCAAGGACGCTGCAGGAAGACGCCGGCCTGCTGTCCTAAGCCACCCATCCTATAGATACAGCCACAGATCCAGGTCGAGTCGCCATTTGAGCGGTACAAGCCAGACATGAGGCGTTATTAACAAAAACTTGAATGAAGCGTAGAAAATTAAAAGTGCTCTTTCCAGAAGCGGAAGTTAACCTCGCGAGTGGTAGCCGCCTTGGCAGCCTTCTTGATGTCGCGTGCTAGGTTTGACATGTTAGCCCTTCTGTATTCGAATATACTCGGTCGAGGTAGAACTTACCAGCTGCTGACGGACCGCAGAAATAGACACCCACCGTGGTCTTCATGTTGCCTTCCAGCCCGTTGAGGTAGGTCCGGTCCAAGATGCCGTCGCGCATACTCGTGAAGAAATGATTGAAGTTGGGGCGGCCGAAGTTGGTTCGCGCTTTCAGCTCCGTGAGCGGGTCCACCGCCGCGCCAACGCTGTTGAGCACAATATTCTGCGTCGTGTCCATGTCGAGCTTCTGTGTCAGGTACGTGTGGATCTTGAGGAATTCGACGCCGCCCGAACCAGGAATGCGGGCGGCTCCGCTGGATTGCTCCTCCAGGGAGGACAGCAGGGTCTGGAACCACTCAAACGAGTTTGTGTCCTTGCACACCCAGATGAACTCAACACGGCGGAGCCGAGTGGGCGGGTTTGGGCTGTTCCGCAAATGCCAGATGTTCTTGAGGATAGACGCCCAAGGAGTGACGCCAATACCAGTACCGATCAGGACAGCAATTTCGTTCTCAAACACATCCTCGGCTGGCGCGCCGTATGGGCCGTCGATTCGGAGCAACGGCATCTGCTGGCCATTTTGGAGAGCCACCTCGTACATTCCCATGGGGTCAACGCCTTCGTATATCTTGCTCTGAGCCGCACCTGCACCCACTCTGTCGCCAAGCATCTTGGTAAAATCACCAACCTGGCGGATGTGGACCGAGACATAGGGGTCGTCCGGACATGAAGTGATGGTGAATGGATGCCATTGGTACTTGGAAATCTCGGGTACCTGGAGGAACAACCACTGGCCTGCCTTGTACTTGAAGGACGGCTTGATGAACTGAATCTCAACGACATCTGGCACGGGAATTAGTTTTGTCACGCTTGAATCATCCACTTCGGTTCTGCTTACCGTATGGATGCCTGATAACTCGGGTAATCTTGGTCTCGCGGATGGCGCGGATCTCGCGGTACAACCGCTCAAGGAGGTAGAAACCGCCCGTCCAGAGTTCCCATCTCCAACCCAGATAGCCGATGCAATGTTCCCAGTACTCGTTGCCGGCGAATGGCGAGATGGCGTCGGCTGTGTCACGAACGAAACAGCCAACCGTGTGGGTGTAGAGGGCGAGGAAGAACGGGATGAACAAATGGTGCGTGTACCAGAACGTCTCGAACGACTGTTGCCGGATACGGTGATGCGCCGTGGTGTACATCAAGAGCATGCACAAGAGCATCACGTGGCCGGTAACACCACCAGGCTGAACGTAGTGGATTTGCACCGCCGTGACTGGCCGAATTTGAGTCTTTTCGACATTGTAGAAGCTGCGTATGGTTAGCTTGCCATCATCGGGGTGGAAAAGCGAGACTCACTTGACGTAATGGGCAGCGGTGTGGAGGATGCTAAAGAGAAGCAACGCATAGGCAAGTTGTCGGTGCATCCAGATATTCTCGTCGAGCGGGATAAACCTGATCTTGGGCCGGACCCACCGCATGATGGTTCGGCAGACCGGAAGGAGGATGAGCATTCCATCCACACTCAGAACCAGACCGGCACCTCGCGAAATCCACACAGAGTACATGAGCGTATTGAGACCCGCGAGGCGGGCATCGGCCGCTTGCTTCCACCTAAGCGCCCCGTGTCAGCCATCGCCTCCCCGTTCCTATCACCGACACACGAGCTTCCGGACAAGACCTACCATCCATAGGCGAAGATGCCCCAGTGAAACGTCCAGAACACGAAATGGAAAAACAGCTTTGTCGGCGTGAACTGCTTCTTCAACAGCGGAAGGAGCCCCATTTTGCCGACCGGATCCCCCTCTTAACCCTTGGTCGACACAACAACTCGAATTCTGGTGGTGGCAACGTCGACCTGCGACGGGGGTTTACGTCGACTCTTTGCACTTGGATTGGGCCTCAAAGGAGGTCGGACGAACTCGGGTCGGCCGTGGTCGAAAAGATGGTGAGCTGTACCTAGGATCCGGGTCCAGTTGTCGAGCGCCACTTCTTCGTCCTTCTCCAGATTATATAACTAACCACCAATGCCGAACAGAGCACAACAGAACCGTAACCGTTAAGACTAAAGACCTGCTAGAAGCGAACAATAAAAGAGCGATCTGAGCCAGCAGCTGAAGGGAAAGGAAGGGCAAGGAAGGGGAGCGCGCTCGCCGAGGAGGTCTCGGTTCTTTACCTCTCCAAGTGAGGGAGTGGACGAGAGGACGGGAAGAACAGATGGAAGGTGGGCTGATGTGCGGGAGACCAGAGGGTCATAAGAGACGGCCCCTGCGCGTGCCGAGCAGCTGGACGGCGCCCACAGACGCAAACAGGCAAGATGGCGAAGGGATACGGACTAGGGGTAGCTCGGAATACAGCGGCAGCGAAGCCGTACCACAAGACACAAACTGCTTCTCTGGGTTCCTAGTCCGTCACTGCAGAGGCAAAGAGCTGGGGGGCTTGAAACGCTCTTCGACCGGCTCTGGCAATGCTCTGCTGTAATGTGTAGTTGCCCAGTCTTCGCTCCACAGCCTTTTGCCCCTCGATTGGAGCCAAAAAGGCCCGTAGTGGGGCGGTGATGGGTTGAACGATACAAAGCTTGTCCGCGATGAGGGGAGAAACGCTGGAAGATCAGACGTTGGAGAGAGTTTCGCGGTTGTGTCAGATTCCACGACTCGACAGGGTCCCGCTATCAGATGGCGCTGCGAACGACACCAGAGACACGAGGAGGTTGAGACGGGAGGTGTTAGAGACGCTTGGACCGGGGGTTGCTGGAGGCGACTCTTGGTGTTTCGGCAGGACAGGGGTATCGCAGGGGACTTCAAGCTGTCACTTGGAGCACGACGCACAAGAGGGGTGGGATTGCAGAGTGGGAATGAATGAAAAAAATGTTTGCTGCAATTAAGGTTAAGATCTAACCGCGGTCGCATGGGATCATCAGTTTGCGAGCGGCGACGAGCAGAGAGCAGAACATGTCGAGGAGGAAAATCGGAGGAGAGATCATCTTCAACAACATTGCGGCGGTATGCGACCTAAGAATAGGCTGTGCATGTTCAGATCAGGTCACACCCAAGAGTTCCTGGCGCTTAAAGGCATGGGTGGCTGCCCATATCGAAGAATTGGATTTGTTCCGGGGGAAATGCCACGCAGCGAAAGGCGGCTTTGGACGAGGGTCCAATTGGGCCCCAGCCACGCTGGCCAATCAGGTCTCGACACCCCGCCTAACATGGGGCTGGTCAGCGGGATGCTGCATGATCTGTCACGGTCACTGCATGTCCCTATCGAACGTTGAGGTTGCTTTTCGATACCCGAGGGACACAAACCAGGGCGGTTGCCAAAACTCTCAAATCCGTCACACCTTGGCCGTGCTTGCGGTCAAAATAAAAATTCAATTTATTCACGGCAGTCGCCCCAGCCCAATATCGAGTGGGCTGACCATCATATCAATGATATCATACGTACTATTTAGAGATGCTGTTTCAAGTCCGTGGATGTGCCTGGTTTGACCAGATTGACGGCCCTGCAAGGCTTGTCCAAGTAACAGCTGCTGCAGACGAGTAGTATAAATCTGTAGGCATTGATAAGCTCACTCGTTGGGAATTTCAAGATGATGGATCGAACTTCCGTCGATCGGCGTCCGGCCAGGTCGTGGGTGAATTTGCTCAGGGGCCAATCCTTGCAGCGGTGCGCGATGTCTGGAAATAGCGCAAATCAGCTTGATCACAGGGGATATTGAAGTCAAACCAGACATGCTTGGGGAAAAGCACAGATGGCGGGCCGCGAAACGGGCCATCCGGTCTAGTCCAGAATGTGACAAAGACTAAGCGCTGTGTGGTTCTGTCAGACAGCTTCGGTTTGAAGCTGACTGGTCCCGGAGCGCATCCTGGAGTCCCCAAAAAATGTCCATCATAGATGTCACGGAATGCCATGGATGTGTCAGAAATCCCCCACCCCCAGTCCAGGTCCTTCACGACAAACACAGATCTGCCGCGTCACAGCCGTCGCTCATACTCTCAGTGAAGCGCCGACACCACGCTCAGCTTCACAATTCGCTCTGAAACGGCCAACCCCAAACAGAGAAGGTTGAGTCCGGACAATGGTCTCGACATACGGGGCAACTACCCAAACTACCCAGTCGCGACGAGGCAGGCAGGCCGGATTTTCGGGTGCTGGCGAGGCGCGTAATGAGCACATGCTTTTGAGACACGGCTAGGAAGCGAGACGTAGGGAGTCCGTCCGCCTGGTACGGCAAGCTGCAGTTGCAGTAGAGGTCCCCCGGCTTACACCCGATGTCGAACCTGGAGGAACCTAGGGTCGGCGGCGGGAATCACGACTCGGCAATGGTTCGGCTGTGGTTGAGTATCGCTGGGCGCCCTGGGACGAAGCGGATGGTGGTAAATCGAACCGCTTCTTTTGAACTTTGGCGAAGAGGTCGGCAGGAAATAAATGTCGTTGGAATGTAGGGCTTGAAGTTAGTGGGAGAAAGGCAAGCTTTAAATAAGTATGTTCAACATGGTGCAGCGCCGTTGTTCCCTGGCCCAGAAGCGCTTTTGGACGATCCGCTCGTGCCGCGTGGGGAATGGCCTGATTTTTGCATTCTCCTACACTTGCAGACCCCCTTGGCAGCCAGCTTGTCTCGCCTTCGCTATGTAAGCAGTTTGTGTCTGTAATTCCGTATTTGCAATTTCTCTGAAGACCATTCTTTAACATGTTCTTGATGAATTGTTTCCCCCAGGCAGGCCTCTTTGCCATTCAAATTCCTGTGCGGTCACTCCGGTGGGTGATGGGAGAGAGGGAGACCGGGGGGGTTTTATAGTGAGATGTGGTGGGGAACGCTTGCCCTTCTGCGAAAGCAAAAGGGTGTGTTCCTTCCTAGAGCTGTGCATTTGCACCTCGAACGGGACAGTGTGAGGCGATTCGAATATCAGGAACTTCATCAGTTATTCAAAACGCTTTTTGACTGGATCAGGCAGATCAGCGTCTGAACTGGATGGTATTGCACAGTACAGTACGGCGGTAACTTTTCTCCTACACTGCCAATGTATGTACTGTAATCTTACGGATTGTCAAAGGGGCTTAGTAATGCTCGGCGCCCGTTTTGACAGGGCCGACGAAGCTGCTTGCGTGGCTTGCGTGGCTTCGTGCTGCGACTGTGGCTGATGCTATCTTGAGAAAAGCATGATTGGACAACACCGGACACTGTTCTTGGACATCATGAAGCCACAGGCACCGCCATTCGACTGCCCCACCAAATTTTTGGCGGGCTTTCGTCACTGCGCAGAAGGGCCCAGCTTGTGCGGGCCAAGGGACAGAACGTTAGGTAACCAACTTCTAGGTTGGGTCAGGCACCGTTGGATCTAAGGCGCTCCAGAGCCACCTAGCATAATCAGAATAACCCCTAAACGTTAACAGAGACCTACGGCCGTCGATGCTAGAAGCCAACGGTTCATCGCCTTTGCATCGCGACCGGATTCCTGTGCTGTCTGTGCACCCTCGAGTCTTTCTGCGAGCCGCGAGCTGCGAGTACCCCTGACTTGACGGCGGAGTAATCGTTTAAAATTGCTGGTGTTTCGAAGGGCATGCGCATGACGCGCCCGCCATGGTGAGCAACGGACGCCGCCTCTTGGTGTTTTGAGGCACTCTGGGACATGGTGCAGTCACGTCATTACGAGCACTCGCCTCCAGAGTAGCAATGCGCCTCCGGATGGACAATTACTGATCGCGGGACACATCGCAGGGTATCACACGACGTGCTAAAGACAAGGCCGCCCGGGCCGATCGCTCTGCCGGCGGGGCCGGCCAGGCGAGCACCAAGCCAAAGAAGGCCACTTTTGACACGACCAAGAAGAAGGAGATTGGTGTCTCTGACCTGACGCTGCTGCGGACCGTATCCAATGAGGCCATCAACGAGAATTTGAAGAAACGCTTTGAAGGCGCCGAGATCTACACGTATATCGGCCATGTGCTGGTTTCAGTCAACCCCTTTCGCGATCTCGGCATCTACACCGACCAGGTTCTCAACAGCTATCGTGGCAAGAACCGGTTGGAGATGCCCCCGCACGTCTTCGCCATCGCCGAGTCCGCCTACTACAACATGAAAGCGTACAAGGACAACCAGTGCGTGATCATCTCGGGCGAGTCCGGGGCCGGAAAAACCGAGGCGGCCAAGCGCATTATGCAATACATCGCCAACGTGTCGGGCGGCGAGACGGGCGACATCCAGCAGATCAAGGACATGGTCCTAGCGACCAACCCGCTCCTCGAATCCTTCGGCAACGCAAAGACATTGCGCAACAACAACTCGTCTCGCTTTGGCAAGTATCTGCAGATTTACTTTAATGCTCAGGGGGAGCCCGTCGGCGCCGACATTACCAACTACCTGCTCGAGAAGACCCGCGTGGTGGGCCAGATCACCAATGAGCGCAACTTCCACATCTTTTACCAGTTCACCAAGGGCGCCTCCCAGCATTATCGCGAGATGTTTGGCGTGCAAAAGCCCGAAACGTACATCTATACCAGCAGATCCAAGTGTCTAAATGTTGATGGGATCGATGATCTGGCCGATTTCCAGGACACCCTGAACGCCATGAAAGTTATCGGCCTCTCGCAGGAAGAGCAGGACAGCATTTTCAGGATGCTGGCCGCGGTGCTCTGGACAGGGAACCTCGTTTTCCGCGAGGACGACAGCGGGTATGCCGCCGTGTCGGACCAGTCCGTAGTGGATTTCCTGGCATACCTCCTCGAAGTGGACCCGGCGCGGCTGGTCCATGCTATTACGATTCGTATCCTAACGCCCAGGAATGGCGAGGTGATTGAGTCCCCTGCCAACGTTGCTCAGGCGATGGCCACAAGAGACGCATTAGCCAAGGCCATCTACAACAACCTGTTTGATTGGATTGTTGAACGCATCAACGTGTCGCTCAAGGCGCGCCAGGCCACGACGAACTCGATCGGCATCCTCGACATTTACGGCTTCGAGATCTTTGAGAAGAACAGTTTTGAGCAGCTTTGCATCAACTATGTGAACGAGAAGTTGCAGCAGATCTTTATTCAGCTGACCCTGAAGGCGGAGCAAGAAGAGTACGCGCGGGAAAAGATCAAGTGGACCCCCATCAAGTACTTCGATAACAAAATCGTATGCGACCTGATCGAGTCCGTCAGGCCGCCAGGTATCTTTGCAGCAATGAAAGATGCTACCAAAACGGCCCACGCTGACCCTGCCGCTTGCGACCGCACCTTTATGCAAAGCATAAATGGCATGTCCAATCCTCATTTGACTCCCAGGCAAGGGAGCTTCATTGTCAAGCATTACGCCGGCGACGTGGCTTATACCGTCGAGGGCATCACGGATAAGAACAAGGACCAGCTCCTTAAGGGTCTCCTCAACTTGTTCCAGGCCAGTCAAAACCGATTCATCCACACGCTCTTCCCCCATCAGGTTGATCAGGATAACCGGAAGCAGCCGCCGTCGGCCGGCGACAGGATAAAAGCCTCGGCCAATGCGCTTGTCGACACTCTTATGAAGTGCCAACCTTCCTATATCCGGACCATCAAGCCCAACGAGAACAAGTCCCCCACCGAATACAATAGTCCAAACGTTCTTCATCAAATCAAGTATCTCGGTCTCCAAGAAAACGTGCGCATCCGCCGTGCTGGTTTTGCGTACCGTCAGTCATTCGAGAAGTTCGTGGACCGCTTCTTTCTGCTTTCACCCGCTACCTCGTATGCCGGCGAATATACATGGCAAGGCTCCTACGAAGATGCCGTCAAGCAGATCCTCAAGGACACAAGCATCCCCCAGGAAGAATGGCAGCTCGGCGTCACCAAAGCTTTCATCAAGTCGCCCGAGACGCTGTTCGCGCTGGAGCACATGCGGGACCGGTACTGGCATAACATGGCGACGCGTATCCAGCGAATGTGGAGAGCGTATCTGGCGTACAGGGCAGAGGCTGCCACCCGCATCCAGCGGTTCTGGAGGAAGAAGCGCGTGGGTGCCGAGTATCTACAGCTGCGCGACGAAGGGCACAAGGTCCTTGGGGGGCGAAAAGAACGAAGGAGAATGAGCCTCCTCGGTTCCCGGCGGTTCTTAGGTGATTACCTCGGCATCAACGCGAGCAACGGTCCCGGAGCTCAGATCCGGAATGCCATACAGCTTGGAAGCAACGAGAAAGCGGTCTTTTCCTGCCGCGGCGAGATTCTGGAGGCAAAGTTTGGTCGGTCCAGCAAACCCAGCCCCAGAATCCTCATCGTTACCAACGCCAAGTATTACATTGTGGCGCAGATGCTTGTGCAAAACCAGCCTCAAATCGTGGTCGAGCGGTCTTTTCCACTGGGTTCCATCAAGTTTATCGGCGCGTCTACGTGTCGGGACGACTGGTTCTCCCTAGGGGTCGGCTCACAGCAAGAGGCTGACCCTCTCCTCAACTGCGTGCTCAAGACCGAAATGTTCACCCAGATGAAGAGGGTGATGCCCGGTGGATTCAATTTGAAAATCGCTGATACGATTGAATACGCCAAGAAGCCGGGCAAGATGCAGCTTGTCAAGGTGTTGAAGGATGCACCTAATCAACACGATTTCTACAAGAGCGGCGCTGTACACACACAGCCAGGCGAGCCGCCTAACTCAGTTTCCCGGCCTACACCCAAGGGCAAACCCGTGCCTCCAAGGCCAATCACGAGAGGCAAACTCATCAAGCCTGGCGGGCCGGGCGGCAGGCCTTCCAGGTTTCCTTACAGTCGCACACCCCAGGCACGACCATCCGCTGGCTCTGCGGTGTCTTCAAGGCCAGTTCCGCAACCCCAGCCGGCAGCGGCGGCCGCGGCCGCGGCAGCACCCGTCAGCATGCCTTCGCACACACGGCAAAAGTCGAATACATCTGCTACACGCGCCCCTCCTCCACCGCCTCCGGCTGCGCCTGCGGCGAAGCCAAAGATCATGGCCAAGGTCCTTTATGACTTCGCCGGCCAGAGGGAGAACGAGCTGTCGATCAAGGCAGGCCAGCTAATCGAGATTGTCCAGAAAGAGAATAACGGTAAGCTGATAGGCCCTGAATCACCGAGCGGTATCTTGATGCTGACGCGACTGCGACAGGTTGGTGGCTCGCCAAGACCAGCGAGGGTCAAGCATGGGTCCCGGCGGCATACGTAGAAGAACAGGCGCCGCCGCCCGTAGCGGCGCCGCGACCTCCTCCGCCCCCGCCGGCAGCTAACGGTACCGCAAGAGCAAAGCCCGCGGCGCCGCAGCCGCCGGCCAAGCGCCCGGCGGCGAGCAAGAAGCCGGCGGCATTGCAAGCCCGCGATTCGGGCATGAGTTTGAACGGGTCGGACGGCAGTAGGAGTAGTACTCCCACGCCGAGTCTGGCCGGGAGCCTGGCAGATGCCCTGTTGGCGAGGAAGAACGCCATGGCTAAGAAGGATGACGATGATGACTGGTAGATAGACTTGCTTTGCATCGCCGAATGTGCACGCTTTCATGATAGACTGATAGACCCTCTCTGGTCCTCTCTGTACGCGTCAGTTTCATGAAAACATGTATGTGGATATCTTGATAAATGTGATTGTGCGGGCAGCAAGAAGGCATGTTTCAGCCATCCTCTTCCCTAGTCAAGACTTTCCTTCTCCTGATGAGTTCCGCCAGGGGCACATCATCGTCATCTTTGCCCGCCGGTGGATTCACAAAATTCTCCTCGACATCGACATCCTCGTCCACGCCGTAGTCCCAGAGACGGTCGCCCTCCGAGTTAGTCCATGATGGTTTGCCAACCCATTCGTAGTCTTCCCCACGATTGCTAGGAGCTCCGGTGTTGAGCTCGTCCACTTCTTCGAGCTCGGCAATGATCTTGGATTCCTGTCGAGTCTGGGCTTGGGCCATCTGTCTCCTTCGAAAGTCCTCGGCTTGCCGTCGTGCAAAAGCCGCCTTGACCTCTTCGGCGGTCCGATAATCGTCGAATCTCTTTTCAAGCTGCTGAGCAGCTGCGCCGGGCCAGCCGCCCTGCCGCTCCCGCCGCGCCTTTTCGGGGTCCGGAGGCGGCCAGAGCCCCGGCAAATCATTGAACCCGTTCTCTTCCCACTCCCATCCGGAGCCCTTGCCGGGGGTATCGTTGTTGATGACCGGACCTCCTCCAAAGACAGGCAGGAACCACCGCAGCGGGTTCCTCGTGCCCATGGCCTGCGCCATATTCGCAAATACGCCCAAGTCATAGGGGAACTCGATCCTTTCCATCAGCTCCCTCAGCGCAACGTCGTCATCCCCCCAGAAATTTCCCTTCGCCTTCCTCCCCCGGCCACCATCATCATCCTCCTCCTCATCCCCATCCCCATCCTCATCCGCCTCCATCACCCTCGCCAGGACCGCCTCATGCCTCTCCATCTCCCACTCCTCAATCAGCGTCCTATTAAACACCCAAGCCTTGACCGACGTGTAGAGCATGACACCCAATGCGAACGCCGTGGCCGCGTTGAGCAAGACCAGCACCGTCAGCCCGACGAGACCCGAAACTGACGGGCCCAGGTAGGCGGGGAGGTGGCGGTCGGCCCAGACGGCGGCGACGCGCCGCGCCAGCAGCCCCGCCAGGTACCACAGGGCCAGGTTCGCGTAGACGATGAAGCGCAGGAAGTAGGGGAAGGTCTGCATCGACACGCACGTGCCCGTCCACGGGCAGTGGTGATCCATTTTGGGGATGCACCGCCCGCAGTGCCGGCAGTGGTGCGCCCGCGGGGGTTTTGGTGCGTTGCATTTCTTGCACCAGCGGCGGCGGCGGTTAGTAGGAGAGACGGAGGCGGAGGCGGAAGCTGCGCGGAGATCCGGGTCGGCGTGGTCGGAAGAGGAGGTAGTGGCGGTGGGAGGGAAGATGTAGCGGCCTGGATTCACGGTACACGCATAGTAATAGGTGCACCAGACGCAGGCGAGGAGCGCGTTGAAGGTGAGGGTTTCGTGGCGGCTTAGAGGCGACAAGTCCGGGTCGGCGTTGAGGAGATACTGCGAAAAGTAGCCCAGAAAGGCAATCAGAATGCAGACAGCTACAATGTAAAATCTGGCCAGGCCCCGCGTAGATGGCCCGGTCCTGAGCGAGGTCATTGTGACAGACGGCTTTGCTCATTTCATCTCCAGCGGCCCATAGAGTATCAGTATCACTTGTCGCCCTTGTCTTGTGAATTTGCGAGGTTACTCTATGCCGATAGTTAATGAGCGTTGATGCGTTGTCAAGGTCCAACCTTAAGTTCATGATTAAATTAAGAGATTAATTACTCCGTACCCAACGGTCCAACGTCATCTCCTGCAGGCACCGATCCGTATTGAAAATAAACTACAATACCCCTGTATGTATTGTACCATACGTACAGTAAATTACAGCGCGGATTTGACATAGGGGGAGGGCCGTTTTCTAATGTTGAAGCGAGATCTGCCTGCCATGTTGGCACGATATCAAACAAAATCTTTCTTCAGAGTCACTCTTTAGTTCTCCTGCTTCTGCACTGAGTTGAATTGATGCATTTCAAGCAACTTTAATCCACCTACGATATGTCCCAGTTGGCGGCGCTATGGTAATCAAGTCCCCAGACGCGCTGAGCGATAAGCATTAAGCCATCATTCACACATCACTAACCCTAGCCTCCTAGTGCCGTTACTTCCTTTCTCTGGCTCGCCTACAATCTTGAACACCATCAAACCATTGAGCGGCCAAGGGTGTCAGCCATCCTTGTTTTCATCGTCGCCGCGGGAGCATGTTATTTGGCCGGTTTCTGTGCGGCCTGGCTTCCGGGGCCAAATGGAAGATTTGGTGAGAAATCAATTCAACCGCTCGGGTCATTTGGTTCCCTGATACTAACCTCCCGCCGCCAGACGATGAGCCGGGGCCATTGAAGGGCGCTCGCACACCCCTTCCCCGAAAGCCGCGGAGGTTCTTTCTTCCTGGCCTGGTTGCCTGCGTTGTTGTGCGCCTCGAGCTCTTCCACCGCGTGTCATTGGACCTACAATGTTCCCAGCCAGGAGTCGAGGTGAGCCTGTGCCCATTGACCACTATATACGACGAGCGGCCCTTCTGCTAACTCCTTCTAGGCGTTCCTGCCATTGTTGATCCTTCTCTACGAGCTCATGCCAGGTCGGAGGACGCGACTCCGCACAAGTGACGACGACGAGACGGATCCTGACGACCCCGGTTTGACCATCTTTGAAGCCCTGGGCATCTGGTTTTCCGAGTCAAAATCCTCCCTTACCATTGGTATCCTGTTGCTCTCTTGGGGCGCTTATCTTGCCTCCTCGCAACCTCTTCGGTCTACTTTCTTTTGTTCGAGCCATGACGGGAGATACCTTGTGATTTTCTTCCAATGGCTCGGGCTCTTCCTGGATGCTACGATTGCCATTCTGCTGTGGCGTGTCCTCGCTTGGACCCGGACGACTAAACTTCGGCTGAGGGCTTTGAGCAGCATCCTCCTGGCGTCATCGCTGGGCACCGTGTTCCTGACGTATTCTTCCAGCGTGCTCATGCCAGCCAATCCAGTCGCCCATCGTTTCAAGGGTATAGGCTCATTATACCTGTTCGACGTCGTCATCGACGGCCTTGTCTTGTCTGCTTTTCTCATCTCCACTAGCCTCCTCGCCATTGAAGGAAGCCCACTCTCCATCGTCGGCATCATCAGCTTTCTCTCCGGACTGCTGCTGGCAGTCAACCAGACGCGGTTGACTGGAACTTGGGAGAACCCCTCGCCTTCCAGCACCTACATCTCCCTTCTCCTTATCTGTGTCGGCTTTATGTTTTTTGTTTATGCCAACAATATACGCACTGTCGTCTTGGTACCCCGCGCGCTCGTGGTCTTCCTCCTCTTCGTCCTCGTTATTACGGCCTCGATATACACGCCCATCTCTGCAAACCATGTGTTCGATACGCACCCATTATCCAAGCAAATCTACGATGCCCGGGTCGAGGCTGACAGATGGCTGATCCACGCGAGTTCCAGCGACTCGTTACAGGCCGCTGTTCGAGAATACAGAGAGCGCCACGACGGCAGAGACCCACCTCCAAACTTTGACAAGTGGTATAACTTTGCCAAAGAGCGCCACTCTGTGATAATAGATCATTTTGCCCAGATGCAAAAGGACTTGTCGCCTTTCTGGGGCATATCGCCATCGAAGATCAGAGAAGATGTTCGCCGGGCCGCGGAGAACCCGGACATGGCTCTACTCAAAATCCAGAACGGCAAAGCCGAACATAATCTCCCTCCGGCGAATCCCCACAAATCCGTAATGGATAAACTAGTTGAGCTAATCGAGGTATTCGTGGAACATCTGCCCGATATGGAGCTCGCTATCAACATGGCTGAGCGCCCACGCGTGCTCGCGCCGTGGCGTGATATTCAGAGATTTACAAAAGCTGGAAGGCGAAGACGAGTAACCAAGCTGCTTCCCACAGCCACTGATGCTTCCCGCGGCGAGATGCCTATACCTCAGCTTGCCGTTCATGATACGATTACAGGCGGATGGGACTCTACGTCAGTGACGGCGCTCCGGGAGATGACGGCTCTGACCTGCCCTGCCGGGACCAAGGGACGGTCAGGGGCCCATTGGGATATCCGGGACATCTGCACCACTTGCATCAGACCACACTCCAATGGCCAATATCTAGGCGACTGGTCCCTTTCCCAAGAGCTGTGCCATCAATCGGATCTCCTTTGTTTGCACAGCTATTACATGACGCCTCCAGACCTGCCCCCCACTCAGGAGCTGCTCCCCGTTTTCAGCATGGCGAAAACCGACAGCTATAGCGACATTTTGATACCGCTATTCCGGATTGCCAAGGGACCCAAGCCCACCACCGAAGGGTTTGGAATGAAATGGAAGACGTTGTTCTGGCGCGGCAAAGTAGATCGTCGCAACTCTGCGCCCGAATTGCTGCGCGGCGGTCACCAGGAGCGGCTCGTCCATACCGTCAACAATGCCACCGGCTCTGACATGACTACCCTTGTGCTGCCGGTTTCGGGAAACGGGGGCAAATTTGTCTATGAGCGAGTACCGACGGCCCGCCTGAATGCCCTTTTGCCCATGGACATCGCGTTCAGCAACTACAGCGCCTGCAAAGCTCCTAGCGACGGCGGCTGCGCCGCTCTTGCGGGCGAATTCCAGACTAAACCCGACGCAGAACCTCTAAGGCACCAATATGTGCTGGTCATGGACACAGACTCTGGCCCCGCGCGCGATTTTGCAGCGGTCCTCTCCTCCAACAGTGTCCCATTCTACGCGACCATCTTCAAGCACTGGTATAGCGAGCGAATGATGCCATGGGTCCACTTTGTCCCTATCGACCTGCGCTTCCACGCACTGCACAGCACGCTGGCGTACTTTGTTGGAATTCATGAGGGCAAGGACAATCCCGAGTCGAATGGGAAAGGAATCCAGATTGTAGGGCGACAAGATAACGCGCAATGGATTGCTGACCAGGGGAGGATCTGGGCCAGCAAGGCTCTGCGGAGAGAGGATGTGGAGATATACTGGTTTCGAGTCCTACTAGAATGGGGACGCATCACTAGTGACGATCGAGACCAGCTTGGCTATGTATTATAGAGATGTTCGGGATTTTCAGCATGTTCTAATAAGGTTTTAGATTTATAGACTCTTTGCCGCAGGCGTTCCTGTATCATGTCCTTGTCCTCAAGTTACAACCAACTCAGCCCAGGCCTATACCACCTCGAACAACAATGGATGCTCGGCGTAGCCCATGGCCCTGGTCTGTATCTGCATACTCTCCAGCACCCGCTCCTTGATACGGCCGTCCTCGATGTCCGAACCGACGAAGACGCCATGGGCGCTCTTCAAGTCATAGTTCCGGAGAATGCCCCACATTCGCGCCATCTCGCTGGGACTCAGGGGGATTTGGTTTGGAATGCTCCACATAAAGCAGAATGTATTCACGCCTTTGGGCCGTTCTCTCGGCCTGCCCAGGGCGTCAATGTTCCAATTGGCCAACCCGGACGGCGTCATGTGCAGCGTGTCAGCCGTCAGGAGATGTCCCTCGTAGAGAAGGACCACTTGATGAGACGCTGTAAGTCAACGCTTTGAAGCCACAACAAGAAGCAAAAAACATCACCATGATAATGCTAGGAGAAAAGGGGGTATGGAAAAGGAGACGTACAACTCCCGGGGAAGTGTCCCCCGAGCTTGATGGCCCTGACACCGGAATCCTGCCCATCAATCTCAATCCTGTTCTCCGTCTGGTCGAGAAAGACCTGCCGCTTATCACTCCGCCGCGCGAGCCATTCCTTGTCCTCGGCGCTGAGATAGACGGGGCAGTCGAAGCGCTCAGCCCATTCCAGGTGGGCCGAGTAAAAGTGCGGGTGCGAGATGACCATGGCCTTCAGACCCCCCAACCCCTGGATCTCGGCGGCCGTCGCTTCGTCAAGATACGTAACGCAGTCCCACAGGACGTTGCCCCTGGGGGTCCGGACCAGGATGGCGCGCTGGCCGATGGCGAATTTGGGCTTGGTAACGATCGACGTGAGGCAGCTGCTGCCAGTGGTGCCCGAGGAACCGGAGGGGTTGTTCAGGTTCCGGTTGGAAGAGTCCGAGTCCGATAAGTCGACGGGGAGGAATTCGTTGCGGTAAGTACCCGAGTTGCGGAGGTCGGAGAGGGTGGTGAAGGTCTGGCCAGACGGCGGGGTATACTGTCGTGGATCATCGCAGATGAAGCAGCTGGGGAGCGCGGAACGGTCCGGTGTGGCGTGCTGTGTGCCACAGATTGGGCAGACGAGGTAAGAGGCCGAGTCGGTCATTTTTCTCGGATTTTGGGGGTGGCAATTGTGAGATGGTGAGGGCTATCGTGAATACGGGCACGGATATACCTAGTGTAAGTGAATGAGTGAATCAATGAATCAGTTGTTTGATGAGCGGGGTATGACTCTGTGACTCTGCAAGATTGTGTGACACATAAAGGGTGGAAAAAAAGGGCACCAAGTTCTGTGTTTACAATCTCTGAGAGGGGCCAATTCGAAGAGCAAAGCTAGAAAACGCAACACGAGATCATCTTCAGGCGTTACCTTTACACAGAGGATAGTGAATGTTGACTGCGTCTACTCCGTATGTATGTAAGGTAATGATCAGGATCCAAGTACGGAACAAAAGGGGCAGCGGATGGAACGCTAGCCGCGCTAAGCACCATATGTAAGCTCAGGATAAAACGGTTACCGCAGAAAGGGGGCTCTACCGCCGACTGTTGACAATTGACATTTCCGTCTACCGCTGTATACCCGTCCGTCCACATTTGGACCTCTGCTTCGAGAATTGAGTCTGCAATCACATGCAGATCATCACGCTGCCCGACCTTATGACGTCTTTACCATCATTCTTCTTCGTCAAGGTTAGGGTTCTGTGTGCAACACCAGCCCAACTCCTCGCGGTATGTAGTCGTAGTAACACAGCGTACAAAAAGAATTTGGAGCCGTCCGCTTGGCTGGTTGAGGGGTTGTACATTCTGTCGTCCCGGTCAGGGGATACATGGCCATTTTGTAGAATAAGGTAGGCACTGTGTGTACATACATACAATGCATACCATAGACCTGGTACAAGTACCTACATCTTTAACCCAACTTCGACAACTCCCTTTTGCCCTGGATCTCAGAATCGATAAGAACCTAGACTGGGTATCAAGCAGAGAAACAAAGCTCTGTAACACATGGCAACGTTATTCATTCTTCACCTGTCCTTCTGGCGCCCTGCCCTTTGGAAGGAGACGTGGCAGTACCAACAAGGGATGTCCATTCCAGACTCGAGTCACACACACTATGATGGTCAGCGAATTGGCTCAGGAATTGGGCCGATGCCATTGGGCCTCGTTTCCCCATGTCGTGTCATGCTGCCTCGTGTGCCTTCTCTTATTTCGGATATATTCGTGGTACAGTACCTGCTTAGGCTCACCGTCGTACATGTCCACGGTGGTCGCCACTACCACCATGCTGATTACCGGCCGGCACCGCACGGTAGCACGAGTCCGAGTATGCCAGGAAATAGACCTGATAATGGTAATACCAGAGAATCAAGTCACGACCTGTGAACTTCAACATCAGGTCAAACATGGAGAACTTAATGCCATACCAACTCTCCACAACAGCCCAATGTCAATTTCATGCCCCGAGTGACATTCATATCCGTAGAGTGTACCCTGATGCAAACGCCAATGTTGCTTTGGCCTCTTTCTATATTGTTGTCATACAAGCGATCCTGTTGTCTCATAAGAAAAGGTCGTAAAAGATGAAATGAAGATGGAAAAAAATGTTGTCTAGAAAAGTAGTGCCCGCTTTTGAACTCCGTTTCTATGTACCAAGTAACCCATTTGACGCTCTGTTCATCAAGCAAATACGCCATCAAGCCGTCGAGGATACGACAGACCGGTCCTGTCGGATTTGGCCCCTGAAGAGAAGAAGAAACAGGGTACTGTGATGGGTGGAGAAAGAAGAGCGCCGTTGGGCGGAAGTCATCCCGTAGCCAATTGAGAATCGAAACCCATCAGAGCCGCATCAGTGGATACAGCCCTTGTAATGCTGCTGCTGCCAGATGCCTTTCTTCTCAGGAGCTATGCAGCGTCTTAAATCCTGTCGTGATAAGACTCCTTTTGCTGTCCTTGGCATCAGACGGCGCGCTCCAGTAAAACAATCCCTGAACCATTGTCAAACTGCGGTTAGTATGCCCGACAAAACGAGCGATAGGAGTGGCATTCTGGACGTACTCCGAGGCCTTTCTGCTTGCAAAAGGCTGCCTTGACCCTCACTGTGTCTGGGTTGTCGTACGTGACAAAACCACCGTCTCCACCGACGCATTGGGCGGCGACGGCGCGTTTGTCCACCAGTTCCTTAGTGCCTCTTCTTGGAAGCTGCTTGTACTCGAACAAGCCGTCTTGTCCACCAGCACCTCGGTTCTTGTGACCGGGCCCGCTGACATGGAGGAAGCTCCGGCCGAACAGCGGAATCCCAATCAATATCTTTCTGCCCGGCACGCCAGAAGCCATGAGATAGTGTACCCCAGACGCGACCGACGGCTCGTCTTTGACCATCGAGTAAAGCTGGGCATGGTGGCCAGTCCTGTGGGTCCAAGGGCCGTAGAAGTCGTAGGCTGTCAGATTGACAGCGTCAAGGTATTCGGCTGCGCGCCGGAGGTCGATGGTTTGGAGGACAGGCCTAGCAGCCGGGAGAGCGGCCGTGAGCAGGAAGCGGTCTTCCGGAAGATGAATGCGGATCGCCGCAAGCAGGGCAAGGAAGTCATTCCCTTGTTGCGGGGTGCAGGGGTATTCCCAGACGACTAGAATCAGTCAGCAACCGGTGAGAAGTGCCGGGCAACGAAGGCAAGCCGCAATGGAGGCTTATCTTGGGTTTGGTGAAGTCTTACTGTCAATGCCATCGAGGCCCGATGCTTCGACTAGACCTCGAGCAGAGCGTGCAAAGTTGTCCCGCAGGATGGCGTTGGATGCCACGACGGGGAATGTCTCACTCGAAGCGCCGCCGCCGATCGACAGCACAACTTGCAGATGAGGATATCTCTGTTTGAGGTGCATCAGGGACCCTAAGGCACCTTGGACGCCGTCACAAGGTGCTCGGGCATCTGCCCACTCGTCGCTAAGCTAACCAGTGTTATTGAAAGCGGCCATGACAACAGATCTCAAGCGGACTAACGAATACACCTCCATCCACCGTCACAGTGGCGAAAGCGTAGTAGACTCGGTTTATGCAACCGTAGTTGAGGTCAGCGGGTGTGTTTCCGTTGTAGATGCTGTGGTTAGGCCAGTATACGGCATTCGTATACATGACGTTGAAGGCGCTTGCCATGCGCGACCTGCGTACTGACGAGGACATGGTGCTTGAGATAGTATGCGAGGGACCAATAGGAACACAGAATAGAGATCAAAAATCTGGACTGAATCGACACCTTGGTTGGCCAAGCTCATTGGGGAACGAAGGGAAGCAGAGGTGATCAGTGACCCGCTTGAGTCGCTGGCGACGGCGCCCAAATATCTAGTGTCTTCGGAGAAGGGCTTGTGCCAACTCACATCGGACTGATGTGTCTTCAATGCTGGTCGGGCATCAAGGGGACACGGGCACAAGTAGCAATCTCACACGCCGTGCGTTTATACATGCTTTCAAAACAACACTCGGCAGGACGACTATGGAGGTGAGCGGCCGAGATGCCCGAGCTGGTGGGGCTCAGAAGCGGGCATAGAAGAACGAAACGGCTTAAGGCTCGAAGCTTGAGAAACAACCGCTGTATGACATAATGGTTGCTGGCAAGGGCTCATAGTGGGCGAAGCAGGGTATGTGTATGTGATGTATCGATCGATCAGGGGAAGACGGGCCATTAGGAGATGAAGACTCGTCGCCGGGCAGCCAGCGGACAATGCAACCGGAAGAAAAGGGAACTTCACTGGCCTTGTCGACAGTATTTGTGTTGGGCCAGAATGTCACGATTCGGGACAGCTGTGGCCGGAGAGAGGTGTATCGTGTTTTTCTGGCCCTTGAGGAGGGATGGATTACCCAGAAGCCGCTCGCCAGTGACCATGGGTTGCGCCAGTCACTCGTTGCAGGCGTGGTTATCGGAATCCGCTCCAGTGCTCCCGTACCAACGGCTCCTGATGGCGGTCTAAGATTACCACCCAATCGACCCTTCATCTAGGCCCAGCGTCAGGACAGGGCTTGGACAACGAAGAGGGTGGTGGCAGGTATAAGCGCTTGATTGGACCCCAGTGCCGGAAAAGGGAACACGTGAACCCGAATCCGGTCAGTGAGCAACGTAGATGTTTGTGAAAATGGAGGAATCAGGAGGTATAAGTCGAATACAGCTTCCAATACTAGTGTAGCGGCTGGGTTTCCGCCATTGTATCTCCGGTCTCGTCTCTGTACTCAACGCCGGACCGGGATGCCGGAAGCTCAAGACAAAAGGAGACACAATGCGCGTCTTGATCTCCGCATAGAACTGATGAATGCAACGATCATGAAAGCCCCGAACGCTAATTGACAAGGGATTGCAAATAGAGAACCAACTTGTCATAATCCGCTTGGCACGAACAGCTAAGACAAAGGACGAAGGAGAGGTGAACTGCAAGACGAAAGGCTGAAGCGAATGGTTGCTGTGGAAGCAGTCGACTCCTGCTGATCAGTCTATAACTCAGACATTGAGCGTGTTGAATCAGAGTTGTGAGGAAATCTGGCAAAGAACCGGCTCGCTTTCTTGCAGTGGAATCTGAAGGAATCTGGAAGTTGCGATGGGCAGCAGCAGGAGGCAGCAAGAACTGCCAACTCAGCATTCCGGTCGTGCCAGCCAGAGGTTAGGTTGAACAGCTTAGTAATCAATCCACTTGTGAACCGGTAACGACTACTGTATTACTCTGTAAGGTAACAACACTACCGTATAATCTCGCGAGTTTGGGAAATTGCTTGCGGGCCTGACAGTAGAAATGGAACCAATGGAAGCTCTTAAAGAACAAAGCTCGGGCCATGAATACACCAAAGCTTCAGCGAAGAAGACACCAAAGTCGTCGAGACAGCATGCTTCAATTGGCTGCATGGCTACTGCCAGACCCGCAAGCAATTTCCCAAACTCGCGAGATTATACGGTACTCCGGAGCTATCATGGCTTACGGAATATGTGTATTGTTACACGTCGTTAATTTCAGCGCCTAGACAGAGACTCTTGTTGATTCATATCAAAGTACGTTTTCCGTTACAGTCCTAGGCAAGAGTCCCCTCACAATGAAGGACCGAGATACTGCCAATTTCATGTACTCAACTGAGGTGCTTCCACCACTTGTCAACCCTTAGGTTGTTTTAGGTTCCTGTGTCAGTTCAGTTACAGTTGGTACTTGGTAGTGTATGTACGGAGTAATTATCACCAAAATCTGGGCAATTGTAGCTTTCCCTTCCGCACATGATCCTTCATAGACAACAACCCCCATCTTTACATCACAGCCCCTTTAGTTAGATGATTCCACATACCATAGTAACAGTATCTTGTAACTTGTTCCAGCTTTGTTTATACAGCTGCTTGACACCGATTCGCAACTCTGTTTAGTGAGGCTGTTAGTTTATCATCTCCATTCGCTGCTCTCACGGTCTGACCCTGTCAGCAATGGTGATTCTCGTCTCGGTTCAACCCCTTTTGCACGCATATTCTATGTGCTTTTGTCGCTGACAACGCTGAGTAGTGGAGCGCGCAGCGTTTCTGGATCGAGTCAACCTAAGAATACACTGGCGCTGGGCATGGGAGCTGATAATGGTAACATGGGTTTGGGCTCGTGGAGCAATGCTGCAGTAATGCCAACCCTAAAGTGATTTCTTTGTGTCTGTAACAAAATCCCTGGCAATTGCATCAGAGGTAGGCTATTGGTATCGCCACGCCGTAGTATCACTGCATAAAATGATTCAAGAGCATCAAGTCCTAGTTAGCCTCCAAGGTACTAGTAGAGATGCCGCAATCACCATCCACATGCCCTTCACATGGATCATCGCCTGGTCAAAGTCCAGCCGGTAAAGGTGATCGTAAACTTCAGCTGCATGGTTTCTTCTCACTTGATTGATCGCCAAAGGTAGAGCTTACATTGTAGCAAACCAGTGCCAGCAAAGTCCACTGAAAGTTGTTAGTACCTTAGCTAGGGAGAGGGATAGACACTCGGGGCCTTACTCTTTCTAAGTTGAAGTTGGAGGATTGGGATCCTTCAATGGATGAAAAGACAAGATTTATCTTAGCTCTGCCTAAGAACTACGTATAGATGCCGGGCGATATGAAAATCTTTGAACGGCTTACAGGGACTGAGCTGCTCACTGACGACGTAGGGTCTCAATAACAATGAGACGGGGTTCATTTATTGACCGTTTGTTTACCTAGATGAGCGGCTCATCAATTTGAAGTGTCTCAAATCCTGTAATTATCCCTGGCCTAGCCCGTTGAGCGGCTCATGAATGGCTCAAGCCTGGTGAGCTGTGTATGAACCGCTCCTAGTACCCAGCTATGCTCCCTTAAGGGATGATCTCAAATCAATGGATGGTTTCAAATCAACGGATGATTTCAAATCAACAGCGCAAGTTACACCGTCGACGTCGGACTTGGCTTACATGGTATGCATTCCAACCTAGTCCTTGGTATGATTTGCACAAAGTGGATGTAATGTGCAAAAGGAGTCCATTTGCCTAAGCTGCTTTGGTATACCATGATCTTGTTGAGGCAACGTCGAAACCGAGAGACTTAGCAATCGCTCTTACCTACTAGGTATACAACGGGTGGGTTCCACGAGCCGTTAACGTAGTGTTCAGGCGGCGTTCATGATCACCTTGCAAAGAAATATGGTGGGAAACTTCTACTTGTAGGAACGAATGATTCCAGAGCAGGGTGTGGACATCTCATTCAAAATGACGGGAGTAGGTGGCTTATTCGTGGTTAGTTGCTTGAGATAGGAAGGTGCCCGATTATGGACGGTTTCTTTCCTATAAGGTGGTAAGGAACTGTGTATACACTATAGCCCTCTTGAATGGAAGGAGCGGCTTTCTTTGTAAGCCGCTAACATTCTGAATGATTGAAAAAAAGTTAACACTCCGCTCAACGTGTTTAAGCGGTGCGTTGATGGCTTGCTATACTGGAATGGCTTGGGTAAAAGAAGGGGTAAACTTCCATCCATTCGTCAACGCCCTCCTTTCCGGGTAAGCTTTATTCCTAGGCACAGGGTAGAATGGACTGTCACCTATGTACGGTCAGTGTGATTGTTCAGCTTGCCAGCTAATCATGATCATAAGGGATCCAAAGTGTATAAATACAAGAGAGAACCGCCGTGAATGTGAAGGGTCAAAACGTGAAAAGTAGATCCATCACGACTTGGAATATCACTATTGGCTTCCTCCTGCACGACTTGAACGTTGCACAGCTTTAACTCCGTTCCATATATTGCGCCAACAGCCTACTCAACCTTTGCCCACCATGAGCACAGAGAAGCACAACATTACACTCTACTGCGAGGGCACTCCCAATCCTCTCAAGATCTCCATTGCCCTCGAGAAACTGGGCTTGAAGTACAACGTACAAATCCCACCACCGCCCCAGATCCCCCCTTAGAAATAAAAGGAACAGAAATTCCTGACACAGTTTCCGCATGCAGGTACGTCCAATCAAGCTCTTTGAACATGAGCAGAAAGAGCAGTGGTACCTCGACATCAACCCGAACGGTCGCATCCCAGCTATTGTCGACACGGACGAGAATGGCCAGCAGCTCACAATCTGGGAAAGCGGTGCCATCTTGCAGAATCTTGTGGACCGGTACGATGGGGACCACAAGATCTCGTATCCCCGTGGGACCAAAGAGCACTGGGAGATGACATGCTGGGTAAATGGGTGACATTCCCATGCCTCAACTGAAAAATAGCATTTCTAACAGGGACATTGATAGCTCTTTTGGCAGGTGAGCGGCCTCGGCCCTATGCAAGGCCAGGCAAACCACTTTGAGAGTATGTTCTACCGCGATGGGAGGTGAAACAGCGTTCACTGACCTGGGTTGAATCACACAGTGTCCGCTTTCGGCGACTATCCATACGCCTTGAAGCGCTACGTCAACGAAACACGCCGCCTCTACCGCACCATGGACAAGGCACTCGCCAAGAATCCCTCCGGATACCTCGTAGGTGATCATCTCACCATCGCCGACATTGCTATTTGGCCATGGACCACCGCGTACAGTAGGTCTTTCAAACCCAACTCCCCTGCCTCTCCGCCCCCCCACCACCGTCTATATACGAAAGGGACTAAATCAAGGCTCGCTGCAGAGTATAGCGGTCTATCCCAGATTGGCGAGTTCCCTCACGTTAAAGAGTGGATGTACAGGCTCCTTGGGCGTCCTGGGTTCGAGAAGGGTCGTAACGTGCCGAATCCTCATATTTACCTTCAGCTCAACGAGCTGCCGGATGAAGAACTGAAGAAGATTGGGAGGGAGAGGTCGGTTTGGGTTCAGGAGGCTATGAAGCGCGATGCTGAATGATCTCGGGGGGGGGGGGGGGGGCTCAGTTGATGAACTAGCCGATCGCTATCACAGTTGCCGTGAACAATCACATATGAGTGTTAACTGTGTAGGTAACGTTCTCAACACGACACTGGAGGTTGTCCTTTCCGACCGCGACCACGGCCCCACAGTTCGGTGAAGCACCGTGACAACTGATACCGGAGGTTTTTGGCAATAGTGATTCAGGAGTCAATCTGAAAGAGATCTTTCAATCGCTGTCATCATGAATCATCTCACAAGCACTGCCATGTATTTTTGCTTGGATTGACACACCAAAGACCGTTAGTTGTAACGGTATTCTGTCTCGAGCATCTGCTTGAAGGCCCTGTAGATAAAGCGGCTTTTGTGCGGTTGTTGATCGCTTGTGCAGTCATATTCGGGAAGTGAAAATCACACCTAGTTGAAGATTGAAGTTCACAATTTGGCAAGTTGCATGAGAGCGGGAGTCAGCTGTAAGTTGAATATTGCATACAGTAATTCTCCGTACATCTGTAGCGGGGTCCTTATCTAATCTAGCCCGCCACCTGTTAGGTAGCCGCAATCACTTGCGCTCTTACCAAACATCCGAACCTCCCCTCTTTCGGCTTGGCAATTCCACCGACATCTATCTGTTCCATCGACCACTCGCAAACGACCAACCGCCTTCAATCTGTCGGAACAGTTTGCAGCAACGCATTCCTGAGTATCGAGGGAGACAGTACTCTTTGCGCGTGCCATCTCTGAGAATTGATCATCGTCGACCCCGGGATCGAGCATCATTGCAATATTTAGTCGCCATCCCAAGCGCCCTCAACCCAGCGCTGCGCAACATGGCCGAGAGCGGCGAGACGGGCAGCGATGCCCAGGTTACTTTCAAAGTCAAAACCGTAGGGGACAAGACGCATGCTATCACAATGTCCGAGTCGGCCACCGTTCTGGACCTCAAGACAATGCTGGCCGGGCCCGACTACGAGGACCTCCCTGTTGAGAGGCAACGCCTCATCTACTCCGGCCGGATCATGAAAGACTCCGATGCCCTGAGCGTTTACAAGATCAAGAGCAACAACACGGTCCATCTGGTGAGGAGCGCTCGTAGCAACCCTACCCCGCCCGCTGCTGCTTCATCATCAGCCCCGACGCCCGCGGCCGTACCTCAGAATATGGCAGCCGGTACCAGTGCGAGCGACCCGCTTGCTGGGCTCACAGGCGCCAGGTATGCCGGTCTTGCCAACTTGCCGAGCGCCGATATCTTTGGCGCAGACGGAGGGGTAAGTAAAGCCTTGGCCAATCCTGGCCATGCAATTAAGCCATTGCGTTGCTAATTCTGGAATCGGTAGATGGGTGCGCCTCCTAGTGAGGAGCAGATGGCCGAGTTACTTTCAAACCCGATGGTCGCGCAGACGATGAACGAGGCGCTCAACAATCCCGAATTTATCGACTACATGATCCGATCGAACCCGGTGCTAGCGGGTATGCCCAATGCACGCGAGATGCTTCAGTCGCCGTATTTTCGCAATATGATGACGAATCCTGAAGCCATCCGGATGGCGGCAAGGATGCGGAGGCTTATCCATGGCGACGGTGCCTCGGCTTTTCCGGCTCCTGGAGCAACAGACAACACGCCTGCCGATGCGCCACGGTCCGAGGGTTCAGCCGCGACCGGGAACAGCCAGGCCCAGGGCGCATCCCCAGCCAATCCGCTAGCTGCTCTTCTTGGCCTCGGGCCGCTGGGGATGGGCGGGCCCCTCGGCGGTGGAGGCGCAGCGCCTGGAGCGGCGGCACCTTCAGGGCAGACTGCAGCTGCGTCCGGAGGCGCCGGCCCCACAGGGGCAAGCGCGAACACCCAAGCCGGGGGGGCCAATCCACCCGTCAATCCCTTCAGCGCTCTGTTCGGCGGCCTAGGGCAAACTGGCCAGGCCGCTAACGCCAGCAACCCCTTTGGGCTGCCACCCATCTCTCCGGAAGCCTTACAGCAGTTTGCGCAGATGTGGGGCCAGGCGCTGCCTTCAAACCCCTCAAACCCCCCTGCGCCAGCAGACGATAGACCGCCAGAGGAGCGCTACGCTGAACAACTGCGGCAGCTCAATGACATGGGCTTCTTTGATTTTGAGAGGAACATTACTGCGCTGCGTCGCAGCGGTGGCAGTGTTCAGGGCGCGGTCGAGTATCTACTTTCGGGGCAATGAAGAGCCTCGAGACGGCAAGGTGGGGCTACAGAGTTGAGAGGAGAGATGTGGAGAGAGAACCACTGAGGAGAATTGATGGCCTTTGACTTCTGTCTACGGCCTCCAGCGATGAGCCACTCAGAGCAAAAACCTATGGACTATGGGCCCAGGCAATCATGCTACCGTGAAGTCGGTGTGAGAAAGGGGACTCCTCGGGCGAAGCGTGATAGATGAAGTATGTATACTCTAATCAGCGGGCCGAGGGGTTTGATGGGACTCCCCGGTCCCTCGGGTGCCCGGAATTTCTCCACGTATTGTAGTTGCCGTTTGCTTTGCCGGGCCCAGTTGACGAGACTCTGTTGTGTATGAAGGAGTTGGTTCCTTTACCATTGCCTGGTGAGCATTTTTAAGGACCGAGAAGAGGATACAGAATCTTCGACATGTATAATAACTTGTAATGAACGAAGTGCCCCCACGTTTCCACTCCAGAAATGAGGCTTAACTTTTCCTTACTGTATGTACTGTATGTACTCTGTATAAGCCAAGGCCGAGAGCCGGAACCCCTGACAGCTGGGGTTCGGGAGGATCCCGGTTCGGGACCCGTTTTTCCTGTCCAGCAGGTCTCGTGGACGCTGTGCCCTGCAGGGGGCAATGAGTTGGCGACGATCAGGACTGTGTGGGAAAAGGTTGATGGGACCTCCCTTGGTGTTTTGTTGATGAACTCCAGATTTTCATTCCCCAGCTCTGCTATCTGAAACTTCGACAACGCATAGCAAGAACCTTTGGGTCCTTGGACCGGAGAACAAATCAGTATCAGCGATTCCGGAGCTGTATCTATAACCTGTCATCCATTGGATTGCGAAATAGTACAACCCGAACTGTTTTCTCATACCAAATCAGCAAAGAGATTTCTCGGTTTACATTTTACTTTACACATCTTACATCTTGCCCCAGTGGTTTTCAGATCCAATCAACCGTTGCGCTCACACGACAATTCCAAGAGCCAACTCACTCTCACTGAGACAGCGATACTTAAACAAAACCACAAAGATGCTCGGTTGGTGAGTAGCACAATCCAAATCCGGAAAATGGCATAGGAAAAATCACAGCTTACCGCTGTTCTCTCATCCAGGTACCAGGCCCGCATGGCGGCCCGACCCCTCCTTACTCCAGCGATAACAACTTCAATTCTCTTTGGGGTAGGCGACATCGCCTCACAGCAGCTCGTTGAGAAGAGGGGCATCGAGAAGCATGAGTTTGCTCGCACAGGACGGATGTTGCTCTATGGTGGTAGTACGTTTCCTTCCTCCTCATCCCCTAATCATTTTTCATCCTTCTCTCTCTTCCCGAACTCTGGATTTTTTTTTTCGGGTCTATACACTAAACTCGGACAAAAAAATTTACAAACAGCCATCTTCGGTCCCGCCGCAACGACCTGGTTCAGGTTCCTGCAGCGGAACGTCCAGCTGCGGTCGGCCAACGCGACCATCCTGGCGCGGGTGGCGTGCGATCAGCTCGTCTTTGCGCCGACCTTTATCGGCGTGTTCCTCAGCAGCATGGCCGTGCTCGAGGGCTCGTCGGTCCAGGAGAAGCTGGCCAAGAGCTACAGCAGCGCGCTCACGACCAACTGGATGATCTGGCCGTTTGTGCAAATGGTCAACTTCAAGCTCGTGCCGCTCGACTACCGCCTGTTGTTTGTTAACGTGATTAGCATTGGCTGGAACTGTTATCTCAGCTATCTGAATAGCTCATGAAGAGGTTGTTGGTTAGGGAGGGGAGGATATAATTCAGGGACGTGGCCCGAGCGTACTGGACTAGGTATTACATATCGTGATTAACGGGCTGATTGAGCGAGGTATGCCAGGCGTTTAGAGGGTCAAGACGGGTGCCATCAAGGCTTATTCTCATTGCTGTTCGGTCAGTAGACGGCTTGTAGATGGCGCAAAAAGCAGAGCTCTCTCAATGGTACGTTGTACGATACAGTACTCATGCTTCAAATTAAGTCTATAAAACTGCACGCTCATCAGACTGTTCTGTCAGGTGGCCGGTTATACACGCAGTTAGATGCGGCCAACACGCTTCGGTATATATTTTGTGTATCCCGAGTCCTTCCCACCAAAGTTCCTTCCCCGTCAAGGGGAGATCCAGCGCCGCTGCGAGTTGTCATCCAACAATACTCAAACCTCAATAAGAGAACCGGCAGGGACCTGCTTGCCCGCAAACTCCCTGAGGCCCTCGCCACCCTAAAAAGGCTCGTCAGCATGCTTGGCGAGCGGTATTTAGAGATTTGCCAGGATCACTTACATAACTCTTCAGGGGGCTCACTTCGACGCCCGCCTCGGAATCGTCGCCAACGACAGTGGCGCCCGCGGCCTCGACCCAGCGCTTGCCTTGGGCCATGATGTCGCGCCTGCTTGTGACGGCATTGTCCTCGGTGCTGCCGGGCCCGTTCTTGAGCGGGCTGAACTCATCCTCGCGTCGAACCTCCATGCAAGCAAACTTGGACAGCTCCAGCCTGGGGAAGACGTCAAAAACAAACTGCTCCAGCTTGATGCCGTTATTTGCCGTCGCCTTGACGGTTTCTCCGGTTCGAGGGTCGGCAAAGGGGATCTTCTTGTGGGCCACGTGGTGCGGGAGGCTCGCGGCCAGCTCTTCACTGTGGGCGAGGAAGCGGAACGAGTAGTAGTGGTTGACGATATTGGCGGCGCGGAACTTGAGCACGCCGGGCTGCTTGGGGTCCTCCTCTCTCGCGATCTCCGGGGAGATCTCACTGTACTCAACCACGTCCGGCCGGCCGTTCTTGCACAGGATCAGACCAACGCTCTCGGTCGCGTTGCGCTTGCGGACAACCTTGGTAGCAATGTCGACGTTCTTGGATGCGGAAAAGCCAATGAACACGGGATCGGCCACTTTCACAAGGCAGTTGTCGACGCAGTAGGCATGGATGTGCTCAATGCCGCGATGCTTCATTTTGTCCAGTATCCCGGACACTGCAAGAGCCTTGTAGATGCCACCGTTGCCGTCAGGCGCCACAGCCACCTTGGCCTTGCTCTCGAGCATGATCTTGCCATCCTTGGTGATGCAAGGGAGGACGCCCTGCTCGAAGATCTCGACATTCTCCTTGGACAACCCAAAGTAGTTGTGGTCCTCGAAGAACTTCTCGGTGGGTCCGCGGGTCGGCCCAGACGTCATGACATACCATGGGACGGTGACTTTGGCCCGGGCGCCGGCCTTCTGGGCCGCCAGCTCCTCGATCTTGCGGATGCGCTCGGCCTGGATTTGGAACAGCGACTTCTTAGACGGCAGACCAATGTCGAAGCAGCCCTTGGGGTCCGAGCTACCCAGGCGGGTGCCCTGACCGCCTGCCATGAGTACCACGGCAACCTTATTTGCGGCAATCAGGTCGAGACCGTACTGGTACCACCGCTCAATGTCTTCGGGCTTGGAATCCATAATGCTTGCGTTGGCCGACTCCGGAAGGGGTTCAAGCGACGGCTCGCCATCATCGGTCGCTGGCGCAAGGGTTTGGGTTGCGATTTTGTTGATTTCGGCCGGTTTGGGAAGCGCCTTGAGCTGCGAGTACAGCGACGCCTTCTCTGCGTTCGAGAGCGAGTCCCAAAAGGCAAATACTTGACCTTGCCCTGCGTTTGTGTACTCGTCCCGTAGTTGTGACACTTGGTCGGCGGTGGTCTCCTGCGGGGCACTGACTGCGTCCATGGTGTGTAGTGTGTTTAGGTACTTCGTGCTGTTAGGTAGCCGGTCAAGTTGGCGGTTGAGCGAAAACGTGACTGCAACTTGGCTCAATTGTCTTCAAGTTGAATACTTATAATTACAGAAAAACAATCAGAGCTCGTATCAAGAGCGGGTGGGATCTTTTTATAACCTAAAGCCGGCAATCCAGCATGGCGAAGCACTTCACTGTCCCCGCCTGTCTATAACCTTCCACAGCCGGCTTCAGCCCAGCGGTCCCTGGGAAATGGGAAGGATGCGCAGGTTGTTCAGAGGCTGAGATTGTTGAGACCCACCGTGTGCCCCTCTTGCCGCATCCAATTCGCTGAAACAAGCCACGGGAGTCGGTTATTCTTCTGCAACATTCAACAACCTGGGAGGTACCTTCATTGCTTCGGGTGAAGTGCATTCATGATTCATTGTCTTGCTGTCTTACTGATCTCAGATTTCAGGTTGATAGACGGTACGAGACCCCAGATGTTCGTCAAAGCCAGGATCAGACACATCCGAACGGAAGCATTCAGCGGTCAGCCGCTGCATCGGCCCATCCCGCAGGAGGAGTCGTTACACGTGGTGTGCCTTGTTGCTTTTCCGGGTGGCAACCCGGACCAGCTTGGCAACAACCCGACTTCGCAGGCGAAGTTGAGACGGTGATGGTCTTGAACACTCTACCGGTAACATTAGTTGCTTTGTTTGCGCTCTGCATCAAGGTCGCTAGACTACAACTCTCAGCTTCTCACTCTCCTCAATCTGTCAGAATTTCGCACTGAAAACCCAGATGCGATGTGACATGTTCCATTAGTTATTCCTAAACCATGACATCTGAGACGGCGGAGGAGAGCTCACCGCAGCTGACCTTTGAGGGCCGTCTCAAGCTCTCAAACTTCGTGTTCAACGGTACAGCTACCTCAAGCGGTCCACGTCGAAGCCCCCGCCTCTTATCTACCTCATCCGCAACTCCTCCAGCGCAATCACCCATGTCGCCTACTCCCTCACCACGGCCATCCAACAAACGCAAAGCCCTAGCTCTGATTGCCACCGATGCCAATGGTGACTCCTCTCCAGGATCCTCCACCTCAACCACCATCAGCACAGTCACAACCTCAAACACAACTTCACGCGCCAAACGCCCCCGCCAAAAATCCGGCTATGCCCCTCCGTCGACATACGCCCACTTGCCTTTGCTGCCGGACGCCATCGCGCCGAACCTGCTGATCCTCTTCATCGGGCTGAACCCGGGGATCCAGACGGCGCGGACGGGCCACGCCTATGCGCACCCGACCAACCTCTTTTGGCGGCTGCTGTACTCGTCCGGCATCACCCCGCGGCTGTGCTCGCCGACCGAGGACCGGGCCATGCCGGCCCTTTACGGGCTGGGGCTGACCAACATCGTGTCACGGCCAAGCCGCAACGGGGCCGAGCTGAGCAGCGCCGAGATGGACGCCGGCGTCGACATCCTCGAGGCCAAGGTTGCTCGCTGGCGACCCGAGGTCGTTTGCGTCGTCGGCAAGACCATTTGGGAGAGTTTGTGGCGCGTCAGGCACGGCAGGGCCATCAGGCCGAGCGAGTTCCGCTATGGTTGGCAGCCGGAAGAGGAGAACATGGGCTTGCCGCGTGCAGGGGGTGGGTCACTGAAGGAGCAGGACAAGGTGGAAGGTGTAGATTACAGTGGGGATTGGAAGGGAGCCAGGATCTTTGTTGCGACCAGCACGAGCGGACTGGCCGCGACCTTGAAGCCGAAGGAGAAAGAGGAGATCTGGAAGGAGTTGGGGGATTGGGCCGTCAAGAGGAGGGCTGAGCGAGCAGCAGCGGCAGCAACTGCCAATGTCACCGTCCCTGCCACGACCGTGGGAGAGGTTTGAGGACGGACCGAAGGAAGTTCGGTTTTCGTAGTGTGCGCTTCAGACCAGAATTTCTTCAGAGCTTCACTTGTATGTAAGGTAGGTTTAGTCATACATCCATGATCTCATTGATTATCTATCGCTGCTCTCTAGAAACCGCTTAACCAACCCGAAGAGCGGAGCAACTACCCGACCGCTATCAAACATTCACACGAACCTCCCCGAAACGCCGGCCCGGTTACTGGGTATCAGCCAGGCCATAAAAACGCCAAAACCGCAACTGAGCGTGGAACGTAACTGCTGTGCAACACAAGCTTGAACCAAGATGTCAAAACACATCTCAGGCGGCGAAGATAATAGCGCCAACCGTCGCAACGACGGGCCACCACCCGACATTCTGCAACAGGGTTTGCAAACCGCCGGCGGCGCCTGAACCCTCTTCCATAGCCTCAGCCGTCCCATTGGGCAACGTGCCGTTGATCAGAATGGTACTAGTCCCGTTCACATCGGCGACAGTGACCAGGGTGTGGTTAAGGGCGTTGTAGCTGCCGTTGCCGATCAGGTCGGTCATAAACTGACTGTCGCTGTTGGTGTCGCAGCCACACTCTTCGTAGGGATCGCAGCCGCATATCACGGGCTTTGTCTCGTTCTGCTGGCTGGTCTGGTTGTAGTAGTTGTACGGGTGAGGATGGTAGTACAGGTGGGCTCCGTAAAGCCAGAGGCCGGGCCAGAAGGCGAGTAGGCCTACTCCGAGGAAGACCGGCGCGATTCCACCGGGAGACCTGGCGCCGGATCTATACGGTACGCTCGCGCCGCCGCCGTAATATCTCCCGCCACCATACGATGGGCGCACTCCGCTGAAACTAGACCCTCCAGAAGATCCGCCGCCACGACCCCTGATATGGAAGAGTTAGTTTCGCTTGATCATAGACGAGGCGGTGTGTGGAACGGCAAGATCCAGGGAAAGCATAGAGAGAGAGAGCGAGAGGTTATGACGTACCCAGAACTACCACCACCTCCACTACTACCTCCGCCGCGACCACCCCCTCCGCCGCCGCCTCTCCGCTTCCATAATTCTTCGCCTGACGGCTCGTCGCGCTGTGTGTACTGCGAGGGCTGACGTATCGCAACCTCAGCAACCGGGGCCGGGGGAGAAACGAGAGCGCAGACCGCCGCGTCTGCGACAAATGTCGACGCCACCAGGGCAAGCGAAAATCGCATTATTGGGGCTGTTGCTTGGGAAACTTCTTTCTGAGAATATCAATCAAAAATAATCAATGGACAATGTATCAATTGGCGTTGATGCTCAAACAAACCCTGGATGAATGTAGGGCTAGTGGGGCGATGAACTGAGTTCGAATGCGAGTAGTGATATGAGGAAAGTCCGTCGCATCTGCATTCCGTGTCAGTGACTTCCTTAAGAGTATTTTCTGCAAGGCGAAACGCTGGTTAGCCCGCGCCTTGGCAAAGCAATCCATCACACAAAGTACTGTACATCATACAGTTGCAGTTGGCTATGATAGTGCGTGTGCCAAGTGAAGACCCTGAGTGGCGGATCTCCGGTCCATGATGACATTGGCACCAGAAAGTCTTACGCCAAGCTCATCGGACTGCGGCTTGAGCAGGATGGTATGACCTCAAAGTCCATCATCACAAGCTGTTGCGCCACGACCTGTCAAAGACACGAGGTCCACGCCGAATACAGATTTGTCAGGTGCAGGCATCTCGACAGAAAAATCGATTTCCTTGTCATTTCTCAAGCATGTTTCCCACCAAGTCTCCAGGTCGGTCTTTCGGTCTTTGACCTTGTTGGTGATACATCGACTGATCACATTTAGCTGCTGGGCTCAATTTCACCGTTCACAGTAGCATCTCATTCTTGTTGTTGGGTCGTCAACACCCAACGCCTACGGAATAATCAAACAAGATAGGTAGCAACTTGGATGGCGCCACATGACACAGCAGCAGTGTGGGCAGCAGCGTGGCTGTGTATGTAGGTACGGAGCATTGATCTAACTGTATTGTGGTTATTGCTATGTAGGTCCATGGGTCTCCCGGAAATTACGGTCGGAAAACACCGCCTCTGCCCACAATTGTTAGTGCAAATTCATCTTTGCACTTTTCAACTTCAAAACGACACTTGAGAATCATTCAAAACAAATGCATTTCCCAACGTCTTTATCCATATATTCAATCTAACTGGAAGCCCTAACCCTGACCCTAATCCCTAAACGCTAACGCTAATCTCTAACCGCTAACCCTAATCCCTAACCGCTAACCCTAGCCCAGTATCTTGCGTGTGTCGTGTTGAGTGTACGTAGGTGAGAGCATAACAGAGGAAAAGTGGGTGCGGTGGGGCCGTGCAGCCAGATCGGGAAAGTGGGAACCCGAACCCATGGACCTCGATAGCAAAAGGCTGTATTGTACGGATCAAGGTAAGTTACATGTTAAGATCAATCATCATTGCACCAAGCGCGCCAACCGCTGGCTCCTCATTGACCCCGCACTGCCCCAGACGGTTTATCTTCGAAAGCCGATCGATCAGTGATCACTGATCGCAGCCTTGTGAGGTGCCTTACCAAACTCCAATCTCGTGCTTACACTTAACTAGGCTTCGCTAGGTAATTATTAGCGTCCTACCGTCTTCATCGATTACATCCGACCCTCTCTCTCACTTCCGCATTCGTTTGCCGCTGCGGTCTTCGGGCTCATTGCGCTCCGCCTCTGGTATCTGACAACCGAAAGCGCTCCTACCTACCGTATCGATTCTGCCTATACGTTCTTATCTGCATTCGACATGGTGGCCTCCCAGGCGGATGACAAGTCCCTTCTAGACAGGCTAAATGCCCTCAAACCTTCGAGCATCACACTTAGCAAACCCCCAGAGTAATGACCCCCTCTTGAACGCAGCTGCCTCCATGTCAACCACCACCCTACATAAGCTCACAGGAACTAAGAGAGAGAATGTACACAAAGCGCTTCTACTATGACAGCATTAGGTGTTCAACCTGAACCTGGGGATGACTTGACGGCGCGTCTAAAGACCCTTCGGAACCGGACGGGTGAATCTGTCAATGACCAAGGGCGGGGGCATCGGCCCGCTTCAGACTTGGCGCCCGTGGATGCGCTCGGCTCAGCAACACAGCCTCCTGCAGAACCATGGGTCAACGCAGGAAGCCGATCCCCCGAAGAGAAGGTCGCAGTTCAGGCGTCTCCACCATCGGATTCGGTGCCTGCCAGTGCGAGCCAGACGCAAAGCCGCTACCAGTTTGTTGAAGGAGTCTCGGGCGATGACGATGAGGCCATTGACGAACTCCTCGAGGGCTTGGGAGATGGGGACTTCGACCTCGCCGATGATGGTGACGACGGCGGCGTAGATCTGCTTCCGGATTGTGACCCCGGCGCCGAGTCAAAGAAGGTTGCCGATCTCCTTGAATCGCTCCGGACGAACCCAGGCTCTAGCAAAGGCATCGACACCCCCGACGATGACGATGATTCCATCGGGGAGCAGATGTCTCGTGCCGTCGAAGCGATACTCTCCCAACTGCAGGATGGGGAAAACTCACTGCCGCCCCCAAGAGCTGCCGAAGAGGACAGTGAAACCCCACATACAGGGGGCGCGAAGGAGATTGGGCCCGCGGACATTGAGGGCGCAAGGTCTACGAGTGATGAGGGCAACACCGCCCCGGCGCTTCCCACCGTGCCCACGCGGCTTGTAGATCCAGTCCCCGACGGAGCAGAGGCAGATGAGGATTTTGAGAATGAGATCTCGAACCGCTTAGCTGCATTGAGAGGCTTCCGGTCCGGCTCGACTGTAGATGCCTTTGGGCTGCCCTCGGCGCCCACTTTCCGGCCGCAAGACCGTCACACCTCTCCTGGCAGCAAACAACCAGGGTCTACCAAGTACACGGATGAGGACCAGAAGACTTGGTGTGTCGTGTGTCTTGAGGATGCAACCATACGATGCATTGGGTGTGATAACGATGTGTATTGTGCGCGCTGCTGGCGTGAGATGCACATTGGTCCTTCTGCTGGCTACGACGAACGTGGACATCAGTGGGCAAAGTTTGACCGGTATAGCCGTGTCTAGCACTTGTATGTTGCCCGGCATATGATGCCAGAAGAAAAACATGCCATATTCACAATCTCCGTAGGAGATAGAGCGCACCACGCTTAACCTAGCTACAGCGCAATACATGTCGCTAATAAAGCACAATTCATGAAAACCGCCCGTCCCAAACCCAGACTTGATCCGGAGCAACGAATCGCTATCCCTCGTACTTCGTATCATACCCGTGACCCAGTGCGCATATGCCTTGCCCAACCTACAATAAACCCCGCCTCAATCCTACCTAACTTTCCAACAGAGGAATTTCTTTCAATTTGGGGTATTTACACGGTACACCATCGATGCCGACTAACCGATCGATGCCCACTGCAGCCCATCCCTCTCCAACGCCGAATGGTCATGCGGCCCGATTCGATTCTGCCTTGCCCTTCATTGAGCTTTTTCAGGCCCTCGAGCCAGATCCGGTCCCATCTGCATTCTCATCCCCGGCCCTATACCCGTTTGTGCCGTAACCATCATGACCGCCGGCTCCTGTCCCCGCCGTGGGGTTCCTCTTCGCCCGCCCCGTGATATCCCCCCAGGTAGCGCCGAATCTTCTCCCCGTGCTCGCCAAGAGGCCCTCCTCCTCATCCGCCTCGGCCTCCTCATCAAACTCACTGAGGTTCAACCGCGGCGTGCGGAAAAGGCTGGTGATGAATACGACCAGGAACACAGCCAGGAAGGCAAATTGAGCCCAGAAATCGACGGCGCCAAAGACGGGCCAGTTGAGCGTGATACGGTTGAGAAAGGTGGACATGACGGTAGGCGTGCAGACATCCTTGGCGGCCGGTTCGCTGAAGGCTTCGGAGCAGGGGCGGACCATGTCCGGATGCTCCCGGCAGTCTGGTTGTTCGCCTGGGTGTCGCGGGGTGTTCTCGCAAAAAGTTTGCGTGCCGTATATGGCGTACTGCGGGGCCACAAGCATGGCCATGGCGTAGTTGATGGCGAGGATGATGAGAGCCAACAAGACGGTGGCGATCAAGAGGGCCTGAGGGGCAGTGCGGCCCTTCTTGATCTGGAAAATGCGCACCCACAGGAAGCGGATCCCAATCGTGGCAAGGCCCGTGACAGAGCTGCTGAAGAAGAAGAGCACGAGCAGGGCCATAAGGATGTAGTCGACCGGAAAGGCCTTGGCAGACTGAACAAATACCCAATTGACTGGCTGGAAAACATTGATATGGCCAAGGATGTAGCCGCAGTGCTGCTTGCAGATAGAGTTGGCGGCTTTGTCAATGGCGGTGATGAGCATTGAGACCCAAACGATAATGGCCAGCAGAAGCAGAAAGATACCGCCCAGCAGCTTCAGGGGCCGGAAGACGGCTTGGATCTTTGTCCAGGCCCGGAAAAACCCGCTGCGGCCCTCACCGCGGGCTTCAGCGGCCAATCTCTCGCGGCGCACGAGGGTTCTCTCTTCGCGTAACAAGGCGTCCATCTCCCTGCGGTCCTTCTGAGACATGCCTTCGGGGCGACCAGCGTTGCGCATCTCCAGCTGCCTTTGGAGCTCGCGATTGCGTTCTAATGCGGAGGCCGTCGTTGCTGAGAGCTGGGGTGCCGAGATGGACGGGGCGGACTTGATGAAGGACACGGGTAGAAGGGCCAGCCCGGCACCCGTGTATAAGACGTATAGTAGCGTACCAAGGGTGATAAGCAAGCCCACACCGAAGGTGAGGGCCTTTTCCCCGTTGTTCGCTGCTAGCAGGCGCTTGAAATAATCGAGATCCATATGCCTTCCCTTGCTGTACCCGGCTGCCGGCACGAAGAAACCAATGAGAAATAGGATAACGACAAGGAAGACGAAGCCTAGGGTGTACTTCAGGGCTCGCCAGAGGCGTACTCCCTGGCCACCGCGTCCCTCCTCCTCTTCAACCTCATCGTACTCCTCATACCAGAAGTATGTGAAAGGTATGACAATCAAACATAGGAGTGAATCGAGGCTGTAGAGGGTGTAGTACACAATCTTCAGCGTCCGGAGAATGCTGTCGACACGGGCGGGTGTCGCCCAATCCTTCTTGGCGCCGAGATGGGCCGAGGCCGTGGACGAGACGAGCGCTATGTCGACGGGAAGGAGGAAGACGGTAGCGAGTAGTGCGGTAAGGCTGAATATGGTGACGATGCTCACAGCGATGGACCGCTCGTAAGGGGCTTGCCAGGTGAAGGTGGTGATGATGGCGACTCCGAGAGCGAGGGCCACGGCCACAGCGTACGCGACCCAGATGAGACTGGTCTGCAGAAGACCTGCTGACCCCATTTTGTTCCCCCAAATTGGTTATGAGGTTGACTGGCGTTTAACTTTTGAAGATCCACCGCGTTGCGGAGGCGGCCAGCTGTGCAAGATGGGGAGAGTCTGAAGTGAGAGTTTGGGCAGGATCACTTGAAGTAAAACAGTCTATGACGCAATGCTACGGGCAGCGAGCAAGCTCAAGTGGGTCCTGCCCAGTGGGACTCCAGGGACCGTTGGGGTGGGGACCATTGCTGTGCTCCACTGTGCTTGGTGCAGCTGAAACGGGGCGCGGCGCGCTCAGTTGAACGTGGCCCAAGCTTTGCTTTTTGTTTGTTTGTACCCATCAGATCCAATCAATCGCATGCAAGGCACCTGTCAGAGACTCAGAGCTTCTCAATCAGCCCGCAGTCACTTGGGTTGCATCTCAACTACCTACACAAAAACATCAAACATCGACTTGAAATCAAAACAAAGCAGAGATATGCACTCGGCTCCTGGGCCATGCAGTGCTACACGGAGCTGACTCCGGCAACGGCCGTCACGCATTCTCTAACGCTACAGTTCATCCCCGGGCAGGGCACGAACCTCGCAGTCGCAAAGTCTTCGATTCTTCAGATTTTTAGAACAAAGGTCGTCTCGACTGAGCTGGACACTACCGAGACCAATGGACATGGACTTGGAGCACGAAGTGCTACCCGCTACGAGAGCCGGCTGGCCAACGATGACGACGGCCTCGAAGCGTCGTTTCTGGGAGGCGACAGTTTGGCCCTGAGAACGGACCGAGCCAACAGCACCAAGCTCGTACTCGTCGCCGAAACCTCGCTGGCGGGCACAATAACCGGCCTGGCCAGGATAAAACCGCCCAACGCGCGCCATGGATGCGACGCCCTCCTCATCGCCTTCAAGGACGCACGGCTCAGTCTTGTCGAATGGGACGCCGAGCGCTACAGCCTGTCCACCGTGTCGATACACTATTACGAACAAGAGGAGCTCCGGGGAAGCCCCTGGACTGCGCCACTGAGCCATTATGTCAACTTCCTCACAGCCGACCCAGGTAGTAGGTGTGCTGCGCTCAAATTTGGAGCCAGGAACTTGGCAATATTGCCTTTCAAGCAGATCGATGAGGACATTGACATGGGCGACTGGGATGAAGAGCTGGACGGCCCGCGGCCGGCAAATGGCGTGCCGAGCGCCGTCGTCAATGGAGCTAGCAACATAGAAGACACTCCGTATTCACCATCATTTGTCCTCCGACTCTCCAATCTTGACCCAAGCCTGCTCCATCCTGTGCACCTGGCCTTCCTCCATGAGTATCGAGAGCCTACCTTTGGCATTCTCGTCTCAACTGCCAGCGCCTCGAATTCGCTCGGCCGCAAGGACCACTTCATATACATGGTCTTCACGTTAGATCTGCACCAGAAAGCGTCAACCACCATCCTCTCGGTCAGTGGCCTTCCGCAGGATCTCTTCCGGGTCGTGCCCCTTCCTGCTCCAGTCGGTGGCGCCTTGCTTGTAGGTGCGAATGAGTTGATCCACATCGACCAGTCGGGCAAGCCTAACGGCGTGGCCGTCAATCCCATGACGAGGCAATGCACCTCCTTTGGCCTTGTCGACCAGTCGGACCTCAACTTGCGTCTCGAGGGCTGTGTCATTGACATTCTCACCGCCGATCTCGGCGAGCTCCTCGTTATCCTCAGCGATGGCCGGATGGCTTTGGTCACGTTCCGCATCGACGGGCGTACCGTTTCTGGCCTCGAATTGAAGATGGTCCCTGAGGCGGCTGGAGGAGCCATCATACCCGCCCGAGTTTCAACACTCTCAAGGCTGGGTCGAAACATAATGTTTGCTGGCAGTGAGGAAGGTGACTCCCTAGTCTTCGGCTGGACAAAGAGACAAGGTTTAATTGCAAAAAAGGCTCAACGTGTCAGGGGCGGGGGATTGGATACTTATTTTGCGGACGAGGATGTTGAAGAGATCAGCGAAGAGGATGACGACGACTTGTACGAGGAGAAGCCAACGGCTCGTCAACAGCAGCCCATTTCGGCAGTGAGCGGCCTTATAAATGGTGATTTGTGTTTTCGGGTTCACGACCGCCTCCTGAGCATCGCGCCAATTCAAGCGATGACTTACGGCCAGCCGACGTGGCTGCCTGGAAGCGAGGATGAGAGGAATTCTGCCGGCGTTCGCAGTGACTTACAGCTAGTGTGCGCCGTCGGCAGAGACAAGTCAGCCGCCCTGGCGACCATGAACCTGGCGATACAGCCCAGGGTCATTGGCCGGTTTGACTTTCCCGAAGCACGGGGGTTCTGGACGATGTGCGCAAAGAAACCCATTCCAAAGGCGCTGCAAGGCGACAAGGGCGGAAACGCTCTCAGCAAGGATTATGATACTTCGGGCCAATACGACAAGTTCATGATTGTGGGCAAGGTGGATCTGGACGGGTACGAGAAGTCGGACGTCTACGCCCTGACCGCTGCGGGCTTCGAAAGCCTCAGCGGCACCGAGTTTGATCCCGCTGCGGGCATCACCATTGAAGCGGGAACCATGGGCAAAGGCAGCAGGATCGTCCAAATCGTAAAGTCAGAAGTCCGGTGTTACGATGGTGGTATGTTACCTTCCTCTTTTACCACGATGCTGTATTGCCGGCGCTTTTCTGATGTATATGCCACTTAGACCTTGGACTGAGCCAAATCGTGCCCATGCTTGACGAGGATACGGGAGCAGAGCCCAGAGCCGTCAGCGCAAGCATCGCGGACCCGTTCCTTCTCATCATTCGGGACGACTCCAGCGCCTTCATTGCCCAGATCGACAACAGTAACGAGCTGGAAGAACTCAGGAAAGATGATGAGACACTCGCCGCTACCAAGTGGCTGACTGGATGCCTATATGCGGACACCTATGCTGTCTTCGCTGAGGAAGTAACTGAGAAGGGGGCAAACCCCGCACAGAGTATTCTTATGTTCCTTCTTAGCGCTCACGGTGCTCTTTATGTGCGTACCATACGATATCCTTGTCACTCTCTCACTTGGTGCCTAACAAGCCTAGATTTACCGTCTCCCCGACTTATCTAAACCCGTATATGTCGCCGAAGGGCTTTCCTACATACCGCCTGGCCTCTCGGCTGATTATGCAGCGAGAAAAGGAACTGCTAAGGAGACCGTGGCCGAGATATTGGTCGCTGACCTGGGCGACATGACCCACAGCTTCCCGCACCTCATTGTTCGTTAACCTTTGATTCTCTTGCCCGATAGCGACTAATCTGTTCCAGCTACGCCACGCAAACGATGACCTGACTCTCTACCAACCGTTTCGCTATGGAACGGGCACTGGTTTGGGCTTCTCCAAGACACTGTTCTTCCAGAAGCTACCGAACACAGCCTTTGCCAAGAGTCCGGTGGAAGCTGACCAGGATGAAGCTACACACCAACCTCGTGTCCTCTCCATGCGCCGGTGCAACAACATTTCGGGCTACAGCACTGTCTTCCTTCCTGGCGCATCCCCGAGCTTCATCTTGAAATCCGCCAAGTCAATGCCACGAGTGGTTCCGTTGCAAGGGTTAGGCGTGATAGCCATGAGCTCGTTCCACACCGAGGGATGTGAGCATGGCTTCATCTACGCAGACTCTCAACATATCGCCCGTGTGGCTCAGCTGCCTAGCGATTGGAGTTACGCTGAAACCGGTCTTGCTGTGAAGAAGATTCCTATTGGAGATGATATCGCCGCAGTAGCCTACCATCCTCCAACACAGAGCTACGTCGTGGGATGTAACACGCTGGAGCCATTTGAGCTGCCAAAGGACGACGACTATCACAAGGAGTGGGCGCGCGAGAACCTCGGCTTCAAACCCACTGTGGAGCGAGGAATGCTCAAGCTCGTGAGCCCAATGACCTGGACTGTTGTTGATGCTGTCCAGATGGAGCCGTGCGAGCTCGTTCTTTGTGTCGAGACGCTAAATCTAGAAGTCTCCGAGTCCACCAACGAGCGGAAGCAACTGATTGCCGTCGGTACTGCCCTCATCAAGGGGGAGGATCTACCGACAAGAGGTCATGTCTACGTCTATGATATTGCAGACGTCATCCCCGAGCCCGGACGTCCGGAAACGAGTAAAAAGCTGAAGCTCATTGCCAAGGAGGATATTCCCAGAGGAGCCGTCACAGCGCTTTCCGAAATAGGCACGCAAGGCCTCATGCTGGTTGCACAGGGCCAAAAGTGCATGGTCAGAGGTTTAAAAGAGGACGGAACACTCCTTCCAGTGGCTTTCATGGACATGAACTGCTATGTTACCACTGCCAAAGAGCTCCCAGGTACTGGCTTGTGTCTGATGGCAGATGCCTTCAAAGGGGTGTGGTTCACGGGGTACACTGAAGAACCGTACAAGATGATGCTTTTTGGCAAGAGCTCTACCAAGTTGGAGGTGATGAATGCAGATTTCCTTCCAGATGGGAAAGAGCTCTTCATCGTAGCGAGCGATGCGGACGGGCACATTCATATCCTCCAGTTCGATCCCGAGCGTAAGTCTAACCCCTTTTCCCCTTTCCCTCCCCAAGGTTCACGCATAACTAACCTTACCCCTTGACCCATCCAGACCCCAAATCCCTCCACGGCCACCTCCTGCTACACCGAACAACATTCAACACCGGCGCCCACCACCCCACAAAATCCCTCCTCCTCCCAGCCGCGACTGCAGCGGACAAGTACCCAGGGGGTCACCGCTTGAACAACAACCCACCCGCAGATCCCGCAGCCCAACAACAGCGTCCGCACGTCCTCCTGCTAGCCTCCCGCACGGGTGTGCTCGCCGCGCTGAGGCCGCTGCCGGAGTCGGCCTACCGACGGCTGGCGTCGCTGGCGGCGCAGCTGACGACGTCGCTGCCGCACCCGGCCGGGCTAAACCCCAAGGAGTACCGCATGCCGAGCGCCGACTGCCCGTCGGCCGGGGTCGAGGCGGGCATCGGGCGGAGCATCGTCGACGGAGCCGTGCTGGCGCGCTTCGGCGAGCTGGGCATGGCCAAGCGCGGCGAGCTCGCGGGACGGGCCGGGTATGCGGGCCCGGAGGAGGTCAGGGCCGAGTTGGAAGGCGTTGTGGGCTGGGCTGGGATGGAGTATTTCTGATTTGTCAACTAACTAACTAAACCGTTGGCCTGGCACTTGGGGTGGGTTTTCTGGGTTGCAAATGGCTGGCTGGTTGAGGGAAGTGTATTTGGGCTAGGGAGGTGAGGTGGGGCGAGGGCCAACGGGTCTCGTCCGTATCTGTTTCTTTCTACTTTGGTTCCGCTCGGTAGACATTTCTTGCTTTCCGAACGTTCAAATCGGGAGCGTCTCTAGGCTTTTTCATGCTGGGCTTGGGCTGCTGGTCTACAAAAAGGTACGCAACCTTTGAAGATTCCGAATCAGGATCATTCATCTATGATGTTCGTGTCTATTGGCATTCCAGAAGTCATATACTACTACCCTCTTCCGTTTAGAAACACACTATCCATGCATCTATCGGTGAGACAAAGCAAACCCTCAACGCCTGGTGTCTATACAAGTCTCGTAGGTCCGCACTCAATACCCCGCCTCCTTAGCAACCTTCTTCCTCCTCAAACTACCAAAGCGTCTCTTCAGAGTCTGGGCGAGGCTCTCGCCAGCACTACTACGGCTCCGCTGTAGCCCAGAGGAAGCCGAGTCCTCATGTGCATAAGCCTGGGGCAGTAGCTCAGCGCCGCTGCTAGCACTCCGCTGACGGACGTACGTATTGCCGCCTTGCTTTTGCTTTCCGCTGCCGGAAACGGCTCTGGTTGGGGTGAAACGGAGGGGAGTCTGCATCTCGTAGTACACGGTCCCGTTTTGAGGAGAGGCGGATGCGCGTTGCTTGCCGCGGGCCCGCCGCCGTTGGTCGTCGGAGAAGGCGGGCTCGCCTTTGCCTTTGAGGTCATCGTCCCGATAACGCTGCGAGGTGGTGTCAGTTGAGTCGTAAGGTCGAGGCGAATAGGTGTATGTTCGAGCCCGGCTTACCAGTTGCTCCCACCGCTTGTACGGCCCGCCGGGTGCGTCACTCTCTCGCATGAGGTCTGGTCCCTCCTGGTAGTCCATGACACGGCCACCCAGGTCCCTCATACCCGGCGGGACAACCGCGGTCCCCTGCAGCGGAACGTGCTTGATGAGAGAGTCCTTCAAATACTCGAGCGGAGTTGCCTTCAAAGCCTCCAAGTTGGTGTCCATGACGGCTTCTACAGGGGCTAAGGGCTTGTTGTTACGTTCCTTCATGGTAGGGTCAAAGGGGCCCTCATGATGGTATGTTACACCTGGTACGGGTCCTGTAACGTCTAGCGAGTCAATGGGATCGTTAGGCTGCTGGCGCCGGTGATTGTGCAGATGGGGTGCCCGATCGGCGGCCCGATGATCTCGCTTCAGCATTTCCAGGGGCCTGTGGGACATGTCACCGGGATATCGCTCTCTCAGGGAGGCGGATCGGCGGGGGAGCGTGTCTGCTCTGTCTCTTGCCCTGTGCTCTTGGTTAAGCATGTCCGGGGTCCGGCGGGAGCTCTCGTCAGGGTAGCGTTCGGCGAGAGAGCCAGCACGTCGACGGGACCCGGCTTGGTTAACCGCGGTTGCCATTGCGGCTGAGCTAGGCCTAGGGGTACTGAGGCTGTTCGCCCTGAATAGCACAGTGCCCTGGTTCCAGCGCGTCTGCGGAGGGTTTGCGGTATGAACGGATCGCTTGCGATCCAGACCTGATAATGGGGGGTATTTGGAGCGCGGAGAGGGAGGGGGACGGGGCAGAGGCTTGTTGTTTAGACTCGGCTTGCTGTTTACAGTGTTGCTTCGGCTCAGGAGACGAGTGAGGAATGGCTGTTTCTCGTCTGCGTCTGCGTCTTCGGACTGGGAGCGTCGGCTCCTCTGGCTAAGGCGTCGGCGAGGTGGGTTTACAGAATCAGGCGGGGTTGAAGGCAAAGGTTTGAAGCGAGTTGCAAAGACTTGACTCGGCTCCGGGTCATACAGAGGACCAAGGAGGTATTTGGCGGCCTATCGAGTCAACGACGAAGAGAGCGCATCAGCAGAAACCCAACAGAGTAACAGCAACCGGAATACGAATAATGAGAAGAAGAGAGTAATGTCATGGTTCTGCCACTGGCAGAATGTGTAGGAAGGAAACCAAGCTTGGAAGCTTGCGCTGGTGCCATGTCAAGGAGGTGGGCAGCGGTGACGCAACAGTCTGGAACCTTGGACATGATCGCCAGTAACAAGTGAAAATGGCAACATAATACACTAGAAGCAGGCTGTTCGTTGAGAGTGGGCCACGGCTACACTTAGTATAAGCCGCTGTAAACATATAGAATGTCAATTGGAAAATCCATGTGTTCCTCCAGGCTTCCATGGCAAGAACGGAAAGAGTACGAGAAGCCGGCAGTGGAGATGCACACATGGTCGTCATCCACTGCAGCCAGGGTCTGATGCACCATGAATTTGAAGCGATACCGACAGGCTGGGTATGACTAAATACGTTATAAGGAAGAACAAGCTCACCCATTGCTTGTCGTTGGGCAAATCCCAGTCGTCCATTTTATGTAACGTAGGCGGCACAGCAGCAAGTCAGGCTACTTCTTGGGTCCGTAGCGGGGCTCGTGGGGATTCGAATCAGTTATGATCAAGTTTAAGCCTTGACAAGGTGTTTGAGGCGGATGGAGAAAAGACCTTGGTGTTCAGACTCCCTCGAAACTGCTCCCTTAATTGGCAAAGTGGTAGATGGCCAGAGACAGGGTTCGCGGTTTCCAGTTATGACCATGAGATTGAGGCAGGAGACTGAGGTGTCCTTACCTTGTTATGTAGTGTATGAAGACGGCCGTCGCGGACAAGACCATGGCGGGGCAAGCTCGACCTTGTTCGACAGACGACACCGCTTCTCACCCACTTCCTAAGTAATTAATCCGTTTCAGCGAAACCAGGGCCCGGCAATAGAGTATGTGCCGTGATGTACGGTCTGATTTTGCTATGGACGGGAGATAGGTCGCAGTGCCTGCCCTTTCTTTTCGTCCTCGTTATCGTCGACTTCTCCGGGGCGAAGCATGACGAATCGGGTGTGATTGGCCGAGGACATCACCCGCTCAGCTTAGCCCACGGTGTGTCTTTGGGATAAGATCTCATTAATGCAGTAGACTGAACCGTAATGCTCGGCCTGTTGTTAAACGACTTCGCGTGACCTCCGCTCTTCGCTGAATACGTGACTGAAGATAGATGTGCTAGGTAAGGTAAGGTATGGATCTATGTACAATACGAAGTACCTTACAATACCTGACCTGCCAGGCTGCTGTGGGGCGGGATTTCTTCCACATCAAGACTGCATCTTGTAGTCTGCATCGGCCAATTGGCGCCAGTATCTCTTGCATGCTTTCGCAGTGAGCGCCGGTTCCCCGAGCACACCAGCATTTTACGGCCGAGGGGAGCATGGAGCATGAGCCCTTGCATAAGAAAAGAGAAACACGGCAGAACACGGCTTTCTGACGGCCGCGATTGGCTGACCAGTTGAGCGTTTAGGACAGCAATCGATCCGATTTTGGCCCGGGCAGCATCGCAGCGAAACACGGCCAGGCCCTGGCAGGGCTGAGAGGGACCTTGACGGGCATGGCGGGCCAGGAACGCATTCCGAGAAATCGTCATCACGCTGCAAAAAATCCCGTACGATGCCTTTGGTAGATTACTCCTCCGAATCCGATCCCGAATCCGATTCAGCCTCCACATCGGCCCCTGACGCTACCACGGATCCGCGTCCAAGAAAGAAGCCAAGACTAAGCTCATCCCCACCCCAGTCCGGTCTCGGCCCCGATCCCCAACCCGGGCCTGGTCCCGGAACCGGTCCCGACCCAACACCCCACCGTAACCAAGCACCTCTACCACCCCTGCCGGCCTCCTTCTACGACCTCTATGCCTCCACAGTCCGCACCTCGACCCGCGACGATCCCACCCTCCACCAAGGCCGCACCCGCCAGACGCCGCACATCCCAGGCAACTGGCCCAGCCACATCTACATCGAGTGGCATCCTCCTCCTGAGGTTCACACACTGCTCGCGTCCTTGGTATCCTCCCTTCAAAAGCAGCAGCATCATTCCGCGTCCAACCTTGCCAAGGGCAAGTCCGACAGAGGGAAACCAGCTCCCAATCCCGCCACCACCACCAGCGCGGACGGAGACGGAAAAGGGGAGGATGAAGAAGAGGAGGAGCAGAAGGCCGCCGACGACGAGAAAGAAAAAATCACCAGCTTCCTCGTAAGCCCCCTCGGCGCGCCGCAGCCGTTGCACATCAGCCTGTCGCGGCCACTGTCCCTCCCCGGGACAGAGAAGGACGCCTTCCTCCGGGACGTGCAGGCGCGGATCGCAGGCGTTCTTTTCTCCTCCCACTCCCCACCACTAAGCCTATTCTGCAACGGTGTGGTCGAGTGGCACCGCACGCCCGAGAGCGGGCGGTCCTTTCTCGTTCTACGCGTGCGCCCGAGCACGAGTGACAATAGACATAATCCCAACCCAGAGCTGACAGAGCTCCTGCGTCGGTGCAACGCGGTGGCGGCAGCCTACGGACAGCCCGAGCTCTACTCGTGGGCCGCCGAGTCAGGGGATGATGATGACAGGAACGGAGGAGGAGACAGGAAGATCGGCGAGGCGTTCCATGTGTCAATTGCGTGGTCGTTTGCCGAGCCCAGCGAGGAGTTGAGGAGAGTGACCGAGCAAGTATTTGGGGAGAAAGGCGTCAGGGAGAGGATTGAGCAAGTGCAGATCCCCGTTGACGGCGTCAAGGTCAAGATTGGAAACACGGTTACTCATGTACCGCTCCCACAACCAGGGAGGAGGGCGAGCGGAAAGGGTAGCAGGAATCTACTTGGATTGTGAAGGAGAAAAGCATGTATATACCCGTTACCATATCGGTCAATATGGAGAAAAGTTATATACTTGTGTATATGTTATATACGCGCTGCAAACCCAGACAATGATGCCGCTGGATGCCTCGAATTAAAACCCAAGTCCCTTGTAACACCTAAACACCGTTTCTGCGTCCTGCTCTGACGACTGATGACGCGATGCACAACTCAAATCAGGCTTTTCAAAGCTCGTCCAGTATTCGATCGTTGAAACCCCACGATCTTGGGCTCACGGGTAGGCCGATAAAAGATTGCCATAGACGCCGCAACTCGGACGTGACGATGTGCCATCTAGACGGCAAAGTTAGCACGGTTCCCGGCAGAGCGGTTTGCCAAAAGCGGACAACCTACAGAATACTTGGGAGCCGAAACCAGCTGCCAACAATGTATTTGAGAGCCTTGAACACCCTCTCAAGCTCATCATCAAACTCGTCCTTAATGGTTCGGTTCTGGTCCTCTGACGACTCGGTTTCCGCCTCCTCGTCGACAACTTCAGGGGCAACAGCCTCAGCTGGGACCGCGACAGTGACGTAACCCGGCTTCTTTGCCCGATCCGGGATGACATTGATCTTCTCGGCTTCCTTGAGGCGCTGCTCCATCGCCTTGGCCGTCTCATCCTCTTCCACCATCACCCTGAATTTCTGAATGGCGCTTAAGCTGCTGCTCAGCCTCGCGTAAGTGTTGAACAAGGCAACCAGCTCGGTGCGCTTTAGAATCGGGACCTCGGGCTTGTCGTTATTCTCAAACTCAAACAACACCTTGAGGGCCGTCCCGTAGCCAGCTGTCTGGAGCTTGCCCCAGAGACGGCACTTGTCACAGCCAACACAGTCCATCAGGCGGCTAATGTTGCGGAAGCGGTTGCGGAAGTCCTCCTTCAGAGACGGTCCCTCGCCGTTCTTAAACATGAGGCTCTCGTCAAAGATTTGTGGAACACTTGCCGCCTTCTCCGCAACTGCCATGACTTTGGCGCGTGTCACCGCGTCCTGATCAGGGTCGCCCATACAAAAAGTGTAATCTTGTTGCTGGGACAGATAGGGCTTAAGCTTGGCGACAGCGCGCGTGACGAGCGCATAGTTGAAATACAAGTTGCTGATGCGGTCGGGGAATTTGTGCAGGCGAGAAACGTAGCAGCCGACGTTCGGCTGCCACTCCCCAGTCGTCTGGTTGAGAAAATCCCAACACAGGTGGGTCGAGATGCTTGCGTGCATGCCTGAAACGACCCTGTAAAAGACTCGCTTCTCGAGGCACTCGTCTTCGTACTCCAATCCCGTCTTCGCCACGAACGGGGTCAGAGGACTGTGTTGCCGCTCTTGTTCCAGGACTTGCTGCCGGCCGGCAGCCTCGATCACAGCCTTGAAGTCCATCGCCGCCGGACCCCTGGGTGACGTGTCCCGGCCGAGTTTTGCGGAATTGGGGAATGAGCTCCGCTGGAAGCAGTTCTCTCTGTAGATGGCGTCCCAGACCTGCTTGGCCCCGTCGCCAGCATAGCCGGTGAAGCGTTCCGGATTGCGCAACAAGCTCACATAGTCACCCTTGGAGGCCGCACTTTCATCTTCGGGCACGCAGTAATCCCGATCGTCACACTCGTCATCGTATTCGACAACGCAACTTTCACCAACATCTTCCCCTAGGCTACCCTGTAGCGGCCGTAGGGGCAGTGCCTTCTGCACGCTCTTTCCGGGGTGTCTCGCGCGCGGGCCCTCGAGCTTGCCTAGCTCACTGGCTCGCCACACTAGCGGAATGTCCTCCTCGTTGTCGAGCGTCTCGACGGCGCAGGCAATGTTTCCGCACATGCCATTCTCGTCATTCCAAAAGGGGCATTTCTTGTGGAACAAGTTTAGCCGGTAATGCGAGAAGAAGTCGGTTGTCTGTGTCAATTCGTCAAGGGCCGGCTTGACATTGCGGTTCAACCGCTCGAGGGTCGAGTAGGAAGCGCATGCATCACTGACGATGGCTTTTGGTGAGATCTGCCAGAGCGAGCCGTTAGAATGCAATACCGTATGCGAATCTCGACGGCGGCTTGTGCTGCCACTCCTGCTGCCGGGCATCCAGATGACGCAGCACTAGACAGGCCGAGAGAGGAAATAAGGTTTAGTAAAAAAGCGTACCGCGCATGCATCTTGAGAGGACGAGTCTGAGCTTTGACATTGGCCCCGGGGTCCCCAGAGAGCGAAGATGGACAAATAAAAGAGGCGCGCAGCCGACTTCATGTCTGGCGGTCGGTGTGTCCTGTGGTCGTTTGGGGCCGGAACCTAAAGGACAGGAGACTTCGACTCTTGCTTGGCCGGTTATTTTGGTGTACGTGGAGGAATCTCTCAAGCAGGCCGTTTCCGTTTCCTGGGACCCGTCCTGAAACGTCACTCCCAAAGGTGTCGTCCGATGCAAGAGCTGTCACTTAGCCTATCTTATCGGGGCCGGGTGATCGACAATCTAAGCTTGGCGGTTCAGGAAATCGGAGGAGAGGTAGATTGAAGGACAGCGTAGGTTTGCGATGCAAAACCGTTGAAAGGACACAGGGACAAAGAAAAGCGATTGGTTTGATCAAATCCTTTCTTTGCTTCTGTTTGGCCACCTGCTGTCTGACTGAAAGAGGCGAAGTGACGTTGGCCGGGTCCATGGGTTTATCATCGTCTGGAGTCTGGAGGGGCCACCAAGTGGAAATGTGTCCAGAAGGAAAATCAGCAGATGGTGAATTGCCGACGGATGACCTGCTGCACTCTGATTGCTTGGAAATCATGGAATCGGCTGGTGCATCCTTCTCGTACCCGGACAATTGTGGCGCAATATGCGCTCTTCCATTGCCGTTCCATGATCAGGACGCTCGTTCTTGTCTCGTGGTACACGGCTTGAATTGGAGACTTTTACGGAGACATTCAACGATTTCTCTCAGAGGTTGGATTGCTCAACCTGGTTGAAAGATGTCGTGTTGCAGCATCAGCCGCATCAAAGCGCCAGTGTCCCGCCAATCCGAGCTTGGGTACTGTACCAGAATGGGAGTTTCGGTGACTTCCACCTTTGGTAGCCGGCACTGATTTACGAATATTTCGCTGCCGCAACCCGAACAATCACCAGTTACAAAGTGGCATCGCATCGTTAGTGAGAGGCCAATGTCAATTCCACAAGCTCGAATCCTAAAAACCCATGATTAGTCGGCAGAGCACGTCAACTCCCCAAGCCAGGTACCGGTATGTGTAATACTTGGCCATATCATGGTAATCGACTAATGTTTTGAATCGTACATAACCAACGATTGAGTATCGCTGTCCAACAGCGAGCTCACATGCGTTCATGAATCGCCCTGGCCGGATGCGATTACTCTGTCGGCGACGGGTAGTGTCCGCTAGTATTCGCCAAACGGCCCATTATCACCGAGTCCTTACCTCAAAATCGCGTATAGGTCATCAGCCAATCGCTTCCCATGTTGGCTGGATCCATGAGAGCGGGAAGGTGATGTGGATGGAGGCGTCGGTCGAGACAGAGTTGGGATATGCGATGCTCCGTGGTACCCTAACCGTTCCCTGCGTTGTCGATGGTATTGTGTCCATGCGTTATGCGAGCATCGCGATGCAGCCGTAAGCATCATAACGCAAGATGTGCCACAAGCGCCGAGTCTTTCCCGCCCCCACGCGCCGACCCTGCTCACTGGGGCGGTTGGTAGTTTAGAGGGCGTCTGTCAGGGAGTTAGCTGCAACTGTGGTTGGACACAACCAGTTCAAGGGGTATTTACTTGAAGAGCAAGATATGGGGCTCTGGCTCGTGGACCTCATAATGTTCCCAACCCAGACTCTGCGAATCAGGTTAGTTTCTGGGTCAAGAAAGGGCACGCCAGGAAACGATGCGCACCTGTGTAATTCCCATTCCTCGCCACTCTTCCTCCCATAAAAGCTTCAATGTACCCTTAGACTTGTCATGGTACTCAGCGGGAATGACTTTGAGCATGGCTTTGGGCAGCTGGACGTGGCGGTACTCAAATTCATTGTCGGAGTATCTACCGCAGGTCAGCGAAGGCTAGAAGGAGGATACCTGGCCGTCATGACGTAGCGTACCGCGTAGAATAATGTATCGAATCAATAAACTCATCGAGGCGTGCACGTTCGTCATCCGTCAGCGGCCTCGGAGTTGGGTTGCGGCGGCTAGTGTCGATGCCCATTTGCTCCGCATTCGCCATCTTCGCCGACCCCGGTGTAGGAAATTTGGACTTGCGCAGGTTTGCGTGGGACCAGAAGAAAACTATTTTTCTGGTGATCGGGAGATGGCCAGGATCCACGACGGAAAGACCAAGATCACGTCAAAACGAGCGCCCGAGCTCAGCTCGCGGAGTGTACGTGGGGTTTCTCAGGGAGTCGAAAACAGTCGCTGTTGAATTATGCGAAAACAAGGCGGATGGAGATACCGACACGCGATCACCTGGGTATTCGTAAAGTTGATCTTTCCCTCGATTGGGCGGTGTTGCGTAGAGAGCGATCGTGGGAGGCGTGTCTGGTGTAAAGTTGAGGCTGTGGAGAAGGAATTGGCGAGTGGGTGAAGGTAAACAAATCGGTTTCCGTTGATGGTTTTGACTTTGAGAGGGCCCTCCCGCGCTTGCCTAGCGCTAAAACTTTGTCCAGGTCTTGCCCCACCTCTGGCGCTAAAGGTGGGGGATTGAATCATAAAGTGGCCCGTGCATTGTGGCATACGTAATGCTTGTACCTGTATTGTACTGTACTGTATTGAATACATTACTTCGTGCACGTAACACAATAGTACGAATAATCTGAATAAAAATCTCAAACTTAACAAATGCGCTCAGTATCAAAACTCTATAGTATGCAGCATCAACTCTCCAGGGCCTCCCTTCCCAACATTCATACATCCATTCATCCATTCATCCATCTTCATTACAAGGTTCCCGCGAAAGGATTGCCAAACCCCTCGCCTTGGTGGACTGCCTGGGTACTGTGTAGGCTCCCTACGAGTCGTGTGCAGTTGAGCGAGAAATGTCCTCCCACTCCTTCAGCAGTTCCAAGGTGCTCTCGCACTTTTCTCTGATCACATCGACACAGTCAGGACCCAGGACCAATCTCACGGGCACATCTCTCCCCTTAGCCACGCCCTCCTTGGTCAGCACATCGACAATGACCTTTGCGCATTTCTCGACGTCGCCCGGCTGGTTGTTGTCGTATGCGCTCAGGGCCTCGCGGGTACGGGCCGCATCCGTGCCGCGATAGACGTCCAGCTGCCGTGCTGCCACTACGCGGTGATCTCCTTGGTTCAGAAACCCGGTGCGGGTGTAGCCCGGTTCAACACAGCAGACGCTGATGCCGAAGGGCTGCAGCTCCTGCGCCAGCCCTTCAGTCAAGCCGCTAACCGCCCATTTGGTGCTGCAGTCTGTTATGGCACGTCGTCAGCAACCCATTGTTCCGTTCCCATCCAAAATGGGCATACTCACAATGTGCCACAGCGGGGCCAGAGCGCCAGCTTCCCAAGCTCCCAAACGTCGCAAGAGCCGTCATCTGCCCTGGCGTCTTTGCCGCCTCACGGAGATGAGGCGTCGCCGCGCGCGCAATGTTGAAGGTGCCAAACACATTGGTGTTGTAGTGATCAAACACTTCCTTTTGGCTATTTCCCCCAGAGTCTTGTCAGCCCTGCTATCTCCAGCACCTACGGCCAACAGGAGGAAAGAAACAAACTTACCTAGCCTCCTCGATAGTCCCCTCAAGGATGTAGCCTGCGCAGTTGGCAACGTGCGTGATGCGGCCGTGGATGGCGCTGGCTTTGGCAAAGATGGCCGCAAGCGTCGCCTCGTCGCTCGTCACGTCGAGGTCCAGCACGGCTGCGCCAGCCTCCTTGAGGTCGCTGAGCTTGGCAGCCTGGCGGGCTGTCGCAATGACATGGTGACCCCGTGAAAGCGCCTCGCGTGCAATAGCATTGCCAAACCCGGAGGTGGCGCCGGTGATGAGCCAGACAGGGGTGGTCGTCATGGTGAGTTGATTTCAAAAGTGAAGAGTCGGGAACTGTTGCTTGGTGATTCGAAAAACGTTATGTTAAATTTGAAGATTTAGAACTGCTGCTTGGTGATTGGAATATCTTGGTGTGTCCTGGGCTGGACTTGAGATCGAGATGGGAGCATGGCGTTGGGTTTAAATGCTTTCCCTCGCTGCGGAACGACATCGAATTAACACGCCCGATGGCACGCTTTCCCCGGCCTCTGTAGGCCCGGTGATAAGCCCGCTCTCAATGTCTACACGGAGCATACGATGAATGCTGGGTTGACATGTCTAGTGCATGACAACCAGCAGTCGTTTGTCGGTGGTTTTGGACGTAGCCAAGGGCCTAACTCCTGCCAAGACGAGGGGCTCACTCAGCAGCCATCGGCGATAGCTGAACGGGTAGAATACACCGATCGGCTGTAGCAAGAAGAAGACGGGATTGGTGGGCTATAGTAGTATGATGGACGTCAACAACGAGCATATAATTCTTGGCTTTGGTCTCTGAGAGCGCCTAAATGCGAGCGGAAAGTCCGAGGATTAAGTACCTTCTTGTCTAGCAGAAGATGATGGATTGCAATGGTAGGCAACGCCCAGGCGGACATTGAAATTGCCACAGAACCTACACATATCGAGATCAAGAAATGTCTATGGGCTGGATCAGCCATGTATCGAACTCAGGCGAATTTCGGTACGCAGTACCATGATTATGTAGTCTCTCATATCCTCAAGACCAGAATATACCTTATGTACGATGTGTATTGTACGAGAATTCCACATAAGACAACGCAACGATGGCCCTGATCCCCGATCCCAGCGATTTGCCTCACCAAGGAGCACCGGACATTATGCGTGATTACCCAAATTTATCATTACTTTAAGAGTCATGTCTTCGTGATCGGGGAGGAAGATATTTTGTGAACGGGGCGTGATTAGAGGCGTCATGTGAAGAGAAACTCTTTCAAGACCGGAGAGCCAGAGAATTCGGGGTTGAGCAGGATACAGCTTTTCAAAGATTAGTTCTCATCCTGCTTGCCACCCTAGCATGAAGGTCAATGCGACTCACTTCAGGAAATACTGCAGGCCTGCCCTCCTCTTCTCGAGGAACTTGGACCGGAAGCGGTTGATCAAGCTCTTGGGCGGCAGCGCCGGCACAGCCGCCTCAAAGTTGGGGAATGTCTGGACGAGTCGCCGTCGGAGGTCGTCGAACTCGGAGTAGCGCTTGCGAATGTTCATGTAGGAGCCCTATTAAGAAAATAAGAAGGAACAAAGACCCTGTTAACTTCCGCTTCCCTTCCTCTTCATTTATTTCGAAAACGGAGGGGCCGTAGCTTACATTGAAAGTCTCGACCCTAATAATCCAGACCACAAACGCCCCCAGGTTTGTCGTGCCGCCGTTGACCAGCACATAATCCGTCACCTGCACGCTCCGTGCCCAGCACGCCCGGTTGCGGTCGCGCCCGTAGACCTCGCTACTGTTGCTGCGCCGGTAGCCGTCCCCCGCGTCGCCATTCTCGTCCTCGTCGGCCTCGTTGTCTTGCAGCGTGATGGCCCCCGGCGGAAGCACCGAGTCGGCCGAGGCGTTGGAGACGGCGCGCGCGTGGCCAGGGGTGTGTGGCCGTAGGTTGCTTTCCGGCGGTCGGGATGACGCAGGCTTGTTATGGGTCCAGTAGGGAGGAGACGAGACGCTCGGGGAAGTCATTTGCTCCGAGACGGGCTCTGAAACCCGAGACGACGAGCTGTCATTATCTTCGTCGTCTGAGAAGAACGCGGGGCGTTCGGGTTCCTGCTGTGTTGCGCCATTTGGTTTTCTGGGGCTGCGGATGCTTGGCTCGGCAGCGCTGGGTTCACCGTCCACGCAATTGCGCGGGTTGACGGTAATAGCTGGCGGTTGGAGTCGTTGCGCCCGGGGCTGTGGTTGGAGTGCTTGGTCGACTTCCGACGCCATTCAAGCCATTGGAAACAGGCAACTATTCCACAGAGCGATTGGCCACAAGGAGGATGGGCTTAGGGAGTGGCGCGCACAGAGCAGCGGCCGTTGCGAGGGCGGCAACCCTTTTCGATGCAGGTCAGATATCGCGATTCGAAGAGTGACAGAAAAGAGCTCGGAATTTGTACGCAGGCGGCAGGGTAGGAGCTGCCGCGGTCACGATAATCTGCTCAAACTCAGGAAACTCAGGTTGTAAAGCTCAGAGAGAATTGCGTACGCGCAGTCGTTGAGTCTGGCCGTTGTTGGGGAGTACTCCAGCAGTGGGACGTGCAAAGAAACTGCCCAGATTTCTATGAGCGGCAGTTCCAGGGATGGCATCGTCATCGCGGCCGCGGTCCCGCTAATCAATCCATGTCACCCCCACATCTGCGATGTAAGCGCTTAGGGTTGGGGTTAGAATAAGGTGCAATACAAGTGTCAGTACCCTTCAATAGCGGGCTTGAAAGCTCTGAGTCCCTGACACTTTTGCTCTCAGAGTTCAGGAACCTGTTTATGTCCTGCAAGCCACTAGATTGGAGGAGCATGCGAAGGGTTGACCTGCAAATAAACCATTGGTCTGGCTCGAGGCGGATCTTGCAGTGTGCCGGTTACTTGACCACCCCCTTATTTTCGTTTCCTTTCATTCGCGTGTTTTGTATTTACCTTGGCCGATCAAGTCAGAAAGAGCCCCCTATAGCTCCTCCTTCTCACCAGTCCTGCTGCCGTCTTCCCATGCCCCCTGCCTGACCTCAGGAAGATAGCCCTCCAAGTCCATCCACTCAGCCACAAACGCCGTCATGATGCTGGCCCAATCCCTGATGGTTGGCACATCCAGATGTGCCCCATCGTCATCCATGGTGTGCCATACCGGCGGAAACGGCGTGGGAATGATATGCAGCACATCCACCCCGCGCTGCATGAATGGGACGTGGTCGTCCTGGACGTACCCCCTAAAGACCTGTGACGCGTCATTCCCGCTCTCTGCCAGAAAGGCCGTCTTCGGCCTTGTCCAGAGCGCGCCCAGCTTCCTTAGCCTCTCCTCGATCTTTGCCAGGTTCTTATATGCCCAGTGCGTCTTGGGGAAGTATGAGGGAATGTTTGGCTCGGGCGCTCCTAGCAAGTCCAGCAGCACAAATAGACTGATGGCTTCCAGAGGCGTCGAAAATGCGCTCCCAGCTTCGTACCGCGTATCTTGCCACGCCTCGGCCAGCGCCCTGCCAAGTCACCCGTCAGGATCCCCTTCAGCCAAGCAATTCCCACCTCCAACCCCCAGCATCGCACCGATAGGTAGTAAGCAGATAGGCAGGGGACTCACCTCGCGCCGTACAGACTATCCGTCTCGCTCCACTCCACCCATGCCTCCTCCCCATCCAGGAACAGCACCTGCACCCCCTTTTCCTCTTCCATCCCATCCCCTTCCCCGTTCGCCTCCCACCGCCGAGTCAGCCCCGCATCCACACCCTTCAGCACAGCCATCAGGACCGCGCAGGGCACCGCGCTGTCCACGGCGCCGACGAAGCCCTCGGGCCGGTACAGGCTGTCGTAGTGCGCGGCCAGCGTCAGTCTTGCCACGTTGCCTCCCCCTCCTCTCCCTGCCGGGCCCTTTCCCTCCCCGCTTTCAGCAGCAGCAAGCCATGGCGGATCCCGCCTCAGAATGAGATTTGCAAACGGCACCTGCCGGTCGCCTGTCGCTGGGGTGGTCGAGGTGAAATTGTGCCATTCGAGGGTCCAGCTCGGGTGTAAGTTGTTCCGGACGAAGGATATGAAATGGTGCTGGACCGAGGCGTGACCCGGCGTCCCCGGAACGCGGGGGACGAGGATTGGGGAGAGGAGGGTGCCGTGTTTCGGGTCAAAATCCGGGTCTGGGGAAGAGATGGAGACAGAGGAAGGGAGGTGGTGGAGGAGGGAGCGGTCGGATAGCGGGGTGTAAGCCAGGGCTCTTGAGCCGATAAACAAAAGGGGGAGGTGCGGTCTCATTATGGGCAAACGTTGGGGGGCTTAATATTGTAAAGCGGCGCAAATTCCGGAGTCATCCTTCGGCAGCCGATGTTGTTGTCTTTCCAATCATCATAACTAGAGTGCTTTCCAATGTTGTTCCATGGTCGCTAGGTAGTCGTGAACATGTAAATGGGAGTTGATTAAGCGCAACGTAGCCAGTTCCAGTGCCATTGTAAGTAGGGAGTTTGATCAGTGCGGGAGTTTGATCGGACCCCACATTCGCCAGCTGGCCAATCCTTGGCGATGAATTCAGATTGGTCCAATCAGGAATTTGATCAACTCCCGAACTGATCAAACCCCCTACTTACAATGGTAGTGGGGTTTATTGGTTGCTCTTGGTGCATAAGGTTGCTTTTCTGGGGTCCGGGGTTGTAGAGGCGCCAATGCAAGGCACAAGGCCCCTGCGTTGAAGGTTAGTTTTGGCTGCTCAACCACGGCTCACCCTCAACCACACCATGCTTTTCAAAGCCCACGCAGGTACCTATAACCGCACAATATGTACATACATTATCAAGTATGGAAGCTTTCAATGCTCACCTGTAACACGACCGCAGTCAAATGAATGCCTAGTACCTACGTATAATACCTTGGTGATATGCCGAGAGTTCGATCATCAAGAACGGGTATCAAATGATGCTGAGACTGAGATCAAAGTCAAGACTCAAGAATCGAGTGGAAAGAGTGTAAGGGTACTTTGAGGAGCAAAGCAGGCTTTCCTCAAATTGTTTTAGCTAAAAGCAGCTGGGTACCTACCTTAGTCTTCCTACAATTGCAAGTCATCAAGTTCAGGGACTTCGGGAAACCAAGGATGACACGGCCGTAGTATCTACCAAAACCTCTTGCGTCTCTCAAGCTCGTCTCAGATAACCAATCAGATCCCTCTATATAACCTTCTCTGGACCTATGGAGCTCTATACCCAAGCAAACATGCAACTGATTATCACAGTCAACGGCCAGATAGACATTATCAAGACCCTACAAGAACGCCGTGCTATGATATGATGCCTATGCCAATGCCAATGCCAATGCCACCGAAGGCGATTGAACAACTCGAGACAAAAATGAAGACAAAAATAAAAGGAGCTCAGGGCTCAAGAGTTGCCTCAGGAGCCGCCTCTTGGTAGCAACCAATACCTAATGCTTCCCTCTCCGCCACCCGGAACCTCTTCGTAACCGTTGAAAAACCGCCCACAGTCGTTCCACACTCCGTCATTCGTTCACTCCAGCTTCTTCCCATTCGCCATCCCGTTCGCCACAATCTTCGCAACCTTGGCATTCTCCATCTGCTTCTCGTACGGGATGGTCAGGCAGTTGATGCCCAAATAGTTGCAGATGCTCGTCGTGACAAGGTACGCCCAGCGGAAGTAGGCGACTGCTGCGAAGACCAGGTAGCCGAGCAGGTACGCGTGTTCCGTGCCGGCCGACACAGCGGGCAAGCCGAACCTGGGCAGGTTGCCGAGCACAGCGCCGCCAACCAGCGGCCACAGCATGACGGTCCAGTATGGGAAGGGCTGCCTCGTCAGGTGCGCTAGAATCATCTTGGTGGTCATGCGGCCAAAGACGAAACTCATGATGATGCAAAACAGTACCAAGTGATTCTCAGACCGGATCGTCGAGTACGGGCTGTACAGCCACATGCCAATGCTGAGCGTGTACACGACCATCGGCGTCCACTCCAGGAATACCGGCGCTACTGGCTGGCCGCGGGCACGACGGGCCTTGACGACGTGGTGAATACAAAACGGAATGTGGGTGAGGAGAAGGGAGGTGACGAGGACGGTCACCCAAAGGTCGCGAATCGAGAGCTCGGCCAGTGTATCGTCCGTCAGGCCGAGGTTGCGGAGGAAGTAGATGCGGTCGCCTATCAACTTCACCAGCGGCTCCGTCCAGACACCCGGGCCATAGTAGCCGCTAATGATCATGAAGGTGCAAGCTAGCAGGATGCCTTCCGTCGGGCCATTGATCACGCCGAGGTAGAGCGTATGCGTGTGGTACGTCTCCCATGTGGAGAAGAACATGGCAATGCAGGGACACAGCGCCGTGAACACACCAGACTTGGAGGTGCCAAGACCCATGGCGGCCGTCTCCAGTAAGCTGGCCAGCGTGCAGTTGAGGCTGTCAATGCCGTGGTCGAACAACTCGCCCAGTCCGCTCGACGTTCCGGTACGCCGCGCTTGCTTGCCGTCGACATTGTCAAATGTCTGGTACATGAAGAGTCCGAAGGCGAAGCTGTAGTATACCCACGGTGGCGCCTAACACGCACAGAACAGACAACACATCGTCAGCTTGAGCGCCTGGAGTATTTGTGAGTATCGAGCCAGGAAACGTACCGGTCCTTCAAGATCCGGCATCATAACCACCAGTAGGCCAACGTTGAACAGAATGCACATGAACCCTAGAAGGGTCACCATGTTTGGCGCTAACCATAGTGGTAACAGCTCTACGAAGGCATTCCACTGTATCTCAAGCTCAGCTGCGTCCCCTACATATCCTCGGCTCATGGTGCTCCGGGGCAGAGAAGGACGGGCTCGCATACATATGGTCTTAGGATGTAGTGGGATATTGGTGACTTGTCGACTGCTGAGTACTTATATGATTTGAGGTGGATGAGCGCATCGTCCGAGACACACTCGGCAGCGGCTCGCTCTAAAGCGTGCGAGCGCACCCCGAAGTCAGTATGGGTTCTTTAAGCCAGGAACTGTATTGTGGCAGGGGAATGTGAATCTAGACAGATATCGGGGGAAAGATGGGGCGTATGCGCACTGCTATTGTTGGGAGCCATATGTATTATCGCTCAGTCTAGGAAAGAAGAATAACGCCGATTTTAACCCGCAGTGATGTACGGACCCGGGAAAAGAAAAAAGAAGAAGGTAAGAAAAGGAGGGTTTGGAAAGCGGATCGGGCCGCTTGGGGAAAAGTGGCAATGGAGGTCAAGAAAATTGCCGGCGTGGTCGGATGCCCACCAGCGCCAGCAAGCGAGGAGACGTCAGCGGTATGGGACTGTCGCTATTTTACTGACGATTTGTGTCCTGCAGGTCCCGGTTCCACACGTACAACTTGAGCCGAGCTGGGATTGCGAAAACATCCATAGTCCCAGCAACAGAGGTGTGCGGCCCCTCTCGATTCTCAGTTGTGAAAGGGGCGGTTAATTGAATCAAGAAATCTCAACAGATGGTTGGTTTTTGGAGGGGTTGAAGCCCCACTGGGCTACGAGCTGACACGTGAAAGTGCGATGGCGGTCAGGCTCCCGTCTGATTCGGGTTGAGTGCGCCGGCCGCTTCTCGCTTCTGCTTCTCTGGTAAACATCTTAGCCACCTAAGGTAGTTATGTATGTTGTTCCAGGGTTGCCACCACCAACTCATCAACCTTGATGGTTTGCTAACAAGACATGTTGGCGATGCAACAGTCCCATGGCCTTGGGAACCGGCAGCGCCGGGTCAGGAACCCCAATGCCCTGAAGGACAGGGCCACAACGGATGATTGGGTGGCAAGAACAGGAACCGCATGTGACAAGACGGAAGCGGTCAGGAAATCGGATGAAAGAGCCTGGCAGGTAATTGATGAGAGCAACAGCTTCCACATCCTTGCCTCTTGTCAATTGACTAACTTGCCTGCCCGGGTTGGGCAGCACGCTGAGGGTACAAGATCCCATTCCATGCGACCAGTCAGTGCAATCCCAAACTCCCATTCCGCTGGTGGCAGCAATCAGAAATACCGAGTCGAACACTTAGACATTAAAATATACCCGTAATTAACGCTGCTCCCCGATTGCCGTTGGCTGCCAACAAGACAATGCCATCCCAACTCGGTTTCACAATGCAGAGGCCAAACAGCCGACGGTAACGAAAACAAGCTCGCTTTGCATGCGAGCGTCCGACCAAACCGGTGTCCTCCTCAAATCGGTTCAATTAACCGAACGTCGTCGATCCTGGTTGTTTGGAGGTAAATTATATCAAGAGAGCGAACCCGGCAAACATGCCAGCGGCAACAACCGCAAGACCATACGAGCTCCCGAATCGTAACGCTCCAGCAGCGTTTTGACCTGCGTTGTTGCCCGACGACGAACTTCCAGAATCTCCCGCAAAGCCATCGAAAACTGAGTTGCTGCTCGAGGAAGTCGGCGCCGCTGTCGAAGATGCGGCTGAGGTGCTTGTCGTGTTGACACGGGTCGGATTCTGGGCACCGCAAGGGTGATCCTCACGGCAGTCCGCCGCGCACAGGTTGTCCGTACCACAACCGGTTACGCACTGGTTTCCCCACTCTATGCACGTGTGGTAAGGGATGGTCAGCGTATACTCGCTGATGTTGGGCTGCTTATTGTCACTGCAGACGCAGCCGTAGGTCAGGTGCTCCTAGAGTTTCCAAATCGTCAGCGACGTCCCGTGCGGTAAAGGAACCAGACACGCAACTTACCGGGTCGCAGTCATTGACGATCGGCTGCCCAGTCGTGGTCTGGAGGCAGATTTTGGGGCAGCTACTCTTCTGATCGTTGCACCAAGAGACTACGTCGTCTTGTCAGTCCTTGTTCAGCCCGATATGATTGGTGTCGAACATACTCCTCGTAGACAGAGGCACTGAATCGGGATTGATAACATAATCGGCCGTTACAGCAATAACACTGGCAAGAGCCAGCAATGTTGATCGGAACGAGACCATTGTGAGCGAGGGTGGAACAGGCTGTAACTGCCTCGGAGACGGTACTGAGGATATTAAGATGCCAGCTGCCGGTGATGTATTAGCAAACCGATACCGCGCGCGACATTGTCGCAGTGATGTGTTGCCTAGCAGCGGCAGGGCAACAATAGAGACGTACATAATACACTTCCAGCGTCAGGCGAGATATCAGCTCTCAGATAATGTCGACTAGAACGACGCGTCGCACAGAGTTAAGAAGCAAAGAAAGAGAATGAAGGCTAAGAAGTAGAAATCCCGAGCGACCAACGTGCTCCTAGCGAGTGACAAGCACGCAGCTCTTGAGGAATCCAAGACGACCGGGTTGAGATATAGGAGGAAAAACGGAACGGGGAAGATAAAAGGACTTCCAGGAGCCCCAGGTCGCTCGTGGCCGCCATGGCCGCTTCCGAGATCAAAAGATGCACCAGATTGGTTAGCCTGGCAGCTCAATAAGCAAGAAGCTTCTCTGATAGGCTCCGCTTGACTCCACAGGTCTGCGTTCCCCGCCGCAGCAGGGGTGGTGCAGCTCGGAGAACTTCTCCCCCTGTCTAGGATGCGAGCTCCAATTGAACTGCCTCATCAAGACAATTGAAGAAAGAGCGTGGCCGGAAGGCGGCGTTTGCGGCACGGGAGCTGGCGATCTTCACGCTCGGTGCACTAGCGGAGTGTAGCAATTCGGGCGATGATGCAAGACACAGCTAGATCGCCCATCGTTGACAACGGTAACGGAGACAAAAGCGCTTCTCAGAGGCATTCGAGAACGATCCGTTCTCTTCCCTCACCTCACCGGGGTTCCACTAACTTTGCTCAGACAAGCTATATGACACCTTTGTCCAATGCCATACACTTAGGGTTCATCTGAATATCTGACTTATTCAGCATAACTACGGTACATTGTCCGTTGCCTAACGCGGCCGTTTTCGTACTTCCTGCGCAACACATACCCGAGCACACACATCTATGCCTCTTAAAGGTCCGGCATGGAGGCTGGGAAATGCATGCTGCGCCAGAAGCAACCCGAGTCTCGGATATAAGCAACTTGACAGAGAGGCCTGCATTCCTACCTTCGTGTCCACCTGACATTCGTGGCATGATAAAGCTAGAACCTGGAAGAATGTAGTGTTCATACGGAGTAGCATTCCGAGTTCGTTTGCTACGACCTGCCGCTCTGAAGCATCGAGCGGCGTTTCAACATATTTTTGCCCTACCGGCACGACGACTTATACGAGAAACCCCGCCACCTCATCGAGGATTCATTCAAGTTCTTGACACCACCCGCCTACCACCCGACTCGTGTCTCTCGCAAGAAGCCTATGCTTTGCCATCTGGTTTCCGGTGCGTTCGATGCTTCGTAGGCAACCGACCACTAGTATCGATGATGGTTGGCAAGCTGATTGCGTATACCATGCCGGAGGTCCGGCCGATTTGTTAACGCACCAAGCCCAGATATGTCGTGTACGAAGTTGATGGAACTTGGACGTTGCACCACAGCAGCCCCCGCATCAGTGCGGATCCTCTCCGCGAATGGGGCGAACTGTGGGAGCCGTTGAAACGAGGTCTCACTTTTTGTTTTGCTAAAGTCATGAGCAAGCCGATGCTTCCTCATGGAGAGAAACACCAAGTTTGTTTCATCACCGGTCACAAGTATGAGGGGCAGACATCACTCAATCCTGGAGAATAGTGTGCCGGGACAGCTTTTGGTACCGCGCCCGCGGATAAATAAGGTAGGTACCTAGATAACGCCCGGGCTGATGACTGGATAAGCTTCGTTGGAAACTATCCAACCCCGACTGGAGATTTGGGAAGCCGGCACTTGAAAGCTGACTGAGTCTCGAAAGTTACCCCACTGACAGCATGGTGAAGCTCTTCTGAGCCTAACGGCCGGGTTGAGTTGACACAGGCTGGCTGGTTGTGTTCTATATTTCAACTAGGTTGCTGGCACCCAACTGAGCACCTTGACTCAAAGCAGTACCTGGCAGAGAAAGTAGTTAGGAGCTCACATCGCGAATCAAAGCGACCTCATTCATAGCATGGTCATAGTAAGAACATTGGACCTCAGCGAGCCCCTCAATAGTATCTGTTCTGAGTGAGATGGAAACAGCTCTCAGATGACTTACACTACCGATCACCTCAGCCTCAACCTTAATTTCCGTGCTGTGGGGAGGGTGTTGAGATGCACGGCCCACATGCTCAACAGCAGAGGACGGTGGGGTCGGGAATCTTGGCACCCTGCGTCCGTGCGTCAGCTTACGAGCTGAACAAGTGTTCACTAGGAGCGCATCAGCCTCGACTTTCCAGCAGCTGCTTCTCAGAACGGCCAACCAGACTAGCGACAACAAAAAAGATGCGGCCTCCACAATTGTTCGCCCCGGCGCTTCTCCTCCTTGCTGCAAGCTTTGCGCATGCCGCATGGGACTTTGACGATGGAAGCATCTCGGTTGTTGCCAAGCAGTCGGGCGACAGCATCAAGGAGAAGCAAGTAGCATTGTGCTGTTCTGATCCCCCCCTTGTTTTGAAAGACCAACAATGCTAACAGGCCCTGACTTACCCCAGGCTGAACCCAAAGGCGCCTCTTTCGAAACCCGTCTCTCTCGGCAGCACATCTACGCTCAAGTTGAGTCTTACGGCGAAGGACAATGGCAAGGGGAAACGGCCTCACCAGGCTTTCCTGGTCCTCCAAGAGCAGGAGTCAGGGTTAAAGGCGCCTTTCCCTCTAACAGTCAAGGAGAATGGCAAGGCAGCCGCTCAGATTGTAAGCGAATTGTGAGGGCAACGTTGACTACGAGTACTGACACGCGGCTGTAGTCCCAAAAGGACATTCCGATCCAGCTGCTCAATGCCGCTAAACCATTAAAGGCCTCTATCGTGCTGGCTTCTTTTGGATCCTCTGAAGGGTTTAACGCGCCTGTCTTCAACGTAAAGATTGAGGCCGACCCGGCAGTCCCGCTCTCCGCCTACGAGCGGCCCCTCCGATATGGCAAGAAGCCCGAGATACATCACATCTTCCGCCCTGACCCGAAGAGCCCGCCCAAGGTAGTCTCGCTTTTCTTTGCGCTGGCCGTGGTGGCTACACTGCCTGCGCTGTTCATTGGCGTAAGTTATCCCCTACGAACTTGCTGTCTCTTGTCCTGCTGACGTTTCGCACACAGTGGATCTTCCTGGGAGCCAACCTCAACCACCTGTCCAAGGCAATTGGCGCCGCACCTCTGTCGCATGCGACTTTCTTTGGCTCTATCGTGGCCATGGAATTCGTCTTCTTCATGTACTACACCAGCTGGAACCTGTTCCAGACTTTGCCTGTCATTGGCGCGGTCGCAGTGATAACGCTGCTGAGTGGTACAAAGGCCTTGGGTGAGGTGCAGAGGAGAAGGCTCGCCGGAGAACGCTGAGCGGCAGCTGGCCTGCATATTGGCGTTGATGACCCGGCATGCCAGGCCGGATTTGTCTGGCAGTGGCTGGGAAGCGGTCAAGGTTTTGGTCTGTTATGTCTCACGCAAAAAGTTCTCATTAGTACAGAGGGTTAGAATATAGCGCCCAGTCAATGGCAAAAATTGGCAACCGAGCTCGCTGTCGGCAATGAATCAAGCCAACCAACAGCAACATATCCGTATATCGCTTCCACTTGAAGCTGATACGATACCCGACGCAGAATATGGTAGCGGAATTTACCTACTGTGTATGTCATCGTTAGAGCTTACACTACGAAGTCCACTAACTTGCAGGTAGTATATTGCCCTCCAAGCTCTAAGAGCCTACCGGGTCGACTTGAGGAAGCGGCCCGCATGTGGCTCATGGTGGCGTTACCTCCAGCTGTCTTGTGAGGCAGCCAATCAGGAAGCGCAATGTAAATGCAAAACGGAAACCCCACGTCACTGGTATGTGCTCCACTTTTCAGTCCTATTTTGTACCCTTGTATGTAGTGTAAACAAATGGAGCCGTCTCCATATCGCGTCCTCGCTTGACCGACAGTTTGAGGAACCCGACTGGAAAGAGAGACCAGGGTGCTCACTTGCGATTTCCCTCATCGCGTCGGCTCGACTACGTGAAGCACGTCGCTCTGCAAACTTCCCAGCAGCTTTGGTCTGCGCAAGTCGCCAGAATCCAAAAGGCGCTTTCCGACCAGAATAGTTTTTTTTGTTTTATCTTTTTAAAATCCCTTCGCCTACTTGATACTGGGCCACAAGTTCGATTGTGTGGACACCTCGATCTCGCCTGCCCCGTTGCTTACTGTCCCTGTTGCTACCCGACATCTGTCTCGTCGTGACCGTCGCGCTCGTCGCGCTCTCCGCAGCCCATTATGAATGTCAACAGTACTAGGGCAAATCAGCCCACTAGCAAACCCAGGCATATTTCTAGACTTAGGAAAGAGATGCTCGAACACCGGATGCAACAGAAACCCTTCAGCTCGCCTCCTTCATCCACTGGCTCGCACGACACAGTCAGCACCACCACTGAGGAGCTCACTCGCAACCTCTCCGATTTCTCCTTCAATCCCGACGACGAGGGCACGCGCAGGCTCGACGATGATCTTTACAAGCCGTCCAAGAAACACGCTTCTAGATCAGGTCGTTTTGGCTCGCGACAAAGCATAAACACGATGCTTAACACGTCGGCAATTGCTCGCACCTTTCCGGAATGGAGCGGTCTCGTGAGGAAGGATACCGATACCGTTTCCCAGACCCTCGACATGGCCGGGCCAGTCAAGCCCACCGCCGCAGTCTACGCGGGAAAGGAGAATATCCGCCCAGCTTCCGAAGGCGCCAACGATAACGTCTTCGACACCAAAGGGAATCGCGCTCGTGTGGACATGCAAGCCCGTGTTGAAAACGAGTCCGACTGTTCCACTATTCTTTCGCTCTCGCCGGGAAGGGCTATCCTGGGCACCAGCCGCTCTCGCTTTGGGCCAGCGGCGACGCAGGGCGCCCCTCCACCCGATTCTACCAAGCGTTCGCTCCAGGAGGTGGTCAGTAAGATACGAACTGAGCAGCAAACCACCAAACAGGACTCCACGCCCAAGCGCTCCCACTCGGCTGAAGCGGGACAGCCAGTCTACGAGACCCCTGCCCCAGGGCACACGGCCGTCACCCTCGGAATCAGCCCGACCGGCCAGTCATTCTTCCTCCCTTCCTTCCGTCATCTTCCGGATTGGACATCCGGTGTTCTCAAGTTCACCACCATGAAGAACGGCGTGCCTGTCTTCGTTAAATCCACCAAGTCCGGTCTACGACTGGAGCAATCTAGACAAAACCATGCTCAGCTCGCCGGTGTAAGTATACCAGAGGAGGACGAGGAAATCTTTGTCTCGCTGGATAAGATCCAGGACGAAGTCCGAGAACTCCACGATCATGATGCGATGCTTCAGCGTGAAGCAGAGAGGCTGCAGCTCGAGGTTAACCAGCTGCAATCCGAACTTAAGAGGCTCAAGAGCCGGAAATCCACCGACAGCGCCATTGGCTCCGATTCCGACGGGTCTTTCAGGCGCAGCGGCGGCTATAATCGGGATCTAGAGGATGAGATCGCCCAGCTCCGCGAGCGTCTGGATCACGCAAGTAGGCAGGTGGGTGTCAACGACATCCACAGCGCTGCGCTCACTGCCGAGCGCGATGAGGCGTTGCACCAAGCTTCTGTGGCTCGTGAACGGGCCGCTAAGCTGCAAGCAGAACTTGAGGCCACACGGAAGGACCTTGAATCCTCGCTCCATTTTATTCAAGAGAAGGAAACGTTGCATCTTGAGCACGAAACACTGCTTGCTGAGAAAGAAACGCTGAAGAAGCAACGGGATGCCGCCATCCAGAGCAACAAAGCTCTCACTGCCCAAAACGAGAAGCTGCGTCAGGAACTGAGCGGTGTCCAGAAGGACCTAAGCACGACCCGTGAGGAGCTCGCTTCGGTGCGCAAGCAGTACGAGGCTCTCCAGGAAGAAAAACGGCTGGCTGACCAAGACCGCGCAAGCATGGAGCGCAACTACGAGAGCTACCTCAAGGAAAACAAGAAGCTGCAGGCGCAAGTTGCCGCTCGTGACCAGCACATCGGTGATCTGAGGAAAGGCATCAGCACCCGTGACAGGATGCTCGACAACATTCACAACGTGCCTACTGATACAGCTGTTCTCGAGCTGAACGCCGAGCTTGAGGCCGAACTTGAGCGTGTACAAACTAGGATAGAGCGGCAGACTGCCGAGATGCATCAAAAAGACGGAGATATCAGCGCCAAGGAGGGTCGAATTCGCTCTCTCAAGGAGCAGAACCTCGATCTCTCAATCGAAAACGAGCACCTACGAGAGGAGAATCAGCGACTTCGCACCGAGAACGAGGAGCTAAGAAGCCAGTGGGTCGACGAACGGCATAAGGTGGTTCGATTGAACCAACTGCTCTCAAAAAGCAATGCCGAGTACATGAAGACTCTCAATGAAAATACCGGGGGGGATTGTATTCGATTAGATGGCCCCACACAGAACGAGGACGCTCTCCGGCAGAAGCTCGAGCGCCGAGAGGCGGCCGTTAAGAAGCTCAAGCAGCTCTCTAACAAGATCAGTGAGATAGCTCAGCAGGAGTTCACCGGAATTACTGCAACTACCGGGAAGACGACCAAGGTCACCCGTATTGTCGACCCCAAAGATATGCCAACGGTCACAGAGGAGTTGACAGGAAAGAGCACAGCGCCCTTGCATGTCGACGAGGACCCGACAACCGAGCTTCATCTGACGCAGGAGTCTGACTTTGCCAGTATCATGGAGGGCGAAATTGCCAAGCTCCGGCAAACCTACCGGGAGCTTCAGCTGAGGCAGCAGCAGGCCATCGACGCAGGGGCTGCCGGTGACACGATGCAGGTCACCGATTATACCTTGCCTCCGCTCTCCGCGCCGACTCTTCAGCGAAGCAAATCCGATAGCAGCGCCCTGCACTCAAAGGCCGCGCAGGCCAAAGGCCAGCCGCCTGGTATCCTTAAGAAGTCAAGCCAATTCGCGCTTGAAGATGACACAGGCCGCTTCAGCGTCAAGTCGGCTCTGAGCATCGTTAGCCACCACACTGACGATGAGTTCCAGCACACCCGCAGGTCCTCTGTGGGCGCCGCGAACACCCACAACGACACCCCGTGCCCAGATCCTCGGCCGCGCCGCAACTCGGAGACGACACGTGAGCCCACCATGACAGAGCCAAACATGACCTCTGCCTTCTTCGTGCCCGACATAACGCTGCAGGGCAATAACAAGCAGGGCGTCACCGCCACACAGGCGACCGCTGGCCTCAGCAAGGACGCACGCCGCGTGCTGGATGGTCTCTGCAAGCACAACTCCGTCAATTGCAACGTTTGCGTCCGCATCGCCGCCCACGGCGACAAGTACATTGCCGCCGACGTTGCCTCCTCTACGAATAACAACAACAACACGATCCCCATCACAGCCGAGGACGTGCGCAAGGGCAAAAAGACCGTTTGCGTGGAGAAGCCCGTTCCCGTCTCGGATCGCCCGGAGAAGGGCCAACAAGAGCCGGAGGAACCCACCATGCGGCCATCCATGGCCCCCGGCGAGGCCCTCGCCATCCTCATCAAGGAGACCCAGGACGAGATCGATCACCTGCAGATGGAGCTCCGCCACCTGAACGACACCTATTTTGGCCTCGACAAGGCGGTCGGACAGCGCGAGCGCCGGCGTGTCATGGGCGACATCAAGAAGGTCCAAGCCGAGCTCGAGGCAAAGAGTGGCCACCTGTACAAGCTGCACGACGTGCTTGAGGGCCAGAAGCAGGCCGGCCAGCTTATGGCCAGGGACGAAGTTGATGTTACTGTGCTGAGTGGACTCTTGAGGGCTGAGGCGTCCACGGGGGAGCACAGGGATAGGGAAGGTGAAGGGGAGTGGAATGGGTTTGACTGAATGAGATGTGTTCGGTCGGTTGATGTCGGCGTGTGGTATACAGTGCTTTGGCGCAGTGTATGCGGTATGATGAGTCAAAAGCGTAAGGATGGCGGGCTTGGGATTTATATCTATCTTTGTTGTGGTGTCGGCGTTTGGGCATTGGCTGCTTTTATCTGTTACTGCTACTGTAGTACTGTTGTTTGGTGTATTGGCTGCTACCTATTGTATTGTTGGAGTGGTGTGGGCTCTGGTCAGGCTGTATTCTGGTCTCATTCAGGGGTCAAAGCATAGGGAACAGGAGTACTGCACCTATTTTCTCTTTGCTTATTCCACCGCCATTCTGCATGGCGTTGGAACACATGGACATTGCGTTCCCCCAGTCTCCCAAGTGATGATGAGAACGAACACTGCCAGTCCAACACCAAACCCCTGTTTCGTTATCAGTTTTCACTTGTGCGTGCATCAAGCTTTCGTGGGAGGGCAGGCCTGGGCAGGCATCAGGCGGTATAGTACATACATACATGCCGGAAACATCACGGGCCGAAGAGAGCTCATTTCCAGGTTCGCCGATATGGCTTTCCATACTAACCGAATCTCTGGGATGATCCAGATCAAAATTTCCTACAATCAATCCTATTGTTCGACTTTTAGGACATACTGGGTCCCGGCGATCCAAGCGGCTGGGAACAACAGACACTGCTGATCTACACTACAAATCATGCTCCCGGATTTGACGGGGTCGCGTGTGAGTGGAGGTTGCTGCGTGGTGTGGCGTTCGGCGGGAGGTGCTTATATACTCCGTACACTAGATGTTTCACCGAATTGGATTGCAAGGGCAAGGAAAGGGGTCTTCCCCAAAGCCACGACGGACTCGGTGACCAGGATGACTGACGACCATCAGAATTTCGTTGCTAGGCTCGCCCGGCTCGTTAGGTCACCGAGTACAAAGGTCTCGCTGTTAACCGAATCGGCCCGCTGTAGTCCCCGGCACGTGAGCGGAAGCAGCTCCGAGGTGTAGAATACCACAGAAACCCGCGAAATCCGGATGTATCTGAGGGGTGTACTAAGCCCGTACGTACAGTACAGCTTTCCAAGCCTTCTGGCACCCAAGACACTTCAACAATTTGGCTTTGGCTCAACCCAACACCGCATTGCAATAGCATTTACGGTTCAACTATCCGTAGAGGACTGATAGCCTGATAGTGAAGGGTGTAGTGTCTTTGATCATGCTTGGCAACCATTGATTGGAAAGCAACCGCAAGAGCTACAGTAGGTGATTCGGAAATTACCATCAGCTCCTGGGTGGAAAAGGACATGAGCCCTTCAAATCCCGGTTCTTGTGGCTGCAATTCCTTCATTGGGGAAATAGAGTGCACTAACTAGCGGTATTAGTCGTTGCCTGCTGGTGTTTCTCAACTGAAATCTCGACCACCTCCTGCCGCCAACATCATCCAGGCTACTCGACCTCGCCATACATGACGTTGCGCAGCACAAGAAAGAATGAACGAGAACAATTCTTCGGCCGTGTCGTGCGTCGAGTGCCAGCGACGCAAGCAGAAGGTAGGAGGAGGCTGAGAGGGGGCGAACAGCAACCCGGGAGTCCGAATTGCCCCCAACGTAGAGCATTATCGTAACTGACAACCCGCCAGTGTGACCGCAAGTTTCCCTGCAACCACTGCTTGAAGCGAGGCGTGTCTCATCTCTGCCGCGTTGTCACAAAACATGCAGCTCCCAAGGCGTCAGAGAACGGAGGTTTGGCTGATACTCAGTCGGTCTCGACAAAGACCTCGAGGAAGCGGAAGCCTGAAAGTTTCGGCGAAAGGGCCCAGTTCGATGGGGACGGGGACTCTTATGACGGGTCATCGGATGTCGATGTGAGCGATGCGTTATCTAACCTAGGCTACATGTACCATCATCACCACTTGAGGTTAGACCACCGAGGTAGTGGTCCAAAGGTCGTGGACAAACGCTCCCCACGATCCGTGTATCGCAAAAGACTGACGGCCTAGCAGACGGTTAGAGATGTCGTAGGAAAGAGGGACGGTGAACAGTCCGAGGAGCTCAAGACCGCCTTACTCTTGATGCCAGCAAAGCCGTACACTGGTGATTCTCACTTCGTACCACGCTGAAATTTCTTCCATGAGAGCTGACTGGACGCAGACTGCCTCGTCGACAATTGGTTGAACGGCGCAAACTATCACTATTACGTTCTTTATCCTCCCGAATTCCGGACTCAGTATGATGGCTGGTGGGCTAGCCCAACCGATAAAGCAACGCCGGAGCTCACCAGCCTCATTATGCGTGTATGCGCTTGCTCCCTCCAATTTATCATGAGTGAGAGCGTCAAGCGGAGGCTCGAGTGGGAACTCAAGGCAGATGTGGCAACGTTCTCGAACCGAATGCATACCGCGGCCGAAAAGCTCAGCGCGACGATTCCTCCAGGCAAGGGAGGCCTGATCGACGTGCAGCAGCTCTTGCTCACGGCCTTTTGGTACAAGTCAGGCGATAGATGGACAGACGCCTGGCACGCTCTAGGCAGGGCTGTGCGAGAAGCCAATGAAATAGGTGAACTCCCGTGATTCGGTAACCAACGCCTTGCCTTCCAGCTGACGTCTTGTCAAGGCCTTCACCAAGACTCCGTGTCCGATGGCATGTCCGAGTTTGACAGGGAGATGAGAAGACGCATGTGGGTGCTTCTAAACGTGTGGGACTTGTAGGTGAACTTCGTCATCCGTCGGGACATTGGCCTAATTTCTCCAAGCGCGCTTTCGTCTATGCTTTGTCGCCCTTTCCTCATTAGCCACGCCGACTGTACCGCCGTTATGCCGACTTTGACTCTGGAAATCAACCCGGAGCGCCCGGATCAGCCGTCGCCGTTCCGCCACATAATCCTCCATTACCGACTATCCAGGGACATTGCAGCGCAGCTCAGGAGCGATATCGACAAGGCTCAACGGGCCCAAAGGCTGCGCGACTTAATCTATGGCTGGCTCGAGGAGCTTCCGGCCGAATACGCCTTGAGGGCGCCAGATACCCGTTGGGACAAGGAGTTTGACTGGGTCGTGTTCCAACGCCGTTTTCTGCATGTGGTCGGATACAAGTGGTTGTTCGATATTCTGAGGCCTTTCATCACGCAGAATTCGGGGAAGCCAATGACGGAGCTAGAGGCGGCCCTCCAAGCAGCAGGTGTCCATGCGGCTCTGGACTTGGTGGACACGTCGTGGTTATTTTTCGAGACGCTCGTCTCGGTTGGCGCCAGGTTCCACTGTTCCGTCTTTTGCGTTTTCGACACATCGTGCACCATCTCCTCTGCGGTCATCCACGACGACGCCCGCAATCTCCCCCAGCGGGAGACGGTCCTTGAAACCATCATAAAGGGCTTGCGAATGCTCGAGCAGCTACGTCTTGAGTCCAAGACATCAGCAGGCCTGTACCACATCCTGAAAAGACTTGTTGCTAAATTGCCACTGAATGCGAAGGAGCAAGGTATCATAGGTAGAGCGAAACGAGCAAGAGCCTACCATCTCGATCTGCCAGGACGCCAAGGTACGGTTGAGGGACCGTTCGGCAGTCCCTCTGCACTCGATCAGGGTCAATCCTTCAGCGTCGGAATGTTTGATGGCAGCAGCGCAGCACGTTCGCCCAGAATAGGAGACGCGAACTCTGAACCTGCTGAAGCATTGACTGCTGGAATTCAAACGTCATACTCCGAGGTGGTGTCGTCTGCCCAGGCTCACCCAGGTTCTGTCGATGCCGACCTGGAATGGACCGGGCGTATGATGCCGATGACTGACGGTTTCTTCCCGTTGAGTTCCATCGTGCCGCCGTTCCCGGCAACAACCGAGCCCGTCCCGCCGATTGGTGGCGTAATGTCGGATGAGTTTGGCTATGGCAACGAGCAGGGGCAGCCGGCAGCTGATTTCCAATTTGGCAACTCCATGCTGGGTCCGACTGAGGCTCACCCTGTCAGCCAGACGGATTGGGATGTGTCGCGCCAGCCCCTGGTAGACGCCGCTCAAGGCGGCGCCGGCAACTTGGCGGCACTCAACAGCATTGCACCTCAAATACTCGAGTTCTGGGATTGGGAGGCGCTTGGCCTCGGTGATCCGGCATCCTGGATGGCCCAACAGCCGCTAGATGCGAATGGCAACGCCGAGCTCCCTGAAATGGGAAACCTTGGCCAACCAGCTGTCAACCGGGAGTAGTTGTCGACGGGGCAGCTAAGAGACGCCATGATCCCATAGGTTGCGTTATAGCACGGCATCACTCCTGCGTCAGTGAATTAGATCGGTCATGTGCCAACCGAACCGATGGGGTCTCATCCTGCGGTGCCTTGGGTTTGTCCTCCAGGGGCTTCCGTGACGGGTACTGTCATTAGTTGCCTTTGTCTTCGCATCCAGTGCGTTCAAACGAGAAAGTCGGGCTGATGGTCTCAAGAGAATGAATTAAGTCAATGCGAGGAATTCAGCTGTTGGTCGAAGAAAGATGTTGGGTTCCCAAAGCTGGTAGGAGCCACCTACCTGCGTTACCTTTGACGCGGTGACTCCTGCATACCTTAAGTACCAGCTTCCAGGACGTTCAATTCTTTCACTGTCCGAAGATTTTCGGGTAGCTGCCTCGGAAACCCATTCAAAGTACCTAGAATTTCCCCATGTCTTCGCAGGGAGACGTGATCTGTCATCAATGGCCTGTAAGGTTCAAATCGGGTGTGCATCCAATCCAGTTTACCGGTATGTCCTTGTGAAGCGAGTTTATAACATGTAGTCCGTATCAAGTGGTTTAAGCCGAGATTGGCCGGTGTGCATCCAATCCAGTTTACCGGTATGTCCTTGTGAAGCGAGTTTATAACATGTAGTCCGTATCAAGTGGTTTAAGCCGAGATTGGCCGGTGTGCTCAATATTCATGAGCGTGGTCGACTAAATTAATGCCTCTCCACCATACTTCCGATTTTTGCCCATCGTCCAGAAGCAAAAGCGAAAGCGAAAACAGCTTACAGAAGTTTGACTTTAGTTACTTTCGCCATCCCCCCTCTTTGTGTTGAGTACTTGAGCCATTGAAGAGGGGCTCAACACCAGCGTAGCGCTGTAACCCCTCCACAGGTAAGGCATGCTCTGCGTGATCAGAGCACTTGTCATCCGTACTACCGTTCTGCAATGCAACTTCGGCGAAGACTCATATCACTCACCGGCAATGGGCTGGCGTGTATGAGCAGAGTGCGGATGAGAGGCGATCTACCCTCTCTCTTCCCCCTTCCGAAGCTTACGCGGCACGCAGAACAAAGCCAGGACATAAGGCAGCAATCCCGCCCAGGCTCCCGGGAATTCTCGAGCACTTCATCACCAGCTTTCAACATGTCATCGGCAAACAGCGGATCCCTCAAGGCTAGGGATGCTTCAGGGCACAATGCATGGATAGGCAGCGCCGGCGCCGCTGGCTACGACCTCAGGAGTGGGTGTTTACCGTACCCCTGACACATCGCATCCTCTTAGTAGGCCAGGCAGGCACTGACGGCGTGCAGGCGACACGATGACCACACCAACAGCATCTATGCTCGCTGCAGTTCAGTCTTGCTCTCTGTTGGACGATGTCATGGGCGAAGACCCTACGACCATCGATCTGGAGAACCATTGCGCAGCCCTGACCGGCAAGGAAGCCGGACTCTTTGTTCTGTCTGGCACCATGGGGAATCAGCTCGCGCTGAGGTCTCTCCTGACACAACCTCCCTATGGTGTGCTGTGTGATTCTCGCTCGCATATTGTGCAATATGAGGCTGGAGGGTGAGTTGATGGCCAACCTGGAGCTTCTGACCTGCGTCATGCTGACGTTTTCCCCGTTTTCCCCTCTAGCGTCTCCTCCCTGACGGGTGCGATGGTGAAACCCATTACACCAAAGAACGGCGTTTACCTTACGCTGGAGGAGGTGAGAGCGAACGTGCATCTCGACGACGACGTGCATACATGTCCTACGCGTGTAATCAGTCTTGAGAACACGCTCAACGGCATGATCATGCCGCTGGACGAGGTGCGGCGGATCTCGGCTTTTGCCCGCGAGCATGGCCTCAGGATGCACTGTGACGGAGCGCGGTTATGGGAAGTAGCCGCGTCGGGCGCCGGCAGCCTCGTCGACTTCGCCTCTTGCTTCGACACAGTGAGCCTCTGCTTCTCAAAGGGGCTGGGGGCGCCTATTGGTAGCATCCTCGTGGGCCCCAAGGACGTGATCAAGCATGCACGCTGGGTGAGGAAATCTATCGGTGGCGGGCTGCGCCAGTCGGGCGTCGTCACGGCCCCTGCTCGCGTTGCTGTCGATGAGACATTCGGCAAGGGCCCTAACGGTGAGGGTGGCCTACTACGCAACACGCATGTCCTCGCAAAGGAGGTCGCGCAGCTGTGGACAGACCTCGGCGGCAAACTCCTTTACCCGGTCCATACCAACATGGTTTGGCTGGACCTGGACGACGCCAAATGCCCCGTGGTCGGCTTCGTTGAGCTTGGTAAGGATGCTGGTCTAAAGTTCTTGGGGGGCAGGCTGGTCATCCACTACCAGATTTACCAGAACCGAGACTTTGTCATGCCGAGGCTGGAAGGCGTCTTCAAGGCCGCTCTCAAAAACAAGGCCGCCAATGGTGAAGCCCACAAGACTACCGAAAAGCCGAGATCCATGTACCAATCGCAGTAGAGTACGCTAGATGCCATCCAGACGCGAACGAAGGATTCCTTCGAGAAGCGAAGCTAACCGAATATGCTGGCCAAGAAGCCGACTTGCGTATATTTTCGCCGGCTGTCGGTCCGTTATCCAGCTAGATTTTGGTGGCGTCCATCTGCGGCGAAAAACTCAAAAGCAGTGGCATGACGCTGTTGGCCGGCACCGTCTAGCCTTCTACAAAGAAAAGCAAAGAAAGGCCGACGATTCGGGGTAAACAAAGGCCGGCGGTGCCGGAGTGTAGCCAGTTATAGAATACACCTTTGACTCGAGTTGGCTGTGTTTGGAGGCTCTTCAGGACTTGAGGCACACAAGCAAGGCACAATTGGGCTAGCCAAGCAAAATAGCCGGCGCCACTGACATCGGCGAAAATACATAAAACCTCACCGAGGGGCCGCTGCAACTTTTTTCCCGCTCGGGCGAGAGTCTTGTACATCGTGGGAAAGGGGAGATGCCTTGGAGGGCGACATTCCCCAAGTCCTGACTCCTGAGTCTTCAGGGCGGCCCCGCTCCCGCCCTGGTCAATAGCATTGCTACCCTGGTAAAGCTACGTACGCCCAGCGTGACGTCACGGACCACTCGTATGATTGCTAGCCAATCACGTCGCTCCCTGAGCTGGCGGTCCGGGCCTATGCCGGAGGGATTTAGCAATTGACCTGGAGATGCGGGGGAATGCAGCTCAAGCTCCAACGTCGAAGTCTTGGCCTTCTCTACCAGAGCCACGAGAGAAAGCAGCAACGACGCAACCGTTATGGACGCCCGAGACGCCATAATGTAGGCCCAGACTTCGGCCCGCGCAACACGCAAAATGCATATCATCTGGCTCCGTTAGGCGTCGCTGGCTTCTAGCCATGGCTGAATGGCTCGCTGTGTCTATGAAGTGAATCACTGAAACCGGCCCAATTGCTTTTCGTTCCCTGTCCGACGGGAACGTCTCCAGGGCGTCACCATCTGAGGGGACGTCGATGAGCCACCAGGGTTGCGACGAGGAAAAGGCCCACCGATGGACCTGGCAGGCGGTACCAAATAGCTTACCTTGGGTTGGATTGCCCGGGCCGAATCAATTCAACGTGACCTACCTGAGTGTAATTGAGGTAGGTACCTTGACTTCTATGACCCAACCTTCCCGACGACAGGTGCGGAGAAAGTGCAAAGTGCGGAGTGCAGCGTGCAAAGTTGCAGCTGCCCTGCAGGGTACCCGGGGTTCTCAACCATGGAATCGAAGACTCAAGAAAAAGCTTCTCCTTCCTAATACGACAAAACCCAATCCTAAGCACGGAAGAATTCTACAAAGGCGCAGGACCTTGGCTCTCAAGTTTGTTAAATCACCCAGTTGCCTGCCATGTTTTCCTCCTTCCTTGCATCCCATCTCCCCATCTCTTATCCCCCATCCCTTCCGCTGCACCCAGTTTTGCACATCACGAGGGCTTCAATATGGCACCGCGGCTCTCGGTGACGGCAGCATTGGCTGCCCTCGCGTCGAGCACTGTTGCGCTCTACATCAATGGGTCTGTCATCGCGCCTTGTGACTCGCCGCTGTACTGCCATGGCGACATCCTCAAGGCAATCGAGCTTGCACGTCCCTTTCAAGACTCCAAGACATTCGTTGACATGTAAGTCATGCCAAGCAGGAGTAGAGATGCGCGCCGAGACATGTCATGCTCACTTACACACCCCACCCAGGCCCACGATCCGGCCGGTTGAAGAGGTCATTGCCGCTTTTAACCGACTGTCACAGCCGCTGAGCAACAACTCGGAGCTCAATGCGTTCCTCCAGGCCAACTTTGCACCAGCCGGCGGCGAGCTCGAGGAGGTACCAGAGAGTGAGCTCTCGACTAATCCCGTCTTCCTCGACAAACTCAATGATACTGTCATCAAGGAGTTTGTTGCAAAGGTCATCGACATCTGGCCGGATCTCACCAGACGCTATGCCGGCCCGGGCAACTGCTCAGAATGTGCTGACAGCTTCATCCCCGTGAATCGGACCTTTGTGATAGCTGGTGGCCGCTTCCGCGAACCCTACTATTGGGATTCATTCTGGATCCTTGAGGGACTTCTCCGCACTGGCGGCGCCTTCACTGAGATCTCCAAGAACATGATTGAGAACTTTTTGGACTTTGTCGAAACCATTGGCCACATACCCAATGGAGCAAGAATCTACTACCTGAACCGGTCTCAGCCACCTCTCCTGGCGGGAATGGTCAAGAACTACGTCGACTACACCAATGACACAAGCATCCTCGAGAGAGCTCTACCGCTCCTGATCAAAGAGTATGAGTTTTGGACCAACAACCGAACCGTACAAGTGACGGCATCGGATGGGAAGACGTATACGCTCCACAGGTGAGCCCATACTGCTGCAATAGGAGATCGAAGAAAGCCAGGGAAACCTAACCGCACTGTCTGCGCAGGTACAATGTCAATAACAATCAGCCCCGTCCAGAGTCGTACCGGGAGGACTGGATCACTGCCAACAACGCGTCCTATTATGCTGCGTCTGGCATCATCTATCCTGTCAAAACACCGCTGAACGAATCCGAGAAGGCTGCACTCTACTCCAACCTGGCCAGCGGTGCCGAGTCGGGGTGGGATTACGGTACCCGGTTCCTCATGCGGCCCGAGGACGCCGCAAGAGATATCTATTTTCCCCTCCGCCATCTCAACGTCCGCGACATGGTTACGGTGGATCTCAATGCAATACTGTACCAAAACGAAGTCATCATCAGCGAATACCTCGAGCAGGCAGGAAACAACACTGAAGCGGAGCGTTTTGCTTCTGCCGCCCGCCAGCGAAGTGAGGCTATGTACGCACTGATGTGGAACGAAACTCTCTGGTCCTACTTTGACTACAATTTGACGAGCAACTCGCAATACACATTCATCCCTGCCGACGTCAACGCGACGGCTGCCGAGAAAGCGAACGCGCCGGAAGGGCAAAAGGTCATTTTTCATATTGCGCAGCTCTACCCGTTCTGGACAGGGGCAGCACCGGACCAGCTCAAGAACAACCCGCTTGCCGTGCAGAAGGCCTACTCGCGTGTGGCAGAGATGCTCGACATCAAGCCGGGCGCTATCCCCGCCACAAACTTTATTACGGGCCAGCAGTGGGATCAGCCCAACGTGTGGCCGCCGTTGATGCACGTCCTGATGGCGGGCCTCCTCAACACTCCGCCGACCTTTGGCGAAGACGATCCGGCGTACCAGGCCGTGCAGGCTCTCGCGCTGCGCCTCGGTCAGCGTTACCTTGACTCGACCTTCTGCACGTGGTACGCTACGGGAGGCGAAACGAGCCAAACGCCGCGACTGCAGGGCGTCTCCCCGGACGCCACGGGGACCATGTTTGAGAAGTACGCCGATAACGCCATCAACGTCGCTGGCGGTGGCGGCGAGTACGAGGTCGTCGAGGGCTTCGGGTGGACCAACGGCGTGCTGATCTGGGCGGCCGATGTCTTTGCCAACGGCCTGAAGCGCCCGGATTGCGGCAACATCACCGCCGCGCACACCCATAACGGCGCCAAGCGGGCGGTGGAGCTGCATCCTAGGGACGCCGCGTGGACTAAAAAGTTTGGGAAGCGGGCTTTGAAGAAAAGAGCTTAGCGGAAAAGGGGGGAAAGGGGAGGTTGGGTATTGTTTTTTCTGATTAGAGCTCATGAGATATGACTTTCTTCTATATACTCTTCGTTTCAGCATCATGATGCCTGAGGTAGTGTACTGAGCAAAAGCTGCAGAAGCGAGCAGAGACATGGTCTTGGGTATCTGCGAGCGGCAAGCTTGCTCCGACTGGATGAGGCATACCTACATAGTACTAGTAATGACACGAACAACGTGTTAACCCTGCTGTTAGGGGCACGTCTGAATATAACCCGCGTCCCCTTGATCGCTCTTTGTGACATATAACTCCCGCCAAGGTCTCGTAATCCGGATGGCATTCCCTAAAACCACACGAACACTGCCTGCTCCTCCATTGCCCAAACGCCAGTTCAAAAAAGAATAACCTCATCTCATCGTCACCACCGGTACCCCAACGCCCGTGAAAATGCATGTAGCCCGGCAGATAGGCCTCTCAGCCAGCCAAGGCTTGCGTATTGCTCGAACCGCAATTCCCCCACTCCTCTCCTTTCCCAGCACCATCCAAGCCAGGCAGAAGGACAGGTACCGCTGTCAGGGTATAGACAACTACCGCCTTCCACCTCGGCGCCGGCCACCACGCCCACGTCCACGCGGTCGCCCAGGTCCCCTCGAGGAGCGTTCCCGGCCCGCACCGCCACTACGCAGTTTGGTGACTCCGCCCGTCCCATCCCCGTTGTCCCTCTAAGACGCCTCGAGATGGGACCATTCCGGAATGGCCCTGATCTGCTGCCACATGAATTTTTCGAGCTTGTTTGCCGACTTTGCGTAGGGGGTGTTCTCGTTGTTGTATTTGCGGCAGTTGTCAAAGATGAGCTTGGCGTCGCGGATGAACTCCTCGGGCGTGTTGTACTGGTCGGCCTCGAGCTTGGTCTCCATAGTGCTGAGGTCCATGGGCTCCTTGATGACGTCGTAGTAGTCGAGCACTTCGTCCTTGTTGACGGGCACCAGGAACGGCCAGCTCGATTGGTGGTTCTGCAGGTCGTTAAGCAGGTGCAGCAGCTGGTTGTAGTTGGGCCCGTGGCGCGGCTGGCGCGCGAGCTCGTCCATGTCGGGCGACCAGCCCGAGGCCCGGATCGCCTCGATGGACAACGGGTCTATCGGGGTGACGCCGCCTTTTTGCCACTGCTTCGGGGGCGGGTGAATGATGTGGGATTTGGAATAGGCCCGGATCTTAGCCTGGACACATTCCTTCTGCTTGAGGAGCATGCGGCCCATCTCCAGGTAGCGGATGCGCGGTAGCATAGTGCACTGCATGATGGTGCCGCCCTCGTAGTCTTTAATGTAGCCCATCCAAACCGACTTGTCGAGGGTAATCTCCTTGGTAAAGCCTTGCTTTTTGAAGTAGCCGATCGCGTAGTTATCGGCGTAGGTCAAGAAGTGCATCACGTCCGAGGTGGCTTTCACGTAGTCTTTGAGATGTGACATGAGGTGTGCGCCGTAGCCCTTGACTTGCTGGTCTGAGGATATGGCACAGAAGACGATTTCGGCAAACTTGCGTCCTTTGAAGGGCCGGTAGGTGATGCCGCCTACCACCTCCAGAGGCTTTTTGACAATCGCGATGGACAAATGGGTGCGGTCGTATACCAGCCGAGCAATGTAGTCCTTGGGCATCTTGGGCAGCTGCTTCTGGAAGATGCATTTGAGGCCTGTAAGGATGATCAGGCTCTCGCGCTCACCATCGTTGTTGACGACCCGAAATTCGATTTCGCCATTGCGCTCCTCGATAACGGCGGGCTGCGATAGAATCGTCAGTTGTGGTCGGGTTGAAGGATATGTAAGGGTTGTTGTAACTACCTTTTCCGGGAAGGGTATCGCCGGAACCTTCAAAGGCTTCTCCTCGCCTTCGGCAGAGTCGTTGCGTTTGATGCGCTTAGCCTCGGTGGGCGATGAAGGCTCATCGGTGGCCTTGCGCTTTCCGTCTGCGGCGTTTACGATTAGCGGAGGTGTTTCCCAGTCAAGTGATGTAGAAATGAAGTAATCCAACTCACTTTCATCCTTCATTTTGATGGCAGAAGTTGACAGCACGATGGCCAACGTGCAGCGCGTGCGGTGGAATCTGGATCTGGAATTCGGAATCGCGGGGGCGACAATCGATAGATGCCGGGCGCATGTGGAGAGCGCAGTCGATGCTCACGGGCCCACAGCCACGCGCTTTCTCTTGGCGAACAGTTCAACAGGGCGCCTTGGCGTCATTGCGCGCTAATCCTTTTTGGTTCGAACAATCGCGGGAAGGTTGCAGGCCTTGGGGAAGCTGCAACGCTGTCCCGTTCAACATCGGTTGACCTCAGCAGGCAATCACCAACTCTTTCAGTTTTACAGTACTTTGGACTCTCTTTTGGCAATTGTAGCTTCAATTCGTCTTCTTTGACTGCGGAAGTATCGACATACTACCGAATACATCTCAGTCTTGGCACATGGATTCGTCACTGCATGAGGTTTGGCAGGCCGCGTCCGGCTCACCCTTCGTCCCCACCGTCGGAAAGGGCAGTCAGTTCTTCGTTGCCTTCACGCTGCTGCTTCTGGGTTTTGCCCTGAGCGGCGCATTTGCTCTCAGTATGTTTGGCGAATTTCTCCCTGGAACGTCCGCCGCTAAACATCACGCCATACAGATCGATCTCTCGTGAATCTCCCCGTGCTTGCTGTGCCAGCATCACTGGCTCTTGCGTGCGTCGATCCTACTCTTCTGCTCCAATACCGGCACTCACATCTAACAAGCTTCGCAGGTTTGGCGTGGTCTACATGTTCTGTGCGGTTGGAGTCTACGTTTAAGATACCACAAACTGTCGCGGCCCGAGTCTGTACCATAGCCCTTCTCCAAAGCAAAGTCAGCCTTGTGCAGCTTCAGACACATTGAATTTTCCAACACCCGGTTCCTCTCCTCTTTCTCAAGATCGATCGTTATGGAACCTCAAGGCCCAGCTCCGCCTCCACTTCTTCGGGCAGTTACCAGCTCAACTAGACCGCTGTACCAGCTTCTCAAATCGATCAATTTCACGAACAAGGTACATGTCGAGATCACAGAGAACGGCCTGAGGTTCGCGGCCGACCATGCTCGCGTAATGCAAGGTTAGTCGTAATAGTCTGCCTAAGATAATCCCTTTATTACTGACCCTCGAACAGGAGTTGCTCACTGGAGTCGATCCCTTTTCACCAGTTACACTGCCCATCTGACTCGGACACCTACCCGAGTAGAGGACGCCCAAGAGGGGGATGATGAGGTAGCTGAGCCCATCATTCCAACCTTCCAAATTTCCCTCCCCGCCCTTCTCGAAACTCTGCAGATATTCGGCGCCGCCGACGCGGCCGCCCGCCAGGCAAGAGCGGATGTGGACCCCTACCGCAGCAACCTACGCAACTACCGCTCCGATGCTTTCAGCAACCACACGCTGGGCATGTCCGGCACCTGCACGCTGTCGTACCCTCAAAAGGGTGACCCTTTCAGCATTATTCTTGACGAAAACGGCGTTAGCACCACCTGCAACCTGACTACGTACATCACCGAACACGCCAATGGCAGCGGAGAAGACGACGGTGACTACAATGACAACGATATACCCTTTGACAAGGAGGACCTCTCCTTCAAGATCATCACGCACGCGCGGTGGCTGCTTGACGCGCTCGCGGAACTGGCGCCTGCCGCACCCGAGAAGCTCACCATTGCCGCCACCAAGACGGAGCCCTATCTCCGGCTGACTACCGCCAGCGGGCCGCTCGGCTCCAGCACGGTCGACTTTGCTAAGGGCCGGGACCTGCTCGAGACGTTTGCTGTCCGCCGGCGGTGGGCCCAGACGTTCAAGTTCGACATGATCCGCTCCGCTACCGAGGCCATGCGCATCGCGAGCAAGGTCAGCTTGCGGGGCGACGGGCAGGGGGTCCTGAGCATGCAGTTCATGGTGGAAGTGGAGGGGCGTGAGCCGAGTTTCCTGGACTTTAGGTTTGTACCATACGCTGTTTGCGAGGACGACGAGATGGGGGAGGTGGGTGAGGAGAGCGAGGGTGAGGGTGAGGGAGAAGAGGAAGAAGGGTAGTCGTGGCCTACCACAAACGCGTGGAAGAGGGATTGTTTACTACGTCGCTTTCTTTTGAATGAATTTCCAAGGGGTATAACATATCTTTCGCCCTTGACATCGCTACGGATGTGAGATGGTCGGTTGTGACCTGTATCCCGCGTCTGGACGAGGATGCCATGCAACCCGACCCGGAAATTTGAAAGATATATTTGCCATGTGATGTTGTACTAACGTTACGCACACAGTCTCTCGGACTGGGTATACTGCGAGGACTCCTCACACCAGACGAACTAATCCTTCAAGCATGATGTTCTTTGAATACGGTGATGTCCGCACTGAGATGAGACCAGTCACCAATATGTTTGTGTCCCTTCGCTCGAGCCTAGATTTCCAGAGCTCTACAGCGCAGTTGCTGTAGTTGACCGTTCGTCCAGAGTTCGATTCGTACGACAGCGACATCCAGAACGGCCTGCAAGGGGTCAAGTTTAAGACCGTTGGTGAGACCAAGAGCCTCGGAGATCTCAGTTTGTACGACACATACCCGTTTTCGGTTCCTGCTTGGCCTACCTCAATCACAAACTGTGAGACTGCAGAGACTACTAACGCATCCCACATTTCTCAGCGGAATTGAACTGGGTCCCCGTTCGACCAGGCCTTTCCTTCGCTGAGCTCTCAGTGCTGATCACATAGTTCTCACCACATCCATCAGATAAACCAAGGATGGATCAACACGCCAACCAAACAGTTGCAACTATAGCGAACCAAGCACCGGAACGTTACCCTTGGTCTTCAGTTTGTCAAGGAAACCAACAGCTCACCAGTCTTGTTGAAGATCCGAAGGGATGGCAACCACGGCTAGCGGGCTGACAAGACCGGGCGCCATCGAAGCAAGCCACATGACGCCAGCGACGCAACCACGACGAACCACACAAGCGGAGAGCCGAAAACTCTGCCTGGAGAACCAAAGCAATGGAAAGGTGGCGCGCTCTACTTGTACTGTATGTACAATACCTCTACTCACTACTAAAATCCCTCAGGTTGCCCTTTCCTCCCCGGTTCGTCCTGGCACTACTACTATCGCCCGCGTGATAAATGTGAGATACGTGGGATAGCACCGTTTTGCTCAAAGGTAGTAGTATCATGCAATATCAAGGGGGTGAGATGAGATGGTGACACTGGTTCCTGGCCGAGGCCCGAAATCACTTTGTATGCTGGCACATGTACGATACATACATACCTAATAGGGACATGGACCTCAACTGCAACCTGCAAGAGCAAGCGCAAGGCTTCGGCGGAGTCTTGGGTTGGGCTGTCATCCAGCCCTGCCAGCACAGAACAAAGTCCCTCCTCACAGCTCTGACGTTACCATGCACATAGCCAAGTAAGGTCTCGGGGCCTAGACTCAAGTTAACCACAGTTTCGTAGTCCTCACCGGGCCTAGCGGCGGCTGAGGATGGTGAGGGGATTGCATGTGTCTCTCGGTTGTTGAACGTTTCCGATAGGCGAGACTCCTGCCACGGTTCGCCGCTGGCTTGAAGCCGAGCCCTACCAGCCACCCCAGACGCACTGCAGGTTCTAGATGGTGTCTCGAGGGGACAGAGAGGTGGTGTCCTCGTTTCCGCTTCCTCGGGGCTAGTCACTCAAAGTCAGCTCACATCTTGGCCAGAACTTCTGGTGTCTGTCTGCCTTGTTATACCTACCTGTCCCATGCTTGCAGGTTGTATGAAAGTCAAGGGATAGATTACCTCAATACCACCATTCATCTTCATGTGATGCTCACATAAGAGCCCGCAGCGCAATTTTCTTGAGGTGTTATCCCCAGGCCGACTCAGATATTGTTCCGAGCCATTCCCATCGTTGTCCTTAAGCCCTCATCGCCTTCTCAAGCCTCAACTGCTTGGCCCGGGAAACAGTACCGGCGAACGACAACGAGCTATATCTACTAGAGAAGGATATTAAACCGGAAATGGCGCGAAACTGCTACCACAAACTCGAGAAAGAACCGGGGAGCACGCAACGAGATAAACGAACCTGCCCAACATCTCGCACCATCAGGTCGTTACTAGCATCCATCTCCTGCCGGTGGCGGCGACGGTCCGAGCAAGGTGACGAGACGACGACTTCGAGTTCCGAACCTGCAGAAGAAAAACAGTACGTCCACGAGCCGACGCACGCCGCGTCCTCGTTCCTCAAGACGGCCACGTCACGGAGCATACGGAGGGCGAACGAGATCTTGTGAGCCGACCAGTCAGTGTGGACATCCGGCCGGGACGCGAACACAAAACAAACAAACCAGCCATGACTGTGCCGGCACGACTTTTCTGTTTCTTCTTTTGCCACCAGAGTAAATGAGGTCATGAGGAGGATGAGGATTCAGAACCGGTCGAAGTGAGTGGTGATTCGGCGAGGAACAGGATGAAACCAAGGCCGACCCGGTGTGAGGGCCGGGAGGCGGCGGCCACAGGGAACTATAACAAGCAGCCGGGAACGGCACAGCGGGTGGGCTCTCTCTCCCGGTAAGGTGGAGACTGGGCCGCCGAAGCGTTGGTTTCACGCTTCACTGGTTCCGAGAAGGCAACTTGGCCCGGGCTTTGTTCGGGAAGATTCCGGGGTGGAGGGAATCGGTCGTGAACCCTCAGGCCAACGGGCTCATGGCAACTATACTTAGCAAGCTGTCCAGGAGCAGCAGCCGCAACCCCAACCGCAACCACGGGAGTTGGAAGCGGGAGCGGCTCCTGCCATGGTTTCTGGTTCGGAGCTTGGGAGCCTAAAGAGGGTTGTATACTACATATAGTGTAGTGTGGAGGCGGCCGTTCAACAAGGGGCCAATTTCTGAGCCAGGCGGTTAGTAAGAGAGCACTTGGTGAGGGACCAGGAGTTGTTAGGATCCTTCACGTCAATCCAGAGCGACGGGACCATCTCTGATAGGAAGAGTCAAGAGCCTAGTATAGGTTGGAACGAATCCGAATTGCCCACAGCCTCAGATCCTCCCCCATCATCAAATTCAGGATGTGTGTTGAGGGTTTGCGGCACAGCCCACGTGCCTTCTGAAACAGCAGTGCCCTTGGGGCGCCTTATGAAGATCCTGTTAGAGTGAGAATATTCGCGAATTTCGTTACCAGGCATGGGGGAGCAACTCCAATTAAGTACCAGGAACCGCATAACAGTAACTAATTACAGGATCGCAGACCCTGAGCTCGCCAATCTTTAAGGCAGCTTTAAAGCAACGGGGGGGCGCCTCCGCTCATGGACGGGCCGCATCCTTCCTCTTTGCTCCTCTGAAAACAACCGTGTAAGCATCGTCAGTTGAGGTGAGGATGGATTGTAAGGTGGAGCATGTGGAGTACACTTACGGAGTCGGCCGAGGTGAGATCAAAGGTGAGAGGAGTGGAGAGTGACTTGGCTGCACGGAGATAAGGATAGGAGTGCTGTCATGGGCAACGAAGGGACGACAGCGACAGGCACGAGACGAGCACGAGTTCCCCAAAGTGCGATTCTGTGGGTAGGCGTGGCGAAGCCCTGCCGTATCCCAGAACGCTCAGAGCATCTGGTTGGCTGGAGCCACTGAACCTCATGCACCTTCGCGGCAGTTGCAGCTAAAAGACGGGCTACAGTAAGATGGTGTGCAGAAGAGAAACCCCTCGGGCCCCTGTCGGAAGCTGGCCCAGGGACTGAGGTGGACAAGGCGGACCTGGGCACCTCAGCTGCCCTGGGCGACCGTTTAACTCGGTGCCTGGAGAACCTTGAAAAAGCCACTGCCGTTAGTGTGGTGTAGATCGCGCGTATTGTTCAGGCCAACCTAGCCAGCAGGATATCGATGCTGCTAATAATGTCCAAGCTGGGGATTGCGTGCATGGCTTGCTGGTCTTGAGGATTTCTGATCAATGCGATGGAATTGCTCTCCGTCTGTGCGGGCCTCCTCCGCACCGAAGCCGGGAGCCCGGGCTGGTCGGTCGACGAGGCTTCAGTTATCATAATTTCGCGGCATCACCGGGCTCGTTGCATCCATCGCAACACTGCGGCCGCCGGGCGGGGCATTCTATCGTTCTTCTAGGCTGTCAGATGGATTGACTGCATGGATGGTGACGGGGTCAAGATACACTGCTTGACTGTGCGATGGTGCTGTAATGGCTGCTAACGAAGAAGGTCAGTAGTTCCGGTAGTTTCAAGAGCAAGTCGTCCAGCCTCCCAGTGGCGCCATGGGGTTGATCGGGTGCACGGTGCACGATCGCACTGCAGCGCCCAGGGGCAGTTTTTTAGCGTAGATCACCACTGATCTGGGGATCCTCACAGGAGCCGCGCACTCATCAACCACTGGGCTGCAGTGCGCTCCTCAGTCGTTCCACGTTTGCACACTGTCCAACAAGGGCGGGGCAGTCCCGTCCATGAAGTTTGCAGCCATTCCCAGCTGAGACCTTCAGGTTGGTAACACGAAGAGCTGGTGGTTGTGGCCGTGGGCAGGTTAGCTTCAAGTCCATTATCGTTGAGAACCAACGTTGGTGATGCAGCATTTAGGTAGAGCCCCTTTAACCTACCTTAGGCGGGGAAGGTACGGAAGGCACTTGCCCTCTCGCAGCTTCTGTCGCTGTGCCATCCCCGCGCTTCCTGCTGTTCGGGAAATCGCGCAGTGGTACGAAGTCAGGTAGCCTCGGGCATCAGGTAACTTCCAGCTCGTCCGGCCTTCACGGCGCGCCTGGGCCCCCGATACTTACTCCCGCCGGGCCTGGTGTTCGCCCGCTGATCGCTCGCCTCGACGTGCTATACAAAGATATGAAGGCTGAGCGGCCGGGCGGGATGTCATACGGGGAACTTGGCAGTCTGCAGCGCCTGGCTGCTTCTAGGCACAGTAGTTTCTCTTAGCCGAAGATAAGAAATGCTAACTGTCTAATAGAGGCAGCATTGCTCCGTGCTATGTACCATTGTTCGCAGCATGTAACATAATCGGCTCCGGACCTAGGCCCACTGCCTTGCCCCATCTGAGTAGCCCGCCTAAGACACTTTTGCTGGTGCCTGCGATCCGAGGCGCCAGTGCTAAAGTGAGGTCAAATCCAGGCATTCGACTTTCTCTCTCGTTGTCGCTATTCCCCGCAAGCCGATTGCCGGGGCCAGAGCTGGCGGTGCAGCACTTGGGACGGGATATTCTCAGCGCGCTCGTTCTTTGGGACGCGGCATTCTACGGGACCGACCACTCAGTCAGCAACGGTCACCACCTGTTGGCAGTGTAGTGCGACCAATTGCGGCAGTGTTCACTAAAGTAAGGACAACCGCTTCGAGCCGGGAGAATTCCAGGTTGGGGGCCAGGAGAGGGGCAGAGAGAGTCCAAGGTGAGTTCCTTCCTGTGGTCGTCGTTGTAGGCGCCCCAGCCCTCTTGGCAGCCAGGGCCCTGGTCCGCGTGCTTTCCAATTCTTTGCAGGTTGCAGGTTTGCAAGTGGCTCCACTGTCGACAAGGCCACGCTCGTGCCAGGTCACTCCCCCTGTAATTTGTGTACTCGAGTACAAACACCACCCCAACCACACTCCCACACTCTTTCATGACACCCAGCAAGGCCAAGCGGGTCCGAGGTAGGATAGTGTTATGTACGCTTACAGTACTGCGGTCGCCATGAAGTCGGCAGGCATTCCGCAGCATGGCCTACCATCGCATGCGCCGCTCAGTTTAATAAGTTACAGGCGTTCCAATGTTGCCATGGCCTCTCATTCCCCCAGCGCCCCTGGCCGTGCCTTTCCTGGCGATTCTGACCTCACTCTTCCTCACTGTTGCCCCCATTGTCTTGGACTTTGTTGGTCACACATTACTTCGCTCGCATTGCCTGCTGCTTGCTCATTGAAAACAAGCAGCGCGCGACAGTTTGCCCATCGGCCCCCATTGACGAATTCTTGATGGTGACGGGCAGACGCGGCCTAACTAGGCATTGAGAATCCCGGGTCCTGTTCACGATAGACCGTCATATCTCCATGCCATGAGCTGCTACACGTCGGGTGCCGCCAGTCCCCTTCTCTTTCTCTCTTAGCCGCCGACCCGCAGTACCATTAGACGCTACAGACAGCACCATGTTGTCCCGGCCAGCTTTTGGCATCCGAAAGTCAAAGCCCCAGAAGAAGCATGAAGGGGCCGACGACTTTGAGGGGTCCTACTTCCATCACGATGACGACGACGACATGGACACGCTCAGCAAAATTAGAACCTGGAGACCGCCCATGAGCCTGATGAAGAGGTCTTCCAAGCCAAGCATTGACATTCGAAAGAGCGAAGACCTGCATCGTATCATCTGCATTCCGCCATTGCCCGACACTCCGCAGTCGTCAACGACTTCTTTGTGTAGTTACGACAATGGCACGGCCTACGTTGTGACTACTATTAGCCCCCGCTCATCGCCTCCTCGTCGCCCTGGGAGAAGTCCCCTGGCCAGTCCTTTGGCTAGCCCCGAGACAAGCCCCCAAAGAAGCCCGCGAAGGAGTCCGCTTCTTCTTCCCGAACAACTCGAAGATCATCAACTATACCAAGGCAGGCGCTCAGTGTCGGCGCACTCTTTTCAAGATCACGCTCAATTAACGCCTCCTTCATCCCCGCCTCAACAAGCAGTGATGGCTCCGGACCTACCGGCAGACCTCTCCGGTGCTTTCCCGGCTACGCCTACGGCCAACAGCGATCAAGCACAGGCGGTAGCTGCCCCCGAAACCGGGGCGGAAAACGTTAACTTTTCCGACGATGTTCAGCAACTCATTCAGGAGACAGATGAGGCTTTCAGGTTACGGCAGTCCTTCCTCGACGCCAAACTCCCCTCATCTACGCTGGACAAGTTCCCCAAGCTGAAGGATCCATCACCACGGTCGCTTCCCGCACGCAGGAAATCACAGCGGCGCAGTCAAGGCTCGGTCAAGTCAACTCGCTCGGTCAGGTCGGCCAAGTCGGCCAAGTCACCCACAAAGACAGCAGTGAAAAGCCCTTTGTCGTCGTCCCAAGCGAGGTTACCGTCTGCCACGCGCCCGAAACGGGCAAAATCAAAGAAGTCTCGGAGGCGGCCGCGTGCGCCACTAAGGCAATCTTCATTGCTGCAATTGACTGAGAGCGCCAGAGACCTCTTTGGCCTCCGGCTCTTCCACCACCGGATAGAGGTTGATGAGATGCTTCCCGAGAGCACGCTGCAGGAGATTAGAATGAGCCGGGCAGCGCAGTGGACGAGGCATCCGGAGCTGGGCGTGACACACGTGGATAAAAGGAGTGCATCGACTACCTCGATTGAGCCGCTGAACCTCGACTCGGTCGAGACAACAGCAAGTGAAGACGTCGTAACACCCCGTGCCTCTGTTGCAATCCAAAAGGTAGAGATTAACCAGGAGGAATGCAAGACGCCCACGGCGCAAACCTGGGAGCAAGGAGCGGGAAGTGATCGAGAACAGGCTGGAACGGTGCAGGTACAATTGCAGCCAGAACAAGGGTCATCGATACCTCTACACCAGCCAGACTCGCCCACCACAAAAGCCTACAACGATGAGGACGGTGAGGAAGGAACGCTACCCATCATGATAATGGCCGACGACGAGCCGTCGGCCCAGGCTAAGATGGTCGGGACCCCAGTGCCATCGATAATCACAGGGCCTCTTCACCGCCGTCTGCCGAGCAGGCAGTTGCCGCCCCTTCCCACCATTCCCGAGATTGTAGCAACCGGGCCGGAAGGGGCCGTGCTGTCGCCAACCTCGGTGCCAAAATCGCCTGGATCTGCTTGCAGGCTTAACCCGGACGACTATGTGTTCCTCGACAGCACCCCTTTCACATTGACCATGCCGGGCTTCCGGCACGGTCAGATCCGCCTCGCCAAGGCCGACCTTCCCATCGGCAAGCTCGCCGCGGCTGTGGACGACACGTTGGACTGGACAGCCTTCCAGATGGCCATCCTTGGCGGTGCAGGCGACTTTTTTAGCGAACCGACCGACTACTCGCGACCCTCAGATGCCGAACTCGACGAGCTCGACGAAATGGTCTCCTGGTTTGGCAGCTTTGGTTTTTCAGGGCCAGGCGCCTTGGTTGGCCCTCCCGAACAAGCGTCACCGACTCCGGTGCAGCCGTGGACCCCAGTATTCCCTCGCACGCCAACTCTCTCACCACCCTCGGCAGTGTCAACCCCCATGAGCAGCCCTCGCACCGTGATAAGCGGTAACCGCAGCCCGGGGTTCCGGCGGATTGATCCGCCTACCCCGACCCCGAGCAGCAGCGAATTTTACCTTGATCAGAAGACGGCTGAGCTACCGCCAGCGAGCGAATCCATCGCGAATCGAGTTTTCTCTGCCAACGAGGGGCAGCAGCAGCGGCTTAGCCCACCAGCACCAATCGCACCGAGATTTAGACGCAGCAGCTGCACCAGCAGTACGTTTGGTATGCAGCCGCTGTCGCCACCGCCGGCGTACTCGCCTTCGCTTTCCCTCGAGAGCCGCAAGCACGTCGGACTGGCTATCGACTCGAGCCGGCGCCCCAGCGTGGACAGCCTGCAGAGCCTGCCGCAGAGCCCCATGATGGACCTGGTGGTCAGCCATGACGTCGAGGGCAACGAGTACATGGTCCCGATGGGCTTCAACCTCAGCCACGACCTGGGCGATTTCCTGACATGGCATGCCGAGCACGTCTCTGGCTCGGGCTTTGGGACGCCGACGGTGGGCGGGGTTGGGAATAGGATTTGAGCATGATGCAACAGCATACACTCGAACAAACAATAACGATTCAACCGCCGAATCTTTCTTCTTCCTTTCGCTACTCACCATTTCCTATGATTGTATCAGGCATTTACGGAGTGTTTGGTTTGAGGGTGCTTTACTATCAAACAAAGGCGTTTAGACGGCCCATGGCACGGGGCGGGGCATCTATCCGGCGACGGAGGCGTACTGCAGTTTGGGGCGACTTTCTCTCTTTGATACCACATTCCTTTTTATGTTGGAGTTGCTTCCCTTCGAAATTATTACATGCCCATTCTTCGCTTGGTTTACCTATTCAATTCCAATGGGAACAGTGGGATGGAGTGGCCGGTTTTCTTGCAGGACGGAAGTGGACAGAGGCGAACGAGTTGATGGTCGCGGTTTATGGAACAGCACACATCTCGGAATTCCTTTTTGTTGTGAAGCCGTGCCATCGTGCAGTCTTGTATATAGCGAATTAGGATACCAGAACCAGCAGTACATACGTACTATAAACTGTTTGCCTTCTACAGGACATTTCTCCCTCGTGGTATACTACGGCTTTCATCATCACTGAACGGACCGACAGATGACGCATGGCATGGCATACCATGGAATAGCTATCTTTGGCCTTGCGCCTGCATGTACAGATTAAACTTTCATAAATAAGGTACCTACGGTATGTACAGAGCGTTGCATGGCATATTTCGTACATACAGACAGGTGCATTAGCAAGGTAGTGCTGTAAATCACAGCCCCCTTCGCGGGCAACTGCAGTGCTGCCAAACTTCCAAGGTTGTAGCTTATTTTTCGGGGCACCTTTGCTTACACCCGACCCGACACAGCCGAGCGAGATGGACGGAGCAGCCGATGACCATCACATCAGCACGAGATGACAAGATGCGAGATGTTACAGTAGGCACGCTTATCAGCACAGGTCAAGTGATTTTGAAGACTTGCGATCGGCAATTCATACTCCCCGCCCCAAGCCTAAGTCTCTTCTTCTTTGTGATAAAGTTGGTTGGGCCGGTTCTCCGGATCTTATCGTGTTATGCTCAACGAGGCTGAACGGCTTGGGTAGATTTTGTAAAGTTGTACTGTAGGTAGGTGCCTCAAGTCAGTTGGAGTCTTTTTTGGGCTGCCACTGCAGGTACTAGTAGTACCGGTAGTGCGACTGGCACAGCAGAGAATGCTTAGTTCTGAGGAATATGCTGTTGAGATATGTAGGTAGTTGCACTGGTTCAACAGACAGGGTCGTTAGTGTGTTTGGGGAGAGTGCTTCAGTGCATGAGAAGATGTCTTTTTAGAAGAATATCACTGGTAGCGTCGATCTCCAAGTCGACGTCCTCTCTTTCCTGTTCTGTATTGACAGACGGCCTAGGTGAAGAGTAGGCACGTATGTACAGTACAGTATTCGGAGTAAGCAACATCAAGGTTAAATACTGGCCCTCCGCTTACACTAGCCCCATCGTCATCAACTGTCCGCGTCGGTCGGCTACGTTACCCAGCTTACCAAGGTCCCTGGGAAGTGGTGCGTACCTGAGGTAAGTAAACTACACTATGTTTGTACGGTAGAGGTACCTCCGTATAGACTAGAAGAACACATGATCTGGTCTGGTTCTGAGGAAAAGGAGGCGGTGCGTTGCGGGTGGTGTGCGCCTCAGCCACGCTTTCTCTTGGCCTGCAAGGCTGCAACTGGGCGAGCGGCCGCATGGATGGATAAGCTTCTGTCATGTTTCATGATAAACCAGAGGGATTCTAATGTCTGTAAGGTACCAATTCGTGGGATTGAATGAGGATCGAATGGATGGCACCTCGACAACTGGAGGGATTTGATACTACGTGGACGTTGATGCCACTAACACATACACATACTACACTACAGTAGGAGAATCACACTCATGATTCGTGAACTGTTGGCTTCAGTGTACGCCAACAAACTGACCGAGCTCGAATAGGATATCCTCCCTCAAACTGAAAGTGCTTGGGGGTTAGCATCCATATAGGACGCCCTCCCCCTGTCAATGACCCCCTTTGCATGAGACATCAGGCCGGCTATCACCTCTTTCTGCCTTCGTCCCATTGCCGATGGAAAGAATGTGCGAAGCAGTTACGGAATGGCCGAGGCCGCAATTCGAGCCCCTCGACGAAGATTGGATGCCTCCACCCCATCACGAGAATGAGAACGACAGCTGTCGTGTCTGGGCCGCTTTGGTGATTCTCGAAGAGCCATGCCATCAGATCGACTGCGTGCCAGTGGTTCCCGCCCACACAAAAGTTGCAGCATCATCCGCGGCCGGGCTCAACCCTCTAATCCGCTTTGAGGGCCTTCCAACATCCGAGACTTCATCATTTTGATCGTGCCCGAAAGCCCTCTTCTCGACCCTTGCGCTGTACTCGTTTGCCTCGGCTTCAATCACGGGCACTTGATCTAGAATCCACCGCAGCAAATGACCCTGGCGTTGTAGGTTTCTCTTCGCATGCCAATAGTCCCATGTTTCGTGGGTGAACTTTATAATGAGATCGCCTCGTCGCTTTACCGTCCTGAACGCGTCCTCGGCGGCGATCAGGCTCGAATGGGCTGTTGCCAGTGCCTGTATGCGCTCTGGTTTGGTAAATCGAGAGTTCCCAGTCCTGGCCTTCTTTGACTCCAAACAGAGCTGCTCTAGCGGCTGCTTCAGCGGATTCTACTGCCTCCCTAGCCTGGTCTTCTTCCATTTGAAGCTGAACAGCAATCTCCATACCGCCTACCTCCTTGTCCGTCTCACCAGGCCGTAATACTCCCGAGTCCGCCAGCTCCTTCCAGGTCCCGTCGTACTTTGATTGTAGACGATGGACGGATCGCTCGTACCGGTCATACCACGAGTACTCGTAGTTTAGGTACTCGATCCATGTCGTCAACTCGTCCTGTCGTGTCGGATCTTCGTCAAGCTGGAATGTCCGGTTGAAGCCGTGTTTTTCAAGGCGGCGCTTCGCCTCCCTAACATACTCGGAGAAATCACCTCGGCCGTGGTCCTCCCGCAACCAGTACAGAGGGATCCCGACGGAGAGGCGGAGGTTCCTCCGCTGATTATCAAACTCGACCCTGAGGACCTGTTGATATTCGTTGTCCGTCATTCCTGGCCATTTGACGCCGAGCTTTATGTTTTGCCGCTTCTTCTCGGCGACAAACGCTAGAAATCTTTCATCTTGATCATCGACGTTCTTTACGTCTTTGGCCCTTCTGAACTCGTACCGTAGCCTTTCAAGATACCGGCTCTCCGTCGTCTGCCGACGCGTGAATTTGTCGTTTGATCTGCTTTCGGCCCTTTCCCTCGCAATGAATGCGGCGAACTCTTCTTCCTCGTCATCAATGTCGCGGTTGTCTTTCTGCCACATACGGAAAACCCGCCACCTCCCCAGTTGCAGCTGGAACACGTATTTGTCCCAGTCGCGTATGCTGTACTCGGGATACTCCTGCCACGGAAGTAACGTTTCGCGATACTCTTCCGGGTCCTTGAAAACCTTCTCCATGAGGCTGATAGGGTAGGGCGCCCGACCGCCGGCATCGATCAGCTCATTGTAAGCGACTATTTCCGCTGTCTTTGCGCGTTCATCCCAATCTATCCTGGGGGTGGGCGATCTTTCGTAGCCGGGCGATCCTGAGAAGTGTTGCGGCTGCGTGTCTTGTTCGTTCGAGATTGCAAGCAGTCGCGCATTGACGGCATCAAGGTCAACCGGGCATGACCGCACTTCATCGTTTGCTCCTGATGCCCCGGCCCTACACGCTTGTCAGTAAGCGAAGGGCAGAAAGGAACAAGGGCGTGGATAACGACTTCAGTATCTCGGCCAGCTTGTTGCATTGATCGGCCGGCAGGTTCTCCCAACCGTCAACCTCTAGACAAAACCCGCCGTCAGAACGGCGATTCTGCTTCATGTACTGCACAAGCTCCACGTCGCTAAAAGCAAAAATGTCGTCAACCGACAGTTTAACGGTCGATGATTCACACGATGTCATTTTAGTATGGTGCAAACAGTCGCTGAAATGCTGGCGGTGGAAAGAACTTCGTGATGGGAATCGTCTTGGAAGCATCCCGGGGTATGAAATTCTGCTTCGAGCACTTAAGGTACCTGTGTGGGGTTATGCCCCCTTTTCATCTCAAGTAAATCAGTTCTGCGAGGCGTATAAAAGTGTGCAATTGCCAGCCAAATACAAGATAGATCACCAACCGGGATAACTAAGGCTTCATCAATATTACCACCTCAGGACTGCAATGGCTTCCCCATCCCGCCATAGGTAACCATCTTGGTAACCTGGTACTCTCCGATGCCGTACAGCGAGCCCTCCCTTCCGAACCCGCTCTCTTTCACACCGCCAAATGGCGCCGCCGGGTCCGAGATCAGGCCGGTGTTGACGCCCACCATGCCCACCTCGAGATGCTCGGCCACGCGGTGCACCCTCTCCAGATCCCTAGAAAAGAAATACCCGGCTAGCCCCACGGGCGTGGCGTTGGCGATGCGTACAGCCTCCTCCTCCGTGTCAAACGGAAACAGCCCCGCCACAGGCCCAAACGTCTCCTCTGACGCCATGGCCATGTCCGTCTTCATGCCCGTCAGCACGGTGGGCTGGAAGAAGTGCGGGCCCAGCTCGGGCAGCTTGTGCCCGCCCAGGACGACGGTGGCGCCCTTTTGCTCGGCGTCGCGCACGTGCGCCTCGACCTTGTCGACGGCGCGCGCGTGGATGAGCGGACCGTGGGTGACATTTTCGTCAAAACCGTTGCCGACGCGGAACTTGCTGACGGCGGCGGCGAACTTGGCGGCAAATTCGTCGTAGATGCCGCGCTGCACAAAGATGCGATTGGCGCATACGCAAGTCTGGCCCGACGAGCGGAACTTGGAGGCGACAGCGCCCGCCACGGCCAGGTCGACGTCGGCGTCGTCAAAGACGATGAAGGGCGCGTTGCCGCCCAGCTCGAGCGACAGCTTCTTGAGTGTGCCAGAGCACTGCCTCATGAGTAGCTTGCCGACGTTGGTGGAGCCGGTAAACGAGACCTTGCGGACCGTCGGATTGGTGGTGAGCACCTCGCCCACCTCGGCCGTGTTCGCGGATGCCGTAACGATGTTGACCACGCCCCTGGGAATGCCAGCGCGGTGAGCGAGCTCCGCAAGGGCCAGGGGCGTGAAAGGTGTCTCGCCCGGCGTCTTGCATACGACGGTGCAGCCGACGGCCAGGGCCGGGCCAATCTTGCGCGTGATCATGGCGGCGGGGAAGTTCCAGGGGGTGATGAGCCCGCAGACGCCGACGGGCTCCTTGATGGTCCACACGCGGTTCCCCGGGATTGACGAAGGTATCGTGTCGCCGTAGATGCGCGGGGCTTCCTCGCTGAACCACTCGAAGAAGTTGGCAGCGTACGTCACCTCACCCTTTGCATCGGCCGTCGGCTTGCCGTTTTCCCAGGTGATGAGAGTCGCCAGGTCGTCGGCATTCTCAACCACCAGGTCGTACCACTTTCGGAGAAGCTTGGAGCGCTCGCGCCCAGTGGTTTTCCGGAAAGCCTCAAAGGCCTCTTCGGCTGCGGCAATGGCATCTTCTGTGTCCTTGGCGTCGAACTCCGGGCAAGTGCCAATGAGGTTGCCCGTGGCTGGGTCTATGGGTGGGGAGTGAGCGTCACGATTCGGATCGGCAGGGTAATCAATGTGCTGGGGGCCGGGCTGATGATACCATGCGCTTCAAAAGTCTTGCCCGACCTGGCCTTTACCCACTCGCCGTTCACGTAGCAGACGTTCTGCTTGAAGAGGGACGGATCTTTGAGCTGCAATTGCGCGGTCAGAAATCTGAGTTTGTTCACACATCGGCGTCCATGGATAAATCTGGCATACCTTTGGGGCCATGGTTGAGGCCAGACGGAGGAATGGATGGACTACAACTGGTAGAGCTGACCTCTGGAACCTGGACCTGACTGCAGCGCGCGAGGCGGGGAAGAGCGTCTTTTGCACGAAAGCCATCTGACGAGACGACTGTGGTCGGCTCGGGACGCCGGATGCGCGTATGTATGTGCCGTTCTACGAGAACAGAGGTCTCACATGTACTGTAATGCGGAGAGCAACTGAAGCCAAGAACGACCTGGATCACTTGTCAGTTGTTGTCAGTAGTTCGAGCAGGCACTCTCTGCTCACAACGGATGAAATACACTATGGAAAGCTGCAGGTGCTAGTGTAGGTCCTTCCAGAGACACAAGATGAGCCCAGTTGTTATTTCCCAGTTCGGGAGCTTTGGCCTGAGTGTTGCAGCAGCTCCCGTCCCAATGACGTATGCTAACAGTGGGTATCTCGAGGTTACAAAACCCAGGGACCGAGGCACTACTGGATGATGAGTGGGGAACCGGAACCGCCTAACGTCGGCAATCCTTCACCCGAGTCCGAGTCCGTTTCCGGATTCGCAGACCTACACAATCTTTACCTGCTGAGAACTCTTCTCAAACCTGTGAGCTGTGGATATGTTGTACTGTACTTTCTGATGAGGGGGCCAGGTGTCGTGCCTTACCTGCCTGTAAGCTAGAGCCGCGACAACCATGGACACCGGGGCTCTCAAGGGTCTCGATCGCACTCTCGCCGTCTTCGCTGCATTTCTCAGTCGGCACTGGTTAAGGCGCGCGCCTTGGAGCTGAAAGCGCGTGAGCTTAAGGGGCTAGGTCAAGCGGGTTGCATGCATCATCAGCTGCTCTAGGACAAGACAGTCCAGTATATTTGGGAGCCCAAACCCAACTCCGTGACCTAGGGAACAGGAAGACTTTGAGTGCGCTTCATGCGTGGATATCCGACAAAGGAAATGCATGACCATCGATGAAATCCCAACCCCCCAAGCCATTCCCGTGAGACATTGAAATAGACATACAAGCCATGAACAGGCGTCCCCAACATCCCGATTTCCCTCCACCCCCTCCTATCCCGCCAGGGGTCAAAACATTCAGCATGTAAATGGCCAAAGGGTGTCGTCGACCCTAGGCATAAGTAAGTTTGTTCTCTAGCGCATGGAATGCCTGCGTCCGCGGTGTGAACGGCATTTGCAGAGGTGGCGGCGTGGGTTGCATCTCAACTCCTTTGTCCTTTCTATTGGCGGGACCATGCTCGTTCTCGTCGTCCGAGTCATCCTCCATGTCGAGCTCCTTGTTGGGGATCATGGCCCAGATAGCGAAGCAAGTCTGGAAGACATAGATAGCCCTGTCGTTTGTCAGCGCACAATCCCTCCAAATATGACGCAGGCTCCAAAATACGCACAGGAGATAGACGGTCATGGCAAAGGCACCCTTGGCCAATTGACACTTCTTAACCGCGCCATATGGTGCGGCAATGTCGCAGCCGAGCCGAATGTACCAGGCCGACGGGCTCGGATAGCGAGGGTCGAGGTAATCGGGTCCAGCTTGGCCATAGACGCTCACAGCATACAAAGCCGTCAAAGAGAGACCGAGGACAGTGCCGAAGACGGGATAAAAGATCTTCATGATGGTGGCAATCATTTTTGCCAGGAGGGTAAAGAGGGAGACGATCGAAATGGCGACATTGTAGTCAGTTATTCTACCCGACGTTGCTGGTCAGCTCGGGTGCTCAGGTTCGTTAGCCTCGGCATCACTCACGTCTGTGACCAGACAAGCGGAATGGCAGGTAGTGGCCTGTGATTGGCATAGGCGTAGAGAAGGACGCGTGGGCTGGAGTTGAGCCCTCTGTCGTAACCGATGCTCCAGGCTAGAGTGCGAAAGGCATCAGGCTGCTGAAGAGCGAAGAGGACAAGAAGGGCAACGACGCCGCCCAGTTCGGGTATCATTCCCCAATACAGAGGCTTCTTGGCCCTCCATGGCCGGCGGAGAATTCTGTATGTCCAAGCCATCTCTTCTGTTCGACGTTCTCCTCTTTGTACTTCTCAACCGGATCTGTCCGGGGGATTGCGCGTTTCGCTGTCGGGGTTCCGTTGAGTGCCGGAAACCGCTAGGAGCGGCTTACATTGAACTTCTGCAGGTTGGGGCAGCCGAATAGCCCCTTCAACCCTTCGTCATCGACCGGCGACAGCAAATTTGGCGATAATCGACGTCGCAGAGCTCAGTTCGCAGTGGCGTTGCTGTGAAAGAGAGGGGAAGGGCAGCCGCCATTTAAAGCGCAGCACCCAATTACTTCTTTGGCGGGCTCTGGAGGGCACACCTCCTGCCGCCCAAACCTGTGAAGGCGCCCATCCGAGCAGCCTGAAGATGCAGGTTGCAGGTCAATCACAGCCCACCACCCAATAAGAGGGCTGAGAAGGTCTGACAGCGTCGCCGTGTTAAGCGCCCGGGCCCGCCAATTACAAAGGCGGTTCGCGAGGGACAAAGAGCGGAGAAGACAGCTGCAACGGGCCGGAACAAGCTTATGGGGCTCTTCTGTCAGCTGTCTGAACCAAATAGCGCCGGTGCTACCCTCGAACTTGACGCCAGAGCTGCCCCTGTCCGCCGTTGAGTGCATCTGCCGTCGACATGGGAATGGTGACCACTGAGGTATGTACCTCCGTACCATAGCCCAGTCCGCGGTGTCGTTACTGAACGGCCGTGCAAGTTTCTTCTCATCTTGGGATGTGGGCGGTCCTGGTGGCCAAGCCCGGGATTAGGTAACGACTGGAGTGACTGGGCTACATCCACCAAAGTACCCGACGTTCGGAGGAACCTGGCTCAGGAAGCTGAATTCGGCGCATCGTGCCGTGCGCCGGGCCGCCGGCAAACCGGAGGCTGTGGGGCTTAACATAACGTTAGCGTACCTAATGAACTGCCCTGATTTTGGGACGAGGGCTGGGAAATTCGTCAGTCCAAAGTCATTAGGTATCGTAAACAGTTGACAACAGCACAAGCCGCAAATCCATCGATGCCGAGAGATAAGGAATTCGGCAGCGCCCCAAGCTTGTTTCGACCTCGCTCCGTTCGAAGCAGCTTGGGAATGCCTAAGTAGGTCAATGTCTAGTGTAATGCAATATGTAAATTCCATAAGGAGCACTCTGATGAACGACAGTGGCAACCCCGTAAATGGTGTACATACAGACAGCACCAAAGATACAGTACATACCTAAGTCGTGATATAAATCTGAGAGTCCTTAACTGATGTATAAGGTAGTCAATTTCTCCATCAACGCCAAGCTCTGTGCTAGATACGGGGTACCTTCGTAACGTTACCCTATATCCGTATATACGCTAGAAATGAACATGTCTTATAGATTCCGCAAAGATCACGTGCTGTGAGGTAAACAGCGTGGCATGATGGGAATTGAGGAATGCCGATGTTGCAGACTGCCCTTTCATGATGAATTGTCAGACCATGAAGTTCCGGGGCATAGTGATCTCTGATTGGTCTTTCAAGCACATGTCAGCCTGAGGGCGAAAATCGGCCGATCCAGAACGCAAGATTTGTGTCGTACGATCGCAGCCCATGACTTGCGCAAACGAAATTGTCCCAACACGTGTACCAGTATGTACTGTAACTCCTCCGCTTGGGACACTACTAAATATCCGTACATACAGGGGATAGGTATATCACCATCGCTGCTCCAGGCGCAGTATTCAGCGCTCAAGGGTATTGTGGTGTAAGGTACAAGACATGGCCAACACAGATCGGTTCTTAAAACCTAGCGCACCGTGAATTCCACGCGTCCGACATAGGCGTGCTCATGCCCCTGTCTATAAGTGAAGGCTGAACACTTATGTTTCCATGATGCCAGGGGGAGGTCCGGGGCGGAGGAAACAGCCCGCTCAGCGCAGCTAAACACGGAAGTGAAGACATTTTAACTCAGGACCGTGGATGGTTCTAGAGCAACCGCAATGGCCGGTGCGGCGGTGCAGAGATTTCCAATTGCAGGCGGACGGATTATTTTGTCTGCCGGATGCTGCTGCTGCCGTGTCGGCAATGGTGGAGACCCAACGGAAACAAGCCGATGCTCATTGATGAGATGACCTGAGCTTTGACTGGGGTTCTGGTTCCACCATGGCCGCTCCAGACCCTCATGGACCGTGAGACCCCCTGTCAATTTGATGCCGCTCGCTTTCGCCGCCTGCTGTTTCTGGGCGAACTCTTTGCGACCTCACGAGTCCACTTTGTGGAAGCAACCGTTCTTGCGGAATCCGCCTACCGTGGCTCGAGCGTGGCTGTCGTATTGCTCGCCTCTGTTAGTTTAGTAGCACTGAAGAAAAAAAATGCTGCCCTCGTTTGCAGGAGTCCAAAGCGACGGGAGAGACTGATGGCAAGTAGTATATTCGTACCCAAGGTAGACAGTACCTCAGGTGCAGACAGGTAGCGGCAGCTGGAACATACGGTACTTTCCCAGTGGCAGAATGCTATCGGTCGCCCTTAATAGAGGCCTAACTTGCCTTCTTTCCACTAGAGATACAGGATATATGCCTGAAGCGTTGGCCTTGTGGCGCCTGTCTACACTAAGCTAGGTAGTCTAGAGTAAGTGCTTCCGCCGGCCGTTTCCACAAGTCCCAGATCCCCCATGGAAAGTGGAATTCCCACCTCATTTCATGCGAATTTGCATGCTATACCCGAGGGCAGAAAAATAGAAAAATATAGGACTGAAAATCACGGGAAGCCGAGAGAAGCAGAGAGAACCGCTACGGCTATCGGATTTCTGCACTTTGTTCTGGATTCAAACCAAAGAAACAAATGAACCTGAAGGACAAGTACACAGTAAAGGACGGGAGGCTCCTGCCTGCGTGCGCCTAGAATCCCATACGGGCCATACCCGCTATCATCCTAGCCAAGACTCGCCACGACCCGCGATCTCTAATTCCAGTCCGGAGAAGAATCTCATTTTTCGTTTTTATTTTTTTCCCCCTTCTCTTTTCCTTCTCCCGCGGTCTTCGCGGTGGCCAATGGGTCCATCACTGGGCTCTTAACTGACTGGTAGAGGGCTGTGGTGGTTCATTTCTGGCGGCGGACGGACACAACTCAAAATCTCAACAGCCACCAACTTACTCATTCTCCAAACTTTCGTACAGTGAAAGCGACAAGGTAGATCCATCCTCAGGTTGCTGCTGGGGGGCTCCTCGCCTCGGTACCTTCCTGTCCAGTTGCCGTTTAACTAGGTAGGGGAAAGAAAGAAGGAAAGAACAGAAGAAGAAAAAAAAAAATCACAGCATCTACAGAGCGCCCTGCCATTCGCTCAAGCGGGCATGACGCTCGAGGACACGGTTGAGCGTTGTGTTTCCCCTCCGCACCACACCCGTCCCCGTGTTCCAGGTTCGCAGACTCCCTCGGCTGCCGCCTCCCCACGCTCACTCCGCGCCCCCTTGTCCGGCCTGGCCCCTTACGGCTCCCCGGATTCTCTCGCTCGTCCCGTCCACCACAGCATCAGTCGCCCGTTGGACGGCATCGCCGCCCGGCTGACGACCGAAACCCATCGAAAGATTCCCGAATCGGCTCCGCTGCCAGACATTAGCCGGCATGGTCAGGCAGCTCCCGATTTAGCAAGTCGTATCCAAGGGTTTGACGCGCCCTCGTCCGAAATCCGAGCTGGGCCCGCCCCGACGGGGCTGTCTCCCGAAACCGAACCCACGCCCGGATCGCCGTCAGCCGCCTTGGGCAAAAGGCCGCCTGCCGACAACTGCGCGACGCTTCCCCTCGCTTCACCAACAAAGAAGCCTCGACTTGTGGCTCCCGGTAGTCTCGCTCTGCCGCCCTTGCCTCCGAGCCGAGACCGCAACCCCTTTGCCCGCCCCCCTCTCCGCTCGCCCCTCTTCTTCTCGAGCTCGTCCAAGCCCGCAATGAACCGTGTGCCGGGCGTCCCTGCACCCGAGACGTCGTCCTCCATGCTCGGCGACCGCGAGAATCCCGACGGGATCACTACGCTTCGCCTGCCCAAGGCAAAGGTTAGTACAATCAGCCCTGCGAGGTCTTTGGGTACGCCAAGCAGTTGGTCGTCAACCGACCTGAGCAGTTTGTCGCGCAGTCCGGATGGCTGGCCCCTGCCATCCTCGATCCAGCTGCTCCAGGGCATCGGCGTTGTCGAGCTGTTGGAGCAGGACGAGAGGCCGACGTTCATCCTCGATTTTAACGACTCGGCCAACTTCGGTCCGGGTCCGCTGCACATAATGTTTGCCAACGCCGCCCTGAGAACGGCGCCTGGTATTCTAGGACTGCTGCAGCAAGATAGCGCGGGGCCGGATCAGAGCCTCGAATTCCAAAACTTCCGGGCGTGGGCGCTCAGCTTGGTCCGGGACAGCGCAGGCCAATACACTGGCCCGCCGTCCGTGGCTTATGCGGGGCTTCCCTGGACATGTTCAACCCTCCGAAGGCGCTTTCGAATTATACGTGGAAACAACGTCACAGCTCCAGCGACATCGACGTCGCCCAGCTCGGCAGTTCCACAGTCTTCTCCCCTGGACCAGAGATTGACCGGGCCTTGGTACCGCGGACCGAGGGAGTCTCGCAGCGATTACTTTGGACAATCTGTGGGCGGTCATGTTCGCGCCCAATCTGAACCCCGAAGCAGGTCCGAATCCGTTGCCGATACCGTTGTCCCACCCTTTGACAGCCTCGCCCTCGCGACTCCCAACCTTCCTCAAGTGCAGACAATCTTCGACTGGACGCGAATACCCCCAGACGACCCTAGCCTCTCGCCTCACCACCAGTTCGCCCGGTCGGTCGACTGGGCTTCCACTTCTCTAGGGCCTGTCGAGTCATGGCCGGCAGAACTCCGTATCATGTCAAACATGATCATGGGAAGTCCTCACCCAGCGGCCCTGTACTGGGGCAAAGACTACGTTGCCATCTACAACGAGGCTTATATATCCCTCGCCGGCCAGAAACATCCCCAGCTGATGGGAGCGCGGTACCGGGACGCCTGGGCCGAGATTTGGGATGAGATTGAGCCAGTGTTTGAAAACGCCTGGAACGATGGGAAAGCGACCATGAAGTACGACGACTGCCTCTTTATCTCGCGGCACGGCTTCCTGGAGGAGACATTCTTTAACTGGGCAATCATACCTTTGGTCGGCAGTGATGGGACAGTGGTGGCTCTCTACAACCCTGCTTTCGAAAACACACGGCGGCGCATCAACGAGCGGAGGATGCTGACGCTCCGCGAAATCGGCATCGCCACATCGCAGGCCCGCGACATCAAGGGTTTCTGGGCGCAGCTCAGAAAGGGTCTGGAGCACAACGAGTTTGACGTGCCGTTTGCCCTCCTGTACTCGGTCGGTGAGGATTCCGAGAGCGATGTCTCATCCATGAATTCCGGTAGTTTCGCCAACCCGCCTCAAATTGTCTTGGAAGGATCGCTGGGCGTTCCTGATGGCCACCCCTGCGCTGTCACCGCAATAGATCTGCGCACGAGCGAAGAGGGTTTTGCGCCGTACATGAGGGATTCGATGACACAGTCGGCTTCCCCTATAATACTTAGCGAAGAGGACTGTACTCTACCCGTCGAGCTCGTCCAAGGGCTTTCCCCGAGAGGATTTGGGGACGCCTGCCGAAATGTCGTCGTGTTTCCCGTTCATCCTACCACGACGGCGGACATGGTAGTCGGCTTCATCGTTCTAGGAGTAAATCCTCGAAGGCATTACGACGGAGACTACCAGCTGTTTGTCAGCTTGCTTTCCCGCCAGCTCGCCACCTCGCTGGCGTCCGTGGTCCTGTTTGAGGAGGAGATCAAGCGGGGCCAGAGGGCTGCACGGCTGGCAGCGCTGGATCGACAGGAGCTCTCGATGCAGCTCCACCTTCGGACTCAGGAGGCCGTCGAGAGCGAGTATCGATTCGCAAGGATGGCCGAGTTTGGCCCCGTGGGTTTGTTCGTTGCCGACAGTCATGGCCACATTAATTACTGCAACGAGATGTGGTACAAAATTTCTGGATTGGACAGGACGACAACCACGCTGGACGCTTGGATGCAGAACATCCGTGACGAGGACCGCCTTGGTGCCGAGAGTGCGTGGCGCCGTCTCGTTGAAGAAAAGACTGCCGTGACGCACGAATTCCGCTTCAAGGGCTCCAAGGAGCTTCTCGATGGCCATTGGGTCGATATTTGGGCCCTGCTCAGCGCATATCCTGAAAAGGACGAGGCCGGCGAGCTCAAGAGCATCTTTGGCTGCATCACGGACATCTCGCAACAGAAGTGGGCCGAAGATTTTCAGAAGCAAAGGCGAGAGGAGGCAGTGGAGCTGAAGCGCCAGCAAGAGAACTTTATCGACATAACCAGCCACGAGATGCGGAACCCGTTGAGCGCCATCCTGCAGTGTGCCGACGAGATATCTTCGTCATTGAGCCGGTACAAGCAAGGCGAGGGTTCGGCAGACAGTCCCGGCTCCCTGAGCCTCTTGGTTGACAGCTGCATCGAAGCCGCCAGCACCATCTCGCTCTGCGCGAACCACCAGAAGCGGATCGTCGACGATATTCTGACCCTGTCCAAGCTCGATTCGAACTTGTTGCTCGTGACACCCGTCGACGTGCAGCCAGTCGTAGTAGTGCAGAACGTGTTGAAGATGTTCGAGGCTGAACTGACGACCAATGACATCTCGGGTCAGTTCTGCATCGAGCAGTCATACAGGGATCTAGGCATCGACTGGGTGAAGCTGGATCCCTCGCGACTTCGCCAGGTCCTTATCAACTTGATGACCAATGCCATCAAGTTCACGCAAGGGTGCCCGACCCGGATCATCATGATTAGTCTTGGGGCATCCAAGGGCGTCGCCGGGGACGACATGTCGTACATTCCTCCGCGGCACGCAGACCAAGACGACCTCACGGACGATGCGGACTGGGCCGATGGCGAGAAGATAAACCTCCATTTGGCTGTCACTGATACTGGGCCTGGCCTGGACGATGCCGAGAAGAAAACCCTGTTCCAGCGGTTCTCCCAAACCAGTCCGAGGACCCACGTTCAGTATGGTGGTTCCGGGTTGGGTCTTTTCATCTGTAGGATCCTGACCGAATTGCAAGGCGGCCAAATCGGAGTTCGGTCAACAAAAGGGCAGGGCAGCACATTTGCCTTTTACATCAAGAGCCGGAAAACAGACCCCCCTCAGGCCATCTCACCGATCGGCATGCCTGCGCCCAGTCTCGTTCCAGCCTCACCTCTGCGCACGGTACCGCCGGACCAAAGTCAAGCCGTCTCCACCACCGATGCGCCTGCAACGGACCCCATACTCCAGCAACCGGCGCCACCTACTTCTCAGCAAGACTCTAATGTTCGGCGCCTGGACGTCCTGATTGTGGAGGACAATCTGGTCAATCAGAAAGTCCTCAAGCGGCAGCTGCAACTCTCGGGGAACAACACCAGTGTCGCCAACCATGGTGGTGAAGCCCTGGCAGCGATACGGTTTTCTCGCTTCTGGAACGAGACGGCTGCCGCCAAGAACAAACCAGAGTGGCTTTCTTCTGTGGAGCTCCAGGCGGCCGAAGGTGCTGCAGACCAAGGACATAGCCGGGACATTTCGGTCATCCTGATGGACCTGGAGATGCCCATCATGGACGGCATGAGCTGCACCCGCGAGATTAGGCGGCTCGAGGAAGAGGGCGTCATCACGCACCATATACCCATCATCGCCGTCACCGCGTACGCCCGGCCGGAGCAGGTGGAGAACGCGAAGGCCGCGGGTGTTGTAAGTTTTCCCACGTTCTCTTCTTCTGTACTTTGCTATTTTTACACTCCCCCCCTTTTAATGACGAATGGGATTGCTGACCGGTTGCAGGATGATGTCATTTCCAAACCCTTCCGCATCCCTGAACTGATCCCCAAGATCGAAGAGCTTGTCGCAAAGTACAATATGGTGCCGTGTCCCTGACACTCTGTGGGGCCAAAGTAACAATTGAACACGGAAAGTTCAGACTTGCTTTCCCTCTTGCTGAGACGACGAGGAAGCGAGTAATATCTCTGGTCGAGAAGCGGTTTGGATAAACACAATGCAGACGAGAAAACCCCGTTTGAACCCGTACTCAGCGCTACGCGAGTTGGAAATGGGGTCAAGGCGGGATACGACCTTAATTTGTACCCCTTTTCTTGGATCGGTAGTACCTAACTACAGGGACGTTGGTTTCATCGCGGGCGGTTGGACTAGCGTTCGTTGTTTTGCTGCCTCCGCTGTTGGCGTCCGTGAGCGCAGCGGGTGGCCCCGGTTTGGATCGAGGAAGCGAGATGGATGGAACTGCAATCTGTGGATGTTATTTTCCACATTTTTAGAACCCTCGCCGTTATGTTTTAGGCACAGGGAGTACACGACACCGACACTGCGCGGAAGTTGCCGTGCTACTTGAGAGGCAGAGGACCTGGGGCAGGCGGGAAAGGATCATACCACCCTTGACAGCCATCGATCTATTTACACGGAGTTGGGGTTGGAGTCGGGAGCATCAACGTGACTAGTGGGAGCGAGCGAGATTTTGGTGTTGGGGGTGGGTTTTGGAGCAGAAGTTATCGTGATACCTCTAGAGCCACTTGGATGATTCGACGTCACCGTTTGCGTTTAGCGGAATGTGAGTAGTGTTTAGTACCTCAGAGTACCTAGTAGGAAGTGTGCATCGCGGTCTTCTTTCTGCCGCCAAGAGTGGGATTGCGATGCAATTGAATGCCAATTGGATTGGATGCAATAACCCCTGAGAGTCATCCACTGGAGGAAGATCCTGGTACGGCATGGTATCACAATACAGTGAATCCCAACCCACATGAAGCCAGAACGCCAGGGGACTCGGACACTGTCACCTACGGCAATGGTGTCTTTGTCGATCATGATGCCTGACGCGGGCCAGGTACAATACATGGCAACTGCCATCCTGAAGGTATTTGCACATAGAACAATACTGCAGCAAGATGGAAGATCTAACCCACGCAGGAGCTTGTGGCAGTTGCGGATAGCTATTGGCGCATAGTCTCGTCAATACTTTTGTAAGGCGCCTGCTTCATCAAACACTTCTACACGTTGGTTCTTGATATGAAGAAAAGCCAACGGGTCAACGTGGAACGGGATGGATACTCCGTACAGGGAGGCCGGAAAAGGAAGATAATTATGGATATTAACTCATGTGTTGTATATCGCTCTTGTGCGTTATTACTACTACATCATCGATCGAGCTCCTCGACTTCTGCTAGGTACTTGACACACACCAGAAAACACGCAGTGACAGACAAGGGCTTCTTATAAGCGAACTCGACACGCCGAGAGGTAAATTATTAGCTATTAGAGATTTTGGCCGTGGCCGGCCTACTCCATATCCTCACCCTACGTGGCGAGTACAGGAGAGAAGGACCAAACACTGCCCCAAGTCCACCCTCGACTACCCTCTTCACCATCCCCTTCATCATCCCGCCATCCCGACAATCTTGTCATTGTCATCTCCTTCCCCAATGTTTTTTTGTATTTTATTTTGTTTGCCCCTCGTTTCACTTCCACCTTTCTCATCGACCCATCCGTCCGTCGTCCATTTCATCAGATTGAGACCCAAAGCCAAACGACAGTGCCTGTTTCTTTGCCAAGGGATGGGCAGGGGTATACTTTGGGTATCAAAAGGAGACAACGACAGAAAGCAAAAAGACAACATTGTACCGAGAAAGATGTCAAGCGGGGCAAGAGCAGAAATAGAAAAAGCAAGCAGCAGTAGCAGCAGCGTCAACCCAACGGCCGTGTCCCGAAAGAGGAATCACTCAACTTTGGAAAGTGAGTAATCAGGGGGCCAATTTGCACCAAACGGCGGGCTCTAAAGAGGCGCGCAGGAGCCACGCCAATCTTGCCGTCGGTCGCACGCTAACGCTCATGGGTATCAGAGAACCAATCTTGACTGGGTATCTTGAAATGCAGATCCGATTCCGACCAAACCCGAGTAGTAAAAGTGAGGGTATGTGTTGTGTTTCTCTCTCAGTGGTGGCGTGTATGATTGATTGCGGTTATCATTTGCGAATTCGCTCTATTCTTTTACGTTCGTGGCATCTCGTCCCTGTCCCGTCGAACATTCATGCATCATGACCGGGCTGGAAACTCAGGAAGCGGACGGCGCCTTTTCCTAAGCGGCAGCAGTCACGGCCGGGGTGGCCTCCAAAGGCTTGGCAGGCTGCTCCTCTGCAGCCGGGACGGCAGCTGCAGCCGCAACCGTTTCGGTCTCGGCCGGCTTAGCAGTCTCCTCGGCGCCGGCATCGGTAGCCGCCTCGGCGGCGGGCGCGGCTGGGACGGCTGGGGTCTCCTCAACCTTCTCAGGCTTCTCGGCTTTTCCCTTGCCCTGAAAGAAAGGATCAGTAGGGGTTATTGGTACGCAAAACTTAAGTACCACGAACCTTGATGGTAGCACGGAGCTTAGAGAAGGGAGACTTGGGCTTCTCGCTCTCCTCGTCAGAAGTAGTCTCCTTCTTCTTGGCGCCAAAGGCAAAAGGCAGAGAGCTCTTGCGTTTCTCGGCCTTGGTTTCCTTCTTGGTCTCGCCATTCACAGCCGCAGGAGTCTCGGTAGCCTCCGTGGCAGCGGCGGCGGGAGCAGCAACCTCAGCTGACAGGGGCTCAGTGGTCTCAACAGCCGGGATAACAGGCGCGGTCTCGGCAACGGCTTCGGTGGCGGGAGCTTCCTTGGTAGCAGAGGCTTCGGCAGGAGCAGCCGCAGGCTTCTTCTTGCCGAATGAGAGGTTACCGAAGATGCTTTGGAATGGTTAGCAGGCGAGGCAAAGTCATAGGTCCTGGAGTTGCCTACCTAGTGCGCTTGTTGGGGGTAGGCCTAACGGCCTCGGCGGTCTCGCCCTCCTTCTTCTCCTCAGCCTTCTCTTCCGCCTTCTCCTCGGGCTTCGTCTCCGATGTCACCTCGGTAGCGGCAGGCTCGGTGGCAGCTGCGGCAGCGGTGGCCTCGGTAGCAGGAGCCTCAGTGGCAGCGTTGGTCTCGGCAGCGGGCGCCTCAACCTCAGCAGGCTTGCTCTCAGCCTCAACCTTCTTCTCCTCCTTCTTGCCAAGCAGGCTGCCAAAGATCGAGGTCCGCTTGCGGCTGGCTGAGCGGCGCTTAGGCTCCTCCTTCTTCTCCTCCTTCTTCTCTTCAGCCTTGTCCTCCTCTTTAGCTTCCTCCTTGGCAGGCTCAGCGGCGGCCGCCTCGGTGGCAGCGGGCTCTTCCTTGGCGGGCTCCGTGGTGGCAACAGCAGCGACCTCAGGAGTAGGCTCAGCAGGCTTCTCCTCCTTCTTGACAGGAGTGGGCTTCAAGCTCTCGAGAGTCTTCTTGTACGTCTCGGACTCGGTAACAGTGGCAGCGAGCTCCTTAGCCTCAGCAATCTTCACCTTCAGTTGGGCAACCCAGTTGTCGCGCTCAGCAGCGTTGGAAGCCTTGAAGGTGTGCTTGTGGCCCTTGGCGGTGAAGTGGAACTTGTTGGCACCCTCGGTCACGGGCTCCGAAGCCTCGGCCTAGATAGATGGTTAGTTTCATAGCCAAGTACTGTCTACGGTGGCTCACATACGAGCTGGATGACGCCATGGGGAGCAGCCTTGTCACCCTTCTCGCTGTAGAACAGGAGACCCTTGCCAGTCTCGGCAGCCCAGGAGGTCACATGGTGGGCGACCTCCGCAACCTTGTCGGCCTTGAAAGAGGAGATCGCCTTCAGGTCAACTGGCTCAGAGCCGAACCAAAAGAGCTGCTTGGAGTAGATAAAGTTCCTTATGACACGCGTTAGTTTGAGAGTCTCGCGGCGATGGCGAGGTTTGGTAGAGCATACTTGGGGAAGTTGGCGCCCTGGCCCTTGTGTTCAAGGTGACCCTCCTCAACGGGCTTGACCTCCTCCTCCTTCTTGGCCTCTTCGGCGGGAGCAGCGGGGGTCTCAGCGGCAGCGCTGGTCTCAGCAGCAGGGGTCTCGGCGACTGGGGCAGCAGCAACGGTCTCCTCGGGCTTGGTCTCGGCGGGCTTCGCCTCGGCGACGGGCTCCGTGACAGCAGGAGTCTCCTGCGGGACTTCGGTGGGCTTCTGTGTGTCGGCCATTTCGGAAAAATATTGTTGCTTCGGAAAGCAGGGTATCTCGAGAGAAAAAGAAATGGGTATAGGGTATCACTGAGAAGACAGAGAGCAAGAAAAAACAGATGCCAGCGGGTGATTTACTATTAGTATCACAGGTGGCCTGCACTGATTCTTGAGGGTATTGCAAGAAAAATCTCGGTGACGAGACAATGGATTGGGGGATGCGGTGGGAAGCACAGAGAAAAGAAAGGAAAAAGAGGAAGAGGGGGGAGAGTCGGCCGCGTGATGGTCGCTGGGGGTACTTATTGCGGCGTGCTAGTACGAGGCAGATGGGCAAGGGCTCATCAGTGGTTCACTGGTTCGTGTGTGAAAACGGCAGGACCGCCCTTGTCGAGCGCCCCCGTTCGGCAGCTCCCAACCTTGAAGGCTGCCCTGCCGTCGGCTGCCAGCCCCCGAGCTCTGACTGGCTGGCTTCTCGCTCATCCACCCGCACGTCTTGAAACGGAAAACAGACCCTGCTGCGAAATACATATTGGCGAGCTTTGTGGACCGAAGCCCCCAATCACGGTCGCTGAAAGACGCTCCAGTGCTCCTCCTTTCCAGCGGACAAAGGCGAGGTCGGCCGTTAGGTTGTGAATGGTCAAATTTCAGACGAGATTGCGCCAACCGTTTTCGGACAGGGATCCGTTTCTGCGCTTTCGTTCGCACGCGCTTCTGCTGCAGCCACCAGCAGGCTCCACAACCCACGGCCCACAACGGCTGCACCAGACTGGTGGTTAGTGCGTCTTTTGGGGTCCTGTCAGCCCACAAATAAAAAATTCTTAGCTACGGAGCAGGTACCGCAGACTGCCGGCATATTACAGTCGCATCAGAAGTCCGCTGCGGCATCCTCATTGAAACCGCTCTCTTTCCCCCTTTATCTTGCCCTCAGAGAGTCCATACCAAGGTAAAGGCCTCACCGTTCAGGACAAAGTATTACCTTGCCAGGATGCAGTCCTGTCTCACCGTCAATCAACAATGGTAAGTCTCCTGCTAGTGGTAGGGTGAAGCAGGGGGAAGGTTACATGCCCCTTTGCCCTCATCAATCACCGTCTCCACCAACCTCAGCCGTTCCCGTCGGCAGCGCAACCTGCTTCACCACGCCGCTGCATTGCGTGCCCCGTAACGTTAGACAGTTGCTTACCTGCTTGCTTGCTGTAGTGTACATCGTGTATCCGTAGGGGCCCCCAGGAGTCTGTCCGTACCCAAATTCGCGATGGTGGACGAATCCTGAACCCCGATCCTGCAATTTGGCACGCAGCCAGAAATCTTAACCACGTCGCGCATAACGTGCATCGTCATGTCTCTCCTGCATAGGGAGCGAAGTGTGAACTTTTAGCTCACGTTAGCCTCTCGCATGCTTACATCCGCCGCTCCACACCTGTAGAAATTGATCGGCGCTATGGGAGCATAGTGTTCCTGGCAAAACATGAAAAACACACACGCCGTACGGAGTACCTTAGTAGAAATGAGTTAAGGTCCACCCATTGCCACTCAGATTGATAAAAGCCACCGTTACGATGGCCTCCGGACAGTGAGCCGTTCTCCGTAGATATGACTCCGGTGCCGACGAGGCTCCGGCGATTTCCGCAGGACCGCCGGGCTTTGTAAGTTTGATACAACTAAAGATAGCATAACGTTTATGTATCTGGGTACCTTATGTATGTACGGCTTCTACACGTGTAGAGAAGCTTAGTCCAGTTCAGAGCCTTATTTAGTGTACCGTGTTCGATTCCGTTGAAGAGTAACATTACGGTAAGATACACCGTATGTTGTCGAGTGAGAGCGTACTGTATGTACTGTACAGTACATACGGACAGAGACGGGAGGACAGAGGACGATGCGGATGTTCCCCTTTTTGGCAAGAGAAAAGGGGCAGGCCGACTTCTGCCCTCTCGGCGGTCAAAGCTCCAGTGTACTGTGATATGTACTGTACAGTACAGAAGTATCCTTGCAGATAATCACAATATCTTGTGGAGTGGGTCAATGTTAACGTTATCCGTATTTCCTTCTCAGCGATCCCTACATGCGTCTAAAAGCAGCTTCACATTGCTACACACATTGATTGCGATATCCAGTTGACGAGTGATTTCTGCTGGCGAGTGCTTTGTATACGCGACCGTTACTGCAGGCGGAAGAGCAACATGAAACCAGCATTCTCTGCCGTCAGATGAAACAATTTCTGGCGATAATAAACGGCCAGCTGAGCGATAAGGCGAAAACGGATAACCTGGAAAAGCAATGTTCGGCGGCCAAAACTCGCTAATCAGTTGCGGCTAGTCTCACCGATTGGTTTTCACTTGACCCAGATCTTCGAGATTTCGATGCCCGTGGGTGGGGTGCGTAACGGCGACATTGACAAGTGAACAGAAACTGGAAAGCGCAACCTTGGAAGTTCTGTGCTCTAGCATCCCACTTCTTCGTATAGGCTTTGACAGTCCTGTCTCTTGTCAAAAGGTGCAGTCATGCTTCTCAGTTGTTACCTGACAGCATCCATGATGTTAGCAGTTTAGCACTCATCGTACTCATCCATGACAGCTCCTTCCAGTCCCCTTCGGGGAAATAGGTAGGTAGGTACGTAAGTTAGCTTACTCAGGCCGCGACCTCTTTCCGTCTGAGAAGCGGCATCAGCCTCAGGGAGAAAGCCTGAACTCAACACCAATGTGAACAGAATAAAGCCTTCCTGTCCGTGGAGAGCACGGTCACCTGTTTCAATATGACCTTTTATTCGACTACCGGGCACTCTCCGATCCCCTTAACGTTAATCGTCGCTAGAATTCGACGACAGCACCTCCTCTACCGTTCATTTGGCTGCGATTCCCTTGGTTCCTGCTTGATGCAATGTGCGGGGGAAAGCTCGAATTCACCACACACACTCGTCTCTCACCTGACCTCAGTCCTCATCCGACCACACTCAACGCTCATGCACGTCTCCTGCAGGATAAGTCAGGGAAGGTAGGTGTGTGGTGGTGGGCGAATGCTCAGTTGCTACCAGGCCGATCCCCTTCTTTTCCTGCCTCGATTTGATCTTCGTTTTCAGAGTCACTTAGGTTGTCTTGCGAATCTCGCCCAGATGCTTGCGCTTCGTCATGGCGGAAACCAGCTGTACAGTTCCGACGCAGTGAGATATCCAAGCACTGGTTCCTAGTAAGCAGCCAATGCCAAAATCCGGGAGCACGGCCAATGCCGACGACAGCACCACGGTGGTTGCACAACCTTGGTATCGAAACGAGGTGGCACGCGACTCGCCGGCACCCGCATTTCGTATCACGGTAGCATGCAGGAATGGGCGCAAGTGCACTAGGCAAAGAAGATCTCATGTAGATGCAGCCATCACAACGGGCTCGTCGCTACGGAGTATCTCTTCGGAGTATCTCTTACACAGAATGCGCCGTTTCACCCCCTCGATCTTCCACACCGACCATGACCCTAAGTTAAGGTAGGCTAATCATTATGTACATACATACTATCCACCCCTCGCCTTTGATCTCCGATAGCACCTGATATACACGCGCTTGCGGGATCTAACGTTAAGTTAATGTGCCATTCTGCCAAATGGATTTGTGACTGGGTGGATGGTAGGCTTTATCAGCAACCTCATCGTCCCCCCTTAACCCCTCATTTCTCTGCTTATTCCCGCCAACTTAGCTTGGACCTACTACCTGGACCGACTGCATTGCACACTACAATACTGTACAATGAATCGTCGGCCTGTGTGTGCCGAGGTCGACAAAACGGGAGAGGATTGGCTGCTGGGATGCTCACCGCTCCTCGCCAGCGACTGAAGGCAAGCAGATCACGGTTGCTGGTGCAACAGTCGCTTTGTTGGGAACCTACTCCTTTCAGTCAGGGGCGACAACAGAACGTCGGCTCGACCCAACCCGTCGGTTATGACGGACTTAGAGTCGTCCAGACGTCAGAATCCAGACGTCAGATCTTTGGCGCCCTTCCCTCTGAGGTGACATATCTGAGGTGAACAGATGGCCAATTAGTTGTGATCCAAGTCGTGACCTTGAACGTCTCCAAGCTGGGGGATAATCTTCAGTTTCTGAGTCTCGTTTCTGGGCTATGGAAAGGGACGCGAAATTGATGCCTGGGTTGCTTACTTTCAACCATTCCGTAGGGATTCTGCATCTCAGAGTCCTGTAATTTCATCTTTTTGTCTGCTCTGATTCTTGGGCAGGGATGACTCGAAGAGCGAGCAAAGAGACTGGTTTAGTCTCAACTCTACGATCATGTAGATGTTAGCAATCAATCAACTGGTGTAAGTTGACCACAAGACCTGGCACTTGCAAAGACCTTATCGCCCACCTGCCCACCTGCCACCTGCTCGTTTAATCCGAATAAGAGCTTAAGCAGTGAATGACACTTTTCAAAAGAGTGACCGAGATTGGTACAATGGTTCCTTCTCGGACTCGAACTCAACTTCAAAAGCCGAGCGGTTGTTGACTGTTGATCCATCGCCCACAGCCCTCCAAGGCGTTCTGTCTCATCTTGCACCATCAATCCCGTGAAAATCGAACGCTCGAGCTGGCAGTGCCAACAAAAGAGGTATGTGCCCTGTCACGCGGTGTATTGATAGCTATTGTTGACATGGAGTGGCTTATCTCTGAATAAGGCTGCACGCACTAAGTAGCTCTTTCCTATTCAGCACCCGAAACAATAGCAAACGTCCTAGCGAAGCAAAGCCCGATATTCCACTCAATAGCCAATTCCTTTGCTATTGTTCCATGCAGCTTACACTACACCGTTATAAATGCCACCCATCCCCAGCAATCGCTAGCCTCCCTTCCTTGCTCACCACCAACTCACCGAACGGAATCACATCACTCGTTTCTCACAGAGCTTCCAAAACCCTCTTCAACCATCACTCGTTCCCTTGATTTATATTCAACCATGACACCTCAAGAACCATCTGTCGAGATGTGGCAGAAACCCACAAACCGCGGAAGAGGCCGCAAGAATAACTCTACTCCTCACGGGGGGCCAGGGCCAGGAAAACCACAGGCTGCCCAGGGACCCAAGCTGGAGCTCCCTGATGGCTACGTTCCCCAGGGCAAGCAGGTTGGGAATAACGGCTGGAACAAGACGGCTTCCTATTCATCAGACTTCTCATTCGGCTTGCTCTCGCCGAACATGTCACAAAGCTTCCGTGCTGTGAAGCCCTGGGCTCTGGACCAGAGATATGTTAGTCTCATCTGCCATTGTTTCATGTTCCGTTAGGCTCATTACTAACCTCGTCCCAAGCCCCGCCCTTCAAATGACAAGTCTCTCCTCAGTTTCAACTACGACCGTCAATGGCACTCCTTCGAAGGCAAGGATGTCATGGCAGAGCTTAACAAAGCACTAGCCCGAGGTCGTCGGGCCAAGCTGCCTCCTATTTTCGGAGATTCGAGCCCTGAGGCTCTGCAGAAGGCAGAGAAGGAATACAGGAGAAGAGGCCATTCCAACCTATACAAGGCCAGGATGGCCATTCGGAACACTCCTCAGTCTTCCAAGTTGCTCATTGCTGTAAGTCTGCTTCTGTGTCCCCTTCTTGTTCCCCTGGCATTGGCGCTGACCTTCCCTGAGTCTCCAAAGGCTTCTGCCACCAAGCCAGACCCGAATGAGAATGAGGGTCTGGTCAAGTTTCTGCAGATTGCCGAGCTCCGAGCAATCCTCATCGACTTCCTCATTCCCAGCGTCGGAGACCTCACTGCCCTTGCGGCAACTTGCCGGGGTATTGCGGCCCTTGTCCCGCACAGTTTTGTCCGTATTTCCCGTCCCCCTTCATTCCTAGAGCAAGACTGACTTTGACATATAGGAAATCTGGGATTTCAATTCAGGAGCCTTCCCAACCGGCCGCTTTGTCAACGGGGACGGCATCCGAAGCAGCACCCTAATCGTCACCCCCATCTCAGATGAGCCGGAGTGCCCCAAGAAGCCTTACATGAAGGACTTCCGTAACCTTGTCGATCTTTGTACGTCTTCAATTACTTGAAACATGGCACAGGACTAACACGCAATAGGCGCCGCCATTACCACAATTCCCCACACCTCTCGGAGCATCATCTTGGACCAGATCCCTTTCCTTGATGTCCGTCTATTCGAATTGATGGTCAATTCGATGCCCAACCTAACGACGGTTATCATCACCCGTTGTCTTTTGCTCGACGTGTCTAAGCTCAAGCCACTCCTGAAAGTCATCGAACGCCATCCACGGAGCGTAGAGGACGAGGACAAGCAGCTGCGTAGGCAGTACATCCGCCTTGACTTTTTCCCTTACTTTTTCCGCGGTCCTCAAACCTCCACGCGCCTGGGATCATACGGCGTCACATACAATGAGCCGACATTCCACACTCCAAAGGCTGTCTTCGGGCTGATCCTACAGTGCTGGGATCTCGCAAGATTGGTGGGCATGGACTTGGTCAGCGACAGTTCGTCCTTTTGGAGCTTCGTTCGTCAATTACCAGGACCGGATGTTCTGTGGGCAATCAAAGCGAGGGACGCGCTACTTTCCCGCGAACGTGAGAGAGAATTGACCAAACGCGCTACCGAGGCCGTCCAAGACACGGTTATGCAGAACTTTGCCGACGACATCACGGCCGCCTTGACCGGAGATGACTTCAGGCCAGGCGACCACCGAATCCCCTATCACCAGAGAAAATTTCGTGGAAAGGATCACCATGCGATGAACTACTGGCGAAGGAGCGAGTCTTGCGTCAAATGCGGCTTCACGTACCCTTGGTCCTTGTTCCCTAGTCGCCTCGGGGCGTGCTGGTCTTGCCACATGAGCCGGTATGTCGATGAAATGGAGTGCAGCCATCTTCGGCTCTTCCAACTCAGTGCCATGAATAGATGGATGTTCCGCCTCGATCCGGCAAGGTCCACGCTTGATGACCTCTTGAAGTATAGAGAGTGTACACTTGATGCGGCGCTTCTCGATGTGAGGTGTGCGGATTGGGCCTGGGAGTACTTCCTGAGCTTTCGGCCTCAACCCGGGAATGCGCAATACACACCTCCAGAGTCTGACGGATTCGATAATTCAATTCGGTCGATGGCTCGCTGGCGCTGGTCCAGGCAACCCCCGACTGGTCCTTTCGACTATAGAAAGGGAGGCCCGCAGTATGAAGATCCCTGCAAGAAGGAGCTCGACGTCAGCATCTACCAAGACATCAAACAAGGTCCCGAGCCCCAGGAAATGTTCAATCTCCGCTGGCGCTGGACCTGGCGGACTGACATATACTACCTGGAAGCGTGGAGGGCCAGATCTGCCGACCCAAAAGATGAAATGCACCGCTTTCATTTATTCGATGAATTGAGCTTCCTGCAACATTTATCCAGGGCTCGCGTCTCCCCCGAGGAGTGGCCACTTGCCATGGACATTGAGTGGCGCGCACAGAATGAATTTGACAAGAAGACTTACACAGAGCACAATGCCCACGTCGAAGACGATCTGGCTTCTCTGTATACTCCGGGCTCCAAGCCCTTCAACCTGGACAAGCCCGTCATCCACAAGTCAGTCAATCCTCACGAATACCGGGCCTTCATCGAGGAAGCTTCGCGCGCCTGGCTTCCGCATACCTCGGTCAGGAAATGTTCGTACTGGTAGTCCCCTTATCATGGCCGCAGTGGGCTGAGGTTCGCCGAGGACATGCCTCAGCGGCGTGATTCTCTGTGGTCCGCTCTATACATGCTGTCCTCCATCATCACGAGCGGTATCCGCGATGGTTTGGCCGGCGTCACATTTCTTATTTCCTTCCTTCCTTTGGTTTTTTACCCTCTTGATTTCACCGTTTCGCCTCTCTCTGCATCCCTTCATCAAAATGTTGGGATAAAAGGCAGAACGGTAAAGGCTATTGACCTGCATGGGAGGGAACTCGTCACCCTCCTCCTCTTTTCATGGGATTATTTCGCCCTCTTCACGTCCCTACTATTCACGGGATGCTTGGGGCATGGGCTATCGTTGATCTGGCAGAGACATGGGGTCAATTTGACCAGGAGTTCGGAGAGAGAAGCACGGTAGCGACGAAGGATAGGAAAAGGTAACCGTCTTCCGGGAACTTGAGAAAATAGGAATTACCGAGTCTGGGAGAGTTGGGCCAGTGGCACAGAGGGAGGCATCGGATTGACTGCCGCACCGAGAGCCAGGTTTCGGGCCATCGACTCTCATAGATAACTTAGTACTGGGTTTAGGCACTCTTCATTCGGTTTATTACACCTTCGGAATCCGTCCCGTGAATGACGATCAACCGTGACATGTAATGCCCGATGGTCTCGCGTGGTGTGAACTTGGTCTTGGAACGAAAGCAAGAAAATACACAGCATCTAGCATCTAGTCTACCCAAGCCCATCACTCTGATGAGTTCTCCCGACACATATACATGCGTACACGTACAGTACATGTCCACCATATATCTTACATCTTCCCGCACACGTCTTAGAGCACTGCTCCCCAAGAAATCACGGCAAGCCGGTGCATCATCTGCTTCAGCGTCAGGCTTGGTCTCACCACTGGCACGTCCGCCCCCTTTCTCAAACAGTGAGCCCCCCCCTCAGGCTCAAGAAACCTCCTTTCTCCTGCCCCTCCGCGTCCGGTGCTTTTGCTCATCTTCGGCAGGGAACAATGATCCACGAGGGTCATGGGACGACGTGCCCACCACATCCCTCAGGCTCCCAAAGCTCAGACAGTGCCCGATCTTGTTCGTCCCCGCAAAGAGCATCACCAGCCGCTCCACGCCGCACCCCCACCCCCCGGTAGGCGGCAGGCCCGAGCAGAGAGCACGGATATAGCTCTGATCCACCAGCTCGGATCCTGGGTCCCCGCCTCCTTCTCCTACTAAGATTTCTTCTTTTCCCTTACTGCCACCGTCTTCGGCTTCCAAACCTCCTTGCTCAGTCCGACCACGGTCCCCACCCGTCGGCTTGTCGGGAATCCCCCCATTCAAGACCCCAGTCCTGGCCCATGCTTTCCCGAGAAACTTGGCGTGCTGCGCACCCGGGTGGTTCTCCTCCTCGTACATGTTGGCCAGCTCGCGCCCGCCGACAAAGAGCTCGGCGCGCGCCGAGACGGTCTGGCCCGTCTTGTCGCACACGAAGCTCTTGGCCAGCGGCGACATGCATTCCGGATGGTGGGTGATGAACAGCGGCCGGCCGGCCGACAGCGGCTCGATGTACCGCTCTGCGAGCTTGTCTAGAAGCCAAGGGAGGGTCATGCCCTCTGTAGGACTGGTTGAGGAGTCTGTATTTGTTGAAATGTCTGTGCTGGGTGGGAAAAGCGGGATATTCCTCGCCTTCAACTCGGCGAGTAGATCGATTAAGGCGCTCGCGGAATCAAGGTCGGGCAGTTTGAAGCCCAGCGCGGATTCCAGCGTAGGGATGAATTCCGCTTGCTCGAACGGGCCTTCGTAGAGGGTGAGGTCGATAGCAGGCAGGCTGGTGAGTTTGGTAGAAATAAGGCTCTGGCAATGGGCAGCCAGGCCGCGGATCAGGTCCTGGGTGAGGGAGATGAGATCGGAGAGGTTGGAGTAGGCCTGGTAGAACTCGCAGATGGTGAATTCCGGGTTGTGGGTTTGGTCGATGCCTTCATTGCGGAAGGCCGGGCCGAGCTCGAAGACGCGGTCTACGCCGCCTACCACCAGCCGTTTGAGCCAGAGCTCAGGGGCTATGCGGAGCGAGAGTTTTCTGTCCGTCGAGACAGCATTGGCGGTGACGGTGAAGGGCCGGGCGGTAGCCCCGCTGGCGGCGCCTGCTAGGATGGGCGTCTGAAACTCGAGGAAATGCCGTTCGTGCAAAAAATCGCGAAGGTATTTGATGAGGTATGACCGGAGACGTAGGATGTCTACCGTTCTAGGGTTTACGAGCATGTCAACGTGGCGGTTCCTTCTCCGCGACTCCTGGTCCTTGAGCGTCGTCGGCAGCGGGAGGATGCTCGGAGCCAGCAGCCGGGGCATACGTGTCGCCTGGATACTGAGCTCGCCTGACGTGGTCCGAGTGGCTTTGCCTCTCAGAGCTGTTTCCACCGTCAGCAAGGGACGGCGAGAAAGCGGGACGATGGTGCTCACGCACAGATGATGTCGCCCCTTTTGAGCACCTTGCCGACCCGCTTGAGCTGATCCGCATTGGTGCCGTCCTCGAACTTGTTGAGGTTGCATACGCCCTGGATACGCTCAAACTCGCTCTTCAAGTCAATGAAGATGAGCTTGCCCCCCACGCGGACAGACTCGATCCGGCCGTGAAGGGTTACTTCCTCGTCCGAGACGACGGCTTTCTCAATGCCGGCATACTTGTTGCGGAACTCAGGGATGCGCATGGGAGCTCCATTGTGCTCAAGACGGGGATACGAGACTGCTTCTCCCGGCAGTTTCTGGAGTTGCCCCAGGGCGAGAGAGAAAAACCGGGAGTTTCTGGGTATCTGGAATCCCGGATTTAACCTCATCGCATCACATCTAGAGAGGTCAGCCGGGACTCGGCACCCATGGTCAAAATTCAAGCAAGCAGGATGAGGCAAGAAAGTCAGATAAAGTGAGTAATAGTGATCATGCGCACCGTAGTGCGTCAGTCGCAACGGTTCTTAGAAATGTGGTTCATCATTTGCAGATTGGGGCATCTGCGAGGGATCTATAGTGTATGATAGGGACTGTGTGATGACTTACAGTTGCTTAAGTGATGTAAGTGAACAATGACGACCCGAGCCTGAAGGAGTCCCTGGTTGTCTGAAGTGCAAGAGCCAGAGGTCTCTGCTTGCGCCTTCTCAACCTCCAACGCGACTGGGAACATTTTGATGGTTTTGCAATAAAACGTTCCCAGTCGCACGGCTGCAATTGCTGACTAATTGGTCACCGTCAGTACTGTAGTTTTCAATGCCAAGATGCTTTGGCCATGCCAACACCATGTAATTTACAAAGAATTACCGCTAAATTACGCGTCTGACCCGCAATATTCCAGGTTCCATGGGTTTGCAATTGGACCTTTGCAACACCCAGGTCGCGCTCTATGGTACTCCGTAGTTATCGGTATCATCGTACGAAGTCTCAAACCTACAGTCTTTTTGTTGAACACCCAAAAAGAACGAGCTGATCCAGACGAACCATTCAATCCATCCGTAGTCAGCCAGATTTCCTGACTGACCGACCGAAAAGACTTCACCACCATTACCACCACCAAGTCCTGAATACAAAGAAAAACCACAATGTCCTTCTTCGGCTTCGGCAAACCGCAGCCCACCTCGGCCGAGAAGATTGCCGCCGTCGAGAACGAGCTCAAAGTCCTGACTGAAATGCATAACCGGTAAGATAACTCTGTTTCCCCTCCCCCTTTTTTCTTCCATTCAAAAGTTCTAACCAAACCTCTCCCTCCCCGTACCAGGATGCTCAAGATTTGCTCCGCAAAGTGCCTCGACCGGACATACCGCGAAGCCGACCTCTCCAAGGGCGAGGCCGTCTGTCTGGACCGGTGCTCGGCCAAGTTCTTCGATGCGCACCAGTCCGTGTCGGAGCAGCTGCAGCGTGAGGGGGCCGCGCGCGGATTCGGCGGGGGGATGTAAAAGGGAAGGCAAATAACAATCATCAAAACATCCAAGACCCTCCCTCACATCGAACTGAGCATGCTGCTTTCCAAAGCGCCAAAGTTGGATCTGGTGAGGGGTGACGTGGGCAAGGAGTTGACTATCGCTCCTTCTACCGTGTCCCCCTTAGCCGGCTGGGTTGCTTTTGGGGCGCTAGGGCATAGGAGGTTGGTTTAATGTGTATATTACAAACCGGGACTGGGACACGATTCACTCTCACTGGGGTTGGTAAATTCTTCTGGGACTGGTTCTGGTGCTGATCTAGAGCGCGCCTTGGCAGTGTTTGAATTGGTTTATGATATGTATGATAGAAACACAGAGTGGACACGGGTGAGCAAACTAGAGCGGTCCGGCGTGACCAGAAGCAGACAATTGGGAAAAGGGATATCACCACTGCCAATCTCCATGCTTGTGCCTTTCGTTTGTAATGCAATGTGATGCGACCCATGATTGTATTTCAAACCCACTCAGCTCCCTCTGCCCAGGCTAAAATGTATAACTCAACGCCATCCGGGACTCCGAACATCCCCACCCATGCTGATCTAACGAAAAGATGCTTGTGTAATCTGGTCATCATCAATTCCTTTGAGCGGCCTTCACGTCTCTCTGACTCGGCCCCCTCGTGATATTAGGTCCTGTTCCAATGCCCGTCACGGTCCTCACAAACCAATGGAGCCAGCTCTCTGTCTCGAGCACCGCCTTCAGCTCGTCCGCCCTTCGCTCCAAGTCCTCCACCTGCGCCTCAAAGCTTGCAACCCCGTCCTCAACCTCATTCACCCGCGACACGAGAGCGCCGATCTCGTACTCGAGCTTCGCAACCAGCACCTCGAGGTCCTTGACCGCCTCGGCCAGGCGCGCCCGCTCCTCGGCCACGAGCCCGCTGCTGCTGTGCCGGATGCGCTGGTACGTCTCGCTCACTGCCTTGTACATCGCTTGTACCTCAGCCCCCTGCGCCCCAAATGTCCGGTCGACTGCCTCAGCGTCTGCCAGCTTGGCCGACACCCAAGGTGCCAGGTCCGTCTGGATCAACTCGAGGCGGCTGTACAGGGTGTAGGCTAGTTCGGTCTGTGTTGGCAAGACCGAAGCAGATATCCAGTCGGAAGTATGTGTGATACTGGCAAGCTCGCTCCAAGAGATAGCTTCTTCGGCCTCGCTAAAGGAGAGACGCCGCGGGTACCGGGCTTCGTTGGGGCAACGGCCGAGAGAGGCAAGGCTGTCGATGCTGTGCCGGCGTACAAGAGACATTATTACGCCTTCGGAACTGCGTTCTGCTGCTAGGACGGGGCCCTGGAGATCCCCGTCGGTTACTGAAAAGCCGGGGCCGGTGACCTTGGTGCTGCGGACTTCCTTGGCCATGTCCGCACGCTCAGCCTGCAACGATGCCTGCTTCTCTTCCGCCCTGTCTGGGACTTCTTGCGATGGCCTTGCGCTGTCCTTGCTACTTTGAGTCTCCATCTCGTGCGAACTGGAGCTCGTCATCGCAGGCATATTTTCTCCCCCTTCTCTACTCCTCATGGCGGCCAGGTACTCTTCAGGCTTGACTCTCCAAGTGAACGCCCTGGTGACACCCACCGGACTTGAGAGGGTGGCAGACGACTGAGCCAATGTTGCTATACTGGGCGACGAGTGTCCGCTCACGCCTGTGTCCAGAGTCTCATCCTTGGATGGGCGGCTGACGTGCCCCCTCAAACCGCCCCCGACAGCATCCCTGATGCGCCCCAACCCTGAGCGCGCATCGCTCACCTTGCCGGCCACGCTTTTGAAAACGGTTCTCCGTAGGGCATCTCTGTCGGCAGGCGTCTCAGTTACGAAGGGGAGCGAGCTAGTCTGCTGAAGCGGTGCGTGATATGCGGGGGCATCTTCCTTCTTCTTAGCCTCCGGCCCATCTTCTACTGGAGCCGACTGGGTTCTCCTTCCGCCGGGCTGAGGGCTGGCCTCGTCTTTTAGCTCCTTTCCAAACGTCGTCACAAGATGATCGTGCTCGTGTTCCTTGGGCACCCTCCTTGGTTTGCCGTGCCAGAGCCATTTTGGCCGCTCGCCGTATGCCAGACTGATGAACTTGGCCAGGTCCAACGTCTCGATGTCACCAATGTTGCCCTTGTCCCGGCCGCCCACCATGCCAATGACGAACTCACCTCGCTTGCCGCCAATTTCGGCAACCGTCGACTTGACCGCTTTCTGCACACCCCAGCCCCCTTCACCCGCCGCTGCTTTTGCGGTCACACTGTGTAGCTTGAGAAGAGTCTGGCGGTTAAGGCGCCGTGTCTTCTCCAGTTTCAACGACTTTTGGAAGGTTCCAATTCCCTTTTTGGTGCTTTCGATGTCAAATACATCCTTGGATACGGGCGCTCCGGAGTAGCTGAGTCGATTCCTTGCTCCCAGCAGTGTACCAAGGAGGGCAGCAACAGTAGTGGGCCCTAGTATGCCATCTGTTGGCTCAATATTGAAATACTCGGAGCCAATCTCTGTCCACCAGTCATTGATGGCCTTTTCGGTGATGTCGCAGAGCAGACCGTCAACGTACGTCTCGTCAAGCAAGCCAAAGATGAAGAGGGCTAGCTGGCAAAGTTTGACCAGCTCCAGGACGGCTTGAACAAAGGGTATTCTCTCGCTAATCTTGTACAGCTGGATAAACTTGGCCTGAGTCGCTGGCGTGGGGTCTGAAAGGGTTAGACCGGATCGGCCAGAGCACCCCAAGCGCTTGAGGTTCTCGTTGACTATGAACACTTGGCGGTACTTGCGGATGTCGCCCTCCGGGACCGGAATGACGGTAAGCGCGGACGGGAAGCTGCTGAGATTGGTGACCATGAGCTCCCCGATGCCCGTCTCCTTTGGACGTGCGTGATATTGATGGACTGCGTTGAAATAGAATCTTAATCTGGCGGACCAATCCTTTTCTTCTGCAGGTACCTCCAGGACGCCGACGGTGACTGAATGCTTCGGGTCGCCAGTGTAGGTCACAATGACGAGGGTGGGCGACTGGCGCGAGCACGCCCACTGCTCGACCAGGTAAAGCTCGTAGCCGGGGAGGACATGTCTGCGCTCGGCAACTGTCACCGAGGGGTCGCATTCTAGAAACCTGCCAGAAAAGGGGTCAGGTACGAATGGTCCGGGATGTAGTGCGATGAGGTCAGTAGACATACTTGAAGGCCAGCGGATCCGGAAGAGCAACGCGGCGGCGGTTGGAGCTAGAATTCAAGGTGACTGCATGAGGGCCATCCATGGCAGCGGCAACAGCAGCGTCGTCGGGCGTCTCAGGGACGGGAAGACTGGCAGTGGTCGCGCTGTGCTGTTGAGATCGTTGTGTGAGCGTGCGGGCCAGCGTCAACTCTTCTTCTCGATGGACCCTGCCGTCCAGGGCTGCCGTGGTAAATGTGAGTTTGCGAGACATGGTGCAAGTGTGCTACTAGTAGCGTCACGACGGCGACGTCAGTGGTTGGCATTGCGGGGACGGCAATGGCGTCTGGCTGGGCCGAACTGGGTTGCTGTATCCATGCCAACACCGTGACCGACATGGAAACCTCGCACAACAGGAACAAGCGATGCAAGCCCCATCGTGGGGCCGGCTCGCGGCGGTGAGGGAGGCCTCCACAGAGAATGCAGCCAGCCGGCAGTTTAATTAAAGTTGTCAAGAGTTCAAATTCGAAAAGGAGAAAGAATGTGGAGGAAAATAATGTTGCTGTAGAGTTGCGCAGCCTATGCGTGATTTCACCCTGACAGGTTCGAAGTTTGGTGTAGCTCTCCCAGCCTAGGTAGACGGAGGTGTCAATGCCATGTGATGCAATTGCATTCCTTCAGACCGGCCAACTGGATTCCCCTTTGGATGGCCCGCATTTTCATAGCCGGACACCCTGGTGCAGTTCCGTAAGTTATGCGTACGGAGTACTTTAGCGGCTATTCGTAGTTATGCACGGGCCAGCGCCACACCCTTAGTGTAACTTACAGCGGGGTCCCGGTGGGCTCTCAGTCTCGGCAGCTGGAGAGGCACGTCACTCCAGCCAACGCTTCAATCCTGGGCCATCAAACGTTATCGTTATTTAGCGTTAGCGGCTTTGACACACCACAAATGAAGTGGCACCAAGTTCATACCTCCATGTAGCGGGAGGCATCAATACGTCTTCCTTGACAGCACCGAACCACATACACCCAATGCCCAACTCCCAGTCCGTTCTTCCCTAAACGTTGGGCAACACCAAATACAGCCAAAGTAGTAATTATCTACGGGTCAGACAATGCCGGTGCTTCTTCTTCCGCGGCATCCCAGCAGTCGACCTTGAACCTAATCCTAAGCGCATTATCTTTACCCCAAGAGGCAAACCCAAACACTCGTGACTCGTGAGCAATGGACAGTTCAAAGCTGGACTCGCTGCTGGAAGACTTGTCCAGCGTGCATAAGCTTCCCAGGCTCTTGGCAGCAGCAGACGATGTCGACAAGATCATTGAGCTGCTTAGCACGGCTCGGGAACATGTCGCCGAGAGTGAGCATTCCAACGTCCCGCTGCCCCTGGCAATCCATACTGACTGACTCCATGGCAGAATTGGATCCTCATACCACAAGTCTTACCATGACGAAGCTTCAGAACCCCATCAAGACGGCCTTCGAAAAGGTAAACGATGACCTTAAGGCAGCATCGGCATCACACAAGAAGGTCGGCAAGTCATTGGACAAGGTATGCCATATCTGCCCTCCCGCTTGGGTCTTTGCATGGATCTCATACTCTTTATTCGCAGTACTTTCCTTTAAAACCGCTACCCACAGAGAACGATGCCATGGCCAACCAAGTGCCTCTCATAAACCGCGCGATTGCCATGCACCTCCTCAGGGAAGGCCAATTCTCAGTCGCCGAGGCCTTCATCCAGGAAGCCCAGGCCGACAGTCCACACGAACGCTCCGACGACTTCGACCATCCCATGGATGAAAGTGTGGAGGACGCTGGTGCGGCCAGGTCCACGACCCCTATGCTATCAAATGACGACGACTACGACCTCTCATCGCTGCACTCAAAAGAGCTACAAGAAAAGTTCGCCGAGATGTACACCATCTTACAAGAGCTGAAAGCACGAAATCTTTTGCCGGCGATCGAGTGGGCAAGGGCCAACTCTGCAGAGCTAGAAGCACGGGGCAGCAATCTCGAATTCGAGCTGAGCAAGCTCCAATTCGTGTGGCTCTTCAAAGGGCCCGGCGTCAACAGGTTGCCGGACGACCAGCACAACGGCTGGGCCGGGGCGCTGGCGTATGCACGGCAGCACTTCGACCGCTTCCAGGAGCGCCACGTGCGCGAAATTCAACAGCTCGCCTCGGCCATGGTCTTCGCCCCGAACCTGCCCGAATCGCCGTACAAGTCGATATTTTCCATCGAGGGCGCCTTTGGCGACGTGGCCGCGTCCTTTACCCGCGAGTTCTGCAGCCTGCTAGGCCTGTCGGCCGAGTCCCCGCTGTACCTGGCCGTTACGGCGGGCGCGCTGGCGCTCCCGCAGCTGATGAAGTACATGCTCGCGACCCGCGCAAAGGGCACCGAGTGGACGACGGCGCACGAGCTGCCGTTTGAAACCCCCCTGCCCGAGAGCATGCTTTACCACAGCATCTTTGTCTGCCCCGTGTCCAAGGAGCAGACCACCGACGCCAACCCGCCCATGGTGATACCCTGCGGCCATATGCTGGCCCGGGAGACACTCCAGAAGCTGTGCAAGGGGACCCGCTTCAAGTGTCCCTACTGCCCGAGCGAGGGGCAGTTGAAGGATGCCAGGCAGATTATCCTTTAGGAGGGAGGGCCGGGGGACAATGGCGAATTCGAGGGCCAGCGCGGGCTGTCGCCGATTCAAGAGGAGGCGCCCGAGTCCCCGCCGTTCTCGCCTTTTGTGGCATTGGTATCGGTGCAGAGACAGATTGGCGAGGAAGACGCATGGGAAGGAGTACGCCTTGAGGCTTCCAATATGGAGTTTGGCGCTTTTTGGAGACGCAATTTGGATTTGAGCCTGGACGATTCATTTCTGACCAGACGCCGACAGCACTCCACCTCGCTGCCCCTGCCGCCGAGTCCGGAATGGAGGGGCTGACTTGCTCCTTGACGCGTTCGCACAGTAGGACTGGGGTGAGTCGATGAGTTGTTAATACCGGCAGCGGTCATACAGCATTACCACCCGCTCAGCGGATTTCCTTTCTTTTTTGCTTTTCTGTTTCCTTTTCCAGCGACGCTCCTGAGTAACGGCTGGGAGTGGTGTGGGAGTTCTGTATATATATGCAAACGGGACAGCGGTGGATTCACAGACGATGGTCGCTTGTTAGCTTTTGGAGTTTGGTCAGGGTTAGGTTCAGGTTCCTGGTGGGCTCTGATCATTCTTGCATTGTGGTAGGTGGGCGGCAGTCAGGGGCAACAGGTAACGGTCAAGGCGTTCAGATCTGAATTTCCGGACCCTTAGAGTACATTCTCTTCTCGTATCAAAGCCGGTATCAACCATGGCCATCTCATCCTTGTCATGACTAGTTCATCCATTCACATGCCGAGTTTGTTGTACTACTCTGGAGTGTAAGAGTTCTATTTCTTTCCTTTCATGCTCGACTATGAGAGGAAACAGAAACTCTAGCTGCAATCACCAAGGGCCACCGCTACCCCTCTCCAGATTGTCACCAACGCTCAAACACAGCCATTTTGGCTCGCATTCCAGCTCGTTTATTCCCTCCCTCCTTCATCTCCCAACCTTCCTTCCCCCCCCCCCCCCCCCCCCCCCCCCCCCCCCCCCCCCCCCCGGATAAAACACACACACTTGTGTCGACGTCACTGTCTCCCGGCCAGCCAGCGGGCGAGTGAGCAGGTTCCTTATAGGTATCCCGAGCCACTGCCCGCGAAGAGTGTGAAAAAGATTTCAAATGGAGAGATAACGCCATTCTCCCCTTCCACCCTTCCATCCCATGTCTGTACCCTCTTAATATTTAAGGGAAGACTGGGTAAAAACGCCTAACGTATCATACATTGAGACCAAAAAAGGGAGAAAATGCACCGAGAAGAAAAGCAAAAACACCTTGATGGGATATCTCTTGTTGATGGGGTATGTGTTGTGATGTGTTGCCATGTGTTGTATGTGACCCTCGCAACGGATGGGTCCGCTATCCACCTTCCCGGTTTCCAAAAGCAAGGCGGAAGAGATAGAAGGGTTCGCCTTTCTCTTCCGTCCCAGCTTCAATGGCTCCCAGTTAAAGGACTCCAAGTTCGTAAAGCTGTCGTTAATGTTTGCGGGCGAAAACCGCCACGCTTCGTGGTCTTTCTCCTAAAGAGACCATGAACCGCCCCCTTAGTCAATAGTCATCCGGCTAGTCAGCGGCGGCTTCTGATCGTGCATCTGATACGAGTTCGCATCCTCCTTCTCCGGGTCCTGGCCCTTTGGTTTGAGCAGATGGTCTTTCAGCCCGTTGCCAAAGTTGCTCATGCAGATAAATGCATTGATGATGGTCAAGATGATGAGTATGATGGTCAGGACGGCAAACGCCGTCAGCGAGCGCCTGACGGCGTCATAGTCCTGGCTGTGGCCCGGCTGGTAGATGCGCACCAGCTTGAAGAAGAAGTAAGCAAGACCGCCAAAGTACAGCAGGACTACCAGGATAGCGCCGATCATGTTCTCGCGGCGGGTGGAAAAGGCGGCGCAGAGCAGAATCGCGATTGTCACCGGGATGGCGGCCACGTGCAAGCCGAATTCGACGGGGTTGACTCCGGTGACAACGACTACGAACTGAACAGTGAAGCCGAGGAAGAAGAAGAAATCAAATTTCAGTAGGGCGATGTAAATCTGGACGGCCATCGTCGTCAGCACTAGTTAAACTGGCGTTTGCATTTCCACGCCTTGACATACCTGATAGTGCAGGAAGCGTTTCTTCATGCGGTAGTCGGCGCCGATCTGCTTCAGTATGTCCCAGGCAAACTCCTGGTAGAGCTGATAAGCGATAAGGCTCATGGCGATGGTGACGACGCCAATAATGACGGGAATCGCAACGAGAAATGGCCTGCACATGGCCCAAACATTCTGATCTGCTTCGTCCGGCTTCAGCAGGCCGGCCTTTAGCAAGCGAGCGATCGAGTTGTTGATCTGGTCAATTTGGAGGATCGTGTAGATGAACAGGGCGAGATTGGCCACGCAAAGGCCGATGATTTGAATTGTGTTCTTCAGCCGCAGGGCATCCCACGACAGAACTAGGATGTAGAGAAAGCCGAAGATGAAGAGCGTCAAGAAGGTCGGAATCGTGCGGTACTGGGATTTTAGACTGTCATCCATGTTGGATTCTTCTTGGTATTCCAGGCTGAACTGGAAGCGTCCAAATACGTAGCTGCATCGTGCCGTTGTTAGCATGGCAGGAAGGCGACCTCGTAGCGAGCCGGTCCCGTCTGGGGGCAGAGGCAGAAACTTACGCCTCGAAAGCCACGCATATGAGGGCTTGCAGGCCAACGACAAGGAAAAACAACTTGGCCCATTTTGACGCGAGGAACTCGGTCGAAAAGAGGCTTTGTTGCCTGCCCCGGGAGGAGCTGGCTGGGCCTGGAGGCACCATGGCGCTGTCTCGATAGTAAGGGCCAGTCCCGTCAAAACTTGAGATGGGCTGCGAGCCGGCCAAATATGACCGGCGGAAATCTCGTTGCGACGCCAGGACGGGCGGAGTATTATGGCCTTGCGGGTTCGCGGATACTGTTGTACAGTAGTCGTTAGATGCGGTTGACGTGCGTTGGTTGTCGAAGCAGATGGCCGAAAATTCTCGTGGTTCGTTGAGGATTGATGTTAAAACGAGCGATTGTCCAGCCGTCTCCCTGCCGATGCCTACGCAGTAGATTGGGTGCAGCGAAGCGACTGGAGAATGGAGATGGGGGCCGACTGCATCAGGGGTGTTCCGTTGCTCGAAATTCTGTCCGCAAAGGGCAGGCTGAAACACGTCGAGGAGTTGGATATGTTGGAGCGACGCAGGGACTTGGCGAATAGAAGCGCTATTCGGGACACACTCTATGTTAGGGAGGCTGCAGGCCAAGCAGCTCCTTGACTGGTATTTGGCGTAATGTACGGTGGTCCCTTGGGAACGCTGCGACAAATCGCCAGAGATCGGATGGGCGGATTAGAGTTGATACAACGAACGGATTGGAAAAGAGGGAGCCAAGGATGTCAGGCCTTTATTATTACGTGTATGCACCGGCCAAGAAGTGGTAGGATGTCGTGTCTGCTGCCCCAGGACAGATCCCAGAACTCTGGGCACTCTGGGCAGAGAAAGCCGGCACGCAACTTCCCCCAATCAGTGTGTCTTGGTTCCGAGGCTGTGCGGGACCCCGATTTCCCGTCGAACTTGGTGGCTCCCTGTGCCCGTGATTGATAGATTCTGGAATTTCCAAACCACGTCATAATGCTGCATGTACGGATATGTGGTCGAACTTTTATTTTCAGCATTACATTTATCATCAATTTCCGATTTCTCTTCATGTACTCATCTTGCGACCATCATCTGCTCAGGGTAGGTCGTGTGGTCCGCCAGGCCGGCCTTCAGCTATGTATAGGCCACCCCACAGTTTGCCTGAGATGATGACTGCCTACACTAGGACTACTAGTACTATAATCAACGTCGGCGGTGTACTGTACTGTATCAAACGGTAACTTTACACGTTAGTCCCCTGAACTAGCGGATTGATGGCGGCAGGCTCAGCCTTTGGCAGAGTCTGTCAATTGTTAGCCCTGCCGCCAATCCGCCTCTCAACCCAGCCCAGCTCTTGCACTTGTATACCAAACAAAGAGAGATAGGACTTTGATGGCTACCTAGGTCATGATGTATACGGATACGGATACTGGCATCCCAACCACTCAGCTAGGACTACGTGACAGGATTCTGACACTCGTGGGTCTGGGTCCGAGAGCAGCCTCAATTGACAAAAGAGTACTCTGTAGGCCAAGTGCGGCCATCCTGTATGTGAGTTCATCTGATCTTGATTCTTTCTTTTCCAGTTGCCTGTTTGGTTGTTGCACGCCCCCGCCAGGACACGCTGCAAGTCATTACACGGTCAAGGTTACATTTCGCTCAATACGAGTTGAGCTGTCATCTTCTCGGGGGGAGGGCACCAGTTCCTGGAGTCAGGAGGCCAAGAGCGGTTGGTTTCGTTTGTTCTTGTCGATCTTCTGCAGATGCTAGCTGGGGATGGAATGGGAAGTAGCAGCTACAACGCGGAGATGATGAGACTGTGACTTTGCTGTCGGTTGCTAGAAGGCTGTGTTATCCCGAAACTTTTGCTTTGATAGTTTCAACGGGCTTGGACCGAGGCGTCAGGACGTTGGGGAGAGGCTGTGCGGACCCGGTATGCGGGATGCGTTGAGTCGGCATTGGCTTGCATTGGACCCGATTTTCCGCAGCAAAGCAAAAGCAGAGAATTCCAGATCAACCTCAAGGTTATCATAGTAGGCAACTGCGTAATTGGAACTGTCAACCTTGTTAGGATTACACTGCAACAGTTATGTAATTTTACGCTCCGTATCAAAACTTGAATCTTTCTTGGGCTCATGATCAACATAAACAGAGCAACAGGCAAACAATCTCGAAAGACGGCAACACATGGTACTATATCAGGTAGATGTAGAGTTTTCTAAAGATTCCTTCCCGGCTCTAAAACAGCACAACGGTCACTCAATACGGAATTACGGATGCCAGTTCAACGTTGAGGGATTCCGCGCGACTATCCGTAATAGTATTGAAACCAACCGCAATCCACAGTGCGGATTGTCCGCGATATCAGTCAGAGCCCTGCCTATCCCAGCCCGGCGCTTCTTGTCGCGCTTCTCGGGAGATCGCAGCACGCGACAAGCTGCCGTCTCAGTCCCGTATTCCCCCGCCATCAATCGAGATGGCCGAAATGGAGATTGAGCTCGTCGACGATGTCCTGAAGAGGGCTGCCCTAGACGGGTCTTTTTACTAGTGAGTGCCCGAGAGCCATTGGGCGTAACCCATATCATACTCGTATCAAGAAAGTTGTCGCTAACTGTAGATCCCACTTCACAGCGCGGTCTGGCCGGCTCTGCTGCCCCAGCTCATTGCGCGTATCGAGAAGGCGAGCATCTATACTTTCCAGATACTCTGTTTCTGCATTTTCAAGCTAACCTAGCCCGTTGCCCCTTAGATTGCGCACACCGAGTTCACCATCCCCAACATCCCTCCTCCACGACCGATCGCACGACCTCCCTCGCCGCGCTTCCTTGCCCCGCTGCTTTCCTCAGACCCGCTTGAGCCCGCAGACTCTTCGGATACATCGTCGTCCTCACAGGAGGGAAACAAGGAAAATACCAGCCCGCCATCCCGCTTAGTCGCTCGCAATGCCCGCAACGCCCCGACCTCCATCACCACCCGCTCAGCTCTCCTTCCCTCACCAGCACCCTCCCAATCTCAATCCCAACCCCAGCCACAACCACAACCAGAACCGCACCCCGTGCAGCCGGCCAGCGACTCCGCGACTACCACCCCGCCGCAGCTCCCGAAGCCCATCGCCGACATGCTCGACGAGATTGTGTCGGTGCTACGAACAAACTTCGCCGAGTACCCGCCGCACACGATCCAGCGGCTGGCCGAGCTGGTGCTGCGCCCGAAACAACACTACCGAAGCGTGGTGGCGTACCTGCACGCGCTGGACCGCGTGGTGCACGTGACGAGCGGCGCCAACATCTACCCCCTGCCCCCCGCCGTGCCGGACATGAGCGCCATGTCGATCCTGGCCAACGGTGTCAGCGGTGACAGCCATGGCAGATCCGATGCCAATGCTGCCGCCGGTGTCGCGAGTAGTGGCGCTGGTGGAGGAGGAGGAGGAGGGAGTAGTAGCGGCGGTGTCGGGGTGGGCTCGGACGAGGCGCTCGGCGGCGCGCTGCTGACGCCTATTCCCTGGCTGACGCGGCGGCGAGGCGCGGCTAACGGGGAGGATGGTGAGGACGGGGAGGGCAGCGAGGCGGGCAGCGAGGCGGGGAGTGAAGACGGCGGGCCGCCGATCGGGCCCGTGGATATTGGTCCGCAGAGCCAGCAGTTTGCTTTCCAACAGGGCGCCGCTGGCGGGGGCGGCCGACCGCTCGAGGGCCGAGTCCGCACCGAAAGCACCGAGACCATCGAGGGCCCCAACGGGATGGGCCGTATCGAGACTGTGTCGGTGTCGGTCAACGGGATTCCGTCTACCGGTGCTGGCGTGGCCGCCGTGCTCGGCGCCGGCAACCGCGCGGTTACCCAAGGCGAGCTGCTGCGCCAGGAGCAGCGCGCCGGGGTGGTCCCCTTGAGTCAGCTAAATCGACAGCAGCAGCAGCAGCAGCAGGTCTCCCGTACTGCCGATGCAAATAGCACTGCCAGCGAAGACGCGCACATGAGCGACCAGGATGGAGAGGAAGACGGTGGCGGAGGAGGCGAGGGAAAGAGCCCGCCCGCGCCGGGGCCTGAGGGAGCTGCCCCTACCACCACCGTCGAGCGGCCCCGGATAGACGTGGAAGCTGCCGTGGGGCGGAGCAGCGCTGCGGGGCAGCAGACCCAGAAGCCTGGACGGGCGAGCAAAAGTCCGGAAAACGAGATTGTCCCGCGCAGCCCCAAGCGTGAGGCGGCCGAGGAGCTGGAGCCTGCGGGGGCCAGCAGGAAGAGGGTCAGGGAAGACGACAGCGGGGCCAGCAGCAGCAGTAACACCGCCGAGCAGCAGGCTCAAGAGGGAAAGGATAAGGAGGAGGAAATCAAGACTGCTGACCAGCCGTCCGATACTGCCAGCGGCGCTGCAGGGGCCGACGCCGAGACCGAGCCGAAGAGGGATGCAGAGGGTGACCTGGTCCTGACGGATCTAGCCGCGGGGGACGAAGCAGTCGCTGGGCCCAGCAAAGACCCGCCCGCTGAAGCTGAGAAGGGGGGCTCGACCACGGATGAACCTGCTGCTGATACAACAAAAGATGGTGGAGGGAAGGAGAAGCTAGGAGCGGAGCAGGAGGTTGAGGACGCAGCGGCCTAACTAGATAACCCAAGGGGTGCGGCTCTTGTCCCTCGTCTGGGACGGAATGAAACAGGGGGAAAGTACGATGCGCTGCTACTTGGCGCTTGTTGTATCAACCCTATCTCATGACAAACAAGGTTGGGTTCCTGGAGTTTAGGGGTTAGGCCACGGTTTCCTGCTTATTGCTACTTCCACATGATGGCACGTTGAGTCAGTATTAGAGATGAAATCTACCCCTGAAAAGCGCCATACTATTTACAAGACCTGCAAAACCCCAAACCCAGCCTAGCTACCTCCCACATGCTCCGTATAGTACAAGGAAAATCGCCGTCACTCCATGATCCGCGTGATACTTTCCCGCACAATAATGCTATTCTGCTTCTCGTCTCGCTTGACGCGGTAAAAGTCGTCGCAAAAATCGCTGCACTGCATGTGCTTCAAGAACTCCTCGTCATGCGTAATGACAATCAGCTGCAGGTTGCTCTGCGACTGGCGCGTCTTGATGATGCCGTGGAGGCTTTCGGCCAAACTGCGGATGTTGTCGCTGTCCAGATTCGTCGTTGGCTCGTCGAGCGCAATCAGGCCGCAGTTGATGCCAAATGACTCGGCGAGCGCCAGGCGAATGATGATGCTCGCCAGCACCTTCTGCCCCGCGCTACACCGCCCGCGCATGTCCATCTCGGTGTCTCCCTTGACCATCGACACGCGGTAGTTGTAGTTGCGCTTTCCGGTGCCCGAGCCGGCGCCCGCCTCCACGTCTGACCGGATCTGGATCGTGTCGATGTCGGTGCCTTGGTATGTGCTCTGCCACAGCTCGCCAATGGTGCGGTTAATCTCCTCCATCTTGAGCGAATGGTATTGCATGATGGCGTGGTCGAGCGCCGCCGTGCCCCGACCTAGGTCGTCTATAGCAGCTTTGGTGGTCTCAACTTTGATGTGAGACTCCTTGTACTTGGCTTTGGCATCCTTCAGCTCTATCTCGTACTCTTCGCTCAGGCGGGCAAATTGCTCGTCCTTGCTTGACATGGAACCCATCAGCCGCTCACGATCAGCGGCGAGCTTTCCGCGGCGTGACTCGAGGTACCGTGCCTCCTGATTGAGCCGGTCGTAGTCCTCCTGGGCGTTTCGCGCCTCGAGCTCCTCGATCTCCTGCTCAAGCACATCGCGCTCGCGCATGTTCTTCCGGTAGGTGAGGTTATCAGCAATGTTCCTCTTCTTCGCGTCGCTGTTGTCGATTTCCTTGTTTAGCTTATTGATTTGCACCGTCAGCTCGCGTATCTCGCTTTCCAGGTTGGCGATGTTGGCCTCCAGAGAGGTAATGACTCTCTGATTCGACGCAAGGTTTGAAGGGCCTCCCCGGTCAAGGTATTCCTGAATCTCGCTGTTGATCATCTTGAGCTCGCTGACCGTCGTCGCAATCCCATCTCGCTCCTCGGCGACCCTTTGCTCCTTGGCGCGCCCTTGTTGCCGGACTTCTTCCAGGGCCGCCCGTGCGCTGACAATCTCGGGCTCGAGGCTTTCTAAAACCTTATCGGCTTCTTGAATGGAGTTTCGCAGATCTTTCTGCTCCTCCTTGCACCGGCGAATGGATTCCTGGAGGCTCTTCTTCCGCTCAAGCTGTTGGACAGCACTGCTGATCTTGTGCCTCAGCTCGAGTCTCTCAACCTCGAGCTGTGCAGCCAGGTCTTTCAGGCGTTGCCTCTCGGTAGTTAGCTTGCCGAGCTTTGCCTGGGCCACCCTTATCTGTTCCGCGCATGTAGTTTGCTCATCGTTGATCTCGTCGGGACTGCGCGTTGTGATGCTAGAGGACTGCTGCGATCTCTCAACCTGCCTTTCGGCATCGAGAATATCCTTGTGCGTCTGCGAAATTTTAAGGACATTCTTACCCAAGCCGTCAATCTCCTGCCGCTTATCCTCGGCCTCTCGGAAGACAAGGTCCTGATCCTCTAAACGGCGAACCAGCTCTTCCCTTTGGGATGAGCTCAGGTCAATGTCTTTTCGCAGCGACGGCAGCTCATTCTGCAGTCGCTGGTACGTGTCGTATTGAGGTCTAACAGCCTTTAGGTTCTTGATTTGCTCAGTAAGAGTGGCTTGATCCTGTATCAGAGCTTCCTTGTCTTCGTCGCCGAGTCTTTTTGCTATCCTTTGCATCAAGGTTGATTTAGCTGCTGGGTGTTCTTTGAAGTCATTGTCGCAGTAATAACACTTGTTGAACTTTAGTGCCCGGTCTTTGATAGTGGTAAAATGTTTCTTCATCGCATCGTACAGCTTTAGATCGCCCTCAATCTCGCCCAACTCGTTCTGGGCGGTCTCCAACTTTCTAGGGTAGTCCTCAATCGTAGCCGGGCGGCCGTCGTCGTAGTCCTCCTTTATCTCCCCGATCACTTCGATGGCGACCTTGAGTGCCTTGACGACGTTGGTTTTGCAGTTTTCTTTCTCGGCGGACAGCTTGTTATGCCGTTCCCGTGCATTGGACAACTTGTACTCGACCTGCTTAAGCTCCTGCTGGGTCGAGTCTTTCTGTTTCCTGGCTTCAGATACGGCAGTATTTTGCTGCCTGAGCGTGTTCTGGAAGTCGGACTCAATAGTCTCTGGTTTCCAAGCATTCCCAATCAGGGTTGACAACTTCTCATTCCAGGTATTTGCAAGGATATCCAACTCCCGCCGGCGCTCAGCCAGCTGCTTCTTGCGCAGGTCAAGCTGGGCTCGCTCAGATGCCAGCCTCGTGCAGTCGACGAGTTCCCGCGCAAGCTTGGCGGCTTGTGCTTCGAGGTTCCAGATGTTATCGTTCACCTGCCTGATCTGAGAATCCAGGTCTGCCGTTTGTTCCTCGGCCTTTACCACGTCGATCCTGCCCTCAAGTTCTTTCATCTCAGTTCGGAGCACTGCCTCTGCACCTTCGTCAATCTCCAGCGTGCTCAGTTCCCTCTGGATAGTGGCGGACTCTTTCCCGACTGTCATGATGCGCTGCGTGGCAGACGCACGATCGCGAATCACCGATGCCTTGCGGCTTTCGAGCTCTGTGATTATGGCTGTCTTTTTGTCGAGTTCATCTGCATTGTCACGTTGTACCTGCTCCAACTCGCGCTTCTTATCGTTGAGAATCTTCTGGATGCGATCGTAGAAGGCCGTGATGGTCCGGTCATCTAGTTCCCCATCGTATCCCCGAATCTCATGGCGTTCAGCAGCCTCGTGGATCATCCTATCTCGCGTAACGAGCTGCCGCTCGTACTTGTCCTTGTCGGACTGATGCTTTCCTAGCTCTGCGGTTTTAGCCGTGTGTTTCTCTCTAGTCAGCTTGAGTTCGGCTTGGGCGTCGTGAAATTGTCCGGCTTTCTTGTCTCTGTCGGCAATAATCCTCTGGATTGTCTGCTCGTACTCGTCAAGAGTGGTTCTCAGGATCTGATCAGACTCTGGCAGCTCTTCGATACGGCCCCGCAGTTCCTCAATTGCATCCTTCTTGTACTCGAGCTTCTCGGTTTTAGTTTGAAGATCATTCATGATCTTGAGGAAGCTGTTGGCCTGCTCATACTTCTCTTTGATCCTGACGGATTCCTCGTCCATCTGGTGGAGAAGCTCATCGCACTTGTCTCGCGCCTCCTGTATCTCCCTAGTGAGCTGGGCCATGAGCCTGTCAACCTTCTCTGCCCTCTCCTTATTCGCCTTGTCCTGTGCCTCTTGTAGTTTGAGTTCTCTGAGCTCCTCTCCTTTCCTCTTGCGAAGGACCTTCAGATTGTCGATCACTTTAGTGTACTTCATGGCCTCAAAAATTTCATCAAATCGCTTCTTCAAGGCAGCTGGTTCACTCATGGGCCACAGAGATTCGTCCTGGTGGCAGAATATGACGGCATCGAGAACGGCTGGAGAGACGCCGAGTTTTTCAGGAACCAATCTATCGAGCTCCATGACCCGGGTAGAGATGACGTGACGTTCGCCGTTGTTCCGCAGCAGCAGGCTCCCCTCCAAGGTCTTTTGGGATCTCGTGGTCTTTTTGACCATGAGCTGTACGTTGCGTGTGACGACGTAGGACTCGCCTACGGTCGAGCGGAATGAGACTTTGACTTGGGCACGGACATCTTTCTCTCCGGCCAGATCAGGATCGTGGATGAAGGCGCCGCCCTTGCTGTTGGGTGGCAACTCGCCGGTGGTGGCATACTTGAGACACTCGATGATGGTCTGGCAAAACGTCAGTAGAAGGAACCGCGAAAACGCCTGATCCAACACTCACCGTCTTTCCCGACCCATTGTAGCCAACAATTAGCGTGAGGGGAGTATTGAAAGCGATGGTCTCTTGGTGCTGCGGCCCAAAGGACCGGACACCAAGGATGGAAAGCTTCTCGATCCTGGACATGGCGTTGTTGTGTGGGGACTGTGGGAAGTGCGGCTGTGGACAATGTATTCCATAAGGCGATATTCCATGCACACGTCGGTTTCGCAAACGCAGGATGAAAAGCTAGAGGAGTCCGAAATGTGTGACGCAGGGACTGGACAGCCGTTGAGGTCGCTGAAGTGCTGCCGAGACGCGTTGTAGTCGCGAGTTCTAGTGGAAGGACAGGGGTCTTGGAAAGTGCTTGTCGCGTCTTCACGGGACCTGAGCCCAGGCAGCAGCGGCCTGGTGGGGCCGCGAACTAGACCGTCAATGCAGCACAATGGCTGGGCCCACTTCTTTTCGCCGAGAATTCCACTTGCGTTGCAGCGAGCCCCTCGAATTGGACTGAATTGGACTCAACCATCCCATCCCAACCCAAGCTCACCACATTTCCTAGTTGCTACTCGGCCCGGGCACCAACCAGCACCGATTCCCATGAATATTAGGAGCCGCATTCGCGCACATCTCCAATCCTATACCCCGACCCCTCATCCAAACAGCTACGAGAGACTGAACCAAGCAGACGACCCAAAATGCCTGCCGACGAAATGGAACTCGACGAGCCTCAGGCTCTTGACGCGGGCGCCTCGTCGTCAGCAAACGACAACAGCTCAGCAAAGCTCGCGGCGATGCAGACACAGACCAAGGCGACGGCGGTGCGTTCAATCGAAGGTTGGATCATCATGGTGACCAACGTACACGAGGAGGCCGACGAGGAGGCCATCCACGACAAGTTTGGCGAGTTTGGCGAGATCCGGAACGTACATTTGAACCTGGACCGGAGGACGGGCTACGTCAAGGTATGCTGTTACTATTGGTTTTATAGTTCAGGCGGTTCTCTTGAGAGATTCGGTGCTGATATGTGGGTGGGTTTCAGGGCTACGCGCTGATTGAGTACACGACTCTGGAGGAGGCGAGGGCAGCCATTGATGGCGCCAACGGAACGCAACTGCTGGATCAGACAGTGAATGTGGACTTTGCGTTTGTGCGTCCCCCGCCAGGCAAGGCGAATACGCGGCCCGGAGGTGGGAGCGGTCCGGCAAGAGCATCCACCCGTGGGGCAAGGAGCGGAAGGAGTCGAAGCCGGAGTCCAGGCGGCGGAAAGGAGGATGTTTTGTGAAGTGAGGCGAAGATGGCTGATGCTATGAGCAAGAGGGCTCTGAGAGCTTTTGTCTAGCCTGGGCTGGCTGGATACTATGGCAAGGGTGTCATGAAAAAAAGACAGCCGTCGTGTCATCGAAGGGGCATAAGACACGTCGGCTGTTTGCTTTAATCACTTGACGGTAAGCTCAAGTCAACAGCTACAGTACCTTATATCGACGGCTAACAGCGGTCTTGCAGGACCGCGGGAAAGTCGCTCCAGCAACTATCCGGGATCGAAAGTGTTTGGGGCTTGAGGCAAAAAAGATTGACGTGATAAAGAACAGGCAGATGCTAGACCAGAAGATACACCAGAGGACGGACTCCGCCCCGAGACTCGCCTACGATACTGCTTCCCCTTTTGATTAGGTCTACTCGGGCAACGTGCGGAGTCGCCATAGTGGAAATAGTACGGGCAACATCGGTGCCACCTGACTGCCCAATGCTAGAATCTACCCGCGATGTGCCCTCTAGCAGGCATGCTGTATGGTTGGTTTTCCCTGACTTTGGAGTAGCCTTGCGCAGCAGAAGCCTTATGGGGAGCATCTCATTGGAGTATTGAGGGGTAGTGGTTTCACCTCACCTCCTGCAGCTAGCTTGCCTGATTTACCCCGCCATCTCCAGTTGCTCCATTCTCCTATCCTCGGCTTCTCCCTTCGCACCTTCGCACTTCTCGAACCCCTTCCTTTGTAGAAGCATACCGTGGACGCTTGTTGTCTCTTATTCCTACTTATCTCTGAATCTCCAGACGTTGAACATGGATAAGCTCCTGAATAAAGCGGTGGAGAAGGTATTTGGCGACGACGATGAGCGTCAAGGTAGCTACGCCAGACGTCCCCTTGACCTAGCAGAGTCAGCTAATCACTCTCATTGACTCTCAGGCCAGCACCATACAGGCGGTAACGGTACACCCTCTCCTCGTCCTCTACGCCCTGTATCGCTCAGGCGTGCCTGCTAACCATCCACCTTACCCGTGCAGCCACTCACGGCGGTGCGTACCCGGCGGTTGGTGGCTATTCCCACCCAGATGACGAGGACGACGACAAGCTCGTCCACAACGCAGCCCACCACGCGGCCAGCAACGCCAAGGATGATGACTCGAACTTCTTTTCCGACATTCTGGGCAAAGTGATCCAAAACAAGCAGCAGGTTGCTGAGGAGGACATTGATGAAGAGGGTGCGTGTCTCGCCCTGTGCTCCCCAGTCTTCCCTTCACCATCTGCCTACCTCGTCTGTGACATGCATGCTGATAACGGCGGAATAGACGCGGTCAAATCCCACCGTAAACTCTTTGGCGGCTCCGAGGCCGACTCGGGCTCCACGTCCGCGTCCCAGCTGGGCTCGGCAGCCGCTGTTCAGGCCCTCAAATTGTTCACCTCGGGCGACCAAAAGGGACAGAGCCAGAGCCAGAGCGTGTTCGTGGGATTGGCCATGGCACAAGCGGCCAAACTGTTTGACCAGCAAGCGGCGAAGGGGAATGTAGCAGCTGGTGAGGACAAGCAGAGTGCGGTCATGAAGGCCGGGGAGCTGGCGCTCAAGATGTATCTGAAGAGTTATGGGAGCGGGTCCTCACAAGGGAGTGGCGGTTTCGGAGGATTGCTTGGGATGGCCAGCAAGTTCGTGCAGTAACTCAGGGAAAACCGGGATGGTTTTAATGAAGTTAGCGCTCACTGGGTAGCCAAAGACAGTTCGATCGTTGAGTGACGGTTGATTTTGCGTTGCACTCCGATGGACAATTCAAACATTCCGCCCGGGCCGCGCCGGGACGGCATGTTCTAGACCATTTCGAGATTTCCTTGTGATCGCCTCGCATTGCTGAGCAAAAGAACCTGGAAGAGAGCCGAACTCTCCTCGTATAAGAAGAGTACCTAGGCTCTTTAGGTACCTAGGCATTACACATGCCAACGGGGTTGATGAAGCCCAAACTTCAAGACCTTCCCGTTTGTGGTCTGGTCACTGCCGGAAGCTTTGTTTGTTGGGCTGTCGGCTGTGGGCTGTTAGTGGCGAGCATGCTGAAGAGTGGGGAGGTAAAGATTCCCATCCTGCAACACAGTAAATCCCATCTTCCCTTTCCCCCCCATAAATCGCACAAACCCCCGCTCATGCCCCGCGGGCTACTTTGATCGTCAAGTCCCTTGACGAAACGACTCCGAGTCCTCTGTCTTTCCGTCTAGATGCGTCCAGAGCTTGACGGTCGCTGTTTTGTTGGGCGGCGACCTTGCTCATTTCCGTCATCTTGTCTTGACCGATAATGCGCATCGCCAGAAGCATTACTTCTTAAACCAGTCTGAGCCAGTTAATACACTTAATATGCTGCTACACTGCTTAGCCCCAGGGTTCTTGTTTCCCAAGCTGCAATCTAGCCAGCTACCGATACCGACACCGACACCATCCTGCTGAGGCTGCTTGCAAGTTGCCACCGTCATGTCTTACGGGGCCGCTCTGCCTCCCAGCCTGTTCGGCTATGGAATGCCGGTAGACGCGGGCTCTGAGTTATCAACCCCGCAGGTCCGCCGCTTGATTTCTCTTCGTTCGCCCAGGGCAAGTCGTCACACTGACCTGACCCCGTCTTGTGTGGCCAAATGTAGATGAACGCCGATCCAAGCGATGCCATGTCGCTGCTGGACCGCACGATATACACCCCCTTTGAAGACAACGTGCCAATGAGCGCCCAATCCAACAAACCACAACCACAGTCGTTCACGCCGAGGACGGTCCAACTCTTTCCTCCGGGGTCGACGGCGACCCCGGACCAGCAGTCCACCTTCTCTCCCGATGACTCGGCGAGCAGGTCGTCTGATGTGCGCCCTCCGCCACGCGAGACTCTTGCTCCCGGAAATCCAGGCACTGCGGGCGCCTTGACCGAGTTCACCAGGCGCCGCAACTGGCCCGCCAAGGTGATAGGGGAGCTGCACGACTTACTGCACATCCTTGACGCCAACGGCAGGATCAAGCACGCCTCGCTAAGCGCCGAGCGTCTGACAGGCTACAAGCCGTCCGAGCTGCGCGGCGTATTCCTGCGGGACCTGCTGCATCCGGACGACGTGGGCCTGCTCACCTCGGAGCTGAACGAGTCGATAGCATCGGGCATTCCGTTTCGCATCTTTTACAGGCTCAGGAGGAAGGATGGGCGCTACACCGTCTTCGAGGCAGTCGGCCACGCCCACATTGCGGCGGCCAAGTATGCGCCCAACCCGACTAACCAGACGCCTTTCTGCCAAGCCGTCTTCATGATGGCTAGGCCCTATCCCACCAGGAACGCGGCCCTGCTGGATTCGTTCCTCGAGCACAAGATGGAGAACGAGCGGTTGAAGCGGAAGATTGCCGAGCTCAAGAAGGACGAGCAGGACGAGACCGAGGAATATCACAGGGCGTGGTCCTTGAGTCAGGAGTCATCCCATGCGGGCATGGATCCCCCCGTTTCCCCCTATAATAGGCGCCCATCCCACGACACGGGACAGCCCGAGGGAATGGGGGTTGGAGCCCCGTCGATCGGACCAGGCGACACGATCGAGATGCTCACTGGTCTCAGGTACCAGGAGGGAGAGAGAAGCCGGGGCATCATAGCTGGCAATGCCAGTCCGGCCCTGATCAAGGGGGACGCTGGCATTGCCATTCCGGTCGATAGAGACGGCCGCGGAGGGGAGAAGAAGAAGAAAATCAAGGTGGCCGAGGAATACGTATGCACGGATTGCGGTAAGGCCCCGCTTCAACACCCCCGAGCCCCAAAGCTAGTCAACTAGTGTGTATGCCAACGCTAACCCTTGCTCTTCAGGCACACTGGAGTCTCCCGAATGGAGGAAGGGACCAAGTGGCCCAAAGACACTCTGCAATGCTTGCGGGCTCCGCTGGGCGAAGAGGGAGAAGAAAAAGGGTGGCAATCATGGAGGTGCAGGCGGCTCTGAGCACCACCAGCTGGGTACCGAATTCACCGGTCAAGGGTCGTGATATTGTGTGTATATTTGGATGTTGTAACAAGCTGATACCCCCATGAGGCTGTGTCCGTATGCCACCGAGGCTCCAGAAGGTCAACCTCACCCCGCTGCGGCAGGCCTAGGGACGCCCGGCCAATTTGTGCATTGGGGAAAACATATCACCAACCAATATGTACCAATTTGTACCAGATATCGCATCATCCGCGATATCAGCAAATCTTATATCTCAACAACTGATGAGACACAGGAAGCTGAACAAAGGCAGCGTCATACATATTGACCTCCAAGTTAGGCGGGATGTAGAAGTACACATTATACATGGCTACTATCACCACTCAGTCACCTCCCCGCGGGCAGGCTTCTGCACACGGACAACCTTGTCGCAGTTGAGCAGACAGAGTGGGTCAAAGGCAGCTTTAATCTGGACAGTTTGGGAATTACAGATTAGCAGGCGGTTAATCGGGGAGGTGTTATAGCAGGGAAACTGCCGCAGTTTGGCGGTTCTTGTTCTTGCTCACCTTTCTCATGGCATCTACCGTGCTCTCGCCCAGCTCGTGGGGTAGGTAATCGCGCTTGACGAGGCCGACTCCGTGTTCACCCTAATAATACCGTCAGCTGCGGCCCTGGTAGACAGATCCAAATCCTAGATCAAAGCGTCAGTCAGGACGGCGGGGCCTACCGTCACAGTCCCTTCCATCTCCACCGCCCGCTTCACCATGCGGTGGACGCAGTCCTCGGCCAGCTTCCGCTCAGCGTCATTGTACAGTAGGATAACTATACGTAAAACCTCGCAGTTAGTCCGTGTACCGCTTCACTCCATGCAATGTTAAGCGGGTGAAAGAGGGGGTGTGGGGAAACGCACTATGGAAATTCCCGTCCCCAACATGTCCCACAATAGAGCTAGTCAGACCCGAATTCTTCAGATCCTTCTTGGTCTGCTCAATAATGTCGGGCAGCCTGCTCATGGGCACGGCCACGTCGCCCGTCCAGACGTGGTCGCCCTGGCGCCGCTGGCTCATGGTGCTCCAGAGCGCCTCCTTCCTGGCGCTCCACAGCTCGCGCTGCTCCTGGTCGTCGCGGGCAAACTCGAACGACTGGCCCCCCGTGCGGCGGGCCAGCCCACGCACAATGTCGACCTGCTCTTTTACTCCGGCGGGCGTGCCGGCAAACTTGAAGAAGATGGTCGGGGCCTCGCGCCAGGGCCGCGTCGTGGCGCCCGCGGCGTTAATGAAGCGCATCTGGTCGTCGTCGAGAATCTCGACGGCGGCGACGGGGACGCCGTCGGCCACGACGCGCGCCACGCACTCGGCCGCGTGGCGCACCGAGGGGAAGCTGGCGACGGCGACCGACGTGGCCGCGGGGGCGACGCACAGCTTGAGCGTCGCTTCCGTCACGAGGCCCAGGGTGCCCTCGGACCCGACGAAGAGGCGGGTGAGGTCGTAGCCGGCGCTGCTCTTGCGCGGGCGCTGCCGCGTCTTGATGACGGTGCCGTCGGCGAGCACGACGGTGAGGGAAAGCACCCACTCGCGCATGGTGCCGTAGCGGTACGCGTTGGTCCCGCTGCAGCCCGTGCCGATCATGCCGCCGATGCGGGCGCCCGGGCCCGGGTCGGGCGGGAAAAACAGGTTGTGCTCGGCCAGGTGCTCGTTGAGCTCCTCCCACCCGACGCCCGGCTGCACCACCACGTCCAGGTCGTCCTTGTGCAGCGCGACAATCTTGTTCATGCGGCTAAAGTCGACGCAGATGCCGCCCCGTGTGGGCGTGTAGTGGCCCTCGAGGCTGGTGCCCCCGCTGTAGCCGACGACGGGGATCTGCCGGAGGTGACACACCTTCATGATGCGAGACACCTCGTCGGTCGTGGACGGGTAGACGACGCAGAAGGGCTTGTGGGAGGGGTCGGACTGATGTGAGGACCACTCCGACGTGGCGTGCTGCTCGATGTCGTCCTCAAGGGTGCTGACGTTCTCCTGGCCCACGATTTCGACAAAGTCGGCCCATGCGGACTCGAGATGGGCAGGCGCAACTTTGTGCCTCGGCGGTCGTGTTGCGCTTAAGGGTAGGGTCGAGTTGGGGTCGACATCGCGCGGGTACTTGGTGCCGAGGAAGTAGCAGACGGAACCGACGAAGAAGATGACTGTTGGAATTTTATTCTTTGGTTAACTCAGGGCTGCGAGTGACAGTACTCGGTCGCGGATTCCGTCCCTACCAAAAGTGAGAGTAAAGTTCTTCGCCACGCTCGATTGGGGCCGTGTCCTGGCCAGGCGTTCCAAATCCTCCCTTTCCTGGGCTAACCGCTTCATGATGCTGTGCGTCAGCTGGCCCTTGAATGACGGTCCGGTTGACCTAGGTAAGTTGTTGTTCTCTGTCGACGAGTAGCGCGCCATGGCCGGCACGGTACCGAGGGCGAGGGCGAGACATGTCGGCCGTCGAGCTCCGACTGAAGCCGAAGCCCTCAAAGTCTGGCCCAGGCCCTTGGGCGTCCTGCCCGCGAGCCGCGACATGGCTCGGATCGGCGTTGTCGAGGATCAATTGGTGTCGCGCTCTTGATTTAGAGGCTATGTGAGCCACATGCCGTATCGCCGACTGCTTTGGAAGTTGTTGCCCGAGGGTTGTTGAAGCGGATTGTCAAGAATGCTTGGCGGGCCGGCGACAGCGGAAAAAAAGTGAAGTTGCAGCATTGCGGCCCCGCTGAAGTGCAGGAACCTCGACAACCCGAAGGCGGCATGGCATCCCGCTACTCAAACAAACATGCACCACAGCTTAAGCACCGCAATGGTTAAGATGATAATGAGAAAGTCTCAGGCATGGCATTAGTACATGGTTTTGGCGTTGAATGCACAGTATTATTTTATCTGCATTACCACAACAAGGGCATCTTCTCCAAGTAGACAATACAGCACATTCCATCAACTCCCGCTACCCGGCCGGACACAGTTCAGGCCAAAGCATGCTACTCCCATTGTCTAGGCCCGCGAGGCGCAATATGGACATTAAACGTTGGCGCCCCATAGCCCTGGACATGCTGCAGGTAAGTGACCAGCTCTGCCTCGTCACTCACTGGCAGCGGCAGCTCGCCCCCTTTGCCATCTTTGATAATGCCCTCGACCCCCAGGCACACGGCACCTGGTGCCTTCTCGACGGCGGCCGCCCGCACCTCAGCGATGCTCGGCGAGCTGAGCGGGCATATCCACTGCGTAGGAATGCCCGGAAACATGGCAGCCGATTCGGGACGCAGCCGGAAGAAGACGGCGATGGCGCCGGACGGTGCCGCCTGCTGGCCGGGCTTGGATTGCTGCGCTGCAACATCATAGCCCTGCTCATATGGCCCATCCAGAAAGGAGTCATGTACCTGGGATGCAAGGAGCGTGTTGTCACCACGTTGAGCGCCCATCGATTCCTGGCCAGCCAGAGATTCTGGCGCGTCTGCCAATACCAGACGAGCTTCCGTCAGCGGGAGTGCCTTCTTGGTTTTGCTGCCTTTTGGCCGTCCCCGCTTCCGGGGCTGAGGCGCTGGTGCCGGCGTCTCGGCAGGAGTTTCCACGGGAGCATCCCCAGGAGTCCCCTGTGCGGGTGCCTGTGCAGATGCTTGTGCGGATGCCTGCGCAACTTCCTGCGCCGGCGTCACTGCTGCAGCTGATGATCTCGACCTCGCCGGGCTCGTGACGGCCTGTGTAGGTGGCTTCCGAGCTGGATTTGTTGCTTTCTTGGGCTTCGGCACTCTCTGTCTGACCGGCTTCGGATCCGGTTGCGGTTTGCTTAGGCGGATCTTCTCATCTCGGTATCTATTCGATGCATTACGGCATATCACATTGATGGCCTTCATCTTGCGACGGTAATCCGGGTCAGTATGCTCGGACGCCACCACACGGCTGAGCAGTTCCGATTCAGCGATCCATTTCTGCTTGAGCGCCTCGAAGTACTCCAGGCCTTCTTCGAGCTTGGCCGTGAACTTTTCTTTGGCCAAGATGTCGCAGAAGGCCTCGCGGAGCTCTCTCGCTTGTTCTGGGTTCAGACCGAGGATGGTCTTGGCTTCGGGGAGAGATATAGCACTATTTGCCGTTCTGATTCTTTTGGTCACGTCGCAAGCAATGATATCGATGGCAAGCTTCTTTTGCTCCATGTCGGTGGGATCCCACATGGCGGCGCGAAGATGCATGCTCTCACGGACCAGCTGGTCCTTGAGCGCCTCCCACTTTTCAGGCCCGGCAAGCGTCTTTTTAACAACGCCTGCATTTTCACAAATGGCGTAAAACTTATCTCTGACCGTCCGGTAGGCAGCTGCGTCCAGTTGTAGAATCTCCTTGGCTTCCGCAAGAGTCGTCTCGGATGGGAAACGAGGCGGCCCGGGGGGATCAGCGGGCAGGCCAGCATAGGGTTTCGTATGCCGACGTCGCTTCTTTGCGGCCCATCTCTCGTAGTACTCAGCTTCTAGGCGCCGTTTCCTCTCCTCCCTGTAGGCCTGACGAAAGGCCTCAAAAGTCTCGTTTTGGACCTGTGCATCGGCAGGTGAAAATCCACTCATCCCGTGGCCGTCAGATGTGCCGTCGATGTCTTCTTGTCCTCTCTCGCTCTGATCGCCGTGTTCTCCGTCGTCCTGGTGGTCTTCCGCGTCAATACTGTCACCACGGTCTGCGCTTTGACCGCGCAACGGTAGCACCGGGACCCGAAGGAGCAGTCCATGCTTGGTCCGAAGTCGCGCTAGGTTCCGGTCGTTGATATCATAGCCTTCCTCTGCGAGGACGCGAAGCATCTCCTTCTGGGTCAGATTCCGCTCCCATAATTCTCGCACGCGGGCGACAAGCTCCTCGTTCGTGTACACTGGAGGCCCTCTGTGGGTAAAGCCCCATCTGGAAAAGGTTGCCTGAAAGGAGCGTCGACTACAATGACGCGGCCCATGATTAGCCCTGAGCACTCAGAGTCAAATGCGATGCTTGGCAGGTCGGGATGAGATGTGCGGCTCAGTCGGGTCGGTAAAGATATACGGAGGGTCAGACAAATACCGGGCTGTCCAGCGGTAGATGGGGTCGTCCGGTATCGGTACGGCGGGCCAGACGTGAAGGTATGCAATTGTGAAGTCGGGAAGCCAAAACTCACCTCGGAGTAAAGTCATAGTGCTCTCGCATATACTCAACAACCTCATCTAGCGACTTCTTCTCTTCAACAAATAAGCGGCGGCATATCTCTCTATGGGCATCCCAATTGTAGACCATGGTAGCTTCCGGGAATCGGCTGGCGGGACGAGGTAGAAGGTGGCAGTTGTACGGTGCTCCAGAGGATCACAGGTGAAAGAAATCAAGCAGGAAGCCCACTGGTGCTTAAACTTTGGCGGGCCAGCACAGTGTCTAACCGGAATCTCCGCTGATATCGCACTGTGTCTCCTACCCACACAACTTGAAGCAATGCAACGATGATCATCCGCCTGTCTTTTTGCTCATAATAATGTAAAACTGCGTGAAGCGAAGATGGAGCGTATGTTTGATGGACTAATTCGTGACGACTCACTCCAGGATCAACACAATGTAAACAGCCAATCCAGCGGAAATGTAAAGAAAGCCACCGTAAAACTCCAGTTACAGGGTTAGGGTATCTTCAGTTCGTTCCCGAGAATGGGTTCTCATTTATCCCCTTTCTTCGCGGCATTTTCCTTCGCCATGGCGATCGCATCAGCCCACTCGGCCGGCCTCTGCCTGCCGCCGGGGTATACGTGGTTCAAGTACGTCTCCGTGTCTCTCGCAAACGCCAGCAGCTGCTCCTCGGCGCCCCACTCCCCCATGGCCATCACGCCAACGGGCAGCTTGCCCTCGCCCTGTGCCGGGTCGACGTAGCCGACGGGGCAACTCACAGCCGGGCAGCCGCTCATGTTGGAGTACCACACAAACGACATGGCCCTGATGGTCACGTTGGCGTCGGTAAACCCGTACTTCTGGTCGCCCGGGTGGATTGGCAATCCTGCCATGGGCGTCGTCGGCGTGAGCACCAGCAAGCCTGGATATTTGTCGAAGAGGAAGGCCAGGTGCTCCATAATGACTTGCCGGATCTGGCCGTACCTGAAGAGATCGGCCGCTGGCGTCTGCGACCCCACGGAGACAGCGATGCGGTTCGGGTGATTCAGGGGGCCGAGATACCGCGCCGGATCCCTGACGCGCGCCTGAGCGTGACTGGCCGCCTCGGTGGTGGCAGAGCAAGCATGGGCAAGCTGTCCCTCGCGGAGATAGGGAAGCTTGATATCGACCGCTTCGTAACCCATCTGCGAGGTGAGGTGGGCCAAGGTTGTGTCAAAGATTCCTCTCACATCCGGGTCCGATATGGCTATCCAATCTCGACAGATGCCAAGGTACTTTTTGGCTGACGGCTCTGGGGGCATTGAGACAGCGAACAGGTTCTGGGCAGGGTCATCCGGATTCCGTTGCGACATGAACCGGTATGCAATCGTTAGATCCGCCACTGTCGATGTTAGAGGCCCAATGACGCAGAAGGCTGAATTCCTGTTGCATAGCCGGTTGAAAGTGGTCTTGAGGCCATACACGCCGCAAAATGCTGATGGAATTCGCACGCTGCCTCCTGGGAAATGTGTCAGTTATATCCTCTAGGCTCTCGAACAACCCGTACTCACCCGCGTCTGTCCCAAGAGTTATGGGAACGATGCCAGCGCTAAGAGCCGAACCTGCCCCAGACGACGATCCACCGGGATAGTACAGCTTATTGTACCAATTGGTAGCTGTCCCAGTCGTCGGCTTGTTGAGTTGCACTTTAGCTGCCATAACTCGTCGATCTCGAGATGTGGAATAGTACTTACATTGCAGCCGGTCGTGTCTATCGAAACGTCAGCCTCCAAAACTCTGACAAAGAAGGACATAACAACATACCCATGCCAATCTCATGCTGGTTCATCTTTCCTACCATGATAGCGCCCGCCTCCTCGAGCATCTTCGCTGGCCAGACGGTTTTCTCCTCAGGCCTGTTAAAATACTCCTCGGCCTTGTTCACCTTCATGCCCATCATCGAGACGTAGCCCTTTACTTCGGTATCGTCTTTGACACCAAACGGGACGCCGTCCAGAAGGCCAAGGGGCTTTCCCGCCGCCCAACGTTCAGTCGACGCCCTGGCGGCGGCCAGGACCTCGTCCACATTGGTCTGTGTCCAGGCCACCGCATACTTGGACTGAGGCTGCACGTCCCGCCTGATGAGCGGGAGGAGCGTCTCGACCAGCTGCAGCGGGGTGGCTTCCCCGGACTTGTAGAGCTCGTGGTAGTCGGCCACCGAGTAAAATCTGCCGGGGAGATGCGCAGGCTGGGGCTGCTGAAGCTCGGGTCCCAGCTCAAGCATGCCTTCCGGAGAGCTGCCATCGCCAAGGGGAATCACGTTCGGCTTTGGGCGCAAATCAGCATCACTAACGGAGTTATACTTGCCCGGGGCGAGGGATGTCACTGTACCTCCAGCCTCCAGCTCGTTTGCTCCAAGCCTGGAAGGTACCTCAACTGGCTGAACTTGGCGTTTGTCCAAAGGAGTTTCTGAACCCACTCTGAGCTTGAAGCTCTACGAGCAGTTAGAGGCTGATGGGGTTCTCGTACCAAGCAGCGAAGCAAGCACTTACACAAGCGAGGCCAACACAAGAGGCAATCCCCGCAGCGCGGGGTTCTCGTCATTGTCGAAGCGATACTCGAGGGCAGAAGCGGGTGCCTCTTTCGTTCCGGGGTGGTTAGCGAAACGGCGTGCCGGAGCCATTGGTTGTTGTTATTATCGGAGTTTGCCGTGCTTCAACCAGGTAAGTTGACAGACAAAAGATGTTTGTGCTAATTCGTACACTGGCGGATATCAACTGGTTCAACCACAGGCAGCTGCTCACAGGATTATAAGCCAGCTGGGCAGCGTGCCGTGAATAAGGCCAGCTTGGATTGCCAGACGAGCTTGAGCTGTGACCCCTGTTTATCTTATAGAGGAGGATCCGTCGTGGGTCGGCCTGAAGCGACGACCAACGTCGATCCTTCCAGGGTTTGACTTGTACTTGAGGACTCTTAAATTGCTCGCAACCTGGAATATCTCGGATTTCAAAATTTTTAAGTAACTCACAGCTGCCCGATGATCATTTGAGTGTTGCTCAGGTCAGATCATCAAATGTTGCTTAGCTCATGCCATCGAGTGTTACTGACGTCAAGTAGAAAGCATATGTATATCGTCCGGCTGTGCCGCCGCGGTTAGTCTTGTGCCTCGGATCCACGCCCTAATGCTACGTGCTAAAGTTGGCGTTGTACATATTGGGGCTTTTGGTTTCCATGTAAAGTTGGGTCCACCTTGTATGACGGGAATTGGAAGGCGGGGAGGATCGAGAAAGAGTTGAGGTGGGGAAGTCCAACGCCACTTCCGCTCGAAACAACGACAGCTTAGACAGACCGGGAGAACGATCAGTACCTTACCCAGGTCGCGAGTGCCATAACCTGGAAAATAAAGCGATCACAAGAGACACCAGGTTCACAAGTGCAGCGAATAGAGCAGCAGGTGAAGGAATAAAAGATATAATATTCCTAACCTCGACGCCCTTCTCCAGATAGGTCCTTAGAAAACAACCAACCTCCGGGATGCTATCCTCGTTGGAGAGGAGATCCTAATCCAGCCTAGTGCTGTCCAGTCCTGAACGCCGCTCTCGAAGCCATGGTGAGAGAAAGAGCAAAAATGCAAGCTCGAAACTTTGTTGCTTGTTCCCTGTCCGCTGCAGCTGCTCTGCGCTGCCCGCGGAGCCGCCCGCCTTCCATCGTCCTCAACGGGGACACAGCGCCGCATGAACGCTGAAAGTTGAGGACAGCAAACTGCGTTATGTGAACGCTGTCCCTGGTATCAAACCAATTCCATAGCTGGGAAAACAAGGTTCGCAGGGCAGAAAAGAAGTGATGATTGGTTCTGCGTACTCCGAGGTAGCCGTGTGTCCATAAATCCCAAGGCAGTTGCTGTTCACCCGCTGGGTTACCCGGCCAAAACCCATCTAGTGGCCTCCAAGCCGCCACAGCTTGGTCCTCAGCCAGAGGAGGAAGCCCTGCCAGTAGCTCTGGGTCTTCCGCTTGGCGCCGCTGCCCCTCCTGGGGCGCGTCTGCTCGAACCGCACATCGTCCACGCCGGGCCCGAACGCGGGCGGCGTCTGCAACGGCACGCTCTCGTACTTGCGGCTGGCAAACCCCATCTGCTTCTCTCCTGTGACCGTCGAGGCCGCACCAGTCATCGCGGCATCCGGCGCCGGCGAAGCAGTGTGCCTCTTCCTCCCAAGACCAATTCCAAGCCCCTGATGATGGTGAGGGTGATGCTGCGACCCTATCGTCCCTGCCGGCGCCGAAGACGATGCAAAGCCACCCGCTCCCCGTCCCAGAAACGGCGACGACCGATGCTGTGATTGATGCTCGGCAATCTCAACCCCGCTGCCCCCCCAAGCCCCGCTCCCCTTTCTACTCCCCATTAGACGAGGCGAGTTCCTTCCGCCAGCCGTCCAAGTCCCCGCCTTTTGCAGCCCCACACCGCCGCCGGGACCGCCGCCGCTATCCGGCACCGCGGAAGTACTGCTTGACGTGGAACTGACCTTGCGGTGATGGACGGTCTCGCCCTTTTCGATGCTCTTGGCCTCCTTGGTATCCCTGCGCTCGCGCTTGCGGATCATCTCGCGGTCGTGCTTCTCCTCCTTGGCGCGCTCGCGCTCCTCAAACTTGCGGCGAGCTGCACGGATGTTCTCAGCGCGCGCCGCCGTGTCCAGCTCGGAGCGGCTGCGCAGGCGCGGAAAGGCCAAGTCGAGCGAGCTGCGGAGGGGCGACATTTGTGACTGGGTTGCTTGTGATTGCTGCTGTTGCGAAGTGGAAGTGGAGAGGATCGTACTGCTGCCGCCGCCGAGACTGCCCGTCGGCGAGTCGAGCGTGCCGCTTATGCTCACGCTCAGGTTGAGATGCGGTACGCTGCTGTTATTGTTGCTGAGATGCAAGTCTGAGCGACTAGCGTTGGGAATGCTGCTGGCCCCGCTTCCGCTGCCGTGTGCGAGGCGGGAGGTGCCCGAGACGGAACGGCCTGTGTTGATGCGAAGAGAGGGCGGTTTTGAGGCCGCCTGGGTTTCGGGGAAGGAAGGTGTGCGGTGGCCGCTGTTGATCGTGTTGATCGATGAGCGTCGTAGGGTAGATTGTGAGATGGAAGGCGGCGGAGGGGGAGGTTGGGAGTCAGACGGGTGATGAAGGTGAGGATGGTGATGAGTATGAGTGTGAGTGTGAGAGCGGGCGTGGGAGTGGGAGTGGGACTGAGAATAGGTCGTTGTGGCATCGAATTCGTCGTCGTCCTCGTTTTCTGTGATGGTGGGCGAGTGGTCCCTTCCGCTGTGCGTGTTGTTGTTGTCAAACGAGGCAAGTGAATTGGCGTACGACAGAGGAGGGGTTGCTGTGCGCGGAGTCTGAGCAAAAGGATGGACGAAGGCACCGCGCGGACCGCTCCCGGTCGACGCTTGCGATCCAGAACGACCGTGTTGAAACTTTGCTCGGAAGCCGCTCCCCACACTACCTACCACGCCGGCGTCGCCAACTGCCCCATAACCACCCAAAAATCCAAAGCTAACGTCCCTCGCTGTCGGAGCATAAAACTCATTCCCCCCGCTATTTTCCAGCTGCTCGACTGACTGCTCATCCCACCCCCGATCCAAATCCAGCGAGTTCTTCTCCGAGTGCGACAGCTTCTTCAGAATCGGCTTGACCATCTTGCCCTTCGTCTTGGTGATTTTGTTCGACGCCATGCCGGGCATCCCTCAATCTTCTTGCAACGACAACCGGCCTACCAAAAAGGACCAGAACGAAATGAGGAAGTAGTGCGAGCTGTCAGCGCCGAGCGATGGAAAGCCACCCAGCGACGGGACCGTCGGCACTATCGCCGCGTCACGCACGAGACGCGGGGAATCGAGACGGCGGCCACGTCGGGCCTTTTGAAGAGCATTTGGCGGGCTTGCAAAATGGACGGCAGAACTTTTCGTCGTCCCCGATCACGGACGACCACCGACACACAATTGAGACCTTGAGAGTGGACAGGACAAGGCACTTGAGCGAAGCAAGCAAGATCGCAGGCAAAAATCCCAGTCTCCAGCTGCGACCTGCACAGTGTTCCGGTTGCCCTGCATCAACGGGGAACACCGGCCAAAGCAACAATTGTGCGACCGTCCGGTAATTGAGGCAAATGGTTGACGGATTGGCGAACAAAGGGGGACCGTTGGTATGAAGGGGGGATGACGAATGCCGGCAAGCGAAGGTTTGCGCTTTTGCGACAACTTACGGAATCGACACCACACCGAGCGGCCAAGCACAGCCTACATTTACATAGTGATCAGCCTCATTCCCCTCTGTCCAGAACCATCAGCAAGTGTGGGGGAGAGATGAGGGGCCGACAGGGGGCTTGTGGGCTGGGGCTGGGGTTGGGGAGGGGCCGGCGCGGGGCCTGAAGAAGGCGGTCTCGCGCGGCCACTCAGCGGTGAGAGTCTACGTTCGTCCGCCACACACCTGCTATCTGGCTCGCTAGAATGATTGGATGTTGACCGGAATTGGCTGCAGCCCGTGTCATTGGATACAAAAGGAGGAGAACAATGGAATGGCTAATGCAGATAACCACAGCACAGCACGGCCGCAAATCCAAAGTTCTATGAGCATCATTGTCGGCATAACACGGTCATAGCCAGGCAGTAAAGTTTTTTGTTCTCCGCTTCGCGATATGGCCTGAGCTGTCATGGACGACGAGCAGCAAATTTTCTCATTCACACGGACCGCGGAATTCGGGTCTCTGCCGGCGGTCAAGAGCTCTCCCCTGAGCCTCGAAGCCCAGAATCGCGATGATAGCGGCACTAGCCGGATGCAGACAATGAGGGTGGACACCGCGACGCGCCAATATCCACTCCGATAAACCCTTTGCTCCAACAAGCAACGCGAGTGCACACGATATGTTTCACGTTTTTTTCGGCGGAAAAAGACGCTGATCAGATCGTTGAGCAACTTGAGACTGCCGTTATGCAAACGGCCTGACGATTGCTCCCGTGTCTTACTCCGCTGTCTTACTCCGATTCACGTTTCCGGGCGGGCGGTGTAACCTCCAGCAACCGTACGAATGCGCGGCTCGAGACACTGGCCGGAAGCCTCAGCCAAAAGGACGACTCGATGATCTAAGATATGTGCGACAGTCCTGTGAGCCTGGCTGTGAGCGGTAAGTTGTGTATCTCCTGTCCCTCTATGTTGCCCAAGGGGGTCCATTCCTCGTCCGATATTTGGGCCATCCACCACTTGCACATGCGATCCGATCCCACAGCACCTTGTACAGTACACTGTAGGCTGCAAAATATATAGGGAAGATTTAGAACTCAGTAGCAGTTGCTGCGCGCTGGGAAGGCCCAGTACTATCAAAAAATACAGGACCCGCTTTCTCCTGGCGTTTGCAACCTACAACAGTACATATGTACATATCTGGGTGCGCTCTCCGCTACACAGGCCCCGCAATGCCGAGCCGGCCGGCGTGTTTCTGCCTCGGGCGGTCTCCCAGGCGTCCAACGGGTGGGGTTGGATCGCGCTGAGCGGGCGGCGAGGAAGAAGGACCGAAGCCCCGCGTTGGATCCTCCTTCATCCGACTCCCTTATATCCGGTAACCTAGCAACAGAGAAGCACTCGGCACATTTCACAGATATGTGCCCACCAGGAAGGGGAGAACAGAGAAGAAAAATAGATAAGGGTTCCTCGTAGTTTGGCGACCATCCACGGAGGTAGTGTACTCGAGTTTCATACACCGACCACCTCATAATTTCGTTGATGGCGAGCTGCTGTCGCCTGTGCGGGAAAATCCCAGGCGGCCCAGAGTCGGAGCCCGTCCTCATATTTTTGACTTGACCTGCCTCTCCTGTCAATCTGCATTGCTGCATTGCATCCCAAGGCCACAAAATAGGCCGGAGAGATAGCGTAGCTCGAGAGGTTTGCCTGCACTTTGTACAGATAATGCCTTGCCAAATCTCCCCTGCATGCTTCTGTCGATAGCTAATATCCCCGAATACTTCCCCCCATCTGCAGATAGTGCGGGAGATGATAATACTGCCCGGAATCCGCTATTGCAATTGCAACGAAGTTATCCGGAAGCAGTTTTTTTTCCCAGGAGCCCTCCGGTTGGCCCAAGTATATTCATGAAGAAGTCCCTGTTTCCCAACATATTGTAGCTCTTTGATGCCGGGCATATTCCCAAACAGGAACCCGGTCTCGGTCTCGTTTCGTTTTCCATTTCTGTCTTCTCGAGAAAAGAGGCGAAACCATGCCTGCCGTCTCTCGGAATGGCCACCCGGGTCCTCAAAGCTTGGCCATAGGGACGCGGTAGGTTGTGGCTGAAACCACGGCCCGGGCTCATCTCCAGCCGTCTCTCGGCTGTTTGAAGTGCCGGAAGCTCAGCCCGATCTTGACAACGGAGCCGCCCTCCTCGCCCTGTGAACATGGGTCTGTCCTGTCTCTCTTAAGAGGTTTGGAATTTGTGGAGGTCTTTGTGTAGTTAAGGGGTATCGTACCCCGTATCGAAGTCTGGGGTACCTTACTTAGGTCTTATCATTCAACGGGAACAGCCTTACTCAGAGTAGCAGCCTGTCCAACATCGTCATGTTGACAAAAAAGCCCCAGAGCACTCGGAAGCAGAAGATCGACGCTTAAGCAAAGGCCCACAGGGTTGCCGTTATACCAGGGCAGCATCTTAACCGCCGGAGTCGACAACTACAACTGCGGAAAGGGGAGGAAAGAAGGAAAGGACTGCTCCGCATAGCTAGCCGTACTCCCTGCGCCCTTGCTTGCCAACACACATGTAACGGGATTTAGATCTAACGTGTCTCACATCAGAATGTGGAAACGGACGCCAGCACACTTCCAATAAAGGAACGGCGGGGATGTCTGAGGACAACAGCTCCAAGAGGCTTCTGCGATTCGCCGACCGCCATAACTCAAGACCTTAGCGTGTGGATGTAGGAAGATCCCCTGAAGCCTTCGTGGCCAAGACGTTCACCTAACCCTCTGGTTACGATACGTGCTGTGGCGAAATGAATTCGACCCCGCGGCAACTTCACGACCCCGACGGTTCAGGGCGCGATCACAGTCCGGTTGGATCAGCCCGCCTGACCTAGACGTCGATTTGCCACTAGCGACAGCTTCGGGGAAGCGTGCTGGGTGTCCGACGCAGCGGAGTTGGTTGGCTCTGCAGAGCTTACCAGAGTTGGTAGTCAAGCCCTGCTGCTCTTCTGCTGATCCGTATCCGTATGGTAGGACGACTATGAGGCGAGCTCGTCCATATCTCTGTACTCCGCGGTCAGCGGAGCAGCCGCCGTCAGAAACGGGGTCTTTAGCCACGAGGCCCCAGCGGGTTCGCGGCCATTGTCAACGCTGGGCCGCTAAAGGGCTTCCACTCCGCTCTCTAGGCTCGGAGACGGTAAATCTTCATGTACCTCGAATGTTCCCCCACACATCCTCGGACCCCTCATTCTTGCGGGTGATCGCCTTCCTATCCGGTGCCGGGGGCCGTCGAGGCGGGCCTAGAACTGCGGAGCGCGGGGTATCCTTCTCGAAAGAACAGCTAGTTGCCGTAGGGGAGGGGAAAGCCAAATGTGGCGATGGTTATTCCGCTGCAGTTGAAAGACTGGTGATCAGAGGAGCCATGCAACGGTGCCGACCAGCAGTCCGGCTTCAGTTGGGGATGCTGGAGGGGTTCAAAGCGTGTATGATATGCTCGCCAACCAGAGAACAATGCACACATCTATCGCAGACACGACGGTTCGCGTGACAGCTGAGATGACCGGGGAACTCTGTCGAAGGACCATCTCCATGAGGTAACTGTACCTCCGGGAGGGCAAAGATCCACCATTTCTTCGTCATGCCCCAGACCCAGTCAACCCTGTACTTAGAAGTGGCACTCGCCACGGTCAAATGAAACTGCTCGCCATATCACAGCCCGTTTCCAGTCCAGTTGCTCAACAACAATATGCTGTGACTTTAAGCAAGCTCGCGGCTATGCTACCACCAATCGCCACAGCGCCACTAGCGACTGCTCGGAGTGCGTATCCATTCTCGGAACTTGTGCATCCTGGGTCAACTAGAGACGATCCAGCCAAAGACGCAAGTATTGCCTCCAGAGCCTCCTAAGAAGGAGACATGTTGTAAGGGCAAATCAAAGTCTTGGGTCTCACAACCTGCTGATTTGGCCGCGACTTGGGCGAGGAGTCTTGAGAACTCCGCGGCATGACGGATAGCTCGCTTGACAGCTGGTCGTCAGTCAGGCCGTGGTAGCTCTGCCAGCATGTTGAAGTCGTCCAAGCAACATCGACCAAGGGCTCTCTGCCAGTCGCCTCCCGCAGACATGGAGCTGTGTCGTGGTCTCCCGTACAGCAGACGGTCCGGTATTCCAGGGCATGGGGGGCAGGAATTTCCCTAGATCTTGCTCGGACGGCGAATCCTATCGTCCTGCTGCACTTAAAGACAGGATTTGTTGGCCTAACCCCTGCGTGCTTGCATCAGAGGGGCCAACAACGCACAGCATTGTAACAATGCAACCAAGCTCTAGGGCATGCGGGACAAATGTGCCATGAAGAAGATTGCTCGAGGCAAGGGGGACAAAAAAATTTCAATACCCCTGTTCACCGGCCCTTTGTGTAGAGCGATCCATGGAAACGCCGGTTCGGCTCGGGCTCCTCTCGATTTCGGCGACAGTTTATCCAAAAACATAGTGCCAGCGGAGGAAGGTTCTGCTGCGGACATGCGGATCATACAGATCGTCCGCATCGACCGGAATGGCCTTCCTGCATCCCCGAAGCATGCGCTCCCGCGCGATCCACTCCTAGACATGATCTTGGCCCGCGGGTTGGGTTCCATTTTAGCAAACCGTTTGCTGGCTGAAGCTCCGTGATCTTCAATATGCACTGGCGAAACAGTCGCCCAGACGACTGAGATGGGAATAGAACCTGCCCGCGTCAGCCCTAGAAGCCCGTCTAGGCGAATGACGCCACTGGACCCTTGGGACGATGCCGATAGTGTCGCGCGGAGAAGCACTGCCGGATGCGGATATGTAGTATAGTTGCCTAGACGTATTGTATTGTACAAAAGTGTATGCGAGTTTCATTGCGAGGAGCTACACCTTGGGCCAGGTGAATAGGGCGTGGCAGCCGGCGGCACGTTCTGCAGTTTCAATATTTAGCCCATAAAATCTGATGACGAGCGAGTTCAGAAGGTGATAATGACGTTCTCGCCAGCGTCCGTTAGAGCTCGGTACCGTGATGCCGACAAGTTTGGCGCCACCCAGCTCCAGAAGCGGTCCGCAACACCATTCTAGGTACTGTACATAGCCTGACCTGGCGATGGCCTCGCCGCCTCGGTCGAATCCTGATGAAGCAGGTTCCGGGTCTCGTCAATTCAACTGCCGTGGCCGGCTCGTGGGATTTGGAACTGCACGCTCGGCGGGGGCCATGATATGACTGCCAGCAAACAAACAGCGTCCGAGACACAGAATTTCGACGATAGACCATAACGTTAGCAGTATTGCGACGGTAGTGGGCCAACGATCAGACAGCAACCGCTGTGTGTGATGGCGCACCCCGAAAGATTGGGCTAAGCTCCAAGGTCTGACATTTTGACTTGACTGTCGCCTAGACTTTCCACGATTCTTGCGAGGAGCGACAGACCGAGGGCAATGAACGGCTGGCTTGGATTTGCACTGGCCCTGCAGAAATCGAGTCGGATGGCGATTTGTCGGTCACGACATCGACAAGGCCCTTTGGAGTTTGGAGACAGGGATATAGCTACAATCGCTCAGATTTTTGCCCAAGACAATCTCACGATGGTTTCAGTGTTTATGTCCATTGACTAACCCGGGTGTTGGCGTTTGCTTCAAGTTCCCACTTCAACTCTGATGAGTTGCCGGTAAAAAGGAAGGAGCTCGAGCACGTGCCTTAGCAATCACAGTCGTGAAAAAAACATCGAGACACAGTTAGTACTGTAAGCAATTGGGTAACTTACATCATTGTATGTAAGATACATACAATACGTGAATGCTTGTGTAGTGCGAAGTACAGAGTAACACTAATGATTATCTGATTCTGGCAAGATCAACTTCATGGTTTCTCAACCTGTACGGCCATGTTTATGATTACAGCCCGTTGCTCCGGGGAACTGCTGGTGCTGTTTTCGATACACCTCAGTCCTGTACGATAGCGACAGGTACTCTGATGAAGAGCCTGGCTCTGACAAAAAGACAGGTACTGTGTAATGGAGCCAAATGTTAGGTGCCCCACCTGGGCTGGCGGCAGGATGCAACTTAGCCCTTGACGATCGCGGTCTTATCCGAAGCCGTCACGATTGAGCAACAAGCACTCCACTTAACGTTCAGTGAGGATGCTCTTGCTTGTCGTTCAAGACCGTGCAGAATACCGCTGACAGTTTGAGACATGGTTCAAGTTGTGCCGCAGCCAGCCATACATGTACTCCGTATTGTACTGTACTGTACTGTACTTGTATGTACTGTACTGCACGTACATCCAGGTACAGAGGAACCTTACGTTGGCTTCGAAGCGAGCCTCCGGTGCGGCATTTCATTCAGTTACGTACGCTCTATACGTATAGAGGTAAACGATTTCATGTAGATTATGTTCCATAAGTCCAACGCTTACGAAGTACTCCGTACAGCAGCCTGGAAACCACGGAGGTACTGTACAATACATAAATATGTAAGGTATTGTATGTAATGAATCTCCTTTTCTCAACAAACCAACCTGGAAAACTGTTGCCAGAGACTTGTCTGATCCTTCGCTGGTCTCGGCTGGTCTACTCCTCACCTCAGCCGATGGCAGGGTCGGCTGGGCTAGCCGAAAATATGGCCCGAGTCAACATTATCCCCGGAGCCCACGGTGTGCCGGGTTTCGGCCTGCCGTTAACATTTGTGAGATCCTCGATCTCAGGTACAGTGTACCTACTGCAGGAAGAGGTGGGTTTTGGTGATTCACTTCAACAATCCTCAAGCCCCGAGCCGTCTTGTCCAGGTAGAGCAACGGCGTGGGCGGCGCTCTTACGATACTTCATGCATATGGCTATTTCACATTCCTCTGGCTCGGCAGCGGTTCGCTGGGATGAACACACAAATGCTGCTGAATGAGAACTAACTTATGCGATTGCACTGTTGTTGTATTGGTCATTGCGAGCGCAGACCGGCCGTGGGGTATTAGCGCATCACAGTCTGTGTCGTGCGGCGAGGTCCTTCGCGTCCGTTAGCAGTCCCAGCATGCCAAGAGACGAGCCAATCTTGACGTTCCTGGCACACCGAAGTCTTGCAGGTCCCTTGCAATCTCACAAAACCTTCATCTAACGATCCTGCCCGCGGACAAAGTCACAAAACGACTTGCTCCCTCACAGTTAGGTGGGTCAAACCACTCTCATATTTAAAACGGGTAGAGATCCCGTACAAGGCCCGATTAGTCGATATGCCCGGGCGGGAACCACGCTGAGCCCCTCAGGGGCCTTTTCTGGTTCATGGTGTTGATGGTCTTTGAAGCAGTCTGAGCGGCCGTCTTGCGCTATATTGTGCGGGTATGTACTTGATGTACAATACTAAGCCGGGGCCCAAAGTTGACGGTTCAGACTCCAGACACAGCATCCTAGGTGCTGTACGAAGTTCTCCCTATCAGGGAGTTATTGGTCCATGGTATGGATGGCTTCCCAGCCGTTAACGTAGCAGCAGTTAACAGAGCCCCAAGCTTCCATGCACTCTTCAAATGGGCTCGGCCGGATATGCCCGTTCGCAGTCCATGGATTGCTTTGGTAGTCTCAGCCCACAGAATGGCTGCCCTTCAGTAATTACCTTGAGCGCAATTCCATCTTCTGAAAACGTTTGTTCCTTCCGTGGACCCAACCCGAGGCGGGATTGTGCCGAAAAAGGGGTGGGCACTCTCTTCCGTTCAAGCTTACCGGGGACCCTGGACAGGGATGCGCGAAAGCCACGTCGAGCGGGAAGGCTTTCCTTTTCCTTGAGCGATTGCCATTCTTACAATTCAGCCCGAATCGTACGGAGGTAGTTCAAGTACGGAAAGCAGCTCCAATTGCTGGGGTACACATCGCATCGAGCACAGTGACGGTAATGTACTGTCCAATACCTACGGTAAGTTAAGGTACTTTTAGGACTAGGACTGGCTGACAACCTAGTAAGGAAGGTACGAACATTACCCCAGTATTGTTGCGCAGCTGTTGTCAGCAGGGCCGTTGAGGTGGTGCCAAGAAGCCCCAAAATTCCACTAAATCGGCCCCAACACCGATCTCCGCATCTTGTGAGCCGCGATCCCGTCCGATGGCGATTGTGTCGTGTCCACTCGTGAGATGTCTACGCGCAGTCATTAGCGCAGCGAATTCCACTGCTGGCTAGCGAGAGGCTGGCGACAAACCAATTACCTAGCCAGGACTGGTTTCCATGTGATAGCTCTTGTTGGGCGCTGCCAGCAGGCAGTACGCGGGAAAACGATTGCTAAGGAAATCTGCAAGCACACGCACAATGGGTCGCCGGCAGAGATCTAGGCCGTCATCAGAGACGGCCTGGATGTGGGAGACTCATGGAGCATAGGCTAGGCGTGATTTCCGCCTCAAGAACGCCTTCCTGAATGTTTTCAAGTTGCTTGCTGGGTGCTGTACTTCGAGGTACATACATAGGAATAGTGGCTAAGGTAGCTCACCTAAGGTACAGTACTGTACTGTATTGTACATACATACAGTACCTGCTTGAGTGACTGTGGTAATCGTGATGGTGGACCCTAACATGACTCCGCAATCCAACTTAAACCTCATTCACTCGGCGATTTGGTGGGGTGGTGGTGCAATGCCTCTCCAGCTGCAGCTCTACTTCGTATGTATAAGGTATTCAGTCTACAGTAGGCACAGTACATACCGGTGTTTGCCTCGGGTAGACATGATCGAATTCACGTTTCCTCGCTATATACCTATGCATACCGTACGATAGGTATCTACGATGGCGCTGGAGGCGTGCCTCGACGGGAGACCATAGAAGTCGTGACAAACTTTCCATGCGGGAAGTAGCATAGCTCCTTCGAGACAGGCTGCTTCGAAATCGCGAGAGCCAAGATGGACATGGACTGTCGAAAAGCGCATGCAAAGAAGAAACCAAGAAACGGATATAAAAATGAGAAGATTAAACTGCAGCTTGTGGGCATTTTGCCGCACGCACCCCTCCCTCCCAAACGGCTCTAATTCGCCTTGGCAAGCCTCTGGTTTAGGCACACCCCCCTATACAATCCCGATTCGACGTCGAATCGAGCAAAAACTGTTGCATCAATTCAGCGACCAATGCTTGAAGGATGCTACATACCTTAGTTGTATGCGTGAACATGGGCATGGTCTACTGCGTGAGTACATACATACCCGCACTTGCCCTAACCACCCGCTTCTCGCCTGTCATCTAACGTTTTCCCTTCTTGTGTATGCTCGACGAAGGTACTGGAACGTACCTATCCAGCACACCTAAACAAAGATACGAAGGGAAAGCAAGAGACACACTAACTAGCGGAGCAGTGTTGATGGACTGGGGCGCGGCTCGGGCTGTACATGCACCAGTACGACTGCATCCTTCAAGATTGCCTCTACACATTCGGCCGGCTATGTATGGGGTACAACATGCACGGAAGGGAACGAAGAAACGTCTGTACCCGCAAAGTCTTGCGGCCGACGTCTTGTACTTTGCTTGTCTCATCTTCCCCCAAGCAGAACTGTACCTTTTCTGCTACCAAGGTGGTAGCTGCCATGCACCGTACCTACCTGAGTACATAAGTCAGGTAGATACGTCTCTTTTCGTTCCACGAGCCTACTATATATCTCGGCCCTCCCTCCCCGAGTCTGGACCCTGAGGATATCTCTGCGGTCCCCCGATTTCTCTCTTTATTTTTCGTATTCTTCTTTCCGTCATTGTTATCTTGAGGCCAATCGGTCCTTGCAATGGCTTTGTTTCCTTGACGTGCTAGTCGTCTGGTTTTCGTCACTCCTCCCTGGTGCTAGCTCGCCGGCGGCCAAACGCCCTCGCCGTCGTGCCGGGCAGAGGTAGCCTGTATCGGTCGTTCTTGCTTGATTTCAGCCTTTGCTATTATCTAAGCCAGAAACTCCACGCTCTTCCCTCCGTCCCTCCCTCCGTCCCTCCGCGCTACAGGGAGCAAGGAGCCCACGCTTACGGTAACTCCTGTCTCTCGGAGGCGTCCGATGCACGAGCGCCCTGCCGTCAAAATTCATCCGCCGAACTGGCTCTCCTCCCATCCGCGACCCCCTTAACCGGCCCACGTCAGCCGTTATTCCTATGCCACGGCCGTGCCCTCTCTTGGTTTCCATATCCGCCGCTCTCGCTCCCCGCTTGTCGTCCGACCCAGCTTTTCTTTTGGCTGGTAATTGGGGCCTTTCGGTCAACTCAGCATGTCTGGGTTGGTAGATGTGCTGATTCCGAGGCTGGACTTTCTCTGGTCTGCACGGTTTTGGTATATTCTGCACATTATCACCTGGTATGGCTCTCAACGGCGATGGCGTGCCTGCCCTTGTTTGCCGCGTGTCTCTGCTCTCAATGGTCACCACCTGACTTGCCAGGATTGGGCTAACTGTATATCTAGGCTTTGGCGCTACGTGCGACTGATCGTTCACTGCTACAGCCACTGGACATACAAGTCCAAGGTGCCAAACTGGGAGAAACCAAAGTACACCTCGGAGGATGTCACAGTGGTTATACCCACCATTCACAACAGGCCGGAGGAGCTGCGGCCCTCGCTAGAGAGCATTCTGGCCTGCAAACCGGCGAAGCTGGTACTGGTGACCACGTGGAATAAACACGAGGCGCTGAGGCGGGTGGCTGCGACGCTGCGTGGACCGGCATGCCCTCCTCCAACCGAAATTGACGTTCTGCACGTGGACAAAGCAAACAAGCGCCTGCAGCTCTGCAAGGCGCTCGAAGACGACCACGTGAAGACGGCCATAACCGTAATGGCCGACGATGACGTGGAGTGGCCGTCGACGCTAATGCCGTGGCTGCTCGCCCCGTTCGAAGACGATAAGATCGGCGGAGTCGGGACTTGCCAAAGGGTGAAGCGCGTGGACGGAGGCGTCGTGACTCGCATCTTCAACTGGCTCGGTGCCGCCTACATCGAACGGCGGAATTTTGAGATCTCAGCCACCCACAACATCGACGGTGGAACATCGTGCATGTCTGGTCGCACTGGCGCCTACCGGACCGAGATCCTCAAGAGCTACAACTTCTTGGGGAGTTTCAAGAACGAGAAATGGGGTCGGTACATACTCAATGCCGACGACGACAACTTTGTGACGCGGTGGCTGGTGGCCCATCAGTGGAAGACATGGATTCAGTACGAGCCCGAGTGCGAGATTGAGACAACTCTGGAAAACAGCATAAAGTTCCTCTACCAATGCTCACGCTGGGCGAGGAGCAACTGGAGGAGCAACTGGACTAGTCTTGTGCACGACAGATATGTGTGGACGTATGCCAGCCCCTTTCTCGCGGCCCCCCCCCCCCCATTTCTATGAGTCCGGACCATTTACTTACAGTACTCTCAATGACAGACAACAGCCCTGGTGCACTTATGCACTGCACTTGACCACGTTTACGTCGCTGGCCTTCGTGGTCGACCCCCTCCTGCTCTGCTCATGCTGGTGGGGTACGGAAAACTGGGAGTTCAGGAGCCGCTACTTTTTGCTCACGGCCGAGATTATATTCATGTTTGGTTTTACCAAAGTAGTCAAACTGCTTGGACTCTTTCGCAAAAATCCGAGTGACCTCGTGTTCTTGCCGGTATCCATCCTGTTTGGTTATTTTCACGGCTTGATCAAGCTCTATGCCTTCTTCACGCTTAAAGAGGTACATTAATGAGTGCCCCAATTCCGCCTGCCCGACTTCAATATGGGAGTGCATTTTTTTTTAGTTTTCTAACCAGCTGGCAGACATCATGGGGAAGCCGAGAAGACGGCGACGTGCACAACACGTTTCGGCTGCAGGAGAAGCCTCCTCCCAGTCAGAGCTTGACGACACCATCTGGACCAGAGCTTCCTAACTCGATACGCCGGTCTCGCTCAACACAGGCCCAGCGTCTTGTCGTGTCGCCCGAGAAACAAAAGTTCAGTGGGTGTGCGGTTGCCGTGGATGTTCTTCGGCTCACGACACCTGAGGGGCCACGTACAGCAAGCTGACTGCCTGAGATTTATATTGTCATGTCATGGTAGAGTGGCCATGAAAGAGGAGGAAACAACGGTCACGAAGTGCAACGAAGGTTACGACTAACGCGGAACGGTGTGAATTTCCTTGCGGCATTTCCACGGACCGGACGCTACAGGGGCGGAGGTAAACAGAACTCTGCCTGCTTGGGAAGACATCTAGGGTAATCAGATGGCACCTCTCTTCCCTTATTATCACCCTAAAGGACACTGAATTGGAGGCATCCAGGGGCTTGGCCAGGTATTTTCTTGGTTTCTTCCTGCGTTCAACTCCGTCACGAAGGGATCGGCTGTCTCACCAAAGGAGACAACAATATCAAATCGTAATGCTATTGACCAATTTACGGTGGGGGTACAAAAAATGAAGATAAAGACCAGGGCTCGACATTGATGTTGGGATAGACTGGGTTTGGATCTCGAAAAAAAGTAAGGCAGGGAAAAAAAAGGTTAACGGAAAGGTGCGTTCGTGGACAGAAAGTGACAGGACGGTTAGGAGGCGTTGCAGTACAAGTACATAGATTCAGGTCGCTCCGTTAGAAACAGCCATACAGAGATAGACTGACGGCAATATAACTAAGGTACCATCTTCCTAGCCACGGACGTCAATGGACGGCTTGGACCTGGAAGTTAGCGGCATCGGCCGATCGTCGACAATGCGGTCAACTGACCAATCAGGAACAGGAAGACATCCAAATCGGGCTATAATGTGGAAGCGGGCGCCGATCCTTTCCGCTAGCGGGTAGCACAGCAGACGAATGCACGCCATCGTGCGTTTGTAAAGGGCTGCAAGATGCTGTGTATCGGATCTGGTTTTTGGTCAGCGAGGATGGATGGCCTCAGGTGACACAGCATTTTTTTCACGAGCCAAGTCTACACTAAAGTTACCTACAAAACAAGGTTATAATTCAGCATAGCCATAACGCACAAACATCCGCGACCTATCCATTGCCCGGCGCAGACATTGCAGAAAGAGAAGGTGAGCAACTATGTCGGGTGGGAAGGTACTTAAGACCCCTCGAGAACCTAGGCACACACATGCACTTACTGGCAGCAGTTAGTGGCAGCTGCGAGTATGTCATGGAACCTAACCCGTTGCTTCCGTCCTCCTGAGAGGTCAGGACTCCGAAACGTTGCGTGCTATGTAGCTCTCCACGTTGGGGCTTTGTTATTTCAGACCATCCACCAAACTCTGAAGCCAGCCCTTCATCAACATCCCAGAGCGGATGACATTGTTTCAGCTCCATTTTGCACAGAATCTGTTTCTATGTAAAATAATCTAAGGCCGTGAATCACGCTAGAGACATCTCAATACGAAGTACCTAGGTACCTTATGCAGTTGGAACCCAGAAGCACTTTTTAGAACTCATTGCTCGGCCAGTCCGTGCAATTTCAGAAGTATCGAGGATGTAATATGCTAATGCGATTGGTCACCCGCCCGCATGAGAGGATGGAGGAGGAAGCCTACAGGTCCACATCGGGCAGTTGTGACCTGGTGGCCTTTTCCGGGAGCACAAGATACCAGGTAACAGTTGCACTTGCCATCTCCGAGGTCAACCACCTCATTGTAGGCCGCCAAGCAAGCGAAGAATGTCACTTTTTCTCCTGCCTGCACGCGTATTCCAGCCATAGCCTACCTGGGTAATTACAACCACTCCAGTTAGATCGGGCGCATAGCGAGGCATCTCAGCGTTGAGGATAAGCTCCAAGGTCTTTTGTCGATCAAACGCTCAAATCGCCGGCTCACACAACGTAATTAGTTACCCTGGCGGGTACGGTACGCGAGAAATGCCCGGATCAACAGACGCTGGTCTCGAGAAGAGCAACCCTCTCATGCTCGCGCCTCCAATACTCACCCTACTGCAACCTAAAGACCTGGACATGGCCAGCCATGTAGGCTGGAACTTCTACATCAATTTCAAGTTACCGTTGCCCTGGCATTTGCGGTATGCGCTTCAGGTAGCAGCCCACTCTACAGTAGGTTGGTTCACCAGTTTGAAGAGTCTGCAGGATCAACTGCAACCAAACCGTTTCCTTTCTCCTCTTTTTGGTATTTCCCCCGAGATCCTCCTACAATCACAACTCGGCTTGCTCGGGTAAAAGGGTGTGGGGGAGAAAAGCTAAGGTACCTTACCTATCTTAGCTTCGCCAAACATAAGTACAGTACCTACTGGGCCACTGGTATTTGCAAAGGCCAAGCTGGCACCGACTGGCACGCATCAGTTTCATAAAAGAACTGTGCTGCTGATACATTTCATTTCGGTTGATTAGGTGTGTATGGTTTAGTTCGAGTTTAGTTATGTTTTCTTACTTCCCAGCGCACCTCGCTCATCCCACGCTGACTTTAAAGCTCGAACAGGCCAGCGACGGGACTGCTGAAACTGCGTGTGCAATGACGCCTACCATTACCAGAAACCTCACAAGGGCACGCGACGCCGACAACCCAGCTCCAGTGTAGCCATGATACCACGATTTACGGGCGATACGCTAAGCACGCATGGTCATCTGTTGAAAAGACTCGTTCAACCAGAATCGTTCATCTGCATCGCTCTAAAGCCACTAACGCTTATTAGAGTCGCACATAGCCCAACCAGCCCCTCCTCCAAGAACCAGGCTTCCTGATCCGCCCCTGGAGGGTGCGTCCGGCGGAGGGTACTGTACATACATACAGTTCAACCTTTGTTTGTTTGTTAGCGCGGAACTTGCCCCATTTTTTCCACCCAACCACAACCCAGAGATACAGGAACTTTGGCCAATCGAACCACGCGCATCTGGCCCACGAATCCTTTCCGGGCTTACATAACCTTCGACTTTTCCACCCTGGATCTTCAACCTGGACCTCACTTTTCCCTTTTCTTATCTAGATCCACCGCATGTACCACGCTAACGAACAAAAAAGGGGGACTGTACATACAGATCCTGCACCCCTCCTCCCACCGCGCGCATGCACACCCCTCTATGAGAGCCGCCGCGCTTAACCCCTTCCTCTCGGACCTGCGTCTGCTTGCCCTGCAGGACTGTGAGATGGTGGGGTGCCGCTCTTGCGTTTAATGTATGGGTGTACTGTACTGTACCTCTACTCTACGGATACTCTGTTGGACGGCCATCCCGCAGTCTGTCAAGCTAGAGCTGCAGCCTGCGCCCTTGATGGCAAAACAAGGGCGGCTGATGGAGCACCAATCAACCCTTCTGTTCACGATTGATGCGTCAGTTGTCGAACCATCGGATGCGGTTTGACATGAAATCATGCTTTGCCAGCTCCCGTCCGTGGTGTCTCGAACTCAACAACGAATTAGGATACCTACTACCCAGCATTGGAGCATATGACTCGCGCCTGTGCCACAGCCTAGCGTGCCACAACGCGCTAGTAGATGGTGGGATCGATCGGACACGCACATGGGCTCACGGTCAGCATCCAGCAGCGGACCACTCAGGTCTCGTCACCTCCTGGGTGACAGACGTGGGGCATGGTGACGGGACGGTGGGTTGGTGAGATGAGGGGGAAGAGGAGCGAAGACCTGAGTGTGAGGAGGTGTACTATATGGTGCGGAGAAGATGCCACATATCGTGTTAGCGGTTCAGACGCGCACGTACCAGGCAAGTCACTGACAACTAGAAGTACAATACCAGCACAGTTATCCCGAGCGGGATAGAGATATCTAGAGAGAATCAGCCCATCCTTGCTTGGGAAAAAGCGGCAAAGCCAGAGCAGACGGAACCTTCACAGCCTCGGATGCCCGTCTTTCCCTCCCCAAGTTCATAGTTTGCTCTGTCGCCATGAAGCAAGCATTGTATATACATGGACGGGCAGGCCGGATGTGGCACCCGAAGGTCCAGGACATCAGGCCAATATGCGCACACGCGCCGATGACACCTTGCCCACCATAGGGAAACTGCCTTTCCGATGCAGGGCCTCCCGCGATAGAGCCATCGTCACGCAGGCGGATGCACGCCCACGCTTGCCATGACGCGGTTACATCAAAATGGTTTACGGCAGTTGGTGGGGGTTTGAAGAGGACACATTGGACTGTCAACCCTCCGGCAGCTTGACGTTGCCGTGGAAGGCTAACGCAAGACAGACCGGCGGCGTTGCAGCCGCCTTGATGCGGGCGGCGGGCAGAAAAAGAAAAGAAAAGAAATCGGAAGCGGCAACGACGCGGCTCGGTTGCGTCATGCAGTGCCGAAACATTTGTGGCTGCGGCTTGCCGAAGTCGGCATTGGCAACAGAAACCCCCGAGCCCGGCATACAGTACGGCATAGGGGAAGTGGACCGACTGCTGTAGTATGTCCACACCAGCCGCCTAACCGGCTCCGAATCCAAGGCCGCTATTCAGTTCGATGTGGTTACACGGAAACCGAGGATGACGAGGCAAGTTGTGGAATGAGTGTCCCCGATTTCGATGCGCATGCAGACAACCCGAAAAGGGTCCTCTGTCTCGGGCGGTGGTGACCCGGATTGCATCATCACTACATCCACTACCTCGCCGCTGAGTCGCTACAGTAAGCGTACCGTAAGGGGTGAGAAGAGTGAACATCATATATACAAACGAAGGAAACCACGAAGCCCGAAACATTGCGTCCGGCTGGTGAGACGTCCGACTGGCGAGAGTTCGTTGGGACAGTGGCGTTCTCTCAACATCAACCATCTGCGCCTAGGGCACACAGCTTCGCGAAGTAGTCGTCAGAGCCTCCGGCAAAATGGCGATCCAATTGCGTCTCGAAGGGAGCCGTTCTGCCGCTCCGCTCATCGGGCGGCTGACGCCTCAATCCCTCTGTGAAAGAAGCTTTGCTTCTGGAATTTCCTGATCGACGGTTGCCGCGCCGTAGAGCAGAATAACGGAATACATAAGTGTACGTACTTAAGTGTTACACGTAGAACTTGATCTTCAACAAAACCCGGGCCGGAGAGCATTGCGATGGTGAGAAGGCCCGGTTAATCACATACCGGGATGCCAAGGCCGGCCCCAAGCCTAGACCTGGTCATTCCGGTGGAAGTCCAGCAACCGCAGGTAACTAACGTTATGATGAAGGCTGTCACTTACACTAGTTCGACTACTCAAGCATTATGGTTAGGGGCCTTATTTGTTGCGCGCAGAATTCCATTCTGGTGGGAGGGCACCTCCGACATGTGCCATCTCACAAAAAGCAGGACAAAAGTTGATATCGGGAACAGGACGTGAAGCGCCAGGTCGTATAATACCGCGAGCCATCTGTGGATGTGTATGAAATTTACATTACATGTATGTACTGTACAGTACATACTTTCCGCCGTCACCACCTCAATAACTTCTTCGCTTTGGAACACAAATCCGAGCAGAATCTGGAGTGTGCTAATGAAGTGTAAGAAGGTAGAAGGCGACAAGTATGATTTCGCTTTCTATGTAAACTCAACCAAGCTCGAAAGTTGTAGAAAACTTCCCCTTTGGCTTGCAGAATGACGGGGCGTCAAGTGCGCGAGGTGGTGCATGGGTGGAAACCCTGAACATCGTCGGCGACTTAGCCCGGGTTTCCGCCCGGCATCTATCCGTACACTACGAAGTACGTAATTAGCAGTTAGCACTGGAGGCGTGCCTCCATCAGCTAATTGCCTGCAAATAGAAGTTTGAGAGTTAGGATGAAATTCTCCGGATTTACACACTAGTTACCTACCGGTAGTACTTCCAGAGGGACTGACGCAGCGTCCTAGCTGAAATCACTGAAGCCTTATTTTGTACAGTATATTGTGAGAGAGCAGTTATGCCAAGGTATACAGAATTACCAAGGTAAGAACATAGCAATGTACCTACCCTATCTACCTTACTATACCCTTTACTAACTCAGGTTTCTTAGGTACCTTATGTACTGTATGTATAGACAGTACAAAACCAACTTGTATTTCTCTATGGGGAGGCCGATTCGTCACGATACTTACTGTCTCTCAGAGCGCCTACGCAGGCGGGCCAGGTTGGTCTGTCTTTGAACGTCTCGTCTTGGCCGGGGTTGTTTGTCATCGAGAATGTGGGATGAACACGAGGAAGAATCTAGACCACATTCAGGTTTGCTCCAGCTTATCCTCTGCAATACTGCTTCCCAACGAAATGCGTACAAAGCTCAGATCATAAATAGCAGTACATAAGGAGTACGCCTCTGCTCCTGCCACCTGTATTCATACCTACATGCAGTAACTTCGCAGCATGCAAAGCTGCACTCTCACAATCTCGTATTTTTCCGCGGGAACGGGACTGTTTGTTGGCATCGCTTGAATTTGAGCGCGCGGGATGCAGCAGCATCTTGGTTCGAGACGCCGATGCCGATGCTTTGCATGGTGTATACATTATGTACACATAGTGGGTGGGTAACCTCTAACGGTAAAGTAATACGAGCCGAGCCAAGTAGTTTAGGTTATTGTAGCTCAAGGTTGGCTGCATCGAGTCGACTGCAGCCCGCCAAATGCGGAACTGGGTTCATGAAGGACATACATATGTGACATACATTAGTGCTTGTAGTTGTCTCTCTCTTAGCCGCAGCCTGGGGTCGATCTAACGTACCCCCCCTTTTTGAAGATACGGTGGTGTAGTGTCGTACCGTTGAGCGGATGCCCAGTCGACATTCCGCTTGCTATCCCGTCGGCTAACCTTATGTAGATCATGGCACGATCTCGCGGATCCTTGCTAATGTAGCAGTTCGAGATGCACTCGTTACATTTGATCTACAATGAGCTAACCGACCAGTCCTCCCTTCGTTCCCATTTTTCGGGAATTATCGGAGTGTAACCTTGTGATGTTCACGCTAGAAACGCTGGAGTCTTGGACATGCAGCGACGGACTCAAAGACGGAGTGCTAACGTTGACCTCTTAGATTGAACCTACTGTGTAGGCATTGCGCCTACCTGTCAACGTACATAACGTTAGAGACAATAAAGATCAATTAACGGTGCCTTGTATTAATCTGGATGTAGATTGGATATGAAAGAACAATTAAAGTGCGGCAAATACATACACCCCAAGTATATTCACATGTCCTCTAGCCGGTCATATTGCACGTGCCTGGTATTCACAGTTCTCCGACTGCTTCTCGCTACACTACTACAGTAGTAATTATTTTGTTCTTGCAAATAGAGGTGAGAGACAGACGATTACCTAGGTAAGGTATGTTATGTAGTACCAAACCTCAGGAACCAACCCCACAGAACCAGTCTGGATCCCGTACCCGACTACCCACTGCGAAACACTTTGAAACACACAGGTCCGGTGAGAAAAACCCAACCTCCGAGTACTTTGGGTCATACACACTTTTGGTGCTGTGCCCCAAAGTTGTAGCCAAGACCCGGCTGATCAGGACGCTGTTCGGTGGCCCCTGAGCCCCCACCCCATGGGTCAGCGCACATGGCGTAAATGTCCTGCCACCATCTCTCCGTGTAAAAGGGGCGCTGCCTCGAGGACAGCAACCCGACTTGACTCCTTGGCACCGTGTGGTATTAGGAGGTGACAGATTTGCTTTTGGGGGCAGTTTCTTGAGTAGACCGTCTGGCGAAAATCCGTAGCAGAGCAGAGGACGATGACAGATGGCACTTTTTCGTCCCAACTGCAAACCAGTGACCGCCAGGGGTTCCGTTCTCTCATGGTTCCCTCAAACAGGCCCATCTAGGTTGCAAATCCGCAGGATCCTGGAATCGGGTAGGTGCCAGCCCGGTGTACTGGTAGAATAGCCGGGCTCAGATAAGGTCCGCTCCGAGATACAGACGCCAAGCAGTCACCTGAGCCACTCTCCAAGCGTCTTATGCCTAACTGCCGCTGCCGGGTTCCGCGATTGGTGCTTGCGTGTCAGATGTCCATGGGCTCCCATGTCTCTAGCTGCCCCTGTCCAGCGGCCCGGCCCTCTGTGCAGGGTGTGCGACACAAACCAAGGCACAGAGGAGGCGGTAATATGGGTTTTGTACAGCTGTGGTGCCGACATACCCGGAGGGTGGGCTGACATAGTCTGTCCCTTGGCTGCTGGCAGCTGTTGTGCTCCCGGCGCAGTGAGTCCGGCGTTGATGGAAAGCTCGGTAAGTGTACGGTTTCTGTTTTGGGCAGCCAGTAGGAAGCAATTCTGGCGACATGACAGATAATTCACCTCCTTGGGCTTGGGCTAGGACGAGAGAAACGTGTCGTCTTGCTTGCCGTGTGGCACGTGCCGCTACCTAATCATCTGAAGGGGGGAGGGGGCCACCATTCACTTCGGGAAGAGGAGTTGAGACAACCCTGCTGGTAGCTTGCCCCGAGTACGGGGCGGTTAAGAATATATCTTAACCCCCTCTCGCATCCACGTCCAACGTTTTTCCATCCTCCACATCCACGTGGGGGGTGGTGGCCGTGCTTCCACCCGCGGTGCTGCACAACTCGGCATCCCTTTCGGCCTCCAGTCCTTTGACAAACCCCACAATCTGCAGCGCCGCCTCAAAGACCGAAACTGATGTCACGTCCACCGTCAGCGACCCAGCCGCACGCGCGGGCGCCGCCAGTCCAATCCCTCCCTCTCGCCGCCCAAGCACCCAACCGCTTCCTCCAACGGCAGCAACTCCCTCCGCCGCAGGGAGACCGGAGGGCAAACTAGGGCTCGTCGGCATCACCTCCTGCTCCATCGGTCCGGCACTAGACGTCCCTGGCATGGAAGCCTCCGGAAGCCGAACAACCGGCTCACTCCCCCGCCTCGCTCCAAACCCACAGCCGTACCGGCACCCGTACCTATTCCCATACGCAGCCAAGGCCTGGTCTACAGTATGGCCAATGGAACCGGTAACAACGGTCTGCCTGCGCTGAATAGAGTTCACGCCGTGCTCATGGCGCTCGCCGCTCAGCACGACGAACACAAACAGACGCCCCGCGCGCTCCGCTGCCGTCTCAAACGTGCGTAGCGTTGCACGGCCCGTGGGCGTGTCCGGACAGCAGGCTGCCAGGACTGCGGTGCGCGCGGCGTTCTCTGGCAGGGTCAGAAGCTGGGTTAGGGCGGTTGTTGACGTCGATGTCGGAGTTGGGGTTGGGGCTGCGGCTGGGAATGGGATGTTGGGTGAGAGATACGGGGGGCAAAAGTCGGCTGTAGCTATGGCTGAGGTAGTGGTTGAGACGGTGGTGTTGGAGGAGATGGAAGCCGAGCGGGAGGAAGCGGACGACGAAAAGGCATAACTTGGGGACGAGAAGGACGATACCGAGGACGGCAACGAAGGGCTGATTGGGTTTGAGTCTGAGTTAAGGGGGTGGTTGACATCGAGAGCGGTATCTGTGTCCAGAAAGAGGTCGAACGAGAAATAGCGTGGGTGTTCGGGGGTCAAAAGCGGTCTGGGCCTGCGTTTGTATGAGTGTTTGGCTTTGCGGGTTCCGGGTCGGTCTCCGCTCTCAATATCGCTATCGCCGTCTCCCCCGATGCTGCGCACGTCAACCAGCAACGACTTGTCCTTGCCGAGTAGTAGGGTCAGGTATTCGGCTACAGTCTCCTTCCCGACGCCGTGCCAACCGTTGATATACACTAACGGTGCGGGGGAAGGGTCCATGGGCCGGCAGAAGATGTGAGGGGCGGAGGCAACGGTAGCGAGGGCTGGACGGTGGGCGGGCATAGGTTTCATCAGGGTCTTGAAGTTTGTTTCCCAGTACCAGCGATGTGCTTCAATCTTGTTCGGATCCTAGTCGACGACCATGACGGAGCGTCGTGCGGTGCTCCATGCTGGCAACCTTTAGAAGGGCAAGCATTGTGGCACCAGCGCTGTTGATATACAGGGCTATGGAGAGGGGCTGGCTTTTTCAAATTTCCAACAGTTCGATGCTGAGGAAGAGGTGGGCCGGTGTGTCCAGATGTTCCTCAAACAATGCGGGATGACTCGGTTTCCGAGCTAACATCGAGCCAGGCAAATGTTTAGGAGGCGCAAGTTTTGACATGGACGGGCCCAGACCCTTTTAGAATACGCCTCAACTTTGACGCCGGGCGGACAATTCGAGGGTTTGGTTGCGGAGCACGTAGGCATGACACCGCACGGACACTGGGGCTCCTCAGAAGCACCTGTAGCCTCCTTTGGCATATGCAGCTCCCACCTAGAACTGTGCTCGACTAGAAAAGCGCCACCTGCCAAAGAAGGCAGGGAGCAGACAGGCCGGCCAGCAGGGTGCGAAGGGGTCGACTGAGGCAGACACAGGTCTGACTGGATTTCGTCTGCAATCCATCAAAGACGTGGTTCGAGCAAAGACCGAAACGAGAGCGGGAGCTCGCCAATGCAACGTACATGAGGGCCGATCTGCAGCTTCAAAGCATAAAAATGCCGCCCCTAGACGACGTGGTACGAAAGGAAATTCGTACGCGATGGCCACTCTGCTTTGGCCTCAAACTTTACCTCCCAAATACAGGATGTTCTCCTCGATAGCTTCGGTTAGCTCTCCCTGGCCGGTGTAAACATATGCCACAGTCTGAACCCAGGCCTCTGGATGAGGGAGAGGGAGGTCGATAATATCGCGGGCCTTGATGTATCCCGAATAGAGTAGGGCTGCAAGAGCCGGGAAGAAGGCGCGTGCATAACGAAGGTCTGGGAGATGGTTTAGCAGGGCTGCTTGGGCCAGAATTGATGGCTGCTGAGAATCACTCACGAATAGGAACAGTATTCGCACCGCGAAGAGGGGATTTGTCGAGATCCGGTGAGGAACGCCGGCGAGCCGCGGAGACACTGCTCCGGCTGCTGGAATCAGCTGACGGCCTCCGGGCTCCAATTGGATCCGGAGGCAGCTCCGGGATTGTAGCTCTAAGCTTATCCAGATCGAAGGTTCGCTGGAGCAGAAACGGCGGTCGCCCAAGCTCGCACGGCCTGATTTGCGCACGGATGGTGAGTGAATTCCGCCGCTCAAGCACCTTGGGTTTGATTCCTTCGCCCTCCTCAGGGGGAAGCGCGACGGCTGTCACAAAGCGGGCAGCCTTGGAGCCGTTGAAAAAGTAGATGTGTCCCCATGCCTGGAGTTCCTGCCGCGTCTGCTGGCTGCTGCGTCTTGCGGTTGGAAATGACGGCAATGAGGTACGACGCCCAGCGGTTGGGCTGGTAGGCGAGGCGTGTGAGCGCGGCCATTCATCTCGGGTGCCAGCAAGCAGCATAGATCTCGTCTCCTCGACGATAGTCGGCCTCCTGTGATACTGCATGAAGAAGCCGGAAGAGCGAGGCGATGGGCCGGATGTGGAGAACAAGCGAGGAGGCGGCAAGCCGGCGATCGATGCACGTCTAGCATCCAGGGTCTGCTCGGACATGGGGGAGACGGAGCGGGCCGTAGCTGAGGTCCGCTGGTCCCCAAGCCTCCCCCTTTCGTCTAGATTGTCCACTATGGCTCGCTCATGCATTCTCATAGACTGGTCGTAGCCGGCAAGTGCCGGGTGCATAATGCTGGGCAAGCTGTCTTGTCTGAACGAAGTGGTCGAGTGCAGGGGACTGCAGGCTGCAAAAGCGGACGCTCTGGGATGCTCATAGTAATGCTGGTCCCGGGCGGTCCAAGCAGGACGCAAGTCTGGACGCAGTCGAGCCTGCGCCTCCATCACAGGTGTCTTGTGTTCACGAGCGGTTTTCGGTGTACTGTTTTTGCTTGAATCTCGGGCGATACGAGTTATGTACTTCGGATCAGGATTGTGCTAGACAGGTCTGACTGTTGAAGCAGCTAGGCATGGCATGTCGACGACGATGACGGCGGCCGCAGGCGGCGGTGGTTCAACCCATGCTGCTTTTTGTATCCCCTCCTTTCTTTCCTCCTGAAAGAAGGTCCGATGCTTTCAACGCACCTATCGCTGGTGACTCAACCCAGCCGCACCCATGCGAGACAAAGCTCAGAGGCCACACCACAGCCAGAGGCCCAGAAGCTGGACAAACAACGGGTAGGCGCAGTGGAAGTTCCAAAGATGATGGCATGTGCAAGCCATGGAGTGGCATGCGAAGCCGTGTTTATTAATGTGTTTCCAAGCGTCGTCACCAGCCTCTCCGAGATTTGCCTGCCTGGGATATGCAGTTGAGAACAAAGAAGATGGGTTTGGAACTCGCCACCGACCGCATCGCCCTTTAGCACCACCATGGCTCGTTGGGAGACTGGTCAAGATGGCATGTCACTTGTCAGTACATGATCGGAAAGTTGCAGCTGGTCCAGGGAAGTGGTTTGTTGGGGATGTCTTTTGGAAATTGGAAGCTCGCAGCAGGAACGAGCAGGGACAGGAGGTTGAGCTGATTCTCTATGGCAGCGCGAAATTACATATTACATAGTTACTCCATACATGATATGTACACCACGGTGGGTTAGTGTAACATACATCTGCGTACCGCTCGAGTGTAAGGTAATTACACAAGGGAGCTTCCATGCTGAAGTGTGCGATTGGTTGCCTGTTCCGACAGCGGCACCTCCAGGCATCAACTGCAGAGTCCCGACCTGCCTTTTGACTCGCCATCAACCGACACCCTCAGCATGAACTATATTCGTCCCTAGGTTCTCACCACCTTACCTGAGTTGAGAACGACAACCCACATGGAAGCGATTACCAGGCACTGACAAGCGATATACTGACACGGACACCTGGAACACGGGAGCCGACATCTGGATCCAATCGCTCTTCAACTAATTACGTTGGCTGCTGTTTGGGACAATGCTTCACTAAATTCCGAGATCGACGTCTTCCATTTTCCTACCGTCTTCCCTGCCTTCGCCATTCGTTTCCCACCATCATGGCCGGCCCCGATACCACCTTTGACAACATGACGACGACGCAAAGCTACAAGCAGCTGAAGGAGGAATTTGTCTCAAACCTCTCAGGCGGGTCTGTGGCTGAGATTGCTCAGGTTTGCGCTGTGGCTCCGGTATGAGCTATCAGACGAAGAAGCTATTGTCGCCCTGTCGCTGACCAGCGAACCGCAGGTCGTCGCTCTTCTTTGGTCCGCTCTCCAATCTCGACACTCCTTATTCAAGCCCTACTCGGCCTTGGGGTTTGCCGTCGATTTCCTCCTGAATGTAGGAGCCCTCTTATTATCCGTCACACTGTACTCGAATGCACCTCTGCTTCTCAGCATCCTCCTCCTTACAGCCGCCGCCTTTGTCTGCACCATTCCCTCGAATGCCTCAACGGGCAGGAGGAAACCCAAACGCCCCCCCAATGCGCAATCCAGGACATCGCAGGCACCACTCGGTGCCCTGTCCACGAAGCCGTTTCTGACCAACTACCGTGGCAACATGATGGTGGTCACATGCTTGTGCATCCTCGCCGTCGACTTTCGAATGTTTCCGCGCCGCTTCGCAAAGGTCGAGACATGGGGCACATCTCTGATGGATATGGGCGTCGGGTCTTTTGTCTTTTCAGCTGGCCTTGTAGCCTCTCGGCCCCTGCTAAGAGAGCGTTCCGAAGGCCGAGAGATACCCCTGAGCGACCGTTTGAGGCAGTCAATACGTCACTCCCTCCCACTCCTGGCGCTTGGCGTCGTGCGGCTGCTCAGCGTCAAGGGTTTGGACTATGCCGAGCATGTGACAGAGTACGGAGTCCACTGGAATTTCTTCTTTACGCTGGGCTTGCTGCCTCCTTTTGTGGCGCTTTTCCAGTCGGCCCTCAGATTTATACCCTCGTATGCCGGGTTAGCCATTCTGTTAGCCGTCCTATACCAGGTCGTCTTGGAGAGCACCTCTTTGAAGGCGTACATTCTGGTCGGGCCGCGGGACAATCTGCTGTCGATGAACAGGGAGGGGCTTTTCAGTTTCTGGGGCTACCTCGCTATTTTCCTAGCTGGCCAGGACTTGGGAATGTTCGTGCTGCCGCGGAGCCTCGGCTCTCAGAATCCCAAACCCACCAGGCTCCTGCTCACCATGACTGCGTGGTCGGTGGGCTGGCTAACGCTCTACTTCTTCTGTACTGACTACACATACGGTGCGGGGCTGACGGTGTCTCGGAGGCTCACAAACCTGCCCTACGTGCTATGGGTTGTGGCCTTTAACAGCGCGCTCCTGCTCGCCTTCTGCCTTGTCGACACAATCTTCTTCCCCGCCTTCTACAAGGCGCAGGATGCAAAGGCAGAGAAGGAAGCCTACGAGACGGCGACGAGCAGGGTGTTGAGGGCATATAACCGCAACGGCTTGGCCGTGTTCCTGCTGGCCAATCTCATGACGGGGCTAGTCAACATGACTGTGCCGACGCTGCACGTAGGTAGGATAACAACCCTGGCGATCTTGGCTGGTTATATGGGGGCTTTGACTGCCTTCGCAGTGGGCTTAGATATGCACGATATCACGATCAAACTATAGACGAATGCAAAACGATGTCGTCCACGACAGGTGGTAGATGCGGCGAGTGATTATTGGTAGTGGTGGTTCCGTAGATCTGCTGCAAGAGAAGACTTTCAGGATCTTGACCTTGATGCTTGATGTCGTCTCCCACTCCCGCAACGCTACTCGTCTTTACACATCACACTGTCATATGAAGTTGCTCTATCCAAGGTTGATCTGGCCTTCCATTGTATCCCATGACGATTGGTACACGCCGGGTCCACGAATGTGCCATTGATGTAGTTCAAACGCTTGACGTTGAATGTCGAATGTCAAACCATCATCAACAGGCGGCACATTTCGAATACATAAGGTATGTATGGTGCACGAATAGTTCTGGTTCTGAGTAAGCTTACCTCCACTGACATAACTACCTGAACCTCTGAGTACGACGTATGTACAAATTACGAAGGTTACTCGGTACGGAGTAGCAATGTCGAATTGATCGAGGGAGCATGCAACCCCTGGCTTGACAGCACATGTTCAGTCAGCCCTGTCTGAAGGCACTCGGACCTGAACCTGTGAGAATCGAAACAATCCCCCATGACAAGGAAACAAACGAACAAAAGCAATGTCTGGAAGATGATCTGGGGGTGGCAACCCCCCGGTCAAGGCAAGGGTTAAACCAGGAATGAGAAACGATATCAGCCGCAATTCCGAAAAAGTGCGACTCCAAATCGCTCCAAACGACGAGAGTGTCCAGTTTGGCTTTTTCGTGGTTGCATTGGGAGTGGATGGGGAACACAGGCGGAAAGCTCGCAGATCCCTGCATTTTCCCTACCGCATCATTTCCGACGTCAATGCCTTCTTGTCCCGGTGATGCCTGTGCATTTTAACAGTATATACAACAGCAATGCGCCGTTTAGTTCCCTGTTCGACTTCTCGAAGTTGACGGCAGAATCCTGTGCCTGTGACTATACCTAATAGGTAGTTGTATATGTACATACGAACTATAACGATACGATGATAGGGCTGGCTCAAGGTCACCTAATTTCTCTTTCGTGCCACCCATCATATCAACTTGTTTCATGCAGAGTCCTTCATACGGGCACAGAGTCGGACGCCGAAATCCGTAGCAATGGCTAAAATTGCCGTTGTTGTCACTTCTTTAGCGGGCTAATGCTCAAAACTCGACCTAGTGGCGGTTGAGGATTTTCGTCACCGATGAAGAATTACAGTAGGTACTCCGTACGGAGGTACAGTACCTTGCATTCTTATGTGCAGGGCTCGCAGAGCCATTCGTGCTGCAGGAGAACCATTGGATGTGTCTAACACGTACTGTATGTTGCTTTCAAAAACATGGTCTCTTCAATTTCTATGGCCCAGCGCATCCTCCTGGTACACAGCAGCAACTGCTGAGTTTTCTGTCCACCTTGGTGACTCGTGATATCACGAAGCTGGCTGCACTGAGGTGATGCAGCTGGAAGCCAGAACGACTGTTGCGGGGAGGTTGGCATTTGGCAGAGGTGTGCATTGCAATGACGGACCCCTGAACCCTGCGTCGTTGCTGCGCTTGGCTTCAGGAACCGGAAGCGCTAGCCATTTATGGCCATTGCACTGTGCCACAGCAGACAGTGCCTGTGTGCTTGTTGACACGATCTTGGCATCACGACGTGATCTGCGCAGATAACCCTGCCTGCCCTGAAAAGGATTCGAGCGAGGGGGGCCCTGGAGTCTACACTATCGAAACATCAGACGGCGACTCCGACTCCATGTGTAAGCCTGGGAAGTGTTGCGATGATACTGGGTATCTGCCACTCTGCCTGGGATGGAAGACTTCCGTGTCGACTCAGGCGAGTCATGCAATTCAACGATAGCCCAAGTCCCCCATGGTTCCGGCTAAAGGGCTCCATCCAACACTTCCAGTCGGTACGTGCTGGTTAACGTTGATCTTGGGCCCGAGGACGGCATTTTACTTGCGTCAAACCTGAGCCGCGTTCCGTCAACTCAGCCATTTCTGTTAGGGTTGTGCTTCCTTTGCAACGAGCAAGTCGAGATGGGGGTGAACGTTGCGTAGTGCTTAGGTTGAACTCGTCTCGACTTTGTTTTGAGTGGCTTGTGCCTTGGTACTTACGGGGCACAAAAGCTGCGATATCAGACGGGACGGCACGCGTGGGGCAGGTTGTCCTCGAAATGTCTCGCAACGCGCATCTTCAAATTCGTCCAAACGAGTCCAGTCGGGCCGCTCTCAGCGACCGGCCTGGCCGTCAAATGTCAATGTTGTTAGACAACAAAGCCAAGGCCATGTCACACTAGACTGCCGCAAATGGGCTGTAAGCAGCTGTGTGTGATACCAGATTGCTCAAGCCGGTGAATTAAGGGTCGCGACATCAAAAGGATACGCGTCAGGAAAGATCCTATAGTGGGGTTCTAGCGCATAACAGATGTACCTGGCCCAGTACCCGCAATTCATGAGTGGTCCATGCAAAAGACGGTAGTCAGGAGGTTTCTCCAACCAGAACCGCGAAACTCCCACTGTAAAACTCTCGAGTCTCCGCAGAGCACATGTCGCTCAATGCCCACGCCCACGCACCCGAGTCCCGTCGCAGTGGCCGAAGTGGTGCTAAAAGTGGACAGTAATAAACGAAGTTAGGCAGGAAAGAACTGCACTGAGAAGGGAGTCCAACTCACCTCCTATGGAAGGTTGGAAACGAGCGCATCACCACGACCACCTTGGCACTCCTCTCGTTTCTCCTCCACATTTTTGTAAACCTCCTTTCCCCCCTTCACTCTACCTCACCGCCCTCATCACCTCTCCCGTCTCCTCCCTCTCCTCCACCCACACACAGGAGAGCGACCCGCACGAATCGACTGGACGGAAATTATCTCTCACTCCTTTCACCAGATTCGAGTTTTCGCACTCGAGTTTGTATGTACAGTACAGGTGCATAACATAGGGCGTATTGTTTTCGGCTGCGGTCCGAGTAAACAACCTATTCCAGTACCGAGCATCGAAGCAAGTCGCGCCTTACCAAACGCGATTCCCCTGTTTGCAGAACTCTCACCCAGCAATCGCGGCGACAGGCGGTCAGTCACCAAGGCAAATCCCGCATCGAATTGCGGCGCACCATGAGAACCGAATTGGCCCATTGGTATCCGTAACTCGAGCGGCCATCGGCCAGTTGGTTTACTGCAAACAAGAAGCATTCTGCGAACGTTGCATTGCAGCAAAGGCCGATTTGAAACTGACGGCTTCCCATTTTTTTTCGAACTATTTCCCCCCCATTGGGCCTTCCTGATCCGACCGACAACAATTCTCTACCCTACCTTCACTGCATCTCTAAGTTACCTTAGGTACTCGGCTTGCCTGTGAACGCCCGGCGGTGCTGCACCCTTCGCCCGCGCGTCTTCTACGTCTGGCCGGCATAGGTAGAAGGTGCGAAAATGAGTAGTGCCCTCCAAACAGTGCCCGTTCAACAGACGTCAGTATCAGTCCTCCATACGCCGCCCCTGGCTCCGGCACCGCAGTCCAATCGACAGCACTCGTCCACCCTCTCATCTCCGATACGGGAAGGCCCCGGCTATCATGCAAATCAGCAGCCCTCAGGAACATCTCCAGCATCATCATCTCGACACTATTCTCGCGGACCCAGCGCCAGCAACGACTCGCAGCTCGTCGCAAATTCCCCGATGAGTTCCCGCGCTGCCGTCGCCTCGCCCGTGCCCGTGCCTGTATCGTCGGCGGTAGACTCTCCCGACCAGCACAATCCAACAAAACGAAACATGCCTGCCGCGGTTCCTCCCCGGACGTCCAGCTCTCGACGCGCACAAACGGGGGAGCGCTCCACCGACTCGCCCCGCCGGACCCACGCCGATTCGAATCGCGATGCGAACAGCAGGATAGACGGATCGGACGACGGTGCAGTGCAGAGCTCGCGCAACAGACGAGCGAATCAATCGTCACAAGAGCAACCGCATCGTTCGAACGGTACCCGAGACGGACGGGCAAACCCTTCGACAACAATGCCCATCCGCTCACCGCCTTCCAACTCAACATCGGCCAATGGCCCATCGAGGGAGGCAAGTGAAATCCTCAACAGCATCTTAATATCCCAACCAGAGGTCGACATTGAACGAGAAAGAGAACGCCTTGCCCTGTCCAAGCCACATCAGGATGCAGACGCGCAAGACGATGATGCCGCGCCTCCCCCTGTAATCGGTATGGCGGACATGGGGGAGGAAACTCGGCGTGGTGGAAAGAGCCGGCACGACCATTCTAGACGCGAGAAGCAGACCAAGTTTGGCGAGTACATCCTCGGCAACACCATTGGCGAGGGAGAATTCGGGAAAGTCAAACTGGGCTGGAAACAAGAAGGAGGCGTGCAGGTGAGTCGATCTGCTAGGCTGCTCGGAATCCTAATCCACTAAACAATACCGTGCCTCAGGTCGCCATTAAACTCATCAAGAAGGACCAGCTGGGCAACAATCCCTCCCGCATGGCCAAGATTATGCGCGAAGTCGCCATCTTGAAGCAGTTGACCCACCCCAACATTGTCAGGCTACACAAGATGGAGGAATCCGAGAGGCATTACGGCATTGTCCTCGAATATGCCTCGGGAGGTGAACTGTTTGATTACATCCTAAACCACCGATACTTGAAGGACAATGCTGCTCGCCGGTTATTCGCCCAGCTAGTCTCCGGGGTTGGTTATCTGCACAAAAAGGGGATTGTGCATCGCGATCTCAAGTTGGAGAACCTGCTGCTCGACCGCAACCGTAACATCATCATCACAGATTTTGGCTTCGCCAACACGTTTGACCCCAACGAGGAATTAACCGAGGAGGAGGAGATGAACCTGACGGACCGCGAGTTCGTCAAGCGCATGGGACTCGACAAGATCAAGGCCAACGGCTCCCGCAAGGGTGATCTGATGCAGACCAGTTGCGGCAGCCCCTGCTACGCCGCTCCCGAGTTAGTAGTTAGTGACTCGCTATACACCGGGAGGAAGGTGGACGTTTGGAGTTGTGGCGTTATCCTGGTGAGTGGCCTGCGCTTTCTTGCAGCGAAGAATCTGTGCTGACGTTTCTTCGTAGTACGCAATGCTGGCTGGATACCTGCCTTTTGACGATGACCCGGCGAACCCCGAAGGAGACAATATAAATCTCTTATACAAGTACATTGTCAACACCCCGCTCACCTTTCCCGAATACGTTACGCCCCATGCCCGCGACTTGCTCCGGAGAATCCTCGTCCCCAACCCGCGCAAAAGGGCCGACCTGTTCGAGGTTGCCCGCCATAGCTGGCTCAGTGAGTACGCTCACGTCGTCGAGTTCATCACGTCAAGCACCACGAGTCCTAGGGACATTCAGAACACCACAGTCCCCCCAGAAGATGAGGGAGACACGCCAGGCCTTGCCAGGAGCGCCTCGGTGCGCGAGTCGTCAAAGAAGACGACTGCCTCTCCTCAGATTGGTGGATTGGTAAGCAAGCAAGGCACTATCGATGCCGAGGCAGAAGCTGCGTACGCCAAGCAGCAGAGGGACAACAAGCGCCGTACCGTGCAGGTGGAATATGTTGCGCCAACCACTGCAACCCAGCGCGGCGAGCCCGCAAACGCACAGCCGTCCGGTGGGCGGACGCGTGCTCGCTCAGGAAGTCAGGGAGCCGTAGAGGTCACCCAAGCGGGCTCGTCGTCTTCCCCCAGGGACAAGCCATTACCAAAAGAACCCCCTGTTTCGAAGGAGACGTACGGCAGGACAGCGGTTGCGTCGAGAAGACCGCCGAGCTCTCACCGCAACGCTAGTTCATCTGCCGCCGCCGCACGGGTCAGCCGTGATACCCGGGCCGTATCCGATGGCACGCTCATGGCGACAGGGCCGAGCTCTAGCGCCAGACCGACGACCGGGGGCTCGATGCAGTCAACCAGCTCACGGGGCCCAGGGGCGGGCAATCGGACTTCTTACAGCCAGCCAGTACCTCCAGAGCTTGCTGATACAAATGCGCACGGGAGGATCCAGCAGCCGCCCAAGACGGCGAATAGTTACGCCATGTCCTCGTCCTTCACACAGGAGGGGCAAGGCTCCGAATATGGCCGACCAAGCATCAGCGTTCCCCCGAAGTTTGCTAGATTATCGGGCTTTGCCCGGGAAGGCGAAGGGGTCTCTGCCAGTGTTAGCAGCACTCAAGGCTCAGAAGTCAAGGGCCACAAACGATCGAGCACAATGGGCGAGATTAGCGGGAAGCTTTTTGGCCGAAGCGGGTCGCTGTTCGGAGGCAGGCGCAAGCGGACGGAGCAGCAACAGGGCGGGGAGAAGGCTAAGAGGTACCCGCCTGTAAGCATGAACAACTCCATGACAGCAGGCGATGAACCCAGGACGTCGATGGACTCGAAGCGCTCACGCAAGTCGTTTTCCATGGGACTCGGCAAGAAGACGTCTGGCAGCATAGCAGGGTCTCAGACCTCGCAGGAGAAGCAAGGAAGGCGCTTCTCTTTTATTCCAGCATCCTTCTCGCTCAAGGCAATTGGAATCGGCAAGGACGAGCCGCAGCCGCAGCTGGATTCGCAACAAGACCTGCCTATCCAAGAGCCGCCGACAGTCGACGAGTACGGGCGCTATGTAAGCGATAACGTCGACCGAGAACATGTCGACGCATCCACCTTGGATGGCATGTGGGCGCAGCTTCATACACCGCAGCCTACGGCCGACCCTTATGGACGTCAACCATACTCCTCTGGCGGATACGGGCGTCCTTCAGCCGTCGAGGGTTATATGCCGCAGACCATGCTAAACACGGCTTCGGACGCTTCGGTAGATCGCATGCGCCGCCCGCAAGGTTCTGCGCCCCAGCTTCCGCCACTTGCCCACCAGGATGCGGCGTACGATTCGCCGCGGGTTGCTGGCGGCATCAAACCTGGCCGCGGTGTACTGCAGAAGAACAAACGGTTCGTCGATGCGTGGGATACGGACGCGTATGCGCGAACTCACGACCATTCGGGAAGCAGCGGTCCGGCACGGAAGGTTATGGATTTCTTTAGGAGGAGAGGAAAAGCCAGGGGCGGCGAGACGGGCTGAGTCTTGGGTAGCAGCATGCTGATGGATGGTGCTCAATGTTCTTTGGACTCGCTGCCCCGCGTCGTACGGGGCTTTTGATGGTAATTTGATATTCGGGTGAATTGCTTTCCGAGGGTCATTGCTGGAGTTTGGGTGACGGAACGGCGCGGTCTTGGGCTCGGTTCGGGGAGAGAGGAACTACTACACACCTCCCTACTTTTGTTGTCCCCTGTGAGAGAAACAGATCGGCCCTGCTTTCTTACCGACCTACTACCCTACCTACCTCACTTCCTCCCTCTCACACGCTCTGTCTCTCTGTCTCTCATAACCTCTTATACGCATATATGCTCTTGTAATACAATGTGGAGTCATCACGGAAACAAAGGAGAGCTTTTTCCTACTGGAACTGAAGAGGAGAATTACCCCTAAGTCCAGAGTCAAACTGCAAGAGATACCCGAGGAAAGAAGAAACTTGGAGTGAATTCTGTGCGGCTCCTAGCTGTTTCTCTCTCCTTTGTTTTTCGCGTGATCCTGGGATGTTTAGACCGACCTTGCTTGGAGAAGATCGCGTGGCGGCTTGGCTAGGGGCGGAAAGAGGCCAAAGCGAATCAAAAGGGAGGAGGAAGAGGGAAGGTGAAGATCGAGAGGACGTTGTGGGTATGCTGTAGTGCGGGTTGGGGTGAAGGAAGTATGGGAAGGGAGTTGATGTGATATTCATAGTACCCATTGTACTCCAGGTATCTATATCTTCTTTTCCTTTTCTTTGCCCGTGGGTTTGAATCCAGTATATCCTTTTCATTTCGTGTTGTCAGGTCTCTCTCGTTTCGCGACCATTTCTGATTTCTGGGTCGCAGCATATATCCAGATCCTGTGGATGGATGGTTTATAAGCGCGTTGTTGTTATATCTATCTACTGTAAATAAAGAAGTTAGGGGTGTTGTCAGTACAATATGATACGATACTCATCGCCCAGATTGACCAGCGCATACCCATCCTGTGTGTGATTATCAATATAAGCTGGTACATACCTACATGACCTCGACGGGGGAGGTCGTCAACGTGTGCAATTCTTAGCGTTGACTGGGTTCATAATCGTATTGAACAAGACACTGCTTCCTGGGCGTAGTGGCTATCAAGATCCATGCAATGTGTGTCAATGAAGCCCCTGAATTGCACCACTACCAGGTACTAGTAGGGCCCCTTTCTCCGCCAGCCCTAACTTACTTGGGTATGCAAGGCACACATGATCGACGACCTAACCCATGCAAGAGATAGCATGTTCGTGTACTAGTAGGGTAGCGAGTACTGAGTGCTCATGCCCGCCCATAACCATATCGTCTATCTCTAGGTATGTACTCAATGCGACAGACGCATGCTCAGCGACAGTGACAACCCATTGAAAGCGCCATCTAATCCAGACAACCACCCAACGAGTAAGGGACTAACCGTGTACCAACCATGCCTCTAGCCGTTATGAAACTTGCTTGGAAACCTCCCACAACGCCCTAAGCACTGCCAGCCCGCCGCCCTGCGTCTCAACCGTTCTGCCTCGCCCGCGACAGTTCGGGTCGCTGCCATCAACCTCACAACCCTCCGGATTCTTGTTTGCAGCAGTGGCGGCAGCAGAAGAAGCAGCAGCACCAGTTCTGGGTTGCCTCCCCCGAAGCGGCCGTTGGCGAGTTTCGTCATCATCATAATCATCATCATCATTCATGACCGGGTTGTCGTGCTCCTCCTCCAAGTGCCCCACCCAAACCTTGTCCTGGGGAACCCCAAAATTTCGATAATCGATAATTCCGTCCTGCCCGTTGGCGGGCGGCAGCGCTTCCTCGGTAAGCTGCATATTTCCCGAGGCAAGGCCTCGCAACTCTGGGAGGCCAGGGGTCCACCACATCCCGAACCTGCCCTTCATATCCCTTGTCCCGAGGGCCGCTGCAGCATTGTGCCTCAACCAGCCAACGTACCTGACACAATTCCGCGCATGCCGCGCTCTCAGATTGTTCATTGCGTCCTCGCTTAGTTTGAAGCTTACGGGCGGTACGTGGTCTAGCAGGGCCGGCGAACAAAAGGCAGTGAAATGGTGCATCCAGATGCCCTTGAATGTCTGGGCGTCTTGCGAGCACATGCCCGATATATCACACGCATCTTCCAGAACTCCCGCCCTGCCTAGTCCGCGCCAAGGCGGGATCTGTCCGGGGAGTAGGTTCCTGATGTCGTCGATGGGCTTGTTTCGTTTCAGATCGTACCCAGTAGCGCGGATCACGTTCTGGATCAGCGTGTGGCCCTCCCGAAGGTAGGCTTCCCGGCCGGTGGCTTGAAACAGTCCGCGGAGGCCGGAAAGGAGCACACCCTGATTGTATGTGTACACCATCTCATCGCGATCGTCGCACTTGGTGTTGTTGCCACCGGGGTAACCCGAAATGTGAAAACCATCCGCATACAAGCCCTGGGAATTGGTCATGTTAGATGAAACAATCCATTCATGGGCCTTCAGAGCCGATATCTTGAATATCGGATCGTGAGGACGCCACCCGACCCTTGTATGGCGGTAAGGCGTGTCTGGATCAGGTGTGGCGTCGAACGGAGAGGGATTAGGGTCACCGGGAAAATGGAGGAACATGCTAATGGATGCGGAAATGAACAGCTGGTTTGTGATGGCGTTCTTATAAGGGTGCAGGCGAGGGTTCCAGATCATGCCTCCTCCGCAGAGAGTGGTATCCCAGCCTTTGGCTGCCAGTTCCCAGAATATCCTGGCTCGGTGGGCAAATGCAGGCACCCAGCGGTTTCCGTACCACGACTCGTCCTGGAATAACTCGACAGGTCCCATTCCTATGAGAGAGTTGTGACCATCGATGAATTGAATGGCCTCAAGCCAACCCAACACAACCCAGAGCATGTCGTCGTGTGCCTGGTTGCGGATGGCGAAAGCGTCTTGACCGAAATAGTAGGCAATCAAATCGGTAAAGTACCCTGATATAGGATCTCCATATTTTATGGCGGAGGCGAAGGGCTCGCTCTGCGGGCTGCCCTGTTCAAGTTGGTCCGAAATGGTTCTGAGTGCGGCGGCGACATAGGTACCCATAACAGCCCGGGTCCAGTCGATTCCTTGAGGCCATGTGCCAACCCAACGCTGAAAGTAGATGTCTTGCATATCCCGCAAAGCCTTTAGCATATCGTCGAACACCTGAAAATCCGGGAGCGATTGGCGTCCTTCTGCATCGCCGCGGCCTTGGTGCTTCGCTTGTCCTTCCAGAAGCGACCTAGGGGAGGCGACGCAAACGGCCACGGCCAAGGTGAGGACAGCGCTCCATCTAATAAACATGTTTGCCTTGTCCAGCAAGTGATAGCGAGGAGAAGTGGTTCTGGTACCGTCCCCAACCTTGAGCGCCCCGGCAATCCTTGCTTATGTGTTAGTATATGAGGCGGAGAAGAGGGCAGGCATTGCATAGGAAAATGCCCAGGAGATCTCAACCACGAACCCCGATATTCAACGCTTGGGCGCCAGGAAATAGATCAGCGTCGAGGAGTAGGTATATACCCGTATGTCCAACTTCACCCAAAGACACCAGAACTATTCCGGCCACGTCCAACAATATGATTGACAGTCAGGCAACATGGAGGGACTCCGGAGCTGCGGCTAGTTGACTGGGCTGGCAACAAGCCCATCACGCCCTCTGGACGGGCCTTGCTGGCTTGGTGATGCGCAAAACGATGGAGCCGGCGGTCTGGCATAAGCAAGGCAGAGACAAAATAAATCAAGGGACCGGCAGCAAAGACAATCTGAGGCCAAAGCAAAGTATAATTATAGACAGAGAATTAAAAGGGACAGAACCGAGCAGACTCGAAGCACGAGGCTGGCCGCGAGCAAAGGGTCAAGACATGTTCGAGGTCATGAGGGTCCAATTCTTCCAATCGAGATGGATCTCCCTTGCCTTGGCCCCGTGTGCCAAGGACCAGGGCTTTTTGTCAACTGCAACAGGTGTTACCTACCAGGGCCCTGGAGAGATAAGCCTGCCCCGCCAAAGAACCCCTCGAGACGCAAGGCGCAACCCGCGCGGGTGGGCCACATGCTTGCCCGCGCCATGCGGGAAGGCGCCACTTGCAGCGATGTCGCATTCTTCTCGAACCTGCAGCTCAGCTGAGATGAGAGTGTGGACGTTCAGTCTGTATTGTACGACACAAATGGTGGTGTTCTCGCCGGTTTCGAACCGCGTGGTGGGATGAAAGATGGTTGGCGCAAAGTTGGGACGAGATCCTCTCACCTAGCCAAAAACTAGAACGTCTTTCATCTCATCGAAGTTTGGGCCGGTCCTGTGGTTCAGGAACTTTGCGCCGCTCTGATTTTCGAACCATCTGATCTCGAATTTGCCCTTTCGACGTCGCCTAGGAGAGAACAAAAGTGCGATCCAATACTGATGCTACTCCAATCTGGCGTAATAGCCAAGATGGGGCAGGAGTCTACCTATGTATTAAAAACAGCGTTCAATACTACAAAAGACGACCCAAAAACTACCGGCACGTCAAGCCGGGTTGTCAAAGAAACCAAAACGCCGAGGCCAGAGCCGTAGTCTTTGCCTGCTTTCCCGTCAACTCCTGGCGCCTTGAAACAACAATTCCCATAACTTCTCTACCGTTGTTGAAGGTATCGATCACAATGCTCCACGCCCCCGACCACTAATACCAAAAACACAGGCCTATTCGACAAACCGGCGCTCAAACTCGCGGAAAAGCTTGGGTGATATCTCGTCGCTGCTCATGCCCTCGACTTCCCATAGCACGCCCTTGCGGGCATAGTGTTCTAGTAGTGGCTCGCTAGTTTCCTGAAACTTCTTCCACCTCGTGCGGTACACATCTTCGCTATCGTCGGATCTGCGCACCAACGGCTCGCCCGTGACGTCGTCGCGGCCGGGGACCTTGGGCGGATTGAACGTTGTGTTGTACACCCTCCCGGAGGGTTCGTGCACCCAGCGCCCGGATATCCGCTCTATTATGACGTCGAGCGGCGTCCTGATCGACACGGCTAGGTTGACAGGCACGATCTCGTCAAGCCGGTCGGCTTGTGCCGCCGTGCGGGGGAACCCGTCGAGTATGAACGAGGCAGAGGGATCCTCGGACGCTTGGAGTTGCGGGTAGCCGTGCACATGGGCCGGCGACGAGATGAAGGCGGCAACTTCGGCGTCGTTGTTGTCGAACGGTTCGCCGTCGGCCGTAGCGGCGGCGGAAGACGCGAGCGTCATGACATTACCAGAAGGGTGCCCTGACGAGATCCACCCGCGCTGTTGGAGCTCGTTGCTGATGAGTCGGAGGATGAGGTCGTCGGGTACCAGCCCTCCAGACTTCATCGTGCTCTCGACTTTAATTCCTGCGCCGCCATGTTAACACCGTGCAAGACAGAAATAGACTTTATGTTGAGATCAATTGGCTACGAACCGAGAGGTGTCCGCTGCTTAACATTGTGCCGAAGCAGATCCCCAGAGCTGATGGACGATAGTTGTGGGAACCGCTGAAGCAAGCGTTCCGACTGTGTCCCTTTGCCCACTCCGGGCGCCCCTACAAGAATGACTCGGGCGGCTTTGCGGAGTCGCATAGTACGCAGGTAGGAAGCTGGGACTGCGCGTGAATTGGATAGGGGTAAAGACGTTGGAGAGCAAGTGTCAAGACGGGACCACCAGAGCCCGCCATGTAAGGTACTGTACACTACTAAAATACCGTGGTACGTACGCGCAAGCTGTCGCAGACTCGCGGACGGGATCGGAGTGCGGGGCAGGTTCGATCGGCACCCGACGTAAAGTTAATTTCTAGACATGCACAACCGTGGACCGAGAAAGCTAGCAGAACGCCATGCTTGGCATCGCTTGGTAAGCTCTGTAACTTGTAAGTTAACACATTGTCAAAGTATCATGATCTCATAATAAGGAGGACAATTGGGATTGAAACATATGGAGCTTATTGCATTTGCGTGGCTCCGGGATTTCACGGATGATTCGCAGAAAGCCACATATCTGTTGTTATGTGGTCATCCTCATCAAAATTCCGCCCAGCTTTTTGTTGAGTTGGTTCCCCGAAACCTGGAAACCCCGATATCGCCTCCCAGTGGACCTCTGGGCACCCCGGATCGGGAAGGGCTCGATTCATCAATTGCAGAAAACAAGGGACGGGCCCGAGAGATTTGGGGTCTGAACGTAGAAAAAAGGCTTACAAACGGGCTCCCAATCTTGTGCCTGGCTAGAAGCCATCTGAATTCTGAAGAGGTGTGCCTGGCCCTGAACAGTGCTAGTATAACTGCTAAAGCAATTGAGCATCAGGACTCGGGACCATGGCACGGCCCTTTGATCAGATCTCGAACAACTTCAACCTAGGTATGTAACTTAACTGTGTGTACTCCGTAATAAGCGCTCTAGGTAAGCGGCGGTTTGATAGGTAACGTTCTCAGAAGGTGGCGACAGGGCCTGAACATGTCGGCAGGACCAGACCCTACTGTACATACCTAAGGTACACATCACAACTCTACCTCAATTCCATGCCCAACCCGACAAGGCCCGACATGCACGTTTCTGGCGGCGCTATGTTGTTGTCTTCGGGCAATTCGCTGATGCGTCAAGTCCATTGTTCCGAGCCGAGCCCGAGTCGAGTCCATGTCCACTCCGGGCATCCGTAAACGTACAAGTAACCGACAGTATTTGCACACCAACTACCTTAGTTTGTATGCAATCACGTGATTGACACGCCCTCAGTCCTGACTCGCCAGCCGGCTCGGGCCATTGGGGGCAACTGGTGGGGGGAGGCTTCTGGAGGCTCTTGGAACCTGAACCTGCAGCATTGAAACAGCGGGTTTGGCGTCACCCCTTTCGAACTTGGATGCATCATCGACCCGATCCACCAAAGCGGGTTCTAACGACTGTACTCTTTGTTTCTCTACGATCGTCCAGACAATTACAATAAGCACCGCTAGATTCTTCTGGACAATCTGCAATACACCTGTCAGCTCGGCCACGCAGTCTCTCGCCGAATCCGACAATTCCGGTTTTGTTCAGTCGAACCCATCAGGCGCCCATTTTCCGCTTGTATCAGCGGCAACCTAAGCCCGACATCTCGCACATACGCATCGGCGAAGCATCTCCCCCTCGAGCAGAGCCTGGTTGCCTTGTCAAGAACGGAAGTGGGAATACTGGCTGCCACTGCACGCTCTTGTACAGCCTGATCTGCTCGGACAATCGCCGCCATGAGCGCCTCGACAAGAGTCGCACGTCGGGCGCTAGTCGTCAACCCATTCCTCGGCGCCGGTGCGTCCTCTTCTCCGGATTTCATGCTTAAAGGTCCCTAGCTAACGAAACCTGTATAGGCCGCGCGATGCCCAGGTCTGCTCTCCTTGCCACCTCAATCCATTTAGCACGCAATGCGCAGCAGCTGGGGCTCAACAGCCCCACCACTGCCCTGCTCATTCCTCTTCGGAGCCTGACAACCACCCCTGGGACCACCACTCATGGAGGACCTCCCGGAGCCCCGCCACCAGGATTCAATCCGGAGGAGGCTAAGAAACCTCTTCCGAAAGAACCTACCAACGCCGCCAAGCCCGCCGCGAAAGCCGAGCCTAGCAAGGCTGACTCCAGCAAGGCCGCGGCGAAGGAAGCTGCTAAGAGCGTTGCGGAATTGGCCGTCGACTCACGGGCGTCCCTCACCCAGCTCGCTTCTGCGAAGGAGGTTGCGGCTGAGAAGGCTGAAGGCGAGAAAGAGAAGAAGCTGACGCTCGTGCAAAAGATCAAAAAAGAAGCGCAACATTACTGGGATGGCACCAAGCTGCTGGCGGCCGAGGTCAAGATTAGCACGCGGCTTGCGCTGAAGATGGCTGCCGGATACGAGCTCACTCGGAGAGAGAACCGGCAGCTCAAGCGCACGGTTCAGGATCTCGGCCGGCTAGTACCTTTCTCTGTCTTTGTCATTGTGCCATTTGCCGAGCTTCTGCTCCCGGTGGCGCTCAAGCTCTTCCCCAATATGCTCCCCAGCACATACGAAGGACAAACGTCCAAGGACAAGAAGGCGTCGACGCTCCGGGCCACGCGCAAGGAAGTTAGCGATTTCCTTCGCCAGACCCTGAAGGAGACTGGCCTTCCTTTAACCCAGGCCACGGCGCAGAAAGAGGAGTTTGCCACCTTCTTCCGGAAGCTCCGCTCTACCGGGGAGAAGCCGACTGCCGAGGACGTGATCAAGGTCTGCCAGATCTTCAAGGACGATCTCACGCTCGACAACCTGTCGCGCCCGCAGCTTGTGTCCATGTGCAGGTACCTGAACCTAAACACTTTTGGCACGGACATGATGCTGCGATACCAGATCCGCCACCGCATGCGGCAGATCAAGCGTGACGACCGTGCCATCAGCTACGAGGGCGTCGACAGCCTCACGGTCTCGGAGCTCCAGGTGGCCTGCGCCAGCCGCGGGATCAAGAGCCACGGTGTTTCGCCAGCTAGGTTACGGGAGGATCTCCAAACCTGGCTGGACCTGCGACTTCGCCATGGCGTGCCGTCAACACTGCTTGTGCTCAGTAATGCCTACATGTACGGCCAAACGTCGACGGAAGAGGGTGTTTCGGGCCAGATTGAGGCGCTGACAGGCGTACTGTCGTCGATCCCCGAAGAGCTTTTCCACGAAATTGAGCTTGAGGTGCACAACGCTGAGGGCGCGGCCACCAACAAGCAGCGTCTCGAGGTCCTCAAGGAGCAAGAGGAGTTGATTGGCGAAGAGTTGGAGCAGGACGAGGAGAACCAGAAGACAGGGTTTGCCTCGCCGCGTGATACTGAAGACATTGACGAGGAAAAGGAGGAGAGGCAGGCTCAGGCCGAATTGGAAGGCGTCGAGAAGGCGCAGGTCACCGAGGCGGCGGATGCAGAGAAGGACCAGCTCGAGGCTTCGAGGATACAGCAACAACAAAGGACGGAGGTGCTGAAGTCCAGCGACAAGTGAGCGGATGAGAGGTCGTGCTGTAACAATACCGTGCTATTGTGCACATACAATCTTTGTTTCTCTTTTGTGTGATGTTCAAGAAGATTACATCGCGGTGCGGTGAAGCTTCTACAGGTATAGACAGCGCAGCCAGCGACCTGGCCCGATGGATTATTCAGAAGTTTAGATCTGGGATGCCTCTAATCCTGTTGGGCAGGTAGCCATAGACCACCACAACTCAACACGTTATAAGTGGTGATGATCCGCTCCAATTAGTATATAAATCTCCCAACCTACTAGAAGTTACTGAGTATGTGGTGATGTTTTCGAAGCCGAATGGAGAGGGTATAAGTGGCTTGAATTGAGGAGCGTCTTCAACTCAACGTCCGATAAGGATAACTACCGGTACCTAGAGCAAGGAGTGTGCAACTGGTAGCAGTGTGCAGGAGCAAAAGACAACCATGAAGGTCTGAATTGTTCCTCACACATTGTCAGCTAATGGTAATTTATACTCATACTCCAATACTGTAGTGAGAACTACAATCAAGACTTACGCGCTACATGCGCCGAGTCTTGACACTGTAACTGCGATACTAGTACGGATATCCGTACTCTGGAGAACCACGAGAGCTTGGCCCGGGCGGTCATCGGGCCACGGCCGTCAAGCGCGCCCCACCATCCTACCTACGTCAGCCAGGACGAGCAAAGCGACCTAGGCAGTCCATCCTCACTCATCATTCAATCCAAACCAGATCCACAACAACCATCTTGACCTGGATCGACAAGTTCGAATATACGGACCGACAGCTCATTTTGGTTACAACTCAGCTTGTATTGGCACCGTGCAAAACCTTCTAGTAACCAAGTACGAGTTGACCGATTTGCCCCCCGGCGGCGCGCAGCCTGGTCCGCCTGCCGACCCCTCCCGGGCCCGACACCATGGCCGTCATCGACCAGGACAATTTTTCCAACATCTCGTGGAACAGCGAGCAGAATCGGGATTCTGCAGGGCCGAGCACATCCGCCTCCCACAGAAGCCCGCAGAGCCCAGAGTACTCCAAGAGCAGGCACGATGGCAACAAGGCGGGGTCGCCCAAGGGGCATTACGATGCCAGCCATGTCGGCGGCGAGATACTCGAGTGCGTTGTATCGGACCCACACAAGGAGAATGACGGCACCAAGGACGCTTATGTTTCATATCTAATTACGACCACCGTGGGTTTCCTTGCTGTCCCGGCAGCCTAACGTGAACTGACCGTCTCTCTTCTCCCCATGCAGACCACCTTTCCCGACTTCCAGCGGCCAACGACCTCCGTCCGCCGACGCTTCACCGACTTTGTCTTCCTCTACAAAGTCCTCATGCGCGACTACCAGGGGTGCGCTGTCCCGCCGCTCCCGGACAAGCAGCGGATGGAGTACGTCCGGGGGGACCGGTTCGGGCCCGATTTCACGGCGCGCCGGGCCTACTCGCTACAGCGCTTCCTTTCACGCCTTGCCCTACACCCGACGCTGCGTCGCACGAGCATCCTCCATACCTTTCTCGAGAGCCACGACTGGAACGCCACCATGCGCAGCCGGACTGCGAGGGGCGGTCTTGGTCCCGCCAGCCCGGGGAGTCCCGACCCGGGACAGTCGTCGACACCGGGCGTGTTTGACAGCTTCGCAGACAGCCTCATGAACGCCTTCACCAAGGTCGTCAAGCCGGACCGGCGCTTCATCGAGATCAAGGAAAAGAGCGACAAGCTCGACGAGGATCTCAACCACGTTGAAAAGGTGGTCGCCCGCGTGGCCCGCCGTGAGGCTGACCTCGAGACGGACCTGAAGGACCTGGCCGAGCAGTTCCAGAAGCTTATCACGCTCGAGCCGGGCGTCGAAGCCGCCGTGCACGCCTTTGCCGCGTCGGTCGAGGACACGGCCGCGGGGCTCAAGAAGCTCAAAGACCACACAGACCAGGACTACCTGGGCTCGTTGCGCGACATGGTGGCGTACAGTAGCGCGCTCAAGAGCCTGCTCAAGGCGCGCGAGCAGAAACAGGTCGACTACGAGCAGCTGACCGAGTACCTCAACAAGGCGACGGCCGACCGGGACTCGCTGGCGCACGGGGGCCATGGGGCCCACGGGGGCTACGGCGGCGGCTACGGCGGCGCGGCGGCGTCGGCGCTGGGCGGGGCCGGGGGTTTCATACGCTCCAAGCTCGAGGACGTGCGGGGCGTCGACCACGAGCAGGCGCGGCGCGACCGCCAGCGCAAGCTCGAGCTGCGCATCGACGAGCTCACCAGGGAGGTCGAGTCCGCGCGCATTGAGGCGGACCAATTTGCTGATCAGGTCATTAGAGAGGTCGACTCGTTTGAGTGGATCAAGCGCGTCGAGTTCAAGCGCCAGTTTGGTGGGCTCGTTGATGCCCACATTGATTTCTACTCGGGCATCATCGACGTCTGGGAGGCCTACGTCAAGGAGATGGAGAAGGAGGGCGTGGTGCTCCCGGCGTAGGGCGCCAGTGGGCAGGATCAGGAGGACCCCGAAGGTACTAGTGGTAGTAGTAGCAGGCGGCCGCTCACGCTTGTACCGGATGGGGAGGAGGACGGGGAGTGGACGCATGTTGCTGCTTAGGTTGTTTGTAAGTGTCTGGGAGGGAGGAGGACTGCTGGTCTATGAAGGGTGACCGGTGCTTGATCAGTCAAATCATCTCTCAAAGGGGTGAGGTTCTTTACCCCCCTTCTGTACCTTTAATCAGGCGCTTGGTTGTTGCTGGTTGGGAGCATTGCTCTTGATTGCGCTGGGTTAGAGGGAACCATCATAACAAAGCTGGACAGGCTAGTTGAAGAACCCATCAGTCTTGAAAAGCCGGGAATTGACTTTGCTTCTCCGAAATGTCATGCGTTATACCTGGCTAGTATGCACACTAAAAAGCTAGCTGCTAGACAATATCCAGAACCTTCAAACAGCAACAAAACCGTCCTGCGCCAGTAGAAGAACCCTTTGTACAGATAAATCTATTTAACCTCAAATAACTGGCAAACCCAAATACGAACCCGTTCACCAGCGAAGCAAGACACGAGCGCTAGCTGGCACCTCTGCCTTCCAAAGCGGCAATGATGGTGAAAATAGAAAGGTTGACAGTTTACCGAAGCGGCCTTGCTGCGTGGTCACCGGCCACGTCATCATCATCGTCGTCCTCATCGTCCCCCACAACGTGATGCTCATCCTCGTCACTGCCCAGCCGATGACCAGGTAACTTCTCGCTCAACCGGATCGGGGATCCGTCATCCGACGCAGACCCGGACCCGGACGCGGAGGGCTGGTCCCTATAGACGCTGACGACATTGTCGTCGCGCCCGCCAAAGTCGTCTTCGCTGTCAAGGTCATCAAGCTCGTCGTCGCTGCCGCCGGCGAAGGCATCGTACAGCTCGCCGCCGCGCGTCTTCTTCCTGCCGCCGACCCTGCCTTCACGACCAGCAACAAGACCACCAGCACCGGCGCCACCGCGCTTCTCGCTGTTGGGGCCTCCGGCGGCCGCCAAGCCCTCGACCTCGTCCTCGTCGAGAAGCTCAAACTCGTAATTGTTGCGAGGGTTGTTGCGCAGGCGTCTGCGGCGGGCAAGCCAGAGGTAGATGCCGAGGCCGGAGCAGAAGAGGAGGATCAGCACGAGCGAGCCGTAGATCCAAAGCTGGGTGGCGGCCGAGACGCCAAAGGTCGGGAGGAAGGAGGGCAGCCAGTTGCTCTTTGGCGGCGCCGACTGGGAGGGTTGCGGGGGAGCGGTTTCCTCCTCTTCCTGCTGCTGTTGTTGATCGTCGAAGCCGATGGACTGGGACTCGGTAGGCTTGCTATTGACCGGACGGGTAGGATGGTCTGACGGGACGACGGCTACGCCCGAGTCTGTGCTAGCCGGGTTGGAGGTGGGAAGGATGGTCGTGGTGGCAGGGAGCGTGGTCGTGGCTATCACCGCATGGTCATTGTCATCTTCCTCGGTCGGCATTGGGAGCAGCTTGGTCTTGGAGGGGTCGCGACTCTCGCCCCACAGCTTAAGGTGCCAGTCGACGAAGACGCCTGTGAACCTGTTGACGTTTGTGTCTTTGACGATGATGGTCCAATTGCCAATGCCCTTTTCGCCCCTGTGTTGATTGTTAGCTTGGAGAGAACTAGTCACAGCGGAAGATGCCGAGATAAATAGCTTACCAGTGGACCACGCTCATAAACGTCCAATCGTTGTAGCCGTTGGGTGATTCGTCGTCCTTGCGAGTGACTGAGAGGTGGCTGATCACCTTCTCAGGGCTGATCAGGTCAACGCTGAGATCGCCGCGCCGGCCATGCTCGACATTCATGGTGACGGTGATATGCTCAATACGCTCCAAATTGGCCTCCTTCAGCATGTCCTCGGTAACTTCAAAGCTGACGGCAATTCCCTGGTCACCTTGGGGGATGCGCTCGTTGACGTGGATCCAGGGAGAGAAGAACCAAGCCTGCGGTTTTACATTCTTCCACGTCTTGGCGGCCTCAACAATGGCGTAGCTATCGAGCTTACCATATGCAAATGTGTGACTGTACTTTTTGCCAATTGCAGTGTCCTGCCATTCGCCCGTGTCCAGGTTGACGGGCACGGCTGTCATCATGGCAAGATACTGCATGTCTCGCCACGACAGGTCCGGCCGCACCTGCAGGACGAGAGCAAAGATGCCGGCTGCGAGCGGTGCCGCGGCCGAGGTGCCGCCGTGGGTATTGGAGCACGAATTCTGGCCGACGTCGGTCGTGTGGATGGCGTCACCGGCACCGCTGGAGTAGGTGACGACCAAGCTCGCCGAGCACTTCTCCGAGTAGTACGGGTGTTGGCCCTTCCTGTCGATGGCGCCGACGGTGATGCTGTAGATGCTGTTGGTGTATCCGTCAAAGTTGCAGTTGTCGTCGTGCTGGGCTCCGTTGCCGCTGGCGAAAACGTAGATGGACCCGAGTCCATTACGACCGTTCTGCACCGCATTCAGCATGGCCCGGCGGATAAGGATGCCAGGGGCGTCCATGCTACGTCCATCGTCCGGAGGACCCCACGAGCACGAGTAGATCTGGTTATGCTGGAAGTCGTAGTTCATAGCCACGGCCTCGTCAGCATCTGAGATCATCTTGGACAAGATGCGCAGGCCGGCGATCTTTGAATTGTAGGCCACCCCCACGCCACAAACGTTGTTTTTCACGGCCGAGACCTCGCCGGCACACCGGGTACCGTGCCTGTCATCTGACAGACGCGGCCTTGGCTCTTCGGTCTTGTCATTAAAGTCGTAAGACCCCTCTGCATAGTAGTTGTCCCTAAGGTCGTCGCTGTACATGTCCAGGCCGTCGTCAACTATGGCGACAGTGGCATTTTTGCCAGTGATCCCCTGCAGCCATACCGCCGAGACATTCACGTCGTGGCCGACCTCGACCGTGTTGAAAAGATGCCACTGTTCGTGGAAGATGGGGTCCGTAATGTCCAGTGTTCGAGCCAGCTGCTTCTGCGCCTCAACCGCAGCCGGTTGCGCTCTGGAGCCGCTCATCAAAGACACGGGACCCTGTCGTGGCGGTATGATGCGCTTCTCCCATGGTTTACGCAACTTTTGTTTCTCGGAAAAGAGGACGCCATCCAGGACATGCCTCTCGCCAAGCGACCGCCTCTTTCGCCTCGCAGTCAGTTCCCGCTTCACGACATCGTGTTCCGACTTTTTGGCGACAAAGACGTGATGGTCTTTGAGTTCGCCAAGAGGACCCTCGTGGGATAGCCCGAGACTCCTGGCTACTTCGTGAGGGGCCGTGTCTGCATCGAGATGAAGAACATAGTAGTCATTTGCATCCCAATTTCGTGGAACAATGCGGGATGCTATCGCGAGCGCGGCAAACCCGAGGAGCGTCGCGGCGGACGAGATCTTCATCGTTTCCGGCAATCGTACTCTCGGGCCACGTTGTCGAAGCCCGGAACGGGATAGGGCGCTAAGAGGTTGCGGTGGAAAGCATGTATGGGAAGCGAGACGAAAGGATTCGCAACCGAAATCTTGTCGTTGGACTTATCGAGGAAAGGTTGTGTTAGACAGAAGCTGCATCAGGGGCTTGCAACGCAGTCGACTCAGGCGTAGTGTGGCAACTCCGGGGATCACCCACGAAATGAGAGCCGGCTGTTTCGAAACTTTGAGCAAGATCAGCCGTAGGTAGATGCAGGTTTTCGCAAACGCGGATTGCGTGAAAGTATTCCCCTTTCTACCTCCAGCTGGTAGGGACGATGGGATCTTACTCGTTGGGGTGGAGAGGTGGCCTCGAGGATTGTTGACGCCTTTCGCAGGTTGATCTTACCCTGTGCAGCGTCGTCGTAATAACAGCAATTTGGCCGCTTGTGCCACTTTCACAAAGAGGGTCTGGGCCTGGCTTAGCACTCCTCAAAGCTCAGTGCTCAAAGGTCTAGTCAGCCACTGTGGGCCGGGAACCAATCGTTTGCGGTGCCGATGAAAAGTGGGGTCTCGAATTGCCTTTGTCACATCCTGGCACTTGCGATAAAAAAGGAAATCGAACTGAAACGGCCTGCCAAGCGGCCTCCTGGTCGATGATCGTTGACCAATTCCAAGTCCAACAGCAACGGGGGACTGTGGGTATGCGCCGTTATTCTAAGTCTGGTAAGTTATATGCCATGATAGACAATCTCTTTGCTTGCATTTAAGTTAATTTGCCGATCTATCTCCATGGTTCAACTTACTACATAAAGAGAAAGATAAATACGAGCCAACAGACCACTGCAGTTGTCACTGTTTGTACAGTACAGTACCATAAGGTGTTTGAAGCATCAGCTCTCCCTGTCACGATGTTCTGACTTTAGTTTCTTGCCTCATCTACGGAGAGTTAACAAGGTGTTGAAGAGAAAGGTCTCTATGTCAAGGGTGATTGAATGTTGCCTAAGGATTTTGACCAAGGCCTGAATTGAGCTCAATCTTCCCGGACATAGAGAGGGTGGCAACGGAGTATGAATAGAGTTATCAATGTATTTGACTGACTAGTGGTGTATGTAGTGGTTTAGCCTCTCAACAACTGTCTCACTTCGAGTTGACATTGCTCCGTCAGGGAATATATGTTCGTCTAGTCTCAAGGTAACTGCAAAGTAAAGAGCGAGCAATCATTGAATCATCCAATCTTTCACCTTAGATGGACCATCACTTCCGAGTTGCGAACTCTGTGGTTCTTGTGCAGGTCCCAGAAGGCACCTCAGCATGCAAACGGGCTCGACTTTGCGCGTATCCTGCAAATCAGAGTCGGCAGGACACGGACTCATCTGAACTGAGATCGCCGGGACATGCAGGGCTTCAGTTCATCTCAACTGCTGTTCCTGGCATCATCCAGCTGCATTGGATGGTCACCAGCCATCAGCATTTCGGGTTCCTGGCAAACTGGGAACCGCAAAAGGCCCCAACTAAACAAGCTGGAGTGAGGTCAGCTAACGGGCCGGGTTAGCTTGAGGTGACAAGGCTCATCAAGCGAGCAGCGGGTGTTTCCCGCCTTTTCATTTTTTGTGTCTTTTTCCAGGTTGTGAACCCCTGTCTAGAAGCCCATGATGTGGGTGTGTGGCCAGCTAGCGAACGATTTCATCGGCTCTGGCAGTCGCTGCCCACTGGAACTCCAAGGCCAAGCCCAACCGCGCCAAGACCACAGATCCTTCCACACTCCACCCAAGCTTCCCCAGCCCACTGAGCCCAGTCAGCTTCCCGCCGCCAGGATGACCCCGGCCTAAGCCATCCCGCCATCTTTTTTACCATATCCATCAAAGTGCACGGAGTAGTTTCCCGTCTCTATCTCAGTATAACTGGCAAATGGCCCCTTGGTGAGGTGGTCAGGGCTGCTCGAGCCTGATTGTGCATGTGTCTGCAGAGCATTGGCGAAGCTGATGGGCCGGATCCCGCACGCAGATGGCTCGTGGACGAATCATCATATTCAAACGCCGAGCACTGAGCACACTGAGCACACAGCCGACACTCGAGGAGCGGTCAGCCCACCCCGCCAGAAGCCCAAGTGAGACAGCCAGACGTCGCCCCAGATCGAATTTACGCCTTGCACAAAACCCAACGGGCAGACATGTCGACTCCCTACTGGGGCCACCTCCCAGGCCCCAGGGCGGGCCAAACCAGAGCTCGCCGCTTGTCCGATGACCAGATCCCTCCGCCAGAACGCCGTCAGTCATTGGACCCTCCCAGCCAGGGACAAGCCAGGTCGAATCGCGTCTCGGTGCAAACTACAAAATCCGATGCACCCACCGATTCAACCATGAGTCCCTTCGCGTCGCCAACTGCTTCGAGCTTCCAGGGCCAGGGACTAGCTCCTCGTCCCCCATCGCTACCCTACGGCGCCAACCAGTACCCCCCTGAGTTGCTCGAGAACCGTCGCCGACGGAGGAGCCGCAACCAGGAGCAAAACGACGAGTATGTCACCGTAGCTGGTCCAGCACCTCCCGCCGCCCCGGACGTGCCGCGAGCTCCCCCATTGAGCTACAAGTATCCGCCCGTCAGCGGCGGAGCAACGCAATATCCGAACCCTGTCTCGCCTCCGGGTATTGGCCGACCGAGCAAGCAAATGGATTCGGAAGAATACTACAAGGCGCCGACACCGGCCAGCCAAAAGGAAGATCACCCCGTCTTAGATCGGACTCGGAACACGCTCGACGAGTCAGCGATGCCGCGGCCCCAGAGAGCCAACACGGATCCCATTCTCGGAAGAGACGGGTCGACGAGCAACGACCGTCAGCGCAGGACTTCGGCCGCTGAACAGTCATTGCAGAGGAGTAGTAGGAGGTCTTCGACGCACCATTCGACTGACCGGCCAAGATTCGTCGCGCCGGACCGCTCACCGCTTCAGAAGCTTGAAGAGACCTTCGATAAAGTATCCAAGGAAGAAAAGCGGGCGCGCGTCGAGGCTGCAGAGAGGGCTGCTCAGGAGAAGGCTGCCCGGCAGAAGGCCGCGGCGAACGGGACAGTGCAACAAAAAGAGAAAAGTGCACTGGCACAGCAAGGGCGACACCGAGAGCGGCGCCCATCGATAGCAGCCGGGGACGCACCCGTCACTCCCGTAACATCCACCAAGTCAACGCAGGCCCCCGCCAGTCAGCCGAGCCCTATATCTCAGCGCCCTCCTGAGGAGGTGCTGGACTATAGCGCAGCTAGCGGGAGGTCTCCGAAAACCGCAGCCCCCGGGTCACGTATCCCAGTTCCCTCGGGACAGCCATCTGGCATCCCGCAGCGCAACCTCAGCTTCCGCGAGCATGCTGCAATGAATGAGGTGAAACTGCCTAATAGTTTGAGTGAAGTTGCGACTAAAGGCACCGCCGCTGCCACCATGGCCAACGGGCCTGCCCCGTCGACGAGTTCCAGCAACAACAAGTTGAAGAAGAAGCCACCAAACGACCCATGGCCCAACAGGATTTCGGAATCGGAAGAGATATATAATTCGGGCGAAACAGCTGGTCGCAGCCCAAAGACGACACTCGGTACGTCTGTCGCGCCTGGTGTCCATGGGCATGGCAATTCTCTTGAGCATGTCCCATTTGAGCGCCCCCCCAAAGAACGTGCGGTTAGCGACTATTACAACTTGGGAGACGAGTCTCCGGACTTTTCCCCCGCGACCAAAAAATTGGTCAAATCTCCCAGCCAAAGAAAGGCTGATCAAATTTTTGGCCGGGCTCCGACTGAAACGACCGCAACTAACGGAGCCCCTGGACAACGTGCTGCCGTTTCTGGGACTGCCGGTGCCAGGATGAGCAGTGGTCCTACAGTCAGAGCAGTTCCTCACGTCTCCCCGCATAGAGACGAGAGAGGCGGCAGGGAAACCGACGAAGATAGGCACCACGTGTCTGATCTTATATACCATGCCCGCGACAAATTTCAGCCCGGCCAGGGCGTCTTCAAACCCACGCCGTATCTCGATGAATGGAAGCATGGGACCGTCGGGTCGCTCTCAGGCGCCTTGCTCGACCTTGACGATGTGCCGCCCGCAGTCGAGAAAAACACGCCTTGGTGGGAAGCGCCGCAATCTCGAAGGCGGTCCAGCAGCATGTCATCGCGGCCAAAGAAGGCAGAGGCATTCGAGGGGGAGTATGATGACACAAATGGTATGAGCACCCCTAATCCACAGGCCATGTATCCCAACATAGGAGAGATTCAGAGCGGTGACCTCCATCGGCTGTCGGGAAGCGATGTCGATGGCGGTCTTCCGTTTGAGCCCCAGCATCTCGCACCCCCATCAAAAAGGGCCAAGGCTCGAGCTCGGCGATGGGACGCCTTGCGTACTTTCAGTCCCAGCCTGTCACACGCGAGCGATTCCCAAGACAGTTTGTCCCGCTTCATGCTGTCTAGTAACGATGCCCTGCATCGACAACCGCTGCCGTACTCCTGTACAATGACCCTCGCTTCTTGTCGCATCATATGGCTTTTGGCAGGAGATCTTAGCTGACTTTGATCTTCACAGCTCCAACCAGATTCAAGCCACCCCTTTACCTTAAGTGTGGTCCCCTGCTGAGGTTCTGCGGGATTCGCCATGAGAGGGTGCCTAGTCGATCAGCTCGTAACGGCGCTGTTGTCGATCGTGAAATCTGGAGAGGCTCCATAATGATCGTGACGACAGATGCTGACTCGTCTTATGACATTGCCCCAACGTTGAGACTGTTTGTCCAGCCAATTGAGCTACTCCCTCCCCCTCCACGGGAGATACAAGGCGATGAGCCCCTGGCCGCCGAGTACGTCGACCCAATCGCATGCCATCCGAAACTCGGCCGAAAAGGCGAGACTCTGTATGTCAGACCCGTGGACCACCTCGACGAGTCCAAAGACCTGTCCAGGGACGAAACGGATGATGGCCTGTTTGAGAAGTCGAAAAGCCCGCCAGAGGTCCCGCTGCCGGCGGGCGTGGTGGATCCCCCTGGCTCCTTCGCCGCCCGGAGAAAGCGAGCCGAGATTGACGGCGAGAAGGCGGGCAAGTACAGAGACGTACGCGGATTCAGGCTCCATGCTGAACGCGGTTACACCTTCTGGAGGTTCAATATCGAAGTAGAATTGCGAGAGAAGCAGCAGCGGATTGCCTATCGGATCAACAGAGGCCCATCGACGGGCTTCTGGGTCCCAGCCAAAGGTCAGACCATGAATATCATGTTCTACAGCTGCAATGGGTTCAGCATGAGCGTCAACTCCGACCTATTCAGTGGACCTGACCCGATGTGGCGCGACGTGCTCAACACGCACCAGAGCCAGCCGTTTCACGTCATGATTGGGGGCGGCGACCAAATCTACAATGACCGATGCATGCAGGACACCAAGTTGTTCAGGGACTGGCTGATGATCAAGAACCCTCTCCACAAGCATAACGCGCCCTTCACCCCCGAGATGCAGGACGAGCTCGAGAACTTCTACCTCGAGCGCTACTCCATGTGGTTCTCCCAGGGATTGTTCAGCATGGCCAACTCGCAAATCCCCATGGTCAACATGTTTGACGACCACGACATCATTGACGGATTCGGCTCATATCCGCATCATTTTATGAACTCTCCCGTCTTCTCTGGACTCGGCAACGTTGCTTTCAAATACTACATGCTCTTCCAGCATCAGAGTGTCGTTGAGGAGACAGAAAAGACGGAACCGAGTTGGACGCTCGGTGTCCGGCCTGGGCCGTACATCAACGAGCTGAGCCGTAGCTTGTTCATGTTCCTCGGCAATAAGGTCGCTCTTCTCGCTGTTGACGCACGGACAGAACGGACGCGTGAGGAGGTTGTCCGGCAAGACACATGGACCAAGATCATGGATCGGTGTTATGGTGAGATTGACAAGGGCAAAGTCGAGCACTTACTTGTTTTACTCGGAGTGCCAGTTGCGTATCCCAGACTCGTATGGCTCGAGAACATGTAGGTTTTGCTGCATCCCCCCACTTGGGACTTGGGCTAACCGCTTTTTAGCCTGACATCCCGGGTCATGGATCCTATCAAGGCACTCGGCAAGTTGGGCATGTTTAGCGGCCTGCTGAACCGCTTTGATGGAGGCGTGGAGGTCCTTGATGACTTGGACGACCATTGGACTGCCAGGAACCACAAGCACGAGCGCAGCACTCTAGTGGAAGATCTGCAGGACCTGGCAGCGGACAAGTCGATCAGAGTTACCATCCTCAGGTGAGTGTCGGCGAACTCTGGAAGCGAATGTCAGGCCGATCTAACCAGTCGTAGTGGCGACGTTCACCTGGCAGCAATCGGGCAGTTCTATTCGAATCCCAAGCTCGGCATCGCCAAGCACAAGGACTTCAGATATATCCCCAATGTCATCTCGTCAGCCATTGTCAACGCTCCGCCGCCCGACCTGATGGCCGACATTTTGAACAAGCGCAACAAAGTGCACCACTTTGACAAGGAGACAGATGAGGCCATGATTCCCATCTTTGGGCATGGCGTTGACGGCAAACCACGCAACAACAAAAACCTGCTTCCCCACCGCAACTGGTGCGCCATCCGCGAGTATGTCCCAGGTAACACGCCGCCCCCGACGCCAGACGATTCCGCATACGACGTTGCGGCCCTCGGCTCTCCCCAAGGCTACGCAAGCGCGGGCGGCGGTCTGGGACGGAGTCTTAGCGGCGGCCTCTTCCGCCGGCTCTCCAGGTCCGGGGGCAAAGATCGCACCCATCCGCCCGTCTCTGGGGGCCTCCTACGATCACTGTCGCGCCGCGACGGCGTGGCCAGTGCCGATGAGGTAGGCAAGCCCCTTCCTCCAAAACCAGGCCTCTTGACGCGAACCATGTCGGGGTCGTCTGTGTCGGGCCGGTTCGGCGGCTTGTTCCGCCGGCGGAATAGCAGTGCGAAGCGAAATGATGACGGGGGCATCAACGGGCAGTGGGGCCCGGATACGGAAGAAGAGGAGGAGGTGGAAGAGACGCCGTACGCCGGCCGAGGCCACGGTCGTGGTGTTGGCTTGCGCGGCGGTATGGCAGCGGGAACAGGAACCGACTATTTCGATCACGCTCACGAACATGACTATGGTCACAACGGCGGCAATCATGAATATGGTCGTGACGACGAGAGGTTCTTTTCCGCCGTCAAACGCTCGCAAACCACCCCTGCAAACCCAGGAGGAAAGAACTCGGCCGTCATGTCCGGCGGCATTGCCGCCGCGGTACCGCCCTTGCCGGGCCTTCCCCCGGGTGGCCAAGGTTCGGAACAGGACCCCTCTGTCGGGCCCCCGCTGAAATCCTTCTCCTTCCACCGCGTCCCGACCGGTGGCCTGTCAGCTAAGCAGAGGAAGCGCGGCGGCGCCGAGGCGTACGCGGTCGACCTGCGCGGCGCGTTGGAGGTCACGCTCAACGTGGAGATCAGCGCGCGCGACCCCGGCGGGAGCACCGTGCCCTACCGCCTGGTTGTGCCCCGGCTGTGGTACGAGTATGAAGGGGAAGAGGCCCAACAGGCTGCTGTCGCTGCTACTGGTGTGGTTGGAACAGACAGAGATGCGGACGGGGATGTGGACATGATGGACATGGACATGGACATGGACATGGATGACATGCCGCATGATGCTGGGGTTGAAGTCGGGGAAAAGATTGCGGCTTTTGGTGGTCGTGGTGGGGGGGATGTACATGTACACGAGATGGGATCAGGTGGGAAGGTTTCGGGAATCAAGAGGTTGATTAGCCTGAGGAGAGGGGCCAAGGTTGGTTGAGTCCTGGAAGTTGTTGGTTTGGCGATAGGGGATGGATGGGTTACGATGATATGATATTTAGATGGCACGACGTGATGGAATGATGATGATTGGATGGATGTATGAATTGGACGGGTTTTTGATGGGTTGGGACTACTGCTGGTTCGGATTTCAACTCGCTTTCTGACTTTCTGCAACTCATTTCTTCACTCTCAAGCAGGAGGATTTGATCTTTTGTTATGATTCTTGTTTTGTTTTGTTCAACGACAGAGACACAGAGAGACTACAAGAACAGAAGGATACCTGTGAATGATTGATGACTTGAGATGGGACGATGGTGGGTCAAGTACCTCAGGTACGAAATCCAGATTCGAGTCAGGATTACACTGTACCTTACTCGTATCTGCTTCAGCCCACAATGGACAGTACGGTACATGAGATTGTGCTTGGTATTTTCCCTTGCGGAATGCTTATCCGAGAGGTTTCGGCCAGGTTTCGTGACGACGTGCTGAGCGTGAAGTGATGTGGTGTGTCCGCTTTCCCGTCACTGCAGCGCTGATGTGCGTTCCCTCGCGTACCTCCTCTTATGTGGCCTCACTTGTCAAGAGCATCATATCCGATGACAATTTCTGTGATCAGCGATGATTTGACCTCCATCGCTATTTGCAATGTCGTTGCATATCATTGCGTTTGTGCTCTTTCTATAGTCAATACAGAGGTAGTCAGTTATTGCTTCGGTTGGGCTTTGAAGTTGAGGTACTAGTACAGACGTACGTATGTATGTATTATATGTACAATACGGATACCAGGTTTGTATTGCAGTCTAGGCTCTCTAGGGATGGTGTGACGTCATTCTTGTGGCCCGGTAAAGCTACAGATAGATTACCTCGGTTATCTTGTATGTACGGATACAGTATTGTCCTATACCAGCTCGACCAGTCAGACTTACCTTACGCAGCACGATGTGGACGCCTTTATCAACAGTGTAATTCGTGGATTGCCGTCGGTAGTAAATACTCCGAACTTTTTGACGGATTGAACCAGCAAGACTCTTCACTAAGGAATCCGTAGTGCCTCAAAGATTGATACGACTACCACAGTATACTCCGTAGCTAGGTTATCAATGATACTTTTATGGATACCTTATATACATAGAGTTGTACGTATCAATAGTAACTCCATAGAGTGGCCTCATTTGGCAAGCGGAATCAAAGCTTTCTGTGGCTGTGTGGCTGCTTGGCTGGCGTCAGAGGCCTTGGGAGGAGGGGCATATTCTGCTGGGCAACCGAGGCAACTAGCTGATGGCGGAGGCGCCAGCTGCCTTATCCTCAACTACGAGTACCCAGTCTCAAGCTAGTGTGCCTTATGCTCTGGAAACTTGGAAGATAAGCGAGGTCGAGTCCTGCTGAGAGGGAAGGTACCCTCGTACCTTAGGTCCCGTAGCCGGCAGGAAATCTAGATCTGATCTCAACGCTTGATATGCGGTGCTAGTGTACAGCGCCTGCCATATACAACTCTCTTGTCATCTGGTTGTCATTGCTTTTCTTGGGCTGTTGGCTTCTGTCTGCATAACATTCTTATCGGCAGCATTATGTTTACAAAAGGCCCACTTGTAAAGGGTTGATACATCCTTCCACGCTCATCGCATGTCTTGTGCTACGACTCGGAAGAATGAATCTGTTGGTGCCCATCTCGCCTTCCTTAGAGAGGAGCCTGGGTTCGGGATGTGGGAGTGGCATGTGGACCACGGCTTCCTTCCAAGGACCCAACCCTGCAATCGCAATGGCGATGAAGGAATCGCTTGCCTTCTAGCGGGACTGTCACAGTCCGGCTCGCTCTTACACGGTATAAGTGCACCTGCTGGCCACACTTCAAGTTCAGGTTTCCTCTTTACAACCACAACCAGCCCCTGGCTTTTTCCTTCATTTGTCGTCGGCTGCCCCACATACTTGCGACCTCAGCGTCGAAAACTGCCTTTGCAACGCCCACTCGATGAAGGAAACCTCCCCCAGTCCCCCGTACCTTGATCGCATCCGCTCGTGGGCACGAACCAAAGCGCATGGCGGCACTGATCGCGCATCGCGACAACCTGACGCCAACACCCTTCCCATAAGCCGTCACGGCGCCTCCGAAACCATTGAGTCGAGCGGCATCTCCGCCAACATCGGCAACAATGCAGCACCTGGCTCGCCCAATTGCGTGCCTGGCGGATCTGCAATCCCCAGTGGCCCTGCCCCGTCACACGGTAATAGTAGTCCGCCGGTCGCTCCATCACCGCAGGCTGCGGAGCCGGGGCCTGTCATAGGTCCCGGGGACGACCAAGATGTTGCCAAAAAGAATATTGCTCAGAGATTCTTGCGCACCGCCAAGATGGTCCTGCTGCACAGCAAGCTGAACTTGCTGCTTGTCTTTGTGCCCGTCGGCATCGCTGTCAACGAGGTCCCGGGTATGTCGCCCGGTCTCGTCTTTGGCATGAACGCCATCGCCATCGTCCCGCTCGCCGGGCTCCTGAGCTTTGCCACTGAGACGGTGGCGCGTAGGCTTGGAGACTCTCTAGGTGCCCTGCTGAATGTGACATTTGGCAACGCCGTAGAGTTAATTATCTTGTAAGCCGTCCATGCCCATGGAAAGGGATTGTGTATATCGAACTAACGGTCTGCAGCATGTACGTCCTCCTTGGTAACTGGTTGAAGCAAGAACGGCATTTCCGTCTATGCACGTCTCAACTTAGTGATATTCCTTGTCGTCACCTGTTTGATCCGTTGAGTCTCTGGATGATTGCTTACTGATCTCTTTACCGTCAACAGTATCGCTCTTGTCAAGGTATGCTCTGGTTTTTTTTTTCTTTCTGATACGCGCAGCAACTAACTGTGGCCAGAATGAGATTCGTATTGTTCAAGCTTCGCTACTGGGCTCCATTTTGTCCAACCTCCTGCTCATCTTGGGCATGTCGTTTTTCCTTGGAGGAATGCGATTCCGGGAACAGGTCGGTCACCGTACCCTTGATGCCAGAATAAGTGCTAAACAAAAACAGATTTACAATAGCACTGTCACCCAGATGAGCGCCTGCCTTTTGAGCTTGAGTGTGATTAGTCTAGTCTTACCGGTTCGTAAAGGACTCCATATTGCGGGGAATCGCCTTAACATGCTCCTAGACCGCATTTCATGCCTCGTTCAGCGATACTGCGCTTGCAGACGCCCAGTCTTTGAAGATCAGCCGCGGCACCAGCGTGGTAAGTGTTGGCACTGGCGACCTTGCTAGTCGAGATACTGATTTTGTGTAAAGATTCTGCTGCTGGTGTACATTATATACCTCCTCTTCCAACTGCTCTCCCACTCATACATGTATGAGTCTACGCCACAGCACATCATCGATGAAGAAGCAACGCCCGGCCCGGTCGCCAACTGGCTCGACTCCTCCAGTTCCGATGACAGCTCCTCGACCGACTCTGATTCGAACGACTCTGACCACTCCCGGGGAACCATTTCCAAGCGGATGAGGCGAGCTATGCGCCGACGCCGCAAGTCGAGCGTGGTCTCAACAGCGGGTGAGGGCTCTCGGACATCTTCTTTCGGTGCGAGCGTCACGAGCGATCCCAAGGTCATGCCTGATGGAACTCCTTCGGAGGAACCATCATCCCGTCCCCGTATCGCCGTCACAAAGCCTAGCAGCGGAACGCCCGACGGGAATGAGGAGGCTATCCAGGATGAAACGGCCCATCGGCATGCAAAGCGTCACCATCGTCACCGGTCGTCTAAGAAACATCGCAAACATAAGCGCAAGGAGTCACGGGAATGTACGGCCGGGGAGACCATCGACGAAAACACCGCCTCTGGGGCCGGACCCATGTCCTCTCCTGGTGAACCGCGGAGAGTGGACTTCGCCACAGTGAACGCGGACGCGCCCGGAGAGGGCACAGCAGAGGCAGTAGCAGCTCGCAACCGGTTCAATGTCCTGCGCGGTAAATCCCTTGGGCCGGTGGCTAAGAGCCTAGCCCCAACGGTTTTCACGCAGCCGGCCGATGCCGCGATGCCAAGCTTACCTTCGGGCCCTGTCCCCCGGGTCCGCTATGGCATCCGCCGAACCAATTCTCTGCCCGACCGACTGAACCAGTACTACGGGGCTCCCGGCGCAATGATGCCTTCGCAGATCCCCCTAGCTGGCGTACCAAGAGCGGCTATTGCCGCAAATACTGTCGGAGATGGCGAGGAACTGTCCCGAACTGCAGCCGTGGTGCTCTTGATCGTATCAACAGGTCTAGTCGCCGTGTGCGCCGAGTTCATGGTAGACTCGATCAACGGGCTTGTCGAGACGACCAGCATTGGTGAAATTTTTATCGGCCTCATTATCCTACCGATCGTGGGCAATGCGGCCGAGCATGTTACGGCCATTACGGTAGCGATGAAGAACAAGATGGATCTAGCGATTGGCGTGGCGGTGGGAAGCTCGATTCAGATTGCCCTCTTCGTCACGCCTCTTATTGTCATCATCGGGTGGGCCATGGGCCGCGAGATGACGCTTTACTTCACTCTGTTCGAGACAGTTTGTTTGTTCGTGTCGGCCTTCATCACGAATTTCTTGGTCCTGGATGGGCGTAGCAACTATCTCGAGGGCGCACTCTTGATCGCTACCTACGTCATCATCGGCGTCGTGGCTTTCTTCTACCCCAACGCAGCTGAGGCTAGTTCATTGGGTGCTTGAAACTGGACGGAAGCTGCAAGATGAGAGCTCTTATGCCTATGTCTAACAACTAGCATGCTGAGTCTTGTGGTGGTGGGGTGGATGGGGAGAATGGATTGGACCAGTTCTGGATGCTCAGGGGCAAGGGGGAATCAAGTTAGTTCACCTGTGCTCCGAGGCGAGAAAGCTACCTAAGGATCGTGTGATGTCGAATTACACTCTTTTGATTTTTGGAGGATATCCTACTTGATAGAGATCTAGCAATTGATCCTCTCACCTTTCAGCACGATAACCATTGACTAAAATCTTGAGTGGACAACTTGGTATCAACCTGGCATACTGACGGCATGGTGACTGCGGGTAGTCTGGTAGGTAGATCTGTGCAAGCAGCCAACTCAGCCATAGGGGCTCCTGATCCTTTGTAATCCGTTGAAGGCACATAATCCGAGTTCTCTCGAGATTGCAAACCCGCGAAGGTGCGGGGCATGCGTCCGAAGGGAGGCCGCCAACGTCGTTGGTAATTCTTAGCCCGGATTCGATTGTAGTTCTAGGTACTTGTTGGAAATACCACCCCTGGGCACAGGCCACTTCGTGCCTGTGACGTCGGAAATTACTGCTCCTACGCGCCTACCAGGATAAATTGGCTCTAGAGAGCTCCTAAGATTCAGGATAACTTTGAACAACAATTGATCAATCAATCCACTAAGAATTCCATCACCACTGGCCAATTCGCCCAGTATTCGTGCCTCACTGCTGTATTTCCAACAGTACTTCGTAGTGTGTGACGTCGAGATACTTGCTGCTTGCTTGTCTTGGCAGGCTGCACAGCCTCAGCTTCTTTCCGCTTGCGACCTTGCGTCAGTCCCCCTGATCATATGCTCAAGCGGTTGTAACTGTATGTACAACAACGGCTTCAGGACAGATTGTTGGGTCTACATAGGGGAAAAGCCCGAGTGTGGGAAGTTGAGAAACGACAAAATTATCGAACTGGATAAACAAGGGAAACAAAGCTTCTTGCCAATTGATCACTCCCAACAAACCAATCGCCCAACACACCTACAATCACGTTGGCCTCTCACCCCGCCCTTATGACAACAGCTTACGCCGGCAAAAGACCTCGTTCCAGTCTGTGATTGTCTTTTTTCATTCTTAGCGGTTTCAAGAAGTGGTCATCCAGCCACTTGAAAAGAAATAGAGAACATGTGTTTTGGCAGCAAGAAGAACAATATCTACGACGAGGAACCGCCGCGACCAGCTCCGGGCCACGCGCCACAGCAACCAGTTTACGCCCCGGAGCCGAAGCAGAGTACGCCTGCTCAGTACCACCAGCAACGGCACCAGCAACCGCAACAGCAACAGCAGGCTATGTATCCTCAGCATCCACCGCCGACTGAGCTCCCCTCAGCAAGCAACGACTACGCCCCGCCGCCAGGACCACCGCCGTCGCACCCGCAGCCCATGCCACCCTCGGGCGACGATGGCTTTGCTCCTCCCCCGGGGCCGCCTCCGTCCTACGGGCGGCCAGGAGATGACTTTGCTCCCCCCCGTGGGCCTCCGCCATCCCACAGCAGCGCTGTCCATCGCCAGAACGACAACTCCCTGAGCTACATCGCGCCCCCTCCCGGTCCACCACCACCCCACGCGGCGCAGGCCGAGACCAAGAAGCCGAGCCCGCAACACGACTGGGCGACGGCAGTGCCGGATACCGCGCTCTTGCCGCCGCCACCGAGCTTCTTCTCAGGATGGGACCGCTCTCCGGCGACCAACGCCTCCGAGGACCAGGCCGAGGCCGGCGAGCGCTGGTGTGCCGCCAACCCGCTGCAGCCCAACGTGCCTCTGGGCGAGCCCGTCGAGGGTGCCCTGCACATGCTGCAAACGCACAACCTGAACCTGATCCAGCCCACCTGGTTCCGGGGTTCGCTCGTCCGCACTGCCCCGGGCGTCTGGGAGGGACACACCGAGCCCCAGGCTGGGGATATGTCGTACGTTTTCCTTCACTTGCCCATCCAATCCTAGTAGAAAGAGGACTTGAGATAAACTAACTAACTTACCCAAACAGAATCATCGCCTACCCCCCTTTGTACAAGGTGTCGCTTCAGTCCCCACTGCTTTCCACTTCTCCATCCAACCCCCCTCCCTCCTCCCACCCCCAGTTTCTCCCTAGCAACCCCTTCTCCAGCCCACCCCCTTACCCCTACTCTTCCCAGTCCCAGGCCAAGCCCAGCCCAAAAACAATCTACTACGAAGTCGAGGTCATACAACCTTCCCCGCGGCGGGGCGAGGTCTGCCTGGCACTGGGGTACGCGGCGCTCCCCTACCCGCAGTTCCGCATGCCGGGTTGGCACCGGGGCAGCCTGGCGGTGCACGGCGACGACGGGCACCGGTTCATCAATGACCGGTGGGGGGGCAAGACGTTTACCGAGCCCTTTGCCCCGGGCGAGCGGTACGGGATTGGCATGACCTTCACTGCCGTTGCAGGCAATCAGAGGATTGCGGTCGACGTCTTCTTCACGCGGCAAGGGCGCGAGAGCGGGCGGTGGAATTTGCACGAGGAGACGGACGCGCAGCAGGATCTACCTGTTGTCGGGCTTGAGGGGTATCATGACCTTGCTTGTGCCATTGGAACTTTCGGGCAGGTCGGGTTTAGGGTGTTCTTTAGGCCCGAGGACTGGTTGTTTAAGCCGGCGGGATGTTGATGATTTGCTCTTTTCTCCCTCGGTTTTTTTTCTTTTTTTCTTTTTTTCTTCTTTTTTTTTTTTGGGCGCGGCAAGGGCGGAGCGTTTGTTTAGTGTACTTGTACAATAGATTCAGCGTAGATCAACTGTATGTTCTTCAAGAAACGGGGTATCAAAAACGACAGACAGACAGATCAATCGTCTAGCCCTCCCCACTCGGTTTCCTCTCCTGCTTCACCACCGGTAACCTTTCCGCCGCTCCTCTCCTGTTGCCGTTGCTGCCTCTTACGCCGCTTGCTTGCCTCGATGGCCTGCTGCCTGTTATGCTCCTTCCTCCGCTCCCACGAGCTCTTGGTCGTTATCGTCGCCTTACCCCCGGATCGCCTCGACTCGATGCCCCGGACTTTGACCTTGCGCTTATCCTCCTTGGCCACCTTGGGCAGCGCATCGAGTAGCCACTTCTGCACCGCTGCGCTCTGGTCTCCCTGGTCCTTCCCCGCCTGCTTCTCGCTGGCGGCAATGACGTTGGCTACGCTCTTGACAAAGGGCACGTCGTCCTTTGTGTAAAAGGTGACGGCGACGCCGCCCTCGCGGCCGGCGCGGCCCGTGCGTCCCGCGCGGTGGACGTAGGCGGCCGCCGAAGTGGGCACGTCGTAGTTGACGACGCCGTTGACGCCGGCAAAGTCGACGCCCCGCGCGAGCACGTCAGTCGTGATGAGGACCCACACCTCCCCGGCGCGGAAGCGCGCCATGATCCTGGACCGCGCCGAGTCCGGCAGCGACGAGTGCAGCACGGCGATGCGCGCTGACCCGCCCGCCTCAAGCGGTATGTCGTACTTGAGCTCGTCGTGCAGCGCCTGCGCCCGCTCAATCGTCTGCGTGAAGACAAGGAACGGCGGGCGGAGCGGGGGGCCGGAGTCGGCTGACGAAACCGGGTGCAGAAGCTGCCGCAGGGCGAGCAGCTTGCCTGGTTCGGTGGCTGTGTAGATGAGTTTGTGCGTGATGTTGGGCACGGCCGTGTCTTTGAGGCCGACCACGAGGCGGATCAAGGGGCGGCGTGGCGCGCTGTCTGCGCGCTTGGAGCGCTTCTCGAGCTGCTGGGTGACGAGGGCCTCAATGTTGGACGCCATGGTAGCGGACCAGCATGACAAGCTGACGTCCGGGTGTGTGCAGGCGCGCCAGATGCCCATTGTCTGTTTGCGGAAAATTGGGTCAAGCAGGACGTCTGCTTCGTCGAGGACGAGGGACCTGACGGTGGGCAGGACCTTTCTAGGTCCCGACTTGCCTCCGGATAAGAAGTTCAACAAGATCTTGGGCGTCGTCACCAGAATGTCTACCCTGGCCGGCGGTTTGAAGCCCCCCGGTTTGCTGCTCTCTTCAGCATCCGGCTCTTCTCCGTCACTGCTCTCTTCCTCGTCACTACTCTCCTCACCTCCATTCTCCTCCTCTTCACCCCCCTCTGCATCATCACTTCCCTTCACATCTTCAGCAGCGAGCCTAAGACGCCCCCTCATCAGCACGACCCTCACGCCAGTCCCAATCGCCAACTTCCTGCCCTCGTTCACAATCTGGCTTGCCAGTTCCCTCGTGGGCGCCACAATAACCGCCTCAAGCACATGCTCGTCGCTTTCCCGCCCTTGCTCTGCCCGTCGCTTCAGAACTCCGTCGATAGCCGGAATCAGAAAGGTGATTGTCTTGCCGCTGCCCGTGGGGGCAACCGCAAGGAAATCTACCCCTCCCCCAGTCCCTCCAGTGAGAGTGCTCCCTGTATTTTTCAGTGCCGTGTCTGGCCGCAGCAGCAAGGGCAGACTGCCCATTTGCACCTCGGTCGGCACGCGGAATCCTTGGGCCGAGATGTTCTCGGCCAGCTGGGGCGCGACGTCGTAAACGTGTCTCAGATCTTGAAACGAGGTTAGAGGTTGGGGGTGAATTTGTTTCTTCTGGTCGTCCTTTTTCGGCTGCTTCTCCGCCTCGGTTTCGGCCGATTTTCTCCTCTTTTTCTTGTCTTGCTCGGCTGCCTCGCCATGGTGCGCCGTCTCATTGGCGTTGGTATTCTGCTGCAGGCCTGAAAGAACAGTGAACTTGAGGCGATGGGAGCGCAGGATCTGGCGGCATCCGTCCTCATCTAGGAGCTTGATTTTGCGTTTCTTGGATGGAGCGGCGTCGTCGGTTTGGGCATTTTGGTGCGCCGCCTCGGAGGATGGTTTCTTTGGTGCAAAGTAATCCACATCGCTCACGTCATCTTCCTCGTCTCTGCCCGTTGTATCGTCATGATCGGGCGCATCGCGTCTCCGTTTCCTCTTCTTGCCTCTGGGGCTGCCGTCGCGGACGACATCGTGAAAGAGCTGCGGGTGGGGGACTGCTCCGGCTGAGGGAAGCTGCGCGGTGGCTGTCGCGGCCTGGGTTTTGTTTTTGATGTTTGGTTTAATGCCCCTCGAGAGCACTTTGAGGATATCCATGACCAGAGCCGTCGTCTACCCACGAAAGGTCACGTTTCGCGTTCTGAGGAACTGGAACATGATAGAAGAGGAATTTTGGGGATTGAGTCGCGATAAGAAAATGTTCAGCCCCACAGAAGCTGCCAAGGGCTTATCGGCCCGTGGGGTCGCTGGACTCCATTGGCATTTGGCATTAACAGTTAACAGTAACACCACCTCACCAGTCACCCCCAACAGCCTGGGAGGTGCTGTACATACCACCAGTTCATAAAGCACCATACTGTATAGATGTGCAAACAATGGAAGTTCCGTGTGTACTGTACATACAGCTGGATCCTAAGGTTGGATACGGAATAAAATGGTACCTGATACAGAGCCTCCCAATGTCCATTGCCACAACTCTACTAGTAGTTCAAGCCCGTTTTGCATAGCACAGTATATAAGTGTATCATACAAATACAATTCGTACATCTAGTCTACAGAGCTGCCCACAACATCTTCGCATCGTCCACAGAGCTGGTCTTCCTTGGGTGCGACATAGCGCCAACACCGGGGACATTTGGCTTTCCTGGGCGACAGCACCCAGGCCTTGCATTGGGCGCCATCCAGATCGAACTCCTCGGAGTAGCTCCATTCGGCCTCCGGGAAACTTCCATTAAGCTCAACCGATGAGACCACGAACATGGCCTCTAGCTCGTCCTTGTACTTTTCCAGAGTCGTGAGCACCTTGCCCTGAGGCAAGTCAAGCACCACATCGCACTGCAGCGACGAACCTAGCTTCTTGTCTGCCCGCGCGAGCTCAGAGGCCGCCTTGATCGCTGCACCGGTGCGCATCAACACGGGCATATGCTCCCTGAGCTCGGACTCGTCGAGCGTGAGACGGCTGGGGTCAATTACGGGTGCGTTATACAGCTGTCGAAGCGGGTGGACCAACGCCTCATCCCCCTTCAGCCAGCCAGGCAAATGTTCCCAGGCCTCCTCCACAAGTACCGGCGTGATGGGCGCCAGCATCCTGAGAAAGCCTACCAAAATAGGCTCCAGCACGCCACCACCGTCTCCGCAGTACAGGCGATCTTTGAGTGCCTCGAGGTAAAAAGCCGACAGGTCGTTGGTGATCCACCGATTCAGGCTGCTAAACGCCTTGTTGAACTCGTAATTGTCATAATGCTTGCCAACCTCCGCCATGACGTCCTTCAACTGGATGATAGCCATCTGGTCAACGGCCGTCAGCGGGGCTGTCCGGGCAGACTCGTGCATGGAGCCCGTGAGCATTTTGATGATTGTGCGGTACTTGACAAGGGCCTGGTGAATAGTCTTGAGCACCGGCTCGCCGAGGACAATGTCGCGCGTGTAGTCACTGCTGGCTACCCAGAGGCGCAAGGCGTCAGGGCCGAGCGCGTCCTTGACCACTGGTGCGCTTCCCTTCTTCTTGGTCTTGAGAGGCGGCAACAGCGAGCCGTCCATGACATCGTCCGCTGAGATGATATTACCCAGCGACTTGGACATCTTCTTCCCGTCCTTGTCCAGCGTAAAGCCGTGTGTAATGAGCGTCTTGAACGGAGATAGGCCGAGTGTGTTTGTGGTAGAGTTTGTGCCCCGGTCAGCCATGGCTGCCACTCGCGTGAGAAGACTGGACTGGAACCAACCACGGTGCTGGTCCGAGCCTTCAAGGTATAGGTCCGCCTGTTTGTCCATCATGGTCCAACTACTCCCACTGTCAAACCAAACGTCCATCGTGTCGCGGCCCCGCGAGTACTCAGCCTTCCCCCGGATTGAAGCAGGAATCCACGCCGCGTCGTCAGGAGCATCAGTCCACCAAGCATCCATCCCTTTTTCCTGGATGACTGAGATGATGTGATCGATTACCTCGTCCGTCATGACGGCATTGCCGTTCGGTTCATACAGCGCCGGTATCGGCACGCCCCAAACGCGCTGTCGCGAGATGCACCATTCGCTACGGCCCATGACGAAGGCCTCGAGCCTCTTGCGCCCGGTCTCTGGCACGAAGCGCACTTCCTCAAGTGCCGCCAGAGTTTGGTCCTTGATCGTATCCACATCGGCAAACCACTGAGCTGTGGCCCGGATTATAACGGGTTGCTTGGTTCTCCAATCGTAGGGGTACTTGTGGCGGTAATCATGGACATCCAGCACGTCGTTTCCAAGCAAGTCCATAACAGCTACATTGCCACCAGCCATAACCGAGATGCCCTTAAGCCGGCTAGGTTCGTCCGGGAACGCCTCTTCGGTGAAAAAGCCATCGTCGTCTACGGGTGCAGACACCGGGATTCCTAGCGATAAGCAGGCCAGGTAGTCATCGAAGCCGTGGCCCGGGGCGCAATGAACGAGTCCACTTCCAGAGCCCTCCGTGACAAACGAGCCATGGATGATTGGCTGTGGGTGTGCGGACTTACCACGTAGCATGTTGACGTACTTGAGCTGCGTAAGTTGGCTACCGTTGATTGTGCTCAAAATCTCTGGCGCTGAACCGTCTCTAAACAGCACCTTCGCAACACGCTCTAGGCAATTCTCGGCGACCAAGACCGCATCCGGCCCGGAACGGACAATGTGGTAGGTGAAACCCTCGTGCACAGCGATGGCCCTATTCGCTGGGAGCGTCCATGGTGTTGTGGTCCAGATAACAGCATACAGCTTGCCTCCGAAACCCTCCAAGCCGGGCAGATGCCCGTAATCCCCGACAATGGGGAACCTGACATAAGCAGCTTGGGAGATATGATTCTCGTTGTACTCCAGCTCAGCCTCGGCCAGAGCGGTGCCAGATGACGGTGACCAGTACACGGGCTTATACTTTCGGTAGACCAGGCCACGACGCGCCATCTTCTGGAACAGGCGCAGCTGCCTGATCTCGTAGGCCATGTCCATAGTCTTCCATGCCGCCTCCCAGTCTCCCATGACAGCGTACGTTCGGAAACTCTTCATCTGCTCCAACACCGTCTTCGAGGCGAGATTGCGCGCCGCCCTGCGGGTGGCGCCCGGCGACATCCGCTTGCCCTCGGCGGCCCCGACGGCCTTGAGCTCAATCGGCAGGCCATGACAGTCCCATCCCGGTATGTAAGACACACGGCGACCTGGGTGCAATGTCCCTGGTCAGCAATCAAACAGCGTCTAGAGTCGACCGGGTCAGGTGGTGCTGGCGAACCGCGCACCTTGCTGGACCTTGACGCGAAGAACAATGTCCTTGAGAATCTTATTCAGGGCGTGGCCGGCATGCAGGCTGCCATTGGCGTACGGAGGCCCATCGTGCAGGACGAACTCGTCATCGGCAGGCCGGTTAACGGCCTGCCATTTGTAGAATTCATCGGCGCATCGTTGGATATACTGTTCCTGCTTTTCGGGCAGAGGGCGCGGCCTGGGACGCGTGAGTTCAAGGCATCCAGCTATAGAAGCGCGTAGCGGAATGCCTACGGGAATGTCGATTTGGGCAGCCTCAGTGTCGATGCCCAGTTCTTCGTCATTGTCTCAGACGCATCATAGTGGGACGCAGCTTGACATGCCAAATGTTTGACGAAAAAAATTCCAGGATTGATTGAGCGCTCGGCCGTTTCGGCCAAAGCCTGCCGAATGGGCGAGCGTAGGTCCCGAAGTCTCGGGACAGGCTGCTGCAACAGTGAACACAGCACAGGGAATTAACGGCTCAACGATCACGCAGCGTGGAATTGAATCAACGAATATCGAAAATTCTATGTGAACAACGAAGAATGCCTACATGACCTCAGATGTGAAAACCAAAGTAGAGTTAGCAGACAGATACAGCACATTGGCCAATCCGCATTTTCACCGTGGTGTAATTAGTGCAGGTGCCAAGCCGGTGCTTGCCGTCGATGAAGCCTCCACCAAAACTCATTTTTAGGGCACCCGACTTACACATTGCGGCTTGCAGACTCCTACAGATACTTAACCAGTGTGGCGAAGTGTAGACTGATGTTTGTTGTATGTATTCCAGAAATTGTGAACTATCTACGTGCGCTCTCTAAGGTCCGTCTTTTTGAACGGCTCATGGCAGAGCAAGCCAACTTCAGGGGGTGCTAACCGGCTGCGGCCCCACCTACCTACTGTACTGCTGTCACCGGAAAACGCCAGGAGAAAGCGGGTCCTGTGTTTTTGGATAGTACCCAGCCTGCCCAGCGCGCAGCAAATCGACTCAACGGCTGTTGAGCCCGAAACTATCCTCTATATATTGGCTTGCGTATGGCACGCGCGTACCAGAAAACCACCTATATATAGGTAGTCTGACCTCTAGAATCTAAATCTATCCTTTTTGTTTGATGGCGCGTGTAATGCACAGGGAGCTATTGATGAGGCCCTTTTTTACCAGGATTTCTTGTAAATTCAAAGATCTTTCAACGAAATTTTCAGCATTCTTGGCAAAAATGCTCGAAAAACAGGTCATTTTAAGGTCATCAATACCTCTACGCGCATTATGCGCGCTATTAAACTAAGGGTAGATTCGGATTCTAGAGGTTAGGTTACCTATATATACGTGGTTTTCCGGTGCGCGTATGCCATATGTAGGCCAATATATAGAGGAGAGTTTTGGGCTCAATAGCAGTCAAGTTGACCTGCTGCGCGCTCGCAGGGCACCCTACTATGGCCCTGGGGATCCACTTTCTCCTGGCGTTTTCCGGTGACAGTGCCACTCTGTATCGTCTGTTAAGGAGCTTCCACGATGAGCAAGCGACAGGCACCTTCTCTTCCATCTTATGTACATGACCTGCTCCAACACAACCCGACAACATGGCGCCAATACGCCGCTACCTGAGAATTACCAAATACTCGGTGCTCGAATGCCGCATATACTTGGACAATCCCGCGCTGGCGCAGAGTTGGCTTCTCAACCCCCGAGACCCAATCCTGCCAAAGGTCATTGAGAGCGTGCGCCCACTGGTCCTGCCCAAACTCCGTGAGGAGAGGGAGCGGGAGAGAAGTAGGAAGAAAAACAAGAAACGCAGCATCAAAGATGTGGTCGTCGAGGGTGGGTATGACAAGCACCAAGCACCAGTCAAAATGATATGCTGAGTACCCGCAGATGAGTTCGAGGTGTCGATCTTTCTGACAGAGACCGACACGCGACATTCGTTGCTGCACAAACAAAAGCTATTCCGCGACAAGGTGCAGACAAAGCTGACGTCAAACTCGTCCAAGCTAACGGGCGCATCCCGCGAGGCGCCCATTGATGTGGAGGGCGAGTTTCTTCAAGCGGGTACCCAGACCAACGTACCGATACTTCGGGAAGAAGACGAGGACGAAGACAGGGTCAAGTTGGCAGACATCCCTACGCTAGATGAAACGGCAGACGAGCCCGGTCCCACCAATAGGAGACCGAAGAGACGGCGCCGAGGACCGGCCGGGCCTAACGAACAGGGAAACAAGTCGGACAAGACCTCCGACGCTGATAGCGATAGTGACGTGGACGCCATCGAAACAGACTCTTCCGCCGAGCGACTGTTTGTGGATGATAGCGACGGCAATGGGAGCAATGCTTCGATTGGTCCGCCGCCGCCAAAGCGCCGCAGGGAAAGCGCGGAGCCGGATGGTGGGACCGAGCAGCGCGACGACAAGAAAAAGATGGCTATGGATATATCGTACGAGGGTTTCGCCATCTACGGGCGCGTGCTGTGCCTCGTGGTCAAGCGGCGGGACGGCGGAGGCAACGGCGGCAGTACAGCCGGCCCGTCGGGCGGTAAATCCCAAAGCGACCGCCCAGGAGGCCAGGCCGTGATGGAGAATTGGATTACATCCACCCAATTGCCTGAACCCGCAATTGGGGAAGCCGACGTCCCCTGAAGTGACCCGCGACTGGCCGCCAAATCGGGCGGGAGACGCAGCTTGACCGCCCTGGAACGCGGGCTCGGCAGAGAAGCTCTGGGCGGGGGATCTGCCGAGGATCGTCTCCGCGACGCCACCTGAAAGGGCGCACTTGTGTGGCTCGAATCGCTAATCATAACTGCCACGACTGCTTGATGTCACCAAGGCAAGAACACACTAGCCTTTCACCCTTCAACCAATCTTGGAAATTATCAATTGGAAGGGCTCCGCACCCTTTGTTTCAGTTTCTCGCTTGCGGAGCAGATTTGCGAATATGACGAATAATGGTGGAATCGCTATCGATGTTCACACCCAACTCGGAACTTATTTGCAACTGGTTTAGGTGCAATACCACCGTCCCGCAAGAGCTCCGGATACATACTCCAATTGTAGATTACACGTGTAAACGTGGTGAAAGCTGCGGCTAACGTTAGTTACAGAATGAGACTTCTACTCGTTTCTCAGTACCAGCGTCCTGTGGCATTCTGGTCCGAGTGTCTGTGGCGGTCGTGTCGTGGGACGGACCCCGGTTTCTGGGCGGGCCCCTGGCTCGACGCTATCACATCAATCACACCAACGGACGGATACACATGTGGTCGGGTGCATGTGACACAGCATAGAAGCGCTGATCTTGTGGTGTCATGAGGTCGGGAATGCAACAGGATGGCAAGGCGCAAACGCTTTGGTGTAGCGAACGATTTCTCGATACTAGTAGCTTCATCGACTGATGCTTGAGGTGACATAGGGGACACACTAGGTAAAAGAGCAGGTGCACTTGAGCACTGATCGGTGGCTAGGCCGCTGAGCATCATCTGGATTGTATAGACCCCATATCTACTGTGTATGGAGGCGTTCCTTTATCAGGCCATGTATGGCGGCTTATAGTTATCTGTTTATGTATCTACATACATACAATACACGTGTACAGCCACATCGTCTTGCCCCTTGATGGGCATTGGTACCTAGCCCGTGTTCCTGCCGGCGGCTGATAACAGGCTCAGGCATGATAACCATGTAAGGACCAAGAAGAGCTTACTATGTGATTCCTACCTATAGTAGGTAGATAGTGTATGATCGGCTTGATTAACGCCCTACATAATATTGTATGTACAGTAGAGTACTTGGTGTATGCAGATGAGCCAATGTATAGGTGGAACAATTCAGACGACACTTGTACATACATTCCATCTGTACAGTACTAGGTATGTAGCAACCCCGCGCGCCGGACGACGCGCGGCACCTGGCCAAGTTACTCACCTGGGCTCTCTGTTTGTGTAATAGTTAGGTACATGTCCCAAACAGGCCGATAGCAAATACGAAGCCGGACGACGGGAACTTCCATGGGACAAATGATCAAAGAGAGAGGCTTTTAAGTAGTCACTACGCCTGTAACTACCTAGCGCACACTACAAACAAATTGATTGTTGCGATCCCGTTGTCTGACATTGGATGATTGCTCGGCACTAGTCTACTGCACGGGTCGCAGCACATTGCGACCTTGCATGCGAGGCTGCTTGTATGTATCCGAAAATAGCTTACGTATCTGTCAGTTATAGCCTTCCCTCCTTTCAAGATGGCTAACATCCTTCACTGGTTCCCCTTGCTCCCACGGCGCTGGTTTCTGGTGGGTAGCGATCAATAACTCAAGTTTCCAACTCGATGTGGCCGCATGGGTTTCTTGAATTTCATTTCGGCCGCCTTCATTTGGACAACCACATATATGTTGATAGGTGCAGCCTTGCAGCGTGTATGTGCCCGAAATTGGGTTGGTGTTGTATCGATTGCATACGATCCCGGCAAGGATATCGCAGCTGTGCCTGCGCCATTTGGCTGCTTTTCCACGTGGTTCGCAGGGGTCATGTCAGCTTGGGTGGGGAACATCATTTTTCTGGGAACGCCGAACTCTGAGGACCTCGGCTTCCTTCCTTGGTTTCAGGACCGACAATATCAGTATCTGGCTGGCCATTGGTTCAAACGCGCAATGGACAAGGGGAATGCGTGTTCTGGATAAGCCACACACAAGAAGCGAGCCGAACAGCCGGAGAATTTGCACGTTGTCCTGAAAAGCCCGAGGAGCTGAAAGTTCGGAGCAAGACTGCGAGACGGGACCGTCCTGGTCGCAAATGGAGCAATTTTCTTTGTTCAATTGGGTTAGCGGTACTTGATCTACTGGCGATCCATGTGTGTGTGCAACTACAGTACGGAGAATGGTGGCCTTACCTAGGTGGTGTATGGATTCCAAACCGCATGGTTCTCGGGCATCGGGAACCTACACAGGCTTGACAAACGCTCTACACTACGTATCGCCGTTTGTCCTGTACGTACATACAATTGCCTGAATCCTCATCAGAACCAGGTCCGATGAGAGGTAGTTCTTTCTTTCCTTTGTCGCTCGAGAAGGCAAGCATGATGGGTGATGAACGATAAGTTCAGGTTAAACGATTTACCCGCCCCTCCAAAGTCATCAGAGCTCCGCCTTTCTGCGCCCGCTGACTGCATACAGGCTGCGCAACCATGGCGGTCGCGATACGTATAACAAACTTATCTGCCGTAAAATTGTTGGCCCTTGCACGCTTGGAGTGTCCCAACGGAGGAGTCATAAGGCTGTTAAAGCATGCAACTCAACATCCACGTCAGAGTCCGGCAGCAAGGGTAAGGCAGGGGCGCACAATACACTACATCGGCATATGGTGGTTTTTTCTACACGAACCTAGAGATAGTGCACCTTATGGACACTAGAAACAGGGGGTGCACATCCATCAAGTCTCACATGCATGCGACCTGTCGCATTTGTTATCAGTTCCTGCTGTGAGGTTGGATCGGCTGTATCGCAGAGGATTCCCTCGGTTGGCCCGGAACTATACTCCATTCCTTATTGACCATCGGCAAGTTTCACGATCATTTGAGATGCTAGTTATACGGTGCTCGTCATTGTGTCCGATCAGCGGCATCCCGGGTTAAAGAAACGTTCGTAATAGCGACGAACCGGCGGTGTGATGGCGTTTGCTAGAATTCCATTTCTGCTGGCCCCTCTGGCCTTCTGGAAGCTTGACAAGACGGGGATATGCCTGCGGGGACGGAGACCAATCCGGTGGCACGCCGCCAGCTTCGCCGGGCAAAAAGATCCTGGAACCACACTTTTCGCATCAGATGATCGATTTTCAGACACCAATCGGGAAATTCGAGGGTATAACAGTCGAGCATTATTTGCTCAGGAGTGCAGGAATGCAGGAACACCGGCTCACTCGGTCGGAGGATTCATGATCGGCAGAAAGGGAGGGGTGCTTTTGATGTCGCGAAACCTGCTCTTCGAACTTGAAGGTACTTTCCGAGACTTCCTTACAACGGGGAAGGAGTCCTTCGTAGTGTAGTGTATTCCGTAATCTGTATTGTTAGGCAAACCGTTTTGCGGGTTGGGCAAGGGTTCCAAGCTGCCGGGTCTTTCGGTCGTTACATCACAAAAAATCAGTAGCCATGTGGTGCTCCGCCCAGTTCGGCTTGAAGTGTTTAACTTTGAGGTGGGTAACCAAGGTAGACAAAATGTTTAACCATGGGCATGCGTGTATGTACTGAACTCGGCGAACTCTTTTCGGTTTGCAGCGCGCAGGAGAAATCGTTTTTCAACGGCTTGCCCGATGATGTTCCGGTAGGTTGCTGAGTGAGATTCGCTCATTGTACAGTACCTTACATACATCCATACTCAGCGGGACGTTAGTGATCCACTAGAAACCTCTGATGCCCTGATCAGGGGATTGGATTGAGGACCACACACACACATCCTTCTGGGTATACTGTGGTATGCGTTCTGGTATCTGTCGGCCGCGCCAACGACCAACAGCGGCTATACGTAGGTAAGGTAGTGCTAATGCTGTCGGTACTCTGTAGATGGTGGTCTGTTCATTTCGTGACCTATCTTCGGCTGTCGTCTTCTCTAGGTCCCTCAGCCACGACCCAAGTTAGCTTGAAGCCTCGAACGGACTTTCACGGACCTTCGGTTTTCCGGTGGCCGCCGCCGTGCCGCCTTCAGCTCCCGCCCTGTGCCTCTTGTGGGCAAACAAAACAACTAGCAAAATGGTTACGCGACATACTCCCTGAAGTTTGCGATAAACGTTTGTACGAGGGACGCCAAAAATACAGGGCCTGCTGCAAATGCGAATTGCTTTGAATAGCCGCTGCGGTGCGCGCGGCTGCTGTGCATACCGCTGGAACAAGCGTCTAGCGCACTATGTACATAGGGAAGCGCCGATGGCGCGCTAGGCGGCTGTGGTTGGTGCCGTCACCGTGCTGCCGCTGTAACCTGCGGGAGAGGTATCACCGACTCGAACGAGATCTTCGCAATGCACGGCAAGTGCCACCAATCCCTGCGTCCGGGCCAGATTTTGCATTGTATTGTACAATACAGTACGGGTGTACAGACTACAGCATTTCGGCAAGTCCCTGAACAAAACACTGAAGATATCGCGACAACTTGGAACCACTTGATTGTGTGCCGAAATCCCACCTGTCACACTCATTCCTTCGTCCTTGTTGGCTGGGCTGCAATTACATGGACCCTGCTTACCCCAAGCATCAGGGCAGCCTGATCTCTTGTTAGACCCCGGCCATTGGACCGTGAGATGCCAACGCATCCGTGAAGAGCCATTCCACTCACCAGGCTACCGATACACTAGATTCCATGACTCACATGAGAAACGTGGTCAGCGGCGGGCCAAGCATCGGCTTTCCAGAAACGGGAAGAAGCAAGGCCTGCGCAAGCGGTAGCTTCATCAAGGCTCGTTATTGCTCACACTCCGGGCGAAGAAAGCCCTGGGCTTTGGATTTCTCGTCACGTCACTGTCCAAGTATGTACTGTACATACCTTTCCCCACCATTTACACAGCATTTGAGTTACCTACTGCGTGTAGTTATTCCACACAACCTTGATTGTGCCTGCGGCGGAGTGCGGGGGATCGAATATAGTGTAAGTAGCCCTGCGGCAGACGCCCGATGGTGCGTGGGGTTTCCAAAGTAACGTTTTGTTCCTACTAGTAAGTACACGACAGGAACCTTGCCGTCTTCGAATTGTGACAGGAGGTAGTCTACTTCCGGCTCTAAAGGTCCTTCTCGGCGGGCATCAACGGGGGGGAAACGATGATGGTGTGGCACAACAATGGGCTCATTGTCGGAGCGACTAGCCGACAACTGCCCCCATTCCAGCCCTCCTCGTTAGCTACCAGGCAGGGCCTCGCGAAACGACCTCGGAGACCAGCCTGGTTGAGGCGAAGCTGCGAGGAGCTCCCGTGTTTCCCGAACTGGTCGAGAATCATGCCAATACATAGTATTCGGAAGGGTCTCCGTTTAACTAGAGGATGTGTGCGGCTACCTGCTGAAAAGGGGCGGCATCGCCGTCGAGTTCAGCAGCATTGAGTTGAGGGGCTTGGCCTTCGAGATGGTAGGGCACATAACAGGAAAGGGTAAAAAGCAAGAGCGAATAACGCCTCACTGATCATGATTGGTCTCCCCCAGAAACGAGGGATGGTGCGATCGGGTTGCCAGCGGCATCGTTTCGGGTATTTCCATTAACCTGAGTTGTGATCTCTCATCTCGATGACCAAAAGTGTCTGGGTCACATTAATTGTTCCAAGCCACCACGAGATGTGGCAGTTTTGGGCATAACTTGTAGAGAATACGAAGTACCCTACATATATGTACAGTACGTTACAGTACTGTACGGAGTACGAGCCAGGAATGCCTCAAGAGACTTGACGACGAGGATCGCACATTCCGGACTTTATGAATTGTGTACGTACATGCAGTACTGTGCATCTGTGCAGGGCGGTAACTGATTCTATAAACTCAAAGGACTGTTTCTGAAACGTTGCTCTCGAGGTGCAGTTCTCAAACCATTGGGGAAACTCAAATCCTATCCATGTACTGTGCCGAGTTGTTGCTGTAATTAAATACAAACATTCCCGCAGGATATGACCTGTATGCACCTCACTGAATCGAGAGCTCCGTCAGTGCCCGGGCCTTGCGCTCGGCTGTTATTTGAATTGACCTCGAGCATTCGTCAATTCTCAGGAGCAGGCGGATGATGAACCCCTTAAATGCGCGGAAATGCGGTCAAGCCCAAACCCATACTTGCTACAAATGGCTGGGAACCTAGGTCCACCTGGTCTCCCGAGGATGAAAGCCCTGATTGCGAAGCGCAAAATTTTGTTGCGCACATCGACTCTCAACAATACGAAATCTTCTAGAATTTTGAAATTGCCTGTGGGGTTCATGCACACACATGTGAAGCCATTCGTCCCCACTGCCGTGCTAAATTTGCATATTCCTCAGCTCGACTTAGCCTGCCGTTTCCGGAGGCTGAACTTCCAGGGCAGATGTTCGCTTCATCCCGGCCCGGAGCCTCCCTTGCACACCGCGCCGGGCACCTGAGGGCTTTTTCCTCAACCTTTTTCTTGCGCAGGACAGTGCCCGGCTTATACAGAGGGATTGCTACTCGATACTACACGTAACGTATTCTCAATACTAGCCAATTGTGGGCCTATGTATTGTATGCGTGCTTTATCCCATAGTACAGCAGGCGCACTTCTAGGCTGCTCAAGTCAAACGGCCGCTGCCTGAGCATCGGACGAAAGGTTACCAAGAGCCTGGCGGTCAACACACGGAACCCGCGGCCAGCCCGGCTGTTAGCCAGGCAGGGCTGGGTAACCTGGTCGATCGGCCGCCTTTTTCTCTGCCAATTTTGCAATTTGTCAATTTCAACAAATTTCAACAAAAGCGTCATCGGCTCATCGCGGTGCGAGAAGTGTCCACGTACACTACATGTGGCTTGTACTGTACATATTCGTGTCTCCTGGAACATGGGGTTAGCGGTATTAACGACAGGGTACTCCTGGCTGTGATGCGGTGTTTCATTTACCTGCGGTGGGCAATCGAAAACCTGGCAAACCTCGAGTTCCGCCAAGCGCTGGCTGCGTCACCGCAACTTGCGGTCTAAAGTCGTTCCGGTACATCCGTTTCGCTAGGCGAATGACTTCATGTTGGGCGAAAGTTGCGGGATATTGGGCCCCTCGACTTGTATACTTTGTCCCGAATAAAGTACCGGATACTCAGATCTGCCAGGTACCAAACGGTACCTGACGCCCCACCCAGCCTGGCATGTGCCCACAGCCCTGTCTGTGTGAAGTGTGAACTTTGCTCTTTTCGAACCTGGCCCTTGAATTGTAATCTGAAGTTGTTGTCAGTTGTCGGCTACCTACATAAGGCAGCGTCTGCCCTCCCACCTTGCCCTGCCTGAACTCTCGATCGCTCAGCATCAACAGACCAATCGGCCGCCATCAGACCATCGGATCAATCCAATCGCAAAACGAACGCAAGATCTCTCTGAGATATCTATCACGAAATACCCGGCCTCCTCCTCCAAGGACACTTCTAAGCTCCCATCCGCCTCACCAGCAGAGCTCTCCAAGCCCACATCGGCCACCCGACCTGAATCCGGTTCTCAACCATAACACCAACAATCAATATGATGCCTTCGCAAAGACCATCTCAGCTTCCTCCCTGCCCCGGCCCGCCGCCGAGCCGGCCTCTTCCCCCTCTTCCCAAGAGAGGGTAACGGTCTGCAGGCAACCGGCTGCCATGGCCACTCGACATTCACACACTGTTCCGCCCACCCGTATAGGTGCTGTCGCTCGCCGACCACCATGGCTCATGGATCTTTTCTATATCACCGGACAGAATCCCGGCACGTTTCCAGCTGCGGATATGAGACTAGCCCTCTCGGTCTTCCCTTGGTTTCCGTATCTGCGCATGCACGGCCGCTGCACGCCTGTTGCATCGTGCATGCGCTGCTGTGCTCCTCTCGAGCTGCAATGGCGAGGCACCACTCCGACAGCCTCAACACAGCCATGCACACCCACCATCCGACTGCAAAGAAGCACCGGCTCTGATTGGCCAATTCGGTCAACTTTCCGCTCCTCGACGAAATACCCGGTAAACGATGCATCGTGCAGAATTCCAACTCCCGGCATCAACGAGCCCGCCATCGGCTGCATCCCTACCTCGTGATCAACTACTACACCCTCTTTCGCGGACGCGTCCCGAGTGGCCGGCCCACAAGGGGCCTCCCCTTAATCATGTTTCATCCTTTCGACTTCGACACGGAGCACCCGGCACCTTCGGCCTGTACCATCATCTGTAATACACGATTTTCTAATCAACGTTTTCACATTTTTTTTTCTTGGCTTCGGAGCGATGACATCGATATCAAGGGTTACGACTTTCTTGTTTTTTCTTATGGCACATTTGGTAGTTGTTTAGATGGTTTCATTCATGTGTATAACTAGAGCATGGACACCGGCGTCAGATGGTATCAGGTCGCCAATACCCAGGGAACCACAGTTACGAGGGAGAATGATAGGTTTTCCTGAGTTGGTTGGAATGCGAGGATGGCTGAATTACATGCCCCCGACTCGCGGGGTTCGACATGGCAGAAAGGGCGATGGAGAGCGTTTCTTGAGTGTGTCTTATTACGACCTATTTAGTGACACTAGGACAACTTCAACCTGGCATGGGCATATGTTATTCTCCGAATAGGAACGAAGCCGACGTTTAATACACTCGTCTCGGAAACTTTGTGTGCTGCTGCAATATTGCCCGATCCAAATCCGTTAGCTAACCGCCCTAGGACCGCTGCATTCATCGCATCATGAGCTGCTGGCTGATTGACTGAGATTCGGAACAGCATTCCGCCCTCACCGTGGTCCCCCACCTCCATGCAACCACTTCGGCATCGCAAAGGTTACATCATAGTGGTGAGGATCCCGATCATTGAAACGGACACGACGGGACATGATTGGGAAGCAGAAACAGACTTTCAGCTCAGACTCGTGAACGTCCACCTAAAGCAGGGCAGATGACATATGTGCACAACAACCAGTCTGCGGAATTCCGTGCGGAATTCCACTGCATTACGCCTAAGTGTATTGTACATACATACCAGGGATGGGGTGGCCTCGCCGATTTGAATCCACCGACTTGAAACGAAAATGATGGCATTTCGTCCCATCCGATCATCATCACCGCTCACCCTCACCATCGATCGGTGCAATGATCCGAGTTAATCGGGCAGAACGGAGGGAAGGGCATCGGACTGTTGCGGAAGCCATTGGATGTGCGTGGATTGCAGTCCACCTCATCTGCCAAGAAACAAGTTGGTCTAACACTAGTAACCCCCCAATCTCGCCAGAATCTAGTATTTGCGAAACTTTCTCAGGAACAATGGTACGAGGCCTAAGTTAGGGAGGGCGGGTCTTGAGGGAGGGATTGCTCCTTTGGGAAATTCAAGGGCTAGTGTAGCAGCGCATGCGCGGCCCGAGGTGCTGCAAACATGATGCGAGCGAGGCAGATATTTTGAGAAATGTGAAACACCATGTTATTGCTGTGAACCGTGTTGATTGCAATTGCAAATAGAAATGTTCTGTGATGTTCTGTCCTGAGACAGGAGGCTTTTTTGTCACGATGGACAAAAGGGAGCAACGGGAGACACGAGCAAATTGGAATTGCCCATTCGCTAATTTTTGAATACGCCAAGTTGATTTTCGGCGGGAGCCGCGGGGAAAGGGGGTCGGCGGCAGGGTAAGTTAAGGCCGCCCCACCTAATTTCCGTTGCAGTGTTCTGGAATATTCCCAAACTCGGCCGGCCCGGCGGTTGCGAACTTGCGGAGGCTCGAGGGAGGGTAAAGTTTACGATCGGGGCTGCTGTATCTTATCGCCACGTGAGTACGTGCGATCTCAACTCTCGAACACACGTCCACGTATCGATCGATCGCGAGCCCAATCATCATCGGCCGCTAATTAGCCAAGAGCCAGGGCAGATTGCCATTCGTTCCCGTCTCCAATGATCCTTTTACCTAGTGTTGTGGACTATTACCGGTACTTGTACAAGTCCGATCCCAGGCCCCCCAGCCTAGCGGCGACGTCTGGTTCCTCTGACGGTACTTGCCCCTACCTCTCTGCGGCATGGCTCTCCAACTCTACGTCTGGGGCCCGGCGTTCGGCCTGCCGTCCCTTGATGCCGAGTGTCTCGCCGCCATCGCCTACCTCGCGCAAACCACCAATCCCGCCGAGTATGAACTAATCCAAAGCAGCCCGTCGGGTGTGCCAACCCGTACGCTCCACTCCGCCAGAACCCCTTCTTTCGCTCCCCAAGTCCCAATCCGCTGCTCTAACCATTCCCTAACGACGCACAGAGCACCTCCCGGCGTTATACAACCCATCCACCTCCACCTGGACATCCGGCTATTTCGCGATAACGCGGCACCTCTCCTTCCACCCGCTACCCAGCTTCCACTCCTCCTCCTCCTCCTCCTCCTCCACCACCCCCACGGCAAGAAAAGCAGCCGCCGACAGCTCAGCATACACAGCCTTTCTAACCGCGCACGCGGCGCCGCTGCTCGCGCTGTCCCTGTACGTCTCGTCGGCAAACTACAGCGCCGCGACCCGGCCCGCCTACAGCGCGGTCCTCCCCTTGCCGCTGCCGTGGACCGAGCCGCCCGCGGTACGCGCCGCCCAGCGCCGCGCGGCCGCGCACCTGGGCATGTCGGCGCTTGACACGGACGCCGATCGGTCCTCGTCCGGAGGTGAGGAAAGGGAGGAGGCGGGGTGGGTTGCTGTGCCGTCTCGGTCTTCGCTTGGAATTGGTAAGGGCAAGCCGAGGATGGGGATGAGCGTGCAGGGCATGCTGGCTCCTGAGGATAAGGCGCGTATCAGGCTTGAGGGGCTGGCCTCGGATGTGTTGGACGTGCTTGCCCCTGTGGACTGGGACGGGCAGGACGTGGCGGCGAGGTGTCTTGCGTTTGGCTATCTTGCGTTGATGGCCTTGCCTGAGGTGCCTAGGCCGTGGCTAAGGGAGGTAATTGAGCGCAGATATCAGGCCCTAGGGAAGTTTGTGGAGAGATTTATCGGAGACGTTTTCGCGGGCGGGATCCAGGCGCTACCGTGGGTGCAGGATAGGGAAGGTATGTCGGTTGTAGGAGTCGGGGCTAGGTTCGCCAGGGGCGTATTGGCCGAAGTCCCGTGGTTTGGCGAGCAGTGGTGCCGGTGGTGGGTGGCGAGGAAGAAGAGGCAGGAGAGGAAGGGGAGAGGGTTAAAGACCGGGCCAAGCGGGGATTTGCTGCTGGTTTCGTGGCTCGGGTGCACGCTAATCGCCATGAGCGCGGGCATCTTCTTTTACCGTGGACTGCCCCCGTTTGGCGCGGCAGTACAGACATGGCGAAGACCTGCTGCGATGTTGAGCACTCTTGGGGCGGCTGGCGCTCTGTTTTCCGGCACTTTGTACGGATTATAACCTCTAGCAATTCCTATGTGATACCCCACGGCGCAGCAGCAAGGGCTTAGGAATAAGAATCGGAAGATCAGGTACCTAGCCTTACGAACAGAAACTGAGGTATACCTCGGTGAGAGCAGCGTGAAGAGTCGATCGATGGTCATGACTTTATGCATTGAAATCCCCTTACATTAATAACACAAAACCAATAGTTCCCCTTCCGTCCCTATATCTGCCTAATCTCCTTGCCCACCATCTCAGGCCTCTCCACCTCCCACTCATCTCTCAGCACGGCAAACATCAGATCGCATACCAACAGACTCTGCCCTAATCCCCAAACCAGCGTGATAGCATAGAAGAAGTTGGCGTTTCCGCTGCCGGCATAGATCCACAGATGATAGAACGCCGGCCCCAAGAAGGTGGCATACATGATAACGGCGGCGATGACAAAGGAGTAGCGCATCAAGGGGAAGACGTGGCGGTAGAGCGGCACCATGGCCAGAAACAGCGACGTGTCGCTGATACTCGGGTACGGCTTGAAGATAGCAATGATGCCCAGCAGGAGCGTCAAAACCACAAGCGGCTGGCGGCGAATGCGCACGCTCAGGCCGCCAACGTAGCAAGACAGATGCAACCAGAAGACAGCTAGGAAGAAGGAGCGGAACGAGTCGAACATCTCTATGAAGAAGTACCACCACAGGCCAACATTTGGGGTAAGATCGGACAGCGTCAGCTGAACGCCGTACGTCGAGGGCAGGAACTCCCAGGAGCCGGTGATGAGATACGACATCTGAAAGAGTAATGCCAGAACGCCGGCAACGATGGACACGTGGATCGAGGCGAATGCGAGGCTAGATTTCACGGCGCGTTCCGGGCGCTGCCTGTCGTAGCAGAGGAGGAGGAGCGGCGGAAGGAGTAGTAGCGGGTACATGGATAGGTAGCTGGCAAACGACAAGGCCACCATGGCGCCAAGGGGGGCGCCGGAGACAGCCTTGGCGATAGCATGGAGGATGGCGCACGTTGTGAATACGCTCGTTGACCGTCCAATGCATGTTGCAACTGTGAACGGGTTGAAGAGAAAACTGGGATCATCAGCGCCAAGCATATTGTCATGAGCAGGGGCACGTCGACATACACGGCAGCAATGACAAAGCCACTCCAGCGCTTCTCACGTCGCGGGGAAGTGAAAAGCGCCGATGAGCCAGCTTCTCCCGAATTGGCAATTCTCCATAGAGCGCGAGCGTTCAGTAGGTCCACGGCAATATATAAGAGGTATGTAAAGATCGGATAGGTCGCAAAGCTGGGAAGCAAGGAGAAGAGCGGGAGGAAGAGGGGCGCCTGGTGGTAGACGCCGCCGTCGTAGGGCGAGACATTGTGATTGTACAGAAACAGGCCTTCCTGCACTGCGCACTGGTTAGAACCGTGTAAACAGAAAACAGAATAGCGAGGCGACTCGGGCTTACAGCGCTTGAAGCTAGTGACGGGAGTCGAGATTTCGACGCGGCCCGTCAGCAGGTCAGGGAGGCCGGGAAGTAGGGTAAAGATGGCAAGTCGCAGGACGGCAGCGCCGATATACAGGCCCGCCGTCCTTCCCAGGGTTACCTTGCCGCCATCCATTTCTCAATGCCCCATGGCCAGAGCATGGGAAAGACACTGGTGTTTATATCGAAATCCCGAGTGACCAAGGGACAGGCCAGCAAAACAGTGTACAGGCAGGCAGCTGTAAAGACAAGCCTGCAGCTGGCGCTGACTAAGTCTTGGCAAAGACCCAGTGGGGCCGAATGGTTGTTATCGGATATCAGAAAGGCGGTGGTAGGCGGCAGTAAAAGAATGTTCGGATAAAAATCCAAAAGTTCAGTGAATCAAGCATCCCCACCAGAGAATAAGTTTGTTGAAGGGTCGAGGCAGCATCCACCGGCGGCCACCACAACCACACTCCAATCGAGGCACAATGGCCAAGATCAAGAAGAAGGGCCAGGCCGGCCAGGCCAAAAACTACATTACGCGCACGCAGGCGGTCAAAAAGCTGCAGATCAGCCTACCTGACTTCCGCAAGCTCTGCATCTGGAAGGGCATCTACCCGCGCGAGCCCCGGAACCGCAAGAAGGTGTCAAGGTCGTCTACCCCATCCACCACGTTCTACTACACCAAGGACATCCAGTATCTTCTGCACGAGCCGCTGCTGCAAAAGTTCCGCGAACAAAAGGTCCTCGAGAAGAAGATTTCGCGCGCCCTCGGCCGCGGCGATGTTTCCGACGCCGCCCGTCTCGAGCGCAATGCTGCCCGCCCTGAAAAGACGGGCAAGCCGCGCTACACGCTCAATCACGTCATCCGCGAGCGCTACCCGACATTCATTGATGCCCTCCGCGACCTGGACGACTGCTTGTCCATGCTCTTCCTTTTCGCCAACCTTCCGTCGACTACGGCGGTGCCCGCCAAGATGATTGCGCGCTGCGAGCGCCTCTGCCTCGAATTTCAGCACTATCTGATCGTCTCACACAGCCTCCGCAAATCCTTCCTATCGATCAAGGGCATCTACTACCAGGCCAACATCCAGGGTGAAGATATTTTGTGGTTAGTGCCCTACAAGTTCAACCAGAGGGTTGTCGGAGATGTCGACTTTCGCATCATGGGAACATTTGTCGAATTCTACATGACCCTGCTCGGCTTCGTCAACTACCGGCTATATACCTCTATTGGACTCAAATATCCGCCCAAGTTCGACGCGGCCAAGGATGATCAGGCCGCCGAACTTGCCGCCATTGCCCTCGAGGGCGTCAATCTGGCTACAAACAATGAACCCAAAGCCATCACGAACGGCGAGGCGGAGCAAGGCCCCGACCCCAAGGTGCAGGCCGAGGTCGATAAGCTGGTGCGGGAGCTGAGAGACGAGGCAAACGCTAGCAAGGACTCTGAGAAGACCGCCGAGGAAGGCCAGGACGAAGACGGGGAGACTGATGAGAAGCCCAGTGATGCCCTTGACAAGTTTGAGCCAGTCGCGCCCGGCGGCGACGTTCTCCCTCAGCCTTCATACAGCAACAATGATCCATCTCAATTATTCTCCAGGTTTACGTTCTACCTCTCACGCGAAACGCCGCGGCAGCCGCTAGAATTCATTCTCCGTGCATTTGGATGCAAGAGGATAGGTTGGGACTCGGTACTCGGCGAGGGCGCGTTCACAACAGATGAATCAGACCCGTCAATCACGCACCAAATAGTTGACAGGCCCGTGGTCCAGGCGGCGATGAGTGCGGAGGGTGATGGCGAGGATAACCAGACGGCGCAGAAGCTAGAACCGAACCACCGGTACCCTGGGAGAGTGTATGTGCAACCACAGTGGGTGTGGGACAGTATCAACGACGAGGAGTTGAAGAGCCCAGAGCTCTATGCTCCTGGCGCGCCGCTGCCCCCGCATCTCAGCCCGTTTGTCAAGCCTACACAGGGGCAGTACGATCCTACTGTCCCTCTGGAGGAGCAACAAACAGAAAGGGAGGCCATCGACGCGGAACTCGAAGATGCCAACGCAGAGGAGCGGAGTGGCGACGAGTCCGAAGTTGAAAACGACATGGATGTCGCTTCCGAAGGGGATGACGAAGAGGCGGAGGAAGACGACGACGAGTTTGGCGGGTTCGACGAAGAAGAGGAGGAAGGCTCCGAAGATGAAGAAGAGTCGGCTGTGCTGCAGCGACAGCGCGAGCTCGAGGCTGAGATTTCGGGCAAATCGGTCAAGAGCAAGCAGACCGATGCCAAGACCAAGGCAAAGTTGGAGGCCAAGAAGGCGCTCGAGCGGAAACAGCGGCAGGAGGCCGAGGATCTGGAGCGGGCCAAGGGCATGCTCAGCAAGAAGAAGCGCAAGCTGTTTGAGCAGATGCAGTACACCAACAACAAGAAGAGCGCCGAGGACATGAAGCTGCGGGCGAAGCGGAGGAGATTGGAAAAGGAGATGGCGGCGAAGAAGACGTAGCTTATACTTGGGAGGGTTTGAGTATTAAGATGATACCTTCAGATAATTCGTCGTCCCGAGCAATATTGTATCACATCGGCGCCCGGTCATCCCGGCCCCTGATTCTGACTTACACTTAGAAATACAAAAGGGAGAGACAGAGAGCGTGCTTTCACTGTAGGGTTAGGGTTAAAGCGGTTTGCCTGCCTCTGGTAAATCTCAACAACCGAATCTGCGAATCAGTAGTAACCTCCAGATCATGAAAACTTAATGGCACTTTCTCGGGCACACAATGAGTACTCCCGGAAGAGATCGATTCCGTCTGGTTCATCGGTTCTTCATGAAACGTACTAGGTGACTTTGCTGTTCGGCGAATCTCGTTTTCTTTCCCTTTTCTAATGTACTGTACATACAGGCAATGCTCTCACATAAAGAGAAGAATCAACGCCACATTCAAGAACCACTCCTCCCCAAAAGCAGAACCAGAACTGATCCCTCATCACTACCACCAGTACCACAGGCAGGAAAGATGGATTTGGATAGTATCGACTCAGATCCCAAACCAACCAATCCCAGTCGTCCAAGCAGCCACAATTACAGCCATCCCGCCGTCGACACCGCCCATCAGCGAGACCGGGACATGAGCATGGACATCAACATGGACATGGACACGGACGAGATTCACTCGGCCGATTCGGACGAGCTACACGAACGGCGGCCCAACCGGTGGCGGGGCCACCCGTCGACGTGGCGCACCTGGACCGAGCGGGATCGCAGGACATGGTACGCGCTGGAAAGCGCCCGCAAGGCCGACCTCGCTGTGCACTTGTTCAACGCGTTCGGCTTGAAGAAGGGGTTGAGGGAGGGGCCTGTTGTCGAAGGGCAGGTAAGAAAAAACATTTCTTTTCGGGCTTTGTTTTGCTGAGATGGAGTGGAACCGTGATGCTAACCAGTCGTGCTGGATCTTAAGGATGGGGATGGAGGGAAGGATTGGAAGCCGGGGAATCTGTGGACGGCGTGGCCTGTGAGGGCCAATGAAGTACCGGATGATGATCTTCTCCCCAGGACGAGGGATGCTATGGACTTGTTTACCCTGCGGCGGGGAAGCACGTCGCGGGAGTTTGCTGGGCAGAATTTGGAGGGGGAGATCTCGGCTACGATGCTGCGGTACGCGAAGGAGAGATTCCAGAGGAGGCATTTGCAGGCCCAAGCAACCAACGAGGTGGTGGCGTCCATCGAGGAGGCCGAGAGTGACTCGGAGGAGGGAGATACATCGGATGCCGCGGGAAAGACTGGGAGCGATAAACCGGACTCTGATGCACCGATTAGAACGGCCAAAAGACGGAGGTTGGCGTCGTCCTCATTTTCGCCCGTCCTGTCGGCTGATGACGACCGGTCATATGCATTGCTTCGGCCAGCGGCACGGAGGATCATGTCGAAGCTTGATAATACGCTCATGGTCCTGCACAATGCAAGGGTTTCGGGTCTTGCCAACATGTTCGAATCCTCGTCCAGTGACGAAGACGAAGAAGAGGTTGAGCCCGCGCCGGCTGAGCGAGGTCTGACCCGGTCTTCGGAACCGCCAAAGCCAAAGCCCGCACCCGCTCCTAAGGGTCGAGGAGGGAGGCCGAGGAAGGTGCATGTCCCCCAAGAAGGGGAGACGGAGCGCGAGATGTTGATTAGGATTGCCAGGGAAAGCAAGAGACGGTTGCCTAGATTCTCTCCTGACACGGCAGAGTCTGAGGAGGAGAATGGGGCCGGAGGCGGACTCGGCATGAAAAGAAAGAGGCGGAAGCCGACCCCTTCTCCGGCCAAAATCGAGTCCGGGGCGGAAAATGAACATGATGGGAGACGAAGCGCAAGTAGGGTAAGGCGCTCAATATCAGACTCACGAGCGAGTTCCCGGTCGAGCAAGCCAAGATCCGGAGACTCCGTTGGCTCGCCTGTGAGACACAGAAGCCACCGACTCACCAAATGGGGCTTACGGGACTGGCATGACGTGCTCGGAGCCGCCGCTTTGGCCGGGTTCTCGCCTGCCGTCATTGCCCGCGCCGCGCAGCGATGCTCTACACTCTTTCGGGAGGAGATGGTCGTACATACGTTGCCTGAGCAGTCTGTTACATCCGACAAGGATAGAGTGCAGACAGTGCGGTACATTCCGGACGCACCCATGCCTTCATCCTCTGATGACGAAGATGACCAGGAAGACGTGTTGCTCCAGCATCGCATCATCTCCCGTCAACCGAGCGTCAGACTGACCGGCACGTCGTCGCCCGACGCTGAGACCGAGACGGCAGCAAACACGCCCCGCGGGAGCCGATCAGCCACGCCCGGGCCTCTGCATTTCTGCCCTTATCCAGACTGCCCATGGGCTATCAAGGGCTTCACGAAGCGAAATAATCTCACGCGGCATCTCCGGAGAACGCATGGCGACCAGGCCGATGAGGTTACCGAGGGAGAGGAGGACAGCATGGACGAGATGCACGGCGGCGTGCATGTGGATGGATTCCTACAGCCGATCAAGCTCAGAAAGGGCTGGCGAGCAGAAGACACACAGCAGCGGCTGTCACGAAAGGGAAAGGGAAGGCGATCTGCCATGGGACGCGCGGGATCAGACGAGCTTGGTTCGGACGCACAATATTCTATGCGCGATGCGCTGTCGTCTAGCTAGCTGCTTATGGGAAAGGGGGGGGGGGGGGGGGGGGGGGGGGGGGGGGGGGGGGGGGGTTTGGGTTTATACTGGCGCGAAACAGAAAGGGTTGAGTTGGACTTGCCCCTTTTGTGGGCGTCCGTATGGGGAAATAGCATGGGGAAATAGCAGGAGCGACAGCCGCCGAGTACCCAAATCTTGCCTCAGTGGCTGTTACTTCCCTCCAAGCTGGCAGTTCCCATCTAACCTCTCCGCTTCATACCAGAAGTTGAAAATGCGAGGTCAACTGCTGTATCTCCAGGTATCCTGAGAATCTATTAAGGTGCTGTCGTCGGGTGTTTTTTTAGGTTGAGAACGTTGAGACGATGCATGGGCATTGGGAGCAGAGAGCAGCAGTATCACTGAGTATAAGACAGTAGTAAATCATACCGCAGCTACTGCTACTGCTACTACTCCTTCGCAGCAGCCCTCTCCTTCTCAGCAAACTGCCGTTCCACCTCATCCGCAAACTCCCCAATCGTCTGAAACACCCACTCAAACCCCAGCTTCCCCTCAGCCTTCAACTTCTCATAATCACCCCCCAAGTCATACCCCTCGGGCTTGTCCCCGCCACGGGCAATCCACACGCTCCTCAACCCAATCTCCTTGGCGGGAACGTGGTCGGCCGGCAAGCTGCGCGCGACGTGGAGCAACTCGCCCCCATTGTTTCCCGTTTTCACACCGAAATCCCGCTGGACACTGTCGAACAAATACTCAAAATTGCGCAGGCTCGGCTTGTAACTGCCGATGCGCTCGGCCGTGTACACGGCATCGAATGGCGTCCCGCCCAGCGGCCCGGCAATGGCGCGGGCAATGTTTGCCTCGTCGACGTTGCTCAGTATGATGAGCTTGTAGTACCTCCCGAGCCGCCGCAGCCCGTCCACCGTGTCGGGAAAGGCCGGCCAGCGGCCCGGTCCTGTGCTGATCTGCTCCAGGGTTTGGGGAGGTATTTGAGAAGGGTCAATTCCGGCTTCGGCGGCTAGAAGGCGCAGGGATTCGGCCAGGTTGGAGTTGTAGGGAAGTGTGGGCTGGGTTGCGCTCAGGTGCTCCGAGTGCGCATAGAAGTGTTTGACTGGGAGGAGAGGGTTGGCTGGGTCACGCCAGGGGTCTGGCTTAGGGGTTATGGGGACGCGGTTGTTAGTCTGTGGAAATGCAAGTACTACTCATGATGGCTCATAACTTCCGGGACGGTCGAGAGAAGAAAGGGTGGGTAATACATACGGTCTGAAGGCAGGAGATCCAGGAAAGGGGCGAGGTCGGAGACCTGGCCGGTGGTCCAGTCTATGAGAGTGCCATAGCAGTCAAAGGACAGGGCCTTGAAGCTTGTCAAGTCGGGTTGAGGCATGGCGGGCGGTCAGTTGCAAGGGGTTCACGGTACTGTACACGGTGAGAGAGGTGTGCCTAGAGGATGATGAGATGCTAGATGAAGGAGGCCCTCAAACCCATTGTCAAGCTGCAGTGACCGAGAAGAAATCTCAGGTTTATATCCATTTGTTCTATGAGCATTGACTAGCATGCTCTTTCACTCTCTCTTCCCCCTGTGATTTGATTACCCCACCCCGCTTGGCGATCTTCAAAGCTATCGGCCGGTTTAGTTGCTAGTGATCCTTGAAGCAGTACGCCGTTCGGCGCTTGACCTGATTTGTCGTCGGCGAGCTGCTTGGCTGAAGGACTCATGGAAAAACAACACAACATGACGTTGCAGTACGTAGATTCCACTTGCAAATACACATCACGAATCAAGAATATAGAGATAGCATATCGGACTTAACGTCCGGAGCTACCAAACGCCATAATGCCATTTAAACCCGTATCTGCGTCTGCATCTGTATCCACATCCGCATCCTGCTGGGTTGTAGCCAAATCCTCCTGTCTCAATTTTTGTCCCGTAGATTCGTAAAGGGAGGATGGGCGCATCGAGGTTGCTCTTCTTTCGGCATTGGAGTTGGTTGGGCATCATTAGTAACATCAATTCACATACTGTGTACGGATCAAGTATTGTCAAGAGAATGGCATATTGAACAGCAGCGCAGGTCGCCGCGCTAAGGAACCTCTTCTTTCTGAGAAGACCTTCTTGGTTTCCCGGCTGTTTATATCTGCCCTAAGCGACAGTGATCGACCCTTCTTCCATACAGTGATGTACAATACATGCCATGAACCAGTAAACTAAGAAAAAACCCAACCGTTATGGGTATCGTTGCTGAGTAAACCTACAACAATAGACAAACTTGGCCCTTCCTCCCTTGTATTGTACGACAACCACTGAAACCATAGCATATACCTTTGCCCACCACAGCCCAACGCCGCCGGACTCCTACCATAACAAATGAATTCCCCAACCCAATAGTGACTGACTGACCGACCGAACATGAGAGACTAACGCAACCGCGGACTCTTCCTCCTAGTAGAACTGCGCAGCGAAGCAGGCGGCACGTTCTCCGGCCCCTCGGCCACCGCGGTGATGGGCTTCTTGGACAGCCGCGAGATCCGCGTCCTGGTATTGGGCTTTAGCATTGTTGTTGCTGCCATATTACTGTCGCTCCCTGCTGTGGGAGACAGGATGCTGCTGGCAGGCGGGTCGCTAAAGATGATCGAGTTGGTGGTCGTCAGGTTCGGATTCACCTCCCTAAGGCCGCTCATGCTCAGCGCATTCTTGCCTTCAGACTGCTGGCTCGATGAGCTGCTAGGCCGCCGCGACGGAGACTGGTTGGTGACTGGCGTCGAGTTCAAGTCCGGCGAGACCGAAGGGCTCGGCTTGGTCGGAGTTGGTGATCCAGCCATGGATGCGATGAGCGCATCGTGGGCCTGGGTGCGAGGCAGTTCCGTCGGGTACTCGTACTTGGTCTTTTCCGGAGTGTTGCCCGTCGGTTCGTATTCGCGCAACTCGGTGCCCTGGATGTCTTCCCTGAGCTCGGCCAGCGGCTGGCAGACGGCCTCGTCGAGAGGCTCCAGGGCGTCTTGCAGCTTCTTGGCGTCGGCGTCCATTTCGTCGCCAAGATCTTGAACTCGGGCAAATGTTTCTTTAAAGTGGTTTGATATGTTGCTGAACGACTGCTGCACCGTATTATCCAGATCTTGCACAGATTCGCCGTGCTGGACATGAAGACTAGCATTTTGTGACTTGGCCCGCGACACAAAACCGTCCAGATCCTGCATCTGGACATCAAGGTCCTCCATCTGCTCCTCGACCACACGCACCGTTTCCGCATGTACGGACTTGGTGGCTGCTTGGATCGAGTTGCTGTGTTTGCTCGCGGTCTAGATTCGTCAGCGGAGCGCAGAGCAATGAGAGACATTGATCCTACCGTCCAATCGTCCTTCAGTCTAGTTTTCAGAGCGTCCCTGGAACTGGCGACATCCTCGAGCAACTTGCTATCCCTCTCGCTCCAGACGTCCATGCCTTCCGCATACTCCGCAACACTGCCCTCCAAGCTCTTGTTCGACTCGAGTATCGTTTCTCGAATTACGGTCGCCTTCTCGGCTAGGCGTGACTCTTGGAGCTCCGCTTGCGAGTTGATCAGCTTCGTTATCTGGGCCAAGAGGGCCTGTCGTTCTGCTGCCGCCTGTTTCCGTTCCTCGTCCAGCACCTCCTGTATTTTGGCGGAGACGGACTGGTTCGATTCTACCATGGCTTGGGTTGCCTCCTCCAGCTCCTGCCTGAGCCTATCAGATTCTGCCTTCTGGGCTCGAATGTGTCGGAGCAGCTCCTCAAAGACGGCCTTGAAGTCCTGTCCCAATGAGCTATATGAGGAGTGCAGCTGGTCGTGGAACGTGCCCAGCTCGCTGAGCACGTCGCCGGCGATCCGCTCCGCCGCCGCGGCGATGGCTTGTAGACTTTCGCCGACGCGCTGTTTCACGTTGTCCCGAACAACCTTGATTTCTTCCAGCACGCCGTCCATCTCCTCCTTGGACCGCTCCTTTTGCCTTAGCAATTGCGCCCTTGACTCGGCAAATTGGGCGAGGTTCTGGTCCAAGAAGGTTTGTGTCGACGACAATTTCTCAAGCTCTTCCCTTACAAACGCCTGCATGCGCTCCGAGATGTCCGAGATGTGCTCCTCCTGGTCCTGACGAAACTCTTCAATGCGCCTCTCGACGAGCTCAGTGACGTTCGCGACCTGCGCCTGCGACATGTTCCAGGTACTACGGTTGAGATCGTGGAGGTCTGCCCTGCGCCTGTTCTTGGCGTGTAAGCCATCAACGTCGACGACCGTTTTCGCAAGCGTGCTGATCAAGTTGTCTCCAATAACAGCCAGCTGCTCCTCGGTGGCCTGGTGGGCTTTCCGGAGGTACGTCTCTTCGGCGAGCGCTTTCTTGGTGACTGCCAGCACAATATCCGTCTGTTCCAGGATCTCCTTCGTCTCGCTGAGCTGGGACAGTGTCGCCTCGTGATCCTTCTTGAGCCCCATCAGGTTCGAGGTTAGCGACAGGAACTCCTGCACCTTGTGGCGCAGATTAGTTTCGAGTGTCTCAATCTTGGCCGCTTGTTCCTCCGTCAAGATCCGGCGTGACTCGTTCTGTACTGTGAGCTCCTCGTACACGTCGTTCGAAAGGTAGACGCCATTGCGCTGCCGTGTTGCAATCAATTCACCCCTGAGACGCTCAATTTCGATGGTGAAGTCCCGCAGCAACGTCTTCTTGTTAGTCAACGCATTGAGCTGGGGTTTATTGCGAATGTTCTTGGCTCGAAAAGCGTAGTCTAGGGTCGATATTGTCTCCTCGATGTTGCTCTTGGCCGGTGATATCGTTGCAATTATGCACGTTTTCGTGTGGCCTCCGAGCGAGTCTTGCAGCAAGCGGGTGAGCTTGGATTCTCGGTAGGGAATGTGCGCGCTGCGGTCAACCAGAGCGTTGATGACGCGTCCCAGGGTCAGCAAGCTTTTGTTGATCAAGCCGGCCTCGGCTGCGCGCTTGTTCTCGGCACCAGACCGCTGAATGTTTTCGCTCCCGGCTAGGTCGACGAGGTTCAGCTTGCCCAGCATGAGGAAATCCTCCCCGTTCTCCGTTTTCTGCTTGGTATAGACCGTGATGGTGAAGACGGTGTGACTCCTACTGCTCAGGTCATTGCACTTAGTGGCAGCGACCTGACGCTTCACGCTGCCTTCCTGGAGCCACCTTAGCCCGTCTGCAGCGTTCATGATGTATCTCTCCTCCATTCCCTGCACGACAGTAGTCGAGTGGCCTTTGCGAGAATTATCGTCGTAGATTTTGAGTTTCGTGCCCTCGTCGGGTGCCAGGAGATCCCGCAGCTCCTCGTTGTATAATTCGATAAAAGAGCACTTGACGGCGTTATCCTTCTCGTCAATTTCCAGCTTGTTGAACAGTGCTTGCAACACGCGGGGAATTATCCCGGCATTGTCGGACAGCATGCCCATTGTTTCTGTTAGATCACCCGACATGGTGTACGTCTTGCCCGTCCCCGTCTGTCCGTACGCGAAGATGGTGCAGTTGTAACCCGCCAGCATCTGGGTGCGTTAGCGCGAGATATTTCGAACGGCCCATGGGGAGGTTTACCTCGTCCAGAACCGGCTTGACCACATCCTCGAATATCATGCTTTGGTCTGCCGCCTGCGAGAAGACGCGATCGAAATTGTATGTCTTGTTGCTGACCGCGTTCGGCCCCATTGAGAGCTCAACCAACTTGCCCTTGGTTCCGTCAGTCCGCACCACCACGGCGCTGTTCTCCCTGACCTCGCGCTCGTTGCGACCGCGACATCTTACGACGACGTTGATGTTCGTAGCCTCACCGTCGTCGAGATCAAAGTCGCGTTCCTTGCGCTTCGCGCCAGAGGTGGCTGCTGTTGCTACCGATATGAGGGACTCTGCTGGTGATTCCGCTCGGGCCAGTCGGGATGCTACCGACGCGTGGCGTGTGCCTGTGAGTCTGGACGGGACGGCTGTTCGTGTTCCTGGACGCATACTAGAGCGTCCTCCGACAGCACCTCGGGAAGGCGGCGCCATTGACGTGTTTCTGCGCTCCATCAGGAGCAGAGTCGCAGTTTTCGTGTCGAATACTGAGTTGCTAAATGGACCGATCAATCAATCAATGGATGATAGTAAGAATCTAGGGCCAAGAAAAAAAAGAATCCCAAGATGTCGAACTTGATCAGCAACAGCAGTTCGTGGTTCGGTCTGTGGAATGAGGTGTCGTCGCGAAAATGGCATGTCCAAAAGTGGGGATTTGATCTGCCGGGGTAATCACAGACGCAGATGGCAGATGCACTTTGGCGGCGCGATGTTGCCTTCTTCGTAAACACCGCAAGCATTGCCAAGAACGTGATTGCCGCAGCAACCATCAGCCCCACTCTCACACCACAGTCATCTTTAGGCCCACCTGCTCCTCCAAAGCCCCCTGGCGGGCCAGCCTTGCCTGCCGAGATGACGTCTCGGCGCCTGGGAGGAGCATCACGAGGGGCAGCCAGCTGGAGGCTTGCCCAAAGCCGTGCTTCTTTCGGCCTCCGTCCTCCGTACAAAGCTCGACCCCTGATGTTCTGGACATTTACACTGCAGAAGCAATTTGTTTCTCCTTTTACCTCCTTCAAACGCTTTCCCATACGGAGCTTATCAGCCTAGCTCCAGTCCCCTGCAGCCCGTAAACCGACACGCTGGCGGGTGATCGATCGCTATCGGATTCGCGATGTCCCTTTTCTCAGCCCAGCTCCACCCCGGGCGAGCCTTGGGCTTTTTTGTACTTGGTGCATTTCTTCATGATGTCTTGACGCGCATCAAGGCTGAACCTCAACGGTTTCCAAAGATGGAGGTCTACCAACCCCAAGACCCGGTGAAAGAAGGCGTTCTCATCGGCTTGCCGGCAAACGGGATACGGCTGCGGTTTGATGGACCAGAGCAGCGGCTTCGCTTGGTTGAGGTCCTCGATTTTACAAAGAATCACATCTTCTTGAAGCCGGCAGATGGCAAGGAGCGCGATCTCGTACGGCCGCCGAGCACCATCCAAGGCGCCTCGTCGACCGCCGACCCCGTCCCTGGTCCGACATTCCGACACATATATCAGCGGTTTCTGGGACCAACATATGACGGGGAATACATACCAAACACAGAGAACGATGACCGGAACGGCGCCGGCACGTATGTGCTGTCCTACCCCGGCGTTGGCTTCATTTTCCCTATGAAGAAACAGGACTACAGGCCTGAAAAGGACGTCGTGTCGCTGTTACATTCCTCGGCAGTGCCCGTGGCTATGGCCGTGTTCAGCGGCGATTCCTGGGCACAAGCACGCGAGACGCTCTGGACTGAGGTACTGCCCAGCATCAAGACCTTCCCGCCTCTTGCCAAGGGCAAGGATGTCGTTCCGGACGAGGTTTCCCTGGTCAAGCTACACGGTGGCGGCAAGCTGCAACTCTTCCGCAAGTGGACTAGCAATTCCTTCTGGATAACGCTGGGCGACACGACGCCCCAAGACTTGGTGGCGGAGTTGGGCCCGCCGGACGCCATTTACCGCAAAAACGACCAGCGCATGTACATCCACAAGCTCCGCGCAGCCAGCAACACCGCGGGCATCAGGCCCAATGGCAACGACCTCAAGCGGCAGGACGATCTGACCGACACGGACCAGTCATCGCACCCCGCATCGGACGAGTGCGAGTCAAACGACAACGACGATGATGATGATGAGGCCGTCGAAGACGACGACATTGCGCACGTCTCGAGCGAGTGCTTCTACAACTACTTCTACATGGGCTTTGACATTCTGGTGTCGACGCCCACCGCACCGTCCCGCATTCCTCCATCCCGGGAAGCGAACCCCAACCCGGACATCCCCGAATACCCCTACAAATCCAAGCACGCCGACCGGCTGGTCGCCACAAAGGTCATCCTCCATGGAAACGTGCCCGGGTCGTATCCCTTTAACCGACACCGGCGGTGCCGCTGGGAGATTGCCTACCTTGACCGGCCGGCGGACAATGAGATCAACTCGGAGACGCCGTTCCCGGAGATTGAAGAGGCGCTGCGCGAGGAGTGGAAGTCGATCTACGCATCCGAAGCCGATGCGAAACAGAAGCAGCGCGGTATGGTGCTCAATAGGGGATGGGGTGACAGCCCCGGGAGCAGCTGCGAGCTGCTCGGCGGGTGGGAGGAGAGTGGGGGCACCAACCCGGCCGTGGGCAGGAACGGAGGTTTAGACTCGACCACTACGCTTTATGGTTTCCCCGGTTTGGTTTTTGAGGTGTTGAAGAACGGTTACGTGAGTTCTGTGACTGTCTTTTAGGGATCGGGACGGGTATTGGCATGATTGGCATGATTACATATGTACTGGCGTTGAGCGATTTGTTAAGGGGGACAGGGCGGTAACTCTACATGGATTTCACAATGGGGCTGGAGCAAACGGTGTTATTCTTGGATCAATCTAGGTGTTACATTTGTGCCCGTTTGCTAGAGCGATGCTTTGAGTTTGAGAACATGTAATAGACTGAAGTTGACATCGGAGGCGCTTTTGTACTGCAATCAACCGGCAACTATATTGAGCAAGCTTTGAGGGACAAACATGCAGGGGCATTTCTTCCGTTACCTCAGGAGGCCCGGTCTATTTCCTATATCCCCTTGCCTGGCCTGCGACGAGACTTGTCGTATAATGACCCCATATTCTTGCTACCTTGGTGTCCCTGTCGTCTCAAAGAGGCTCCGGCTAAGCAAGCCACCTAAGGGGGCAACTTGAACCTCATGGGCAGGGTATCTATCCTGGAATGACCATATGACAATTCCAAGGACATGCCTATGTATTATGGTGTATTCGGGCTCCAGTAGCCCTGGTTTTGTATCTGATACATGCCAGGTAGGCATTGAACCTCCCAACTCTGCCCAGCAGCTAGGATAGCCGCCTGGCTTGCCAGATCTACCTAGTATAACAGTCGACAGGATGGTGCAACGACCCATAGTATGGAACGTCATATCACTCTACTTGAAGCGTAAACACATGAGTCTTGGTACGTAAGTTGCTGAGGAGTTAGATGTAGCCAGCCGCCTGTGTCAAAGAGAAGTCGCAGATAGGCAGTCTTCAAAGACAATAGGTACCTTAGATACCTACTATCTCCGGTCGGTGGTGGGTGTCTACGCATGGTAGCATGTGTCTCTCTTCCCCCCCCGTGGTATAGAAAAAGCTTCGGCTGACTTTGCTGTTCTTGTGCTGCGTTTGTGAGATTCCCCTAAGGTACAGGTACACAGACAATGTTGGGGTCTCCTAGAAAGAGCATTCTGACACCGGATCTGAAGTTCGATAGGACTAGAATCTTGGATGGTCTGTTAGGCGCAGATGTGAGTCTCGTACCTAAATCCTTCCTATTGGCGGATGTTCGGGCCACCGTCTACGCATGCAAATGGGCCGAAATATTTGTCTGTTTCGTCCTCGAAAGAACAGGAGCAGACTAGGAAGGTTACTCGAGGCGGAAGAATGCATATAGTGAATCTCCTTTTGGATCCTTGACGTATTGACTATCAGAGATTTCCACCCTATCGAAGATGGATAGACCCTCTGTGACACAGCGGCATCTGTTTGCTGGCAGGGCGGGTCCAACCATCGACACGGTTTATCAGGTTGCACCACGGACAAGCCCAATATGACCCCTTCAGAGCCAATGATTGGAGTACACGCGCAGCCTCGTTTGCCCGGTCAAAGATGAGGCCGATGGCAGCCTTAAGGCTCGAGGTGGCAGGACGCCATATCATGACGAACATCAACTTTTCTCTCCCGGTGTCTGAGTCGGCCGATTTCGACAGGCAAGATGGAGATGCGCAATATACCGAAGCCTGCGACCCCGGACTATTACGCCGACCTAGGGGTGCCGCAGCACGCCAGCTCTTGGGACATCAAGACAGCCTGGTTCCGTTTGGCGAAGCGATTCCACCCTGACAAGATAGCGCCGGGTCAGGCAGTTGATGCTGAGGAATTTCGCAGGGTCAGTTGTCCTAGTCCATGTGGCATACCTGAAAATTGCTGCGGTCGCCAGAACCCTGCTGACGCTCGCAGATTCGGGAAGCGTATAACTGCCTGAAAGACCAAAGACGGCGGTCCCAATACGATGCATACTATTTTGAGATCAAGGCACAGTGGGCTGTGTATCGGGAACAGCAGGAACGTCTGCGTAGACAGGAAGAGCAGAAGCGGGCCGAAGATGAAGCACGGCGGAGACGAGCAGCAGGACAGCGCGCCGCCAGGGAACGTGCGGATGGCGAGAGGGCTCGGGGGATGGAGGAGGCCGAGCGTATTGCTAGGGAAGAAGCCGCACGCCAGAAGTTGAGGGAGGAACGAGAGAGGCGAGCTGAAGAACGGTCTCGAGACGCAGCCCGGAGGGCACGGGAGCAGCAAGAGCTAGCCGCTAGAGAGAGGCTTCGCCGGGAGGAAGAAGCGAAGCGTAAGGCGGCAGAAGCAAGGCAACGCGAGGAGCAAGCCATCAGGCGTGAAGAAGAGCGAAAGAGGAGACTGGAGGAAGAGATGAGACGCAAGGAGGAAGAGCAGAGAGAACTTGCCAGGCAGAGGAGGCAGCGGGAGGCAGCAAGACGATCCGAAAAAGCAGCGAGAAAAGCTAGGGCGGAGCAGGACAAAGCGGCGCGGGAGCGACTGAAGATGGCCCAAGTCCAGGAGAAACTAGACGAATGGCGGCGTAACTGGTCCAGCCTGCGTGAGGCAGCTGATCGCCTGGAGAACCAACACCAACCAGCCAAGCAAACCATGAATCCCGGCGGATGTAGCCATCAGGATCCGTGGTGGGTGAAGAAGAAGGGGCGGACAGTCTGTGCCTTTTGCGGCGTCGCCCGACGTCAATGGGCCCTCTACTGTCCTACATGCCTTGTGGCTGCCTGTCCAGCCTGCAAGCAAAAGCAGTGTACTAAGACTTCAGAAAAGTCGCACTAGTAGGAAAGCAAGACATGGATTCTGCCAACGATGAAGGATCTCATTTGTAGAAGATGGCGATGAGGTGTTGGGTAAATGGTAAGTCCAAGGTTGCAGTTTCTCAAACGCTTTCCGATGGACCCAGCCAGCAGGACGTTGCATACGCTGCGGGATCACACTGTGCCGCAGCTGCCGCAGCCGCTGTGCTGACTGCTGAATCTGCTGACAGGGGCCCACTCAGCGGGTAACAGTGGGTCTTCGCTCCCCTGTCAGGTGGTCCCTTAGCGCTTCGCGCGACTGCCGACCCGGGGATTCTCACTCACCACAACGGGTTTCCCGACAGTTGCTTGTATCACCTCGGGCCGGCGAATGGGAAAAGACATCGACAGTCCCCTGACGTCGAACTGCGCATGCCATCCAGCCGCAATAAACGAGCCAGCACCGCCATCAGAATAACCATGCAATCGTCCTCAGAGTGATTATTTTCCCATTGCAAAGCTCGTTGACCTCGTGTTCGCACAGTTCGACATGTCGAGGAGTTGAAGGCCATCGCGATGTCGGAACAAGATGCGAGTCCACCTTCCAACATCCGCCCACGACGCGCTGCCAAACACCCTGAGGCCTTCAATACAAATGTCGGAGCCCACAACCCCCTCGACGCCGACTCCATGGCCGCGCGCCCATCTGGAGGTGTTGGCTTTCCCAGTCAGACATCAACGACATCCGATAGCCGCACCCGCGCCCACAAGCGTCTGTCGGACACGCATCGCGCCCACAAGCATAGATCTAGCGGTGGCTTCCTCCTTGCCGACCCTTTACTGAATCACCACGGTCATGCACGCCATCACGACGCACAGATTCTTTCTCACTCGGACCGGAGACATCACAAAGAAGCTGAGCAAAACATCCACACTGTTGCCCAGCACGGGTTGGGACGGTCCCATGATGGGACATACTTGAGCGGCATTCCAGACTTGGGCCTGGGGATCGAATATGGAGCTGGTAAGAGCGGACATGTCGAGGAGGGCTCGGCTTCAACCACAGTTACCAAGCGCACCTCGCTAGCTGGCGACACGGCATTCAGTCCGTCTCCGCGCGCGAGCATAGCGCAGCTCGACATGGAATCTGCGCAGATTGTCAGTATGGCTTTGAATCTGAGCGAGTCGCGGCGTCTGGCATCTCGGAGGAACGTCTCCCAGCCGACCCCCCCGAGACTTGCGCCCCTTCCGGACAGTGCTCCCGGAGGGAGCCTTAGGCAGCACCTCCAGCAGCAGAGGAAGATGTCGCGCACTGTCTCGCCTAAGCCCGACCGCTCGCCGAGGATAGGTGCCGGGAGAATCTTCAATCCGCTGCAGTCTGCGTTCGAGCCTGAGGGAGGTTATCGTTACCACTTCTCGCAATCCACGCTCGCTAGAGCCCAGAAGGCCAAGGAGTACTTGGACCTCATGGCACAGTACAGACGCGTGCTTGAATTGGTTGCTCCGTTGGACCCGCCGCGGACAGCTGGATCCTCGGCCGTTAGCCCACCGGGAACGCCGAATAGCTCAACCCAGGTGTCCCGGGTTTCTACCGCCGAGCAATCTGATGCAAGGATTGGACGTCCTTACAATCCCCTACAATACATTCGGAATCGCAAGGTACGGGCTCGAGAAAGAAAGGTTATTGACGGCGAGGCGCAGGGTTTCAACGATGTCTCCAAGGTTTCCGAATGGATAGACGACGTAGCAAAATGGGTAGCTACGGGGCAGGCTCGCACACCTGGGAATCCGGCGCTCCCTCCATTTCCCGGCGCCCAGATCACCAACCTGCAGAGCTCGCCACCATCAACAAACCCGAGGACGGTTGTTGCTACGGGAAAGTCAAAACGGCCACGGGTTGACTGGGTCATTGACCCAGCAGACATGATTGCGGACGTGTACTGGCTGGAGCTTGATGATAACAAGAAGCTGGTCGAGGACCGCCATCGGAGGCGTATTTTCCCTCAAGGGCCTAACGTTCCTCAAGGGCCATCCTGCGACGATGCAGCCCCGCGCCTGACTACTCCAGGAAGATCAGCCAAGGACTCCTCAGACGCGCTTACGTCTGCTGAGAAAGCAACCCCGGAACCACCACCCTCGAGACATGATCACGAACATGTCCTGAGTGCAGCCCGAGACCGGGCCCAGCAGAAGCTCAAGGCGCTAAAAAGTTCGCACCATCGGCATGCCAGCGCTATCACTAGCCGTGACTTGCTTCGCCTTCACCGGGGTTCACTGTCCGAGTCGTCTGACACCGATAGCGACCGCCGACGGCGCGCGGGGAGCGGAATCCCGGCTAGCACCATAAAGTCTGTATTGGAAAAGCAAATGGAGGAAATGATTGCACGGGAACAGCGAGATGCCGAATCTCACCCACTTTACGACCACGAGACTTCACGTATAAAGGTCCCCAATCTGAGTCCGATGACTCCAGAACGAGATCGGAGACCCGCTACCAACGCTCCTACAACTCGCCAGCGACTCGACTCGCGAACAGATTTGAGTGAGGCCGAGGGGAAGAATGCTGGATCGAAAATGCACGCTACTGGGCGGGCTAGTCTTGAGGTCCCGAGCAGCAGGCGGTTCTCGATCAACTCTGACACGTCGCAGCCAAACTCTCCAGACCTGCGTCCCGCGCGTGATATCGGCCGAGTCCCCGCGATTGGCGATCTCTCGCCCATGTCGAGCAGACCGAGCTCACCTCCTCGGAATCCCCTCAAAGTCATGAACATCTTCCGCGAGCGAAGCAAGGAACGCAGCTCAGATGTTCCCGCGAACGGAGACGATAGCTCTACTTCACCGCCAGGGGTGTCTGAGATCTTGCTCAGCTCGCCAGAGATGGTTTGGAACGATGTATCGCCAGCAAGCCGGAAGCCATCTCGCAGTCCAACCGGAGGAAGGATTCTAGGCCACCGTTCGCATAAAAGCACTGGCAACGCAAGGCTCCGCGGAGAGGATGGTGGCATTAGTTTCCGATCACTGCTGCGCGGCGGCCCTCGCATCGATACTGTCCTGCGAAGCAGCGTCTCAAAGGTCAGCGACATGCTCTGGCGGAGGGATACGAGCGGACTTGATGACCAATCCTCTTCGACATCGTCGGATGACTCGGATGACGAGACCAGGGGTAGGCCCCGTGGTCCGCGGGACGTGCGACGCACAGAATCTGAGGACGAAAAGAGTCCTCTCGAGGGAATGCCAGATGTCTTATCAGCAGCGAACCTCAACACTTCCGGGCCCCAAGGGCAACTCAGTGCTTCCCCTCCAGCACAGCCTCTCAGCCGGCGGTCCTCACGGTTTGATCTTCTCAAGCCGCCGCGGATTGACGTCCATAGCGCTTCTCCGAGCCAGTCCCCAACCCCGCAGGTGCGGCATCGCGATCAAGTCGACTCAGACATGGAATCCCATGCCGACCGGGACTGTACCGCCTCCGACAGCGTTGTCACCTCACCCACGCTCTCCAAACACTACCCTCTCGCTACCAGCCGTCACTGGCTCCTCACCAATCGCTATCGCACCCCTTCCCACCCCGGCGGCTCTGGCACCGCGGTGGTATCCAAGCGCGAAATCGCCCGCGTCCGCGCGCTACTCCTCAGCGCTGGCATCCACGCGATGGAAATGGACCGTCGCGCCGGGCAATTGTCCACGGCCATGCCCAAGGGCAGTAGTACGTCACTACTGCTCCCCTCCCCGGAGATCACTACTACCGACTCCTCGTTCACAAAAACCACCCCTCTCCCATTACTACCGCAAACGCACATCTACCCCTTCGCCGCGCGCACCCTCTCCGCCTCGGTTCAATCCTCCGCGTCCCACTTCCACACGCTAGCGTCCCACTTCGCCGCGACCACGAGCCCGGCCCTGATCCGGCGCGCCGAGGCGCTGCAGAAACAAGTCGCCGACGACCTGACGGCGCTCGCGCAGTCGGCCATCGACGCCGCTGACGACGCCAACCACGACCTTGTCGTCGGCCAGCGGCTGAAGGTGAAACGGGCCGTGGATACCATGGAGAAGATGCTCCGCCGCCGGAGAAGACGGTTCCGCTGGGTGCGCCGCGCCGGCTGGTTGGCGGTTGAATGGGTGCTTGTCGGGTTCATGTGGTACGTTTGGTTTGTGGTTATGATTGTGAGGGTTGTGTTTGGGGTTGGGAAAGGGGTTGTTATGGGGGTTAGGTGGCTCTTATGGCTTTAGTGGGCACATAGTTGGTCTATTATTTGTTATATAATCATAAGGAGATGTGTAGAGTTGGAAGTTGGGGAGATGGGTGAGATGTTTCTGAGAAGAAAAAGGGGAGGTTGATACCCAAGAGGAAATAAGCAGCTGTACTGGATTATCACCTTGTTTTGGTTAGTTCTGATTTAGATAATATACATACTACGAAGGGGATGAGAGATACATAGGAGTTTGTGTATCTCTTCATGTGCTACCTGATATATTGGTTTGGGATGGTCTGACTTGGTTGACCGTTAATTGAAGATAGGGTGTTATCGAGTCCACCAGCGGCTTCGCAGGGAGATGGATTGAATCGGGTAATTCTCCTGGATGCAAACACATAGTCTATTAAAACAAGCAGGCCGAACGCAGTGTATATATACCTTCTACAAGCGGTGCAGTCACACCCGAAAACCAAGCCGCGCCAATGCAGAAACCAAAAGGACCGTTGTCTGTACTAACCGGGCTCTAGACAACAACACAGTCAAGCAAAGCGAAGTAAGATGATTACTGAAAAGGCAATCTACTCGATCCTCTTCTTGCCCTCCTCGGCATTGATATACCTTGCCGTGCTGAGCCCGCGCTCGTGCCGGGCGACGAGCGGGCCTAAAATCTTGTCTTTACGCACCCGGCTGATGGTCTCGTGATACCCCTCGGTCGCCCACGGCCGTGGGTTCAACTTGGGCCAGTTGACCTAGAGAAACACGCATGTCAGTAAGATAACTTGCGGGTTGAAAAGGGGATCCAAAACATACGTAGAGCATGCCGTGGGTGAAGATGAAATGTATACACCACGCCGTGACAGCAGTCCAGAAAAAGATAAACAGCCGCAGCGGCCAGACAGCCGAGTCGGGCAGCCTCGGGGTGTACATGGCGACAAGCACGAAGAAGAAGCCAAAAGCGGCAATGTAGGGCACGCTCTGGATCCAGACGGGGCGGCGATCGGCAAAGACCAGGCCCAGGCCGATGCCGCCGGCGGGCGGGGGCTGGTAGGCGCCGAGGAACAGGTCAAATGCGTCCTGGCGGGGCCCGTCGAGGAAGTTGTTGCGGCAGTAGCGGGTGATGGCGACGTTGGCGTCCTGCAGGGCGCCGGCTCTCGTGCGCTGGCCTGTGCGGGTGAGGTCCGTCTTCATGGCGCCCGTGCCCGAGTACGTCTTGGAGACGACGTCGGCGTTGTCGGCCCACATGTTGCGGAACAGGAGCTCAAAGGCTGGGTCCTCGTCGGCGAAGCGAGAACCGGGGGAGAGCAGGCCCAGGTCTATAAACATGCGGTCGAGCGTCCAGCGCGCGAGCATGCTCTGCACCACGTTGGTGCGGTCCAGGCAGTCCATGCAGTTGGTGCGCACTACGCTTGTCTGTAGGCTGCGCACCTCGAGCCGGTTGCCGTCGGCCACGACGCGGCTCCCGGGCGCGTCGCCGGCCCGGAAGTACTGCTGCGCCACGAGCGCCTCGCGCATGCGGTCGATGAGCAGCTGCGCGCGGTGCATCTGCAGGCCCTTGGTCTCGGCGTGGAAGTCAAAGTAGATGTAGTGCAGCCGGTCAAACAGGGAGCGCTGTGGGCCCCCCGTCTCGATCGTGTGGAACTTTTCCTCCGTCCGCTGGTCGGCCTGGGTATGTTCCTTGGGCTTGGACACGAGCATCTCGACCACCTGCTCGTAGGCCTGCTTGACACGCATCTCGCGGCCCTTTTGGTTGACCAGGTTGACAAGATAGTTGTCGCCGTAGATGCGGATCTGCTCCTCGAAATGCGCCTTGGCGGCTGGATACGCCGCCTCGGCGGCACGGATCTGCAGCTTGGGCGTGTACTTGAGCGTGTTGATCTCGGCCCAGTACGCCGGCACGCTCCCGCGGGTTTGGACGTACGACAGGATCTGCATCTCCTTGCCCTCGCCCGCCTTGCTCCGCTGCAAACCCGGGTCGGCACTTCCCGAGAAACCGCCAAGCCCCGCGGTGCTGTCGTTGAGCACCAGGATCTGCTCCGTCTCGTTGTAGTTGGCGGCATGTCCCTCGTCATCAAGACCGCGGGTGAAGTAGCGCGTGCCGGCGCGGTGTCGGGATCGCCTTGTTATCAGAGCTAACGTTAAGGGGGTGCCCTTGAATGTGGTTGGGTGAATCTCGAGCATGCCAAAGATGACGGGGAGGATATAGGGGTCGATGCCAGGCTGGGGTGCGGGCTGGCCGCGGCTGCCGAGCGAGCGGAAGTTGATCAAGTCGGTCTGGAGAAAGCGGTTCCAGAAGAAGCGGTCATCGCTGCGCTTCCACAGCGGACTCCCGGCATCCTGTTGCGCCTGGCGTTGAAAGCTGTTTGTGAGGTCGACCGAGTATGAAAAGTACATGTTGCCCAACTTAAGAAAACCACGCAGCAACTCCAGGAAGCGGTCCTCGTCGGGGTCGCGGACCTGGCGCTCGCGCAGGGGAAGGATGTCGGTTGCGATGATCTTGTACACCATGTGTCCGCGAAGGCGGCCCATGGGCTGGGCCTTGGTTATGACGACAATGTATTTGTCTTGAAGAACGGGGTTAGCATCTAGCCAAAACCACGATTCATGCCGTCTCAGATGCATGGCGTATGCGTAGGTTCCGTACCAAGCCGCAGCCTTATCATGCCCAGAATACCAGCAATGCTCGTCACGCGAGAGACGCGCTTTCCAGCCAGAAGGGAGGCATCGACGAGCCTGATATCGCCCGTCGGGCGGTCGACAGCCAGGGCCGGCGCATTGGGACTCGAGGGCGAGGAGAAGATGTACGAGTCGGAAGCTGTTTGGACGTTGATGTCGCGAAAGGGCAGCGCCATGGTTCTGAGCACCGCCAACGCTGTGGGCGGCGGGAAAAAAAGGGGATTTCACGGGGGGGAGTTGGAGTTCGTCAATTGCAGCATTACACGAGCACTTCCAGTTGAAATAATTTCATTTCATCTGGGTGTTGAAACCTGCGGCTATGGCATTTTCTCATCTCGAGACTCTGACCATCCACCAACAAGAGGCGTAGTGTAATTGCTGGCCTCACGTTAGTTAGCTGGCGCAGCAAGAGTGGCGCAATTGTCTGCCGCTGCCGGCTGGCAATTAGCGTGCCAAGTGCACCTAATCTTATCAGCTGTGCACGGACAACCAGCAGGGTTGCGTAACCGGGCTGATGCTGCTGCCATCACGTGGAGCCGCACAGGGCCCGCTCAGAGGTGCCTGCTGGCTCCGGGCCTTGCCTGACGTGTGCACCCACCCGCTGGCCAGTGACAGTGTAGCCTGCATTCCGGGCTATCGCTCCAACCAAGACCCTGTTACGGCAGTCTCGTGGTTTCCCTCAAAGCAACCGAACCAACCTCAACTGCATCTCCAAAACCATCGACCGTCTTCAAACCAGCACCTTTCCCCGAGACCACACTGCCGAACGAGACCCATATCGAGCCTCCGATTCCCTCCACGCTACTTCGCTTCACCGGCTCAAGCGGTCTTTTCACCGTCTTCTGTAGCGCCGCCGTTTTCCCTCCTCCCCACTGTAATCCCACCCCGACCCATCATACTCTCGCCATGGCAGCTCGAGGACCTCCTGGCGCTCGTGGCATGAGCAACCGCTTCGCGCAGTTCAAGCTGGTACTTTTGGGTGAGAGGGTATCGGACCAGTCAAACGACGGACTCTGCTGATACCGTCCAGGTGAATCCGCCGTAGGGAAGAGCTCGATAGTGCTGCGGTTCGTCAAGGTGAGCCATTCAACTCAGCCTCGCATTTTGGTCCAAGCCAGGCCACTAACAGACGTTAGGACCAATTCGACTCGTACAGAGAATCCACCATCGGCGCCGCCTTCCTAACACAGACCATCTCCCTGGATGAGAACACGACGGTCAAGTTCGAGATATGGGATACGGCAGGCCAGGAGCGGTACAAGTCCCTGGCGCCCATGTACTACAGGAACGCGAACTGCGCTGTCGTCGTCTACGATATCACCCAAGCCGTATGTTTCCATTCTCTGTCCGTTCTGGGCCGCGTGCTGACGTGAGAATCAGACATCCCTGGATAAGGCCAAATCCTGGGTCAAGGAGCTGCAGCGGCAGGCCAACGAGAACATCATCATCGCCCTCGCCGGGAACAAGCTGGACCTGGTAACGGAGCAACCCGACAAGCGGGCTATTCCCACCGCCGACGCCGAGGCCTACGCGAAGGAGGCCGGGCTGCTCTTCTTTGAGACGTCGGCCAAGACGGCCGAGAACGTGCAAGAGCTGTTTACCGCCATCGCCAAGAAGTTGCCTCTCGACCAGGTCGGGCCCAGGCATACCCGCCCCGGCCAGCGACCGGGCGTCAGCCTAGCCCCCGAGGGAGCAAACACGCAAGCTGGAGGACAATGTGCTTGCTGAGCCGAGTCGCGCAAGGTAGAATCGAGGGCTGGGGGCGGTTATAATCGTGAGCCATTATGGTGCAAGCGGGGATTTTGCAAGCCTCCGGCTGCGGACCCGGAGTCGGAGCAGGGGCCCGAGGTGGGGCGGCGGCGGGAGATGGCAAACCACGGTTCATAGAGAAGGTTACGTCACTTTGGGCGCCTCCGGCTTGGGGGGAAGGAATGTCGGCATCAGAACATTTGGAGCGGAGTCTGCTGGGTGGGTAGTTATGCCGTTCTAATACCTCGTATTTTTGACTTTTTTCTTCTTTTTTTGGACGGGTCTTTATGATTGCACCCGACACACTGGCCTTGAGCAAATGCACACCAGACAAGACCAGCGTGGGAGGGCCACCCCCTGGCGCATTCCATGTATAGTATGCAGATAGAGCAACAGCTTGCCACGGACGCGGTAATCCTAATCAAGGATATGCTGGGTGCATGGGTTAGGGAGACTGGAGAGAAACATTGCGCGATTACTTTGGGCGTTGAATACTACTAGGTAGTTCTCCGTTTGCAAAGCTGGTTTGCTCTGCTATCTCTACAATTATCCTTATTCATGTACCTACCCCTTTTCGAGTCCCCTTTTCATTATTCCCATTCCACGAGGAACGAATGGATAGGTAAGTACCGAGGTGCTGTGATCAAGCTCTGTTGCACTCAGAATCAAACTACCCTGAACTTTTTCCCGGTTTTCATCGACAGCAGACCTTGACAGGTTTGAATTCTGGCTCAACAAATATTCCTCCAACATTAATGGTTAAGGTAGGTACTAGTAGGTGCATGTAGTGTTCAGCCAAGGTATCTACGGTACCTACTCCGTACTTAGCTCGCTTTATGCTGTTGATGAATGCCAATGAAGTTCCTAACTACTACATTTACATATGTCACCTCATGGCAGCGGCATTCAAGCGGATAGGTCGCAGAGTTTTGTCAATATAGAGTAGGTAGTGCTAGGTAGGTAGTTACTCGAGGTATGTAAGTATCCTCTACTGAGGTAAATGGGAGGTCTTTTGATGGAAGTGAAATGCGTATAGGAAGTACACTACAGTTGCTTTATAAGGAGAAGATCTATAACTTCAGGGATCTATACCTAAGGTAGGGTAAGTACCTGACTGTCGTCATTTTGAGTTCGGTTCTTAACTCGTAAAGGTAGGTACCTACCGTGACTTAATGTAGGATCCGGACCCCCTGTCCTCACCTCCAAGCAGAAAGAGCCGACCACTCGTTGTCGAGTGTCGGACTCGCTTATGATCAGGCCAATAACAATGCTCAACACTTTCAACTTACACCCCATACTATCAAGGGGAGCTTGTGAGCGACTCGGGGGTTCTTTTTGGGCTTTGGTTTCATAAACCTGTCCATTCCCAGTCAGTTGCGATTCTTAAACGGCATTATGGACTACTCTGGGTCGCTCGCCAGGATCTTGGCCCTCTCGTCAAGTTGTTTATTAACTTGAAGTTCCCTGTAGCCCGTGATAAGACACCAAAGCCCGATTGCCTCTTGCTACCATTTGCTACCGAGGCATAGCCGTTCTTCTTAAGTTCAAGAGCTCGAACGCATCATGATAGGTGGCACGAATTTGGAAAAGACAGTTCAACCTGCAGCCGACGTCTCGGATGCCCCGAATACGTCAGAGAAGGATATCCCACCACCGCATGCCCGCGATGAGGCTGTTGGTGCTAACGACCAAGCCGAATACATGAAGGGGTGGCGCCTATACATGCTCACGGCGGGAATATGGATCGCTCTCTTCTTGTCGACCCTCGAGACGACCATAGTCAGCACGTCTCTCGTGTCCATCGCCGACTCCTTGAGCGGCTTTGAGGACCGCAACTGGGTAGTTGCGGCATATTTCCTCACTTACACCGGTATGATCTCAAGGGGGAGCAGTCTGATGTGCGTGAAGCGTGCTCTAACTTGCGTCTACCGCACAATCCAGGCTTCCTTGTCATTTATGCCAAGTTGGCCAGCATTTTCGGGTCCAAGACCATGTTTCTTCTCGCTCTCACCTTCTTTACCGTCTTCTCGATCGGCTGCGGTTCGGCCAGCACTATGAATCAACTGTACGAAAAGGGACTTGAACCGACTGTCTCAACGAGCTCCTACATGCAGCTAACAAATTATAGTATCATTCTGCGTGCCTTTCAAGGCATCGGCGGGTCGGGGATTTACTCGATGGTTCTCGTCCTCGCGCCCCAACTTGTCCCGGTAACCGAGTACGGCAAATACATCGGCATAATCTCATCTGTCTTTGCCATTGCCAGCTTTACTGGCCCGCTGCTTGGAGGTGCAATAGCGAGCAACACCACCTGGAGATGGGTCTTCCTGCTAAAGTGTGTATCTACCCCCTGTTGCCGCTTCCAGTGCTGATCTCCTTTCCAGTGGACCTCCTGGGTTTCTGGCCCTCGTTATCATTGCTATATTCCTACCAGCCAGCAAGGTCGACAGCAGCTCCATGTGGGGTGCGAGACTCCAAGCCAAGTTTTCGCGTAGAACCATGCGACGAGTTGATATTCTAGGAGCCGTCTCCCTCCTGGCCGCCTCGGTGCTCCTTGTCTTTGCGCTCGAGTCGGGCGGCACCCGGTATCCATGGAGTAGCGGGGCCGTCATATCCACCCTGGTGATGTCTGGTCTGTCATGGATTACCTTCACTGTCTGGGAGATTTACCTTGAACGGGCCCAATCAGTCAGTGAACCCATCTTCCCCATGGGCCTCCTGAGAAACAGACAGTTAGCGAGCATGACGTTGTACGTGACAGAACACTGCTTTCTTTCTCACCTCTTCATCAACTAACAGTCGCCCGCTCTCAGCGCAACCTTTATGATCGGCTTCCCGTTCGTAGCCATCCTTTTCATCATCCCGCAGCACTCTCAAGCCGTTTACGGACTCTCCCCAGTGCAGGCCAGTTTGTCGGTGCTGCCGTTGTTGCTAACATCGCCTGTGGCCACGGCCGCCTCGGGCATCTTGACCTCGACCTTCAACGTGCCGCCAAGCTACCTGATTCTCATCGGATCGGTGATACAGGTCGTCGCTGTTGGGCTTGCCATCACGATACCCCTGACCGGAGACGCCATCCCGGCAAAACAATACGGCTTTGAGGCGCTGATGGGAGTGGGTTTCGGGTTGACGCTCTCCACCGTGCTCACGCTCAGCCAGCTCCTGGTCAGCAAAGAACACGCAGGTGAGACGCATTGAGAGGCATCCTGTTTTGATGGATTGACTTGCGTCATGGTGCTAACGGGGAAAACCAGGCGTTGTCATGGGGGCACTCACCCAGATCCGCGTCCTTGGCGGGACGGTTGCCCTTGCGATTTGCTCTGCCATTCTCAGCAACCATGTTCGGGATAGTCTTGCCGGGGTTCTTACACCTGCCGAGTTCCAGGAAATTGCCGAGGCCCTCGGGGCCATCAACAAACTAGGGCCGGAACGGCTTGCCAGGGTAAAACTTGCCTTTGCTGAGGGGTACAGGAGACAGTTTCAATTGCTCACCGTGTTTAGCGGCGTGGCACTTTTAGCGGCACTGTTTCTCATCAGTCGACACCCGGTTAATGTGAGAGATGTCGCAAAGGAGAGAGAAGGCAACAGCTCAATGACCGCCGCTGGACCAAACCTTGGAGCTCGAGGCGAAGCCCCTGATACAGCCTAGGAGAGACAGGTGATATAGAGTTCTGTACAAATCAATACGTGAGGCCGTGTAAGTGCGATGAAGGTAACTATGTATATAAGTCCGATGCTCGGATTCAAATAAATAGAAAGAGAGCTACAAATATAGACGTTGCACTGGCTGGGGTACTTTGTTCAACAGGACTGTGAAACAGTTCAAGGACAGGACCATACTATGAAAGTCGGAGCTAACAGTGACTCCAGTAAGCAGGTATTGAACCATTACATTGTCAGTTCTGATTCAAGTGCTAACTTCCAAGCTGAGGCAAATTACCATCAGCCTAGGCCAAGTCACAGGTGCTGGTGAGGAGCCTGGGATCAAATGAAATCCTTGATTGCTAGAGTTGAGCTAGATTCTATTACCGTATTTATGTTATACCCCGAAGTTCCAACAGTTTCTGCGAGAGGATCCTCTATCCCTCCATTTCCCAGACTTATACACATCTATTATTCAAAAAGCCCCTTCCTCCCCTCCAAAAACTCCTTCCAGCTAGTCACCTTCAGCCCAACCCCAGCCAGCAGCTCCCGGCCGTCAACCAGCGAACCGCCGGCAAAGAAGCCTGGTTCCTCGCACAGCATTTCATTCTCAAGAATCTCCTGGGCGATAGGCGGCGGCAGGAAGCTCTTGTAGACGGCGTGGTCGAGCTGCACATACTGGCCCTTGCGACCTGTCACCTGTGTAAACTCGTCCATGATTCGGGCCGGGGTGTAGTAGTCGGCCGCGGCGGGGATAGCCTTGTTGAGGGTGACGGAGGGATTGCGTGCGATGGCTACAAAGTATTTTCCTGCATCATACTTAGTACATGGCAAGGGGATTGGAAAGAGACATGACTCGGACGGGAGGGATGTAGAGGTGTAAGTCAAGTAGGTATTACTACGCACCCATATCCTCATCGGCAAAGAAAAGCGGCAGCTGTGCTTTGGTGGGACTGGTCGGTCCGGCAAGCGTGTAAGACCCGTCCTCGCCCTTGCGGAGCAGGCCCAGGTTGGTGAAGTTGGTCATGTAGTAGCCCGGTTGGATGAAGGTGGCCGGGATGCCTTGCTCACGGATGTACTTCTCAACATGGGCCTTGCTGTCGAAGTGGGCGACGTGGGGGAGTTTTCCTCCGGAGGCCTCGGTGACGTTGATGAGCGATGAGAAGACCAGGTGCTGCACGCCGGCGGCCTTGGCGGCGTCGGCGACGTTCTTGCCGTGCCGTGTCTCGGTGCCGGCAGGCGCGCCAGTCACCATGTCCGGCAGCGTGACGAGGAAGACCGTGTGGCTGTCCTTGAGCGCCGCGGCTAGGGAGGCAGGCGAGTCCATGTCGGCTGATACGACCTCGATCCCCTCATGCTGCTGGGCAAGGGCCTGTGCTGAGGGCTTGGATGCGTCCCGGGTGACGGCTCGGATTTTGAAGGTCTTGGACAAGACCGGATCTGCGAGGACGGCACGGATCACCGAGCCACCTTGGACGCCGGTGGCGCCGAAGACTGTGAGGATGTTGGACATGATGGTTTCTGAGAGGGTTGAGTGTCTGGATGTAGCAGGGAGTATAGTGATATTGGAAACAGGGTTTTCGATGATCTGGTGTAAGTGAGCAAAGGTAACACGAATGACACCTAGAGCGAGGGGAGTAAGGGGGATGGAGAAGGCAGAGTCTTTTATATCCATTTCCTCCTCGTCCATTCACTGTCACTCGGAGGAGAACTCGGAAGGATGTCTGACAAATGTTCAACCTTCATGTTGGCGTGCATGATGGCTTGCAAATGAGTCGGATTTCAAACCGACCACCGGTCCATAGAGCAGATATGGGCCATGAGCAAGACATGACAAAGCCGGTCCAGGTGCATCGACAGTGTTCTAGTTTGATTTTTTCGCTTGTGGGTGCCTATTCTGGGCGTCCAGGACATAATTCTAGTCCGCTCCAGGGTTGCGCGGTGTCGAGGCCGGAGGTGACGGCGGTACTGACCGGGGCTACCGGCTCCTGCACCCCGCTTCGGACACCGAGCGGCCCACTATTGGCTGCTCCGGGTTTAGGGCAGCGTCAGCTGGAACGCTCCCACTTCCCGGCTACCTCATGCCCCATGGTGACCCCATGGCTTTATCGTCCGTAACGCCGTCCCGTGCTTTCACATTCGATTGCATCCCATTTTCATCCAGACTGGTACTTGTAGTCCAATTGAGAGGTTCTGGATGCCAATGCCGAATGCTGAGTCAAAAGCTCTGTCTAGGAGATGGAGACCCAACAGCGCCCCCCGCAGCAGCAGTCTTCCAGTCAAGGAGAAAAACGTGACGGGCGCGAAAGCACAGCGAGGGGTCGGGGCCTGCTCTCGTGTGTCCAGTGCCGTAACCGTAAGCTTAGATGCGATCGCAAGCGGCCCAGGTGCGATCGCTGTGTGGAACGGAATGAGACGTGCACATACCCGGAAACCCGGCAGCGGGGCCTCGGTCCACGCAAGACCGTGCAGGATCTCGAGGAGCGGATACAGGAGCTCGAGGGACTCCTTAGGGCTGCCAATCTGAATCTCGGAGCGGCACAAGAACCGGAACAGGACCCTAACCTGTCATTCTTGCCCCCTCCATCCTTGCCGCACGCGGAGCTTCAATTTGTTGGAGGAGAGCCGGCGGCAACCGGTCAACAAGAACTCGTCGGTCTCGGCCTGTTTGAGCAGTCGCTCTCGTTTGAGCTTATCGATGCTCTCACGTCCCTCTTCTTCCAGACCATCCACGCGGGGGCTCCCATGCTTCACCAGGCGCGCTACACGGCGTCCCTGCGCCTCCCTCCGCACATGCGGCCCCCCATGTGTCTCCAGTATATCGTGCTGGCGTCCGCGGCAGCAACATCGCCCGCCTACCGCCACCTGGCGGAGCCCTTCTACCAGCGGGCCCGCGTGTATGCCGATGCCGACGAGCTGAAGGGACAAGGCGAAGTCTTCGCCACGGTGGCCCACGTCCAGTCCTGGAGCCTCATCTCGGCCTACGAATGCCATGTCTACGCCGCCTTCACCAAGGCGTCCACCAGTCTCTGCCGTGCTGTGCGCATTGCCCAGATGCTCAAGCTGCACCAGCTTGACGACCAAAATGCACTGGTTCTGAGCCTTCCCCCGCCGAGAGACGCCATCGAGGCCGAGGAGCGGCGTCGAACATGGTGGGTCGTCTTCATGGCCGACCGTTTTCTCACCTCCACCACGGGCTGGCCGTCCCTCATCGACGAGCGACACATCCGTACCAACCTTCCCTCCGCCGACCAACACTTCGCCGCCGGAGTCGACAACCCCCATCCAACACGCCTATCAGACGGCCTGCGCCGCCTGGAACAGGGCCAAGCGGACGAGCTGTCCCCCTTTTCCATCCGCCTGCTCGCCGCCAACGAGCTGCTGCACGCCCTGGACCACACCGCAAATCCCCCGGACCCGGACCCAGCGGCAAGCTTCCCCGGAAACATAGTGGAAGTAGAAGACAGCTCCTACTGGCGCCGGCGCCGCGACATTGACCGCAACTTGACCACCCTGACCCATTTTCTCCCGGCCCATCTCAACCCGTCGGCCAACCCGCGCAGCCTCGACGCCATCCTCGTGCACATCTGCATCGGCATGGCTGTTCTGCACCTCGGCCGCTGCTCCCCGGCGTCCCCCATCACCACAACTTCACCCGCGGACTGGAATCGTCGCCTCCTCCCAACAGCGCAGGCTATCGTAGCCGTGTTCCGCGCCGCGAGCGCCGCGGGTTCTTTGCCCAAAGCCCTCCGCAACCCGCTGCTGCCGTTCGCCGCCTACATGGCCGCGTCTGTGTTTCTGACGGATTTCTGCACAAGTTCCGCCGGGGGCAGTCAAGAAAGTGAGACAAACCTGGCGTATTTGGCTGATACCCTCGTCGCATACTCGGCAAGCGGCGGCGCCGTCGTCAGGGCTAATGCCCTGCAGCTGGCGGAGGACTTGCAGCGGGTTGGGAGGGGTGAGTGGATGGACCGGTTAATACGGGAGAGCTCAGAGGGGTGGATGATGAGTGCGAAACTTGTCGTTGAGGATGCTGGTACTGAATCTGGGTCTGGTCGAAAAAGGCGCCCGATGCTGTTCTGTCCGGCACTGAGCTCTGCGAGTGCGGGTAGCGGTGGAGAGGGGTTGATGGGAGCAGCACCAGCAGGAGGAGGAAGTAGCGGGTTCGTTGGGGGTGGCTACCAGCATGAATCGCCGTGGAGTGGGACTCCTAGTGGCCCGTTGGTGTTGAATCTGCCTGGCGCTGCTGGGCCGTCGGTGATGCAGGCTGGTGAACCCGGCGGGCTTTTCTCGCATCTCTCGGCTATGGGATCGCAGGGATTTATACCGTGATGCCGGGAATGAATTGATTTGTGGTTTGGGGGTTCGGATCAAATACCCGAGAGGGCCTCGGCAGGGGAAAGGGGTTACCCTCTGAGGCACTGACATTCCTGAAATCATCATTACCAGGCGCGCTTTGATAGCTATGTCCGGTCAGCGGCGAGGGAAATAGTGATACGAGCACCTTGTCTCTGATGAAGCCAAGCTAGGCAATGGTAGAATACCTTGACGTTACCAGAACTAAATCCTACTAATGCAAAGGTTGAAGCGAAGTTTTGTAGCCAACCTTGGCTGACCATGGCCTTCCGTGAGCGAGTGCCTTCGCGCCTATATCACGTTTGCCTTTGAGAAGCAGCAGGACATCGAGGCTCGAAGGAGCAGTTTCCGGCCAGGCATCAAGGAATCCATGGACAATGGCTGATGCACGAGATTCCTGTCATCGTTGCGAAGATCGCTCGTGTCGCCATGGATTCGGGACATGGGTCTCCATAATCATGTCATTGTATCCGACTAGATACGCACCGAGACCACACAGTCGTCGACTGTGAATTCGGTTTCAGGTGTCGGTTTTTGAGAGATGGAAGTGATGAGGTTTGAGACCACCGTTGTTGCCGTTTTTGGGCTGTTGGTCAGATTGGCTGAGACTGAGCAGGAGGTGGCCTGTGCACTAGTACATACAGTACATATGGTACATACCTGCAACAGTACAACAGCGCACAGCGCTGGCACCTGAGGTAGGAGATCGAATTTCTGTAAAATATATAACAGTGGGATCGCGATATTCTAGAGTTAATTGATTAGAGACTGTTGCTACTTGATCAGATTGCCAACATCAGGGTTGACTGCTGCTGTCGTGTGAGAGGGTGCAGTGCGGGTGCCAAGACCCAGTTCGTGGGACCTGGCACTTGCCAGCTCTTCCCGGTTCTTTGCCGAGCTCTTTTTTGCTCAGTGATTCTTCCCCAAACCACCACAACCCAAGGTTCAATTGCGCCTTGCTGGCCATCCCATCCCCTCATGTTGCGTACATCGCTACACTCCGTGAGGGCGCTGGGCAGCAGGCCCGCCGCAGCTGCTGCCGGCCGTCAATGGCAACTTTCTGCCGCGAGACGGGCTGTCGTGTCGGGTCAGGTATGAGGTCATGCTAAGAGCTGCCGAGCCCCGATTCCTGGCTAACCTGCCATGTGTATGTGTCTAGAGATACTATGCCGACGGCAAGAAGCCTACAGATGAAGCAAAGCCCGCAGTGCTCCCCGCCGAGCACACGCTAACCGCCCCATCAACACCGCCGCCCCCTCCGCCTGAGGTTGCGAAAGTCGCTTCGTCGACCATCCCTCCCGAAAATGCCCCCTTGACACCACCTGCCCCGGGTCCAGCCGTGGTTCCTGAGACGACGACCAAGATTCCGCCTCCGCCTCCCCCGCCCGCCCCACCAAAGAAAAAGAGCTTCTTCCGGCGACTGCGCAACTACATCCTAACCCTCACCTTCCTGGGCGCTCTAGGTTTTGGCGGCGGTGTCTGGTACTCGCGCATCAACGACAACTTCCATGACTTCTTCACCGAGTATGTACCATATGGCGAGCAGGCTGTGCTATACTTGGAAGAGATGGACTTCAAGAAGCGGTTTCCCAACGTGGCCAGCCGCATGACCGGCAGGCGGACGGATTCAGGCGACAAGGTCAAGATCCCGGCTCAGAGCGGTGCCTCGTGGCGGGTCGCTGACGGCAGCGAGCCCGCTAGCCGGCAATCGAGCGCAATCCAAAAGGTGAACGCCGCCAAGGAGGCCCCGAAACCAAAAGCCGAGCCCGCTACCGTCGTCGAGGCGAAGGAGCAGACGGCAAACCTGCCCAAGGTACAAGCCGAGGAAACCAACCTTAGGAGCTCCCCACCTACACCCGCATTAGCTTCCGCACCTGCACCTGTGGCTGAAAAGCCGTCTGAAACCGAGCCTTCACCCACACCCGCACCCACACCCGCACCCACACCCGCGTCCACGCCGGCCAAGACACCTTTCAAAGCACCCGAGGTTGACGAGCCTTCACGGTGGCCGCCGGCGTCGCCCATCGACCCGCTGGCCGTGCCTGACGCTGCCGATCCCGTCGTACAAGACCTGGTGCGCATGCTTAACGACATCATCGCCGTAGTAAATCACGACGGCGCCAACGAGAAGTATGGAGCCACGATCGGCAAGGCAAAGAACGAGGTCAGCAAGGTGGGCCAAAAGATCCGCGACCTGAAGACGGCCGTGGAGCGGGAGGCTGCCGACCAGGTCAAGAAGCAGGTCGACGAGTTTGACAAGTCGGCCCACGAGCTCGTGGCGCGGCTCGAGGCGGCCATGACGTCGCAGGAGCAGCAGTGGCGCCTCGAGTTCGAGGCCGAGATGGAACGGCTGCGGAAGAGCTACGACAGCAAGCTCAAGCTGGTACAGGAGCGCGAGAGGCAGCTCGCCGAGGAGAAGCTCAACAACCAGCTCCTGCAGCAGGCGGTCGAGCTGCAGCGCCAGTTCGCGCGCGACATCAAGCAGCACGTGGAGGAGGAGCGCGAGGGCAGGCTCGGCCGGCTGACGGAGCTGTCGGCGGCCGTGGCAGACCTTGAAAGGCTCACGGCGGGCTGGAACGACGTCGTCTCGGCGACGCTCCGCACGCAGCAGCTGCACGTGGCGGTCGAAGCGGTGCGCGCCAGCCTCGAAGACGCGCGGCACCCGCGGCCGTTTGTCAAGGAGCTCGCGGCCCTCAAGGAGATTGCGGCCAACGACCCGGTCGTCGACGCCGCCATCGCCTCGATCCACCCTTCGGCCTACCAGCGCGGCGTCTCGACCCCGGCCGAGCTGGTCGACCGGTTCCGCCGCGTCGCAGCCGAGGTGCGCAAGGCCTCGCTGCTGCCCGACGACGCGGGCGTCGCGAGCCACGCCTCCAGCTACCTCCTCAGCAAGGTCATGTTCAAGAAGCAAGGGCTCGCCGCGGGCGACGACGTCGAGAGCATCCTGACCCGCACACAGACCCTGCTTGAGGAGGGCGATCTGGACAATGCCGCCCGCGAGATGAACGCCCTGACGGGCTGGTCCAAGACGCTCAGCCGCGACTGGCTGGCTGAGGTGCGCAAGGTGTTGGAGGTGCGGCAGGCTTTGGAGGTATGTTACTTGTACTTGTTCTCGGTGATTTGATCCAACGAGTCTTCTTGCGCTAACGTGAGTCCCTAAATAGGTAATCCAGACGGAGGCGAGGCTACAGAGCTTGAAGCTTGACGCTTGAGTAGGGGTGCCTGGGCCGCCAGTTTTCCCTTTGTTGCTGTATGTACATGTGCCGGTTCTGTAGACCCTGTTTGTCTCGCTAGAGGGCGTGCGGGATGGGTATGCCGAATGTATTAAATACTTTAGTGAATACATAGACGTGATCTGGCAGATTTGTGGTGTATCGATGGCTGCTTAGGTCAAACGCGACTCCGGGAGTGCTGTTGAGGTGTTCCATAGCGCCACATGGAGCTCAGCAAATCTGTTACTGATATAAGACTGGAGCTCTGCGTCCATTTCCAGAATCTTATCTCTCACTTTCATAGCGACGGTCAACTCAAAAGGCTTCTAAACCACAGCAAGGAATTCAATCGGCAGGCTTGATGATGACATTTTAACCCGAGCCATGGTCGATGTCTTGACTCGGTTTTGCAGTGATAATAATTAGATAAGGCTGTCGGCCTCCTCGGAGTAAGCCCGATTGAGAGATCAAGCCTTCCGTGACACAACAATGACTTTCTTCTCACATCAAACCTCCTGAAATTGAAATGCGGACACCAAGCCCTTGCATCCTCCAAACCATACTCCGTCTCCAGAGAGCGACATCGAACATTTCTCTCCCACTTTTCTCTCTCCCGCACCGTCAACTCCTCTCCACTCATCGCGGCTACCACGTAAGTACCCGCAGCAAGATGGCCACATGCCAGGAAGACGACGACGCGCCCCCGTTCACCTACCAGGAAGCCCTTGCCCGGCTCGCGCAACTGCAGTCCAACCACTCCGTCACCTCCCTCTTCACCCCGCCAGCACCAACACCACCCAAACCCGGTGGAGATGCAGCTTCAACAACAAGAGCTGACATGAACGCGGCCGCAATCCCGGAGATGCTCTTCTGGCTCGCCCGCGCAGGCTACCCGCCGACCTCCCTGACCTCACCCCGCGGCCCGGCCTTCCGCTGCGTGCATGTGGCGGGGACAAAGGGCAAGGGCTCCGTGGCCGCGCTGACGGCGTCCATCCTGCAGCAGTATGTTCCGCACAAAACAGGGCTGTATACCTCGCCGCACGTGCTCAGCCCGCGCGAGCGCATCGTGCTGGACGGGCAGCCCGTCTCGCGCGACGTGTTTGCGCGCGGCGTGGCGCAGGTCTGGGGAAGGCTGACGAGGGCTGCGAGGGAGGAGCTGGTCGCTGCTAGGGCTAAAAGGATACAGGAAGGGATTGGGAGTGATGATGATGGGATGGATGACCTTGACCTTGACCTTGCCCTGGACGGGCCGGGAACCAAGCCGTTCTATTTCCGCTTCCTGACCATTCTCGCTGTGCACCTGTTTGTGACGCGCGGTGTGGGCGACGCGGTCATTGAGTGCGGCATTGGCGGCGAGTACGACGCCACCAATGTGATACCTGCTGAGATGGTAACCGCTGCCGTGGTGACTCAGCTCGGGCTGGACCATGTGGGTATGCTGGGCGGCACGGTCGAGGAGATTGCCTGGCATAAGGCGGGGATTTTTAAAAGGGGCGTCAAGGCATTCACGCGGACGCTGCCGGGGGAGGCACAGAGGGGTGTCATGGAAGTGCTACGCGCCAGGGCGAGGGAGAAGGAGGCTACGCTGGTCGAGGTGACTGATGAGGAGGTGGAACGGTGGAAAGGTGTGCTAGGGGCAAAGCTCCAGGGGCCGTTCCAGAAGTATAACATGGCGCTGGCCGTGTATGCCGCCAGGGAACACCTCCTCAAAACGGGCGTTGCGTTGGAGGGGAAGTTTGGGACGGAGGACTGGTCATTGGACGACATACCGGAGCGGTTTGTCAAGGGCCTGAGGGAGGCTTCCTTACGAGGGCGGTGCGAGGTTGTGCAGGATGCGGATGGCATCGAGTGGTACCTGGATGGAGCGCATACAGACGACAGCCTTGCCGGCGTCGGCGGGTGGTTCGCGAGCCAAACCAAGGGCGAGGACAAGGTTCGGGTGTTGCTGTTCAACCAGCAGGAGAGGCATCCTGCGCCGTTGCTGAAGGCACTGGTTGGGGGGGCACAGAGCGAAGCAAATACAGCGCCCATCTTTACACAGGCAATCTTCACAAGAAACGAGGAGGACAAACCGGCCGACGGCGAGGTCCGGGATCTGTCTGTGCAGAACCAGGCGAGAGACGCATTCCGTGAGGTTGAGGTCAACACGAGCGAAGTGGCGGTGCTGGATGCTGTGCAGCCCGCCATCGAGCGCATCAGGGAGATTGCTCTCCAGGCAAGAAAGGAGGGCAAGACGTGCAAGGTCCTAGTCACGGGGAGCTTCTACCTCCTGGGTTCGGTGCTCAGAATTATAGAGCACGCTGATAATTGACACCGCCTACCAATCTATGGCAATATCCAACGCCTTGTCCGCCCATGCTGTGAAGCTACCGACCTGTACAGTTGAATCACAAGGTATATACATACATGGACATGCGTCGTGATGAAGACCAGTCCAGACCCAAACTCAATCACACCCCTACAAGGCATCCGCACCTTCGAGAATGCCCAATGCGCCGCCAACAAGGTGTAAGCTGCCCGTGATCAGAGCCTTCACCTTCGACTCGCCATCCTGCCCCGCCAGGTCTCGGGCCGTGTTGATGGCCTCCTCAATGCTATGACAGATCGTCACCTTGGCAGTGGGGTCTAGGGCGGACCACTTGTCGGCAAAGACGCGCTGCATCGTCATCTTTTCGATGTCTGCGGGATTATGCTGATGGTTTACAAAATCTGTGCCAATTAGCCGCCGCGAGGTCAGAAATTGTGGAGGAGGCAGCAGCATACCTCGTTTGTAGCCTGTAGCAGCATAGGTCACGTTGGTGCAGAAAATAACGTGTTCAAACCCCTTCCCATCCGGATCGGCATTTTTCACGACATTGCACAACCCGTCGAGGAAGTCGACAGCCTCGCTGCGGCCCTGCTGGTTGAAGATGAGCACCTTGGGCCCGCCGTTGGTCCGCGCGGCACACTCGCCCGCAAACCAGCGCGCCGCCATCTTGAGGCTGTCGACCGTGTGGGCGCCATCGACGTGCCATACGACTTTGTCTTCCTCGATCACCTCGCACCTGCCGCGCCAGACCACCTGCTCCAGGCCATCGACAAATTCTTGCGGCAGGGCTTCAGGGTTGGGCGAGAAGGACGGATCCAGCTTCTTCAGCGCAGTCTCCGCTAAGGCAACGGCCAGAGTGGCATTCTTCTTCTGGAAAGTCGCGTCCGGACGGATCTTGACGCCGGCCAGCCGGGGGTCAATATCGAGCACTTTCAGGTTCACACCCTTCTCAACGGCACGTTGCTTCAGCACAGGTGTAGCCAACGGAACCTGCTCGATCGTAAAGGCCGGACTGCCTGGCTTCATGATGCCGGCCTTGTGCCAGGCGATCTTGTCGACCGTGTCGCCCAGCACAAAGACGTGGTCGATGCCAAGGGTGCTGATGCCGGTTGCCACGGGGCGGTCGACGATGTTGGTGGCGTCGTATTCGCCGCCAATGCCCGTCTCGTACACGGCAGCATCGACGCCCTCGGACAGGAAGACATGGTAGCTCATCAGGGTCAGGTAGCGGGCGTAGATGGGCTTGGTTCCCGGGGCAACCTTGTCGGAGGCAACAGTGGCGTTTTGCTCGAGACGGTCCCAGACTTGAAAGAAGTACTTGGCGAAGAGCTCCTCGGAGATGGGCGCCGAATTGATGCGGATACGCTCGCGCACAGCGATTAGATGGGGCGAGGTGAAGAGACCGACTTTGCGCGGGGGCCCGCCGCGCTGCTGGTAGCGGGACAGGATCGAGTCGACAAAGGCGCAGGTGCTGCCCTTGCCCTTGGTGCCGGCGACATGCACGATGTTCAGGCGGTCTAAATCCTGGGAGGAGTAGCCGATGCGGGCAAGGTAGCCACGCATCTCGCTGATGGATACAGCATCTGGTCGGATGCCGGCTTTGCGGCGCGCCTCGATCACGGCATAGGGAGTTTGGAGTGAGTTGAGGGCATCAATCGCGTCCTGAAGGGGTTATATGCGTTAGCTACCTAGTTCCTGGCGATGGATAACGGCACTTTGCCCTGCCTACATTATAAGTGCGGGCGGCCGCCGCCATGTTCCTAGAAAACGCTCTTGGTCGGAATTTCAGGGTGGTCAGTGAGAACGACCTCGGGACAATTGCAGTCCACCACAGCAGCGCATGTCGCATTGGAGCCTTGCTGCTGCTATGCCAGGCAGACACTCATCTCTGGCAACTAGTTGCTGTGCTGAATCATACACAGTACACGCGTTATCGCTTGCAGATGCAGAGTTGAGTAAGAATAGGGATTCCGGTTTGCGTCGGTGTAGTTGCCGCCGACCATCGGACCCAGCCCACATTCGCTGATGTTCGACGTCAGAGCTGCCCCGCTCGAGCAGCAACCTCCTAACCCTAACCCTTTGAATTTGCTCGCAACACCAATCGAAATGGCAAAGTCGAATGCTCCAAAACTTCCATGTAAAAAATCTCAAACTTTCTTCATTGCTCTTGTTTCCAAGCATCTTATGGCTCTTTCCAGATCAAAATCTGAAGCAGTTTCCATAGTACTTTTGGGATCTCTCTTGAACTGGGTGAAGTTCCCTTTCATACTAGTACCCTTTCCTGGCCCTAAATTGTTGCAACTGCCGGCGCCGGCAGCAATCATTCCCGTGTCCCGTTCTTGACGTCTGCAATGCGACATCCCCACGAGCATGTTCTGGCAACAAACATATTAGTAGTCGTCTGCCGTCCGATCACACGCTGGTCGCGAAAACGCAGAGCTGCAGCATCAATTGCTGGGTGCATCTTCTGCCGTGTCTGAGGCATTGTGTACCAGGCAATGCCCTCTCGATCAGCCCATAATGCCCTCATGGCGCTTTCTGACATCCTAGTCATCCACTCGCTCGGAGCACCGAGTCCAACCCTGCGGATGCTACCGGGAAAACTGCATCTCGAATTCTAGATCCTCTCTCACCGACATTGCCCCTTTTCTAGACGATGGGTAAAGGAAGTTTCTGATTCTCACCTGACAAGAGACTCTCTCGCCATCTCGAGTCGAGCGGATACCAGGGACGATGCGCTCGGCTCCTGATTGGCGCGGGTAAAATGGCTGGATAAAATGGTCGCCCAGGGAAGCTTCGTGGGGTTCTGTAGGGAAAGCTGCACAACAGGTTCATCAGTGCCCAACGCCGTTGGCGGTTATGTACCGATCAATAGTCACCACCACACAACATGGCGTAATCGGCGAGGCCAAGACACGACCGAGTCCTCGCCGCTGTGGAGGACGGTAGGTTGTTGTTGGTGGGGGGGTACTGACATTGAACTGCCTGAACCAGCTTGTCACCCCGGACAGCGAAGCTACGGATACCCGCATGCCGTCCGAGCTTTCTCCTCCTCCTCCACAGATGCGGCTGGGCCAAGGGAGGAGGAGGGGTGCTGCTCGTTTTCCCACAGTTCCCCCTAGCTTCCATGAACATCTCCGAGAAACGGTGCTTAATCTTGTGACGGACCAGAGAGTCTATTTAATCCCATATCTTTTGGAAGTTCCTGCGTAGGACGCACCTGGTTTCTCCTCGACGAGCTCTGCCACTGCGAAAACACAACCAGCGTTGGTCCTCGTTCACTTCTATGCCATTGTGAGGTCATCGTCTGTCGTTCACACTCACTACTCATCTCAACACAAATCACAATGGCCGGCGCTTCTGTAAGCCAACCCTTACTCTATAACCACCGCCGTCCTATGAGCTAACCAACCCACCCACCCCTTCAGAACCTTTCCTTCATCCTCAACAAGCCCAACGACGTCAGCTTCGAGGAGCGACCGCTCCCGCAGCTCAAGTCCCCGCACGATGTCCTCGTAGCAGTCAACTACACGGGCATCTGTGGCTCCGACGTGCACTACTGGCTGCACGGCGCCATCGGGCACTTTGTGGTTAAGGACCCGATGGTGCTGGGCCACGAGTCGGCCGGCACCGTGGTTGAGGTCGGGTCCGCCGTCAAGACGCTCAAGAAGGGCGACCGCATCGCCCTCGAGCCGGGCTACCCCTGCCGGCGGTGCGGCGACTGCCTCTCGGGCAAGTACAACCTGTGCCACGAGATGGTCTTCGCCGCCACCCCGCCTTACGACGGCACGCTCACGGGCTTCTGGGTGGCGCCCTTCGACTTTTGCTACAAGCTGCCCGACAACGTGTCGCTGCAGGAGGGCGCGCTGATCGAGCCGCTCGCCGTGGCCGTGCACATTGTCAAGCAGGCGCGCGTGCAGCCGGGCCAGAGCGTCGTCGTCATGGGCGCGGGCCCCGTGGGCCTGCTGTGCGCCGCCGTGGCCGCGTCGTTTGGCGCCACCAAGGTGGTCTCGGTCGACATTGTGCAGAGCAAGCTCGACTTTGCGCGGTCTTTCGCCGCGACGCACACGTACCTCTCACAGCGCGTCTCGGCCGAGGAGAACGCCCGCAACCTGATCCGCGAGGCCGACCTCGGCGCGGGCGCCGACGTCGTCATTGACGCCTCGGGCGCCGAGCCGTCCATCCAGACGTCGCTGCACGTCGTCCGCATGGGCGGCACCTACGTCCAGGGCGGCATGGGCAAGGCCGACATCAACTTCCCCATCATGGCGCTCTGCCTCAAGGAGGTGACGGCGAGGGGCTCGTTCCGCTACGGGAGCGGCGACTACAAGCTGGCCATTGAGCTGGTGGCTTCGGGCAAGGTGGACGTGAAGAAGCTTATTAACGGCGTCGTCGCCTTCAAGGATGCCGAAGAGGCCTTCAAGAAGGTCAAGGAGGGCCAAGTCATCAAGATCCTCATCGCCGGGCCGAACGAGAAGGTCGAGAGCGGGCTTGACACGAGTGTGGATGAGGCCAAGTTGAAGGAGGCTGCTGCTAGCGGTGCTAGTGGTGGTTGCTGCTAGGGGAATTACGGCTGTATCTTTTGTGTATTGCATGGGGTCTCGGGTTGTAACTGGCGTTGCGGGTGCATAGGCGGTGTCTAGCTTTGCCCTCGGTTATCATGAATGCATTGGCGTCTTGAATGTATCCCAGGTATCTGAAAACTCTAGCTGAAGACCGGAAGCTCAGAAAGAAACATGATTAGATCACAGCATACCCAGGTATCTCGTCTCGATCTTTGTTCCAGCACTGGCCCCCTTGACACCGATCGTCACCACCTCCCCCGGCACGATATCCACCAGGTTGTCGTCAAACGTGACCCCGTCATCTTCGCACTCGAGCGCTACACCCTTGACTGGCACCTCGGCGCTGATTTCAACAGCGGTGGCGTCCGCATTAAGCTGCGCCCTAAGCTCCTTGGGTTTCTGCAGGTGTAGATACTTGAGCGGCTCGGGCCAGTTGACGTAGCGCGCAATCTGCTTGCCGTCGGTCTGGACCAGGTACGCGGCGACAACAGTGCGTCCTTCCTCGCCGACATTCTGTTTCCGCACGGGCACGTCCAGCGCGACGATTTCGGTCGACCGGTTCTCTGGGAGCAGCTGCTTGGCCGAAACTGTCTTCGAGAAGGTCTCCTCGCCCGTCTCCACGTCCCACGCTTTGAGCACGCAGTCGACTGTCAGGTCCTCCAGCGTCAGGTTGCTCCCCCACACCTCTATCTGCGTCTGCTCGTCGATGTGGACGCGCGTGTACTTGTCGCGCGGGTGGCGGTGTGTGCGGCGGGTGATGCCGATACTCACCGGGGCCATCTCGCGCTTGACGGTAAAGTAGGCCAGCTTGGGCCGCAGGTAGTAATCGGCAATACTCCAGCTCGTCACGGGCCAGCAGTCGTTGGTTTGCCAGACGAGCGCGCCGCCGCAGTACTCTCGCCCGGGCCCTTTCCACTGCCTCTTCCACAGGCGGTACGCCGAGGCAAGACACTCGCCTTGCATCAGCTGCGTGCTGTAGACAAAGTGCTCGAGCGGGTCGGGAGCATAGCGGAGGTTTTCGACGAGATACAGCGCGATTCGGCGCTCGTGGCCCTCGGCCTTGTTGTGGAAGTCAACTGTCGACGACTGCGGGTACCGGTCCGGGTCGTCTTTGCCCAGCGGCAGATACGCATCGATCGTCTTAACCGAAGGGAATGCCTGCATCCCGAATTCCGACACGAAGCGCCCCACGAGCTTGTCAAAGTTTTGCCACTTCTCCTGCGTCCCGTGCCACACGTTCCACTGGTGGATGTCGCCCACCGTTGCATCGTGCGTGTTGCGGCCGGCGCCCCAGGGCGAGCCTGGGTGGTAGAAAGTGCCGGGTATCAGGTCGGCACAAGCATCGGGAAGTACTTTCTCGTAGATGTAGCGGGCGGGGAAATCTGTCTTAAGCCAGCTTTCTGCGTCCTTGTTCTCGTAGTCGTATGTCAGGCCGGCCGATTCCTGGTATTGGTAATCCTCGTTGTTGCCGGCCCAGATGATGATGGACGGGTGGTGGCGGAGCAGCTTGATGTTTTCACGGGCCTCGCGGTCAATGGACTTGAGCAGCTCGGGCCAGGCCGGGTAGTTGCCGCAGCCAAACATGAAATCCTGCCATACGAGGATGCCAAGCTCGTCGCAGGCATCGTAAAAGGCCTGTTCCTCGTAGATGCCGCCACCCCACACTCGCAGCATGAACTGGTTACCCTCGGCAACCAGCTTGACCCAATCAAAGTACTTTTGCCGGCTGATGCGAGGGATGAAGTTGTCGGCTGGGATCCAGTCGCTGCCGCCGCAATAGATTGGGATGTTATTGACTTCGAAGAAGAAGCTTGTGCCCGGCTGCTCTTTCAGGGGGCGCTGGATCAGCTGGGCCCTCCGCAAGCCGATCCTCTTAGATATGGCGTCCACCTCGTGCTCACCACTGAGCAGAGTAGCCTTGATATCATAGAGAGGCTGCTTGCCGTAGCGGATGGGATACCACAACTCCGGATCTTGGATAAGGAACGCCACTGCGGCAGCGCCTGAGGTACAGTCTGTGGTTTGAGATGCGATCTGCTTGCCGTCTAGCGCGATCTCGAACCGTACCTTGTCGGCCTTGCCTTCGGTCTCTGCCACCAGCTTCACGTCTGCCGATTTCAGCGACTTCTCCACGACGCTCTCGGCGCTCAAATCTGCGATCCGTGACTCGTAGATTTCAAGGTTGATGGGTCGCCAAGGGCCACAGGTCAGGAGGGTTGGACCCCAGTCCCAGCCCTGGCTGGTCAGCAATGCCTCGAGTCAAAGCAGTGTCCCGGGACTCACAAAGTGGTACTGCGCTTTCCGCACAGCCAGTCGGGCGCTGTCGCCGTTCCAACACCCCCATTTGTGGTCCGGGTACTTTTCTACGAGCTTCCACCCGCGTAGATAGGCGCTATCAAAGGTAATCACCAGCTCATTTTCTTCCTTCAGGAGCGAGGTGACGTCGACCCGCTCCGGAAGGAACATGTTGTCGACCTCGAGGATCTTGGTGGCATTGAGAAGAACGGTTGCAAAGGTATCAAGACCGTCAAACGCAAGGACTGCCTTGGCACCCGCGGGCACGTCCTGGGCCTTGAAGCTGGTCCTGTAGGTCCATGGGACTTCGCCGATCCACTGGACGAGGAGCTCGTTCTTGCCGATGAAGGGGTCTGGGATCAGGCCATGGTGCAGCAGGTCGAGGTGGACGTTGGTCGGGAACTGGCTGACCGGCAGAAATTCGGCGTCTGTCTTGTCTGCCTGCCTGAATTCCCAGCTCTTGTCGATGGGTATGACCAGACGGGATGCCATGGCGGGGTAGAGTATCGAAGTATTGGTGAAAGACAGATTGGCAGCTCAGAGCTTGGTCCCTCTGTAGTCTGAGGGGGAAGGGCGGTATGAAGCAGAAAGACTGCAAACGGGGTTTCACCTAGCTTTATATCGACGCTCTCATCGCCAGATGCGGGTAGTTGTTTGAGGCGCCGTCCATGTTGGTGACCACGGGGGGAGACTCGCCGAGAAATGTTGCAAATGCAAGCACTGCCCTGGGCGCTCCACAGCGTCTGCAGCGGTCTGTAATGGTTTCCCAGGTCACCTTTACAGTCCAGGAAGTAATCGCCCTCTGGCAGTCGGCTCCGGGTCCCCAGTGCGCACCTTCCACGAGGCGACGCGTTAGATATTTGTACAGTACATTGGATATGGTATTCCCGCCCGATGGTGCAGTACTTTCCACCACAAGCTTTTCCAAGCCCCTACATCGCCAAACATCAATCAGCTACAGCGCCTTTCAGGCCAAGCTCTTCACTCAAAAAACAAACCCGAAGCTTCTTCTCTCAGTACACGCTCACTCCGGAATCCGGATATCAACGGTCAGCTCATGTTGAAAGCGGGAGTAGCTGATCCTGGCGTGTTAGCGTCATCGCTAGAGCGCGGAGGGAGGCACTCCGTATCCACTTCCGGTTAAATCGAGAACCCTCCCACGCGCGGGTCGAGATGCTGTCGCGGCTTGCGGCTAACAGCCCGGATGTGATGGCGCATGTGCATGCTCCAGCCTCATGCAACGGGTTCCCTGACATCTGCACGCAGCAACGGGAGCCGCAATGATATGTCCGATCGGGCCGGAGTGGGTACTGCGTAAGCGCTCCACTCCGATAATGGCCCCGGCTGCGGTATCATGTCACAGATCGCCTCCGATAACGTGAATGAATAAACCTGTAGGACTTGATCAGAAAAAAAGGCTCGTTAGATGCAAGTCTCTAGCCCTCGCTCTCCTAACTCCGCGCGGCAAGCTGTGCTGTACAGGGAACAGCAGGTAATCTCCCTAAACCGTAACACACCGGATGCACCAAGCAAGCAGGGAGGCAGTACCGCCCCTTATTAAGGTACACTCCAGCGACGCAGCCAACCAAAAACAATTATGGTATCATCCACCACTCATTCCAACACCCCAATTCGCAGCACCATATCAACAACACCCCTTATTCCTCCGTCTATTCGTAAGCGTAAACACCTCTTCCCACTCCCTCAGCCCTCCCTGGCCCGTCCTCTTGGTATTAGTCCGCCGCCTCCTCCGCCCGCCGCCAATCCCCACGTCATCTGCGGTGATAGTACTCTTGATACTCCCGCCGTCGCTGGCGCCAGCATTCCACACCGCGCCCGCATCACCGTACTGGATGCCGCTCATGGGATCGTCAGGGTCAATCTCGCCCAGCTCGATCTTGGTCAGGATGATCCTCGCCAGCCGCCCAAACACCTCGTCCACGCCCTCCCCGCTGAACGCGCTCACCTCCATAGTGACGGCTATGTTCACACCGCTGGCCCACCGGCTGGCTTCTACAGCCGAGACTTCTCTCCCGTCCGGGGCGACGGTCGCCTTGAGTTGGGAGCCGATGCCCGGGTGGATGGTGGAGGTGGACGAGTAGGATGAGGGAGGCAGGGAGGAGGCGGCCGGGGTGGCGGTGTATGAGGTAGAGGCTGAGGCCGAGCTGATGGTGCTGCTCGGGGTTGGCGGCGGGAGGAGGGAGAGGTTGGGGTCGTTGTCGCCGGCGAGGTCCACTTTGTTGCCGACTAGTATGAGCGAGAGGTTGGGCGAGGCCAGCGCCCGCGCGTCGTTGAGGAACGGTTGCAGGCTGTTAAACGACACGCGCGACGTGATGTCGTAGACCAAGATGGCGCCCGCCGCGCCGCGGTAGTAGGAGCGGGATACCGACCGGAAGCGCTCCGTCCCGGCTGTGTCCCAAAGCTGCGCACGGGGTTTGGTTAGTGCAAGGGCCGAGGGCAACGGTGAGTAAGTGGTAAAGGTTATGTAGAATAGTGTACCTGCAGCTTTATCCTTTTCCGCCGCGCGCCGGTGCCTACTTTGATGATCTTGCTCGCGAACTCGACGCCGATGGTCTGCGACGATAAGACACGCCATTCATTCTTGACGAAGCGGTGTAGGAGACAGGATCTGTGGGCAGCTCGTCAGTCGGGCGGTCACGGTTTGACATGAGGAACCTGCCGCCGACGTACTTGCCTGTCCCGCTCGGCCCTAGCAATATGATCTTCGCCAGATAGTCGTACATGCTCCCCAGCTCCTGCTCGCGCACCGTGCCCATGCTGTCCTCGCTGGCGGCCGAGGACCCCCGCGGGCGCGTCATGCCCGGCAGCTCGATGGAGCTGCTCATGCGTCCGCCCAGCCCGGAGACAGTGCCGAGTGGGGAGAGCTGCTGTGTCTTTCTGCCGCGCGCAGTCGGTTGCGTCTAATCGGGTGTCTGTGCGGATAATAGCAACGTGCTCTGGCGCGGACAGGTCAGGTAAGCGTTCGTAACGCAATTCTTCGTAAGTTATTGACAACTGGAATTGTTTGTAACGGGTCGCGTAGCAGTTAAGCGGAAGATTTGCTGCTCCGGGGGTCACGATTGTTAGAATTGACGGCTCAAATTGCTGCTTATCTGGGATGATGCGATGCCGACCGTGGCTTTGCTTGCAGTGACACGAGACTCGATGACATGGGGGTTCGGGAAATGTCACAGCTCCGACCAACCAACAATGCGCCGCTGGGGCAAAGCACAGACCGCGAGCTCGGCAATTGCCGTTCGATCTGCTGATCCTTGGCGTCTGGGCAATCGGCGCGGACGAACCGAGGCACTTTCCGCTGGACTCAGGCACCGACACAGCAGATTAACCGATTCATGATGCCCTGCAAGGATGTTACATGAGTTGAGGATTTCATAAACCTCTGTCTCTCATCCCACCGCTGTAGTCCTGATTTTTCTCATTTACAATGAAGATTGCAGGACGGACATTCGTCGTCTCGGGCGGGTAAGCACTTCTCTCCTGTAATCACATGCCAGCCAGGCCTTCCCAGCAGTCAAGACATCCAACCACTCCCAACCATATCCAGAGGTAGTTACACCCACTTACACACGATTTACTAACTTCCCCAGCGCATCTGGCCTCGGCCGTGCCTGTGTGCGGGACATTGTCGCAAGCGGCGGCAACGCGGCCGTCCTGGACATGAACGAAGAGCTAGGCAACGCCCTAGTCAAGGAACTCGGCCCGGCCTTGGTCAGGTTTTTCGTCTGCGATGTCGCCGACACGGACAACATTGCTGCCGTCGTGAAAGCCACGGTCGACTGGGTGAAGCAGACGGGCAAACCGCTAGGCGGCATCATCCCAGCCGCCGGCGTTGGCCGACCTGGTCTGGTATGACTATTCCCCTTCAAACCAAAAGCCAACACACTGACCCCGGCTTCCGAACCAGATAATCGACAAGAACCTCAACCCAGTCTCACTCGACGCTGTCGACTTCGTGCTGTCCATCAACCTGCGGGGCACGCTAGACTTGGTGCGGCAGGTACTCCCCCACCTAGCCGCGACAGAGCCGGAAGGGCCAGACGGGGAGCGCGGGGTGGTTGTCATGGTGGCCAGCGCGGCGGCGTTTGAAGGCCAGATGGGCCAGGTGGCGTACGCCGCGAGCAAAGGGGCCGTGGCGGCCATGACGCTGCCCATGGCGCGGGACCTGTCGCGGTTCGGCATCCGCGTCGTCACCATCGCCCCGAGCTTGTTTGACTCGGCCATGACTGCCGTTCTGTCGGACAAGGTGCGCCAGAGCCTGCTGAAGGCCATGGAGTTCCCCGCCCGCCCGGGCCGGCCGGAGGAGTTCTCGTCGCTGGTGAAGCAGGCCATTGAGAATGTCATGCTGAACGGTGTGGTCATTAGGCTGGACGGAGCGACGAGGATGCCGAGCAAGCTGTGATTGACTACCTAAGAGTTTTCGGGGTTATCAAGGGCCGGCGTTCTAAAATTCTCTCTTTCCGTCTGGGCGTGGCCAAGCAGAGTCTCATTGCCTTGTCGGTGACTACTATGGACAGGATGGAATACTCTACAAAAAGCCAATATCCGTCGATCAATATGCAGCCAAGCTGCCATGCCAAACCGTTCTTCCCAGAGCAAATGGCTCTATCCCTGACATGGCCGCCGAAAAGCGACCGATCCTCAACATTATCCTACAAGTTCAACCCCTGATAAAGATAAGTAGTCTGGCGAACCGTGTGAGAAATGCCAGCCCGGATTCTGAGGGCAGGCGTCGGCCCTGGTTAGTCATGACAGCTGTATCATGCGCCGAATGGCCGGTACAACTCGGGGTACAACTCGCGCCAACGCCGGTTTGCAGGAGCCAGAGACCCGTCCTCGGGTCTGGGTGAGATGTTCTGGTGGTTGTACGAATGATCGGGGCGGTAGTAGTCCGGACTGATGCGGCGCCGCTTGGACATACCACCCCGGTCCGTGGTATACCGGGGCGGCGACGGAGAGCGTGGCCGCTTACCGGAAGAAGTCGGTTCCACGAGACTCGCCCCAAGGGCCACACCTTCAAGAAAGGCCCGGGTAGCCAGGGGATTGCCCCTCAAGTGGTCGGGTAACAAGGTGCGCATGGCGTCACCCCTCTCCACCTGGGCCAACATGCCGGCAAGGTCGGTTTCGCGCTGGAGTTCGCGCTGGATTTCGCGCTTCTGAACATGCCCCATACCACGTTCGAAGGCTTGGACAAGGCGTCCCATACCAAGCTTCCTATCGCGGTTCTCCCGATCATCTTGATCATGTCCTGACTTGAGACCCTGGCCGACCGTGGCTCCGCCCTCATGGGTATTGAGAAGGCCACTAGTAGTCTCGTCCTCCTGTTGCTTCAGGCGAGCAGATATCTCTTCCACGGAACCAGAAACGTCGCGGCGTTTTTGGGGACTGATGTGGAGGTTTTTTCCCAAAATCTCCATCATTGCCTTGTGAGCCGTCGCGATCTTTGCACTTCGAGGATCGGGAAACTTCTCGTTGTGCAAGAAAAATCTCTCGCCGACCAGAACATGGTAGGTAAATGTACCATCGCTGTTCTTAATTTCCATCCACTGCGGATTGAAGCCGTGGCTCTGGCACCATAGGGACAGCATCTGCATCGGGCTGTTGTAGGCTAGGCCTGGGCGGGCAGAGATGTTGCTTGAGACGGGAACTGTCGGTCCGCCCAGGCGTGACAGGGAATAAGGATGGGAAGATAGCATCGCCACCGGGCCAGAATTTGCGGCACCGGGCCGGTGGTAATTATTCGAAGCGGCGGGCAAGCCGGTGCTTCCGCCGGATTGCGCTGAGTTCGTTCTCTCCTGTCCGAAGCCAAGCATGGCTCTGAATCGATCTTGCGGAGTATCTGGTTTGGGGATAGGGCCGGTCTCGACGCGGGAGTGTTCCTAACACAACCGTCTGCCGGACCGGCCGTTGAAAGGCGAGGAGGGGCGCCGGACTTGCGTGCCCGGAGAGGTTTGCGTGCGGCCTGCGTCATGGTCAACAAGGCATGGTTAGATAAGGGTCTTCCAGCGACAGCAGAGGTTCACGAACCTGAATCTGCCGCAGTCGAACTGTGGACGGGCGGCTTGGTGGGCAGACCGTTGGGAGCTGTGGCAATGTTAACCAAGCGTCGCAAGCGATGGGCAAGATGGCATGCAGTCCTGCTTACCCTCTGGGTCCCTCTTCACCGGCGGGGAGGGCATGTTGATCGCAGTTTACGCGTAATCGCGTAGATACTGTTGTCCTGGTTAGTCAACACAAGCCTTGTGCCGTCAACACACAAGGATGATGCGTAATCGGCCAGCGCGACAAAGGGCTGGCTTTGTCGATGATTCTGATTGAGGGCGAAGGGGAATGGAGAAGTTAGAAACAAACCAAAAGAATACCGGTCGGTTGGTGAGTCACAGGTCTTGAAAGCTCAGGTACATCAAAACTTTGGGCGGCCGAATCGAAGAACGGAAGGAACGACCACCTGCAACAGCCTCTCAGAAACGATCACCTGACCAACGCGTGACTACGCGACTTGCGTGTATCCAAGGGAGCCTGTCCCCGGGCTAAAACTGGATGGTAAGGGCCTCTTTCCTCCTTTGCAGTCATGGGTTGAAATGGACTGGGTTTATGGCCCATCGCGTCACTCACGTCCACTGCCAGTTATCCTGGTTATAACTGCAGACCCAAAGCAACGGCTCGCCCCTAAATGTTAGCAGCTTACCTTATATCAGGCTCATGAGCTCATCTGGGCTCAAAGCGAAGGCGCGTTAGTCGCTGCCGGTTATTAAATGGCACAGGGAAATAAAGAAGACTCCCATGCGACATGATTTCCAAATTCCAGGCGCGGGCTGCAAACTGTTCCCTAGCCGAATAGCTGCGATATGCAAGGCTAAAGCCTATTATACCAGGTATCGGAGGCCCCTTCAAGAGCTTGAATCCGAGGATTGACATATAAAACCTAAACTGTTCTAGATCTTAGATCACTCTTGTCTGAAAAGTTTAGAGGTTCTTGAACAGTGAAGCCCTCTGGCAGTGTTTGCCCTGTCCAACACATCCAAGACAGGGTAACGGGAAGGTGCATCCTAGCATGTTTGCCCCTGATGGCCTTTATCCAGTCTCTCCCCGTGACTCAGTACAGGCTCTGGACCAGGGGCTCCCCTTTCTCCCATCTCAGGAGATTTTCAACCTGCTGCTCGTACCAGGCATCCAGTGTCGCCTCCTCCACATAGCCCATATGCGGCGTGAGAAGCACCCGGCTCCGGCCGTCCTGGCCCCATTTCGTGGTCCTCCACCTGCTATCCAAGGGCAGTGGCTCCAGATCAAACACATCCAGCGCCGCCGCCCTGATCCTCCCCTGCTCCAGCACTTCCAACAGATTCTCCTCCACCACCAATGGGCCTCGCGAGGTGTTCACAAAGATGGCCCCCTTCTTCATCCTCATCAGATCCGCCTTCGCAATCCCGCCCCTCGACCGGTCCGACAAGACCAGATGCACGCTCACCACATCCGCCGTGCTGAACAATTCCTCCTTGCTCACAACCTTGAAAGTCTTCTCGCCACTCTGGTCCTCAACCGGCAACCCGGCTTCCCTGGCCTTGTCGTCGGCCGCCTGCTGGGTGAGACTCGAGCTCCAGGCGACGACGCGCATGCCAAACGCCTGGTGCATGATGGTGGCGACGGCGACGCCCAGGCGGCCGAGCCCGACGGTGCCGAAGACCTTGCCGCGCAGCGTGACGGCAGGCACCGTCTGCCAGCCGCCCGTTTTCACCGAGAGATCGTCCTGCGCCGTGTTGCGCGCCGCGCCCAGGATCAGAGCCACGCAATGCTCCACCGTGCTGACGGACCCGACTGACCCGGCATGCGCCCGGTCCACCGCCCCGGCTACGGGAATTCCCCGCTCCCGGAACGCCTCCAGGTCTAGCGCAAGGTTCCGGTTGCCGGTTGTCAGCAGGAGTTTGAGATTCGGCAGCCGCGAGATGAGGTCCCGAGGAAACGGGGTCCGCTCACGCATCGTGGCTGCAGAAAGGGAGTGTTAGTGCCTAGTACTAGTATTTACGTGGAAGCTGTCATGCCAAGGGTGTCGGGGTTGGGGTTGCGTTACATATCACTGTGAACGGTTGGAGGCGCGAGACGAGTTGGTCCTTGACATCTTGCGGCGTGCCCGGGTGATTGTAAGGCAGAAGTGTGTCTTTGAAGAAGGTGACTTCGTATTTGGCCGGGTCCAATGCCTTGAACTTGGGCTCGGATATCCCCTGGTAGTCGTCAAGGACCGCAATCTTGATTGGCGCCGACATGGTCAGGGCCAACGCTGATGGAAAATAGATGCAAGGTGTCGCGAGAAAAGGGGAATATTGGAGACATGGGGGGTAAGGAGAGGGAAACGTCGGCTCTCTACGACTACTTCTTGCGGGGTTCATGGGTGGACTGAATCTCCGAAGCCGGGCCGCTCCAAACTCCGCGATGCTGTCATTGCCGGGAATGCCGGCCCCGCTGGTGTGGACTTTCCCCGCAAGCGCGGCCCCCTATTACCGACTGGTCGGTATTTGGAGCGGAATGGAGCTTCCAGATCCACAGTTTCCCGGTTCAAGGTATATCTTCCTATTTATTGACGGCTAGAATAGTCTTGGGTTTTGAGGTCACTATGGCAGGCATGCGCTAAATCGATTCCAAAAATCCCTTCACCCTCTTTGCTAGCCGTTTCTGGGCCTCGGACTCTGACACAACATGGTCGGCACCCGGAATGAATCCAGACAAATCGCTAGCAAGTCCCTTCCGGCAAAACGAAATCCATCGGGCCAGCAGCTCATGCCTGTCCACCGACGCCGGCACCATCTCGTCACTGCCGGCAGGCACAAAAAGCACCGGCTTGTCGATCCTGCCAAATACTGTGGCAATCCTGGAGTCAGGGAGGTCAGACGAGAAGTAATCGTCGTCTCCCCTGTACTGCCCGTTAGATGACTGGAGCCAGAGACGGTATAACCACCTGCATCACACGACATGAGAGCCACTCACCCCTTGGCTGCGAGGGAATGCCACCTGTAAGCAGTGACAGGTGTGCTGAAGATCGGTGGAAGAAATGTCTTTGGCATTGGATGATCCTGCTGACCACGCTCGATCATTCCCTCTGCAATCTGAATGCTGCGTTCCAGTGCATCAGGGGCCATGAACAAGAAGGCAGCTTCACGGTCAGATACCGGGCTCTGCAGAATATAGCCATCCACCGGAGGAGTCTGGTGCTTGTCGCTGTCCGTGTACTCGAGACAGTCCTGGCAGCCTGCCACTCGACGTCAGATCCGGCAAAGTCATCAGGAACGGAGGAGCAGAGATACACGCACCCGTCGAAGCACCCATGAGGACAATCTTCTCCTTGCCAATACCGCGAAGATACTGGACCAGAGCCGCCATGTCTTCGACGTCGTTTGCGAGGCTTGAGTACCCGAACCCCGAATAAGAGCTGCGCATCCGGAATTCCCACAGAGAGTAGCTCAGTGCCGGAGAACCATGTTCCAGCATGTCCGCCAGGAAGTCGAGGTCGGTGGAATGCGGCCCACTGGTGAGCCCGCCGATGAATACCAGGGCGTTGCGAGCTGAGGATGGGCCCCTTTCGTATGCGCAAGAGTGTGGTGTTGGAGACGGAAACGGATGCACTGTGACAGCAAAAGGGGCGCGAGGGCGATCGGAGGATGGCATTGCTGCAGGAACCGGGGAGTGAGGGTTATGGAAAACACGCTGCTCCCTAGGGAAGATTGAGTCTGTCTATGGCTTCTTGATTATAACAGTGTTGGCCATGGGTATAAGTAACTTGGTAAGTACATAGGTAGTTCTGTCTCCCTGATGTTGATGCGCGAATACGAATACGCGAATACGAGTGCGAGCGCGGTTGATGGTTCTACCCCATACCAGCGAGGCAACCCGAGTGCCTACAGACTTGTGGACATATACAGTACTATTTTTGGGCATCATTTGGACTAGATGTGTACCTAACCTCACTACTATCCATCCTGACATCGACCAAATCAGGGGATTGTGAAGTGGAAGGGCAGTGAGCAACTCCATACCCTTCAGTAACCCCCTGGAGACACAGCTCTCTCTTTCTTTTCACGAACGACAGGGTACTGGAAACTCGGAGTCAACAGACACACTGGGCAGCCCTACGATGGCCATCTTGCTGTGAAACAACTCGCAGCATTTTACAGATCCACCAAGTCACGGTTCAGGGGCCGCCGCCTCAAGGGCAGCACCGGCACCCTCTGTACTGGTTCCAACAAAAACGACAAGCACGGCAGCAAAGCTAAAACAAGTGACCAGATCTCAGTTACTGCTAGTGCTCTCCAGTTTGTTCAGATATGATAAAGAAGGGGCATGACCCACGCTGCGGTAGCGCTGAAAATGTCCTTTGTGCTTGCCGAGGTGATGACGCTCAGGGAAAAGGAGAAGAGCGCGGTAAAGGCGGCAACAGCACCGATGCGTGCCGGCATGTTCTGTATGGCATACAGAACCGCAATGCTGGCTACCGGGAGGAGAGAGGCTACCAGGGTGGATAGGATCTTGAGCACCCGAAAAACTCCTTCATCCCGGTAGCGAATCGTGTTGTGGAGGAAGTCCTTTGTTTCCTCTCGCTGTTTTTTTACCCTGTTGTTAGCACGAGAGGAGGCCACAAGTTGATGGGGGGATTGAAATACATGTATGTGCCTGCCTAGCAGCCTGTTGTACTTGTGGACTAGCTTGACAGTGAAATCGGTGGTGAAGTTGTCCTCAGGAGACATAGGGACCAGGCTGACCATATCGTCCAGGTCCGGTTCGCTCCAGATTTTACGGTCCAAGCCCTCAAGATACACATTTCCCATCGATGGCCGGTGCATCCACTCGTCCAAAGCCTTGATTTGGCCTGGAAGTGGACGGCGGAGATCAAGGATCTGGCGGTGGCGGAGCAAAGCCTCGTCTGAACCACATACAAACAGCAATGGCTCCTGGTCAGCCAAGAAGAAGACAGACGGGGAAAGAAGGGATGAGCGTACAGTAGTCCTTCAACTTCTCCCTGATTACCAGCATTGTCTCCCACTGAATGCCGTAGTTTCCCTCCGGGGCGTCGTCACTCACTGACCGCTGCAGTTTGTACCAGTTGAGGGCGTAGCGCTTTCGGTCTTGATGGTCTGACTCCTTGTCATCCTTCTGGTACATTCGCAAACTGGTCTCAAGCTGGACAAGCTCGGCTTGCCGGTACAGCAAGTCCTCGGCGGAGAGTGCTCCAAAGCGGCGGAACGCTGACACCTCGGGCAAGTGGCCCATTAGCTGGCCCAGTCGGTCGTAGCCCTCTGAGCGGTGTGAGGTTTCAGTGAAGTCGCCAACATGGACGGCTCCCTCCTGTCCCATGGCTCTTGTTGCGGTGAGGTGTTATTTTTTCTTCTTCTTTGTTTATATACCTTTATTTCTTGATAAGTCTGTACAGAGTTTGTTGAGGAGAATGTGCTTGAAGAGTGAGAACTATGAACTTGGCCTGCTTTACATGTGAGCCTGAGCCTGATTGAGCCCCGGTGAAAGCCTCGGTAGCACATGGAGACCGCCCTTGTGTTACTTGTTGTGTCGTGTCTTGGTTAGGGACAGACAGGGATTGATATTTGTTTGTTCTGTCTTTAGCTGCAGCATCGAAGCTCTATGGTCCTCAACTTGTGTTACGTCGGAATCTATGGCGTATCACGACTCGGCCCAGTCGGCAGAACACGCCAGTCGGAATGCCAGTGGCCAGGCAAGAACGACTCACCCGATTGTTGTGCACGGTGCTCAGGCAGATGGCAAGTGCCGTTGCCTCACTGTGTTATTTGTTGTATGGAGAAGGACTGTATAAACTTTACTAGTAGTACCTCCGTGCCTAAGGTACCTTACTTCTACATGTAAGAAAGGTAAGACCAACCTGGTACAATACCATCAGGTATACTTACTAAGAGCTGGAGTACGACTACATGTACACGTATTGGACCAGACGGGACGTGTCCCCAGTGTGGAGTAACTTCAAGTCGTAGCAAACATGGCCGAACGACAAGTTTGGCTGCCTTCAAGCTTCCTTCCAGCTTCCAGTCCGGAACTGTGTCACATTTCGCATTTCCAGCTGTTAGGTACCATACGTCTTAGTCATGAGCATACACGAACATCAACAAACCAAGTCGTAGTCATATCTGGGGCATGGGAGTTCGCAAACTCTGCCACGTATCAGACTAATCACTAAACATGACTGGGCATAACTTGAAGCTGGTCTTCCTATTTAACAGTTTCCTATTTCCTCTTTCCACTTCCATCGTCTTGAGGAATACTTCGACAGTTAGAAATCTGACATTTCTCGGAACTTATTACTCACGGATAGAGCAGAGAGCACGAGACATGGAGGAAGACTACTACTATCATTCAAGTTCTCTCCCTGGAGCCCGCAGGGTTGAGAGGTATCGCGAAGACTGGCACCAAGACGGCGAGTCACAACAAGAGGCTAAACTCACTCCAACCCCAACAAGAATCTCAGAGCAAGAAAGGGACAACGAGCAGCGGCGGGGATGGCCGGCCTACTTGGACCAAACTTATCATCCTCATCGCAAACCTGAGCCTATCTCTCCAGCTTACTGGCAATCTCGACGGAACGAGGCAGTTAACAGCGGCAGAATCAGATTCCAGGAGCCAATCTCATATCTGTCACCGTCCTCTTCAAGTTGTCGTCCCACGCTGGAGAATCTGGGACATGCTCGATACGGAGTGCGAGGCGAAGACAGTAGAAGGAGGCATGGACACTCCACGGTCAGCTCACGCGCTAATACAGCACATCTTATCCCCGTCCGTGACGCCCCAGACCCGGCCTACGAGGATGAGCGGATTGCCTCCCTCCGCTATCTGCATTCGACACCGAGCAACCATCAGGCAGTATATGATCATAATGATGTGTGCCCCATCCACAGCCGCGCACATCGAATACCAGCCGTCAGATATGATAGCAGGCACAGTACCCTCGAGCATCTGACCCCAAACAACGACGGAACCACATATGGGTTTTTACGCTCCGTGCCTCTCAATCTCAGGCGTCCCGAATCCAGCCAGAGCAATGCTCGTCCGCCAAGGGTACGCTTGACCCCTAATGTTCTATCAAAGTCTACCTTTTGCTCTGGGACGCTAACAAACACATAAACATGTACAGAGATCCGACATTGCTCTTTTCTTGGAGAGTGAGAACCGTGACAGGTACAAGAAGGCACTCGCGTTGCTTGATTCTGGAAACCAGCTTGGACCCTTGGTTGCGTACGACACCGTCCTGGCGCTTGGTTTCCAAAGCAGGGACTTTCACGGAGACCCTCAAGTCTTTGAGTGTGTTGGAGGGTTGGAGAGCGTCACTGCTGGGACTGTTCGGATGAGATACTACCAGAATGGTAACTTCAGCAAACCCCTTGTCGACGACTTCCATGTGGTGGAGTCATTGCCAGGCGGCTATGACATAATTCTTCCAACCGAGGAGATGTTGGACGATCCTGATGTGACACCCCTGGTTGCGGCTACGATAGCACCAGCAAACCCCCCAGATGCCGGCGAGTTTATATCCTTTCATCGCCCAAGTCAACATCCAGTACTGACTTGGCCCCGCAGAAGAGATAGCGATGCAGATCAGAAACCAGCGTATAGCTGACCAGCAGGCGGCAGCGCATCAACAGCAGACGCAGGCTGGACAACAGATGCAGGAACCGCGACCTCGGCAGGTTCATGCGCCGGCCGGGGCACCGCGGAGGTCTGGTGCTAGAAACAATAGGAGAGGGCAGGGGATATGTTGCTGCGCTTTATAAGGAAACCTGGTATTACTGAAGGCCAACACGCAATTCCTTTGCCAGTCCTTGACAATGGAACTTGATCCTATCTGAACCCCCTACCTAAGGTACCGAGCTTTAGCAAGATTGCCAGCTGGCTAATGGCTCGTTCTTTAGATTATTCATTATAGTGTCAGTTTTTGAATTAAGAGTCATGACTTAGATCTAAGCTATAACCTGCTCTTGCCGCAGCCGATCTGTCGCAGTCGAGACTGGAACCACTTGCTATAAGGGGGACTTGATTAGGAGCCCAGACTGAGTTGCTAGTATATACCGGATGACTGCACAAGGCTTGAAAGTGACATAATGGCGACTGAGGCTTGCTCTAGAAGTTTGTGTAGTTGTCAACAAGCTCTCTCAGCATATACGTGGTACTCTAGTAAACTATCAGGGAGGTGGTCAGATAACATCCCTCAGCCCACCACAACAACCTGGCTCACAAAGGCACCAATTATTAGATGACCTTCCTCGTCTATCAATGTTGAGGGATATAGACCGCAAGGCAGTACGCTGACAGGCTGAGGTACATCACCTTACATTGTGGACACTGGACAGGAACCGAGTTGACTGTACCTAAGTATTCTACATATACCAGCTGTCTCCCCAGAGACTTGAAGTACTTGATGAAGTCTGAATACGCCAAACTTCATATAAGCAAGCTCGTAATTCGTCATTCATCATCACCCAGTCGAACCACGTTGACTCGAACATGGACCCCTTAATGCCCGGGCACCACCCCTCCATTACACGGAATCCAAGATTCCCACCCAACAACCCGCAAACCCGTCCCATAGCACCCCCATTCCGCAGATTCACCAGCTATCATCAAACCCACCTCCCAGGCCCCGACAACCCCCTGAACCCGCTCGAATCAGCCCCCGAGCACCCCGACCCCGAAGTAATCCCCCGATACTGGGAGCACCGCTGCCCCAACGCCGGCTCAGCCCGGCAATGGTACCACATGCAGGCCGCCACCACTACCATAGTCCCAAACCCTGGGATCAGCCTCCAGCCACAGCTGCACTTGATCCCCGAAGGCACCCCCTGCAACCTGCACTGCGGACACCGCGCGCACCGCAACACCGAGCTGCTCAACCACCGGCTGCGGCCCGTCGCGCTGCTGGGCGGGTACAACTTAATCCAGGCACGGTTGGAAAGGTGGTGGATGCGGTGCTCGCTGTGCGGCAACACGTGGCGGAACTATTTGGAACATCATCCCTTCCTTGCCACTGCTGCCGCCACGGCGCTGGCGCAGAATCGCAAGACGAGGTTTGGGAAGGAACCGGGAGGGATGCAGGGATTTGGGGGGCTGGAGACGATATATGAAGAGCCTGAGCTTGAGGATCTGGAAGCTGAGATGTGGTCTGGGACTAAAACCGGGTTCCAAAGGGGGAGTGCGAACTTGGAAAGGGGGGATGAGAACTTGGGAAGGGGGACTGCCAATAAAAACTTCATGTTGGCAGGCAGGGGGGGAAACACGAGTGTGGACGGGCATCCTCAGACTCCGAGTTTGAGCCAGGAGAGGAGAGGCGTGACTCATAGTGCCTTTGTCAAAGCGCCGAGGAGGACGGGACCTAGGCCGGTAGCAACGGAATGTGCGTCGTGCGGTGTGAGGTTTTCAGAGTTTGCCAGGCCCATTAATCGGTTTGGAGAGGAGGTTGACGACGTAGCTGGACGGAATGAAAAGTATCATGCTAGTGCAAGATGGGAAAATGAGTCAACGGGTCCCCTCTCAGGCTGACGACCTCTCAGGGGATACCGTGGATGGTGGAGCTGAACAAACACTGGTTGTAGAGGTTCGCCGGCCCTGATACACCGCTTTGGTGTCACTGTGGTACACAGGTAGTCATGATCTGACACGTAGAGTTAACTGCAAGTGGTGAATTCCCACGCCCAAAGGTCAGTCAGTGTAGGAGGTAGGTTTCATATGTTCTGCTTGATCTGTCTGCCGAGTTACTAGTGGTCTGCGCAGATCCTGACGAGAATAATACACCATGCTCGACAATGACACCCCGAAGATCATTTTGTGGAGCTACCAGCAGTTGATATCTCATAATATAACAGTGTCCCAAGCAAACCGGGCGACGTGTCCAGCTCAAGCAACCTCAAACGTCTTGTCACCCCATCCGTACAATCTCTTCAGCCGACGGGCAAAGATAGGAATCAAGTACCCTTCGATTTGGGACTTGTGCGGGCGGTGCACTGTGAACGACTTATTCGCTGCCATCCTCTCAGGGGGCAGGAACGTGTAAACAGAACCAAACTTGGGCACGACCGAGAACCCCAGCTCGGCCATGGCAGCCTGGAACGCTGCCCAGCTCACTGCGCCGCGGGATTCGGACTTTGCGAACAGTACTGAAAAGACTTGGACGGTCGATGGACGGACTTTGAAGGTTTGCAAGGGCAAAACGGGCTCTTCAGCAGGAGTGGACAAGGTGGACGGCGCAATCTCGTACACGGACGAATGTGACGGGCGGGCCTTCTCCTTCTGCAGAACCTTCGCTGTTCGACTCTTTTCTCAACCAGCTGCGTAGCCGATTCTGGGAAGGGTATCCAGCCAACTGTTTGGTCTTGCTTCTGCTCGTTTGTCTCCTGTTCCGATTTGGCTTTCGCTTCCTGGTACTGACTCTTGAGATCAGAGAAGCAGTCCTCAACCAGGTCTTGATACAGAAACCCCAGCTTTGTACCCGTCTTCTCGATGATGAACTGATCAAGAAGTTTCAATGCGCCTTCAGCCACTCCCGGCTCCAGAAGATTGTCGATGGGAACAACACAGTCCCGGAGATCAACCTCATCTTTGATACGGTTTAGCTCGGCCTCCAGTTCTTGCGATTTAGAGAGGAACGTCTGATTCTTCTTGCGTGAAGGCGAGGGCATCTTAATGGTGGAGGAGAGATCTTGAAAGAACCCAACGACGGCAGCCATGTCACAGAGGGCGTCAAACTCCCTCCCCTGGGGTTCTTCTAGCTCCGTGGGGTGCAGTTCATGCCGTTTGGCCAGATCCCTGAGATAATTCGCGGCCATGGAGGCACTGGTTGTCGGTTGGCAGAGATTCAGCATGAGCTGTAGCTGGACTTCGGGTTTAGAGCCCCTGATGTGCTCTTTGATGGAGACACGCGCATTGCCGGCCTTGTCATGCAGGTTGGAGAGCCGCTTGAACCACTTGGCACCCATACCCGTCTGAAAATGACGCTGAAAGAGGGCTTGAGCCCGTCCGTATTCCATGTGACAGATATTGGATATCTCTTGAAGGAGCATGGGTCGGTAAACTTTATCCGAGACAGAGCGCTCGAGGAGATCGAGGAGGCGGTTAAGGTAAATCCAGATCGCAGCAGCCTTGACTGCGCTGTGGAGGGCTTCGAAAACAGCACCACTGATGTATCGATCGGTGTGAACTGGCAATATGCGCCCTTTTTTGTCCGGCACAAGTTCTGGCCGACTAAAGAAACAGATATTGACGTTATGAGCGAGCACGACGGGCTCGGTCGAAAGCAGCTGTAGGTATTCATCAAGTGACGCCTTTCGGTCGGCGGCGCTGGCGACCAAGTCCGGAAGAGCAAGCGATGTAGGCCGAGGTTGGATGCTAAGCTGGGCTAGTTCCTTGTCGGGCAAACCGGCTGACGTTGTCTTCCGAGCCCTACTTTCGGCACCCAACTCCAAGATGTCCTCGATGATGATGTTGAGGACCTGTATCAGAGTCACTTGTCGGTCCAAGATGAGCTCCCCGGCGGATTGAGGAACGCAGAGGCCTGCATTTATGATTGGTGAGAGACCAATAAGCACCTCGGCGTGGTTTTTGAGGATTCTGAGCGAGTCTCCGTAGCGCTCATCGGAATGGAAAACGGTGTAACAATTCGGAAAAGCCTCGACATGACGAAGATTCCTTGTGAGCATCATCTCCATGATAACACCATGATCTCCAGGCCCACCATTTGGGCCGTTCTTGTATTGCTCAACGAGGGAGGTTGTGGCGCGGTGCTTCAGCATTTCCAAGAGCAAGTCAGAGTTGGGATCCGTAATGTCGCGCAGATTCCACTCTGGAATGATTTTGCAAACGCTTCCCAAGGATGGATCCCTCGAGTGCCTCAACACCGCCCCATCAGCCGCGCCAGCTTTCATGCATCGTGCTCGTTGATTCTGGTCAAAGGATCGCCAGATCCTTTCTACCGTGGAAGCGTGGGTCCGGTACTTCCGTGTAAGATCAGCATGCAGCTCTTCTAAGAACTGCTGTTTTGTTTCTGCTGCCATCTCGTCGGGGAGGGACACGAGTTGGTGGGCCTGAAGTTCGAGGTTGGAGCTGTCAGCTGTGTTGTTTTGAGGAGAAATTCCCTCTTGATGAGGAAAGTAGCAACTGGAATGCCCGCGTTCTACCTACCTAATGCTCGGCCTTACTGCGAGTATGAGGTAGGTTTGGGAACTAGGAAGGCAAAATTAACTGGAAGACTTTCAGAAATTCACCCCCAGCATGCAGTGACCCGCGACTAGGGTTTGTAACTGACGCCGAGAAGGTACCAGTTCCAAAAACAAAGCTCTTGTGCCCTAGACTGGATGTAATGACTTGCTGCCTACACATGCGATACACTTCACTAAGTTCTCGATAACCCTATGTGAGGTCATGGGGTCTCGACAATCGTAACGTGGAGTCTGGAGATCAGATGAGAGTGACAGCATGCGCCCAAATAACTCTTGAGACTTGGGGGGCGTCGGGTGCTTTTCTCTCTCCTTCCTGATGCATTCGCCACTTCTCTCCAGCAAAGCCTCCAAGAGTTCACTGCCCAAGGTAGGCCCGTACCACCTTCCCGACCTCCCCTTTTAGTTGCAGTAGCGGTTCTGCCTCACCCAGTTGCACATGACAGTTCCTACGCAGCTGCAGCACTTGCAAGCCTATGCGAACTGTCAGTCACCCATATTCCATCAAATCATCTGCTGGGGATTTTCAAGGCATGAATTTCTCTCCACAATTCGTACCTTTCTCCGTCTCTCTGAGTCGTTGGCTCCATCGATACACTGCAAGGTACGAGTATTCCACCGAAACTGGTTGTAGCAGGCAGCCGGATTGATCACATCGGCGCAGTCGTCGGTCCTGAGGAGTTCTTTGGTGCATTCAGGAAACTCCTGGCAGAGCACCATGGTGAAACAAAGGGCAATGAGCCCGAAAGAACTTGCGAGCTTCATTCTGGGCGTGCTCAACTTGCGGATGTGACGGCAAGGCAATAGAATTCAGCGTGAACTCAGCTGAAGTTGACCACCAGGCAGACACCTGAGGTGAGCGACGCGTGGTATATCAATGAGTGGCCTATATCAAAGCCGAATATACCGACTCCGAATCTTGATGATGTCCCACAACCCGTTTATACACTGACATTAGGCGGGACCAACCGTATCAAACCGGATGTTTTCCTTTTGATTAAAAGTTCCAGCAAAAGTTGGCCGTGACCTTCATTCGTCCAGAGCTAATATCGGCAGAAGCAGCTGCCATTCCATACGTTTTCCATTTGCCCCTTGCTGGGCGGACCAAGATCGAACCGGGATCGCTCCAAGTGGCCAGACTCTACTCCCGGTTGAATCCCCGCCCTTCTCTCCGGCTAGCCATGTGGACGGCGCTAATCGACAGCATCGATGAAGGCTTGAGCCGTTGGGTAATCGCCACGCGGCGAGATGAAGTGTGATTAAACTGTTATCGGTTCGGTTCCCGGAAACGTGCTATAATTGTCAGTTGCCACTCCCATCATGGATGTATTCATATGTTTATATATGCCTGGTCCTTGGCTCAATCAAAAGCTTATCCAGCACCCGGCAACTGGTGATTACCAGAGGCCGGGTCTCATAAGACGGCGCCATACATCTCGCCCCGTCTTCCCCTTTTTGTCCTCTTTGTCCTCTTTCGGTTTCCTCTCCACCACCGTCGTCACCCTTACCATACCGACTACCGAGTGAAACGATGAAGTGGAATTCGGCCGCCGCTGTCTTTGGGCTTGTTGCGCCCACCCACGCGCTGCTTCGGTTCGGCTGCTCTCAGCTGACCATCCAGCGTCTGGACCCCCTGGTTACCCCTGGGCAGAACCCGTCGCCCCATCTCCACCAAATCATTGGAGGAGTATGTACAAGATGCTCCAGAGTGAAAGCATGTAAGAGGCTGACCAGTTCTAGAATTCATTCAATGTATCAATGGACTTCCCCTCCCATGATCTTGTGAAGCTGTCGACGTGCACCACATGCCAGTTCACCGAAGACTTGTCCAACTACTGGACCGCTGTCCTCTTTTTCCGTGCTAGGAATGGAACCTTTAAGCGAGTGCCACAGCTGGCCCAGGCAGGCATGGAGGGGACCAAGGGCGGCATGGTGAGCATGAAGGCATCGCAGGATCTTTGAATCTGTCCAATTGACACGAACCAAGGTCGTCTACTACATGTCCGACGCCCTCTTTGACACAGCCCAGCGGTCGTCAGTCACGGCCTTCAAGCCCGGATTCCGCATGCTCGTCGGCGAGGCGTCGTACAAGGACCGCGAGCAGGCGCGCGACTTCCGCCAGCTGACCTACACGTGCATGGAGAACCAGGCCAGCCGCTCGCCCGAGACGGTCGGGTTCCCCAAGACGCCGTGCAAGCTGGGCATCATGGCCAACCACCGCTTCCCGACGTGCTGGGACGGCGTCAACCTCGACTCGCCCAACCACCGCGACCACGTGGCCTACCCGGAGACGGGCACCTTCGAGTCCGGCGGCAAGTGCCCGTCGACGCACCCGGTCAAGATCCCCCAGATCCTGCTCGAGACGGTGTGGGACACGTCCCAGTTCAACCGCAAGGAGGACTGGCCCGAGGACGGCAGCCAGCCCTTCGTCTGGTCCAACGGCGACAGCAAGGGCTTCGGCAACCACGCCGACTACGTCTTTGGCTGGAAGGACAACGCCCTCCAGAAGGCCATGGACGCCCACACGTACGTCTCGGCGCCCATGCTCAGGACCCAGAGCATTTCGGAGCAGAACAAGTGCACCGTGCGCAACATGGTCAATGAGAACTTTGATGGATGTAAGTGAGCTTGGAAGTTGTGGTGTGTGAGGAGTGCATGCTGACGTTGGTGTCTCAACAGGGCTTAAGGAGCTTCCGGGTGGCAACCCCATCTTCTGAGAGAGACTGCAGTGTTCAGTCCCGCCTAGATTGGTTGGTTGCATTTGCGAAGAGCGATGCTCCTAATGTATGTATTTCGAGTAGTCTCCTGTCGGACGGTTACTACGGGTAGTATAGTAGCGCCATTGCCGCCGAAAGCCGATTCAAATATAGGCTGGTCTCCCATAGCATTACTATGCAGTCTCAGTTGGCATTGGGACCAGTCCGCCAGCTGCTGGCCGTCATGATGGCCCTCTGCCTCTCGCTGCGCTCCCTCCTGTCCGGGTCATCCTGCCGGCCCTGCTGCCCGCCCATGGCAGGCTGACTGGAGTCGCGAGGGCCGCCGGTTACTTTCTTCCAGTCCAAGTCGGGCATCCTTTTTGTGCTGTGACGAACGCGCAAGGGGCTTCCTTTGAACGGCCTACTATCCAAGGCCTTGATCGCTCTCTCGGCTTCTTCGGCTGAGCTGAAATCGACGAAACAATAATGGTGGCGACCTGGTAGAGACCTTGTTGCCGCTGGCGGAGTGATCCGCTTGCCAATGGCGACGCTAAAGGGGGCGACGTGTAAGTCCAGCTGGCCGAAACTTGAAATCGGGTACGGGAAAACGGCAGATTCACATACTATTCGAAACCCTCTAGCAGCCTTTGCATCTCGGTGTCATGGTGCTCCTGGTTGATCATGATATCCAGGCCGCCAATGTAAAGCTGTGTCGTGTTGATGCCTGACCGTGGGCGACTGCTCCTCTCTTCTATATGCTGGACTGCCGCATACGGGCCCTGTTCTTCCCGCGGCTGACCGCGCCGACCGGCGTTCTCGGGGCTCCCTTTCCAGTCACCCCAACGCTGGAAGGTCGGGGTATACTCAGCGCCACGACTGCCGCGCCAGCGAGACTGATGAGGCGTCTTGGGATGGCACGGCCCGACCTTGATGGGGCGGTTGAAGAGAAGCTTGCCGGGCAGCGATTCCAGTGCCCGGTCGGCCGCTTCGCGCGTCGTGAACTCAACGAAGCAGTAGCCGGGGTTCCTTCCACTCACGGGGTCGACTGAGATATGCAGCTTCTCCAATGAGTCGCCATATCCGGACTCTCGCAGCAAATCTTCAATGTTGCTGGGAGTGACCGCATAGAGCAGGTTGCCCAGGTAGATGCGCCGGCCCTCTGAGAGAGCATCGCCCTGCTGCTGTTCTGTACCGATGTCCATTGTGAGGTTTGACTTTGAACTGTGAAATGAGTAAGTCGTCGCCGTGCGGATTTTCGAACAGAGCAAATTTTAGTCTCTCGGCATTGACTAAGGCAAAAGGGACTCTAAAAGAGTCTTGGGTTTCTTGAGAGGACAGGGTTCAAGGG